GTTTCATGCTTCTTGATGCTTCTAAGCGCAAGTCGTTTCAGGTCGGGCAATTTTTAAATCAAAGATTCGTGCATTTGTAACGCAGCGAGTCATTGCTAGCATAACCATAACATTGGTTGGTTAGAAAATTTTTTAAGAGGAATATCAAGAAAAAAATCCCACAGTCTAGATTTTTCAACAGCGATTATGAAAAATTTTGGATGCACAGTTTTTTTGAATTCTCAATTTTTTTGAGATAATTTTTGAACATATCAATGCTCAAGTGAAGAGTATGATGAACTTTCCTCGTTCTTTCTTATCATTGCGAACAGAACGCGTCACTGTTTTTGCGACCTCGTGAGAACCTTAGGGCTTGTTTTGGCTGAAAACTAATCTTCTTCTTTGGTTGTTTCTTTTTTTGATTCTCACTTTTTCATGGCAAACTTCTGGTAGTGGGGTCTTACAATAATTACGCTCTCTGAAAATTGTATTTTTCATCTCCAACAAAGTTTATATATAATATTTTTTTCTATTCCAGAGGCATTCATTGGATATACAAAAGATTTCCCAATATTTTTAATATTTGCATAGTCATCGCCATTTATTGCAGAAGACTAGAGAAATGACGATTTCTTGCTCAAAACAATAAATAAAAAGCTTTTCCAGAAGCGGGAAAAATCAAAATTTCGTCGCCCATCGCAAAAAGAGACATTCACGACTCGGATGTGTTGGGCTATTCAAAAAAGAGCACTTTTCTGCGGAAATTGAACTTTGAGTAGGCTGGGAGTGGGGAAAGAGCTTTTTTTGAATTTCAATGGTTAGCTCTCTTTTCCGTTTCAAAAAAGTTTTCGGAAATATTGAGGGTTCGTTGAAGGCAAACAGTTCAGTTACCATGCGTCACTGAATAAATCTTTTTCCTGTTTCAAAAAATGATTTTAAAAAAGCCAGATCCATTTTCGTTATACCAAAAGTTAAAAGTAACTTCATTTTTTTAGGTAAAAACAATAGCTTAGAAGCCAAAAATTATTTCAAATAACGGTTCAAATTGGAACTTCATTTACAAAATATTTCACACAAAGACGCGGCTGTTCAAATTTGCACTGGCGACCCGCGTTTTTTTGATCCTTCAGAACGCTGTCTGATCAAATCGCTTTACCCACTGTTGGGTGTTGTGTTCCTCTTTCATTTCTCCGGTGGTCAGTGTTTTCCAGTTACTTTTTTATCAAAACAAGTAGATTTCCAAGTTCTTTTGTTACATTTTAAGTAAAATGGCTTCTTTTTCAACTCGGGTCATTCGAAATCGAGAATTTCCAGCTTTTCTCCAGGTTTGAAGTATCTATTTAAACCAATTTTTCCCACTCTAATCACTTCCGAGGACGGAATAAAATTAACACGAGTTTAATTTTTGAATAATTATACTTGGAATTCACCGAAAAAAATCTTGAAGAAAGTTGACCTCCATCGAAAAAAACCTGCAAAAAAATCGTTCCCGTGTTCCAATTTCCCATGATTTCTATGGTTGCTGTGGATTGTTCTAGTGTACTTTATACTGTGAAACTTGAAAATCATAAAACAGTTTCACTCGTTCATAATTTTGAAAGTTTTTGCTTATCATTTCGAATCATGAGACAGTTTTTTGAGATGGAAGCTAGTCTATTGCCAAAATTGTGAACGATAACGAAAAGTGGTAAAATATACTTTTTGCGTTCTTTAAAGGCGGTCAAGATCTCTTTGAACTGTTTTTTTGGATTTCTTAAGACGAAAAAATCCGTGAAAACTGTGAAATTTCAATTTTTGGCAAAAAGAAACGATTTTTTCAACTGTGATCGAAAAATTCAAAAAGTGGAGATCATTTTCAACTAGGCTGATTCACATCGCTGTTTCATGAACGCAACTTCCTTGTACCACCTCATTTCAAAACTAGGTGGTCTAAAACATCAAAGTCAACTTAATCACCTTAGTGCGTGCTGTAAGAACATCAACTAGAATAACGGCAATGATTTTTTTTCATATCTAACGTCCATGAATGATAAATGAGAGATCCTTCTTCGACGGAAGCTGTTCGGGAAAAGACGAAGAAGGGAAAAGAAGTGCCCCGAGGCGACGTTTAATCCTTAGATTACCTAACCCTTGTTGAAATATTGATGGAGTCTACGCAATCTCTAGTTTTGCTTTCATTTTCGGAGAAAAAAATAAAGTTTTTTTGAATTGAGCTTTCATTATTTAACCTGAAAAAAACAAAAAAATTTAATTTTTCGCTTTTTTTCAAAAAAATTGAATTTTTTTAAAAATATGTTCACTGTTTCAAATGATTGAATTCTAAGTTTTTCATGGAGTAACAGCCGTTCACCGTTATTTCCGCAATTTTCTTCTTTTCTGGAAATCCCGTTCGCTTGGATTAATCCCTAAAAACTAATATTATTCTTGCTTCGCATTGTTTTGTCAAGAATTTTTCACGGTTCTCTGCACAGGAAATATGTTTTCTGTCTGGCAAGGGTCGAGAAATTGTTTTTCTAAATTGTGAAAACTTTCCCATCATGTTGTTTATCTACAGAATAGTAGACTAGAGAGGGGAAATGTCGACAGGAAGTTATCTCGTTCTAATCTGTTATCAGTCAAAGTACATTTGACTCGCGCCCTACCTGTAAAGACAACATTTCCAACAGTTAGTCTTCATATTATTTAATTTCTTGATTTTTTTTCCTTTTTTGAAGCTTAGAAGGTAACATGAGGAATAGCTCAATACTTGGCGGTTAGTATGAAGTTGCGCCCGACCTAAAAACGAGTTCCGCTGCCAAGAACGGAAGATTTCCGTGTCAGTGATGATGTTTCAAGGTGATTAAAAAAATATTCAACCATCTTTAGTATAATAATTTTTCGCTTTCAAAAATAAATTGGAGTTGATAGTTTCCGTTATTTCGAGCCCTAAAACATTTGGAAAAAACATGAAAAATAACTTTTTTTACTTGAATTTTTTTTAACCGATATCTGACAAAGAGAACTCTTTTTTTCATTTTTTTACAATGAGCACGGGTTTTAAAAAATTTTTAATCTTAAAATTGCAAGATCTTCCTAGCTTTCGTATACCTGTATGACAAGAACTGTCGATTATGTATATTTCATGAGGATTTTCAGAGAAATTCGACGTTTTTGTTTCTTCAAACGAATGGAAGTCTAGATATGGTGTTGAGTTTAACGCCGAGTTTATGGCCTCTTTCAAACAATAATTTTGAAAAAGTTAAATCAAATAATAAAAATTTTTTTCATTTATATCAATACCAAAAGGAGAACGAACGAAAAGAATAATTTGTTTTTCTCAATTTATTCAAATCAGAAAGGATAACTTTTTGTTTTCCTTTCGCTTCTTCGCATCTAATCGCATTCTGACCTTTCGATCTGCTATTCCATTTCCTTCTTGGTCTTCTCCCTATGTAAAAAAAATTCATTTGGTCAGTGATCTCTGAAAAACGGCGAATTGTTTTTGAGAATTTTATCGCATCACAATCAACCCTTATCACATCCTTCACAAATTGTTTTCCACTGTTCGATGCCCTTTGAACGTTCTTTTTCTGCAAATTTCATTATCTCCTTGTATAGGACTCAAAAATAGGTTAATTAAATGAATCATACGTGGGTAAAGTTGATTCGTAACAATATTTGTTACCAAGCAACAAATTGAGTTTCACCGTAACTTGATTGTGTTTTGATCTATAAAAAAATATGATGACAATGACGATAATATGATTTCCCGGCTTTCCTGAAGCAAGAGAATTGGAGAATTGATTGAAAAAGTTGTATTTTTGACACTTTGGAACGAGCGAAACTGAACTCAGAATAAAGTCTCTCAATAATTAAAAAAATTTTTTTGGAGTTTACGAAAAAAATAGTATCATTTTCGAAAATCAGAGCCAGCATACAGAAATTCAAAAAATTTTTTTCGCCTCAAAAATTGAAACAGCGATGTCATCCAATATTTCCTTTGTTTTTTTCAAAATGTTATTGAGTTTTTTTTAAAATTTAGTTTTTGTTGAAAAAAACTCTCTTCAACATGAAAAAAGTTTCAAATGCATCCAATTCATCTACGGAAATCTGGTAGATTATCAAAAAATCAAAGAAAAATTCGAAAAACACTTTCAAACGGTCTCGAACTTAAAATCAGATTTTTAGAGAACAGTGAAAAAATTTTCGAAATAAAGAACCAACCAGGACGGGAAAGTGGATTTTCGAAACCAAAAGGAAAGCAAATAATGTTTTCTTGATGTCCTGACGTCGAAGAATCCAAACAAAATCCGCTGACACGTGAACGCTGACCTTTGCCACGTGAACGGCCCCCACGCAAAAGATAGGTCTTTGCCGATTTCTGCGATAAGAACGTACCCTTTGACCCGCTGCAAATGTTTTTTTTTGACCAACTTCCGCGACGCGTCGATCTTTTCGGCTAGGATCCGTCTCACTTCTGTTGCGTTCTGTTGTGCCGAGCGGTCATCCATCGATTGCTCCGTTCTTACTCTTGCTGTTTTTTTTTGTTGATTTGAGCTTTATTCTCTGACACGTCTTTGATTTTACCCATTATACAGTAGATTAGAAGCTTTTTGAAGCCTTGTATAGTGAACAGATGCATTGCAAAATCATAACTTCTCAAGTTTTGATCTCAAAATCATCTCTGAAAATCTTCATTTTTTTCAAAATGGAGGGTCATTTCACTTGATGATAGGGATTTTCTTAAAAAATGGCCATCGTATTCCTTGATGTGTTAGAGGTCCTAGAAGTTTCCGATTAGGTGTTTTAATGAAATTCAATGATTATCTTTGACTTTGAAACGAATTTTTCCAGAAACTAGGGAGTTTTGCAGGTTGAAATTTCCAGAATCTCCAATAAAAACGTCTAAAACAGCCTGACCGATTTTTGAAAAACTCTCAGCCAAAAAGGACCTCCTTGTGAACTCCCTCTACCTCATATTTCTATCGTTTTGCATTTTCGTTATATTTTTCTTCTTCTTAATAGTCAAATTTCAGTGTTCTATGGTTGTGCTAACAAAAGAAGAACAGGCGGAGGCCGAGCAAGGTCTGTGGCTACCGCAACTCGAACGTGATGCCTGTGGCGTTGGGTTCGTCTGCTCGATCCAAGGCAAGGCCACCAGAAAGGTACTATTCTTTATTCAATTTTGACCGGTCAGAGACATCCCAGTTCTTTCAGAGCCTACAAAAAAAGCTTCAATCTCCTTTGAGCTTCATAGCTATCTTTTAATAAAGAAATATGATTTCTCTTCGGAAAAGTTGGTTTTCGGGACAAGAATGAAAGTAGCGACTTTCTCCACCATGAATAAAGCTGAAACCACATCGCTGAAGTCATATTCTAATGAATATTAGAGAGAATGCTTTTTTGGAAGGTTTTCACTTTTGTCTAGAGGCTGCAAGGATAGTTAATAATTTATTGACAGATCAGCGTGAACCCTAACGAGTTCACTTGGATCTAGAATTTGAGAGAATACATTATACAGTTATACATCATTTGAGTCGTGGAGGAATAGACAAGAAGATCTCGTGCAATGGTAGATTGACCAGTAAATTTTTTTTAAAGACTTGGGGTGGTGGCTGAATTGAAATTTGGAAGTGAGTTTGTTCCAAGTAGGAATTGTTTTAAAGAAAAAAATCATTAGAAAACTGATCTTGAGAACGCAGTCGAAGTGGATTTCGCCTTAAATTGGACCTGAGGGCAAAAAAAGTTCGAACTGGGGAAAAATGATCGATACCGAAGACAATTTTATGAAGGGTCAGAATGTCAGATATAGCTCGTCTGAGGTAAAGTGGAGAGATATCAAATTGTTCAAGGCGATCAGAGTAAGATTCAAAGGATAAGTTGGACCTAATAAAAATTTTACGAGAAAAAATTCTGAGAGGAGATTCCAGTTTGTAGCAGAGATCAGAGTTAAGGGGAGGGTTAAAAACTTCGGAGCAGTATTCTAGAATAGGCCTTACATAGGTGTTAAAAATTTTGAACAATAGATCAGGTGATTTGGAACGAAAACAGTTGAGTATCTGATTGGAACGAAGAGTTGCTAAAGAAACGATATTGTTAATGTGAGGAGCGAGAGTTAGTTTATCATCGATAAGAACACCTAGATCACGGATAATGGTTTTTCTGGGAATAAAGGGATAAATATCGATCCTGAAAAACTCCATAAAAACTGAAAAACGTGGGAAAAAAGTGTATTGATAAGTTTTCTCCAGATCATGGAGGACGCTCGGACGATGCTCGAACGCATGGCTCATCGTGGCGCTTGCGGATGTGATGATCATTCTGGAGATGGTGCTGGAGTCCTCACTGCGATTCCAGATGAACTCTACCGAAAATCGGTCAAAGAGTGCGTTTTTTTTCCATTCCGGAAAGATTGAAAGGCAGTGACTTCAGATTTCAGAATTATTGCTGTCAAGTAACTCAAAATTCAGAAAAGGTGTATATATCGATAGATAGAATATGAATTCTGGGAGCTCTTTTATTAATTTTCTTCAGAAAAAAAAACACTAACTTTATATTTCTTATCACTAATTATCAACAATCTTCAAAGAAAATCCTCAAGCTTTATAAAACTTCAAAAAGCAGAATACCGGATTTTCAGGCAAGATGACGTCGATCTGCCACCGCTTGGCCAATACGCCACCGGAATCTTGTTCCTTGAAGGAGAGTCCTACAAACAGGCCAAGGTATATAATTTTTCATCTTCGGACTGTGAAAAACCCTTTTCAGGAAGCATTTGGAGAATTGGCTCGGCTTTGCAACCTTCGGGTTCTGACTTGGAGAAAACTGGGGACGAATCGCGATTGTATCGGGGACGAAGCCAAGAAGACGGAGCCGCTCATTCGTCAGGTCTTTTTTTCAGGACTACCTAATAATAAAAAAAATTTTCTGAGAAAATTATGAATTTGGGATCAAGAAAATTAAGTAGAAATTCTTCAGACGGCATCCTATCATTTCAATCAATTCAACAATCTGATTTCTTTTGAAATTCATAAATTGGACACTATTTTTTTCATTCACAAAAAGTTTTTAGTGGACAATAAATATCAGACGACATCTCAAAATCTTGTTCGAAACAAATAAAGTCTTTTTCTGTGTGTTACTTTTGAAAAGAAGGTCAGGTCGGCTGAATAAACTTGGAAAATGACGTCAGCTGATGAAGATGATTTGATGAGATCTCTTCTTGAAGTAATTTTTTCATGAATAGTTCAGCTTCCTTGAATTTTTTGTTTATTTCACTGCTCTGCTCTTTTTAAAAACCTTGAAAAGTCTTCAAACCTTTTTTTGAAGCAAAGGAAGGCCGGTTTAATGGAAAATTTATTAAGAAGAGATTATAAAATTCAAATGTAACTATATCAAAATACGAAATTCAGGTCTTCGTCACGGCTGATTACGCTGAGAAAGAGCCGGAACGATTTGAAAGACACATCTACTTGCTCCGAAAGCAGGCAGTTCACAACATGGCCAAGCAGTCCATCGAGTGTTATATTTGCTCTCTCAGCACCTCTACTGTGGTCTACAAGGTTCGAAATTATTTCGATCAAAAAAGATGTGATAAATCTCAGGGTCAATTCAACACTCATCAACTCTACAAATACTACCATGATCTGACTGATCCGACTTTCATGACCCATTTGGCTCTTGTTCATTCTCGATTTTCCACTAACACATTCCCCAGCTGGAGTCGTGCTCAACCGAACAGGTGAGCAGAAAAAAGTATCCTTGGAAAGCGATAAAAAGCTCGTAAATGTAGCTGTTTTCTTTGTTTCAGTGGGATTTGTGGTTGGAAGGGCATATGAGTTTTTGTGACATTTTCATTGGAATTTTGTGGTCACGGTAGTGTGCGCTATATATTGATTTTTGCTGCAGTCCTTTTTTTTTACTTTTCAGAAAAAGTTTAAAATTTTTAAAAATGCTTCGATTAAAAGCTTTTTGCGCAAAACGAGGCAATTTTGATTTTTCGGGGCGTTGAAAGGCTCAGCAAGTTATCTTGACTCATTCCATTGCAACTATGGATATTTCAAATCCAATCAGAAGAAAAAGGACTATTAAGACCGACTTATATAGAAAACTTAGAGGAAAATTTTAAAATTAAGAAAAAGTGGAAGAATAAGCCAGGAAAATCAACCAAATAAAATCAACTTCTCAGGATGTTGGCCCACAACGGCGAGATCAACACTTTACGTGGAAATATCAATCTGATGCACGCCCGTGAAGGCGTCATGAGCAGCAAACATTTCCGAGACGATCTCCAGAAGTTGTTCCCGGTTGTTGAAGAGGTAAAATCTCTCGGAAAAATCCCAAAACAAAGCTATTTTCGGTTTGGCCTAATTAGAAATTCAAACTATAGTTTTCGCTCATTCAACTTGCAATAAATAGAGAATCGAGATTTGGCTCAAACTATAAACAAAAAGGAGGGTTTACTGGGAAAAGTTTTAGTGGCCACTATAGGGTTTTGTCGTTTCAGTGGCCACTATAGTAGTCAAATTAATGGCCACTTAAGGGGTTAAAAATTAGTGGCTACTATAAAGGTCTTAGTGCTACCCCTAAAACTTAGTGGCCACTTTAGGGGTCAATGGATCAAAACAACTGGTCCAGTCAGTTTGTTTTAAAATTATCCGAGTTTCTGGAAGAAATACTGGATGAAAGGAATGCTGGATGAAAAACTACTGAAGTGGCCACCAAAACGGAAAATAGGGGACATTTTAGAGGTGATTTTAGTGGCCAGCCTTAGTGTCCTCTGCATAAAATCTAGTGGCCGCTAAAACTTTTCCCAGTACCCGTTATTTTTTTGAAGATTGGTACATGTTCAAGAAATTTTCTGATAAGTCACGCATTCCGAATCTCGGAAAGATGCAGCTTCAATTTTTCAGAGCCTTACGGACTCCGGCTGTTTCGACAACGTTTTGGAGTTCCTGGTCCACGCAGGAAACCGGTCTCTTCCTGAAGCAGCGATGGTGATGGTTCCTGAAGCCTGGGAGAAGGATGAGGTCTATACTACTCTAGTTTGAAGGAATAAATGCATAGCAAAGAAGATAAACAAAGATATGCCTCTTTATGTTGACTGGAGAAAATCGTGGCCGCATAGAGAATGAGACGAGAATTTAGGAAATGAAGTAATATCATTTTTCCTTTGACAACTACGTCTTGTTTGAAAAATATTCAGGTGCGGATCATCAAAATTTAGGCCACAAATGAATGAACTTGAATAACCAAGAAGCAGAGCAAGAGATTCAGAGGAATTTATCTTTTTCTTTCACCACTTCACCGTTTCAAGCTCAAAAATTAGTTACTCTGCTAAGATATTTCACAAAAAAGTCCATATCCTTTTTTGTTAAAATTATACTTAGTTATTTTCTCTATGACTTATTCTAAATTTTCCAGGAAATGCCAAAGGACAAGAAGCATTTCTATCGGTGGGCCGCCATGAGTATGGAACCTTGGGATGGGCCAGGTAGAATCGAACTTTTCGCCTAGAAAAGTTGGAGCTTTTCCAGCTCTTCTCGCGTTCTCGGATGGTCGTTACGTTGGCGCGATTTTGGATCGAAACGGTCTTCGTCCAGCTCGATACTACCTGACTGACGATGACCACCTCTACCTGAGTTCTGAAGTTGGCGTCAATGATCATGAGATCGGGACCGTCATCAAGAAGGCACGTTTTTTACCACGGCTTTTCAAAAACTGGTCGTCGAAAGAATCACTGAACGCATTGCGGTCGCGCAGTAATTCGAGTTGAAATTTGAGCTTTTCCAAAATGGAACCCACTTTTGATCCGTTCCCTATGCGTCTTAAAATCATAACCTTTAACTTCAACTTCAAGCAAAAAACGGAGAACATGCGACGATTTTATTCGAATATATTAATCAATCAGATCATCTTTTGACGTGTTCTTATTGGCACGCACAAGAATAACATGTATTTGGAACGAGAAAATGACAGACATTCGTTAGAAAAATTGAGTTTAGAGATTGTTCACATCAATTGCTGGCTGACCAAAAGAAAAAAAAATAGAAGTTGAAAACGGGGAAATGATGTTCGGAGCATCGCCAAGTGGTGCAAGAAAAATGTGTGTGTGCGTCGAGTTCTAATACAAATCTTGTCCGAAGGGCCTGAAATACACCTTTTTTGAACTCGATGGGATGAGGTTTTGAAGGGTTTAAGAATTGAAATTTCTGGAAAAGTGATGTCATGGGGGAGGAAACTTTAACTCATAGGAACTGGACTTTTTGGGATTCTGGAGATGTTTTTTAGATTCATATCCTACAGCTTACTCACAACAATTTTCTGAAAGCTGCAGATCTAGTTTGAAACTTGCGAGTATCAAAATTATTTTGAAAATTTTTCGATGAATGATAAAAAAAAGTGATTTTGAAAGTTCAGGTCACATAGCTTCATATGGATTTTTTCGAAAAACAAAAAAATTATATTAGATCTATGTTCAAGGTCAGTATTGTTTTCTTAGTTCTCTTTTCTTTTTAACATAGAAGGTTATGCATGAACCAATTTCCTTTTAGATTATCTCCAGTTCATTCTCAGTTTCCAAACTATGCCGTCATCACTTTTAGACTTTCTTGACTCACTCAAAAGACTCAAGCGCCGGGAAATCATCGACGTAGTTGAGGACGTAAGGGTTCGGCGTGCGAGTAGGTGACCGTTTGCCGAATCTTAAAAATTGGACCTTTTTTATGTGTATTATGTGATTGGACTATACCTCATAAGGACGCGGTTAGGCGCGGCGGACACGTAGACGGCGGCCATGAGAACGACCAGGACGAAGGCTAGCACCGAGCGCATCGACATAGTTGAAATTACTGTTTCAAAAATGAATTATCAAAAAAATCTTATAAGAAAAACGAAAAGCGTTACGAATCAGAGAAAGTTTCAGGAAATGATGTTTTTTCTCCTATTACTCATGAAGCACGCTGTTTTTCGCGATTTTCACGGAAAGCAATTATTTTTTTCACTCATAATTATAAGGAAGGAATGGAAAGAAGAGCCAGGATGCGTGGTGGACGTCCGGAGGACCGACTGACAACGCGCATCCGAAGGCGGTGATTTTAAAGCGCCCTCGAAAGCTATTCCAGGGGCGTGGCCGGCCTCCGGACCTCGTCTTTTGGAGCAAGACACACCGATTTCTTCAGAATCCAGGACGCTATCATTTCGTTCCGGTATGAAAAGTGAAGAAATGGCTGCCCGATTTTCCGGGACTATGTGGAATTTTTTGGACTGGCAATCGCTTTATTCCACAAAATGCAGCCGCTCGCAAGTAGTTTCTGGTCGGATGCAATAAAAAGCATCGTCGTAGTACTGTGGAGCTTTGGGTTTTTTCCGATTAAATTTTTCATACACATTTCCTTCAAGAATTAGGCTCTAAAAAGTTTGTTCTAGGCTCAAAGTTTCGGCTTGATATGATATTACGAGAAGTTAAAAATTTGAGAACCACTTCTTGCTGGAAGAAGATTTTTTTTTCAGTTTTCGAACTACCCTTTTCTAAACTTCCATAGATGTATAGACCCCAGACAAAACGCCTTCTTAATATTCTCAAAAAGTTTTCTTGAACTTGTCTAATGCGAAAAAAGCAGTAGAAAACTCTTAAGACGTGAATATTCAAGAGAACCAGGAAAGAAACGTTTTTATTAATTTAATTGAACGTGGGAAGTCTGAACGTTCTTTTAGAAGAAAAAAAATTGTGTCCCTCGGCGAGCAGAATTTTCTAAGAGGATTCGAAAAGAAACTTCCCAGTTAGGTGAAACTTAAGAGAGTTTTTCGAGAATTCTGCAGTTCATCTCGTAGTTTTGAAACAGTAAGCTCTGATAGAAATGGTAGGAGAACGTTATTACCGTTTACTCAGTTCAACCACAATCTTCAAGTTTAATGAAAAATTTCTGAAACAGTGAAGTGATTTTCAAAAGTGTGGATTTTTTTTTTGGATAAAACTCAAAACGGAATTGAGTTGGTTGGGTCAAAATTTTTCAATTCTGAAGTTTGGATTTTTTTCGTGAATCTCAGCCACCTTTTGATTAAACTCAAAAATGTAAAAACCTCTTTTTCTCTCTTTAAAAACAACTATGAGTATATAATTCGAGTCTTCATGGACCATGGCGGTATGAATGTTCTAGAAGCTTTTTTTTCCGTGAATACAAAGAGGAAAATAAGACAATGCGAGGTGTGAACACACGGAATTGTCAGGAATCTGAGCCGAGAAAACAAGGAAAAAAAATACGGCGTGAAATAAAGGGTCTTCGAAGGGCTGGTATTTCCTATTCACTTTGAGAGCATAATGTGATGTTTCCGAACGAGCTCTTGCCTTTGCCCACAAGATGGTTTTGTTTTAGTGAGAAAGGAAGAAATGGTGCTAGAAACGCAATAAAATGACCTCACTTTTTTGACTGGAGTGTGGTCTTGTCAGCAAGAACTACAGTAATCTTCAAATTCTGAAATCAAGAGAAATTCAGACGAACCATGAAGGTTTGTATGTAGTTTAGTTTTCAAAATCTTTTCAAACTTCGAAATTCTGAGGTTGGTATAGAAATGTGGACTTTTTCTATTTTGCAGAGCTTAATTTAGAATGGCTGTGATCGGAGTTGACAACCTGAATTTTTTCTTCAAAACGCAAAACTTCTAAAACTCCCAAAGTCGCTGCAGATCTCGAAAAAGCTTCTCCTTCTTTTCGACTTCAAAGTAGAAAGGTTGAAGGTCACTCCCTCCCTCAATGAAAAACAAGAAGAAGATATAAGGTTTCTTGGCAAACAGCGCTTTGGTAACTTGATTCAACCAAAATCAAAATTTCACTAAAACTCGAAAAGCCTTTTTCCTTGTTCTGATAACTTCTGAGTCATTTTATTCAGAGGTAACTCAGAAGTTAATGAATTTAATTCACTGACTAACAATTCAGTAATTAATGACTACATAGGTTGATTTGAATCATGTGACGTGAAGCTAAAGAACCTCTCAATTATATTTTGCATTTGTCTTTTTTTTCCAAAAACTATCATTATTTCCCAGCATTTTTTGATTCATTTCAAAAATATTTACACCAGAGGAACATCCAATTTGGCTACTAATTGTCTTGGCCCTCCGCCGATGTTGTGAATTATTTCAAGGATGTTTGGCATAACCAAATTTTGGCTTCTCGGAGAAAAAAGAAAAAATGTCTAGCTTGAGTAATGGCCATCATTTCTGTAAAAAAAAAAGTTCGTTTGAGATGAAAGATAAACTAGCAACGCTGAGTTATGTTCCCATCTTATAACATGACGAATATTCTTGAAAAAAGAGCAAGTGGGGGACTAGGAAAAGTTGGACTCCATTTAGAATGAATATTAAAGAGGGTTGTGCATTTTTCGAACTCCGGCGAGTTGAAACAATATTCAAAGTTTCGAGTTGTATAGTCTGCTTTGAAAACATTTATAAACAAAAGTGAAACAGCAAAGTTATTTGTTCAATTTTTTTTACTTAAAATTTTCAAGGCGCAAACTTTTGATTCACCTGAACTGACTTTTTTTGAAGGATTTTAAAAATTTTAAAGATCTGAAATATGTTTTGGTCACATCATTCTCTACTCTTTGTCGGCTCCAAAAAATGTCTCGGAAGTGAAATTCGAGCATTTCCGGTCGAAGATAATTAATTGGACACTTAAGAAAAATGTGGCCGACACGCGACAATGGCCTTTTGTAGTATGAAGGCTGGCTCATTTTTCACGATGCAATTTCCCACGTGTCAACCACTAGACAAAACGGAAAAAAAACTGTGTGTGGGCGTCAAAATGAACGACACTCGACACCGGGGATTGATGCTCAAAATTGGCCAGCGTGGTGCAATCTCGACGGCATTTCAATACGTCTGACCCCATTGAAGAGGCTCATTTTGCAACGGTTCCAGAGACAAATTGTGCTCCTATGCTAGTATGTGCATACAGTAGTCGTCTAGGTTCCGGGATTTTTTTTCTAGTAATGGTTTCGAGGACGAATTGACATTGACACGTCGTTGGACGCTCTTATATGGACCTTTCTTCTCTGGTAATTGAATGGAATGGTCCCATCAGGAAGTCGTTCGGCGCTGCGGTAAAATGGACTCGTTGTAGCTATTGGACTTTTGGGAAATCTTCGAACTTTAATGAAGAAAAAAAAAGCTTACAAAAATGTGATTTTTGTCAGTTCTTTTCGAAAAACTTTCCCGAAATACTCAAGATGAGCTTGAAATTGTGACCGCTCCTGGAATTGAAAGCTGAAACCGCAATCGAAATCTTGACTTACAGAAGATCTTTTGAACACTTTTGTGAAGTTCCAGCGCAAGTAGTTTTCAGTCGGATGCTTATAAACATTTCATGAGTCATTCTCAGTGCGGCCAAAAGCTCAAAAAAAACTTTTAATTTTTAGAGAAGAGAATTTTTTGAAATTCCCTTTCAAGCTGAATTCAGTTTCACCCTGGAAAAATGTCAGATCAGGTCGAAACCTCAATTTTTTCTAGGTTTCCCCATCCTTTTTCTCAAAAGAAATATTCATAATTTGAACAAAAAGAACTTTTTACTCTTCCCCAAGAACACCGAATTTCTAAGGGCCAAAGTTTTTGAAAAGATTTTTTGCGACTTTTTCTGTTTTTGAACAAAGCATTGTCAGTACTTCCAAGTCCTCTTGAATAAAGTTCAAAGTTTTTTTCTGTCACCAGACTGACTTCTGATTTTTTGGTATTTTCAATCAACTACGTTATGAAGTCAATATTTCATTGAACTGAATTTTAAGTATAAAAAATCCAGCAAAAAGGCCATATTGTTCAAAGCTCTGCATTATTAAAATATGTCTCGATTTGTTTGTATCTGAACGTCCGTACATTTTTGAAGAAGCGTGGGAACTTAGAACAGACCTGCATAAGTTGTAGCAAAATTATGAATATTTCTAGAAGATCGAGAAAAGTATTAATAACCCAAGGAGGATGGAGTGAATTGCGGTTTTTTAAACTGGAAAAAAAAAATTTTGGAAGCATATTCCAAGTTTTGACCTTCTCGAATACATTGCTGTTTCAGAAAAAAATGCAGAAAAACGGTTCTAAATATTTTTTTAATCATTCATGGCAGTGGCTGAATCTGCATAAGTTGATTGGTATTTTTTTCTGATAGAATATTGAGAAATTCAGATCACATTTCTGTTTCAGATAAGTGGAGAAAAATTTTTTTCTTCGTTTTTTTAAGTTCCTAGAAACTAACACACTCGCAGAATAGAAAGTTTCAATTAGAACTTCAACTTTCGAAGAAGATTTTTCATAATTCAGTAATGAATTGTAAACTTTAAATCATGTTGCTGTTCCGAAAAAAAAAGACTAGAATTTCAGATCAAAGTCCGAAGAAAGCATAAAGGAGTCTACCTGAAGGAAGATGTTTATGTTTATGGAACCTTGTATTGATCACATTGCTGTTTCGAAGAACTTTTTCCAGGAAAGTGTTCCTCCTTTTGAACATTCGTAGTAATATTCAAGCAGGATGGCTGCAATTTCTTATTCAGTTCCTTGAGAATCTCAAATATTTTGCTGTCATAAACTGAGTGGTTTCTGATTTCTACTCTCAGAATGGCTGAAGAACTTTTTTGGTTACTTTCGGATGCAGGGTTTGGATCCTGAATTTTTTCCTTGCAAACGTTTTCAAGGGAGGAAGGCCTAATTTGGACCTTTAGGAAAAGAAAAAAAGTTTTTTTGAAAACGGGACTTGAAACAGTGAAGTGGTGATGAATCTTTTAGAATTTTTTTTGGTTTGCGCAGGAAAATCCAATTGAACTGTCAGTTTTCCTTTTCAATCAGTCTGTCTTCCAGTTTCTAGCAACATGTTATTTTGTAAGATTAGAAAATTGTGCCCTTCAAAAATAGCTAGAGCGTGAACTGATTTGATTTTTAAAAGCTTCTTCGAATAATTATCAATTCTCGGTCAAGGGGAAAAACCAAAGAGCACGAATTATTGGGTTGAGAGAATTTCTTAAAATTTTCCGAGCTTCTAATTTGAAAAAAAAAACTAAGGAAGGTTTGATTTTTTCAATACGGTTTTAATTTTTTTCAAGAGCGTGCAGTTTGAGGTTCATAGAAAAACTGAATGGTTGAAACGCCATTTTATACGTTCCAGTAATATTTTTTTATTCATAATAAGTAGGATTTGCAAGTTTAGACCTTTTTGCTCTTTTTTTAGCTTTGAAAAATAGGGACAAGTAAAAAAATTAAACTCTTCTTAAAATTTTAATGAAATTGATATATTTCGATGTTTTTATCAAGCAAAAATCCTGTTCAGTGGGAATGAAAGGATCATGTTTTTTTTTTCAAGAAAACGGAACATTCAACTTTTTTCCATGTTTTTTTGGTTTTTTGAATTTCAAGCACGCTTTACTGCTCAGTTAGTTCAACCGGAGGCGAATGCGCTTTCTTCAGTGTTTCCTTCCGAAAAAAAACACATGCAAGATTTTATTAACTATGTAAAGATGCTGGAAAATACAATAGGCAAATGAATTTGAAAAAAAAAAGAGGATTATTTTCCGAAGCGCATGGTTCCGAGAGGATCGCGTTTGCCGAATCGCATCGTTCCGAGGGGCATGGCTGGAAAAAGTTTGCCTTTTCCGTGAAAGAAAGCGAAAAGGTGAAGATTTACCTGCACTGCGCTTTCCGAACCGCATAGTTCCAAGAGGACTCCTGGTATCGCGGTAAATTTGGTCGTAGTCTCCTACAGCCACATCGGCCTTCTTTGAAAGGTAGTACGGTGGGTAGCCGTTTTCCTCGAAATCTTCCACGTCCATCGGCATATCTCGCTTTCCGAAACGCATTGTACCCAGTGGTGAACGCTTTTCTCCCATGTCTGAAACTGTAAATCGACTTAGAATGATTTTTCGACCTTCATATAGACACATGTTTGACAGATCTTCTAGATTCACCTAATTAAAATAAAAAAATGAGAAAATTTCGTCTCGCTTTCAGATCGTATAGCTATTTTAAATAATGACTTTGAAGAAAAAAAAAATTTTTTTTAAACAAAAAAATGACTTCTTAGTATATTTTCAAAAGTCAAATGCTCAAACTTCTCGGCTTTCTATCCATTTTTATATTACGTTTTGATACCTGCGCTGAAGGCGACGCTGAAAATCGCTGCCAACAAAGCGATGAGTCTCGTAGACGCCATTATCCAATAAAAGTCACGGGAGAAAAGTCTCTGGAAAAGTTTGTTTCGAAGCACCTTTTGGGGTGTTCGTGTATTTATATACGAGCGAATTAAGCGGCTTCGGTGAAGCCGTCGTGTCCGCCTTCTTGAGGCAACGACGAGCAATTTATCCAAGCACTGCTCCGAAAAGACTGACCCCAGAAGAAAAAAAGAAAGACTCTTTGTCATTCATGCAAATGTCGCCAGCAGTTTTCTAACCCAGGAATGGATAGAACGAGGATGAGATTTCTGTTTGGATTGCTTGGTAGAGCCTCAGAGATTGAGGTTGAGCATTGGGAAATTAGGAAAATACTAGTCGTGCTATATTTCGGATCAGGTGAACTACTGAGAAAAAAGAAAAATAGCGAATACCGTCCTATAAAGTGATAACTAGGCTTTCCAAAAAAGCTCAGAAAGTTCATTTGAAAAAAGCTAAAGCTGCCGGGAGCATTTTGGACTGACCATTATACGATAATTATATTTTTGCGTCAGCACCTTTTTTGAGATCTCTCAGCAAGCTGACTTCTTTTTTAGATTAATTGAAGCTGTAAACCATCAGTTTTTTCACAGGAAATTTTCGCGAGAAAAAATTTATTTTTTTTCCACGACCAGCTTCACTTAAACTATTTTCATTTATCTGTAAATAAAATCCATAATAAGCGATTTCTTGTCAATATTATGTTATTATCGGAGTCTATCACATATTTTTCAACTATCAGCAAAAATCCTCTACGAGAGAACAGATAAAAAATAAGATCTGGTCCTGGTAACTTTTTTTTCTGACCTAGATAAGTCCTCTTAGAGGCTTGAGAGATTGGCAAATGAAGTATTCCTTACAGTTATGCTACAAAATCTGGAAAACATCTTCTGGAATCAAATTCCGAAAAGCCAAAGGCAAAGACGTTTGACAAAGAATACCCAAGTGAGGCCAAGGCGGACCTGATTGAATAATAAAAAGTACCGGAAAGAGAGCGGCTCTGGTGGGCCGAACTTGGCCGCACCGAAAAAAAAAGATTTCTTCTATTCACCTCTACCATAATTGTACGGAACTCTTTTGAAAAGCCTTGCTCACGAGTAATTCCGCCGCCAATTTTCCTTTTCGACTTTTTCGCTTTTGTTGCCACCGCTCACGACATCAAAAGCGCCGATTTTTTCGTGTCTCGAGGGTGTTGAATGGAGTTTTTGACGTAGGTGTGAGGAATTGGGCGTTGTTTGAACTGTTTGTGTTTTTTGTTTAGATGGTCTCCTAGTAGAACTAAGAGAAAGTTGACTATTTTTAGTAAGTTTCGAGGAACATTTTGGTGTCTTTTCACGTCAAGTTGTTGCACAGAAAGGAAGGCGCGCAAGTCGTTTGAAGTCGGTCGCTTCTTTGAGGAGCCTCCTGCAGCGAGCCACTTAACAGGCGAAAATTTTTTTCAAATCGAATCTTCTTGAGTTTTTTTCCGCTTCGTATTAGAACATATAGCGATGTACAAGTCGAATAGGGTCCGACGCACTTAAAAAAAGTTAGTTACTACAAAATGAAAAATAAACAATTTTCTCTTTTTTTCTTCTGAAAATGTTCCAAACTTCCCATTTTTCCATGCCAATCTCATTTGCAACCCCAAATAACGGATCTCAACCAATTTATTTCGAAGTCAATCACTCATATTTCTTTTTTTTCTGTACGCGGAGAACAATGGAACTCAGGTGAAACAAGAAAAAGTTTACTAATGAAGGGTCGGCGAAAGAAAAAAACTCTGTATGAGGCGGCAAACTGATGTTGATGGTCACTGGTAGTCGGCGTAGCCCATTGGGTCGAAACGCTTTCCAAATCTAGAAAAATGGTACATGTTTCATCAAATGAGATCTATTGTGACTTTTTCTTCAGAGTTTTTGAATATCATGAAGCTGTTATTAACGAACTATAGTACACCAAAATCTTGATATTTTTGTAAAATGTAGCTCTCCACTTGAAAAAGTGTGTTGAAGTTTCAAGACAGAACAACTTTTTAATTTTTTTCTTTAAGAAGCCACTTAAAGCTTACTTCCTTCTGTATCATCTTGCTTTTTCTCACAAAAATCGTCGAATAACCCACCGGATTGGCTCCCTCGGTGAGCGTTTGCCAAAGCGAATCGGCTCGCCACGAAGACGCTTCGAAACGACGGACGCCTCGAATGGCTCATAGTCATACTGGACGGCGTGGGCCTTGAAACGGGACTCTCGATCAAACTGAGGCTGGCTTTGAAGCTGTTTGCGAAGCAGGGATTCGTGGAGTTGGGAGAGCAAAAGTTTATGGGGCCTTGTTGTGCTTTTGGCTGGCGACAAGACGCGCGGCGGTACGACTTTGAATGGACTTACGACTAGGCAGAGCATCGCCAATACAACCGACAGGAGCATGTATGAGACCTGCATTTTTTTTTACTCAAGATGCTGCCTTTTACGGGTACCTGAAAGCTTGGAATTGGGTTTTTTTTCTAAAAAAAAAAAAGTGACAAAAAGCGGAATGAACAACAGTGAAGCTGAGGTTTTGAAAAAATAAAAGTTAAGGAAAGTTTTCGAGGAAGAATATGCTTTTTGTAGAAAAGTGGTCAGAAGTGATTTTCGAGATTTTTGAGAGCGCATAGTCAAAAATCGTGATGAAGATTCTTTTCAAAGTTAAGAGAAACTTAATCCGACTCTCGGATGTTCAATGATCCACAAGGATTTTTTCGAAACGCGCCCGACTCTATACTACTTGCGCTGAAATGTCAAAAACGGTAATCAGGCCGAAAAATGGCACGATTCAAGCATAGCGCGATTTCAATGCAAAAATCCGTATATCGCAATTACCAATAAATTTTCTCGATTGGATTGAAACAAACCAAAAAAGAAACATCATCATTTTGAATAATTGATGAGAATGAAATATTTGGTCATTTTTCATTAATTATTTGGAAGACTAAAAGCAATTTTTCAGTTTGTCTCAGGTTTGATGCTTCAAATTGAGGAGATCAAAGAGAATTAATTATGTCAATAGATTAATTAAGTTCAAAGATATAAGCTCTAAAACGGTCATCCAGTGTCTTGAAGACATTAAACTGCTTATTTTCAAACTTTTATCAAAACTGGGTATGGATGACGTTGAGAGAACAAAACTGAACTTGAAAAAGCAGGAAACGGAACAAAAACTGAAAAAGTTCAAAACTTGGGATTTCTATGGGTACGAGTTCAAAGGATTCCGAATTTGAAGGCTTTCAAATTTGACGATTTTCTCAAAGATCAACAATTTTTTAAGTCAAGAAAACGAATGTCAAAGCTTCAAGAAGAAGGGGAAGAACGAAAAAAGAGAGAAAGAAAAGTGATAACTCGCGGGATTTTTTTTTTACCGTGTCTCATTAGAACCTCTGAAGGCTCAGATTCCAATCTGAGAAGGCAGTTAGTGCAGGCTCGGCCGCGGGCTCAAACTCAGGCTCTCCTTATTCACCGACAGTAGAAGAATGTTGCGAACTCCTTCGCTCCCTACTTGGCATGGATAATTCGCCGCGGTTTTTGAAAAATGAGCTCTCCGCACACAAATCGTTTAGCGGCACGATTGCCCACGCATACACATATATGTATGTACAACCAACGTGAATTTTTGAGCACAAGTTTAAAAATATATACATATCCTCCATGAGGATGATACCATCGGCGTGGGTGGAGCTTCTTCGAGTTTATTTTGAAAAAAGACTGAGATTTTTTTTTGAAAAAAAGTCTGATTGCTGAAATGAACAGATCGACACAACATTCAAGGACCGGAAAATCGAAAAATCATGCAGCGAAAAATATTTTTTCGTCAAAACTTAACCGGAAACTTCAAAATTTCATTGTCTAAAACTTGAATAAATGATTGAAAATGCAGATTAACTCCACCAAACTAAGAAAAAACCTTTTCAGGACCGTCTCAAACCTGGTCGTATGCTTCTGGTGGACACGAAGCTCAAGAAAATCGAGCACGACGAGGACCTCAAGTCGCGAATCGCCAACTCTCGATCCCACAAAAAGCTTTCAGCTTCTCGTGTCTACCTCGATCTTTTGCGAAAAGACGACGTGGTGAGGCTTTCCATCAGTTTTTTTTTCCTTCCTTTTTTCCATTTTTCTTTATGTTTGTCTGTCTAATTCCTCTAGAGGGTCACAATTTCCGAAAGCAATTGTTTTTTCTGTGCACAGCTCTCCCATGGCGCCGTGACAAACGAGTATTTGGTGAAATGGCACCTTGAAAACGTTTCGCCGCATCTGACAAAGAAGAAGGATGTGCACTTGGATTCGGACAGAAGGCTCGCTCTTTATGCCTACACGCATGACACGTTCAGCTTGTTGCTCGTGCCGATGATTAAAGAAAAGTTCGTTTTTGGAAAGTTTTCCTGTTAAAATTAGGGTAGAATTGGAGAGCGATGGCGAAAAGCTTGAATTTCGAACCTAACACATCTTTTTTCTGATATTGTGTGGGAAAAACCCTGCAAATTCTATAAAGAAGTGTTTCCGAAGCGAAAAAAAGGATTTTCAATGAATTAACATGAATTTATTTTGGCAGAACCTGGAAGGATTTGAAAAAAAGCTACGGTTTGACCACAAAAAAATATACAAATATTCCGTTTTTCAAAAAAAGGTTTTACTGATTCAATTGAAAGAAAAAAATGAAAAAGAAATCCCATTATTAGAAACTTCAAAAAAATGCTAATGTTGATATTTTTGAAAAATGAAGGGGCAAAAGGAATAAACTCGAGTTTCAAGAGCTCCAAATCTCAGCAAATCAAATTTGTCTATTTGAAGAGTTTTTTTGATGATTTTGAAATTTTCTGGAGCTGTTTACTTGAAATGAAGCCTAACCTTTGAGGTTTAACAGATCGAGTTAATCAGAGTAAATGTCAAATTTGACGCAAGTTGAATTAAAAATGTGAAAATTTAGAAGGTAGACATGAGATGTTAATTGGAAAGAACGACCTCGTGAGGTCTATTAATCAAAGGTCAGAAACAGCAAATTACTGTAATCGAAGATTTTTTTGATGATTTTTTTCATAAAAAAATGTTCATTCCAATTTGCTTAAAAAAATGAAAAAAAGTTCAAAAAAAGAAGCGAGAATTTTTTTCTAAGGTAAGATTGACTACTGTGGCGAGAATAATTTTCGATCACTTGAAAAAATAATTTTCAGAAAAGAATCGCTCGGATCAATGGGAAACGATGCGGCTTTGGCCTGTCTTTCGGACTATAATCCACTTCTTTTCACCTATTTCCAGCAACTTTTTGCTCAGGTTTGCAAACAGGAAAAAAAAAACGCGGAAACAAAAAAGTGTAGCGGACGGAAATAAAGATGCAAATTCCATTTAGCTGCTTGATTAACATGCTCAATTTATAATACTAATTTAGACGAAACAAGGGGGAGGGGGATGGAGGAATAGATTGGTAGACCTTTCGTGTCAGATGAGCCATTTTGACAGCTACGCTACATCCGAATTTAATTATAAACAAGGAAAAAATGCAGGAAACTACGCAAAAACGTGAGAAGAAAACTCTTCTAACGACTTGTTTTGAGGAACTGACAGGCTAATATTTTTTGCCGAAATCTCCCTATAAATACTGACTTTCAAACTTGCCAGTTAGAATTTCATCCTCAAGACGTCACAGCGATAAATTTGGGAAATCAGACAAGTATCCTAATATTTTTCGCCATTTTCGGCAAGCGTGACTCAGAAGCTCGGCTTGTAAAAATGATTCCAAGTTTGAAATATGAGGATAGGAGCATTCTATAACGAGCCGAGGCTGAGAAAATTTCCCAAGGTCAGACAAAAGTTGTGGAAAAAGATAAATTAAGGTGACGAATCCGCCGATTGATCCATTCCGAGAGCAAATTGTGATGTCTCTTCGATGCCCTATTGGTCCGGAATCCAACATTCTTGAGCCTGACCAGGAAATGGCCAGTCGGCTTATTTTGGAGCAGCCTGTGCTCTCCATGGTTGATATGGAGGTGAGAGAAAAGGGAAAATAAAATTTCTAAAAGTTTTAAGAATTTCTTTGCACTGTGATTCTTTTTAACTCCAAAAAAAAAACTAATCAATTTTCAGGTCATCCGACGGACCATGTACAAAGGCTGGAAAAGCAAAGTCATCGACATCACCTTCCCTGCCAGATATGGAGTCAAAGGCAAGCTGTTTCCTTCAAGAAGCTTCTGACTGTACTTGTATTTTTGAGACTCTTTTTTTCAGGACTGGTCCCTGGCCTCGACAAAATGTGCTGTGAAGCCTGTACGGCAGCTCTGGACGGCTACCCATTGTTGGTCCTTTCCGACAGGAAGGCCAACGCCGAAAATGTTCCGATTCCATCTCTTCTGGCCGTCGGAGCCATCCACCAATGCCTAATCCGACATCGACTCCGTATGAAGGTCGCCATCATCGTTGAGACGGGAGAAGCTCGTGTCGTCCACGACTTCTGCGTCCTCCTGGGCTTCGGAGCTGACGCCATCTGCCCCTACATGGTCTTCGAAACGATGTTCCGACTGAGAAACCTCGGCTTGTTGGACAAGGAACTGAATGATGATCAGGTAAATATCCTGTGAGGGGAAACTGGAAACAATTGAAATAGAGGAAATTGTAAAAAAATACTTTTTAAAAAAATTATCGAAAAATCTAGCCAATATGAAACTTTTTTTAGGTCTACCAAGGATACCGACAAGGCGTAGAGCGAGGAATCTTCAAGGTCATGGCCAAAATGGGAATTTCGACACTCCATTCTTACAAGGTCTGAGATTCCGGACTATCTGAAGAAGTTATGAAAAATAAAAACTCAAATTTCGACATTAAAAAATGTGAGACTCATTTTCAAAAAATCGAATGAAAAGTAAAATTTTTTTTCACCATGGTTTGTGATAGGCGAACTTCAACGTCGCTATAAGTCTGGCGCAAAAATAAATTTTTTGAACGTTCAAACTTGAGTCATTAACACAAGAGTTATATATTTTCAAGTACTCGCAAGAGTTCAATAACCTGACTTTCAAGCTCAAAGTACCTGTTCCAGCACGCTCAAATCTTCGAAATCGTCGGCTTGGCGAAAGAAGTCGTGGACATGTGTTTCAGAAACACGGTGTCCCGACTTGGAGGCGCGACGTTCGAAATTCTGGCGGCTGAAGCACTGAAACGGCATCGGTCCGCATATCCCATGGGTGGCGACTCGGCCTCATTTGGTTGGTCTTTAACTAAGTGGCTCTTAAAAAAATGGACCAACTTCTTCAACTTCATTGTTTTTTTCTTCATTCTCTAAAGAATAGAATGAACTAACGGAGTTGATTGTGGTCGTTGATGACGTAGGCAAATGGCTGTTTTTTTAAAATTTTCGCTAATGCACGTTGCACGGAGAAAAGAAATTTTGTTTTCCCTTATCCAGCCGCTGTTTTTGGGTAATTAAAACTCTTGGTCGCAGTTGGAATGGGTTGCGTGGCGGTCAGTCGGCAGAAAGTTCGAAATTTAACTGATTCCTTTTGAAACTGAGCCACTTCGCAACCGCAACGCTTTGAGCCATTCCATACAAACTTGACTACACTCTAGGAGCCAAATTAGTATATGCACTTGAGTTCGTGCCATCGTTGTCGCTTTCCACACAGGTGAGATTTTTTGGGAGTTTCTTTCTCACATAGTTTTTCATTCACTACCCCCAACCACCACTTTTTTTATTTTAGAAAAGTCTCAACAGAACCTCCGCGATGGAATTTATGGTTCGTTGTTTTTCCTTTGCATGCTTGCTTTGCGTAGGCTGTAGTGGGTGCATGTTAACCCACTCAGCTTCAAAGAAAACGCTTCAGAGCTTTTCCAACTGATATCGAGTGAGTGAAAATGAAATATCTAGGCGACTCTCGAACTCTGGTGGCAACTGGAACCTATCATTGGAGAGCTGGTGGCGAGAAGCACATCAATGAACCGATGGCGATTGCCAAGCTTCAGGTCAGATATTGGGAAATTTATGAAAGTTTCTGTTCAAGGATAACAAAGATTCATGGCAAAAATTAAGAAATTCAGAAAGGATTTCATTGAAAATATTATTCTCAACTTTTTACCCTCAGACAGTTGTTGATTAAAAACACATAAAAAAATTTTGCGAATCTCCTACCTTTTTTTACAAAAAACAACTTTGAGCGATTTCCGATTTTTTTCCAAACTTTTGCGACTTCAACATGCCATCACGCGCAAGTCGTTTAGGGTCGGATGCGTTGAACAAAAATTTCATACTTCAGAGGCTGAGGAGTTCTTAGTGCTTTTGAAAGTTTCTATTATAAAAATGGAACACTTACGAATGATTTTTCAAGAAAATAAAAAAAAATTCTCTCATTATAATCGTTTCACCTTTAGGCGGCAACTCGATTGAACAACCCGAAAACGTTCCAAGAATACTCCCAAGCGTCAAACTTGGCTCAGAGATGGTGCACCTTGCGTGGACAGCTGGAGATCAAGACGAGCTCAAAAATCCAAGTGCCACTGGATGAGGTCGAACCGGCGAGCTCCATCGTCAAGCGTTTCGTGACTGGTTTGTTTTTTGACATGTCAGGAGCCTTTTTGATGGAGAATCTTCAATTTGATGAAAAATAACTGCGAGCATTGAAAGAATATTGGATCTGTGAACTCATTTTTTGGGTTGGGAAGTTTTTAAAGGCAAAACTTTCAAACTGATATTTTACTTTTTTCGATTTCGAGCGCTGAACTTTTCTTTCTGAAATTTTTAGGAACTTCTAAGCGTAAGTTCAAGGGGCAGAAAAATTTCCTCTGAGTTTTTTTCCAGAAGTGGCTCGATTGACTAACTTATATGCCAAAAACTTCAGGTGCCATGTCATTCGGTTCAATTTCCTGGGAAACTCATACTGCTCTTGCCATCGCCATGAACCGCATTGGAGCCAAATCGAATACGGGAGAAGGTGGTGAAAAATCGGAGCGATACCTTCCTGGACAAGATCCTGACCGTAACTTGAGATCCGCCATCAAACAGGTTTGAACTCTGATGATTTTCGACAAAAAGCCAATTTTCTTCAGATTGCCTCCGCTCGTTTTGGAGTGACGTCCTCTTACATTGCCAACGCCGATGAACTCCAAATCAAGATGGCTCAGGGAGCGAAGCCTGGCGAGGGCGGTGAACTTCCTGGCCACAAAGTGACCCAAGAAATTGCTGATTGCCGAAAATCCACACCAGGGGTCGGACTCATTTCTCCTCCTCCTCATCATGATATCTACAGTATTGAGGATTTAGCTCAGGTTCTCACCAACTGTAGCATCAAAGTCATCAAAAAAGATTCTAGCTGATCTACGATTTGAAATGCGCCAATCCGGTGGCTCGTGTCAGTGTGAAGCTTGTTTCGGAAGCTGGAGTCGGAATCATCGCTTCGGGAGTTGCCAAAGGAAACGCAGATCACATCACGGTTTCTGGGCATGATGGTGGTACTGGAGCTTCCAGGTTTAGAGGCAGAAAAAGGAAGTTTCTCAAAAAAACGATCAATTTAGCTGGACCGGAATCAAACATGCTGGACTCCCTTGGGAACTCGGAGTTGCTGAAACTCATCAAGTGCTCACGATGAACAATCTCCGTTCTCGTGTTGTCCTCCAAGCCGATGGACAAATTCGAACTGGTTGGTTTTTTTCGATGGAACTGCAATGATTTATGATGAGACTTAAAAAAATTTGAGTTTTAAAAATTTTTCTGATCTTTTTTTGAATCATAACGGTTGTTAATTGATATTCATAAATAGAAAAAAATGACTTCTGAAGTTCAATTCTGTCATTTTTTTGAAGCTGACGTTTTTAAAAGTGGTCCACAGCTTGAAACAGCAAAATTGTTTTAAAAATTGTTTTCAGGTCGAGACGTCATGGTTGCTGCTCTTCTGGGAGCCGACGAGTTCGGCATGTCTACTGCTCCCCTGATTGTTCTCGGCTGCACGATGATGCGAAAATGTCACCTCAACACCTGTCCTGTCGGAATCGCTACTCAGGTTCGTCTTGAAAAAGTTATATTGATAATAATAACCGACTTTTCAAGGACCCCGTACTTCGCGCCAAGTTCGACGGAAAACCAGAGCACGTCGTCAACTACATGTTCATGGTGGCCGAAGAAGTTCGGTACTTCTTGTCCAAATTGGGACTTCGAACGCTTCAAGAAGCCGTCGGACGGACAGATCTTCTCTATGCCAATCCGAATCCCGTGAACAAGAAGGTTCCGCTTTTTAAAGTCATGGAATCGAGAATATTATGCAGGCGACTTTGCTCGAGTTCGGCTCAATCCTGAAGAATGCCTCCCAAATGTTCCCGACCTACTCCATTCACGGAGGAAGTGTGAAGCAGGTTAACCAGCTCATAATCTTTCTGAATTATTTTGTTATTTTTTCAGGTCTTCGAACTCGGACCACTGGAAACCAAGCTTCTGGAGCAGCTCAAAGAAGCATTTGAGGAGAAAAACAAGCACGTTGTCATCAAGGATGAAACCATCACGAACTTGGACCGCGCTTTCGGAGCTCGCATCAGTTATGAGGTTCATCCGATAAATAGTTCGATCATTCAAATTTTCTCAAGGTTTCAAAGCGCTATGGTGAGGCAGGACTTGCTGAGAGCAACAGCTCCATTGACATCAACCTCTACGGATCGGCGGGACAGTCTTTCTGCGCTTTCCTGGCCAATGGCATCAAGGTCACGCTTGAAGGTGATGCCAATGACTACGTTGGAAAGGTAAGGATGAACTTCCAAAAACTTGAGGTCGAAGTTGCCTATTTTTTAAGCCAGGGAATTCTCAAAATTGCAAGTTTTCGGTAGAAAACTGGTTGAAAACAGATTTCAGCTTGTGAAAGGAAAAAACTTTTTGTAATCTTCATCATTTGCAGTGTCTCTCTGGTGGTGAAATCGTTGTCTTCCCGCCAAAAACTGCTTCCTTCAAATCGGAAGAAAACTCCATCATTGGAAACGTCGCTCTCTACGGAGCCACCTCAGGAGAATGCTATTTCCGAGGAGTAGCTGGAGAACGATTCGCCGTCCGTAATTCTGGAGCCACGGCTGTCGTCGAAGCTGTTGGGGACCATGGCTGCGAATACATGACTGGAGGTCGTGTCATCGTTCTTGGAATGATCGGACGCAATTTCGCAGCCGCCATGAGTGGTGGAATCGCCTATCTTTTTATTCAGTGAGTTGAAAACTTTGTTCGAGTTGTCCCAACTTACAAGCTTCAGAGAAGATTTGATGGTCCGTCGGATCAACAACGCCACCGTCGACCTCGACGAGCCAACGAATGAAGACCTGGTCTACGTCAAGAACAAGATCAATCGCTTCGTGGAGCTCACCGGCTCGACTCTTGGTACTGAGATCTTGAACGATTGGCAGAAGTGGAGCAATAAGATTTTGAAGGTGAAAACAAGAAATTTTGCTTAAAAATGATATATTTTTTAAAGGTCTACCCGCGCGACTACAAACGTGTGATCGAGGAGCAGGAGAAGCTCCGACAGGAGAAAGAACAAGCTCAGGAGAAAGAGCAGAAGAGGAACGATGACTTGGCAGTGGCCGGCCTGGAGACGAGAGCCCGAGCTCTTTCCATGGACATGCAAATCGCGGCGACCATTCCCAAGCACAAGAAACGTGACTTCCCGCGGAAGAAGAGCAGCGTTAGTAACAATAATTTCAAAATTTTTCATTTTGTTTTTTCTAATCCTTCCTTTCAGATTGAAACTAAAGATGGACATCTCGACGTCCCAAAGGTGGCCATAAAACTTTTAGACGTGATTGTGAACCTCAAAGAAAAATGGGAAATTTTAGACGTGATTGTGGGAATCTTTATTTTGGGAAAAGCATGACTTTGGTTGTAGACCCCATCTGAACTTTTTTGCAGAACTTATTTTCTAATTTCAGGTCGTTGAGCTGCGAAAACGTCGAGTCTCGAAGAGCTTGCGTCCTCAAGACATCGCCGGCTTTGAGCTCGAAGAAGACCTGCAGGATGCTTACAATGAGCGTGAGGAGGAGGAAGACGTCAAGTCAGACATCGACGATAACTCTGACGAAGAGGTTGAGCTTCATTCGAGTCTTCTATTTCATCTGGACTTTTGAAGTTGACGCCCAAGAAGGACAGCTTCGACATTGAAAGCATTGTCATTCCTGGTTTTCTCAAGAAGAAAGATGAGCCTTTGGACAAGCTGAGGTGAGTTTATCGCCAAGCCATTCTTCATGCGACCAACATGTCGAAAAAGTTAAAATATTGAAAAATTGGTTTACAGAGGCTTTGTCAAGTACAACAGGCAGAAAAAAATGTACCGGCCGGCCAAGGAAAGACTCGAGGATTGGGATGAAGTTTACGATTTTGAGTCGATCCGAAGCAACATCCGAGAACAAGCTGCTCGGTGTGCTCAATCAAGAAAATAAATTCATTGAATGACTTTTTCAGTTGCATGGACTGCGGTGTTCCTTTCTGCCAAGGTCATACAGGATGTCCTCTCGGAAACATCATTCCGAAGTGGAACGACTACGTCTTCAAGAAGAACTGGCGTCAGGCTCTCGAACAACTCCTCCAGACCAACAACTTCCCAGAATTTACTGGCCGTGTCTGTCCGGCTCCTTGCGAGGTAATCTACCAAAATTGAAACAGTGAAGTTAATAAGTTTCGTTTCAGGGAGCTTGTTGCCTGGCTATTGGATCTCCAGCGGTCACCATCAAGTCGATTGAATGTGCCATCATTGACTACGCCTTCCTCCAAGGTTGGATCAAGCCTCAGCCTCCAAGTGTCCGCACCGGAAAGAGAATCGCAATCATTGGATCTGGGCCAGCAGGTTTCGATTATTGGGAATTTTCTTTGCAATTCTAAATCTCAGGCCTTGCCGCGGCCGCTCAACTCATCAAGGTCGGTCACACTGTCGTTGTCTACGAGAGGAAGAATCGAATCGGCGGTCTTTTGAGGTGAAAACATTCACAAAATGTTCTAAAAGAGAAAAAATAACTTTCAGATACGGTATCCCAACCATGAAGCTGGACAAGTTCGTGGTGGACCGACGAGTTTCACTTCTGGAGCAGGAAGGAGTTCGATTCCTGACCAATACGGAAATCGGAAAACATGTTCCTGCCGATTTCTTGCTGAAGGAAAATGATGCTATTATCCTTTGTACTGGATCTACAACGGCTCGAGATCTCACGGTAACTTATCAACTTTTTTTTCAAATTTGACTCATTCTTTCGGCTTTTAACTTGAGAAGACTAGAAAAACTCAACTGTAGCCTTACTTTGATGGTCGGAACGGTGAATTTTAGGCCGATGAAAGAAATCTAACCCTCTGGATTAGATAGTCCAGTTACAACACATTCAAAGAACTCGAGAATTTTCCATTCCAGGTGGAAGGCCGTGATGCCAAAGGAGTCTGCTTTGCCATGGAGTTCCTGGAGAAGAGTCAAAGACGCCGAGCTGGAGACGAAGTCCTCTGGGAAGGACTGGATCCAGCCAACAAGAAAGTTGTGATCCTTGGAGGTGGTGACACGGCTACAGATTGCATTGCCACCAGCAATCGATTGGTAAAACGTTCCAGAAAACATTGAAAACTTTTATTAAATCTTCAGGGCTGCAAAACGGTGCAAGCCTTCGAGATCCTCCCAATGCCCACAGAGAAGCGGAAAACCGAGAATCCATGGCCGGAATGGCCGTTGATCTTCCGTGTTGACTATGGTCATGAGGAGGCGGTGGAGAAGACTGGCAAAGATCCCAGAACTTACTCTGTTTCGACCAAGGTTTGATTGAATTGATTGTTCAATATTTTTTGGTTTTTTCAGCGCTTCCTCACAAGCACCAACAGCGCCGGCGTCAAGGTTCTGACTGGCTTGGAAATTGTCGATGTTGAGTGGGAGAAGGATGAGAAGGTTGGACCTGAACTAAATTAGTAAACATGGAAGCTCTATAGAAAAATCAAAACTTTTTGGCCGATGTCTAGTTAGTTTGAATCTAGTTTGCTTGAACTTTCAGAGCTTACTTGAAAATTACTTGAATAGCCAATGAGTTCAAAAAACCCTACTTCCCAAATCTTCTAGAACTTCTAATAAGCTTTGCTAATTTTCAAAAAGAAGGTTCAGTTTAGCTTTTGAGAGTTTTGAACTCGTATGTCCTTATAAAAAAATCCATATTTTTCAGGGCGCCTGGAAGCTAGTTGAGAAGATGGATACGCTGCGCACGATCGAATGCGACTTGTGCATTCTGGCTATGGGATTCGTTGGGCCTGAAAAGGTACCTCTTTTTAAGATTTTTCAACTGGTTTATGAGTTCCAGACGGTCATCGAACAGCTGTCGTTGAAATCAGACCCTCGTTCCAACATCTTGACGCCTAAGGACAAATATGATTCTACTGTTGCAAAGGTAGGAGTATAATTCACTGTGACGGTTGAATCTTTTTTTCTCAGGTCTTCGCAGCTGGTGACTGTCGTCGTGGCCAATCTCTTGTTGTTTGGGCTATTCACGAAGGTCGTCAAGCTGCTCGGCAGGTTGGTTCTTGTGGTCTGATCAAAAAATAATATTAAAAAAATCGGGTGAAATGTATTATTACTTAAAGCTGCAAAAAGGCGTCAAAAAAGTTTTTTGATGATTTTTTCAGAAGGTCTAAATTTGCGAAAAACGATTTTCAGAGTACATCGTACTAAAAATTAACAATTTCCGAGCTCAGTAACGGATCAAAGCTTAGTTATGAACAGTTTTGATCCATGTAACTTTAGAAAACCTGTAAATTTTTCGAGAAAAGCCCTACCTTTCCGATAAATTACCTGTCAGAAGGTACAGGAATTTTTCTAGAAAATTCCTTAAGTTTCAAGAGATATTTAGAACTTCATTTCCAGCCTTTCAAAATAATCCGGAAGATCATCAATTTTCAACATGAAGATTCATTCATGCATAATATGATTAAAAGTGATATTTTTCAGGTCGACGAATTCCTCATGGGAAAAACGACTTTGGCTGGTCCTGGTGGAATCGTCACGGCTCCTCTTCAGCATCGAAGCGCGGCGTAAATCTTCTTTTTTCATTTCCCTTGCCCCAAAATGGTCATTATCTATTCTTAGCTATTTTATTTCTATTCGTGTTTCACAATGTTCGCAGCTTGTCACTCGTACGTAGTCGTGTTTTGTTCCTCATATTATTTTTGATCATAGTTATTGCCATAATTTCATAATTTTATTTTTTTATTCGATTTCTTCTGAGACTTGTATAAATTATAATAATGAATAAATGACGAATTTCGAATGTGATCGTGTTAATTTTTCTGCGAAAAACGCATCTACCCTATAAATTGACAGTAAAATGACGTCATTATCCTCAAGCAGAGGTTTGGTTTTTTAATAGGGTCTTCAGAATTCAACACCTCTATTTCTGAAATACGCTTCTGAAGGATGAAAACCTTAGACAAATTTTTTTTTAATCCATAGGAACAAATCTTGATTTTTACTTGAGCTTCCAAAACTGTGCGCTCACATTCCTGACGGACACTTTCGATAAAGGAAAAAAATTACTTTCAAAGAGGCTTTGGCTCAATTCTTACGTTTTGAAAATTATAGAAATTCAAAAACATTTCCCTCGAAAGTTTTATGCAAATAATTTTCACGCTTTCAGTACTAATCTCGATTCCGAAAGCTGACACCAAAACTGAAATATCACATCCATCGTGCTTTTCTGAAGCCCTAGCTTCCCTTGATTTGAAATGACTTTACTTTATCCTTCCTAACCCTAAAAACCCAAAACGATTCTCCCAAAAACAAAATTAATAAGTTTATTGTCAAAATAACATGGGGTGAAAGATACTGGATGAGGGTAAAGTTGAACGGTTACAGCGATTGAGGGGCACAAAAAGCCAGAAAACGTGAAACGGCATAAATAAATGTACAGTTAAACCGCCCGGCAGTCAGTGTCGTTTTGTGGGAGTCGTTTGAGATATTTTCATTATTAGTAAGTTTGGTGGGTAAGGAGGAAGTTAGGCGCGTTCTCCACGGATACGACGGGCGAGCTGGATGTCTTTGGGCATGATGGTGACACGTTTGGCGTGGATGGCGCAAAGGTTGGTGTCTTCGAAAAGTCCGACGAGGTAGGCTTCAGAAGCTTCCTGAAAGGGAATATTGTTAGGACGAGGTTGAAAAAGGATGAAAAGGTACCTGGAGAGCTCCGATAGCAGCAGATTGGAAGCGGAGATCGGTCTTGAAGTCTTGAGCTGAAAAAGGAAGAATTATTTAATTTTTTGTCAAATATGAAATGCTTCTTCATGTGATTATAAGGCGCAAATATCTGATTTTTGAGCATAATCAAGAAATATCAAACTACAAAAAAAGCTCCAATCTTTTTCTAAAGCTTTTTTGAACCGAATGTAGCGGCTGAGAAGCAGAAAAGAAGGCTACAAAATATAAAAGTCGTGAGATCTTTGCTCATTGGCTCGCAAACCTCCATTAGTACAATTTTTCCGCAAACTAGTCGTATTCCGTTTATGGAAAAAAAATCTATTTCCTTTCGAGTTTTAACCCTCAATTATAGAGCTTCTAGTTCATGGAAAAAATCATTTTTCTCGGTTTCTCTCAGCTCACTTGATAGATATTTTTTGATTCCCAACTTATTTACTTTATTTTTTTTATAGTTTCAACTCACCGATTTCACGGACAAGACGTTGGAAAGGAAGCTTGCGGATGAGAAGCTCAGTGGATTTCTGGTAACGACGGATCTCACGGAGAGCAACGGTTCCCGGGCGGTAGCGATGGGGCTTCTTGACGCCTCCAGTCGATGGCGCCGATTTTCTGGCAGCCTGGAATCTCATAACTCATTTTTTCTTTTGAATCACAAAAGTGGAAAATCGGGAAGTCCTAGTGAAGCGGGAAAGTTACCTTGGTGGCGAGCTGCTTGCGGGGAGCCTTTCCTCCGGTAGATTTGCGGGCGGTTTGCTTGGTACGGGCCATATCTAAAGTTATTATTGAATATATATTGATATAAGTTAAAGTAAACAAAGAATGAGACGAGAACGGAGAAATACAAACGGAAAAGGCGTATTTCGAAATATTTTGAAAAAAGTTCTAGAAGGTAGATTATGAAACATTTTTATTGATGTAAGATTACGAAATTTTTGGAGCTCTGATGGGTCTCGATAGCTCTGGACGGAATAGCCTGAGATGCTGGGAAATTAGTTCAAAGATCAAAACTGGTGAAACACTAGCCTCACTACCTCAATAATGAAAGAAGAAAAGTAACCTTAAGTTAGAGTGAAACAAAGCTTTTTATCAGAAGAGTAAAGGAAACGATGAGTGGGACGACTTGAGTCACGTGAATGATCGGCTTGGAGCGACGCCAAATGGCTGCGCGCACAACCGCGACGCACCTCTGAATCGATATTCTCAACGTTTCCTCTTGACTGATTTCTTGCTTGCTCGAGAAATTACATCTGAAGCTTCGAAAAACGGCTCGAAACTGGTAGGGGACACTTGTATAGGCCGTGGAAGCTTAACCTCCAAGTTTCATAGACATTGAAGCTTCTCTTGATCAGATAATCCAATTTCAACTGATTCCGCTCGCATTGGTTTGCGTTGAGATTTTCCTCGCCATTCGTAAAATGGTGCAAAACCAGAGAAAAAGGCACTCTCAATGGGTGCGACGCAAGGAGTCCTCCGCGTCGCGGGGGGCGAGAGACGCAGAGGGAAGAGCGCTCACACACATATATTTCGCAATCGGTTTGGCGTTGTTTTGCATGTGTTTTGAGGACGAAATTTTTAAAATATGAATGAGAGGTAATTAAAAAAAGGAAAGAAGAGTTGAAGTATTGAAATATAATTAAAGTCACTTTGTTGAAATTTAAACAGGGAGGCAAATGAAAGAAAAAAATGAAAAAAAGAGAAAAAGTGAAATTTTTAGGATACTTATTTTTACTATTTTATTATTTCGTTGTCTATCTATGCGGTGAAGGGGTTGAAAAATAGTCTAATATGGGTACCAGTTGATCTAAACAAAAAAACGGATAAAAGATTGGTAGGAAAAATGAAAAATTTTCGATTACAAAATTTTGATGCATTTCCCCCTAAAATTTTTGAGAAAAAGTATGGAGTAGGATAAAATAAACATGAAAAACTCAAATCAAGTTTACGAAATCGGAAAAAAAAGCAAAAAAAAAGAAAAAATTCCATGAAAATGGTTTTCTCGAAATTTGACAATATCGATTCAAAAATGCATTCTCTCACGGAAACTGCAACGAAAATTAAAAAACAATAACTAAAAACCATTCCAGACATTTTTAATTGAAACAGCAAACTGACGGACCCTTGGAAGGCCGCCAAAAAGACCGCTTGGAAGGAGGACAAGACGGCTGACCACCAGTCAATGAAGATGAAAATGAGAAGAGTGGGGGAGCTGTCGGATTGCCTTTCCTAGTAACCTCCGCAGCTTTGGGTCTTGCAACGATTCGACTTTTTGGCGCCAATCCAAGTAGATCACACTTCGCGGCCAATATGTTTTGGACGCATTGGCTGATAAACTTGGTTTTTCGTTCACTGGGATGCAATTTCTACGAGAAACTTTGAGAAAAACGTCAACAAAGTTTAAAAAAAATGAACGACGCGGAAAAAAAATTTCAAAAGAAAAAAACTCCTATCGGTCAATTTGAAAACTTTCCTGGTTGCTGACATACGGGCGTTTTGGTTACTTCGAATTTTAACAAATAAATTTGTTTTTAAAAAGTAATAAACCATGAAAGCATTTTATATTGAAAAAAATCGGTAAAAAAAATTTTTTTTCAAAAATTTTTTTAATCTTTAAAAAGTTTTCGGTTTCAAGTTTTCTGAATTTTTTTCAGGTGAAACATTTTCTTTTCATTTTTTTATCTTATCACAGTTCATAGTCTATCATCTGCATTCCGCAATATTTTTTTCTCGCGTTCAGAGGATTGCAGGGTTGGGAATGAATAATTTCCGGGAACAAGGCATAATATAAAGCTTTAAACTCGTAAAAAAAAAGCAATGAGAAGTTGTTTTTCCGTGAACGAATCTATGTGTCACACAAGAAAATCTGAAAAATTAATTCGGCTGCTTAAAAAAATTGGAAAATGCAAAATTGAAATTTTTTTCATCTGAAAGTGGTCAGAATATTGCTATCATGAAAATTAAAGTTCAAATAAATCTTTTGCAAATAATGAGAAAAGTTACGTCATCTTGAGAAATCAGGACCTTCCTGTTGTTTCGAGCTTTTTTTTATCTACCGCTCGGAACTTTGAAGTTCAGGTTAATTGGTCAAATTTTTCGAGGGAAGTCTCAAAAAAATCGAGCAAATTCTTCACTGAATACTCCTTAGAAACCGTTTAAAAATCGTCAAGAATCGGACGAAGAGAAGACAGACGATCGGATTGAATGCAAAAATCTCAACAAAGACGACTAAATTTTTCAAATTATTAAATTACAAACACAAGTAGTGATGATTGTACAAATATTGATTTATTCACAATCTTGAAAAAGGAGAGTTTCGCAGAAAAAAAGTTCAAAGGAAAGCTCGAAAGCCGACGTGACGACTTTTAGAAAACTGAAACAGTAACGTCATCTATAAGCCAAGCAACTTCCCCTTCAGCAAATTGACCCAGACGAGTCAACTGATTCGCTCAAGAAACACCGCAAAAAGGGGGAACAAGCCACGTATTCTGTATTCGAACGAATCTTTGACGGTTCTCTGCTTGTCGTCGTCAGATCAGCTCCCTATCTGTGAAATACACAATGTTTCGCCGTGTGGACAACTCGTTTGTGTGTCGCCGCAGTTATGGTCTCGTTGTCAGGTCTCCAGAGGCGTTCTCGGTATAAAAGGTCGTCACCGGCGCGTTTTAACGGCAATTTTTTGGTTTTTAGCCTTTTTTAAATGGTTAGGACTTTATTATTTTCTATGATCCAGTTCAAAAAGCTCTCTGCGGCTAACTTAGAAAGAGAAATTGGCTTTTCTAAACTTACAATTTTTATTAGGGAAGCTTTTTCGTGTAGTTTCTTTCAGACAAAACTATTATTTACTTTGAAGACGCTTAGAAATCATTTAGTTGATCTTTCCTTATTTATTTCACACCCTCTATTTCTATATTCAAAAAAATACTGGATCATATCTTCTCTCCCATCTTCATAAATGAAATAACTCACTCGTAATTTTTTAATCCAGTTTCCTGATTCATCGCTTGATTTGATCTCAACTTAGCTTTCCAAAATTTTTAAAAAAGTAATCTGCAGCCATAGAGAACCATGTCATTACGAAGTTGCTGAAAAGTTCAAAACCTAGACCTCGTAAAAAATGAACCGAACCATGTTATTATTAACATACGGATTAGTTCATAAGCTAAACTTTTCCTCGCTTTTATCAAAAACGGTACTTTTCCAACGAAGTTCGAACTTTCATCTTGACTGACTTCACGTGCAGAACCACGATTCTTTCCTAAGAACCGGTTCTCAGGATCCACCGCTTCAGAAACTTTGATTTTTCCGCCTCGTAGGTCCAACTCCCCTTTAAATGTATTTTTCAGGAACTTGGGCTCTTCTCGACTCCAAAATGCTCACCAAGACCTCAGCAGCCTTGCTTTCAACTATCAGAAAAGGTGAGGATTTCGAAAAATCTTTATTCAAAAATGAATATTTTTAGCTTGCGAAGGGAGCACAAGGACTTCTGCGAATGTGTCAGTACGAAAGCCAAGAGTTTTCGAAGGCGGTCATTTTTCGGCAAGACTTGGTGCTTCTCAGCCTTCTTTGGTCATTTTCGACAAAGATGGGACTCTTCTCTGCTTCCATACCATGTGGATCCCTTGGGCTGTTTACACGGCTAAAAAGGTATCCTAATTATTTTTTTTGGGTGAAAAAAATCAAGAACTTCTCTGATTTTTTTGAGAATGGATCTATGCGTGAAAAATTCAAACTAAAAATTATCTTCTCAAATTTGATTTTTTTTCAATACTAGACACATAAACAAAAAGATTAAAACACATTTCACGGTCACTTTACACTTCGCCCCTTACATGGCCAGTCAAGGAAGTTTAAACAAAATGTTGCTAATTGACCTGTTGGTCTCAATTAGAGTGAAGTTCAGGTTTGAAGAAAAAAATGAGACTTTCAACGTCATGGTCGCAGGAGAAAAACGCTTCCGATTTTCAATTTTTTTCAGTTACAATAGACTTTTTAAAAAAGCAAAAGACAACAAAAAAATTAAAAAAACTAATTTAAAGAGCTAAGTGATGCAATTAATCCGCTGAGACTTTTTCTTTTTTTCTTTTTGAAAAAAAGCGGATTTTTTTCTCACTTCTTTTCTCAAGGCGTAAACCATGAATAGTCGGGCGCGGGAACTATTTTTCCAAAACCTGCACAATACTTAGAAAATTCAAAAAATATCAATAAAGGTTGTAATTCATCTCAGAATAACTGTGATTGATATATATTTTTTTTTCTGGGGATCTCGTTTTCAAACTCAGAACAAGTTGACTATTTAATGCTTCATACTTTTTAGAATCGAATCAAGTGTTGGCCTGTCGCTTTTCAAAGACATTTACCGAGTACTCGGCCTGTGCCCCATTGAAAATAAGGTTCTTTCGTACCCCGATTCGAAAAAATATCAATAAGTCCAGGTCAAGCCGGGTTTGCTAGCCGAAGGTACGATGGGCCAGATCACCGCGGAAATCTCCAGTATCTTAACCAAAAATGGTATCCCATCTCTTGAGGTCAGTCAAACTACATTCACTTTGCTGAATTCTTTGAAGAAGAGTTTTTTAGGCAAGACAATTGGTGATTGATAGCATGAAAAACGCCAACGAAAGGTCGGTTTCGCCACAAAATGTCAAGGAAATCTACGACACGTTTGCTTTGTTTACACGGTTGAAGCAATTTGGGACGAAAATTGCAGTATGCACGGCCGACAACAGGTTGGAAATTGAATTTTCTTTCGAAATGACTTTTGGTAATCATTTTTGATAAAATTGAGAACATATCGAATTTTTGAAAATATTTGAAACTTGAGGATATACTGAAAAACTGAAAAAATTGGAGTTCTATTGTACCATTCTGCTTTTAAAAAGCCGAAAAAATAAATCCTACCTTCTGGAGAAAAAAAAACTTAATGAAAAATTCAGAAAAAGCACTCTCCATGCTTTGGAACGGTTACAAGTCAACGATTTGGTGGACTTTTTGGTGTGTGGAGATGATTTGAACACAATTCCAAAGCCTCATCCTCACAACGCCCGGAGGATTTGCGAGTCTCTCGATATTCATCCATCGGTAAGTGGCTCAATTTTCGTCTGATAAAAATAAAGGAACTCAGCCCACAGAGATTAAAAAATTTTTTTTGAATATACATTCATTTTTTTTTCTTGGTTGTCATCGGAGCTTGAAAAAAATTTCTTTCTGAAAATTGGATCTTCAGGAAGCGATTATGGTTGGAGACACTCGTGTGGACATCGAAATGGCGCATTCTGCAGGCCTTGGGGCTGCGGTCGGCGTCCTGTCTGGGGTCGGGTGCAAGCAGCATTTATACAAAGCCGACGTTTTAGTGAGTTTCCATTTTTTGAACTGTTATGTCGGATTTTTTTCAGTTAAACAATGTTGGCGACATCATCGACGCCTTCTACGACAATTATTCATAACATGTTATTTTTTGTTTTTCCCACGGTTTGTACAAAAAATATCAAAAAATGTGCTAAAAAGCAAGTTTTACTAGTGAATTTTCCATTTTCTTTTTCTAATTCAATCACCCTTATTTTAGTTGTTATGAATGATGCAGATCAATAAACGGTGTCGACAGCAACAATGAGTTTATTGTTTCTCAGCAATATATTAGCAAATAATATATGGAATTGGAATCGGAACCATTTACAAGTTGATTATGGAACCAGGGGGTGAGAAGAAATCAAAGAAAAATGAACATTTATGAGTTTTATGACAGCTGGACACAGGGGACGGACGGCACCGATTTCTCGCGCGGTTTCAAACACATTGAACGTAGCTGGCTGGGAACAGGCCAATCTGCAGGATTTTCCGTTAGAAATTGACAAAAAAAATCGAGAAAATATATTTTTTTTCTTTTAACAGGATTATGTTTCTAACCTTCCTAATTTTAATTTTTAGGATAGAAAACTCAGAAGATAGGGTATTGTAAACCTGAGACATTTTGAATATTTCTGGATGTTATCTCAAAAATTTTCTCACCGTTCCATTTTTGCGCCCCGTGCACCAACCGAGAGAATCTGGCTCTGTGAGAACTTCTATCGTTTCACCTTCAAATTTACTTGTATATTAAGCTCTCAGAAGTTTCAAAACCTTTGCGGAGTTGAATCTCATCGCCTTCAAGCGGATTATAATCATAAAGAACTGTGGCCGGTTTGCTGGTCTGGAAATCGTCGAAATCGCCGTATTTTGCCGAATCTGGCGTCGCAGCTGATAAGGGAGGAGAATCGTGAGCTGGTTGGCCTGAAAATATGATCTCAATACTTGTATTCGAAATTTAGAGCACCTCGATCCCAGTTAGTGACCACTTGAGGCGGCTGCTGCATTTTGTACTTGGAAGGGCCAGTTTTCCGGCTGTCGAAGGTGTTGGTGTCAGAATCACTGCTACTCTAAAAATATCTTCTTGAAAGGCTTTAAAATAGTTTTTGATAAACCTTGGGGCTAGTTTTGCCTTGGTCGAAGTTGGTTCCAACAGTAGCCGTTCCAGGAACAGCAGGGATGTCTTCGTTTTTGGTGATTTGCCTCGTGAGAATCACTCCTCCGGAATCCTTTCCGCTACCTTTTGCAGCGATGTTTCGGATCTCCGGTGAGTACTCCTAAATATTTTGAAAGTAATACCATCAGTGCTGGCTTGAAAAGAGGTCAAACCTTCGAAAATATTTACCAAAATAAATTATCACTTTTTAAATTTTTTTTGGATATGATATCCGTTTTTCTCTCCAGTAATTTTACTTCCAACTGCCTCTCTGACCCAAAATCTATCGTTATTTCTGAGACCAGTAAGTTTAAAATTTTTCTGTCGCTTGGAGCAATGTACAAACATCTCAACCACTTTTTTTTTTGCAGCCCTCGATCATTTCAACGATATCTGACGCAACCACATCGTCCAATCTTTGTACCCGAGATGAAAAACAGGGCTTTCAAGGAAATCGGATACTGTATTTTGGGTGACAAAACAACTTGCGGAAAGACATGAACCATAGTTTGGAAATGAAAAATCACAACGGACGTACCACAAAAACAGGCCAGTCGGCGTGGGATTCGACGCCGTTCACCAGGGACCACTGATGCAAGTCTCGTTTCAGAGATTCTGTGTCGGAACCTCTCAAAGTTTGTTCCAACTGCTGATGAAGGCCGGAAATTCTGAAAGTGAAGGATTATCAGAAGATGAGCGCTTTGACTGGAAATTGACTATTATTAATATTTCCTTTTGATTTCAAGCTCATTACTTTCCAAAGATCAAACAACCATCCGCCAAGACAAGAGTAAAACTTTCAAACAATGGTCCAAACTTTTCTCTCCTGCAAACAGACCATACGAGAGAATTAATTTTTGCCCTTTTGTCATCTGTTTTCATGTTATTCTCACAAATCAGAACGAAGATTAATTCTTCTTTCGCTGGTCCAAAATTTATATCATGTGAGAGATAAGAATCTGCAAAAATAACTCACTGATTGTTACGGACAAGATCGGCCAAGAACTGTTGGGTTCCTTTGAAGATTTCGATGAAAAATTGGCATCGTTGAAGTTCCTTCTCCTGGCAAGCTTTGAAGACGTGAGCCATGGCTTCTTCATAGACGCTTCTGGAAAACACTAATTGAAACTCAGAAAAGTGGATACATTCAAAAAATCTCAATTTTCAAAAACGATTTAAGGATATAAAAGCAACATTTATGAGCGCGCCCGACCAGAAACTACTTGCAATTTTTGGCGTTTTGAAATATTTGTCATGAGTTCGACAGCTTGGCTGAAATTGAAACTCGGTTTCTTATGGCCAAAAAACAAAAGCCTGTGACTTTCTGAGCCATTTTGGCGGCTTTGAAAATTTATTAATCACAAAAATTACCTGTACTCGTTAAGTGAGGTAAGAGCCTTCTCATATTCGATCTTCGTCTTCTGGACCTCCTCCTTCATTTTTTCATGCCGCTCGCGGAATTTCGAAGCTCCGTCTTGTGAAACTGAAGTGTCGGCCTGAAATAACTTCTTGGAAAACTTGAATAATGGGATAATAATGTACCTGGCAATTTTGTAAGTTGACTAAAGCAGATTTTTCCTGTCTACAAGCCGAGTAATAAGCCTTCCGTTTGTCGTCCATCTTGTCGTACTTCTTTTTCCATGGCTTTTGTGCCTGAAACAATTTTGTGAGGTTTTCAAGGGCAAAGAAAAAATCTATCGATGTCAAAAACTTAAGAGAAAATGATTTCAAACGCTAATTAGTCAAAAAAAGACCATTTTTTGTCTCTCAGCAAATATTCTGAACATCATTTTGCTGTTTCCAAAAGTTCTTTTTCTTTTTCGCATTGATTTTAAGTTTGGGGGGGGGGGCTTGTAAAAAATTCTGCACTTCTCATTATAATGGCCGGGCTCGTTTTTGTTATTATTTTGGATATCAAATAAAAAATTCATTTTTTTTTCTTTATCAGCCTGATCGTATCGAAAAAATCTAAAAATTTTCTTCAGAACCATTTTGCACAAGGGCCGTTTCTAGCGACTGAAGCCTAAGCCTCAAGGCACACCACTTTACGCGAACTCGCTCGTACACCTGCGGAGACCGCAATGCAACGATAAGACAGCGCGAGCCGCTGGAAATTGCATTCTGGGCTCCGGGCATCTCATATACAAACAGTCAGCTTCTGCTTTTCCTATTTGCCATACTAATGGCGTTGTTTAATGGTTTAAATAGAGAATGCTCTGAAAATATAAGTTCAAAAGCTTTTCAGGCCGTTCAGGGGATATTTTAATAATGAGAAAAATCTTAAATTTTCAAAGGAAAAATTGAAAAAAACATGCTCAAAAAGTTTGTTGTCACTTTTTCAGTAAAAATAATTGTGAGGAAAAACTCGAATGATCAGGAGGAGATTTTTAAAGGACTATCTTTTTTTAGATCACCATAAGTTATTTGAGCCTGACCTTCTCAAATCCATCTTCGATCTCCCGAATCTCCTTTGGTCCTTTTAAAATCGAAGTGTGCAGGTTGTTCTTCCGGTACTCGGCGGTCTCTCTGACGATCTGAAATCGATCAATTTTTAATTTTTCGCGGGCTCTCAGGGTTTTACCGTGTTAACCAGTTGATCTTTGACATTATTATGGATTTTCGAAAGAGTAGAAGCTTCGCCGACCAAGTCATTCCAAACAGTTTTGACCGTTCCGGCAGGAATCGTCCGATCCACCTGAAATTCATGAAAAAATCAGAATTTTAAATACTAAGTTTTAGGTTAATTTTGGCTTGTCTTATTCATCATGGTCGTAAGTGGAATGACGTTGAACATAAATTCAAACAGCTTCTCTAGATACTTTGAATGAGTTCATGCGCAAATCGTTTCAAGTCGCTTGCACTTCAAAAAGCGGAGCTTCCAGGAAAATTTTTTTACATGATCTCACGGCCTCTAGATGTTCGAGAAATTGAATATGAGATAAAATCTGACATAGGACCGCCATTTTTCCGAATGTTGCTGCAACATTTTGGTGTATTTGGCCTCGATTTCTGCCCGTTCCCGCACCATTTTCGCATACTCGTCCAGCTGGTCGATGCCATCCTGAATGATACTTCTATTGAAAATGATCGAAATGCGTTGGTTTTTTCAGTTTCTGATAACTTAGAAAAAAAAAGTTATGAGTCAGAAGATCAGCAGTTCAGTCTTTTCAATAAGATAAGAGCCCCGACGGAGATGATTCACGAAATTTTTTCTATTTTGTTATTCCGAGAAAATTGAAGAGCTCTCAAAGATTGTTAACTTGACAATGAGTCAGAAAAACCAACAGTTGGCATTTTTTTATCTAATCTAATATAAAAATAAAAAAAGCAGACTTATGGAAAAAAATATTATCTTAACATTGCTATCCGGTCATTTGATCATTCATTTTCATGAAAAACTTTTTTTGACGGTTCATAATTTTTTTCAGTGATGCAAATTTTTCAATACCTAAGAGAAAGTTTAAAAAAATACTCGAGCCCACAAATCTTAAAGTTGGAGAAAAATGCAGAGCTTTTTTTGAATTTTTTTATCTAACATCATAGCATCAATTCAAATTGAAATGTCAAAAAAATTTCTCCACTCATGTCACTTTTTTTAACCCACAAAAAAACTCGAAAGAAATCACCTTGATCCTGCGAACGTTATGTTTGTAGTGGCCGATCTCCCAGAAGCCGGGGGATAGGACGTCGGCCGCCATGCTGGAAGTTGAGCTCATTGTAGGAGAAATCTTATTCAGTATGGTAGGGGTTCTTATCGCGACACGTAACGGCCAAGGAATTCACCTTACTGTTGATAAGAAGTGCAACGTTGAGTTTATCACTTCAAGAGATCAATAACTAGTCTGACTGTTTAGTTGGATCTGGGAAGTTCCAAACAAGAAATAAATAAACTTGATGAACAAGTTTGAAGAGCAAGGTTCTAGAAAAATTGTGAAACCTTTCGTCACCTAAATTTGAGAAGAAAGATTCAAAAAAAATCAAATATAATTTTTCCATGATGTTCTTCTTATGTTGAACGAGAAATGGCTTCAAATTACTATGAATTCGGATTGTGAACTTGTGCAGAAATCATGTGGAACAGAAGAACACCTTAATTGAAGCTGGAAGAGCTCATATTTCCTTGGTTTTTTTGCCCCGCATGATTGAAGATCACGTTTAGAAATTAAAAAAAGACATAGCATGGTTTCAATGAAAAATAAGTAATAGAAAATTCAAATAGAAAGTTTTTTTCCATTTCTCTCGGGGGTCAGAAAGCTACGAATCTTCTGGATAACTTTGTAACGGAAAAACTTTTAAAACATTTTTTTTTATTCATCCAGACATCAAATAATTTCAACAGAGCCGTTGGTTTTTCTGACTTCTGAAAATGAAATTTTATCCTAAACTAATTTATAACAATCTCAAACAGGCACTCGAGTTGAAAAAAAGATTCAACTTTAAATCTAGCCGACAAGTTACATCCTCTCTCTAAAAACAAGTGATCCAAGCATCTCTGAAAACTAGTTTTCCTGAACTATCACATTATCAACCACTTGGTATTGCTTTCAGACATACACTCCATTAAAAAAGGCGTCAGAACACTAAGTGAAGCTCCGAAACCGCGCAGAAAAAAGGGGTTTCCGGTGACGCGGACGAGGTGGACAATGGCTTGGGGAAGGGACGACGGACAAGCGACAACGGCTTTTCCTGACAAAACACAAGAAACGATCGGGAAAAACCTCAGCAAAAAGGAGGCACTTCAAGCGTCATGGGCTACACTTTCGAATTCGATTCGTTGGGCCCTGACGCCGAAAGCAATCACTTCACCAAATACACGCTTGCAAAACGCGTTCCAGAGCTCATTTGAGACATTTTTCGCCACGCCGCTGGTCCGCCGAGGGACAAACGTACAAATGGGCTTCCTCATCTCAAGTGGCTTATGAAGCCGCAGTTTTGAACGATATGCATCGAGATGGGTTTGTGAGATTAGGATTCGAAAGTTTAGGAAATGATGAAAGCGAGGAGATTTTGTTTTTTTCTTTTCAAGACATGTTCATTGAGAAAGGATACTCGATTTGAGCTTAGTTTTTGTAGATATACTCGTTAAAGTCTCCTAAAAACCTCCTCAAACCAAAAATGGGATGAATTTGACATATTTGCAAAATTTAGATCAAGGAAACTGAAAAAAAGTTCATTGTTTACTCAAAGACTATTGCGAAGCCCTCCTAAACCAAAACTTTGCTCGCACTTTCAAAATTATAAGAAATTATGACTTTTGAAGTATCCTGATGGTAACTTGTTGGAAATTTTCTTTGTAGAAAGTTGCTGAAATTTTTTTGTTTTTTTAAGAATCAAAAAAAGTAAATGCAGGGCGTTTCTTAATCTAAAAAAATCTTTAAAAAAATCAGAAAAAAATCACCAGAAAGCGCTGAATTTCTATGTGAAATTGTAGGAGATGTCACGCGATTGCAAAAGATAAAACTGTGGAGAAAACAAAACAATATCTTTTTGTATCGAAAGGTCTTTCAATTTTCCCCAACCAATGATAAGAAAAGTATCAATCCTCAAGAGCAGGGTGAAGAATATGAAAGGGGTATGTTTACTGAAAAAAAGCAAGAAGAAAGTAGAGAAAAGAAAAAAAAAGATCAAAACCATGAATCGAATTTGAAAAGAGCCCCCTGCAGTGGCGGTATTGTCAGTTGCACTATGGCGGAGGCGGACGACGATCAAAAGGCGGCTGGGCAAATACGAGCCGGAATACAGTTACCGGCACATCTCATATCCAAAAAAGTTATCCTGATTTTGTAAGAACACCGAAAAGCCTTGAATTTAACAATTTGAGTGAGAGGAAAAAAATTTTGAGAAAAATCTCATCAAAAATTTTAATAACATAATTTTCAACATGAAGAACATATGAAACAGGCATTTGGAAAAATAAACCAAGCTTGAAACTTTTAAAACCGTTTTCTGGCTAAGATTCAAAAAAATGTTTTTTCGTTCTCGAAAGTTTCTTAGGATTACATAAGAAGCAAGAAAAAGTTGGGAATGGCGCGAAGCTTGATTTTTGGTGTCTTCTGAACCTTTTTCACACTTTCACAGACCCTGATAAGATAATTGGACAGCCACTTTGAGCTTCAGCTTTTCAAATCAACTTTTTATAAGCTGAATAAACTCGTTTCGGGACTAACTCCTCAACTCTTTACAACAAGAAAAAAACAAGAAAAAGCTCGAAATCTTTAAAAAGAACAAATCAAACAAAAATAGAAGGAACTGAAGCAGGCAGTGACCACTCGAAGAATCTGAGCACTCAGAGCGTAGCGGCTAACGCGCGCTAAGAAGCGCTACACGTGTTTATTGTTCCGACGACCGTCGACCCACGTGAGACGGGCGTTGAGCCGCGAGAGGTCGGATGAACAAGTTAGTCAAAAAAGGTCAAAAACAATAGCGGGCCGAGGAAGAAAAGAGTCTAGTTGGAAAATCTTTGTGTCACGGTGAGCCTTGTTTTTTCGATCTTCAAGACTTGGGGGCTTGGCGGCCATACTTTTTTCCGTTTCTCAAGAGTTTGAAAAACCCTGAAATACTTTTATCCATTATTCTGCTCAAAAAAATAAGTAAAATTTCTCATGAAATTCGTCTTTTTGATCAAAAAAATACCTTATCAGACAACCCATTATTTTCTTAGAACTACAGAGGGAAGCTCCAATTTTTTGTTTTTTTGAAAAATGAGTGCTAATTGAACTAATTGAACTTTGAAACAGTGATTATATCTTCCTCTTCTTCAATTGAGGCACGGAACGACTCAAGAAGATCCTGAGTTCTAGAAAAAAAAACACACGGTACTAGCTCTAGTTTTGAATAAATATCATACGAATTTATATATGAACCTTTCTACAAATACTCCGACTCTTTTTTTCTGCATAATCATATGATTTTTTTGCTGGATATCAGGGAAAAACAAGTGATACTGTAACTCTCAGAACAAAGTTCTTTTTTATTTTCTCTACCGCCATCTGGCCGCCCTTAAAATAACACAGTTTCACCGCGAAACTAGCTAATTCCGAGCAAAACAACACAGCTGAACGCAAACCCTCAAGACGAGCCCGAGGATCTCGCGAGAAAAAGCAAACACCAAAAACATACAAGCACGCGCGAACCGAAAACAATGATTCGAGTCGTAGATTGGCGGGTTGAAAAACGGACAAAAAAGAAGGAGAAGAAGGTGGAGAAGACAGCAGTCGGACGGTCGGCTGGACAGCGGATAATCTGCGCGGAAAGCAAGAGTTAAGACTCCGACTCCGAGCTCAAACAGTGTTCGGCGCGTTTCTCACGAATGTCCAGCTGTTTGGGAGGAAATTAACTAGGAAATAGGAAGAAGCTCATTGTAAATAAACTTTGAGCTCATTTTTTCTCCATCTTGCCTTGCATCTTTTGCGCTCTAAGTGGAAAAGAAAGTTCGTTTTTTTGGTAAGTTTTGAAAGAATCCTGCAATCATTGTAGTTTTGGCTCCACCGGGCCTTACAAGGGAGGTAATTTCACTCTGGAAATTTTCCTGCAAAACGGCCAAAACACTCTCTGATGTACCAGAACAAGATTCTGGAGTCTCTTTTTGGGAAAAGACGCCTCAAAGTCAAAGAAACCCCTCAAAAACCATTAAAATAGGCTGTTTTGAGGCGATAGGCCCTTATTTCTCTAAAACTGGTAAATTGTGCATGTTGAGTTTTGGGATCTTCATCTGATACTTAAAAAAATTGCCTGGCCACTTATTTTAATTACAAAAAAATATAATAACCTCCCCTGTTAAACCTTTAAAAAAAGCTGCGAAAACCGTACAACCTGAAACTAAAAGGATTTGCCAACCTAGTGATATCAACAGCACTTCAAAACAGAACCGAAAAACAAAAAAATGTTGTTTTTGTTCATTAAGGCTTGATAATGAAAAAATTTGAGCGGAAAACTGAAATAAACCAATCTATGATGAAATAGTAGGTTAAATTACAGATCACTACTTTCTATTTGAGGCTGAACAGTAGAAAATTGATCTTGCCCACTCAAGGGTCCATTGACCTTGCGCGAGGATTTGGAGCGGTGAAAAACAGAAATGAGACGAAAAATCAGTTTTTGTAATTGCTTTTGGCTGAAAATTGATAAAAAACTGTCATTAACCGTTTTTTGTTTGATAAATGCTGAAAATCTTCGACTATTTATCTGAAAATTAGAGTATAGCGTACAGTCAAGGAGAGAAAACAGCGCGACGAAGTCAATTCGTGGAACGAAATGCAGAAATAAATAGGACAATATCGGCGTGATGACAACAGATATTGGGACACATACACATAAGAACACATAGGCGGCTGCCAAGACACTTGGAGGTCATCCAAGTGTTTCATGCGGAATATCCAAATGAGACACCAAATAGGTGTTCCTCTGGAAATTATCTTTATTCATCGTCTGATTGAAATTTTTTTCTTGACCAGGGAATTTTATTATGACAAAAAAAGTTATTCTGAGCATTCAAAGCGTCCTAACTCAAAAACGAGATCTATTGCAAGAGATTCTCTACTTGTTCTGGAATCAAGAGGTCCCAAATGTTACCTAGTGAGGTTTTTAGGGCACTTCAGCACTTGAAAGACTAGAGTGTGGGATTTTTGGAGTTTCTTTCAAAAACTGTACCATTCAATAGTTGATCTACCATTCTCGAAGAACAAAAAGAGATGGAGGCGAATTTCAAACAGAAAAGTCTTCTAATTTTTTTTAAGTTTAAAAACTTCTGCGCCTCAGAAATACCAAAAACCCTGTTCTATGTTAAAAATGTGGACTTTCAAAAGAAGAATACTTCACTGTTGTCTTGAGTCAATAAAGAAGCCTCTACCTTTTCCGGTGCATTTTTTGGTAGTCGTAATCATACTATAAATCAGGCACGGCGTAGCGCAATAGATTAAGTTCTTTTCTAAGGTCGGAAGGGTCACAAGTTCGATCCCCTCCGAGAGCAAAGGTTTCCAGAAATGTTGGTAGAGGGATTACCACGGTTTCCTAGTTCCCAGCATCTCACACAAGGACCGATTTGTCACTTGAGCCGGTCCATTTATCTTCACTGATTGCAGGATGGGACCTCGGCTAATCAACTTGGATCGTTAACGCCTCTCACCCGGTACAAAGGGAAAAAAAGCAGGAGTAATTTAAAGAAAATGTTAAGCCAGCGGTGAAAGGACTGCACCAGGCTCTGAAATAGACCAAAAATGATCCGAGTTCTTTCTGGACCGCCTCTATTTACATTCTTTTACCTGCCCGCCCACCTTCTTTTGTAATTGCCGATTGTTAACCTCATATCATGCCTTTTATGGTGGTCCGTGTGAAACCGCCCTTTTGAGCGCCGCTCAGTTGGTTTTTCCACTGGATGCACAATTTTAAACTTACGCAATCTTATGGACCGCGCTTTTTTGTAGGCACCGCTTTTTACTATCAGCATGAGCCATTAATTTCTGAGCTGTTTTTTTGGGAAAGAAAGATTTTATGGCCGATTTGAAAAGTAGTTTGCAGGGTCTATACAGTTGCAAAGTTTTGAGTTTACTCACTAAAGGGTGAAAAAGGTGTTCATCGAATTTCTCCGGAGTGAAATATTCAGAAAACTAAAAGTCTTAGAGCTTTTGTATTTTTTTAGCTTGAATTGGAAAGAAAGAATCCGATTGAAAACCATAAAACTTTTGCAATCGAAAGGTAACTTAGGAAATTTGCAATTAAAGGAAAAAATTTGCATATTTTTAAGTTTCTAGTTGTCAGGATTACCCGGAAACTTTGAGAATATAGTCTGTGGGCCACGAATTGAAATTTCACGGAACGACATTCCGCTGTTCCGCTGAGCGCGTTTGCGAAGCGTCTTTCGAATCTAGGCCGCGCTTCCAAGTGTTTGTTATTGCTGTGGGAGCACATGAAGGTAGAGTACCTTAATAAAATTTTAAAAAAATTAAAAGCGCGGCCAAGGTTCGCAAAGGCGCGCAGCGGCACAGCGGAATGTCGTTTGGTGAAATTCCAAGCCGTGGTACACAGCCTATAATGGTAAGTCTTTTTTGAAGCCTACCTAACAAGTTTCAGAATCAAGTTCATCAGAAAAAAAAAACACTTTAAACAAGGAAAATTAAGCAAGAAAATACCCCTTATCAACTCAACTTTCACTTAAAACAAATTTTTTCGTTTTTTTTCCACTCAAACGCGTTTGAAAACAGTGTAAGAAATTAGAATACCAAAAAAAAAACCTTACCAAAACGGTGGTAAAAGACCAAAACAATGGGTTGGGCCGGTTGAAAATTCGAACGAATAGGATTGGCGCGTAAATGGGAATTTGAAATGGCGGCGCGGTGAGTCAGATGGAATGGTCGTCGACATTTTGCGTATATGTTGATGAATATTTTGACGCGATGCTGTTTTGACGTGTGAATTTGGGATTTGATTTTGGTGGAGTAGGCGAAAAGCTGCTTATTTCGGATTTGATCAGGCAATTAGGTGTAATGATTTTGATAATCTGATAATTCTTGCTTCGGCTGTCATTCGATGGGAAATTGCCTTCCTCCAAAAATCTTTCCCCCGAAAAATATTCGTAGAAAATTTGGGGATGCTTTAAGTATTTTTTTTTCAAAGTGGTGTTGTTAATTTCAAAAAAATGAGGAAAATCCAAACAGAGTTATTTCTTTCTTGAACGCCTGCAAAAAATATCGTACAAGTCTAAAAAAGTTTTCGGGAAGAATTTCAAGTAAAAAACCTTTCTAAGAGATCCTAGGACATTTTGAAAGTAATTGGAGAATTCCATTTTTCGGATGGAAGATGATCAGACTTATTTTCATCTCAAAAACCCGAAAAAATTGCAGAAGTCAACCTTTAATTTTATCAATTTCATCAGCGTCAGCATGATTTCCACTCAAAATTTAAATTTATTGTTTCGAGTCAATAATGATTTCAGTTGATAAGCTCAAAAGTCAACAACGTGTCATCATGAAACGGAAAAAATTAAATCAGCAACCGGTTTTTGTAGAACAAGAATTATTTATGTGGCTCATTTCTAACCTGAAAAAATTGAGAAAGTTACAAAAGTGTAATATCAAAGATAGAACATTCAAGGGATGAATTGAACAAAAATTTATGATTTAACAAACCTAAAAAAACACGAATTTTTCCATTGAGAAATAACATTCTGTTTTAATTTTTTTCCAATCTTACTTCCCAAAAACAAAGGATTTTTTTCGACTCTTCCTTGTTAAAAATTTTTTTGAGCTCTGATAATGTCCAGCAAGCGTTTTTTTGAACAGGAATTTATTTCAACGGGTCCATGCTGCCCATGAAATTTGTGGCAACGACAGTTTCCACCAACCATTCCCTTCTATTTTTCAAAATACTTTTTGTAACTTCGAAAGCGCGAATTTTCGGTTCTTTAACACTTTTAAAGTAAAAATAACAAACATTTTTTATTCCGCATTTCTGGGTACACAGTAAACTATTTTCAGACCTCACGGTCCCCAAAACGACCGTAATAATTCCTACCAAAGGCTGAATAAACCTCCACCAATTTTTCCTATTTTTTTTCTTTTTTTCCTTCTTTAAAAACATTAAGAAAAAGCTCACCAAGGACAGCAGCATGCACACATTGTGTACTGAAGTCGTGTCTGACGATTAGCGCGGGAACTTTAGGAACGAATGAAAACGGAGTACTCGCGCGCGCGGCATAAAGCGGAACGCTGTTGACATTCAGATAAGCGATTGATCGCATGATCGGTACTTACTCTTCAAATATTAAAACTTTTCCTGAATTTTGACGTTTTCTTGTTCATGAACTTGTATTCAAATCGAAAAAAAACATCATATTATTCATCCGACGTTAGCGCGATGTCGCACGCGACATAGCATTTTCGACTCAAAGTTTACGAGTACTATCTGGTCGATTTCTGACTGAGACTAGGGTCACTTGATGTGGCTTCTTTTTGGAAAAAATTTTTTTTTGGGGACCGTGAGGTCTGAAAATAGTTTACTGTGTACCCAGAAATGCGGAATAAAAAAATGTTTGTTATTTTTTTACTTTAAAAAGTGTTAAAGAACCGAAAATTCGCGCTTTCGAAGTTACAAAAAGTATTTTGAAAAATAGAAGGGAATGGTTGGTGGAAACTGTCGTTGCCACAAATTTCATGGGCAGCATGGACCCGTTGAAATAAATTCCTGTTCAAAAACGCTTGCTGGACATTATCAGAGCTCAAAAATTTTAACAAGGAAGAGTCGAAAAATCCTTTGTTTTGGGAAGTAAAAAAAAAGATTGGAAAAAATTAAAACAGAATGTTATTTCTCAATGGAAAATTCGTGTTTTTTAGGTTTGTTAAATCATAAATTTTGTTCAATTCATCCCTTGAATGTTCTATCTTTGATATTACACTTTTTGTAACTTTCTCAATTTTTTTCAGGTTAGAAATGAGCCACATAAATAATTCTTGTTCTACAAAAACCGGTTGCTGATTTAATTTTTTCCGTTTCATGATAACACGTTGTTGACTTTTTGAGCTTATCAACTGAAATCATTATTGACTCGAAACAATAAATTTAAATTTTTGAGTTTTGAGATTCAAACCGTTAAAAAATAATCGAATAGTTCGTATTTCCGAAAATTTCTGATGCTTTTTCAACATTTATTTGAAAACTTCCCCCACAGCCGAAAGCAAACTTCGGCCCCAGAGCAAGAAAAAAAGAGAAAAAAAAAGCGAAACTAGTTGGAACAACCTTTGTAAGTCCAAATTTTTTCACAGTTGTTCTTTAGGCTCTCGACTTTTTTATGCATTGTAAAATGCATGAAAACAAGCCATCAGAATAACTGGCTTGTTGTCTAACTTCAGTCTGACTAGTCGAAAATCAGATGAAAAAAATGGATACCAAAAAATGCCATGAAAAAAGGCCTACAGCTTTCCTTCAATTTCGATTAATATAATACTCTCAAAATTTTATTACTCAACTAAGACGTCAATAGAGCAAAGTTGATTACCTTTTTCAGCCAATGCGATTTCCGGGACCAATTTATTTTTTTTTTGGCGGAGATCAGAAGTAACTCCAGTTACCCAGCAAATTGATACAGTAATTGTGCTAAAATTGCGCTCAGGTTAAAGTAAGCGGAAGGAAGAAACAATTTTTGTGAAGACAAAAAAGAGAAATTTCCAATAAGTTCAAGACAAGAATGACAGGAGCCTCTTAAGTCGAGGTCTTCGGAATGAAAAAAAGCTCCCAGAAGTCGTAGGAATCTTCAGTTTCAGGTGACAGGCAACCAATAAAATAATTTTTAAAACTGAGTATAAATACTAAATTGAAAAACTTCAGCTCACTTATCTTTTAAAAATTTTCAGAGATGTAACAAAAGATGAATGAATTTTTTTTTCTGTAAGTTCAAAACAAGATTTGGCTTTTTCTAGTACAGATAAAATGGGATAGAATATTCAAAACATAATGAGAAGAGAGGAATTTCCAATAAAACTTCCATACAAGGATGACAAGGGCCTCCCACGTCGGAGGCTTCGGAATGGAAGAAAATCGCGTGAAAGTGCGTGTTTCTGTGAATGGTGAATTGAGGTAGACGTTTTGCCGTCGCCGCAAAAAAAAACCAGGAGGAAGGCCTAGAAGATTTAAACGCAAAAGCTTGTTAGGCATCCGCTGCCACTTTGGCCTGCGCCCGCCAACTTTGACGCTTCCTGTGAGAAACGGCGACTACTTGTCCGATCGTGTCGTTTTCACACCATTTCATTTATGAATTCCTTTTTTTCTTAGAGATCGTGGCTTTCATGCTTAAGCACTTCAAGGTTTCGCTAGACCTGGATAACAACCATTGGAATGGGGAAGAACTTGAGAAACGTCATACTTCGACAATGTTCAAGATCTATGATTTTTTATAACTCAAGAGCTTTCGTGGCGTTTCTAAACACTGAGAACTTCAAAAATACTGTACCGTTATATTTCAAGCTTATTAATGGAGCCAACAGCGTTATCCAGATGCTTAATAACAATATTCATTTTCTGAACAAAGACGGTCAATCAAAATTCTTATTCAGTAGTATTCCTACTAAAATTTCAAAATCAGATTTTTTGATCTTTTTGCAAAGACGTCATCAGGACTTCTTAAAAAAGAGATCTGAAACTTAAGAAAATCTAAAAAGTCCATAAAGTTCAGATTTCTGAAAGGATCACTCGAATAGGAACCAGACGGCAAGTGACGCAACAAGTCGCAAATTGCATCTCCAACAGAACGCCAGAACACACTGCCTACATATACAGGTTGAGTGAGAGGAGAACGAGGGTCAATTAAGTACGAAAAGACTTCCGACAAAGTAAAGCCTTTGAGAAAAACGAATGAAGGAAAAAATATGTGAAAATGAGAAAAAAGTTCAGTTCAAGTTCAGTCCAAGTCCTCAAGAAAAAAAAATTGACTTTGAGTTTGTAAAAAAGAATGAGCTGTAAAACAGTAGAGTAATTTTTGAATAAACTTCAAAGCTTAATTTCACTAATTGGAAGGTCCGTAGAGCGGAAAAATGAAATTACTGAGCTGAAACAGTAAATCAATTTAAAAAAGAACTGAGAGACGTTTTTTGATCTTCCCCTAAATTTCTCATCTAAGAAAAGAGTACAGAAAAAAACTGAAAAGAATGCTTTCTTGAAAACGGAGACTTCCTCAATTTGAGAATCCGTCTAATCAAAGCTCCTCAGCATCCAACTTTGAGCAAAAAAACGAAAAAAGATGGTTTTCTTACTTGAGTTTTGTTGCCAAAGTTTGGGAATGAACGGAAAAAATGAATCTAGCTTCAATTTTTCGAGGAGAAGGAACAAAATTGCTCCCATTTCCTGAGAAAGAAAAGGAACTTTGCAATTATATAGAACAGCAAGAGTCATTAATCAAATTAAATAAGAAGGTGCACCGAGAAAAAAATGTGTTCTCGTGAAAATTGCTGCCTTTTTGCTAGCAAAAAAATAATGAAGAAGGTTTAATTTTTTAGTGTCTCGAAAGAAAGGTTTTTTTAGGTTTTTTTCGTTTATCGTAAAAAAATATTGAGCTTAGAGTTGACTAAAAAAATAAACAAAAAAAGTTTTGTGACGTTTCGGAATCTTAATGAAAAAGTTACTTTCCATAGACTTGCTTAAAAATTCAAAAATGCAGACGGAAGATAATTTCTGAATGAACTCTGAACACTTCTTCAAATGATAAGGAACAAATTTATAAGTTTTCTGGGTATCTGCAGCATAAAAACAAGAAAAGTGATTACCCAATTTGGGTGAGAAAAAAAATTGAGAGCAATCGGTTTTCTTCGTGAGATATTAAAACAGCAATGTGATTTATGCGTGAGTAACTGGGCAATTTTTTTCTACTTTTCAGGCTTACTGAAGTCTTTCACTATGTAAAATGTGTTCATTTTCCGCTTCAAAGTCCAAAAAACTTAAGCTTTCTCCATGCAAAAAGAGGAAATTTTTTCTGGCTCGACCCGAAGTTTGGCGTCTTAGAAAGAACTGCGGGCGCTCCCGAGCAGACTACATACACTGCCACTCGGTTGTGAATTACTTTTTTATTGAATAAGGACAGTTTTGAGAGGGAAAATAGGGTAGTAGTAATGAAATTTAGTACGCGGAACATATCGAGAGGAAACAACAAACATCGCAAGTTTTGGAGGAGGATGGTCAGTGCGATTCGTGTGTGTTGCGGGTTAAGCAGCCGTAGTCCGCCTCCTTTCCTTCCAACGCCATTTTCGATGAGCATTGTTTGAGAGGAAGCTAGCGAGGGGATAGAACTTGAACTTGACGAAAGATTGGAGTTCTGAAAAGAATTCACGGGTTTTCGTGTCCGTTTTTGTTCGCTTGTAGGAAAAGCACAAATGGAAGTTAGAACTGCAGAATATTCGGAAAGTTGGTGGAAAAGTCCATGGAACATTGTAATTAATGGTATCAGCCGAAGACCTTAAATAGTCTAGAAAATGACCTAAAAAATGTTGATACCAAAAAAAATCAGAATTCTTTTTAAAATTCAACATTGAAGGTCAGTTGCCTCAGAGCCACAGAATATTCGGTAAATTGACAAAAAGCCTTGGAATACTGAAGCTAACAGTGTCACCAACTTGTTAACTGGAGAACTTAGAAAAAAAAAACGGCTAACATGAGCAATAAGAGTCACTAAAAATGATCTTGCCGCAGATGAAAAATAGCGTGCAGAAACCATTAATTCTTCCAAATTTTCAAAATATATTCACAAACATATCATCGTCATAATTCAAATAGTCCAAGAACCCAACAAAAAACCAGGTACTTGAATCGCCGGTTCCATCAATTACAAAAAGAGGTTGGTTTTTTTTCCATTGAGGGAAAATAGCTAATTGCTGCGTTCCCTTTCGTTAGCGAAAACGTCCAAGACGTTTCCAGAACCCCTTCATTTACATTGATATCAAGAAATTTTGGGTTTTGAGAAGGGAATATTTTATTGAGAACAAATTTTAACGTGGTATTTTTTCTGAAGGGCTTTTATCAGCCAAAAAAAGGAAATTTTCAGCCAAAAACCCTGTTATCCATTCAGTCATTGCCCCTTGAAACATATTCTCCTTGAATTTCGTGTTTTTCCGTGAGAAACACCATAAAAAAGAGATTTTCTGGTTAACAGATTGTTTATTCTACACCGAAGATGAATTAATAATAGATGCATGAAAATGATGGAATTGCATAGTTAATTGTCGAGAGGCTAATTACAATGATAAATATTTAAATAATCAAGAAATGCGACTATCATTTCGAAACTGAATGGTTCGACAGTGAGAGATAGGGATATAAATTGATTAATAACTACCAGAGTTCTTATTTTAGTATCCCTAAAATCGGATTTCACGTTTTTAGTAGCATATAACAGGAAGAATGATAATAGTAAATTTACCGCTAATTTGGAAAAAAACGGTTATATTTTTGCAAGCTCAAAGCGCGAAAAATTAAATTTTGAACAATTATTTTTTTTCCAAATCAGCGATGAATTTTATATATCAAATAGGAATTATAAGAAGTTACAGGAGCTGCTGTTAATCTACCGGTTGTTTGGGAAAAAGCTACAGGTAAAACGGTCAACCCTCAAGAAATAGAAAAAAATAATAGGAAAGAAAAAAACAGCCAAAGTATTCAAAAAAATCACTCATATTTATAGCAATAAAGGAAACAGAGAACAGTTATGACGTCTAAAAAAATCAACGATGAAGTTTGGGAATCTATAATATGAGAAACAAGGGGTTGAAGTAATAAATTATATCAGTTTTGGGTAACTTTTTGAAAAACATAGAAGAAAAATTCCAATTTCCACAGAAGCTAATAGGCGCATACCTAAGCACTTATAACTTGGATAAAACAATTCGAAATTTTTTTGGGTTTTTCTGTATTTTTTTCGCAATTATGCCAATAGGAAAAAAATTCAATAGCATAAACAATAACTAATCGATATTTGTAATGTACAACAGAGTTCCCTGGTTAGGAAGGTGAGTAAAAAACCGTGGAATAGTCAAGTCTGGGATCATGATATAACACTAACACACTTGAGAAGAGATAAATCACGTTTTTGTAGTTTTAAAATTTGCTATAACACAGAGAATAAGAGATTTTGGCCTTTTTGAAGAAGAGTCCATTTACTGTCCCTTCGGGAAATGGAGGATTTTTGACAAAAAGTAAAAAAATGTGGATGAACTGCCCAAGAATAAAATCATATTTACAATTTCAAGGTTTTGGAACGTCTGATTTTTGAAAAATGGCTCAGTTTGTTGCAGTTGTTTTTCGGCTGTAATCAAGTTTTTTTTTTCAAGATGCCGGACCAGAAACTACTTACGCCTGGAGGTATCTCGAAGCATATGGCCGAGCGCACAACATTTTCTAACATCAACAGCAACAATTTGAACCATATTTCAAAAAATCAAAAAAAAATCAATTTCGAAGCGTAATTAAATCACAAGTCCTAATTAAAAATCGAATATCCAGCAAAAAAAAGATATAAGATGAAAAATCAAAATAAGTTGTCGCAATCAAGCTTCTTGGCAACCTAATCACAAAGGAACAGCGAAATTTACAATTCTTTCCGGTAGCAATGGCAATATTTACAGGTACAAATTTGAAAAATCAAGTAAGGGAAAACGCATAGAAATTGATAGATATTAGGTGGGATTTTTACAGAGAGTGAAAGATATTAATTAGGAATTAGGGATTTAATTGGCGCAAAGAGGACAAGCCGAAGGAATATCGGAGCTCGAGCGAGAGCGGTCCCTGCCGCATCTCGCGCAAGCCGGAGCTTCGGTGTCACAGTCGTTCTGAAACAGGGATTTCATCTAGAATTTTTCATGTTTTGTGATTTTGAGCTTGATTGTGAATTTACAGTGAGCTTGAAAAATAAACTCTTGAATTTTGAAAAATAGTATGAAATCTCCATTTTTTTTTTGAGATGCCGTTTTTCTGTTTCTTCACAAGTTTCTTCAACTTTTTATTCCATAGCAGTCATTTATTGACAATCGTTTTGAAGATTAGTTATACGTTCCTCATTCTAGCAATTTCGAAATGTGTTAGTTATCGGAGAGACGAGAGAAATAAGCAGAATTATAACCAATTAACAAAATTTCTTCTTGTCGATTTGAAGATTGGCTTTTGGAAAAAAAAACAGATCTATAACCACATTCCTACTGTTTTCAAATCAATACTTCCTATCTCAGGAATAAGTTATGAACTAGAAATTTGAAGGATAATGACTCGAAAAACCTCAACCTACACTAAAAATGTTGAAAGGAGGGCTGTGTTGAAGAGAGGCGGCGGGACAGACGAGACCATCGTAGTCGACGGCGTTCCCGTTGCACAGAGGAGAAGGTATCTGGATGGGAAGAGTCGCTCCGGTGGCGATGTGGATCTTCAGGGCTTCCAATTGTTGGAGGAGCTGAAAAAACGAATTTTTTATTTTTCTAATGACTTTGCATCTTCAAATCAGTTTTTTTTGCTAAAAACGCCAAACTTCAAGTTTTTTATATACTCCATTCACCGCACATTAGAGATGAAATGACCTTATTTTTCCTTCCTCAACTAAATCTTGATTCCATAGTTTTGAGCACCCACCTGATCTCTCTCAAAAATGGCTCTGTTCCGCTCCAATTCCGCCTGCTCGGCTTTCATTTTGTAATGATCCGCATCAGCTTTCCAAGCTTCACAAGCCTAAAAATAATGATGAAGTTCGAGAAACGTTTTCCTTGAAAACCTGTCTGGCTTGTTTCAAGCCTTCCTCCCACACAGTAACCTTCTCCTGGTGATTCCTCAATTCGTACTTCGTTTTTGTGAGCTCATCAAAGTCGGTTGGCTGCTCGTCAGGGAACTGAAATCTCTGCTGTCTCGTAAGGAGAACAAATGAACATCGTTACCGACGAATCCAAAGGACCGTTTCCAAACAAATTGGCCGGAGAGTTGAGCATAGTATTGGAGCTCTTGTGGTTACCGAAAAGGCTATCACCAAATGGCGAGGAAGAATACGCTTCACTTCCGGGGATTCTCATCGGCGACGAGGACACTGAAAGTACTGTAAAACACGCATATGTCTTGGTTTTGAGAAATTCCCATGAGTTTGATTTAATCTTCTTGATGTGAATTTTTGTCACGTTCAATGTTTATTTGCCGGTTGATCTTCTAGGAAAGGCTCTCATAATTTTTGATAATCGGCGTAAGTCGTTTAAGGTCAGGTGCAAACGTGGGCTGAAGCTATCTCATCTCGATTCATATGAGACCGTAAATTTTCCGCTTTTGCTAAGCTCATATTTTCAATATTTTGATTTTTCTTAGGGCTTTTCCAAGTCCCCCTAAATCTTTGAGGATCTTTCGATTTCGTGAATGGAAGTTGAAACGAACTTCCTCCGAACAGGTCTCCAAACTGGCGAGGAGTGTTCTGATGTTCATCAATGGGAGCCAAGTCAAGGCTGAGCTCCTCCAAAGTCCCGAGAGACGTGTCCAGAGTGTCTGGAGCTTCGGACATTGCGGCCAGGCAAGACGATCGCTCACCGTTCACCCCATTGAATCCAGAATCAGAACGACACAATGAGGAATGCGACGGGAGCGAGCTGCCGCTATCGATTCCGATGCCGCTTAGCATCATGTTGCCTGTAAGAACGTTGATTGAACAGTCCTCGGAAATCTTTATATCAGGAAAAACTTACGGCGGATGATGTCCAGATGTCCCATATTGAGAGAATGAGTGCGCAGACGTCCCAGCTGGTCATTTCTCATCGGCTAAAGTTTTGTGATTGTCTCAGGAATAACTATGATCCTTTTTTAAACTTTTTTTTTAAACTCATTTTTTCTCTATGGCCGATTCACGGCTAGCTTGAGACGCAAAGGGGCGTGGCCTGTCTGCACTATCCACCAACCAGGCACTATCTTATTTTTTTCGTGTCAGGACCTTTTTCTGTGTGACTCAAGCCAGATGTGAAACAACTACATGACGCTTTTGAATCTGATTGGTTTTATAGTTTCAAAAAACCAAAACTAACCGAAATAGGTCCTCTCTCGAATCCAGGCGCTTTGGGATAACTACTGGAGAGGATATCCGTTGTGGCGTACATTTTCGTTGGGATCGGCTGGCGTTGTTTCAATACCGACTGGAAGATTTTCGATCATGAATCTTGAAAAATTATTTACTTACCGAATAGGAAGGAGTGCTGCTACCATTAGTAACGGGAGAACCAAAACGCATTGAGTCCGTCGAAATCGAGACTGAAAAATGATATTTTTCTATAGATGTTTTTTTGATTGTTCGATCTTCATTTGTCATTCTTAAGTTTTAAATTGTTAATTTGATTATCAAAACCCACATCCATTGCCATTTCCAGTGGGGCTAATTTGCTCCTTCGGGCTGGCCTGGCTGCTACCGACGTATGGAGTTCGTTGAGCATGAAGTTCGGTGTCGTGGTGGGCAAAGGCGCAGAAAACCGCCCGGGGGCAGTAGCCGTGCTAAAAATAGGGCATTTTCCAAGTTTTACGTTTCAAGAAAATCCAGAAAAAAATAACGATGATCAGATGGTGGATAATTGCATGGATAAAAAAACGGCGAGTATCAGAATTTTCAAGTTTTTTCAACACGCCTTTGAAGACACTGAAAATCTAGTTTATCTTTTTCACCTCAAAGATTGATAAGAAAGTTTTGAAAATTTGGTATTATCCAGCTTTTTAATCATAGTAATTTTCACGAATGTTTCACTCACTTCCAGCATGTCATTGCACTTGGTAGACTTGTAGATCTCCGGATGGAACTGCTGTTCAGTGCGAGTGTGGCAATACTGACAAGAGTCGCCAGCTTCACAAAGATCGGGATCAAGCCACTCATCGACGGTCTTGGCGGCAGGACAGGGTGTTGATCTTAACACTTAAAATTATTCCACTTCATTAAAAATCCGTTTCTCTCTAGTACTTCTTGTTAGAAATCTTCTCAAGGGGTTATTTTGAAATACTCATTGCATGTGTTCTTGGAAATTTCTCCGATTTTTGAGCAAAGAAGAGTTTTGATTGTTTAAAAGCATAATAGTAACCTGTATTTGAAGAGAGCTGGGGGACGACGTCGATCCTTGGTGTTGTGGTAGAAGGGACAGGCGTAGCCCTGTCGACAGAGTCTGGCTGGTTTCCGGCATTGCTCCGTCTTGTAGCACGACAGCACGTGATCTTGAGCTAAATTCCGTCATTTTCTTGTTTTGCTTCTTGAGTTTTTCCTAATTTTGACGGACTTTGCAAGTCGTCAAGTAACTGTTTTCCAGGTGAACGCTCCATTTTTGTATAAAACCAAGGAGGAAATAGTGCAAAGCAGCCATAACAACACGTACACAGAAGAAGTTGAGGTCAAAGGTAGTTGCTCAATGAGAAAAAGAACCATTGTTCCATCGATCAATCAACTTTAAATGGCAAAAAAAACTTTTAAGAATGATAAGATAACTGAACTTCGAACTTCGAAAGAACTGATAAAGGTAGCTCATTCACTTCTGCGGTAATTTAATATATTCGGAGGTCGTAACATTTGAGTAATGTCTTTTTGCGGGTTTTAGTTGATCAAACTTCATTTCGGTCGGTTAAAAAATGCATGTCATGCCAAAATCAAAAAGCTTCTGAACGGGAGGACCAATTTTGAAAACGACCAAGAAATATCATATCATAACTGCGACTCTTGCCTTGGCAAGATGTTGTGAATCAGCTTTATTCTTTGTTCCGTGTCCGAAAATCCAATAAAAGACGGAAGATCGAGGACCTCAAGGGCGTTGGTCACGCCAAACGACTCCGTCGTTCTTTTTTTTTTTTTTGGTCCGCGTTCTTTTTTTTCTGCAGCAGAAAACGAGGCTGAGAGTCACATGATGTTATGTTTATGCCTAGGGTTCCGCGCGCAGGCAACCAAAGTGCACCCCGCCTCAATCCCCGCGTGTTTTCGAGCTCTCAACCGGAGTCTTTTTCGGACAACATGACCTTTTGCCCACTCCCTCACTATTTGAATCAAATGAAATGAAAACAAAGAGAAATGCATCTTGCTTGTGACACTGGAAAAATACGGAAAAATTCTGGAAAAAACGTGAAGCGTTCACACAGAGGGGACAGTACATACAAAACACTCAGAAGCGATTTCAAATTTCAATCTTTGGGCGAAAAATGCTTTGAAAGACATGTGGTGAATTTTGAAGAGATTCGAAATAGCTTACAGTGCCACTGAGGATCTTCGATGACGAAACTTGTACGATCTCTTCCTTCTCCGTCCATACTTGTTGAGAATCCGGTTTCATGTTGGTCGTATTGGAACTGAAAATAGGCTTCATGAAAAGATTTTGTTACCTGGCATTGATCAAAGTTTTTGTTTTTTTTACTGGAAATGAAACGTTTGTGGATCAATTATACTCCATACAATGTTGGCATGAAACTATAAATATTGTAGAAGCTCTATTTTTACACAAAATCTTATAGGATTCTTTTTTATTTGGATTACTCCTCAGAATTTCGCTTTACCCAGCCATGGATGAATTATCTGGCTCTTTTTTGTTTCAGTATTAGTTTTTGAAACCGTTCTGAGTGCCTCAAATCTGATTCTTTTTGTTATTCTCGATTCTCAACGACCAAAATGGAACGAATGAAGGGCAACCCCCGGCATTATTTTTTTCAAAAACGTCTCCTGTCCCGATCTCATTTTATTTTGCGAACGAAGAGAATCTGACACGTGCAGACGTTCAATGATCAAGGACAATTTCGAATCGAACCTGCGGTTGACGGAGATCGGCCGACGTGTGAGCAAACGCGCAATGCGCTCCGTTCTGAAAAAAAACAAGGAAATGAATGAAATCTAGAAAAATAACATCCGTCTCTTTAGAAGATCACAATAAATTACCATTATTAATCAAAATGAAATTCAAAGTTTTATTTTTTTGTGTCTCACTTCAAAAATGTTTTTATCTTCTCAACACGAGAATAAAATGAATTTTTTTATAATACCTTAACACATTGACCCCTGGCGTCGCTCGGATGGACACATTGAGCCGTTTTGTAGTACCTCAGATGGTACTTCCGCTCAACGTCCCCAGAAACTCGGTGAAGATAAACGCAGCTAAAAAAAAAGAAAACGTTTTCCTAGAATTCCAGGTTTTCGGTTTATTTTTTTTTCCATTGATCTCTGTTTGTTGAAACAGGTTTCTCACCGCGTTATCGCTTCATTTTTGGTCTCTGGTTAGGCAATTGAATCGTTTTCAGGCACATTTATCACGATAAGAGCAGAGAGTTGTTGGAAAGATCAGAGCAATCGGTCACACGTGATTGATCTTTTAGTTTAAACAAATAGAACTACGAAACATAACGCGAAACAAATTTCGAACGCCTTGGTCGCAGGTGGAATGGCTCGTTGGCGTTTTTAGAAAATGTTGGATTAGAAGGTTCTTTTGACTCTTTATAAAAAAAATCGTTTTGGGACAGCCCCGGTTTGAAGATAAGTCATTTCAAATGCAACCATATAAACTCAATATGAAAGAAAACTCACTCATCGCCATCCGGACAAATGCCAGTATTCTCATCGTATTTGTCGCAATAGATGTCGGGAGAATAATTGAAAGATCCATCTGATTTGCGGACGGGCCTGGAAACTTGGATTTCAGCCGTTTGTTTAAATTATCAGCAGCTTGTCACGAGAAACTCCCTTCATAAATTTTTTTTTCATTTTGAATCAAGTGAAAGCCCCTATAAAAAACTTCTAAAGCCCGCAGTAAATGAACCACATCTTGCCCTCGATTTTCGAGCTCTTGAACTTTAATAAACCAACTTCAAAAATCCCTTTTCGACATCCCGACTCATTCATTTTCAACGATGCATATTACAGAGACCCGCATTTTGCCCCGAGGCAAAATTATTGAATTAATTCTCAGAAACATTGGGCTTTCATCAATGATGCATAGCGGCGCGCATATCCGAAACCGAAAATGTGTGTGTTTCTCATCTTCTTTTTCTCCTCCTTGTCATTAGAGCCCAATTTGATGTGATGCAAAATATATGAGTTTTTGCCCGAAATGGAGAGCAAATGGATTTTTTTTTTCGGTGATGGAAAGAGCCAACGAATGGGTTTTTTTTTGGTTTGAGGGTTGGAGGACAAAAATAGGAATATTTACGAGGGCTAATGGTAACGGTTCTATAGGTTCAAAAAAATTAACGAGGATCTCAGAGAGGCAAAAAAAACGCGCATGAAAGAACTTTTTGAGGAACTCCAAGTTAAAAAAAATACCTACAAAAAATTGTAAAAGCTCGAATGGTTTACAGTTAGGTAACTATTACAAAACAATGTTTCATGCTTTATCCGTATTTTGAGAAAATGTGATTTTACGTCTGATTCGCAGTTTGCGTACGTAACTCACAAGCTCACGACTACAAGTCGTTTTTTTTTTCCGGAATTGTGTTATATTCTTCCTCCCAATTTTTTGTTCTGATTTTACGAAAGATTCTAATTCAAAGCTTTTGCTGCCTATCTTGATTCAAAGTTTAGTATTTTTCGGTGATGAATAGTCAAATAAAAGCTCAATCTAAAAACTCACTTCCTCCTCCTTTGATTGGCAAAATGCCAATTGAAACAAGTGAACGGCCGGTGCTGCTGACATTGATGTTGCTTGAAGAGAGGACAAGCTTCGACCCGGAAGTCGCTCAGGTAACTGAAAAATCACTCTTATCCTTTTTTTCCCCTTAAAAAGTCACAAGCAAGATTCAATTCCGTGAGTCTTCAGTCCAACCAAACAACGTTTGAACCAACAAAAAAAGAACCAAGAGATCAATGTGCCCCACATTGCCGCCGATTTTTCAGTCGCCGACGGAAGAATAATGGGCCACAAATATTTTCCAATCATTGGTCCTTTAACGTTTCGGAACAGAAAATATAGGTTTTTTCACTTGGGATATGAACAGGAACAGTAAAGTTAACTTTAGAGAAAAAAGTTTCTGATTTACAAAAAGATCGAAAAAATTATCAATTTTTTTCATAGTTCATTCATTATTAGCTGACTGGAATTCAGAGGTTGCTAATGTCAAAATTACTGGAAATCCGAGGACACATTTTTAATCAGAAACTGTCACATCCTCAAGGTAAAAAAAACCATTCGCAGAAGATTCATATTTTTTCCCACATCGCTTTTTTTACCATCTTAAGCCAAGAATTATTGGGCCTCAAAAAGTTAAAAACTTCGCAAATTTTTCTCAAACCAAAAATAACCATTTTCGGAACATTTTTGAATTTTCCCGTCAAATTTCCTCATCATTTGGCATTCTTCTCAAGAAAGGAGCCAGGCCAAGTGTCACGCGTGTTCGTCCACTCACTCGTGCCCAATCTTTGATCTACTGCTGTTTTCGTATTTGCTTGGCAGAGAGAGCAAGGGAAGATGTTTTTGCCGGGGGCCCAAGGCCTGGAAACACACGGAAATTCTCATCGGTTATGTGCCTCCACATAAACACAGATCTTCCTTCCCCTTTGGCATTTCAGACTTCATTCATGCATGACACTAGTAGAAAAGCGCGAAAAAAAAACATTATGAACGAGACGGAATTTGCAACAAGGAAGTGAAGATATTATTTTCTCAGTAAACACATGATTAATGTCATTGGACTCAATATCTTGAGTCACAAAAACTTGTAAAAAAAGATTTTTATTTCTCAGAATTCTGAGGTATAGCGAGCTCAAAATAACGCAAAGAAATTGAAACATATTTTTAAGCTTGGCAAGCGAAAATAGGTATTAAGGTCCATATAATCCATTCAATGAAGAATATAACTCGTAAAAAAATTCTTTCTCATTTTTTTCCTAGACCATCTAATAATATTACTGGTAAAAAAAAACAAATTCAGAGTGTAATTATTTGATTTCTGTTAGAAAACCAACAAAAAAATCCGTCTTGTTGGTCTTTCAAATAAGTTTGAGACCTGTAACAGTAAAATGATATACGTCTTTCTGAATATTCTTACTTTTATGAGATCTTTCTTCCAAAAAAATTCTTCTCAATTTCGCAACCACTGTTCCATCAAAAATATTTTTGCCGATCATTATTTACGTCGAATCGTCTGGAAGATCTGTTATTCTTTGTATTTCCCATGGTTTTTAGGTGATTCTGCATCGAAAGCAGGGCGAAAAAGAGTCATGCGGCCCCCTTTTCAGCCGCTCAAGACACAGAGGAAACGACGACGCAAGCGCTCCACTGGTAAACAACCCCAAAGGCCCAAAATGAACTCGACCAAAATGAACATATCGATCGATTTTTCGGGAGTGGTCTGGGTTTGCGTTGAAAATTTTGAATAAAAATAAGATGTTCATGGTTTTCAATCTAGAAGGGATAGAGAACGGGCCTCAAATTTTTTTTGAAAAAATGACGTCATACAATTGGTTCCAAAATGAACTTTTACAGTTAATATGAAGATGATTTTTTTTCTGTAGAAATCATTGTCAATTGTTTTTTTCGAATACACGAATAAATATTGGAAAAATAAACGGAAAAATGTTATTTTGAAATGACGTCATAAAAACTTCTCCAAAGCGCGAAAAAGGTGCAAAGCTACGTTTGCTTCAAAATGACGTCATTCAAACTTTCTCGAAAGTTTTTCTACAAAAAAACCTCTTAGTTTCTCAGATATTTTTTTAAAAATATCTGGTACAATGACGTCACATTTGAAAAATTTTTTTGAATTCCCGCGCTATTTTCGAGCAAATATTTGCATTCCGCTCCTCGACATTCATTCGATTGATCAACGTGATAAACTGGGAAATGGACCACTCGAGTTGTTATTTTCACCCAACTCGTTCTTTGAACCCAAAAATTTAGGAAAAAAAGTCTTTGAAAAATATCTTTTTTTCCAACTTCCGACACCCTTCTTTTTGTAAAGAACCATTTCTTCCGATTTGAGGCTCTTGATTTTTCAAAGAAAAAGTATTTTTTTAACTTTAAGCCTTACTTATCCAAGTTAAATTTGTATCAGTTCTTTTCTTCTGAGTTTTAAAAATCTTTTTCAAAAACAAAAGCTCATTGAGATGACTTCAGTTATTGTCTCTCGTAAGTCCCGAGCTTTAAAATTCAAAAAATGGCTTTTTAAGGCTTTGATTGAAATATTTCTAACCGGACCCCTTATAAGATTAGCGCCTGAAAATTCAATCTTTGGCACCTCAAAGTGCTCAAAAACATGTCATTCTGACTCATTTTGCGCTCCAAAAGACGCCTAAAGAACAAGAGACGGAATATGCAAGACGTATGAACAATCCCGCTCCGATGCAAACTTGTTTACCAGAGGGGCACCACTGACAACAAAAAGCGCCGCTCATCAAAAAAGAAAAACTCATAAAAAACGCTCACAAAAATACCGTCGGCCACGTTTGCCTAGGCCTCGGCCACCAGGCTTTGCATACACAGTTGACTTTTTTTTTCCGAAATAGAATGGCGGTCAAAAATCAGCTTTTGCGTTGAATTTTCCCTTTTTGCCGAACTAAAATTCAAAAAGCCGAGGGAAAAGGAACGCTGATAGGGCTTCTCGTGTTGAAAACGTCGTGATCTTTAACCGTGAGAAAGTTTTGGAAGCTTTTTTCGGTCGAAAATGGAATATAGAACACATTTGATACTCGTGAGAAGGAAATTTGATCATTGACAGTTGAAACAGCAAGTTGATTTGATGAAATTTGGCTGGTGTGGGAAAACGCTCACTTTCCCATTGAATTATATCAAACTGAGCATGTTTCTGAGATCAAACTAGAAAAAAATCCATTTTCGAATGCTACCACTGTGGGCCACTTTATTTTACGTGAGATCATGTTCTCAGCTATGTGAATGAAACTCTATTCTATCGAAAATTTATGATCGCCCCCTTTCAATATTGCAATTTCTAGCCTCAAAATTAATTTCCAAGCATAAAAATTGACTAACTGAAAGTGATGGCTCTTCTCCGCAGGAGGCGAAGAGCTCGGCGGAACCCGCGGAGTTTGTCCGTTCTGTTGCGTCGGTTGCGGGGTCTGCTGCGGCGTCTGCTGTTGCTGTTGTGCGCTGCCGTTGGAAGGCCTTTGGTTTTCAGTCATGTTGTTGCTGTTTCTTCGGCTGCTCGAGACGACGTTCACCAGGAGCACGCTCGCCGCCTCGGCCGGTTCTGACGCACTTCGGTACGTCGGTGTCAGTCTGCAGATATTTTAGATTATTTCTGATGTTTAAAACGGTCGAGAAGGTATTGCAGAACGTGTGAAGAACATGGAAAGGAAAGGATATTATGCTGATCAGGGAAATTGTAAAAAATCAGGGGCAGTTGATTTGAGGCAATTTTGATAATAGCCTATGTAGATGAGCCAGAAAAGGACGCAAAAAAAGGGTTTGAACTTTTTTGTAAGACTTTTGACCAAAATTGACTATTAATAAAGTAGTAAGAGCCTTGTTGATGAAATTTCGAGATTATTTAAAAACTCCCCAAGGTTCTGAAATTGACTATCGGCCTTTCGGCTTTTGAAAAAGAAGCAAAAACTTCTGCAAAGTTGGAAAAAATGGATTAAACGCTATGAAAAAACAAAAAAAAAATTCAAAACGAGAAAAATTATCCCCCAAACTTAATTCAGAAAACGTGAGTAACTTTCAATGATTCAAATAAAAAAGAAACTAACCAAACGAACTAATTTCGTTGAGATCAAAAAGCTGACAAATTGTATTTGCATCAGGCGAAAAAGTAACAAAAAGCTACAATTTCTGATAAACTTGAACCGAAACAAAAATCAAGACACCGCAAAAAGACCCAAAATGACAGAATGAGGCAATTTTACCGTTTCGCAGCCGGGTTAAACGCGAGAAAAAGCTGGCCATCGCGCACGTGTTCGCACATGGGCGATTTTGGCGAGTTGAGAATGAAAAAAAAGAAAAAAAAACACAAGAAAGAGGACGCAGAGCGGAATGGACGTTTAGGGATTGCGCCAAAAAGGGAGGAAGTGGGTTGAAAAAAATCGCCAGCCGCTGAAAGAGGCGGGTCTTTGAAAAGAGACGCACCCTCTTTTTTTCCCTATTTTTTTGTCGTTTTTTTAGGTTTTTTTCTACTGAAATTTCGTTGATTCAACTAGAAAAGATATTTTTTTGGTTTTTGAACTTTGAAAGAAGTGTTTCTTAAAAAAATGTTTATCGGTAGCATTTTGAAGTGTTCAAAAAAACTGGAAATTCTATTCTTCTTTTTTTGAAGACGAAACTCAGGATCTTGAAAAATTAAAAAAACAGATTTCGTTAATGTTTCAAAAAAATGTTAAACCTGAAAAAAAGATTTATTCACAAAAATAAAATGAAGAATTTCAAATTTTACCGAAATGAGTCATAATCAGTCAGAATAACTCGCAGTATGTTATTTTTTTAGAAAAACTTTTCATTTTGTTTTGTTTTAATTCTTTTTTTGCTCGCGAAGTTGTAAGTATGGGAACTTTAGAGCAATTCAATACCTTGACACTGCCAGGTGAAACTGAAACAGCAAACAACTTTAGTTTTTTTTTTCAAAAAGAATTCTACTCCAAGTTAATCTTTTTTAAAGAAGCAGAGGCCGAATTAATGTAATTTTTGCGGTATAAAAGCATTTTGAGTTGATCCAAATTTCTGGGAGCCTTTAAAACCTAACAAACCAATGTGAGTAACCTAGAAGAGCTCAGAATGTTCAGAGAGGACGCTTAAAATTAGGAACAAACAACACGTGAACGGAAAAATAGCGCCGAGTTCTGCGAGGAGCCAGGAAAAAGGAGCAGGAGTCCAGCAGAAAAAAGCCACATTCTTTGCGCCGCTTTGGCGCCTCTCCAAAATGGCTCGTTCTCGTGTTGTCCACGTGTGATTCCGGACTGTTTTTCTTCTTCGAAAAGGTCATCCAAGGCTGTTTACCTGGCTAGGCCAGCAGAAAAGGTAGATAAATCTTCCCGTTGTGTTTTTGAACTAGGTTACGGGGAGAAAAAATTGTTTTCGTTGAAGAATTGGTGGAAAACGAGGAAGTCACGGAAACCTGTCCACATTTTTCTTTGTTTCATCGAGCGGACCAGTGTTTTCCAGAGTAGTTTCAAAAATAAAGAACAATTTTTTTTAATTTTTCTAGCCGTGACAGCGAATAGAATAGCTCAGAAAGTCTATTTGCGTTTAAAATCAAAAGTTTTTAACTTGCGGAACTCGCATACGGTCGGGCGCAAAATAAAGTTTTCCGCCAAGCCTTTTTATCGCGGTCAAGGTGAATTTTTCTACCAAAAGCCTTTTACTAGAGTTTAAGAGTCAACCGCTTTTTGATAAAGTTTTTTTCTAATCATGCCTTATTTGATCATTCAACTATCACATTATCCAAATTACAGCTGCAAAAGTGGACACACGTGCAAAAAGTCTCATGATTCAACTGAAACAAGGGCTTCAATTAACAACTTCATTTAGGGATTATGACTGGAATAAAAAACAAATTCGCGTTTGTTGAAAGAGCCTTTGTGAAGGAGAAAATGATCGAAACTCCTCATCGAAATGAAATTTGAAGGCCAACGTGTTAAATAAAAAATGAGTTCATTTGAAATAGTGATTTTTGAAAACAGACATTCAAAAAGAAAGACTTTTGGGAACAACTGAGCGACTGGGGTACCAAAGACGAGAAGACGAAGTGGAGCACAAGAATCTTCACGTCAACAAAAATTCGGATGATGCACTAGAGGCCACGCCCCTTTCCACACGCACCTACGACGCGCGGAAAAGCAGAAAAACACTACGACAGGCGGTTAAAATTTGAAAGAATTTCTGAAAAGTTCTATTTTTGTACAGTTTTTTAGCGTTTTTCCAAAACTAATAATTGAGTTTTTTGAAGATTTGGAAGGCGGAGTAGGTTCCGAAATGAAAAAAAGCTACGGAAGTCTTCAAAAATTCTTTTATTTTCAAAATTTCGAGCTCGAATATAGCTTGTCTGATCCAGGATTCTTTTTCCTAATCTTCTCCTGAGCTCCGTTTAAAAATAGAAATTTTGAATATAGCTATAGAAGGGTTTGACGACTTCCTACTGATCGTTTAGAAACTCCAAATATTTGTGATTTTCTCTGGTTTCGACTCATTTCCCAACTTTAGGAGCTGCTCATTCCACAAATAACTTTTTAATCTGTCTAGTGGTACAAAAAAATGTGTCCTTTGTCTATTTGGAATTTAAACTTACCGAAAATCTAAAAACTAGTTTTTTTTTGCGCCCTACCCAAAACGACTTACGCGCAGAGGCGTTGATAATTTCAGGTAGAGGCTCGAAATTTCGAATTTTTCTTTCATTCTACGGACTTTCTTATTCAAAAATTGTATATAGGGATCAGAACAGAGTTCACTTTTTATCTTCTCTCAACCTGTTTTTCTCTCGAGAGCAAAACTAAACACCACCCATTCCTCCATTGCAAAATGAGAAATTACCAGTTTTCAAACCTCGTGTCAGACATGTTTACTTCATATAGTGCATTCAGATCGATTCGAAAGCAGCAGATGGGCTTGTTTTCCACCAGACGCGAGTACATTCAAAGCCCACTGTTTTTCTCTTTTTTTTTTCATTTTTCGAAAAAGGGGTTGGCCCGGAGTTGCCTGAAATGAAATTGAGATAACAAGGGAGAGCCAAAACTGTCGATTTTCGTCGAATCGAAACACGAACTTGAGTAGGAATTCATCAACAATTTGAAAAAAAATTAAATGATTTTGCGGTTATTGCTTCCTTCCATATAGCAGAAAAATTAAAAATTGCTGTGAAAATCAAAGAAACAGTAAAAATGAAAAGAATATATAGCACAAAAAAACTCAGCGTTCGACAAGTTGACAAAAATTGAACCAATTTACTTGATAATTAAAGAAAAAAAGGGGAATTTTTTTATAAAGAAAAAAATTGAAACAGTTTACCTGAGAATTAAAGAAAAAAACAAAAAAATTTTTCAAAGTCATCCTGTTCTTTGAGAAATCAAGTTCTACTGGAGAAGTGAGCTGACCAAAAATCATTAGGTTAAGGTGTAATGATTGAAAAAAATGGCAGCCCCAAGAGGTTCGAAAACGCAGGATTTTGGTCGGAAAAAGGGTAAAAAAAACCCGATTGCAATTTCGCATCAAAAAAAAATCTTAAAAGCAAAGTTGAATCTTTTAAAAATTCGAAAAATCCCTGCTTCACTGAAAAAAAAGGGCCTGATGTCAGCAATAAATGTACTATAATTTCTTGATTCACGAGAGACTGAATAAAAAAGTAGAACAACTTCTAAATTATGCAAGAAAACGTACAGCGAACAGAATAAAGCATTCCAAAAAAACTTGCGACATGAAAAATTCAAAAAAGACCCTTTTCTCGGACCAAACAAGGCGCCGCGGCAGGAAAAACTGCGGGGACAGCAATCACCATGCCTCGATGTTTACAACACGATAAGACATTTTTCCACGCTGAAAGGGTGGAGCCTGGAGAAAAGAGAAAAGCAGCAAGGAATCTCACGGTGTTTGGTGTTTTCTGCACAACTCGACGCCTTGGTGTTATGTGCTTCGAAATTAGAATTTTCAAATTGAAACCGGCGACCTGTTTGGGTCAACGCGGCGGTCCGAGGGAAGAAAATAAACCCATAACTTTTGAGAAAATGTGTCGTAAAGCTCGGCGACACAAACAAGTGGGAACGGAAAAAAAACCTGGGGGGATTCGTAACGTAATGAGTTTTCAAAAGCAGGAATTGCGGTCCTTCAAAAACAAGGCCGAGATTTGGAATTGGTAAGATTGTTTAGCTTTAGCTGAGCTTATTCAGATGACATTAGCTTCAAAATTTATTCAAAAATCAAAACTTAACAGTTAAAAAGTTTGTGAAATGTATTCAAAATAGAAAACAGCTTCCAAAACTTGCCGTTTGAAGCTCCCATGAATCATTTCGAATTAAAAGTCAGTCATGCAAATCAAAATTTTGCAGTAATGAGAAAAATAAAGGTGACTAACATCGTTTTAACCTTTTCTGCATACGAAATGGCATTAAAAATCAAGGTTTTTTTTGCTCTTTAACTGCGTTTTTCAAAAGCTCATAATTTTTCTGATGGATTTCGATTCCAAATAGTGCAAGGAGAATCGGAATGAAGAATTATTAACAAATCAAGGTTTACTATATACTTTTTCAGCCTACGAAATGATCAGAAATCGCAAAAAAAAAAGATTCTCTATTAGCTCAATCGCTTTCCTGCTTCGGAAGCTTCGTTAACTCTTCATCAATTGACTTTGTTTTAAAATTATGGGATTTAAAGAAAATTAACGCAATTAAGCTTGAACCAGTCATTCTCGACTAAAAATCGGTCAGAAATCGCAGCAAAAACGGATTTTTTACTAGGTTTTTTTTTTGGCGTTTGAAGGCTCATCAAGTTTTTTAAATGAACTATGCTTCAAGATTTTTGAATGAGGGCAAAATTACAACAGTAATGACTGAAACGAACGTAACTAACAAAAAGAAAGAGAAAAAAGTGGAGAATGGAACGTTGATCGGCTGTCTCTCAGTGGCCAAATTTCATTCTCGCGATCCTCGACTTGCCTCCCAACTGCTTTGGTTGTGTCCTCATTCTCTCGGTCTCTTTTTTTCTTTTTTTTTTCACACTAAAAAAACCTTTTTTTCTCTCAGGAAACGTTTTTTTTTCAGAGAGTTGAGGGAGGACAGGCTCAACGATCGACACTGCAGTTTTGTAAACACCTCTCGTTCTCTTTTCCTTTGAAAAGTTTCCTTTTTTGCGAGTTTTCAGTGTTCGAAGAGCTGTTGGGAGTTTCCAACAACAGTTCAAAATATATATCATTTTTCAGAAAAGAAGTGCGACAATTTTAGAGTTTTTCCCACTGAAATCGAGAAAAATCAGTTCCTACGGATTATTTCCGGAAAAAGCGTCAGTCCATATTGAATTATCAAGGCGTGTGAGAAAATAAACTTCTGAAAACATCTGGAAACTCGGAAACTTGTCTGACCAGAAATCGCTTCTTTTAAAGATTTCAGAAAAACTCACATGCCCTTGTGTTCCAAAAGACCAATAACACTACAAAAATCAGACACTACGAAATGTTAAAAAAGAGTTGAACTTTGTAGTGTTTCTCAAAGTTGCATGGTTCAAAATACAAACCGAAACCGAATAATGTTGTAGTTTTACGTGGTTCTTTGAACTTTCAGGTTTTTCATCGCTTTTAAGGTTTTTGTGAGTAACTTCGACATTAATCGACCCAACTACTTTGATACAAAAAGAGCAGCTCCATGGAAATGAAGATTTTCAAATAAATATAAAAAAATCGCATCTTTCCTCAACCTGCTGCAAAAATTGAAGGGTCACTTCATATTGGCTTACAAGGGAGGTAGTTTTACTTTGCGGTTAGGAATTTCCGGAAACAAATCAGACAACTCTTTGATGAACCTGAGGAAGATTATGAAAATGTTAACTTGAAAATTTTTTTAGTTTTTCAGAAAAGACATTTCAAAGTGAAAGAAAATCTTCAAAATTCGACTTTTTTCCCTTATGTTTTTCGGTTTATAAAACATCTATAAACATTTTTTTTTCTATTTCTTTTGTGTTTTAATCATGAAACAACTACCTACTTTATATTGGAAGATTTAAAACGGAAATTTTATCGAGAAAAAAAGTCGGAAAAAAGAGTCGTAGGAAAGGTGGCCGTCGGAATGTTTTCTAGCGATATGAAAACATCGGAAAAGTCGCCGTTCGAATTTTGAATTCTCGCTGCTCTTTTTTTCATACCGCCGTTTTATGAGCTTCTCAAAGGTTAACTAAAGATTAAAATTCAAAAAACTGTCGCTTATTTTTGTGCTGCTTTTGAAATTCAAAATGAGAATAATTCAAGTTGGAACTTTGCGTCGAACCGGCTCAATGTATAGTAAACCAAAAAAAAAACAGCTTCCATTCAATAAAAATGTCTATTTTGTTCAATCGGCAAATGATGTCTCGACATGTGGGTGTACTACGTAATTCCTCGCATCATAATTCGCGCTTGGACTTTATGTATGCATGCATTTCATTTTTTCTTCCGAGCTTAATCGTAAAGCACAGCGTCAAATGAATGCCCTTTTGAATAAACACAGTGTCAGGATTTGCTTGAATGGTTATAAAACGCGTTAGAAACGGGAAGACGATCAAGAGAAAAATATTTATCTTCTTGTAACAGGGAAATCGACAAAAAAGATTGTTCATAGAGTTTGAATTTTCAAATAGTTACCTAAGATATGCTAACTGAAGTTTTTTTTTTCTTTAGAAATGGCTTACGAGAGATCAGACTGGCAATTTAACTAACGAGAAAATTGGAAAATTAAGGTTCGAATTGAAGAGAAAATGGCGATTTACCCATCCAAAAGGTCAATCGGTTGAAAAAATTTCTGAAACGGGAAAAAGTGTAATCTGCGAATTTGAATATCTACAACACAGAATCATATCCTAAACCGTAAAAGGAAACTTGACAATGGCAGGAGAATTTTTTTTGGAGAAATTTGGATGCTTTTCAAGAGCTGGAGCCGTTTTCGACAGATTCAGACGTGGCTGGCCGCTGGAATCGCTTGTCGTTGTGCCATTGGTTGATGACCCGCTGCTTTGCTTCGTCTTTCAGATGCTTCGATATTTGGGCTCTGGAAAAGGTTGATCTTGAAGAAGAAAGGTGGAAAGAAGCGGAGAAACGGGGCGGCCGAGTTCGGATTTTCGAAGCCCATTTTGCAATAAAGACTAGGAAAAAAGGACTGAACTTTTCTAGAAAAAATTGAAAATCTTGAAACTAAAAGTGTTCCTATTTTTTGAAAGCTTCTTCTTCCGCTTACTATTTTTGATCAGAAGTTTGAGTCATTCCAAATGCCACCATTTAATTAAATTATCGATAAGCCCCGTTTGAACCATTTGGACAGCTTTCCGATAATTTTCTTCCAGGAGATCATTTCCAAAACAGACTAGCCTAATGGCCAATTTCTCTGCAAAAGATGCTGGAGAACAAGGTTTACTACCCGGATGAAAGCGCAGAAACTTGAAATGCACTCGGTGTTTATCTCCGGACAGACAGAACGCCAGTACCGTCAACAACGATTTATTTTTCTTCCGCCAGAAAAAAAACGCCAAACACGTCTCTCTTGCAAATTTCCGAGGGATTTTCGGCTTTTGAAGGCGTTTTGAACATGTATAAAATGGAGCGGAAAATTTTTCTGGTTGGAAAAAGGTGGATGATTGATGTTCTTCGCGATTTTTTAAGACTTCTCAAAATTTTTGAAGATTTATCGAACACATTTTTTCAGATAAGAGGCTGAAAAAAACCGAAAAAAATTTTTGTGAAAAACTTTGTAATAATGTTTCCATTATAAGTTTGATGAAAGAGAGCTTTGAAATTTATTTTCTGATCATTTTGCTTCGCATCGATAGAAATTTGGTTCAATCAGGTGAAGTTTGAAAAAACTTGATACTAAGGTCAACAACGAAAAGTCCTGAAAAATTGCGTTTCAGCCTCAAAGATCAAACTTTGATCAAAAAATGCCATTGACCAGAAATCTCGAAAAAAAATACTGCAATCGGAAAAAGGAATCTTGATCCGTTTTGACAGGGAATTTCGAAAAATTTTTTTCAACGGAAACTTAAATAAAAGCTTCCGGTTATTCGAAATATTTTTTTGAAAAAAATAATATATTTAATCTGGGCTGTGAACATCTCTATTAGAGCCCTCCTACCCCAATTCAAGTTCTGCAAAATTTTAATTAACAGGCTCTCGGATGACCCTTACTTTTCCTTAACACTAAAAAAAATCAAAAATCTCTAAAGGCGGGGAAATCCAAAATCTAGATGTTTTATCAAAAAAACACAGTATAAAAAAAATAAAACAAGAAAACGAACAAAAAAACTAATATGACTGAAAAAAATCCCACCTGGTCGGTGAAGCTCTAGGAGTCCGCGGCTCGACCGCTTTTCTCTTGAGCCATTCCCTGAATGCGGCCTCTGCATTTTCACGGCGTTCCTTTTCTTCCTCTTCCGCTTCCTTGGCCTTAGGCCGTCCCATGCTCTGAAAAGGCAAATAATTTTGACGAGGCAAAAAAATGAAACTCGACTTGGCGCTCAGATAAAGATTAATGCTAAGGAACTGAAAATCAATGCGCTGCCGAAAATCTGGTTTTTATTTTTGGGCCAGACGCTTCACGTTTTTCGTGTTAGCTATCAAAAAGAGACACTGAAGAATGAACGTTTTATTTGTCTTTTCAAGGAAGAAAGGTCAATAAAAAGTCAGGAAAGGTTATTTAGGTGGATGATAACATTTTACGACAAAATTGAAGGAACGGTGCAAAAAATGGAATTTTTTGACAAGAAATACGTTGAGTTTCCAATGAGGGAACTGATGAAAAATGTCATTTTCTGGCTTTGTGGGTTATAATTTTGCGATAATTTCATTTTTCCTCCCAGACCACTTGAAAAATCGTGAGAAACTACACTGAGGACAAATATCATTGTGAATAGATTTGATTCCTGTTTTATGCGCCTGCTATAAAGAAAATCAGGAATTTTTTTAAAAATAAGCTCTCTGTTTCAAAATTTTCCCTCCAAAAGCCCTTTCTTGCCCTTGGAATGCTTTTTACTGTATCTCCTTCAAAAATTTTTACTTCCAGGGAAATAAAAAAGCTCACACTTCTCATCGACGAGCGGACAAATCTGGCGGAATTCGTGAGACTTTGCGTCATTTCACAAGAATATTTTATACCGAAGGTGTTAAATTTTCAGAGGAAGGAATAGAAAACAATAACAACTCGGAAATTGACGAGTGTTGCAGGTGTGAGGCGCAGGTAATTTGTGAGGATCCGAATGGGGAGGTCAGGAGGAGTTGTCACCACGGACAACCGAGGGCTGCCGCCTAAAAGAGGCTGAATGGGCCAGGCCTCCTTCTCGACAACGTGACCGCCTAATTTTTCTAATTTGTCACATTGACGTTCTCCTTCTCGAAGAAAATCGACTCTTCTTTGAACTTCCTAGTCATGAAGCCAATTTGGGCGACTTGAAAGGAATGAGGCTTTTTTGAATGCGGAGTTTTCGTTGATTGATAGCACTTTTGTGGCCTTAATAGTGTCGATATCGAAAAAAAAAGGAAAAAAATTCAATTCTAAACGAAGTTCAGATGAAACGAAAAAGTTAACCTATTTCTCAATTTTCAAAACTTTCAGAAACTGCAATGTTATTTAAATCAAGCTTTTAATGATAAAATGGTCAAATTTTTTTAATCTGTCACAATGACTTTTTTCATGTCACAATGACTTTTTTTCATCAGCCAGGGTGACTTAAAAGGAATGAGACATTTTCAGTTTGCAGTTTCCGTTGATTTATAGCATTTAAGTGATCTTCATAGAGGCGATTTAAAAAAAAAACAAAAACCTCACCTCTGCACAAAATGGTACGTAAAGTGGGCATACGTTTCAAATTTTGGAATTTTCAAAAAAACTGTGAAGTTACTTAAATAATGGTTTTAAGAAGAAAGATTTTTCTTAATAAGAGCTCAAAGCTTGGAAAATTTTTTAACGAATTGTGAGGTTTCTTTTTTTACGGTATCTTTTGTCAAAAAATAGGAACTTTTCAAAGTTAAGACTCTCAGAAGTTTTTCTGGTACATGAAATTGTAATCTCGTCAATTTTCAGGGAGTTCCCATTCTTACCCACAAAGTGAGATGATCTTGCTTGTGCATTTTCTAATTTCTCACATTAAAGTTTTTTTTTTCTTGGATAAAGTCGGTTCTTCTTTGAACCTTCTACTCATAAAGTCGGTTGGGGTGATTTGAAAGTAATGAGGTCTTTTGCTGTTGATTTATGTGCGGACGTTGTTTTGAATATGTTCAATCTCGAGTAATTCTCGTCGAGATTGATCGCCTGATGAAGTCAGAAAAGTTCAGAAAATTTTTTTTTAGCGAGAATGAAACTTTTAAGATTTTGAGAAATTTCATTGTTTCTCGTTTTCGCGTTGATATCCTCAATAATACACTCTCGTCGTATATAAAGAACGTTTTTCTTGAAGATTCCTTTCGTAAATTGGATATAAATAAAATTTTATTTTTCATACAAGTTAATAAAAGACGGTAGGTTTTTAGGGAAACCATCACATCAGGCAAAAAATTTCAAGAATCAGCGTTTTTGAATTGACCGCCTCGTTTTTCGAACTGTTTCCATTTTTTTTTGCTGTTCTTACCGAAAATCCAGTATCAGCTATTATTGCAATAAATCAGAAGGCTTGAAAAGGAATAGATTTTTGATACTAAAAAGCAAATGTAAAAAAAAAATGATTGATGCAGTCAAAGTTATCACGAAAGTCACCAAGCCAAAGGTCAATAAAAAAAGACTCTTCTGTATTTTTACGTAGTGGAGAAAATCTGGATTTCGAGAAATTTTCATGATCACTGGAATGAAATCACGTTTTTGAACTTGTCAGAAATTTTTTTTCCAAACGATAAATACAGACGAGAAGAAATAGAAGGTGCAGTTAAAGTGATATAAATGTAAACATCACAAAAATAAAAGCGCAGAGAGTTATTCAAACTTTAGAAAGCCGAATTTTGACTATCAAGAAAAAAAGAAGTTCAAAAAATGTTAGTATTAAAAAAAGCAGAGCAAAAATTTCACGTCCAAAAAAAATATTCGAGGCTGGCAAAATAAAGGTATGAAAAAAAAATTGCCTCTTGACAGGCAGATTAAGGGCAGATGAGCGCTGTGGCGCGTGCACGTTAACTCCCTAATTTGGCAACTTTTGGCGCGAAAATCGGACCATTCCTTTGTTATGAGTCACAAGGGCTGTCAAGAAGGGTTTGTCAAATGAGCCTTTGTGTTCCGCGTGGGAAAGGAACGACCTGGGGTTGACTTTTCAGTTTTTTGGCTACTTGTTAAATTGCTCTGTTTGTTCTTAGGTTAGCGCGTGATACTGTTAGCATGGCTGCAGAGATTGAAACAGCAAAGTGCTCCAGCTCAAAAAAATGACTTTTCACTTTGAACCATGGAAAAAATTGCTAAGCGTGCGATGATTTTTTGAAACTTCAAACTCATGTTCAAAAAAATATTAATTTTATTCTTTTTGTTTAATTTATTCTTAAAAAAACTGTTGTAATGACCAACAGTGTAGCAGAAGCATTTTAAAAATTGAATGAATTGGCTTTTTTTGAGTTTTGCTTGAAACTGTAAATTGATTGAAATTTCGGCAGTTTTTATAAATGATGTTATACTCTTGAAAGAATTTTGGATTAGAAAAATGATTTTTTAAATTAAAAAAAAAGGAAAATTGATCTTCACGCTTATTGGTTAGTATTTTCATAATCAACGAAAATAAACTCAAAAAAACGTCTGAAATGCCGGAATGATGGTACTATCTCAGTAACCAGGCCCCAAAACAGTAGTACTTACGAAAAAAAGGGGCGAGCGTGCTGATAGTAAAGTGATAAACAAGACTGATTATCAACAAAAAGCCAGCAAGCCATCACGAGAAGTAATAAACCATTTCCAAACTGATAGTAGTTGGAGTATGTTCATTTTTCGGTTCGAGCATTATAAGTTCCTCTTTCCAAACCTCAAAGCTTCAAATTAAGTTTGCTAAAAGTTTGAGCAACTGAAAAAAGGGTTGAAAGTCAAGAAGCAAGGATTATCGAGCAAAATAAGGCGTGGAAAAACGAGCCTTGCTGCGTGGGGCTCTGGCCGAGTCGGACGGATTTTCGCGGCTCCAGCTGCTGCTCCGCGGCGTCGTCCCACTGGCAGTACTTGTGCTCATCATCTGGTCCAGTACTGCCCTTCTGGCCACGTGTCCTTGCATCTCCCCCCGTTCTTCTGGAATTATTTCCTTATTTTTGGTTGTTTCAAGCTTCGGTATCAATTTCTCGACGTTATTCTCGACATTGTTCTGAGGAGCTTTGTAGTGGAGGAAGAAGGCGGCGAGACGGAATAAATCATGCCCTTTGGGAGCATGAGCTCGCTCTTCTGAGAGATCCTCACGATGTCATGTGTGTGGAAGAGAAATGACTGAATTTGCATGAAAAATTTATTTTTTTGAAGAAAAAAATAATAAATATAAGTTTAATACTTTTTATGTGTTTCTTAAGGAAGTTGCTGGCAAAAATTCTTCCCAGAAACAACTAAACTGTAGTCAGTCGAAAAGAAACAGTAAAGTCATTTTTACGACAATTTGTTCGGAAAAATTTGGGAAAAAGACTCAAAAAAATCGATAAAAAAACCGGTAAAAAATTAGTTCAAAAAAACTTTATAAAAAAAGTCTGCTGCTCGGGTCAAAAATGATCAAAAGTTCAAAAAGGCGCGAATTCGATTATTCAAAGCCAATCTTCTCAGAAAGCGAAAAAATTACTAGCAAACTTGGAAGTGGAATGAAAAGAACAGAAAAAAGTAGAAGGATTGTGGATAAATGCGGCCTTGCAGCTGTGGAAACTGACAGCGTCAAACGTTCTCCACTCGCAATGTTTAATTGAGGAGCTTTTTTTATTGGGCTTTTTTTCCGAAGCCTCGTTTGAAAAATAAATTTTCGGCTTGTCCCTCTTGAAATACATGATTAGAATAATTCAGGTTGAAGAAAAAACTGGATTTTTAATATTGTAGATTCTTAGAAGCTGTGAATTCGGTATACAGTACCGTCTCAGAAAATACGAAAAAAAACGGAGCTTTGGTCTTAACTTTATTTCAAGAAATTCAATCTTTCTGAAACTTTCTGAAGTTCTGTTGAATTTTATTTTGAGCATTTCGATGAAGTGTCAGTTCACAGAAAAATACGCAAAAAAAGAAACTTTCAGCAGGATTGAATTTCTTACAAAAAAATTGCGACCAAAGTCGCGTTTTTTCATGTTTTTTGTGATGGTAAGTTCCCTTAAATTTCATTAATTAATCAGGAATAATGTTTCAGAAGACATAAACGTGTCTCAAAAATAAGATAAAGACTTGAAAACAATGTAACTCGGAACTTGTAAATTTAAGCGACAACCTTTTTTTCCGTCAAATTCTGAAAAAAATTTTTGAACGTTAACAGTTCTTTAACAGCTTCCCTAGCTATTCGAAAATCTTCGCCGAAGCGGAAGGATGGGACAACAATAACAATCGAGAAAGCTTCTGAAAATTCAATGGGACAAAGAGTCAGGTCAACGGGCACGCAAATTAAGAGCCTTCATAAATGTTTCAATATGTCAATGAACACCAGGAACACCGGGTTTGAGATTTCAGACACTGAGAGTCGTGTTACTTCGAGTTATTATTATATAGAAAAGAGTGTAAGAAAGTGAGAAAGAGCCAAAATCTCGAATCAAAGCTTTTTTCTGTATTGAACAAGAAAAAGCTGAAAAAACTGATACAATAGTATCATGTTGAATAAAATGGATAAATCTTCGAAGCTGCCGCCAATATTTTTGTACGATGCCAAAAAAGTTTTTGGAAGCTGGAAAGTAGGAAGAAGGAAAGAAGAAGAGACGTTTCCGAGTAAAAGGACGCGAGCAATCAAGCTGACCAGCCTCGAAAAGGGCAAGGCTTTTTACGAGGGACCGACGGCATTGGTCAGCAGCTGGGGCTCGAAATTATCTCAAGGACGAGTCGGCTCCGAGGAATTACGCCCAGCGTCTCTTTGGAATAACAATGAATTGATGCTGGAACTCTGCCCCGAAAATTGTCATGGAGCGTGGAAATGGAGTAAAATTGTTGGAATAAAGCTTATTCTCGTCATTATTCGGGAAAAAGCTAAATCTTTTTGTCCCTCTTTTTTGTCGTTTCAAGCCTCCTTAGTACTTTTATGTCGATTTACGTACATATATTCCGTTTTTTGAAAGAAAAAATATTCAAAGGGATTTCGGAACTTAAAAAACGTCCATGATAAAATTGAAAGGATTGAAGGTCAAAAAAATAGGAAGGACAAGATAAACCGAAATTACGATAAAATGCCCAGAAAGACCAGAAAAAGCAAACAATGCAACCATTTCAGAAAATCTGATGGAATAATCAAAAAAATACGTAGACATCTTTTTTTCTCTGCCAGATGTTTAAAAATAGCTCGGGCAGATATCATTTTCGATGAATAATCAAAAACATTTAAACTTTTCTTCTCAGGATTGCGTCAGATTTCGACAGATGAAAAATAAATAAACTGAATTGGGATATTTTATCTGCATGTTGTAACGGCAACCACACATATTTGACAAAAATGTCCATAAAACTAGAAAAAAGTAATGGCAAAAAACTTCAAAGTTGATTTCTATTTGGACGTACTGCAATGGGAAACAAACAGTGAATTAATTTATTCGAGTTTTCAAAAGTCCTCAGGGCTGTATGTGTGTGCCGAGTTTGATCGGAAACTTTTGATGGAACATTAAAAATAGAGTTTGAAGATTCAATATTGTCGAAAATTGAGTAGCAATTTACTAGTAAACTTGGAATTATGGGTCCGAAGCGGTAAAAACGTCCTAAGAGGCCCCTCTAGGGAAAAAGAAAGACATGCGTTCGCGAAGCTCATTTGCATACAACGACAAGGCGGCTCACCCAACTCGGAAACGGGTGCCCGATGGCCTCGGCGTGAAAACGCATTTGCGAGCTTCTCGCGCTTCCTTTTCAGCTCTTTTGTTTTGCAGCGCAATGAAGTGGTCCATAATCTTTGCGTATGGGGGGCGGAAGTATTTAAGGAAGATTGAGCAGTTTTTGAAAAGAAAAGACACTAAAAATGGATGATAGCCGTTTTTAGAGGATCATGTCAGGAGGAACTGAAGAAAATTTTAAACCCTTTTTTTGGAGTTTTTGTTGGATTTTTGATACGAAAAACTCCGAGATACTTTTGGAAAATGAAGGAGTTTGAGATGGAGCGGTTTAGAAGTTACTAAACCCACAGGATTCACTTCATGTTGAGGATATTTTTCAACAAAAAGATCTGTTCTGAGCTTTTTAGTGGACATTTTCTGACAATCTTCTTCTTAGCTATAATTCAAATGTTTCACAGAAATCGCAAAGAGAAGTCTGCAAAAAAATGCTTGAAAAAAGACCAGGAAAAAAGTATTGTTGGTACAAATCATCCTAGAAAACCCTGGAAAAAAATTAACGACGCCTCCAACAAGAGGCAATGAGCGGAGAATTGTGGCGACGTTGAAATGAGAATAAATAGCAGGAGGCCACTTTGGCTCTAAGCGTGTTCCACGTCTTCCACCGAACAAACACGGGCCAGGAAATTGAAACCTTTGCGTGAGAGGCAAATGAAGAAAGTCCAGTCAAGGATCCTAATAAAGTGCATGCAACTACGGTAATTTATAGGGACCCAAGATGCTGAAAATTCTTCAAACTCTTCTCGAATTAGGACTAGAATAGAAAAAATGCCTTTTTCACATTTTACCGCTTCCAGAAAGTTATAAGAAAGTCTGAAAACAAATTCAAAAAAAAAAAAGTTTACAAGAGGGGTCGTTTTACTTTGCGAATGGGAATTTTGGAAATTTGGCCAAAACGCCTATTCTGAGAATAACCTGCGCAATTTTTCAGTTTTGAGAAATGAGGGCTCAAAGCCCAAAAAACCCTTTTTACGGTTTTTTTGAGGCATCTTTTTTTTAAAACAAGGGTGTTGTGCAGGGGTTTTTGGATTCTGGTCTTTTAGAAATTTTTTTCTAGTTTGTCAAGAAGTTTGCTACAATTTATTTGGGAAACCTCCAATTGAAAAGTTAGAAGACTTTCCTTGTCTTAAAAATAAAAAAATCAATAATCATTAGAAAAAAAGCCAAAATTTTTTTCTACGAGCCCCGCAAAAGTTCAAGTAAACTTCCCATTTTCCCTTGAAACTGTTGAAAAATTCAGCGTAACTCAAAACTTTCTGTGGGATTTCCCATAAAAGGAACGCGAACCGACGAAAAAAAGTGCAAAAGCTATTCCTTGGAGAGCTGAAGAGAACGTCAGGACAAGAAGAACAAACTTTTCCTACGTCCTTCAAAGGATTGGCAGGCAAGACTCCTTAATGGGCTTGTCTGCAAAAATGTGTCTGGAGATGTTGGGTTTGGTTGCACTTTACAGAAAAAACAGAGAGGAGACCTTTTCTAGAGAATTTTTAAAAAACGAACATTAAATTGAAAATGGTTATTGCGGCGTTGGTTATGTAGTTTTCCGTGGAGGATTTTAAAAACCAACAAAGACTCAAATGGTTGTATTTTAAAACTATCAAGCGCCTTTTTCTTCGGAAAAAAGGAGAATAGGAGATTTTTGAATTTTTCAATAGCATTCATTTTATGAAACCAAACTGATTGTAATGAAAAAAACAACATTTTTGAAGCGTATTTCAAAACCTTCAGATTGGGCACACCGTGTATGAATTCATTTTTGAAAAATATGAATTCATTTTAAGATTCTAGAAAGATTAGAAAAAAATAGACATTTTCATCGAAAATTCGAATGTCCTTTCAGACTTTTTTTCGAAAGAAAAAAACTCAAAAAAAGTATGTTTTTTTGAGATTATTTTTTTAATAAAACGTTCCAAACAGAAAAATAACTAAGCTGAGAAAACGGAAAAAAAACTCCACTCTCAAATTTCCTATCAAATCCAACTACGAATTGAAAAATGACACACGAAATCCAAAATATTGAAACCAGCCTCTCTTTGAAATTTTCATATTTACCTTGAAGATACTAAAAAAGAAATCTCAAAAGCTTGGAAACTTTGAAACGTCACAAAACCCGCTCGACTCAAAAACTCCTCCAAAAAGCCTTATTACAGATTCATAGAAGTTCAGGTGGGAGTGAGTAAAAAAAGTAAACTGACTGGAAAAGTATTGGCGAGTCAAGTCGTCGACGTCTGTCAGTGGACCGTGAAAATGCACGGAGCCGCACATCGGAAACATTGCATTCTGTGCGTCGGTCAGCTCATTGCAGGAAAATTGTTTAGAAAAAATTTTCCTTTTCGAGATTTTCTGAAAACATAAACTTAGCGTGGTTTTTGGGAGAAAATTCAAGACGTGGGACTAGACAACTTGGGGCGATCCTTCATGCATTTGATATTCTTGTCTTCTTTTAGACAAGTGCAAAAATTTTCTGTCAGCGAGATAATCCAGCTGAAGATCTTTCAAAATTGAGAAACTCAAGACTAAAAAAAAGTAGGAGAAAATCCGTGTAGAAGGTTTCTAGTGATACATTACTGTTGCAAATTTATTGAAAATAGTTCCGAGATTTGGTCAATCTACCCGAAATTGGTATTCTTATAAATAATCGCAAGTGGACTGTTGGACGGATAAGAAAGGCTGCCTTGAGAAGCGTCCGACCAAAAACGACTTGCGCGCGTGACATCAAAAAGTATCAGAGACAAAAAGCTTTGAAGATAATTTTCTATTCAAAACGGGAAAAAGGGCTAACAATTCTTAAATCCGGCCGAAACGAATTTGAGCAGCATTGATTAGAAAAATCAGATCAAAGCCATTCATTTTCTTGACAAGTGAAATAGTAAAGAAACCTAATCTCTGCTATTTTTGACGTTACTGGCAAACCTCTAAGAAAAGATTATGTAAAATTACGATTTCAACTTGATCAGAGTTTCATCCACTTTTGTGTTATGAAAACTAGGTGAAACATAAAAGTGTTCTTTATCCTAACTTTTTGCGAGATTTTCGTATCAAAAACTTCACAGAAAAAGATAATTTTTTTTCCAGAATTTTCAAATTGAAACGAAAATCCAAAAAAGAAAGCTTTCCAGGACTTCTCGAATTCATCAGCCTCACTCTTCTACTGTATGGTTTATTAATAACTCATCCTAGAGTCACCTAATGGTTGCAATTAGAACGCGTTTGCGACGATTAAAATGGTTCCTATTTTCTTTCGATATTCAATCCTCAGAGTCTTCTCTGCACAATGAGTTGAACTTAAACCGACCTTTAGAGCTAGAAGTACTTTTTCTTTGGGAAAAATTTCATATGAGGGTTCAAAAGTGGTCACGCGCTTTCTTCCACGTGCATCCTTTTACGTAATTAGTCGGGTTCCTGGTTTCTTGTCGGCATTTCATGTCTTTGGTTCTTCTTTCCAAGCTTCTCTTCTTTTCTTTTTTAGGAAATAATATTTTTGGAAAGCTTTCATTTTTTAAAAACGGTTCTTTGTGTATCGTTGGTCATTTTTGTAATTCAGAAATCCAACTTAGGCTGTAGATAAGCCAAATTCATGTTTCAATTATAAATTTGCTTGTTGGATTTATAAAAAAACACTCAAATAACGTAGAACAAAATCTCAAATCAAAAAAGAACCTTAACTTTACGGTTGTTTGTTAAATTCAAAAATTTTAACTTAGGCTGTAGATGCCCTAATTTCATTTTTCAAGTACCAAAAAGCCTAGAATTATGCGCTTGATAATGCTAAACAATCCTCAAAGAACCTCGACAACATTTCCCCGTCAAAACTCGAGTGTTTTGCTGTTTCAGCCACATGTGTTGAGTATGGCAGGTCGTAAGTTGAATGATGAAAATTAGAGGTAATTTGCACCACATGGGTTTGAGCTGACCGAAATTCAAGTGGTCACTTAAGGGCTCCGGATTCTCATTTTTTTTCCAATGGTTTCGTTGAAAATGAAAGAAATTAGTAAACTGAATATTTGATGACCAATAACGTTTCGTATAAAATTCTGCTTTTGGTTAGGGAATCCCTCAACAAGACCTTGCCTTGCTTCATTCCAAATTTCTTTCATCAATCCTCGAAAATCGCGTGCCATCTTCACATTTCTTCCTGGGAGAAGGGCTTCTGGTTCGGTCGCCGATGGTAATTTGATGCCCTACGATTCGGGTTTTCTTCCAAGAAATAGAAGCAGTAGTGTAGCAGTTCTATTATCTTTTTTTACTGGTTCGATACTAAAAAATTTTTGTGGGGATACTGTTGTATTTTCATTCTAAACTGACAATAAAAGACTTTTTTTTTAGTTATTCCAAAATTTCTGGTACAAGTTCATTCTTTTTATTTTTTTTTTCAAGCGGTATAAATTCAGGATAACGATGATTTGTCGTAAAATTCATCAATGAAAGTATACAATCCATGGAATTCCATCCAATATTTTTATTTTAAACTTATCAGATCACACTGGATCGTAGGCTTATTCTTTTCCCTGCTTGATCAGCTAATTTTTGGCAGAATTACTGTTCCATTTCAACCAAAATTGACAAAAAATAAAGCAACTTATCCTTTTTCGAATCATTTTTGAATGAAAATATTCAATCTTCAATCTATTTTATATAAGAAAACTGAATCTTACAGTAAGTCATTCGAAAAATCATGAGCCTCAAATTTCCTCTAATTCTTCTTCTTACACTGCTCAGATCACATTGATGGGCTTATTTTTGGGTTCCTTTTGATCGACCGACCCGAGTCTGGCGGTAATTTGATGCCGATCGATCTGTGGAAGAGTACGTCGCCGCGGGAACTCTTTCTGAGTCGTTAGTCGGGGGCGAGGGCCAGATGGGCCGTCTGACCACCCTTGCCGCTCAAGTCTTATGCCTTTATCCTTCATGATGTATTGACTTCTTTGCCGGCCTCGTTTGCGTCAATCACTCTTTCTGCTTACTTCGGTGGCAAGTATGACAGCCGGTCGAGACGCTTTTTGTGAAGATTTCGGTTTTTGATTTTTTGTATCCCCGTGGTTGGGATTTCCCTGAAATCCAGAAAACTTCTTGATGTACCAGAAGATTCTGTAAGACTCAATCGGCACAACTTTCTACTTTTGAAGAAAAGGAGCCTCTAAGTCAAAGAAAATCCTCAAAAGCCATTAAAATGAGCTATTTTGGGGCTTAGGACCCTTTTCTTGAGAACTTGGAAATTGTGCAGGTTGACACTCTCAAAATCTTCTTTTGGTACAGCAAGGAGTGATCTGGCCAATTTTCAGGAAGTTCCAAACGACCTTCCCTGTTAGATTTTTGGATCTTGACCATGATTTGGGAATTTTTCATAAATCAAAAAAATTTTTTGCTTGGTCGCTTTTGATGAAACCTTTCAATATATTCATGTCCCATGATCCAAGATTTTGTGAAAATTTTTGAACCTTTGCATTTTGTACAGTTATTGAGCCTCTTACACTATTAATTAAATAAAAAAACTCATTCTCTTATTTTTTTGAAAAATTTTTTTGCTCAAGCTGGAAGCAAGATAAACATATCACTATCGAAATTCTCGAGAAAAACGGGGAATTTTCAAATTTCAGCGTTTTTTTCAAAGTTATGCCCTAAAAAAGGGTTCTGCTCCAAGAAGTCAATTATTCCCTCGCCTTATAATATGTATACTATTGAGCAAGGCATTTATGGCAAGCATCCGCCGTCACGTCCTGATTCTTCATGACGTATTGACTCTGGGGTTCGGCATCGTTTGTTTATATCTTCTTGCTTTGCTTGCTTTGCCACGGCAGGCCGAACGACCGCACAAAAATCGGTATATTATCGGCAAATCCGTTAGTCTGATCATTGGCTTTTCATATTAAAGTAGCTGTTTTTCATTGAAGTTTAAATTTTTGGGAGTTTTTCGTTCAGCTTTTCGAGGGTTTGCTGGATAATATTCATTATTCTTATAGTTTTTCTCGATTTGGAAAAAAAGTGTTATGTCTTAAGGCGCAGTTTATTCATCATTTTCCTATGATAGCCTCGAAATTCGGACTCTCGGAACATTTTGCCTCATTCTAAAACAGCTTTTCTCAAAAACCTCCAAAATTGAAGCTTCTGAGAAGGCTAGAAGCTTCGTAAAAGCTCGAGGAACTTTTGAGAATTACAGTTTTTATCACATTCATCAACCTTTTGGATCTATAAGACCTTCGCTACAATTATTACCATTTCGTACAAACTACGCCGACTCGAAGCTTTTCGAAGTCTCTTTGCGCTTCTTTCAATCTTCCGACAAGCACAAACAAAAGTGAAGAAGAGGGTTCAAAAGGATCAAAAAAGTTTTCTCATGTGAGGCTTCCTCTAGAAAAGAAAAATAAAAACCTTTTCCGCGTGATTTTTGATAACGTAGGGTTTTCGTTGTTGAAAAAAATGTCAAATTTCCAACTTTGTTTTTTTTTAATCAGCTCCCTGTTTCAGAAGTTGTTTTTAAAGTTTCTCCTTTCTCAACAGTTTGACCTTATGTGAATCATTAGGACAAGGTATTTTCGATTTTCGGAAGGACATTAATCAAAGCTTAGTCACAGAAGTTGAAATTTTTCAAGGTTGTCTTTTTTCAAGTTATAAGGTCATCTGATGTCATCGTTAACAGTGTTCTCCGATAAAAATTTTTTTTTGAAACTATTTCACGTATTTTTTCAAGTTCGTAGACTGATAGTTTGAAAGTCATGAGGTTGACTGATGTCATTTCAACAAAAACTACTAGTTTTTCCTTGTAATTTTCGTGAACTAAAACTAATTTTCAGAAAACTGTTAATTGGTGAACTTTGGATCAGACAGTTTTGATTCTCATAAAGCCTTTAAAATCATCCTCAGTAACACCATTTATTCTTTTTTTATCAAAAATTTTAAATTTTGGGAAGATTCGATTTTTAAATCTTGTTGGAAAAAAACTGTACTTTAATTATCGCGAGTTCTGATATAACAACTTTTCGAGACCTTGATCTTTCCTTTTTTTTCTTTTTTTGATTTCGGATATGATCAACAATCAACGGTGATTTAACCATATCACTTAGGAAATATTCAGCTATAATACTTTGAAGACTCAGTTTTTCAAAAATGAGACCATCTGATTTATCACCTCCCCACCCATTCGATCTGATCAACAAGCGCTATCTCGTCCTTTTAAAAAGGAATTTGCAACGCCAAGATAAACATCGATATCACTTATCAGTCGAATCGGCGCGATTTTCAGCACACACAGAGACAATCTGCAGCCATTCATTTTTCACTTGGCGACGGCATCGATTCGTTTGATTGTGCATCGCTGGGCGATTTTTGCAACTTTTTCCCAACCAAATGACATTGAAAATCTTGGTTCTTTTCCTTTTCACCCCAAAAACCGCATTGTCTCTACCGGGGCCAACTAATTTTCTAGAAACTACCCGATCGGCCAGACAAACGAAAAAAAAAGAAAAAGGGCCGCCGTCGCTTTTTTTCACGACTTGGTCTAATGAAATCGCAACACTGATTGCAGAACTTCTTGTTCTTGTTCTTCTTTTTTTCCCTAAGTCATCACTTTTGGTTTCGGAGGGGGAAGATTGAATCTTTCTCCAGATTCTGATCTAGAAATAGAGATTTTATCGTTTTTCCTCTCGGCAGGTAAAGATAATTCGTCGCTCTTTGAAGGTGATCTTCAATAAGTTCTTGGAGGAGTTCGTAAAAAAAGCTGATGAAAAAAAGTTGTTTTAATCAAGTATTCCAACAAGAAATTTTAATTGATCTCAGAAAGGCAGTACTCGATGAAGAATTTCGTTCAACTGAGCTTAATGGTTGCTCGAAAATTCGTTTCAAACTGATAACAAAAACCGTTATCATCTCCTCGGTAGAAGAGAAAACGGTACAATTTCCATTTTATCTGCTCTTCCAAACGATAAAATCCATCTTCTCCTGTTTCCATCCATCAAGCGCCTCTCTTTGAGTTATCTGATGCAATTTTATATTTTCTGAGAAGCAAAAAAAATTATATCATCATTTTCCTTCGATCAGACGAAACAAACGGTTTTATGTTGAAAAAACAAATTTTCGTTCTTAGACCAAGGAAAAGCAAAAAAAAAGACGAACGAAAGAATGTTTGCCCAGTGGACGTGTATCTTGCCCACAATCTCGTCGTCCATCGCATGAGTCACGCCAAAAAGTCGTCAGCCGAAAAATTCCAAACGCGCCAAATAGTTCGTTGAAGTCTTTGCTAAGCTTTTGAAACAGAAAAGCCGCATTGCGCCTTGAAAAGGCTTTTTCCTATTTGTTTCGGTTTTTTTTCCAGCTCTTTGATGAGATCTAATGAATCAGTTGTTATCAAATGATCATGTTTACGCCCCAAAAATATTTTCTGATTCTCCCGAACATCGAAAATTCTCAAGAGGACTCCCTATCTTTTTATTATTTTTTTAAAATTTGTAGCTTTCAAAAAAGATGATTCATGGATACAGTGCTTTTTTTCCAAGCAAAAATTGTCAAATGAAGACTAAAGATTTTCTGTGACTTTTTCCATTTTTTTAAAAAGAAGAAATACAGCTCTTCATAGTTTGAACCTTTTCCATTCGAAAAACTTTCAAATTGTGAAAAAAAGTTTCCCTTTGTTGAAAACTTTTGCTGACGAATCGAAGAGCAAATAAAGCCTTGAAAATTTTTCTTTTATTTTGGAAACAGGGAAGTTACGTTTTTATAGTTTGCACATTTTCAGATTAGGGGTTTTAGCGTTGTTTTTTTTGCGGATGAAATACAACAGGGGAAAAATCCGCTACTAACATTTTCAACATAGACGTTGAAAACAAGGACAGGAATAGTCGAAAGTCCATAAAAATTGTTTTTGAATTTCTATAAGCTTCACAAAAGTCATTACTTGTGTAGTTGCCATTTTTTTCACATGTAAAATGCGTCTTTTTTCTACATTCCTCATTGGAGAAGGGTCATGATCGATAGATCAATTGACGTTAGCGCGAAAATGGTACGCCACCCTTCAAAAAAACACTCGTTCCTTTCCTTTGCCGTTCCATCCATTCTAGTTTGTTTTCTTGATTTTGCATCTTTTAATAGGGTTTTCCCGTAGTAAACCAAAATAAACCACGAGAAAAACGTATTTTCCCCCTTTTTTTCAATGAACCCAACCCTTTGTCTAAGTGCAACGAGTTGCGGAAGTTGAGGGAAAAAAGCCTTGAGGTCATTTGGGACCTCCAGGATGCACCTGTGCTCGGCAGCTGTTCCGCTCATAGGAAAAAAGCTCAAAACCGCTCACGGCAACTCGGAACCTAACAGCGTTTTTGCCGTTCTTTCGGCCTCTTTCTCTTTTTTCTCTGTTTGAAATTCTCACGCCGCTACTATTTTTTGAGTTTTCATTCTAGTTTATTTTCCAGGAGGTCAGAAATATCTTTTTCTGAGATATTCAAATGATTGATGACTGAAAGAAAAATTTAAAAAAATGATAAATCAAAAAAACTTTCAATCCTCGATCGGAAAAAAATTCTCGCAAAGTTATTTTCTTTTTTTGAACTTATGTGGGGAAGATCCAAAAATTGAACTTCAAAACGAACTGGGAATAAATTTTCGATAGAAATTTCATACATATTTTAGTAATAATAATAAAAAAAGACAACAATAGCGACTGGAACAATTATTTCCATAGAAACAAAAATTTGATAAAGGATTGTGGCAAAAGCGCGCCACAGCGAATTTCAGCCTACGATAATTCCGCGAAACTTTTTTTAATGGTTTTTAGCTTATTTGATGTTTGGAATATTTCCCATAATTTCCACATGAAAAGCAGGAAAAAAATAAACGGTAGAAAACTATGACACTGTGACATTTTTCATGACATTCCAATTATAAATAAGTCTTAATTCTGACGTGCAGAGATATTGAAAGATAACATGTGGGTCAAAAAAAAGGCAGATCAGTTACTGACCGCAAAGGCGCGCCAAGGCAAACGTGACCTCAACAGGCTGCAATAGAACCTCGTCCCTTTATATTCCACTCAACACAACTCGCGAGATTTTCACTACCTTTTTCTGCTGTTTCTGACTTTTTCACAACATTTGCTTTCTATAATTGATTTCATCATATGTTGAAAATATACGTGACGATTGTTTTCTGTTTATTTCTTGGATAATCGATTTTTAGATCCAAGCGATACATACGCGTATTTCGATAACACATTTTTCTCGTTTGCATTTCGTAATTTTCTCGTTATATTTTGTATTCCCGTTTCAAAAATAATAATATTCTTTCAAGGTGATCGCCAATGGAGGCTACTGCTGAACATGATTTCATCGCCACGGCTCCCGATGAGTTGAGTTTCCGTCGAGGACAAGTTCTTAAGGTAAGGAATAATTTTTTGACTTTTTTTGATCAATTTAAAAAAATTGAAAAAAATTTTTAAGGTGCTTCTCCGCAAAAAAAAATAATATTGGAGAAAAATTCAGCTATTTTCTCTTCTGTGGAAGAATTTTATTAAACAGAACGGTTCGAATGAATTAATTGACAAGTGACTTGATAATATTTTGAAACAGTAAGGCTGTTAATCTTTTTATTTAAAGAAAGAATAAAATATAAATTTTTTCCTGTTATTGGAAACACCTTTAATTCCGTATATACGGCCTCCAGAAGTTGTTTTCCAATTTTTAAGTGGTTTTTCTAGCAAAAAACTTTTTTTTACTCAATACTTTTCTTTCAGGTTCTAAACAAAGATGAGGACCCTCATTGGTTCAAGGCCGAGTTAGACGGCGCCGAAGGCTTCGTCCCTTCCAACTATATTCGTATGCACGAGTGTTGTTGGTAAGTTCTCTCTATATTACTTTCCTGTTTCAGAAACCTAATCAAACCCAAGAAAAAACGAAAAAAAAGCGTTTTCCTCATTATTTGCCTTGTCTTCTCTGAGACAACAAATACTTCTCATTTCCAGGTACCTCGGCAAAATTACCCGCAATGATGCTGAAGTTTTGCTCAAACGTCAGAGTACTAAAGACGGCAATTTCCTCGTCCGGCAGTGTGAGAGCAGTCCCGGCGATTTTAGCATTTCCGTGAGGTTGGTTGACTTTGCAGTTTCAAATATATTTTCTGAATGAAAAGAGAAAATGAAAGAATCGTTTGGTTCGAGTAAAATGAACTCAGAGAAAAAGTAATCCGTCTACTTGAATTGAAACAGTGAATTGAACTTAAAGAAAATCAATATAATTGTATTGAATGGCGGTCTTTTGTCGCAAGCCTCCGTGATCAAGTTATCGACTTTTCGGGTCAATGTCTTTTCTTGAATACCTTGAAACAGTGATAATAAAGAATGTTGTTCTCTGGCTTTTATTCAATCAATAATATGAATCGAGAATGAATTTAAAAACGTTTATTTCAGATTCCAAGACACGATACAGCATTTCAAAGTGTTGCGCGACAACAACGGAAAGTACTTTTTGTGGGTCGTCAAGTTCAATTCTCTTAATGAACTTGTCCAATACCACCGGTAAGTTTTTATTAATATTTTAAAAACGATTTAGAGACAGGAATCTATTGAAAAATACTGGAAACGACAAAAAAATGCTGGCAAAGTTCAAAAAAAGAAGCTTTTGTGAAGATTTTTTTGTGTTTGTTTTTCAGAAAAAAATACAAAAAAAGTCTCTATAAAAAAAGTCAAAAGAAAGAAAATATATAAATCAAAACTTTTTGGTGAGGTTTCAAGGCTCTTGAAAGAACCTCCCACCACTTTTGTTCAACTTTTCATTACCAACTTTTTCCTTTCCATACAATGTTTCTTCTCATTCCAGAACGGCGTCGGTTTCGCGAACACACACGATCATGCTACAAGATCTGGAATTGGAGACCAAGTTCGTCCAGGCCTTGTTCGATTTCAATCCCCAAGAAGATGGCGAACTCGCCTTCAAGCGTGGTGACGTCATCACCTGTGAGTTTTTCTTGTTTGCTTTTCTTTTTTCTTCCTATTTTTGTGGGCGAACGCGCACTTGGCGTGTTTGTACGGTCTTCTAGGCTGTTTGTAGGAATCGAATCAAGGGCAAAGATCTAGAAAATTTTAAATTTTAGGAGAATGTACGCGCTTGGTGGCGCCGAGTTTGAGACTTTCTAAAAGTTCTCCTATGCGCCTTTAAATATTTAGCTAGCACGGCTAGCTCTATGGCAAAAATAAAAATATTTTTTTACCGTTTTATTTGTAGTAAATTTCAGACAACATTTCTGTTTCAAGGAGGCAGTTAAAAATTAAATGATTATTTTTATTCAATTTAAAGTTAAAATCAATGGGCTGATGTGTTGGAAAACGCAGACCGAGCGGAAATCAATAAAAAAATTGCAATTTTCTGGTTTAAACGTTTTTACTTTGTAGGGGTCGGGCTCCCAAATATTACAAAAAAATAAAAATTTGAATAGTGGTTTGAAACGGGAAAAATTATGTTTCCCCATCTCCTTCTGAAACATTTTATCTTTTCAGTGATCAACAAGGACGACCAGAACTGGTGGGAAGGCACTTTGAACAACCGAAGAGGCGTTTTCCCGGCCAACTACGTGTGTCCGTACAACCGAAACCAAAGCTCGTCGGCCGCCGCTCGCTGATTTTTCCCCCACAAGCACTCTTAATTTATTTCAGCTCTATCTCAGCCCCATTGCCTTGATTGAATTCCTTTCCTTTTTGTATTCTCCTCTCAATTAGTCCTGATTAAGTATTACTCTCCTGTGAACCAAATTTCTTTGTCTTTTCTCATTCTCATTGTTTTCAGTTCTTACGTTATATGGATCTTTGCAATTTTGTCTTCCAGTACAATTGAAAAATTTTTGAATAGAAATGTCATTTATTTGGTTTAGTTCATTCAAAACGATTTATTAGGGATTTTAAATGATCGCTATGGATGAACTATGAGTAAACGCCTTTTTCACTTGTTTTGTTTTGTTTTATTTCTTTATTTTATGCCAATATTGGATTCGTACGCGTGTGTCACCAATATTTGGGTATCGATTTCATATGATTGGATTTTTTCTGACATTTCTGTGCCTAAGCCTGGCTTCTTAATCAATCTATTCACGTTGACGCCATGATTGCCAAGTTTGTCAAGTATTCAAAAGTCGTTTTTATTGTGATTGCCCCTGTGTTCGTAGAGCTTTCAGCCGTTTCTCTATTCATTGAAACTGAAAATTATTTCAACGTCCAAATAGTCGAATTATCCCATTTACTCTGCTCAACTCAAATGATGACATACTTAAATTTCTTTTTGTAGTTTTAGAATATCTTGTTCCGAATGCAATGCATCCAAAATCAATCAAATCAGGATGTTCTTAGGCTTTAAAATCTTTCAACTTGCGTTTGTCCAATTCCCAATGCATTCCAAAAACACCCGAGTTCGTTCAATTTATAATATGATGACAAGAAAAATGTGGTTAGTATAGATTTGCGTACTGTTTTATTTTGTTTTGATTTTTATCTGTAATTCACGATCATTTTTCCATCTACCTATGTTCATTATGATCCTGTGTCGTCCTTGTAACTATCCAGATATCAAATGAAGTATTGTTTTAAAAATTCTTCTGTTTTTAAGTGTTGATGATGGCGATTTCGGGACCGCCTATAGATTTTTTTGATCTTGCACCGAATGAAAAAAAGCACTGCATGATAAAAACATTATATGTCGCCATTTTGAGAGCAGATGACGTGAAGATGTTCAAGTACCTTGTTTCAGTTAAAATTATGGTTAATCGTGGAAAATAAGTTTATCGAATGAATTTTCTGAAGGCAGTGGTAAAGGCCCACAATTTTAAAGCGCTTTGAGGTGAAGGAAGATGTTAACTATGAAAATTTTTCTTGAGTCTTTCAGAATTTTCGCGAAAAGCTACGCGCTTTTTTGTTAGATTTCTTAATCCGTACTTTGAAACAATAACTGGAAAAACGTTGAGATGCGTTCAAAGTTTTAAAAATTTATTTTCTTATTCAGTTTCAGCGTTGAAGTATAATTAATTTCCAATTGAAATTTTTTTAACGAGCTCTGCTTTTTTTCCTCTCAATGAAACAAGACAAAAATCAATAAAACCACATTTTTCTGTCAGATGGCGTTTGATCCTGACAAACCGAGGTATGACCAATCGTCCTTCTACGGAAGATTGCGGCATTTTGCCGGAATCACTGATCCCTTCATTGCTTTCACCAGCACTGATGAGCTGATCAGAGCTTCCACTTTGATGCAGAAATGCAGGTTAGTACACTTTTCATGAGATTTAAACCAGTTTTATCAAAACTTTGTTGGAAATAGCCGAAAAACTTCTTATTCGTCGTTTTTTAGCAACAACAACTGGGAAATTTTGGTAGCTTTGAGGACGCAATAAATTTTAATTTTTCAAAGGACATTCATTAAAACTTTTTTTGTCATTGAAATTTTCATTGTGAGATTTTTGAACGTTATATCTAACTGCTGAAACGTTGAAGATCTGGCGAGCGACCACCAATTCCTGAAGAAGAGCTCCAGAGAGCAAGGCGATTATACCAGTCCGCTTTCCATCCGGACACTGGAGAGCTTCAGAATTTTGCTGGAAGGATGTGCTTCAATGTTTGGGGTGGAACGATGCTTTGTGGAGCCATGATGATCTGGTATGTTTTATTTTCGAACTACTAAAAAATTTTCGATCACTGTATGAAAAAGATTTCAAAAAGAAGTAAAGTCTCTTTGAAAAGCGTTGTTTTAAAGTTTGAGAGCGATTTTTGGAATCTTCCAAGTTATTGGTAAATGTTTCATCTTCAGGTACAAATCCACACCGGCCGTCATTTTCTGGCAGTGGGCTAATCAGTCCTTCAACGCTTTGGTCAATTATACTAACCGGAATGCAAATAGTACATTGACCACCAAGGTAAGCATTTAACGCCATTTTCAAGAAGAAAAAAATGAAAAAAACAAAAAGTATAAACATAAATTCTCAAAGAACCGTTAAGAAACCGTTTACTTTAATTTTGAAGCTGTTTAATTTTTTTCGTGATATTTTTTTACAATTATGGGCAATATTTGAAGTATTTGAAAAATCGAAGCGTGGAAAAATATTTTAAAGATCATTACCGGAATCATTAACGTATAATGTTTTTTTAAAACTGTATCATAAAAATTTTTTTATAGGTTAAAAAAAGATGCGCATAAGTAGACGTCGTAGAATATATAAAACACTTTATACGTCGTTTAAAAGACCTTCTTTCCATAAAACTCTAATAAACCAATTTTTCATACGAGCTTCATGATTTTCGCCTTGTTGATCTGATTTCCAATCAAATAAATTTTTCAGGATCTTGCCACCTCCTACACAACAGCGGTATCAGGAGCTCTAGGAATGGCAATCGGCCTGAAAGCCTACTTTGCCAAGAAGCAGAGCAGCCCATTGGCCCAAAGAATGGTTCCATTGGGAGCCGTGGCTGTTGCCAACGCCATCAACATTCCGATGATGCGGCAAAAGTAAATCTACACTTGAAAAAATAAAAAATGGGAAGATTTCAGCGAACTGAAAAATGGGATGACGGTGACGGATGCTGATGGAAACGCCGTTGGAGTTTCAAAAGCCGCGGCCGCAAAGGCTATTTCATTGGTAGTTCTTTCCAGAAACATCATCGTGGCTCCCTGCATGAGTAAGTGATTTTTTTATTTTTTTAAGATTTAGATTTCAGAGTTAAAAACTCGTGAAAAAAAGTTTGCAATTTTTCTTAGAACTTTTATGTGGGAATTTTTTTCAATCTAATGTGTTTCAAATTTTTTTTCACTTCATTTTTTTCACCATTTCGGGCTCAGATTATAGAAAAAAAGATAACTAATAACTTGATTTAATCATGCATAGCTAAAAAGAAAATAATAAATTTTGGATTATTCGTAGATTTTTGCGAGAGCATAATACCTTCAATAATTTCAGTTCTAACCCCGATCATCATGGAAGCACTGGGCAAGGTGCCATCTTTCAAGCGACATTTCAACAAACTGAATATCCCAACTCAACTGGCCCTAACATTCATTATGTACGTTTTTTCCTGATCTGAGAGAAAATTTTTATTTTCCTAATTTAGCTATGGAGCGATGGTACCTGTCGGCTGTGCCCTTTTCCCTCAACAAAAGTAAGTTTCTCGAAATAATTTCCTTAGATAGTTTTCCTGTTTCAATCTGATGCTTTTAGCTCGATCCGTCTGTCAACCTTGAAGCGACTCGAACCGGAAGCTTACGAAAAACTAAAGGACGTCAAGGGCGACCGAGTTTTCTTCAACAAAGGACTGTAGACAACAATTTCAAGGTGCAAAAAGAAACAATCATAATTTTAATAGTCATCAATTATTCGTGCTATAGTCATGAGCTTTTCTGGTTGTGGTTTAGGTGTTATACTGAAGAAATGACCAATATTGACATATTTTCAAACTAGTCATATCGATATTTGTAGAATTTTTTGCTTGCGTTTCAGAAAAAACAGTCACAAGATTTTATATAGGTTATTTGCGTATAGTTCAGAACCAAAAAAATAAACACAAAAAAAGGGGGGAAAATTGTTCAAAAAAATTGAAAAATCAAATAAAAAAAGTGCGCAAAAAAATAGGCTTTTTGTGCGTATTTTTTTGTTCCAAACAATATATCAATATAATCAATAAAGTTTATTAATTGCTTCTTGTAGTAATTTTATTACGTACAAAATGAAGAAATTGTCATTAAGAAGGATTTTTTTTCACTAAAGACACCGCGAAATAAATAATTGTAGTATTTTTAACGTAAAGACTTATTTTTGAAATTTAAGAGTGTCTACACTCATGAGGACTTTTTTTTTGAAAGTGAATATAAGAACCTTTTTCTGTCCAAAAGCGCTTCTAAAAATTTAATACCACTAAGATTTTGGAATGTACCAACCGAATAACCATCTTTTCGGAACCATTTATCCATAAAACGAACACTTTGTACATCACCTTGAAAAGGATTGAAAGGAAAAAGCAAGAAACGGAAAAAGTGAGAGTAAAGATCCCGCTATACACACATAAAATAAGGAAAGCCAGCAAGAACAGGTGGATAAGGTTGGTCAGCCAAGAAAAAAGCCGTGAAGATCATAAAGACTAGGTCGAACAGAATTGGATAGCTAGAATCGATTGGAATGATTCGTGGAAAAAGTGAAAAATCCTCATTCATATAATAACGTAAATAAATGCTCTGTGGTGCTAAGGAAATCGTGTGGAAAGCCAATTCGGATAGAAATATTCTGCGAAAGCCCAGCTTCATCAAATTTCAATTATGATCAGGTAAAGGGAAGACTGCTGTACAAATATCGACACCATGAAAATGGCCGGAAATTTCCAGAACTCAATAATACTATGTACAAAATGTGGTATCACAATATGCAGGGAACGAAAAAGAACGAGAACAAAACAAAAATAACACTATATACATGGGTTTTCAGAAGAACGGAAAAAGTTCTTCAAATCTGGCGATGCTTCGAGAACTTCTTGCAGACGGCGAAGCTGAAAAAAGCGTTTTTTTTTTCATTTCAGTTTCGCCTTTCTGATGGCGATTCTTCAAAATAGATATGAAAAAAAAACAAGAAAGAGGATCGAAAAAACAAAAAAGGAGACTTCTTACAGATTTTATCCGTTCCAAATAATGAATTATTTGAGTTTACTGTTTTCAATTTTGCTTAAATAGCAAAGTTCATCTTGTTAGCTGTATATTTGAATTTTCTAAGCATCTAAAGATTTTTTTTATATTTCATAGACAATACGTTTTGTCCAAAAACTAACCCAAGAGCAGCGCCGACGACAAAAGTGAAGATGTTGGAAACAAGAAAGCCAAACATGACGCGAGCCGAGAAGAGAGATTCAGCCTCGACGTAGGCAGAGAAGTGCTGCGGAGGCTCCGGCGAGTTTGGAGGAGTAGTCAGGTTCGAGCCGTACTGCCTGCGGATACCGCGCTGAATCCTGAAAAATTCTGATTTTACGCGGAAAATGATTCAAAAATGGATAAAATCGAACCCGACATTTAGATTGGAAAAAGTCCTTATTGTAAAAAAACTCAAGACATTTTTCCTTTTTAATTAGCAGTTTTTTTGAATTCAAAAGATTGAAATAATCTGAAATCAGCCCTTTTTTGACAAAAAAGACGTTCGGCAGTACTGTATGAATTCTTCAGTTTTTACTTGATTAAAAAAAATCCTAGCCTTTCTCTTCTCAATTTTATTAATCTCTCAAGCTCACAGAATATTCTAATCCTCCGACTTCCGCGTTTTCGCTCACTAGGCACTCGTTTTTTAGGTCCCCGCGCTCACTAGCTAATTAACATTTTGGCAAATTGTAGGAGAAGAAAACTTACTTCTGAAAGAAAGCTTCCGGACGGCTGCTCCAGTCCCAGTACCAATCGGTGTTCCTTCCCGGCGGCAGCATCTCGCGGACCAACTTGTATTTGACCTGCTCGAGGTTGTCGAACTCCATGTGAGGAGACTGCACAGAGACGGGGCTGAAATTTGATTTATTCGTTTGAAAAAAATCAAGAAAAAAAGTTGGAATTTCCAGTCAGCAAAAAGGAATTTTTTTAATGACAAGAAGAACTAAAGGGGGGAAGAAGGGTCTCTTTCCCAAAATAACTTTTTTTCAATACTTCTAAAATTTTAAAAATTTCATAAAGTGATGCAAAAACGGTTTTTTTGAATTCTGGATTCATAGATTATAAAAAGGATCAATCGCTTTTAATCGAGTTATAATGTATTTGATAACATATTTTGTAACAATTTCGAAGTTTTCAACAATTTTTTTCAAATAGAACACGATTTTTTTAAAGTTAAGAGGTCAGTTTACAATTATAAGAAATTAAATCACCTCAATCGCGAATCCTTGTCACGGAAATCCTCGACCAAAACGAGGCTCGCATCGACGCTGCTGCAGAGGCTGCCACGGCTCGGCGGCGCCAGCTCAACCCACGATTCCGAAAGGCCTGAAAATAATGTTTGAAGTAAGTTTCCTGTTTCAAATCTCGAATTTTTTGAGCTATTGGAAAATTTTTCTTAGGTACTTTCAAGGCTTAGTTTGCATCAAAAATGATGGGCAAAAATATAAGTTTGAAAGTTGAAACCGTAAACTCTAGAAACAACGCAATTTCTTTTTCGTTTTTTGGAGAAATCAAAACTTCTCAAAGCAAGAAAAAAAGGATTTTGGCGCCTAAGAGACATTACAACTTGACTGTATTGTCGTAAAAGTTTGTCGTGCTTTTGAATTTTTCGAACTTTTTGTCAAGAAAACATTTTTTTTTTCCAAATATCCAAGAATGATCGAATGATTTACGAAGAAAAAGCATACCAGGAACGCTGTCGTCCTCCTCCTCCAAAGACTCTTCAATCTTCGCCGGCATGCCGACACGCTTCCTCACGTCTTGCTTTGATTTCGAGAAGTCGAAGAACGAAGACATTTCTGAGACCCGCCTACAAAAAATAGAATTATTAATAGTCTATTGGATTCTGAGAAAGTGGAAAGAAACGAGCGGCGAAAAATGTTTTGCAGAAGTTACATATATAGGCCTGAAGCATTGTGATGAAAATCGTGAGATACAGGAATAAATAAACTTGACAAACACCTTGTGATCTGCTCTTTTCATATTTCAATAGATATGATAATTTTGGGCGTTTTGTGGGAATTTTTAGATTGAATTTTCAGAGAATAAAATACGGTCATGTGAGTTGAAGTTGAAAAAAATGAAAAAATCTTGATTTTTCTCTTTTTGCTGAAAGGTTTTTGGTTTAAAGGCGGTCGTTCAAATTGTGGGAAACATTGAATTTGATCAGTTTTTGATAGCTTTCTATTTGAATAACAGGAAAAATTCCAGGGTCGCCCCTACACTGTTTTTACTTTCAATAACAGGTACCACAAAAGAAAGTTAAAGATAAGAATAAGTGGAAAAATTCAAAAAAAATGACAAAATAGTTTGAAGTGAGAACGGCAAAAATGATTATGCTGTTTCAAAAAATTACATGCTCCAACCTTGAGAACTTAACATGAAGAAGCATGAGACAACTCCAAAAAAAGGAAAAATAAGCTCAAACACAAAATGTTTCATTGTGAAAATCATACTTTATAAGGTAAGCAAGGAATTTCTTAGATCAGACAGAGACCTCCTTGGAAAAAAGGCCTATTTCGCGGTGGTACGGGGGCCACTCGAAAATAAATAAAAGCAAAGCGGTCTCGGTGTCAAGTCAAGCTGGTAGACAATAGCACTGAAAGGTAGAGAAAAGTAGCGCGGAGGCGGCGAACGGAACACGATACAGAAGATTAGGCGAAAAGGCCCCTAGCGCCTGCTTTTCGTCACATAAACAACCGTTTCGGTGAAGCTCTCTGATGAAAGTTTTCTATTTTTAGCGAATCTTTTTTTTTATTTCTTTTGCTATATCTAAAAATTAGGGTTTTTTTTAATTGCTCTTGAGGTTAAGTAAACTTTCCCTTAAGGTCATTTTCTTAGGGGACCTTGGGTAAAAAAATTTTTTTAGGCATTGAATTCATTTTTCTTTTTTTCGAAAGCTTGGTCATTTTTGTGACAGCAAAGTGATAAACAGTGATTATCAATTTCGAAATTTTGCAGATAAGATAATTAGTAAATGATGCGCGAAAAATTGATATTTTTGTAGCGGAGAGACTATCAGAAAAATGGTGCAGGGGAAAAGGTTCAGTTAATCTGTTTATGGAACTTTTTCTCAATCTTTTTAAGTTGTAATTTTTTTCTTCAATTTTATACAATTTTGAAAAATAAAATCTTCAAAGCACCCAATTTAACATTTAAATAGCGAAATCGGTCGCCATGAACTTAGTATTCAATTTCCTTGCAGTTTTTTTCTTACATGTGACGTGTTTTTCTCCTCAAAAGCGAAATTAAAAAAAGAAAAATCTGCCTGTCGCAAAACAAAGCGAGGAAAAAAACAGTGAAGCGATTCCTCAAACATTTAAAAGTGCATATAAAAGCAAGAGAGAGGGAGGAAAAAATCAGGCGATAAAACGAGTTGGGATCGAGACAGGAACGCGAAAGAAAAGTTGTAGTCCTCGGGTCACATGCAGCAGGTGGTGAGGGGTGCTCGATAATTGCGGCGTCAAAGGTGTTTCCCGACCTTTCCATCAGGAATAGGACCCTAATCTCTTCCAAAATCTAAAGGAAAGTGGTGATTTTGAGCACGCGTTAATCCGCCGCGTATACTTGCTCACAAGGCTGATATTTTGCTTAAACTCAAATCACTTTCAAAAATATTTTTTTCAGGAATTTTAGGGGGAATATTTTCTCCATACTTTCCTGTTAATGATAAGAAACACTGATTTCAAGAATTTATCGTTTGCAGAACAGGATTATTCGTGAGGATGTAGCCGAATTTTATTAAAAATTTAGTCAAAAAAAGTTATTCGAAGTTCTTTAAAAAAAGATGTCAAAAAAAGTTCTTTCTCAGTCTTTCCAGCAAGAATATTGCCGTAATCTATTCCGTGATTCATTCAATGAAAAAAAAAATATATATACAACTTTCGAAACAGCAAAATGGGTTTATTTGACTCAAAGAAAACATTTTTTGACCACCTCAAAATTTCAAGCAAAATACCTAATAGCCTTCTTTTTTCGCGCAGGGCTTAATAGTCTTTCTTTTCCTTCAAAAAAAAAAAGAGAGAATGGAAAACAATTAAAGCTTCAGACGATACCAAAATATTTGTCAGCATCGTCGAAAAATCAAGGCTTTGTGTCTGGTCATTTCTGAAGTGAGTTCTTGGAAAAAACAAAGATTTCGTTGGTACTTGAAAAATAGTGATAAACAAAGAAAAAAATCAATAAAATGATTTGAGCTTGATGACTAATAAAAAAAGATAAGACAAGGAAAGTTGAATCTTCTTATCAATGTTTTTTTATTTATCGAGTTTCAAAAACATAGAAAGAGGGAAAAATTTTGAAAGAAAAAGAAGAAAAAGGAGAAAATTTTATTTTTCTTCTTGAATCGTTTTCTATTCTGGTTCTCAAAAAAATAAATTTAATTTCAGGGTTAAAAAAAATTATGTTGTGAAAAAAAGCTGAATAAAAATTATATTTTTTTGGCGCAGAGATACCCTAGCATTGAAATAAGCTGAAAGGAAGCCTGAAAAAAATAAATGCAGGGCTTCTGATTTAATTCGAAGAAGGATTACATCAAAGCTTATAAAAAAAGAAGTCGTGTCAATCATATTTCCTTTTTTTACGATGGTTTTTTTGAATACCTTTTTATCAAAATTTTCTATATTTTGGGATCGCGAATGAAGAAAAATCTGTTTATTTCATAGGATGAGTATTATTCACTATTTTATTTATTATTTTCTAACAGTATGCAGTGAATAAACCTATTATATTATATTATTCAAAAAGCTCCACAAGATTCGTCAGATTTGAAAAAAATCTGGCGATATGGGAAATTCAAGTTGAGATAGATAATTTGAAATTGCCTTTTTGCTAATTTTTGTAGGGAATAATCAGGTTTCAGAAAAATTTCAGAAGTCAGATTCTGGATTTTTCGCATGCAATTTTTCTTCAAAACGCGCCCTGATTTGAAATTTGAAAAATGAAAAACTGTTCAAAGTGATCGAAAAAAAATTGCTTTTTTGCGCTTGAAGATCCGCAGATTTGAACAAAATTTTGAAAAAAGATAAGTGAAGCTCTGCATCAAAAATCAAGTTTGAGAGAATTAAGTAACTAAGCGGCATTGATTTGAATGTGAAAAAAGCATGGCGGTCGAAATCCAAATAAAATCTTCGCTTTTTCCTGCGACTTCTCAAGAAAAAAGTCATTTTTTTACTGAATAAAATTTACTTTATAACAGAAAAACTCTAGTAGATGAGAAGCCTAACGTCAACACTCAAATCTAACAGAATTAGGCAATTAAGCGGCGTCGATTCGGGGCTGGGAAATGAGCAGCGAGCCCGGCGATCGAAATATGCGCGTTGCGCGACAAATGCCGAATACGAGGGACGGCGAGTCGTGCACGTGACATTCGCGCCATACATAGCGAGCGCACGCGCCTTTCCATGTTGCGATCTGGGCGACAATCTTTGCTTCCAGCATTTTTGGTCTCGTCACTTTGCAAGTAGAGGATCATTGAAGCGGAAGGAAGGAAAAAATACTTTGAAGCAGGCTTGAAAAAAATAGAAAATTTACTTTATCAGATAATTTTTTTAAACGTTTTTTTGAGCCGAAATGCTCAAAGTAAAAATCGGTAAAATATTTTGATGCTTCCAGCATTTTTTTGGTCTTGTCACTTTGCAACTAGAGGATCATTGAAGCGGAAGAAAGGAAAAAAATTTTTCTGAAGCTTGGAAAAAAATAGAAAAATTTTTCTTCATCAGATAATTTTTTTACGTTTTTTTCAAGTTTTTACAAAATCCTCAAAGCATTAGAGATTAAGATGAATCCATAAAATATTGCAAAAATTCGACCTTCAACATTTTTGGTCCCTTATCTTTGCAAATGGAGGATCATTAAAGCGGAACACAGAAAAAATCATTTTGGAAAAGGCAGAAAAATAAAATATTGATCTTCAGATATTTTTTCTCATTTTTCGAGATCATTAGAGGTTGAGATAAATCTATAAAATACTGAGACTAATTTCCCGTTCCGCATTTTTGGTCTTGTCTTTTTTCAATATGAAGATCACTTAAGAGAAAGCAAAGGATATAAATTCCGAAAAACGGTTTGAAAATGTTCCTCTTCAAATAAATGTTTCCTTTTCGAATCGTTTTGACTTTATTGAAGCATTAAAAATTGAAACGAATCGGAAAACGCGGCGATGCTTTTCACTCGTAAAGAAAAAATCATGAGAACGGAAAAAATTTGCTTTGAAAAACACATTCAATAATTTTAAAATACTTAAAAAGTTTGCTTCGAAGAAAAAAACTGGAGGCCTGGAAAATTGGAACACCAAAGTCTCCTGTTCTTTGCTCGCTTTAAGGATTTGAGCATCGAAACAAGTGTTCAGCTTTCCTCTCTCGAAGTTTGTTGCACTATTTTCCTTCAATTTTCTAAACATTCCGGAAAACATTTTATTGAAAGTTGGATTTTGAAATCGAGAAAATGAGCTGAAATTTAAAATCCTTCATTTGAGGGTCAATCTAACGAAGAAAAGCCAAAATATGTTGTTATATCCAAGGAAAAGCTGAGGAAAAACGATATAGGTAAATTTTTCCACCTGACAATTTCGCCGACTTTCGAGCGGTGAATTTGTTTTCAGAATCACTAGTGAAAAATAATTGAATTCAGTTATTCCGAATGATAATCATGCCCAGAAAAACAGCTTTTCTGAAAAGTAGGTAAGAAAAATGAAATCAAAAAGGCGATTTCAGCTTATTGAGAGCGATTCGAAGAAAACGTGGGACAACAAGAAAAAAAGTCGAGAATGTGAACGTAAAAGTTGGTGCAAAGCCTGGAAATGTGATGAAAAAGCGCGTGCTACACGTGATTAGAACGGAACGAGACGCATTCTCTTCTTTGCAGGTGATCGAAAGCCTGACGAAATTAACTAAAGTGGGTTAACAGTTGAAAAAGATCGTTTCCTAGTAACTAAACCAGTCGTGAGTGACTGTCTCACTGATGCAATATGACGTAAAAGGTTTGATTTTTTTCAAGTTAAAGGCTGACTCCTAGAAGGATAAAGTCGCTGAATGGTCCGTAATATTTCAAAAAGAAAAAAGGCAGCAAAAAGTATCCTATTTTTCTGTAAATTTCCAAAGTAGACGTTTAAATTTGGTTCTCGTTCCTTTGGGCATTAAATCTGATGCATCATACGCTTTTGAAAATTTTGGTAAAATCGGTGAATGAACTATAAAAATGCTTGATTCGAGAATCTAATTTAAATGGGAAGTTTTTTTCATAATCTCTAATAAGTAAGCTGAGCGGCTCTTTTTATTCGGTTCGCATAAGAAAAGGCAGAAATCCTTTCCAATCCTTCAGAAGCTCAAAAATCCGCTTTTTCCTGAAAGATCTTAAAAATTCGAAAATCTTACCCAAAACCATTTTGCTGTTTTTCAAAGTCTCTAAAACTTCAAAACTCATTAAAATTCAAACAAATGGCGGCTGAGATAATGTTTAGCGAGAGCAAATGAAACTGCATATGGCGCCAATATTGAACGCTTATATATAGTAAACACAGATGTCAACCAGACGGGCACAGACTTTTTGCTCATTTCCAGCTGCCTTTCCTTGCGCATCTTTCGAGAAATCGTACTGTAAAAGGGGAAAAAGTCGGTTCTTGCAAATCGTACAGATAGGGCAGCAGCTCTTATGGAGTACGAGAAGAAGAAGTTTTTTTTTGAGATGGAATCATGTCGATTGAAATGTTGCGCTTTTTGAAATTTGCAAGAGATCTTAAAAAGTTTTCAAAAGATCTTGAAGCGGAAAACCGTTTCCAAGGAAATCAAGAAGTTTTTGTGGGCTCTGCGCCTATAAATCTTTGGCAAGAACTTTTCCATGAGAATTGGATTTGATAACCTTTAGAGTACAGTATATCGGCCAACTCCTAAATAACACTCAGGCAAACCCTGGGAAGGTGTTGGAAAGGTGTATGGAAGCTTGAAGGTTTTGGGAAAGCCTTCGGAAGGCAGATGAAAGGTATTTGGAAGGTGAAAATGAATAATGCCTGCCAGAAGTCTGCTGGAAAGCTTCTGAAAGGCTTTCGACAGACTTTTTCTGAGTAGAAGTTGTTAGGAAGCTATGTGGAAGGCGTTTGACCCCTTGCTGGAAAGCTTCCAAACGCCTTCCGAGGAACCGAAAGCAGATCTTTACCTAAGCATGAGCAAGAAGTTCTCGAGAAAAATGAGAAATTTCCTCCAAAACAGGCGCGAGCTGGATCTCAAATCTGAAATCCTAATTAGAGCGCGTGAAGCCCTCCAAGAGCGGGCTCAGACTTGGGCTCATCGGCTCGCTAACCAGTGGAACTGGTGGACGTGCACATATGGAAGCGGATCGATCGACTCGACGAAGCGATCCTAAGGGGCCGAAGCACGAGATTATTGCCCTGACGGCGTGGGTGGAGGCGCAGACAGTCGAAAAAGGAATGAATGACGCGAGAGCCCTTCGTTCACATGACCTCTTGCTCCAAGAGCACGTCTTCTGAAGAGTTCAGAAGACCTGAAGAGAGCTGGGGAAAACAAGGAAGATTGGGAGGAATAATTGAATAGAAGAAACTTCCGGTTGAACATTATTCTTTCATCAAAAGATTAGAAAAATCGGAAAAATTATAAAAGTCAAAATTTTTGGTTGAAAACCTCAAAGTCAGGATTTTTCATCAAGATGACCTATTGCTTCAAACGTCTTCTAGAAAGTTTAGAAGTCCTCTATTGAAAAATTAAAAAGAAAAGCTTGAGAAGGAAAGAGAAAATTGAGAAAAGGGCTATCAGAAAAAGTTCGAACAGTTATAATGAGGGAAAAAAGATTCGAAAGGACCGTAAAGACGTTTTGCAGTCAAAAAATTTGAAAAAGAAAAAAAATGAGCCGCAGCTCAGTAGCATCAAATGAGAGCTGAATGAAAAAGTAGACTGACTGGAGGAGCCATTTTTTAGAACGCCCCCTTGTAAAATGTGCGAATTTTTGGTGACCTAGGTGTGATTCTGGTGCGAACGGCGCGCATCGCCATCGTAAAACGCATGAAAATACGAGTTGTCAGGTTTACTATGGTCGCGTGAAAAAATACAACCGCACAACATAACAAGAATATACCATATTATTTTGAATGGGCCAAAAATTCGAGCCACTGCAATGTTGTTTCGGTGAACTCTCGCTTTTTTTGAACGTTTTTTTGGCTGGAAGAGGACGCACCCGTAAGAAACTGGTCCTGGAACTTCTGCAAGTTCGAAATATATATAAAACCTTCAAGATAGTTTTTTTCAAGTGACTTGAAAGGAATTTTTTTCAAAATTTTACCGGAAAAAATACCTTTTTTAAACTTGCCCTGATTGAAGATGCATCAGAAAGGTTCGAAAGGACAATTTTGCAAAGTTGGAAAAAAAGAATTTCTTTTAGAAAACCTGAAATTTTTGATGGAATGAGAATTAGATTTTTCCCGTAGAACAAACGAGTTTTCTTAGTAAATTTTGAACTATTAAAAAATCAAATTACATACAAAAATGGTCAATTTCACAAGCTAGCCAAATAAGCATATATTCTCTGTTTTTGAGCAAAGAAGTTCTATCAGAAAAAAATTTCTCTATTTTCTCAGGGGAAAATAGGAAAGGTGGAAAAATGGCCGCTTAAAGGAAGAGGCTCAAAATAGGGCGCAGAAAGGCATGAAAAAATAGCGATTCAAATTTTCTGGGATTTTAAAGAGTCAAGAAATGGTGGGAAAAGGGAGATGCAGCAAAAATGGTGCATAAAAGCCGATAAAATGGCTTGGAAAGTCAGGAAAAGGAGCCTTTGTCACCCTGAAAGGAACATTCCTATGGAGCCTTTTTTTCTATTTCGGACTTTGCCTATATAAAATTTTAACTTCTCAGATCACTGAACTTTTTTGAAAATTATCAAGTGACGATCAATATTATCCTCTCAAAAGTTCAAAAAACTCTTCTGAAGTTCTGCTCTTTCAATCGTCCCCAGGGGCTACAAACCCCTCAACAACCAGTTAATTGTGTTTTGCGCAGAGCCGACTGTCATAAACGGAACGTCGGAACGGCTCAAGATCTATTGGCGTCCCGGCTGTCCGGCGACGGCGTCAGCTGTGCCGAGGGGCCATTTTCTCCCAAACGAGTCGAGGTCAGCAACTTGACTTTTACACATTTTTCTGGATTGAGCTTTTCGAAGCTCTTGCAAGAAAAAACTGGGAAAAGATGACTCTGAAATTGCTTGTAAATGCAACCGAATTCGCATAAATTTTTGAAGCGCCAATGAAATTTTTCATTCCATTTTTTAAGCCTCAAGGAATTACAAATTCGATCCTCTGAACGGAAAAATTGTGAAAGGGCTTCAGGACTTCTAATTCTGAACATCAAAAACTAATCTGGCCGTTTTTTACCGAATTTTCAACCTCAGAGAAAAATTGAATTTCTTGTAAGATCTCAATGATATTTTGTCCTATTTTACTTCACTTTCACGTTTCAAAAATCAGAACCTTTTCAACTCCTACAGAACTGAGCCAGAAAAAAAGAACTCCGTTCAATTTTTATCACAAATAACTGAGCCGACTGGAGCTCTAGTGGTACTACAGAAAAAGTCGTTTTGCGCGCAGGCAAATACGGTTTTCAAGTGTGAATACAGCGATGTGCCAAGTCTCGAGTTTAGCGATAAGTACCCTTGATAGTAAACTAGAAATAGTGTCTTTCAACAACATTCCTACTTTTTTTCCGTTCAAAGATTGGGAAAAAGGAAAAGAATCTGACATGGCGGTCTATAGATACAGCTGAAAAATGTATGCTTTTTTTTTTAGATTTTTTGAAGTTTTTTTCACAACTCTGGCTGACAGTAATTCACAGACAAGATTGGAAAATCTTTAAAAAGAGGACACAATTCTTAAAAAGTCTTATCCGGTATTTTATTAAAATTACGTTAAAAAATTCTTCAAATCTCAACAAATATCTAATAAAAAAATCTGCAAGGTCGAACAAGGAACTAAAAAAATCAAGGGATAGCATCAAAAAAAGGCGATATCTTTTATTAGGGGTTTTTCATTAGATATGCTGTTTGCGTATTAAAAAAACTCACATTTTTTTCGATTCTTTCCAATTTTTTTGCTTTTTTTCAGCTTTGTGAAAAAAATTTTTTCTTTGAATTGAACCCTGTTTTTTTGACAAGAAAAATCTCTAGTTTTTTTACAGTTTTCCTGGGCCCATAATTTTTACACAAAGGTAAAATTGGAAGAAAATTTTTCGCTGAGGACTCAAGAGATCTCAAAATGCATACATACTTAGATATTTTTGAGAAGCATTGAACTAGCCACCGAGAAATTAAGTAATTTTACATGCGACCTGAAAAGGAGTCGTTTTACTTTTTAGTTGTGAAATTCCTTACATCGACAGATATTCTCCTTGATGTACCAAATGAGTCTCACAGTCTCAACCTGTTCGAGATTCTAGTTTGAAAAAAAACTCTTAAAATCACTGAGAACCCTCAAAATTTGTTGAAATTAGCTTTTTTGGGCTTTCAGTCCTTATTTTTAGAAAAACTAGAAACTTTTGCAGGATGAGATTTTCAGAATCTTTTTCTGGTTCACCGAGGATTGTTCTGGTCAATTTTGTGAAGATTACCAGTAGAATGGCTTTCTCTGTGGAGAACTCCTTTTTTTAAAAATTAGTTATAGTTCAAAGTAGTCAATGATGAATCAGCTTTGAAGTATCCTGTGAGACTTTATCGATTGATCTCCTTTGTTTGATTGCTCTCCGCGACATCCAACGACGTCACCGTTGCGAAACTTATCAAAAGGCATTATCACAAGGTTACCAGGAAGCGAAGTCTCTTTGAGCCCGATGGGAAATCTTGCACGGAAAAAAAACGACTTTTTTTTTCTCGTCCGTCGGGAGCCGTCCACAAGCAAACAGACTCTGAAGTTCCCTGAGATCTCTCCTCTTTCTACCTTCCCTATCAACACGATTTCAACTTGTCTGGCTTACACCCACCTGCCACAAGTTTCTGTCAATTGTTTTATTTTTCTGCTTTTTCCGAGTTTTTTTTCCCGTTTCTTGGAAACTTTCAAAGTTCGGCTTTTTTTTGTCGTGCCAGATGCTGCTGTTGACATTTGAACTCTTCATTTTTCTTTGTGTTCCAAAATTTTAAGCCACCAATTTCCTCCTTTTTGTGATTGTATGATATTTGAGAATAGCTATCATATATTGACTATTTTTCGGAAAAATTGAAAAAAATCTGAGATATTTTTCAGTTGGGGTTCAAAGTTTCCTCAGAGCTGAATCTCAAAAACCAGCAGAAAAATTTTTTTAGCCTGTTCATTTTTTTAACGATTTTGAGCGTATGTCAAGAAATTAATCGAAATTATATTTGAAATTTAAAAAAATTATTACAATAGATCTTTATCTCGTAATCCACCGATTGCTAAAAAAATTATTTTATTAGTTCGGATTGTCCAGAATCTTGAACTGAAACTTCAATGCAAAAAAATAAAAAAATGAAGAAGTATCTAAAAAGGGAATTTCGAGACTTACCGCGTTTCAGGCGATGCTCCATAGTAAATTATATAAATTTAAATTTTGCAACTATAAAAATCGTTCGAAATAAAAATAAAAACCGATTCATATTTTTTCGTACATCTGCTGTAGTCCTAAAAGCTTCCTACACATATCGAACTCCGCTTTTTCAGAACTACACCCTATCTCACTTCTCAGTTTCAAAAACGTTACGTTATTCTAGTTGACATCGAATCTTGTTCAAGACTGAAATTCTCTCTCCACTGTAATTGTATAGTTCCGGCTAGCACTTGTGCTTTGAAACGTCTACGCTGTACATGTTCCAGGGCCGAGTTTTTCTGACAGCTGGTCACCCTGGACCCCATGAAAAACTACTTTACAGCTAGAAATTTTCTGAAACGTCAACCTCTAGGTGTAGTTTCAGCCCCGGCTCATGCTCACTTTTGCTCTCATTCCACTCATATTTCCTTTCGTGAACGGCTTGGCTGTTTCAGAGCTCGTGGTTTTAGGAAGTTTTTGGATACTTTCCTTTTTTCAGTAGCCCTAGGACTTCAAATTTTTTTAAAAGTTACTGGAATCTTCTTTACTTCATCCCCATCAAAAGTGATCAGCTTTAAGGAAAGGGCAGAAAGTTATATATATTTTTTTGGTTTGGATCCAGTCGATACTAAAACGAGACTAGATTCAGATTTTTTTCAAAGTGTCTCCAATATTCAACGGTGCCTCAAGAAGAAAAATTTTGATATTTTTCACTCATTGAGTTTTCTTTTTTTTGAATAAGTTTATTTTCGACCATTTTTGTTAAGATTAGAAAACCTTTAGTCCAAATACAAAGACGCAGAAAGTGTCAAAGCTCAAGTTTGTCACATATTTTCAATAAGTTAGAGGGGAATTTCAAAAACTTTTCTTTTCAAATTTTTTTCAGGAGCTTTGATTTCAAAAATTTTATCATTCTGAGACCTTCTATTCGAATATTAAAATATTGGTTTTGCTCAGAACTTCAAGCTTGAAGTAAGACTACACCCGGAAATCCTAAACTGAGATCTTATTTCTCTTTTTAAGAGTGATATCAGAAATGGCCAATTTTAAAATTTTTTTCACTTTTTTCAAATCGCTAAAAAAAATTAATCTGTGAACCTCAGAAAACCAAACGAGGGATGAGAAAATTCTCCACTTGGAGCCTCCCTTTTTTCTTTCTTTTCCGATTTTTGTTGGTTCCACGAATTGGCTTGACTTGTCTACAGAACTGAGTTGCGTCATTGCATCTCTCGAGGCTCGCTCTATGTAGTTTTCACAGAAAAGACAAAAAACGGGGCCGTTAAGGGCTCGAATATTGGGGCTTGTTGAGATGTTAACAGAGAAACTGATTGTGTTAGTTCACGACCTGACAAAGCTCATTTTTTCGAGAATCTTTGCTCTCTGCTTGTACACGTATCAAGGCAGGTTTCACGTTACAAGTTGCGAAAAGTTCGAGAAAAAAAAACTCATCAATAACTCTCAACTTGAAACGGGGATCTTAACTTCGTACAATTTTTCAAAAGAAAAATTCATAATTTAAACTTGTTTTACAATAATTCAAACAAAATTGACATGAGTATATATTAATATATAAAATATCCTGCGAATATCCATTTTCATTCTTGAATTTGTTCCTCATCTTCTCTTTTTCACGACTCGAAATGCTCTTTTTTTCCGACCATAACACTCAATTTCCGCTCACAAAAAAGTAGTTCCAAAATTCCATAATTTTTGTTGACTTCAAAAAGTCCCATACCTTGACGATTTGACCAACAGCCGCTCGTTGAACTTGCTAAAAATAACCGAAATCTTTGCAAATCGGCTGAACATCGAGGCTCAGGTCAGACAGCCAGGTGTTGTGCTTGAAAAACATCGTTTCCGGCGATTTGGGTGTTTTTCCTCCCGATTGCCCACGGGCAACCAGCTGACACTATCGACTACCAATCACTTGTAGCTGTTCGAAAAAGTTAAGACGCCTTTTCGTTCGTGATTACAATTTTCAAAACAAGTTTACTGTTTCGTGTTTTCGGAAAGCTTCAGATATGATATCGATTCTTCGATTTTGATAGAGCAAAGGCTGATTTGAAACAAAACCTTTGGTTCGAATTCTGAATTTTCCTGATTTTTTTTTGTGATTGAATCAAATCATGCATAAAATCCTGGGTTTTGACTTTTTTCAATCCAAAAGCTGGAAGATTCTTCTTTATTTTTATTAACAAGAGAGGTGATTTTACTTTGCAGTTGGGACTTAATTGAAAATTGGCTGAAACACTCTTTGACGCACTAGGAAAAGAACCTGAAAATGACCTTATTTAACGAGTTTACAGGGCTCCTTTGACTTTGAAATTTTCTTCCTCAAGAAATGAAAAATTTGTGTAGATTGAGACTTTCAGGAACTTTCAGTTCTTCAATGAGTGTCCTGGTCAATTTTCAGGGAAATCGAAACCACAAAATTAAATAATCTCCCTTGTTATTTTTTCTGTGATTTTTCCACTTGAACTTCTTTTTATTTTTTTCCTCTGCTTGAAACTTTCGCTTTTTTATTCCACACTTATCAAATCCCAGCAGCGTCTCGAAAATAGCAATTTTCCTGAACTCTGATCAAGATGACACATTCAGCAAGCTGATGTGAACAAAGTATACCATCGCAAAAAAAAATAGTTATCTCAAAGATCCGTGACTCTTCAAGATTGTATAAAAAAAAGGCCTTTTCATCGAGCTACGGTATACAACAAAGAGAAGGCGAAAGTTTCAAGATCATTTTTTATCCATTGATATAAACGAAATCGCGCCGCGCAATGTTTGGGGACCACGGAGGAGGGCTGCGCGGACGGTTTGCCGAAATCTGGCTGGTGTGTAATAAAAGCGACCAATCTAGATGCTCCATCTATCTCATTCGACTCCCCACCCACATCCAATCTCATATTCACTCTTTGCCGCTTTCTTGGATCGCTTCTGACGACCCAGGTATATTTAGCTTCCTTTTTTAGTATGTTCAAAAAAGCTTCTGGGGTCTTTATAAAACAGATGTGAACTTTTTTTTTGAATCTTACCTTGTTTAAAAGATGGTGAGCCTTCAAAGGCCCTTGAAGCTGCTTTGAACAGACTATTCACCTTCCTTTACTTTCAAAATGACGTGATTAGAATTTTAGATATCTGAATTTGGTCTACGATTTTACACTTCAACTACCTTTCCGAACATTCCATCAAATATTTTTATAAAACGTTTTCTGAGATTTTTTTTTTGAAAATCCTAACTTTCAGGTCATTTTGAAGATTTTCCCTTCGAACCTTTTCGAAAAAAAATGCGTCAAACACACCAGCCAGTTTTTGTCAAACCGTCTGAACCTCAAGCCGTGGTCTTCTCAAGTTTTCTTCTGAAAACTTGAAAGATTCGAACTTTACCAAAATCTTCTTTTTCAGTTTCGACTGTGGTTTCTGCAAGGCTGAAGGTTCAGATTGGGTCAAAATTGATCGGTTCTGGGGGTAGATCACCTAAGCTCACCTAGATCCTTGAGAATTTGGGGGCTACCTTGTTAAATGTTAGCTTTTCAGCCGCTCCACTCTACCATGTCGGACGAAGAGGAACAATAGTAGGTTATGCGTTCAAGTTTCAATTCTTACTCTTCCTACTCCTCCAACCCGTCCTCCAGCTCACCACTCTCCTACAGTAGTTCCGCCGCCAGTTCTGTAGGCTTTCGTAGGTCCTCAGCCAGCGGCGCGTCTTCACATGGGTTAGGCTCTCGTTCAGATTATCCTTCAATTAATTATCGCGATCCTCTTCTGCGAGAGCCTTCCCATCGTGAATCGCTGCCGTCTCGGCTCTACCCGAGTAGATCTCCTTCACATCATACCTTAGATAGGCGGTCACAAAATGATGGGTTAGGTGGTAGAGTAACACGTGACGAGCAGACAAATTCATTGCTCGAGAGGTACGGTAGTGGGGGTAGTCAACGTAAAAGTTCGATAGGTGAGAACCCGACCCTTCAATATCTGAAGCAACGCAGACAACAGCAGTCGGACTTGGACAATGGGTTTACCGCGCGAAAGCAGTCGCTGGACGGTGTGGGATACGCAGGTGTTGCCATCGAAGGCATTTTCGGCTCCTCGTTCCGAGACCAGCCTGGCACGTCTTTCGGCAGGGAATCTATCCGGCAAACGCCAGCCGATGCTCAAGATCTCAACCAAAACGAGTACATGAGTCGTCTCATGGCCGCTCACAATCGTGTCGACGAACTTCTGAGGTCAAGAGGGCTTCCTGGCGAGGATGAACGCAAATACTTGCGAGCTTGGGAAGAAATTCCAATACCAGTCATCCGGGAAGAACGTCTTCGAAGGTTGCGGACGCCGAGCAGCTCCAGCGATTCAGGTCTTTCCACTGACAATGACAGCGACCGGAGCAATGCAGAAGCTGTGCCGAGCGTCATCAACGTCCCAGTATCAGCAGAAGATGAAGAGACTCCAGAAGCAGTTGAAGAGACTCCAGAAGCAGATGAGCCTGAAGAAGCGGATAGTGAAACGTCCATTTCTGGAAAGGAAGAATCTGAAGAATCGGCTTGCGTCATACCATTAAAGCGGTCTCTAGAGCGGGTGACTTTCACTTGCACTGCTTCAGTTACTCGTAGAGCTCAAGTTCAGTTGAAACTCGAAGTGAAATCGCCATTCAAAAGGACCACCTACACAATGCCGATGAATTCCAGCGTGAAGGAAAGCGCAGAAGTTCAATGTATGGCGGCGACTTTTGTGAACGACAACTGCTCTAAAGTTCTTCGTGGAGTTCCTGCCAGAGCTTCTTTGACATCAGCTTTTCCTCTCAAGGTAGCCTGGTCCAGAGTGAGGGCAAGTTTCGAAGAAGCAAATCCAGTCCAATCTCCAGCCAAGAATGCGTTGCTGCAACGGAGGAAGACCTATGAAGAAAATGTGGGAGTCCAGCAGAAAAACGTTTTGGCGAGCCTGAAGAGGAAAAAGCTGCCAGCCGTTCCGAGTACGGCCGAAATATCGATACAGCATTGCAGCTTCTACACGCAGACCGCTAAGGACAACTTTTCGGAGAAGAATGTTCGCATCAACTTGAGATTGACAGAAAGGGCTCCGAAAGACTGTACTGCTGTCATCAGTCTTCCAGCTCCTCCAAAAGTTGCCTATGCAAGATTGGACGTCGTCATCAAGAAGCCAGAGCCACCAAAACGGTCACAAACCAGTCAGCTACCTCGTCCTGCTAAAAAAGTGGTTGGAAAACTGGATAGGTCGTTCACTACAGATCTCAGCTTGGACAAGGAGAAAGAGCAGCGCAAGGTGAACAGGTTGATCATACCTGAATATTTCTTGCAAAGCTCAGCCGAAGCTCTGGAGGACTTGAAAGGTATGCGTGACACGTTGAAGAGAGTCCCAATCATTGGCGGCTTCCTGGTCACGCCGAAGCCAAAAGGACCTGCTTCCCAACTCCGTCGAGCTGGAGCCATTCGTCGTCGACCACCTCCCTCTAAGGAACATACAGCTCCTTATCTCGATTTTCTGCCTCCAACATCACCAGGAGCCAGGGGTTCAGTGCCTGAGATCAGAATCCAAAGACCACCTGATCCAGATCCTCCGCCCATACCGAGACAACAACCATCCAACGCCTTCGCAGGTTATTTAAACTTGCATGGCTCCCTAGAGCGTTCCGCGACGTCTAGAGGAGCCGTAAAATACGAGTCAAAAAAACAATTCGCGGAACTGTCGGAAACTGATCGAATTCTCATTGAACAATATCGTCGCAAACTTCACATTCCTTGCCCGCGGGCCATCATCCGCGCTTTGTCGCCAATACAAGCCATCAAATCATTCACTGCCCACCTGAAAGAACGGTGCCAGTCGCCTCCTCGAGCCAAGTTCATCCAGAGAGCGCCGCCTCGTCAATTGCGGCCGAAAACTCCGGTTAGAGCCGAATCGCCGCCTCGGCTTCACCGCGTTGTCCCTCTGCGAAGCACTGTCCAGCGAGCAAATCACCTCGACTTATCGATCCAACTCAAGCGCGTTGACATTGAAAAGCACAAGCTACGCAAAAAACCTCTGAAACGGTGCATTAAATGGATTCCGCGTTGGCGGAAGAAGTGGTAAGATCAAGTTGAGAATCGAAAAAAATGAAAATGATCACTTGAGGGACTCATGAAAAGTTCGTGTGTTTCAAAAATCAGTTTAAAGTGTTTGGATGCATCAGATTCGAAGAAAATCGACTTTAAAAAAAGGAAGCTTCAAATTTACAGTTTCTTGTTTTAATAAGTGCCTAGGAGTCACCTCGAAATAGGGAAGATTTTGCGGCGTTAATAATGTTCTCATATCTCTTAAGTGGTCATTTCTCAAGTCTCCCTATGGAATTTTCAAAATTTAGGCCACTGCAAACCATGATTTACAGCACCGACGAGGAGGTTGAAGAAGTAGAAGAAGAAGAAGAGGAAGAGCAAGAACAACAGGAAAAACCTGCCAGCATCGAAGACAAGCCTGAGAGGTTTTCTATTAATTTTCTCTTGGGTATAGCCTTTCGAAGTTCTGTTTTTGTAGCATTCCAGCATAATTTAACAAAAAAACATTTGGATTTTCTCATTTTGATATTCTCATGATAACTAGTAAAACTTGAATAATAAGTTTTGATGCTCACGACGTCCTCTATTCTGAACTTTTGGCTGAAGAAGCTTTGAAAACTGCAAAATTGTAACATTTCTCACTTGAAAAATCGCTGAGATCTGTCAAAATCTCGGCAAATTGGCTTTTCATTTAGCGATAGCGTGTCAACAGGCTCACAATCTCGCAATAAAATCAATCGGTAAGCTCGCCCACGTATTATCCGAGCAAACATCAATAAAATAACTCTCCCGTTTCCCCTTCCGAGTCCAATAAACCAAGTAACCGAGAACAAATAAAACCATACCACAGAATACGTTTTCATTCGCTAACTTTTTCCCGTTTGTCTTTTTTTTTGGTTTTCCTGATGAGAGTTATGATTTTGTTGAACTGAGAGATATATTGAACTTAATTTATTGAGTAGAAAAAATCCTCGAATAACAGATCTTCAGTTCAGAGTTGGATTAATTTCACCCACCAAAATAATTTCCCCATATTTTAAAGGGGTTAACTTGGTTTTTAGTAGTACTTAGCTTAACCTTGACCTTCCTAACAAGATGAAGAACTTCGAAAAAAGGGAATACTTTTCAGACCGAAGACCAAGTCCATCACGGCTGAAGAAGATGTTGAAGGTCTTACCGAAGGAGAAAAAGCCATGGCGGTTGGTTTTTTCAGATACTTATTGCTCAAGTTTGCATTATGTCTATTACGTTTCCTCGATTAAAAGTTAGAAAGTTTTAAGCGAAAAAATTGAAAACTGGTCATAAACGACTTCCCTGTTTCAGGCTGCCAAGCGTCGCCATGAAGAAGAGCAAGAAGCCAAGCTGATGGACTACGAAGAAAGACGTCGCATTGAGCGCGAAAAAGAAGAAGAGGAGCTGAAGAAGCTCAAGGAGAAGCAAGAACGTCGCAAGCTTGAACGCGAGCAGGAGGAGAAGGAGCAGGAAGAGCGTCGTCGTACGGCGGATGAACGTCGTCGTCAGGAAGAGGTGAGTTTTGGCTTAGAATTGCTCAGGATGCTGAAAAATGGCAAGAATCAGTTTAACAGAAGCAAGAAAAAGCGGGAAAGGCTTCCAGTTCTCGGTCAGAAAATAAAGTTTTTGTAAAACAGAAGCATCTTGCTCTCAAAATCTGATCTCCAAAAAAACTTAACAACTAAAACTAAAAACATTCCAGGAAGAGCGCAAAGCTCGAGTTGAGGAGGAAAAGCGCAAGAAAGAAGAAGAACGAAACAAGCGTTCTGCAGCCATCGGCGGTTCATTCAACCCCGCTGGCGGCAGGAATTTTACCATCCCGAAAAAATCCGAGAAGTCAAACGACAAATTTGGCAACATTGTACAGGCCAAGCAAGAGATGGGCATGACCAAGGACCAGCAGGACGAGGCCAAGCGGGTATTTATTCGATTCTGATTTTCGTTTTCAATTTTTGAAGTCCAGGTTTTCATGGCGGCGATCCGCAAGGGAATCCCAGAATCTGGAGATATCTTGCCAGCCGACCTGAAGGCTAAGATCAAGGAGTTGCACCAGCGCATTTGCAAGCTCGAGGCGGACAAGTACGACCTCGAGAAGCGTCATGAGCGACAGGCTTATGATGTGAGGAAAAATAGGAAATTTTTTGACTGGAAATAGGATGTTTTCAGCTGAAAGAGCTGAACGAGCGTCAGCGTCAAGTTGCCCGTCACGCTGCGCTCAAAAAGGGCATCGACCCTGCTGAAGCCAGCAACTCTCGCTACCCGGTAATTTCGCGAACTGTGCAATTTGTTACTGTCTGACCTCTCAGTTCTTCTCTATTTCTTTGACTTGAAAAAGCGAAAAAAAGGGAGCAAGGCAGAATTTTTCAAGTTGTGTTGAAGGGGGTACAACGGTTTTCTTCTAAATTTGGTACGAATGGCTTCTTACTCGAATGGCTATGCTTGGCTATTTTTCAGTTCACTCACCACTGGCTGATGAAAAAAAGCTATAGAAAATTTTTTTTTTCTGAAAAAAGTTTACTGAAGCTACATGAAAACAAAAAAAATTCATGAAATGTGTGCGACAAAAACTCATTTTTAGCATGAGATGCGCTTTTTCAAGTACTGGAAAGACGAATGATTGGTTAAAAAAGTGAAATAAGAAGAAGCTTTATTTTTCTCAACCAAAGCCCGTGGTGAACAGTTTTTTTTTCTTCTGAAATTTTCGTTTTGACTTTAGTAGTCCTCTAACTTAGACTTCCTTCTTTTTTAATGAACTCCTCTGCACTAACCGCTTTTTTCAGCCGAAGCTTCCACTAATCTCGAAATTTGAGCGAAAGACCGACCATCGCTCTTTCGGTGAACGAAAAGCTCTCTTTTCTACAGTAAGTGTTTTTCCAGGCCAAAGTCCAAATCGTGTCCAAGTACGATCGTCAAATCGATCGCAGAAACTTCCGTGAACGTCGCTCTGTCTTTGATAATGTATGTAGTTTGGTCATAGTTCGACTGTCCTTGTCTTTTGTCTTTTTTGTGTTTGAGTGTGGATTTTTAGAAAAATGGCTACCCATGCTTCCCAGGAGTTCCACCACCACCAGCCATTTATGAAAAAGTCATCTTGGCCGTCGAGGCGCCGGAAGAGGTTAGATTTTCGGTTTTTTGTGAGAAAAAATACACGAGAATTGTTTATAATCGAAAAAAATAATTTTTAAAAATACAGTCTTTGTTATCATCCGTTATCAAATTTAATTTTGAGAAAAGTGTAGGTCACGATCCAGATGACTCAAGATGACTTCAAGATTATTGACTCAAGATGCCCTGGTCGCAAAAAAAGGCTCAAACTCAAAAAAAAGTTTCAAGGCGCGTCCGACTGTTAACGGCTCGCGCAGAAAAAGCTTGAAGATTTCTGAAGAATGCAGCTTCTGAGCATTTCCGAATGCGACCAAGGCTTCAAAAAAATTTTGTAAAATCAAGATCATGGTTAGACTTTCGAGAAACAGAAATAATTTGTATATTGGAAATTCCGCTAAAGAAATGAAGACATGACCATATAGTTAGCAGATTCACACAATAACTGTAAAGAACTTTAAAAAAATGGAAAAAGAATAATCAGAGAAATGAAGTGAGTAAATTGCAGGAGGCCGCGGCTGAGGTTCGTCATCCACCTTCCTTTTCCTTCTGAAATTTTTTCAAAACGCGTGACCTATGCGTTAACTTGTTTCAGTCACAGAAAGATTGATTTTATCGAGAAAAAAATTACGAAATTTCTGAATTTTAAATCTTCTCAAAAATATTGCTTTTGTTAATCTCAAAAAAATTTGGAGTTTGCTGAATTCCTTACAATTTGAGAGAATTTTCAGGAAGAAGAGTGACGACGGAATTGGTTTCAATACAGATGTTCGCTTCAGATCCGACAGACACTTTTTTTTCCATTTTTTTTTTCAATTTTTCAAAAAATTTATGTGTCTTCTTGATAAATGTTTTTATGTGTGTTCGATGTTCCAATCTGCACGGATTTTCGTTATCTTTGCGTGGGTTTTTGTGAAGTTACATTTTTGTTTTAAACAAAGGGAAAATAAGCTGGATTTGGTTGTGTTAAGCTCCAGTTGAGGTACTCAGATCGGCTCTTCAGATCGTGTGGGAAAAGAATACAACTCATATTGGTTCCCATTTTAGAAGCTTGGAAAAACAGTGGAAGAGCCTATTTTGGCCCGTGGCACTGCAAAACCGCCTCCAGAGTGGGGCTGCAAGCCGAACGAGGAGATCAAGGCGTATTTGAACAGTCCGGACAGATGTCCGAGATACGTCGAAAAGGTGAGTTTTCAAAAAAAAAAGAAATCTCTTTCCATAACTTTCTTTCTCAAACTCATTCTTATAGCTTCTAGGATGGGCTCTATCTGTGAAGTCTTGATAAAGAACCAGGAAAAACCCAAATTCAAAAGGTTATGATCAGAAGGTTACGACGTCTTTCACTGCGTTTTCAGAAGTTTTCAAGGTTTTTCTTAGTCAAACTAAAAATTCCATATTCTATTCTTTTCACCGCTTAAGATCTCAATCAGATCATCCAGCTCTCAATCTACAAGGGAATCAAAAAAATCTTATAATCAACTTCTCGGTTTCAGGTACCGGTTATTGGAGCCCGACCGCCAATGGAACCAAAACCACTCCGTCTTCCTTCCATCATGGTTTCTCCAATATTTCTTCTTTTTCCATCAAATTAATTTTTTCAGACCAAATGAAGTGCGACAAACAATCTGAAGATATTGCGACAAAAAACACCACCATCAATCAACCGACAAAAAAAAATCAAACCAAAGATCCGAATTCGATCCAAAAATACCATCCAATCCGACAGTTCCCAAAAAATGACTCGTATTTATGCCTTCTCTAATTATTCAAAATTTTCAATTTTCGAAAATGCGTTGTATCATAATCATGTATAAGTAGTACCACAAGACGTCTTTTTCGGCGGTTTTTCTTCCGTTCCTGCAGTTTTTGTGTTGTTTTGCACGGAAAGAGAGAAAAATGGGCAGAAGAAACATCACAAATCGCGCGGTAACGACGGAAATCGTTGGCGAGCCGCCAAGGTTTCAATGTTCTCAAAAACGCGGAAGATTGACAGCAACCAATCTTTTTTCCTTCTTCCATTTTTTTTCGACTTTTTCTGGTTTCGGCCACCGATAGGAGTCAGCTGGATTCTTCTTCTCCATGCAATACAGTTCATACAGGAAAACAACTCTTTCAGCGAATTTCTGTAATTGATCCCTTCGAACCCCTATAAATAGGCTTTTTTGTTTTGTGTGTAGTTTGGTCCATCTAATCAGATACCAACCAACGAATGACTTTATCAAAAGTTCCGATGACTTCATTTGAATAAATTATTTATCGCAAAGGATTTTAAGGTGGCAATTGAGAAGCAAAAATTCAAAGATTATCGGTGAATAAAATTTGATTTTTTTCGGGAAAAAAACTTCTGGAGGGTATCAAGAACAGAAAAAAAAATTTTTTCTAGCACCACGATTTTTTTGAAAACTTCGTTTGCATTGTTATTTTCAATATCAGTACAGCCAACTTTTTCAAGCTACAAATCTCCCACTGAAAAAGTTCCAAATTGGATGATCATCCTATGATTATTGTTCAGTAAAGTCACGAGGGTACCAGAAAAAGTTTATTTGGTCCGTTCAGCAACTGAAAAAAGGTTTCTCAACGTTTGTAGTTTGAGAAAAAAATTTGTTTGGGGTTTTACAAAAACAAAGTCTAATAATGTTTTTTTATGCATTTTTTTGCAATTTATTTCTTGAAAGAGGAACATGAATTGGTAAACTTCAGGTTTTAATGTTGATGATCCACAGGAGCTTCTTGATGGGTATGAAGCACGGTGAAACCGAAAAAAACTCTGCATATAAAATCTTCGTGGTCGTTTTAAATGCACTACGGTAGTTTTTTCATTCATATCTCGGTTCGAAAACTTTTTTTGATGTTGTCAGTTTCATCTGAAGTCAGCTTGAACCGGAAAGAAAGAAATGATTACACTAACCTTGGAAAAATGAGCCATGAAGTTTTTCAAAATTAAGGTCTATCTTCAATTTTTTTTTCCTAGTCAGGGGTGAATCAACTGTTCCCCATTACACATTATCTCAATCGACAAAGGAATAAAAGACAAAACCGAATACCCGGCTTCCTCTTCCGTTTGTCGTTTCATCTCAATCCTCATTTGATAAATTCTGAGAATTTACTCCGCCGATTGGCAACATCCGGTTCATCCCGTAAAAACAAAGAAAGGGCAACTTACGTGGGACTGAACTACACACGCGCCTCTTAAGCAAATAAATCCCCATGACGTTCTGGGGCCAGCATATTCGGACAAGTGGAAGAATGGCTTCTTTTCTCTTTACTTATCCTTTTTGGTAGAGCCAAGGGCAGTCTGGCGGCTTTCCGATTACTGTAGTTTTCGAAAAACAGAACTCTGTGATCTTGGAAGGGTTTGTTTGCAGAAGACTTGACTTACTGACCATTTTGCAACCTGGCACATGATACTTTCAGGAAAACATTTGGTGAGAAAATAGATCTTCCTGGAAGAAAATATCAAGTTTTTTGAATCGTTCTAAAATATGAAGTGGATGGTATAAACCTTTTCAGAATGTTAAGATATATCAATAGTTTCAAGTGAGCACTCTGAGAAGCTCAGAACGGCTGATTTTACCTTAATCTGATCATTCTGAGTGATTTTTTTTGATGTTAAGTTTGAACACTTGCCTGAAACAGAAAAAAATCGGCTTTTTGAGGTTGATAAGATCTCTTTGAGTGTTATCATCATTCTATAAGAACGTGAACTCTCTTTAATCTTCAAATTTCTTCGCTATTTAAAAAAAAATTAAGTGGCCTTCAGATGAACGAGAGAAGTCAAACTTGAAAAAAAAAAAATGAAAATCTGAAATATCATGAAAAATAAAGATAAACAAATAACTACAAAACACTTGATTTATTTTTGCTTCTAAAAAAAGTATCAAACTTTGCTGTTTCATTTGAAAAAAGGTCATTTTCTCGCCAAGATTCCTGATCTCTGGGTTCGGTATTTTCTCACACCACCAACTCACTGAAACAACTTGCGAGAACGCCATTCCAGAAAGTCAACGGATAGTAAGAGAACTAGTTCTCCGCTCGCTTCGGAGTGTTCCTGATAATTTGATTCTGCGGGAAGAAAAACAATATAAAAAGCGGTACCACAGTTCTCGCACGCGCCTTGCCAAGGATACTTCCATGAAGATCTACGGTGAATGAGGCTACCAACCAACCAAACACCATAAGCGGCAAGGAAGAACGCCAAAATAACAAAAAGCGAGAATTAAGGTTAAGTTCCGTCTCGCATTTGCCATCGGATCTTCCTCCAATTTTTTGATTCAGTGAATCTTTTCTAGGACACAATCGACCATCTGAACAACTTCTAGACTTTTTTATTGAAGGATATGTAGAACGTAAATATTTTGCTCGCTAATTTCAGATTTCAACAAGCGGCTGATCCTGGCATTTTTGAAGTGAATGAAACTAGAACATTAGGGAGATAAACTGGAGACATAGTAGATGATTATGTTTGGTCTTTTCAGTGTTGTGGACATTTTCTGAGGATAAGATATCAAAGTGAATGGATTAAAAAATATTTCAATGGCAGTTTTTCATCCCTTCTTTGACGATTCGAAACTTATAAAACAGCTTTGATCATGAAAAATCCTTTTAACTGCAAGAAAAGTTCTAAAATGGAGCAATTTCTTCTTTCCGCGTTTTTCAGCGTGATATCGTTTTTGAAACCATTTCGTTGCATTTGGAATGGTTAAAAGAGGCGATGGTGGAAGTCCAAATAAAAAAGCCACTTTTTCGATGGTTTTTGACGCTCTGTAGCGTTTCTCGTTTCAGGTCGGGCGCATTCAAAACTACTTTAAAGAATTCGATTCCATTTGAGACTATTCCTTCCAGTTTTTTTCAAAGTCCTGGTCTGAAGGAAGGACACCTAGAGTTTTGATCAGTCCCAAACTGTTTGACTTCATTCAGGTTTTGTTGAAAGTACAAGAACGGCGCTGGAATTGTTACAAAAAATACTGTCATGCGTTCGAATGCTGTTCGACAACACTCTATTGGGTGCAAAATTCTGGTATATCGCTGAAACTCGATTATTTCAAGCTGCATCCTTAAAATTGACCAACTTTCGGTCCAAATTAAAGACAAATTAATTTGCAAACTTTTCAATTCTGGATGTACCAGGAAGCCATCTAGAGAAACAACTGATTTATAAACCAGAGTTTGAATTTCTCATTTTACAAACACTTTTCACCGATATTTTGAGACAAAAAAACTTTCAGACCTTTTTTTGGTTTTGTCCGCTGATGTTGCGAAGTGCTAGAATTTTTCATAAAAAATTAGAAAAAGATTAATTTCCATAGCAAACCATCCAACCCCGCCAAACTTCTGGCCAAACTCCAAACGGGAGAAAAACAAATCACCAAGGGTTCTCTGAAAAAAATCTCGCTTACGAAACACTTTTTCACCTATCTTCTCCGCCATTTTCAGTGTTCATTCTTGCCAAATATGGCTGAATCGTATGTGACCACATGACTTGTGTTCAAGGTTTTTCTGTTCGTTGCCGTAATATAAGGTGGGCCTCCATGTCTTGTGTCCAGCTGACTTTTGCGTTCCCTTTCATCCGCTCGGCGTCGAAGACTACAGGTCTCCTGCCCTTTTCGGTGTGGCCATCGGGCAAAAAAAAAGAAGAAAAGATTGAGATCGTCTGGAGTGAATTTAAAAATAAACTTGAAGAGACCTAGATATCACAAGGAAGTTGGATCAAAATACGGATTGGAAGGTCTACTGGAAAGTAAAAATAAGCTAGAACCTACTTAGGATTTTTTAAAGCCTCCGAAAGCTTTCTGTTGATAGAATTGCTTCTGAAACTATCTGTTTTCAAGCTTTAAAATACTGAAAAAGTTTGTTTTACAAACGCAAACATCTCCAAACTTGTCTCGGTTTTGAATCACAGTAATACTTTTATGGAATAGAAAAAGATATTGAAGTTTCGGAAGCATGGGATCAAGTCCTAAGTCTTATGAAGCCAAGTGTAAGATAAAAGAAAAAGAGAAAATTATACTCCAGCTCAAACTTTCGAAAAGCAACGCAATTAAACAACTCCCTGCAATTTTGTGTAGCCAAATCTTTAAAGTTTATATACAGCTGCTTTAGCCACAAAAAATTCTTCCGCAAATATTAGAAATCAAACAAGAAGTATGTCGCCAAAGTAGCTCGGGGTCGGGTGCATCCTATAAAGGAAAGAAAAATAGAAATCGCGCTTCAACATTTTGAATGCGATGTAATTAAAGCCATTCCCTGCAATCCTTGGGTTTCAAAATTCAGGAAAAATCATGTTGAAATAAATTGGTCAGTAGACCATCTTTAAAGAAGAATATTCATAGTTTAAATTTTTTTTTAGGAAGTAAAAACGTTTTTTCCGAGTTTTCGAAGCGTTCAAAATCTGAAAAAATGCATTTTCAAAGCCATTTCTTGCTTTTCATGTCGTTTCAAGACGCAAAAGTTTTAATCTTCTTGAACTTATTTTTCTCAAATACCAAGAGATGATAAATTTTTGAACTCCTAACGGTTTCTGGTTTTTGTTCCTCTACAACTGGAACCAGAAAAAAACTATCAAGCAGCTGACCTGATAAAAAGAGTAATAAACACCGTTCTTCGCTTTCTCACCTCTCTTGCCAACTTTTTTTTTTGGTCTCTAATCATCAAGTTTGCAAAGTGCCCAAAATATAAACGCAAAAACATATTAAGACTTCAAATTTCCACTCGAGACCAGAATAGAAACGGGAAACTTATTGAAAGGAGCCAAAAATGGCTAGATTCCATCGACAAAACTTCCTTGCTCCTTGAACCTAAAATTAGAGAAACTTTTGGATTTTCGGGGGTGTGCTCGGCGGAAAGGTTATTTCTGGCCGTCTCACGTGGATTTCGAAGCAACAACCTCCAGCAATTGAAACTTTTTGTTGGTTTTGGTCAACGAAATGATGTGGAGGACCAACTTTAAAGAGCACTTTTTTCCCCAAAAAAGGCAATTTTCAGAGTTTCTTCAGGCGGTAAACACGTGTCGATTCTGTTTCCGTATTGTGACGTTGATCAAAAATAAACAATACAGTAATTTTGAAGTGAACGCATAGCATTTCCCCGTTGCTTTCGATTTCTTTCACCGAAAACCAATCACATCATTGGTTTTCAAGGTTCAGTGCCAGGTTTTTGGTTTTGATCGTTTAACTCTACACAAAATATAATTCATTACAATTGATCGATGTTTCACTAATTTTATAATGCTCAATGTTCTCAGTAAAAATTTCTAGAAACCTGTTGAAATTTGAAAAAAAAATTCCCTTCGAAAAATCAGTTTTAAAGCTACTCTTCTTTTTTCTTTTTAGCTTTTTGTTATTGCGAAAAAAATTTTACAACATGGTCTGTTTTTCACTTTATCTTGTGATTTTCTCGCAAAATCGCCTTATTTCCAGAAAATAGCTTCTAAGCTCCGGCTGAGCCCGAGGAAGAAGAGGCGAAAAAATGTTGAATTCATTCAAATTGCAAGAATAAATCTGATAATTCCACTCCGTTTTTATCAAAGCTTAAATCGTGAGGAGCTCAAGATTCAGAGGAAAAAAAATGATTGAAAATATATTTTAATGGGAGTCCACTTGTGGAATTGGAAGTTTTACGATAGAATTTTTCGATATTTCCTCCTGCTTTGAAATGAATTTCAATCGTTTTCATCGCAGGTTATGAGAACAAATTTCAGATGATAATGGTTTTAAAAATGGTTTTTTAAGACCCATATGTCTCATTTTATATTTATACTTGGTTTCCGTTCCTGGAAGCCGTAAATGGAAAAAAATAGCAGTCTCACCTGAAGATTGTCGCAAAATGTTTTTTTTTTTACTCAGAAATTTTCTACCTTCTAGAGGAGGAAATCGGTAAAAACTTTTTAGGTTCATTCTCCATTTTACGAGAAAAAAAGAATTTTTTTGTTGATTTTTTTGAAGCCACCTGTGAATGAACTATAGCTGACTCTATGACTTCTGATTGCTGTTTCAAAGATTTCATTTGATTTGCAGTTTCAAAAAAAGTTTTGTTGAGATAATAGTTTATTTCAGTACCCGAAGAATCAGTATAAGCGTATAAAAATATGGAACAGTAACAGTAATGATGAATACAATTCATACAGCTCAAGCTCTTGAAAGCATTACACTTTGTGAATAATTGGAGGACAATGGAACGAGGATTTGAGATCAACTGGTCACACGATACGCATTTGTACAGGACAATCAAGAAAGAGAACAAGAAAAGGTGTCAAAAACACCCGACGCTAACTCTGAAGGCCTAATAACCGGCAAGGAAGTAATGAGGGATTATCTAGAAGCGAACAATCGAGAGAAAAAAGTGCTAATTTGGGTAGACAACTAACAATCGACTAGCGTAAAAGGCTATGAGAAACGGTGCCTAGGGCAAGGTCCATTCAAAGATTAACAAGAAAAACGGATAAGGCGGGTTTTCCTTAATCCAGCTAAAACTCATTCATCACTACCTCAAAAAAAAGATTTTAGGTACCCGACTTATTCGTTTTTTTTTTCTCCGACAACGATAAAGCTCTTGCTCACTGTTTTGGCGAATTAAATAAATATCTAGCAACTGGTAAATAATCTGTAGTTTGTTTTCTTTTTTTCCAAAATCTGCAACTGGGATGGATTCGCAACGGCCGCCTCTCTGTGTTGTTGTTTTTGGCCGTGATCACTTGCTGACCTAAATAAAAGAACATTAAAACATTCAGACAAATGGTTGGAAGTTTGGAGCGTCTTCGGACTCCAGAAGAATAGAAGACCTACCGGGGCTTCCTTTGCCGTTGGGTAGAAGAAAGAGGTCTGTCGGTCTTCGCCGTGCTCATTTGAGGCGACGCACGTGTAGTCGCCCATGTCGTCCCAACTCGTCTTCTTGATCATCAGATCGCCGTTCGGGAACACCTGCAAAAACTTTGATCGTTAATTCTCTGTCTACCGTTTTTGAGATCAGACAATCAAGATTTTAATTCAATTTACCTCGAAGTTGGGCAGATCATTGAGAAGCCGTCGGCTCTCGTCGTACCAAGCGATGGAAGCTGGGACGTTGGTTCGGCAGATCAACTGGACGGCGTTTTCCTCGTTCTCAAACCGAGATGCAGTCCATTGCACAATTTTCGGGGCCTCTTTCACGGCTTCCAAACATTTCTCGTCACCAGCTGAAAATTGCCATACTTTATAATAATTTTTGATTTAAAGCTTACCAATGGTAACTTTAGCGCTCTGCTCGATTCTGCTGTGGCCGTTGGTTCCGACGCACTTGTACTTTCCAGCGTGAGACTTGTCGACGCAAGGAATGTAGAGTTTGGATGTAGTCACGCCGTTTTGGATCGTGACTTTGCCGATGTTGTGAAGCTTCTCGTAGATGGTATTGTCGTAGCTTCCAGAGATTCTCTTTCCGTTAAGAGTCCTGTAAAAAAGATAAATGAGACTTTTGAAGCTTTGAAAGCAGAACTAACCAGTAGACGACAGGAGTTGGCACTCCGGTGACTTCGCACATGAGTTCGAGGGGGAGTCCGGCTTGGAGAGTCTGGTTTTCCATGGAGCTATTGGTGAAGCGAAGGTCGTAGTCATCATGGATTTCATCTGAAAGTCGAATATTCAAAATGGTACGAGCTTTTCTCAAACTCACTTTTGTCGAGTTCTCGGTTGAGCGAGGACAAGGTCTCTTTGACTGCCTGAAACTTGGAAGCATGAGAATAAGTCCCGAATGGTTGAAGGCTTACCGTTCTGGAAGGACGGCACAGAACTTGGTAGGTAAGGAGCAGGCTGATGAGAGCACGAATGATGGAGCTCATTGTTGTTAGTTAGACGATTTGGTAGAGGAACCGCCGCTGCTTGCCTTTATATACCGAGGGCGGAGCGATGAGGCGGCGGCGGGCCCCGCCTCGACGTTTGTAGCGAACGGCCACGCTCCCATCCGAAGGATCACGGAGCTCTACCGTAGTTGGATATGAAGGGCCTGCCTCCTCGATCGGCACTACCGTAGCTTGCACTTGAGGCATGTCCTTATGAGGAACGGCCGTTGGTAGAATAACACGAGTGCAGTGAACAGAAAAGGATGTTGTTGAAGTTGGAGGAACTGAAAGGAATTCCTTAGGAAGTCTGACCTGCGATGGACAGAAAGACACTTTTATATCTTGCTGAAAAAAGTCCTTGGACTAAATTTCGGATGTTTTTCAATTTTGCAGATCAAATGAGAAATGGGACTTGCAGACCGAATATTTGAAAAATCAGAAAGAACATTTTTTTTTTCTGGACAACTTCTCATCACTGACTTTGTAGGGACCAAAAAGTGCTTTCTAAAATAAAAAGACCTGGGCAGCTGGCTTTTGAATACTTTGAGCTAAACTTGATTCGAAAATGAAAACTATACATCCTATAAAAAAAATCTCATTGAAAGTCCGATTTCTGTTCTTCGAGATTTTCTAGCTGGATATCACATGAAAACAATTTTTTAATATTTTTTTCTGATGCAAAATATATATTGTGCGTTGAGTCAGACTATATTCGCTTCGATGAAAAAAGTCACAGGATTTCTCATCACTACAAAAGTTTGGACTCCTGGCTTGTTTTTTGAAAAAATAGCTCAAAATAGGGAAAAAAAATGTTGTTAGCTAGAAGTCAGATCAAACTCCGCATGACTATATTTTTTGAATTTAGGTGAGTTTACAGTTTCATACTTTTTGTGGTCTGAAAGGCTAATGGTGTTATGTGGCGTTTGAGATAGAAATTTAGAAATTTTAGTTTAAATTTTCTTAGGATTTTTTGTCACGACTCGGTTCCATTAGAGTCCCTGGTTTAGACCAGTTTCGAATGGGAAAACCCTTTCTTTTGAAACTTTACAGACTCCAAACTTCTCTGGGAACTTTCCAGATGCTTCTCAGATTTCTCAAAGCCACTTTCACTGGAAAATAAACAGGAAGTGATCGCGCTATTCTTTCAATCCATCACCGATCTGTTATCTTAGCCATCAGCGGCTTTGATCGAAGACGTGCCCGATTTCACACGTCACTTTTTCCTGGCTGAACGTTCACATTTTCGGTGTCACAGTTTACCGTTTTTTTTTTCCTCCTTCTCTTTTCTCTCGCGAGATCCACAATTCGGTGGTCAGCAAAACAAGGTAACAAATAACCTGCAAACAACGGATCGGGATCCTCCTCGACAGTCGGATCGGGGTGACGTTCTTTCGCGTCTTTCTTTGAAATAAGGTCTTCAAATAATCCGAGACCTTTAAGATTGATCCCTTCTTTTTTCGATATCTCGACCAACTTGTTTCACGTGACTTTCTGCTTGCCCTCTTTTTGATACGATAAGAAAGATATTGGCAATGGTTTATACCGGTTAAAACACAGACTTCAAGGTCTTTATCGTTAGGTTTCGTCTGGAGATAGACCAGTTGGAGATTGATAGACTGTTCGAAACAGTTTGTAGGGTATTTAGGCGCATCAAAATTTTATGGGACCATTCTTGTTATTTTAGGTCATCCAAGAATCCAGCGAAGATTCTCGATTTTTTCAAATTTCATCACGAGTTTCTGAGCTTTTTTGAGGTTAAATGGTAGATTCTTTGCTCTTAGTCGTTTTGTCTTTTCTTGGGTCTTGTGATTATTCAGCAAGCTTTCTTAGAAGAGCCGTTGAAAAATCGAACAGTTTTTTAATGTTTGAATATTAAAAGAGACCGATTTTCCGCTTTTTTGATTTTTTCGCCTTGTCGGCAAAATATTTTCTTATATGAATGGTTCCAAAAGAATCACCGACGCGCGTGTTTTTTTGCTCATCGTCAGCAAAAATCGAAGAATAAGAAAAACAAAATTTGGTTAAAAAAACGAAGTAGCAGGTTTATGGAACTTAGCAAAAGTTTGATTGACACCTTTTGAAAGTAAAAAAAAACTGTATTGTCCAATTTCGGAATAAACTTCACTATTAGTCAGCCACTATTTACTCTTTGTTCTGCGACATTTCAAAGTAATGAATTTCGAATTCATTAACCAGGTTTTCATTGACCTCCGCCTAATTTTTTGCACTTTTCTAGCGTAGGCGGCGGCTTTTGAAATTTCACTACACATTTTGAGACTATTTTGTGGTTCAGTAATCTCAGAACGAATTTCAATTCATGAATGATTGCAGATGGACTTATCTGGGATAAGCTGAGAAAGTATTTGAAATTGGTCAAAAAGTGTTCTTCAAGTTATTGGTATTATGAGAAATCATGTGATTTCAGTGTTTTATGAAATAGGAAAGCATTTTTTTTATATATTATGAAAGCTTCATGCTCCAAAAAAAACGATTTTTGATGAGAAAAAGCATGATTTATCAAAGTTTGGAAAAGCGGACTAGAAAAAAAAACTTTCAAAGCGAATTTTATGGAAGTGAAAGAGATTTCCCAATGTGAATTAGACTTTTAAAGCAGTAGAAATCAAACTTTTAGACTTTGTAGAACTGATTCCATGTCCTTCATATTTTCAGTTTCAACGTTCAAAATTTTTTATGAGAGCCAAAATTCTTCAGGATGCCACAGAACTTCAAAATGGTTATTTCAAAAGGTCCCAACACAAAAACCAGGTGACAAAGATAGCTGAACCCTTGAACAGTAGTTAGATATGTTTTTAAAACAAATAATAATCTGAAATTATTACTTAATTAGAACCTTTTTAGTTATATAAATTTTAGTCTGAAAATTAAACTGATTGATTTTCTTTTTCCTTTGCGATAACTAGGAAAAACAGTCCTAAACATTTGAGATCCAGCGCTTCTTTTTTTGTCGATGTTTTTTGCGTGGGTCAGAGCAATAATCAGGATTAGGCGAGGTCCGTTAGCCAGGCGCGTCAGCAAAAAAATCTTCTTTTTTTGCTGTTTCACCCACACTCGAAAAGCATCTAAAAACGCATAAAAGAAAAGAAAAATAGGAAAAAATGAAGAAGAGAAATCGCTTCCTTGTTTCGCTTAAAATACCAGTTTTCGAAGATATTTTATAAGTTCAAACTATGAATGAAGAAATTTTCTTTCTCAGAAAAATGACATCATAACAGGTCATAATCTCCTGATTTCATTTGGATAACCAACTCCGACCTTAATGCTCTAGACAGACATTTTTTATTGGGATCCACCTTTTCTCAAAAAAACTGAGATTATTCCAATCCGATTGGTTAAATGTGCAAAAAATGAGGAGCTCAGATTAGATTAATTTTTTTTCCAGAAGTCACGAGGAAAAAGTCTCAAAACTCAAGATTTTCCCGCAGTAGGTGGAACTTCAATAGTTGCAGGTTATTGATTCTTCAATTTATTACCGATTTAGAAAGAGTGCCAAAAAATTCGTCTTTTGTGGCCATGTACGATATTTTAGAATCAGATTGACATTAAAAAATATTAGTGCGCTTTACTGTTTCTCTCACGATCCTAGAGCTAAAATTGACACCTCGCCGAGTTTTTCGTCGCACACAAAAGACCCATCGGGAGTAATATGTCATCTGCTACTCTTTTGGCCGATTGACATTACTGCGAGCCGGACCAGGTTGGTGGCAAGACGCTGGTGCCAGCGGGAAGCGGAGGAAAAAGTCAGCCAGAAGTTATCAGCTGCTTCCGTATCGGTGACAGGCGACGATTGCTCGTAACTCGTACCTTTTCGCCTCACGCGTCAAAACAACTCGTTTTTTCGAGGAGTTTCGAAAAGTAGTAAAATTTTCTCAAGTTCGGTGGCAACTGATGGATACTTTCCTAGAAGATTGGGGGTGGAGAGATAAACTCGGAAAATAGTTCTAGAGGACCAAAAAACCTTAATTTTGTTTGGAATGCTCTGTTCAAATCGTTGAAGTTTCGAAAGTCTGGCAGTACACAAAAAAAAATTAAAAATTGCTCTCAACCTCGAACTTTTCAGAAAATGACCTGATTCCTACGGACTTCTCAGCAAGGGCTTTCGAATTTCTGACTTAGTTTTTTGAACGCTCAGAATACCGAAAAATGCCACTAGTCGTTTCTAAGCGTTTCATTATGAATAATTGTTTCTAATAATTCTTCGATCCTGAAAAATGAGCTCAAAACCTCGATTTTTGGAGCTCCAGAGGCCCAAAAAAATTTCAAGCTTCCCAATATTTTAGTAAACCTTCTCTAACATGATTCCTTCAGCTTTGAAGAAATTGAACCATTCTTCTAAAACGTGGTGTTTGAACTTTAAGGTCACTCTTAACGACGACATTGCTTGCCCTCCGATAGGAAAAGCCAGCCAGCCGTTTTTGTTATTGAACGATCGAGAAAAGGTCGGCGATTTGAAGCGCGCGCGCGCATCTTGCACGCAGTGATGTCATACCGGAAAGGAAATTGTTGCGCAATTTGAGTGTTCCTCTCCGAATCAGAAAGAAGGAGGTTTGACACTGTAGGGAAGTATCATCATATTTCTTCCTCCTCTCACCCGAATCTGAACCCAGAACAAACTGTCGGAAATGCGAAGAATCTCAAGGCCATGTTTTGCGAATCCCCTCAAATCTCGGCCACACATGCAAATTTGATAACGGATGTATCTCTACTTTGACCGAAAATTCCTAAAAAGTCTGATTCCATTCTGATATGTGGAGTACTGCTCTCGCAAAAAATAAGAACTTGGCAAATATTTGAGAAAAAGGTCATTGTCTGATCAATTTCGAAAGATTGCGAGATTTCGCGATTTTTGGGGTTCATTGAGAGTTTAAGAGAAAATACGGAATGGAAGAAGATCGAGGGACCCACTAGGAAGCTAAATTTACTCAGAACCAATCAACTTTTTTGAAATCGGACCGATAAGTATTGTATCTCTTAGAAAGCATTTTCAATGAGACGAAAATTCCTAGCCCTTCTTAAACTGATATTTTGAAAAATCAGATGAATTATCTAAAAATGATGGAACCATCTTGAACTTTAGAGTCTTCATTTCCCAATAAAATATTCATTTGGTTTGAACATTTTTAGATCTACAACTGAAACGTGAAGGTCTTGCAGCGAATTTCCGAAAATTTCCAGTTTGAAAGAAGGACCTTCTTTAGGGCACCAGACAGATCAAGTTTGAACTCAGTACATTCAGCGTCGGTTTACTCCATTTCATGACGAAATTCCTGTACTTGAGCTCGTTCACTTGAAGCTCTAGACACATTTCACTGAAATTAATTTCAGATTGACCTTTCTGAAGGGGCTCGAATTTCATGTTGAAATTCTCGATTTTGTATTAAAAACTAGACTCTTGTCTTTTTCATTCATTTTCTTTCTTTTGGCTGCCAAAAAAAGAAGAAAAAAAGCGATGCTTTGTTCCTAGCTGATCATGCCGGAACATTTGTAGAAATCCTCCTCCAGCTTGACGGATTATCAAGCTTTTTCAGTCTTAATCTGTAGCGCAATGACAAAATTCTGATTTCTGGTGAGATGAACGTAGGCTTTTGGCAACAATCAAGCATGTAAAAAGCGGTTTTCGGTGAGCTGCTCTCTTTTCTGCTGTGTTTTTTTTTCTTTGAATAACTTGAGATGATGCACCAAGTTTAGGAAGCAAGAAAATATTGAGCTTGAGCTTGATGAAAGGGGAAGAAACAAAGGTAGATAATTATTTTGAATGAGATCATCAAGTTTTGAAAATCAAAAAATGAGTTCTCTTGAACAGATTTCCAGATAAATCTTCAGGATTCCGGATAAATTAATGATTGATGAATTTATCCGTTGGTTTAGTTTTTTAAGTATAGAAACCTTAGTGATGGCAGTAATTCGCATAGAAAAACTCGCGATAAAGCTTAAAAAAATCAACAAAAATGTCGTGATTTTAATTATCTTTGAAAAAAATTTTTTTCAGCTTCGAAATTTTTCATATTTAACCTCAATATTTCAAAAATCCATAAAACCTTTTTCTTCATAAATTTCGATAAGTCACAAGAAGTTGACCTCATGACTTGAAACGACTCAACACAGAGATTGAAGCCATACCAATAACAAAAAAATAAAAAGTACGACTATTTGAAGTTGAAAAAAATTCTTTTTCAACATTTTTTTCAGTTTTTTTGAAAAAAATTCTTTTTCAACATTTTTTTCACTTATCGGAAGGTGACTTTACTTTGATATTTTGATTTTTCCAGATTTACACTCAAAGGAAGAAAAAAAGGAGAAGTGCGGCTACTTATAATTGATAATCAGCTGGGCTTTGACGGAAAAAAGTGATTACTATTTCATAATTAAGCTCAAAGCCAGACTTTCTCGAAAAATTGAAATTGACCTATTTCAGAGCAAAAAAAAACAAAATAATGAAAGTTCCGATTACACCTGATAAGTCGCCAGTCCTTGATCTTATGACCCAGAAAAAACTTATCGAAAAGCCCACGTGAGTTCAAACTTTCGCAACTGTCTGGTCTGGCTGGGATGGATCGCCGTCAGGGTCACAAGGGCAGAGAACGTTTGAATTTGGCGCGCTTGAGTAAAAAAGAAGAGGTGTTTTCGAGACAGGTATGACATCATCATTTGGCGGATGAGGACGGCGTCCTCGTTTCCAGTGCGAGCCGCGATGACGTCACGCTTTTAGGTAACGATTCGCGTAATGAGAGGACACCTGTGCGTTTGGCGGTAAACTGGGGACGCCAAAGTCTTGACCCTTTTTGTGGGCAATTATCTCCTCTACATGGATTCCGAAGGTCCAAAGAACATTATCAAAAGACTCCGATTTGAGAATATAAGTGAGAATCAGAAATACTGTATTCTAAACAAGGTAACATGGTTAAAGCTGGAAAATCTTGAAAAAATTTCGGGGTTGCCGTTAACAGGGAGGTCATTTTTCTTTGGGTTGGGAATTCTCTGAATTAAGGTCAGAGCACTCTGATGTACCAGAAAATCATTTTGAAAGGATTAACCTGCACAACTTCTTAGCTTTGGAGAAAGGAGGGCTCAAAGTCTCAAAATGGCCTGTTTTAACTAATTTTGAGGCTTTTCTCAAACTTTGAGGTGACCTTCCTTAAAAATATAAAATCGTGCATGTCATCCGGTACATTGGAAAGCTCGCTAGCCATTTTTCAGACACTTCCCAACCGCAAATTGAGATGACCTATCATGTAAGTGATAGCAACGGTAGTTCAAAACTCAATGAGACTTTGTTTTAAAAAGCTATAGATCAAAAAATATGCTTATAACTTTTATTATACTTTTATTTCTGTTGTCCTCCGTCAGATCTCATCTTGTAGCTTACTCATGTACTCCGAGCGAGAATTTGAGTTCTCGTGACCCGAAAAAAAACATATATCACAAAAAGTGTGTATTGTTTCTCGGCAACTTTTTTTGTAACCTTTTTTTGGTGAGGTATGGTTATCCCACATGACTTCGCTACAATACAAAATTACCATTAGTCAAAGATCCTTATTTAAACCGTTAGAAAAAAGTTCCGTTTGTATCTTGTGATTAGAGAGCTTCGATAAGGGATACTGCACATTTCAGTTTTCTGGAAAACATGTCGAAATCGAAATCTGAGTGGGATGGAGAATCTCGGATCCTGAACTTAATTACTTCTGGTTTATTTTTGGAAGCACACGAATAGAATTTCTAAAAATAGCAGTAAGAATTCTTTTCGAGGTAAATCTGATAAAGTTCTCGTTAAAGCGTTCGAAATCCTTGTAATTTTCCTAGAGGATATTTTAGGGATTTGAAAATATATTAAAAAAAAATAAAAGAAACGTTTAGCTTTTATCCATGTTTACCAACAGTAGAAATCCAATTCTGTGGATTTTATTTACAGCTTTTTGATAACATATTCAAACAAAAATTTTATTTGGTTCTTCTTATTTGAATTGTGACTTTTTTTGAAAGACAAAAAAATTTGTTTATCCATTAAACTTACATTTTATAAACTTCAAAAACACCACAACTCAACTAAAAAAAGTGAGAGCAAAATTTTTACCTAATTCTTAACTTTGAATTCCATTTGAACAAGAAATTATTTCTGAAAAAAATCGTTTGAAATTCCTATTTTTTTGAAAGGGCAGTCTGTTTACTGAGAAGTTTTATTCTCGAACCAGTCTATTAATGTAGTTTCTGTAGCGTTTTTAATTAGTTGTTCTAAACAAAGTAGCCATAATTTTTTTGAAATTTATCCGTCAGGCTTTAGAAAAAAACTTCCCATCCAAACGGAACTTGAGTGAGAGAACCTAATTATCTTTCTCCTATTTTTTTAGATTTTTTTCAAGATGGATTCTCTAGAATAAAAACCTAAAATTGTCTTCAAACAAAACCTAATAGTGATACAAACGTGCATTTGCCAAATAGAGCAAGCGACTTTTGAATTAACACGTAGGCTTTTTTTTCCCGATGCATTTTTATCCACGTCAATTACGAAGCGCCTACGCTTCAATTTGCCAGTTTAGATAAAGTAACGGCTCGTAAGGTCTGCGTGGTTAACCTCGGGATTCAGCCAATTCGGGATGAGATAGCGTAAATTAGCGCGTCGGTTCCGGTTTCCAGTACGAGGGCTTTTTTTCCTGCCAGACAGAATAATGACGCATATTTTCATGTGATAACGTTTAGAAAAACAAATAAGTTTATAGAAAATAGTTTGAAAGGGAAAGTTATTCATAAAAAGGTTTTCCTTACTGAGGAATAATTTATGGAGCTCGACTAGAAAGTTCAAAAAGACATTTAAACTAGAGAATGAGGAAAAATTGCAGCATTTATTTGATCTAAGGAGCATAAAAAAACCTTCAGAAACGTTCTTGATCCTATTTCCGTAAGATGCGGCATAAGATCTATTTTCGAAATTTTCCGTGCTTCGAGGGTCCTCAAGTACGCCACAGCCAAATATAACATTGCAGTTTTTTTCGAAGAATAAAAAAATTTTTTTGAAACAGTGAAACCGTCTAATATCACGCGACAAAAAAACAGATAGTTGCGTGAAATAAATAATTTATTCATCTTTTTCCAACTATCACGTTCAGTCATTTGACAAAAATAAAGGCACGTAATAAATATTCGTATAAGTCATTAAAAGTATCACGAAATAAAGATGAAGACTTGAAAAACAAAAAAATTGATCAAAACACAAACAACCAAATTGTCACCCAAAGAAAGAAAAGAAACGTGGAACCAGAATACCACAAGTTTTCGTAGAAATTTTGTAACACAGAATTGAACTAGATGATATGTTCTGGCTAAACGGGGATCGCTAAGAATAAACCAACAATAATAGATAAATACGGTGAGGAGATGATCACAGAACTTGCATTTTATGTATTGGAATTAAAACTTGTTTTGCAATTGGTTCAACGACGGCGCCGCTTTGGTGTTAGTTGGTTTATTGGCCAAATTGTCAAAGTCGATCAAACCGCCGGCGTTGGCCCAGGTGTTGCCGACTTTTGGAGCCGGCTTATTCTCTTGCTTCTGAAATCATGATTTTTTTGAAATATTCATGGCTTTCACAGAAAAACTGTGTGTTTTCTAAAACTGAGTTTTTTTGAGCCGAAAATTTAAAGTTTCTGTTAAGATTGATATGAAATTCAAGCATGTAAAATCTACTGGCTGATCTGCAGTACCGTCAGAAAAGATGCAAAAACTTTCTCGTAAGGAATTCAATATTTGTGTATCTTTCTAAAGTTATAATGACTGTTTTTTTAACAAGTTCATAAAGTTTCAGTTCACAGAAACAAAAACGCAACTTCCAAAGTTTTTTTGATCTGAATAATGAATTTATTAGCATAAGACGGTTTTCGGTTTCATCTATAACCTCAATAAAAAGTTTTTTTAATTCCAGAACAGTTTTTTTAAATAGTGAGACTTGTATTTTTTTAACGTCTGCAATGCGTCCTTTGGAGTTATTAAAAACTGGAAAGCTTTTTCCTGCACTTATTGAATTTTTAAATCTTACAAAAAAATCCATCTTTTCGGTTCTGATAAAAGTTATCAAAAATTATTCGCAACGAAACTAACCGCGGAAACAGCGTTGCTGCCATTTTGAGCGTTTCCGACGGATTTCTGAGACGAGGGCGTCAACTAAAATCTTATTTTTTCATTGGGAATCCACAAAGATTTACCTGAGTCAATCCAAACAAATCGGAAAACGCGGCCGGTGGAATAGCGGAAGACGAAGTGTTGCCGAAAAAGTCGTTAGTAGGCAATGGAGCAGGAGTCGGAGTCTGAAAAAGTTCATCCTAAACAGCTTTTCTTGGTAGACAACTTACAGCTCCAAAGTCTCCGAAAAGGTCAGCAGAAGCTGAATTATTCGCCTGTCCTGCGAATCCACTAAACATATCGGGCATGGGAGCCGCCGGAGAAACAGAAGATTGATTTATCGGCGCAGAACTGCCGCCGAAAAGATCGACATTCGAATTGCTGCCTCCAGCACTTGCGAATGGATCAAAGGTGTTGCCGGAAGGTTTGGAAGACGCGGGAGGCTATAAATATGAGATTTCGAAATTTTGCGTCAAATCAGGTCGGTTCACCGTGACTCCAAAGATATCTGCTTGTGGAGGAGAGGCCAGATTGGCGGGAGCTGGAGAGAAAGTTTGCTGCTTGGAAGTGTCGATGGAGATAAGGTCATCGAAGAATGATCCGCCGGAAGAGGCTGGAAAAAAATTTTGCTGATCGAGAATATCGTCTATTTAGATAACTTTACATTTCTTCACATGATTTTCAAATTGAGCGACTTTAAATTTTTAGTTAGTCTTTCATTTTGGACTATTATTCTGTAGAAAAAAATCTGAGGGCCAAGAACTTCCAAATTGAAACTCAAACTAACTGAGAAAAATCAGTATATTGGCAAAAAATTAATACAAAAATATGGAAGCTTCTCAGAAAATTTTCTGAAAACTTGAAGAGTAAACATTTTAGAACCGCAAAAAAATCAACCTTGAGCAGCTTTCGGGGCAGGGACATGAGCCAATGAACCAGTTTTCGGAGGGGGCGGCAAAGCGCTGAAAGAGGCGCTTGTTGCTAAAAAAAAGATTAATTATTTTTTGAAGCTTTCAAATTATGCTTACTATTAGTGAGGCTCGGCCGTTTCGGAGTGTTCGTCGTTCTGGCAGCGATGAAGTCTCCGAACTCGTCGTCATCATTTTCAGTCTTCTAAAACATTTTCCCGTTTAAAATCGGAATAATACGATTTTTGGCTTTCATTTAGAGAGACCTGTTTTTACTTTCACATTTTTTTTCAAAACACCGAAAAAGCTGGAACAACTTTACTATGCTCATCACACCTTTACCTTCTTCGTTTCCTCTTTTTTAGCCGTGTCGAATCCGAGTTCAGGCGAAGAATCGCGGTTGCTGTCTCGGAACTGGAAGCTGGAAACTTCTCGCGACCTTCCGGCTGAGGAAATTGCTGAAAAATTTGGTTGTATTACTTAGAAACGTCAGAGTAGTGCCTAAATGGGTCAGGGAAAAAAAAGAGCTATAGCGGCTTCTAGAGAGGAAACTTTAATAACCTCACAGGGACCACTCTGGAGGCCATGAGTACATTATTAATGATAAAAAAGCATGAAACTTACTTCCAGAAGAAGAAGAATGATTGTCAAAGTTGGCTGATCGAAGATCGTCAGAAGTATAACCACGATAACGGGATTTGTTATCCGCCTTGGCTTTTTGTCGCTCTTCCCTCAACTTGTCGTCATCCGTCAGCAAATCGATGATGATTTTCACACGATGGCGGACTGAAAATCGATAAATTAAAATGATCGAATCAAAACGTTTTTCTTTTTTGTTTCCTTGGTTGCCTTAAAAGTATATGATTTAAGGCACTAATTTTTAAAAAAATCAAAAATTTTAACTTTTTTTCTCTGAAAAATCGGAGCCAAAAAAATTAAGTTTTTTTGAATCAAAAATGCCTAGTAATTTAAATTGAAACGAATCCAAAAAAATTTTTTTGTTTCAAAAAGATTCCAAGAACTTACTATTGATGCCTTGATCGTGGCCCTTCTCGTCAATGAATTTGTAGTTTTCCAAGGATCTGTAGAGAAAAATACCGTTAAAAAAATTAAGTTCGAGTGATACCTCAGTTCAAAAAAACTCGATCCCTCGCTGAAACAAGAAGGCGTTCACTTCCATTCTGGATGAGATAATTGAGAAGTTTCAGACTCTGAAACAGGATATTTTCAAAATTTCAGAAGTAAAATAAAAATAACCTTGTAAACTCGACGCCAAGCGTTCTTATTTTCTTCAAACATGCGTTTGTAGAGCATTCCTACGGCCGGATGGAATGAATCGCTACTGAAAAAAATCATATAGATTCAAAAAATAAGAAAAAAAAATTTACTTGAAGGTATAATCGCTGATTTTCTTCATTTGCGGCCCAGTGGGTCCCCAGGGATCCTCATTGGTCGCGTCTCGGACCGTTAATTCTTCCTCTGAGTAGTTCATCAGCACATCCTGCCTGCAAAAAACATGCATTAAATTAATAATTTTTTTGAATGGAACTCACATTTTCTCGGCGATTTTGCGAACTTCAGATGAATTGATACTGGAAGCGACATTGTTGGCCACGCTTTTCAAAGAAGAGGCGACGCCGGAAAAAAGATCCGACATGGCTGCGTGCCAATTAAATTACTGAAAAAAGAGCGTTCATCATGAAATTTTAGTTTGAAACATGAATTGAATTCGAAAAATTGTCGAAATAATGAGAAAAAACAGTGAAACAGGTAAGTGAAAAAAAGTTAAATTAAAAATGACCGATTGGAGATATATAATTTTTTTAACTTATGTTTTCAACACCCTTGTTTTTTTCCAAATTTAAAGATCATTTTTTTGGAAAGAATTCTCTCTGAAACAGAAAAAAAGTAAATTTAGAAAAAAATTTATCCAATTACTCCCAAGAGAGAAACAGCTGAGAATTGAATGAGACTAATTAGTTAATTCTTTAATTTGCGGCAAAAACAAACAAAAAAAGACCTAATTATTCAGCGTTCGATGAAAATTTGGTTGAATCAACTATTAAAAAAACTGTAAAAGCTCTCCTTTTTTTGTTTTTAAAAAAAGAGGAGAGAAACAAAACAAAAAAATAGGTCGAAATGATAAAAAAAAACCGCCGTATTTCCAATCTCTGAGCAACTTGGTTACATTGCCATAATTTTTCTAACGGTTTTAGGGAATTTTTTATGGAGATAGGGACAAAAAACAGAGAAAAATGAGAAAATCAACAAAATAAACAGGTTTTCAAGCCCAGAGAGTTATTTTGATTGGACTATACCTTCCCAAACCTGTATTCTGACCAGAGACAGTGGGAATTTCCGGAAACGCGGAGCGGCCGCAGCGCGCCGCTCACAGATTCACTGTCTTGATGGCAAAAAGAGAACCGACGAGCGGTTTGTGTGCCCAGGTCTGCAGACACCCGCCCGCGCAAACGCACCCCGCCACGCATCTCTCCGAACTCTCATTCAATTTTTATTAAGTTCGCGCGGCAGAGTTGTCAATACTTTGAATGTTGAAAAGACTACTCGAACGACGGGTTTTCATGGCAATTTGAGGGAAACGCAAAATTTTGCTTTCTTTTTTCTTGAAGGTGTCGTATTGCTGTTGTAGGCGATCAAAGAACTCTTGTCAAAAAATAACACGTCCCAGGTTCCTTTTAATGTCTATTACATTTTGATTTGTGGCGATTTCAAAGCGGTTCTTAACATTTTAGTTCATTTTGATATCATAAAGAACTTCTAAAATGCCTATATCATAGAGAACGCAAAAATTGGAGAAGCGAAAATGAATTTGTAGCCAGATTTCCATGAAGGACCAAGGAAAATTCCTCAGGTTTTTTTTTTGTGAAATTTCACCTTTGGGTCCTACTTTATTGACCTTTTTTGGTTCTTTCTCTGTTTCTGAACATTTTTTGAGTAAAAGCGTAAAGCAGGTTTTTCAAAAAAATTCGAAATTATTGAAAAAAATTGGCATTTTTTTCCTTGAATTGTTTAGGATAATTTCTCGTAGCAAAAAAATTTAAAAAAATCTGATTTAAAGTCAAAAAAACAGGGAACCAAATTTTTGATTTTTTTATACGTCTAAAAAAACTGCGGTTGTTCGAATTACTTATTTTTTTCAAAAGATAGTCTCAATTTGCTCAATTTGTAAGAACTTTTTTTAAGATGAAGAAAAACTTGGAGAGCAAAAAAATATTTTTTTGTATACTTATTGTTGAAAGGATCGAAAGAAGGATGACGCAAATGGCGTGAGCCTCCACTCGCCTGGAAATAATGCGTTAAAAGGGTTGCTATAGAAAAGATTATTTTGGGAACAATATCGCATTGTTAGGCATTTTATCACAGGAAAAGGGATAGCATCACTCGGAGGTAAATCTATTCGGGAAAAAAAGAATGCAGCTCTGCATGGATTAATACTTTACGAAGTTTGTATAGTTTGTCGGAAAAAGCTCCGTTTCGAAAGGCGCTTTATTCACAAAAATATTGCTTCAAATATTGATTTTATCGTTGAAAAGTAATATGAATTTTTTTTTCGAGACCGTGTAAAAGGGCTTTCATCAGACGTTTTTGGAAACATGGAAAAAAAGCGGAAAACGGTCCGCACAGAAAATAAATTTTTGAGGCGATTTTGCCGTTTCGGAAAGCTGTTCTGAAAGAACTATGAAAGAAGACAATCAAAAAATAAAAACAAGTTGGCTCCCACGCTTGATCTTATTCACAGGTGCGGCGCTTGAGAACATTTATTTCTTTTTGCATTTTGATCCAATTAGGCGGCCTCCGCAGCTCGAGGGTCCTTGTACTTTAAGAATTCGGAAAAATAGACGGCTAAAAAAGCCGGGAAAAATGACAAAAATCACCATTGTAGTGTGAAACTGCTGTAAAATTGATAAAAAAGAAGGGTCCGTCATAAAATCGAATTTTATGGAAATTTCAGAGACGCGCGCTTCGAGCTGAATTTTTTGTGTTTTTTCGATGATGAAGAATCGAAAATTTATGAATTTGACCTGTTTTGCGCACGCAATGAATTTTTTTTTGAACAGGAATAATCGCTAAAAAATATTTAAGAATTTAGAAAACATTTGGTTTTCGAGCTGAAGGCTGTTTTGACTCGATGATTTCGTGTTTTCTCTTATTCAAGCTTTCGCAGATTCGAGAAATCTTCAGTTTCCTTTTCATTCCTATTCAAACCAACTCAGACAACAGGAAATAGAAGCGTTGATTTTCCAGTATCTGCCGAGACATCAATCTTTTCAGTTTTTTCGCCGCCCTGACCTTTCCAGACTCTTCTTGGCTATCAATATGCCAAGGCAGAAGAGAATACAGGTCTGCGTGTGGCATCAAAAAAAGCAAAAAAAAAGAGCGTCGGGCGCCGAAGTTAAGACTCTAAAACCAAAGAAAAAAGAACGATACGATCGCGAATTCTTCCTTCGGTTCTTCTTAAATTCAAACTTGAAACTAAATATTGAGATGAAAGCTATAATTTCGTATTGTGTGAGATGGGAAAAAAGGGAAGAGGAATAAAATTCGAATCTTACGTCGAGGGAGAAAATTTCAGAGATTGGCAAAAGCTGCTATTAAATGGGAAGCGCGCCGGCCAAATAATTTTTTTTGCATTGGCCATAAATTAACTCTCATAGAATATTTTTTTGCTCTCCAGTTGTATGAATACGAATATCTTCTAGAAAATGAAGTATGAAAAGTTTGGCTATTCAGTGTCCGGTTGAGTTTTTTTCGACGAAACTTCCATACACTTTATAAATATTATAGAAACAAAGCGTTTTTTTTCAAATATTCTGAAACGCATTTGAAACCCAAATCTATTGCAGAGAAGTTCATTTAGATCAGAAAAACTTGATTTTTTTTCCCAACAGTGACCAAAAAAAGTTTTTTTTAAAATTCTATTCATCCCTGGTTCGAGACACTATTTTACAAAAATAGTGTGTAGAATGAGAGAGTTCAGACATGCTTTTGAAATTTTGGAAGAGTGCAAAAAAATTTTTTTATTTTTTTCAATCATATAAGTGATCCCCCAGGCGATGAGCAAAATCTCTGAAAGCTATGAAAAAGCCTTGAAAAAGCATCTTTTTACAATCTTCGCCTTGTTTTTCTGCTTGAAACAGCACGTTCAAATATAAAAGTATGTAGTACTTTCACGCTCTAGCTCAAATACCGTGCGCTTTTCTCAGAAACGGACTAAGTTTTCCTTGAAAACTTCTAGAAATGTCGACAGTTTCACTCTTTTTTAGGTCTTAAGATTTTCACAGCTGTACTTTTGAATATTCATAACAACACTGTATTCTGTTTCTCACGCTGGTTTTGAATTCTGTTTTTGAAAACTGCCAGAAAGTTTGTAAAAAAAGACTACGGCAGCTCAAACTTGGGTAAAATGTCAAGAAAATCTTGATTCTCGTTTTTTGAAAGCCTGAGGCATGTAAAAGTTTTTGAACATTCAATTTCGGACTGAAGATATTTCAAAGCGATTTATTTTTTATATCCATCATCTACTACACAAAAATGTGCCCAACTTGAAAAATATTTTTCTTTTGGTAGCTCATATTAGTTTTCGAAAACTACCTTGCCAGTGGTTGAGCACTTAAACGGCAATCATCGTAAAAAACCGCGTCTGATAATTTCAGTCTTTATCACGTTCCACTCCGAGTTGAGACCATTCCATGATAAGAAAGGTCAGAAATTCAATAAATATGGCCTGATTTTCCGATGGACTATGATATTTTTATGATTCACATCTATTCGAATCACAATCATCCAGGAGGATTAGCGGGACAAAAAACGTCTGCAGAAATGATGGATAAGTGCGTCGGCGCCGAGAAATAAGCAGCTTAGAAATAATTTTTTGGCGAATGCCACGTTTACGGGCGATTTTCTCGAGAAACGTGATGTTTTTCCATACGACAAAAATCCTCATATTTCTCGAAATTAACCAATTCTCTCTCATTTTCTCAAATATCGTTCAATCATTACACCGAGAAGGCCAAGAAGTCAACCTTGAAATCAGTTACTGACTATTCCAGGTACTTTGTAATGCCTGTTACTTGATGAGAGAAGGCCAATCGGCCACTTTTTCTTCCACCATTCTCCCGGAAATCGATCAACTCTACCTGGAAGCGCCGAACTTTCTTTTCCTGTTTTTCCAGCCCATCTCACTACAATCGCATAGGAGGCGGCGCCTTGCGAGTCACGCCTTGGGGGCCAAATTTCCCTATAAAATAACTGTCCACGGCGATCGGTTCAGCACTTCTTGCTCACTAAATTTGTGTTTTTTCTTTGATTTGAGACGACTTAGTTGAGTTCTGCTCCTCTCCCATTAGTTCTTACTTTCCTAGAAGTTTTAAAATTTCCATTCGAGTTGTTAATCTATTCAAAAACGCTCACTAAACAACTCAAAGAAATATAGGTTGTTTTGTAATTTTTCTCAAAAAAACTAGAACCATTTTCAAACTAATTCAAAGTTATACAAAATTCTTCTCCTCAGGGAATCACAGTGTGAAATTTTTTTGGAAGTCTAGGTTTGTATAAACTTTTTATTAAAAAAATCTCCTTTCTTTCGTACGTCAGATTTTTTCCTTTAAAGTCACAATTTTCTTCTTCCCTCGCTTAGTCTCACATGCTTCTCTTTAAACTTTCATTAAAAATCAAAAAAAGGTCGATTTTTTTCAGTCTTGGGCCAGCGGGACCGGTAAGAGATCCGCCAAACCGTCTCAATGTGTAAAACTCAATAGTCTATTTTTTTCGTAGGTCAGTTTTTTTCTCCTTATCAATATTCCAAGAGAAAAACTTTTTTTCAGTTTTTTTATCAACTATTATCAATGACGTCACACACCAGCGATCGCCTAGAACCGTCTTCGAATTTTGGAACAAACCAAGACCCGTGAAGTGAGTTTCAACGATTTCCTTGGATCTTTAAGCAAGAAAATCTGTTACAGATGCCCGACGGCAACTCCAATGGGAACCTGCTCAGCTGAACCCAAAAATAGGATTTTGAAATATATAACCATGAGCTTATTTTTTTAAAGCAACTTGGGAGGAGCTTTTGATTCTCCACGACTTGAAACGGCATGGAATAGTCTTTTGAGCAAAAGCTCTATGAGACTATTTCTTGCGACCAGGGCGTTTCGGGTCGTGGAGAAAATTTTTTTTATGAATAATCTAGTTTTTTTTTGTAGTGAGTGGCTAGAAATCAAAATTTTGAAGACATTTCCTTCTCCCAAGTTGCCGAAGTCCTACGAACCGTTTCTAGGACGGGGCCTTAATTGCCCCTTTTTCCAGGCTTTTCCTTAAACCTTCAGGAATCTCTTTTTTTTTGTTTTGAAATTGAAAAAAATATATAAAGGACACCTCAACCGCGAATACCTTAATTGTTGCCAAATTCGTTTTTTTGTTTCCTAACCTCTAAAACTCCATTGTAGTCGCAAAAGCCAAAGTTTCTATACCGTTTGGGCAAGAAGCGGGTTTCTTTTCAGTAGACGTAGATTCTAACCCCTTCAAGACGACAAAACCATGAACCTCAAAAGCTTTCGATCCCTCAACAGATGAACTCATACGATAATCTCCTTTTTTTTCTATTTTTTCTTTATAAAACAGCCAAAAAACCAAAAAAATCTTTTTCCCTCAATTGGCCACTTGAAAACAAATTATCTCATTATTCAAATCATTCATCATACTGCATTTAAACCACATAATAATCACATTGTTAACACGATGCAATAATCTCTTTTCTACTAACTCTGGAAAAAATTGAAAAATGTTCAAGCTCGATCAGACCTGTTATCAGTTGTCTTGTGACGTTTCCCCTCGTTCCGCGTTTTTACTGGTGTTGACGTCAGAATAAAAAATTTTTTATGTTAATCTTTATTTGAAACACAAAAGTAAGCGTTTATATGGAAACGAACCGGCATGGAATATTGTGACAACGGGAACAGGTCAAGTATTTACAAAGCAAGAAGCGAAAAAGGATGAAGAAGACTTTTATGGCATTGGATCGGTTGAAGTGACAGGTGGTAGAACTCCAGAGATTCCAGTGCCAGAAACCAAGTTCTCCAAGGTTGAGCCGCTCTGAGAAAGTTTTTATATTATTCCCAAGAAGTCTTGTGATTTAAAGACAAGAGAAGTCTTTGATTCTCGTAAAACTACGACCAAAAGGGAAGACACTCAAGAAAAAAATCTCGTCTTGGTCTTAAAAAATGTTGTTGACCAAAAATGGATTGGGTTCTCTCTAAATATGACTTTAAAGTTCGTACCAAATCAAAAACAAACCTAGTTAGGAAAGAAAAACCTATTTTTCAATATATAGAGGTATTTAATGATTATAACTCTGATTGAAAAAATATTATAAAGTAATATATTCACTATGTCTTAGATTCCAGCTTCAATTTGACGCTTTCAGCTGTTGAAATCGATCTCAAATAAGAAGTTTGAACCAATTTCAGTTGAAAACAACTTTTTTTTTGCAATTTGTATTTCATGTCCAAAGTCTAACTCAAATCAAACAGACCAAGATCCGACATTCGCAGAATGACCCAGCAGTGAGGACGACTGGACTTTTCACGCCATTATCATCCCTCATTACTTCGACCGTCCGTTCTCCCACAGAACATTTTGCATAACCTGAAATTCGAAGAATTCACAATAATTTAGGAAAAAAGGAAAATAATAATACCACTGAGACAAGCATTATCAGCATCGTCGCAAATCAGTTCGTTGAGGTATTGTGGAGAATAATTGGCAGGTAAGCGACGCCAAACCCAACAAGAAGAGCATAAAGAGACTGTTCCAACAGCGTCTGTCGTTACTCCTTTCGTGGAGCAGGAGATTGTGAATCTTGTTCCTGGAAGATTCTTTAGTGAATATAGTCTGTGTACCAAGGCTTGGAATTTCCCTAACGAAATTCCGCTCTTCCGCTGCGTGCTCGGCCGCGCCTTCAATTTTTTATTTTATTTAAGAACTCGACCAGCACGTGTTCCTAGTGGAAAAGTTCATCTATCCCCAATGAGAACAAGTTCAAAGCGAGGTGGAGAGACGCTGCGGTAGAGCGGAATTTCGTTCGGTGAAATTCCAAGTCTTCTTTTGACCGAGGATATTAAATTTCGTGATTTCGATCATTATCAACTTATAGGCTACACGAAACTGCTCTGTTTTGAGAAGACCGTCTTCTCAATTGTTCTGAAAACGTTAGTTATAGCCCAATCAATATCGAAGTCCGAAAAAATTTCAAAAGGTTCATTGGTAGGTTGACCCCTCAAAAAGTAAGAAAAAAAACCTTTTTGGTGACTTTTTCCATTTTTTTACTACTTTTTTGCCATCTGATCCTCTTTTATGTTTTTCGAGGGATGATAATCAAGTTTTATGACGGAACTTCTTTCAAACCATTCATCAAATAGGCTCAAAGTCATACTTTTATTAGTCGCTATAGTAACGTGCGTATAATTAGGCATCTACCAGTTTCCATGTGCTTTTTTCTATTTTCGGTACATTCGAAATCTTGATGCATGCAACAAAAAAAAGGAATTGAACAATTACCGATGACATTGAGAGCGGGATCCGGTACAGGAACTGCTTGACGACGGCTCCGGTGATGTTCCTTTTTCCTCTTTTTATCTTCCTTTTTGTTGTTTCTTCGACGATACTCCGGTTCATCATCATCGTCGTCGTCGTCAGAATCGTCTGGAATAAAACGAAAATTCAAATCGACCATTTCAGACGAAAATGCTATGTGTTAGAGTCTTTTTTTTAGGTTTTCGGTCCTCTCATCAGATTCTCACGTTTATCAGCCGAATTGATTACAAGAATCAAAAGTTTCCAAACTTTGTAAAATTCCAATTACCGCCAGGATTCTTTCCAAAATCACCAAAAGTCGTTGAAAAAAGTCAAGTTAGTCAAGATTTTTGCATTAGTAAGAAAATGAAACACACTGGAAACCAGCTTTTCTCTTTTTTGTGGTTTTCTTTTTTTTTGTTTTATTATTTCGAGCGTATTAAATTTAACTTTGATCAGATTACAAATAAAAACACCTGAATCATCGCCGTCCGAGTGGTTTTTGGATTTGTCATAAACGCCGGCATCATTCCTCGAAAAGCGATACTTGCTGCAGGTGGAGTTGGCGCCACCCGCAGTAATTATGCTATTTATGGTCGCATTCAAAAGTCCAATCTATAAAACTTCCTTTCTTTCCAAACTTTCGAACTCTTATTAGAAACACCATTTTTAAAATAACCGGTTAATAAAATGCAGAAACTTTCTATTGGGGTCTCCTAAACAGCTTTTTTGACAAAAACACCAAAAATCCTTTTTTAACCTTGAAATGACAAATCACAAATTCAACAGCTTCAAAATTTGCCCTGGGACAGAAATTCAGAAAAATTTGTGGTCAGGGATGAGGAGACCTTAGAGTACAATTTCATAATTTTTTCTCAAATTCTCAAATGGCAAAGATTTGAAATCAAAAAATACCTGTTCCAAGCGCTTTCTCAAATCATTTTGACAGTCCTGACACTCCTTTGTTGCACAGACCGCGCTAATCTGAACTGTTTTCCTTTTTTTCTTCATTTTCGGTTGGATTGATCCCCAAAATTTGTTTTCGTCTGTTTTGATCTCTGAATCTGTTGCTCTAATCACCTACAAACCTTTTTATTCCTTTTTCACGGTATAGTAGTTGAAACGGAAAATATTTACAACTACTACGCGCAAACAGAAAGTTCAGTGAAAGACCGAATGACGCACTTTTTTGACAAGTCAAAGGGAAAGGTATTACTCCCCGGGGGAGTAGAAATTTCATATTCACCTGATTTGTTGGTTCCGGAACTGGTTGCTCGATAGTCAGATCTGGAAAGGAAGCCATGGCTTCTTCTAGACTATTGGCTTGAATCCGAGAATCGTAGTTCATGCATTGACTGCCTTGAGGAATACAGACGCACTGAAAATTTGAGCTTTTGTGATTCGAATAGACTCGATTCTGCCGATATCCTGAAGTTTAAAGACTTCGGACCTAATGAAAAATTGCCAAGGATTGTCATGAATTTCATTTAGTTCAAATTCAGGCTTTAGGGTTCAAAATTAGGCTGACTGACAAATTTCTTAAGAAGTCAAAATTTTTGATTTTTGTTCAAAACGCTTCGACTTGTAAGCTGCAGAGCCGTTTTTTGCCTTTTCTTTCTGAAGTCGAACGCAATTCTTACGTAGCCGATCTAGCCCAAAGAATTTTCCTTTCGTTTCTTACGGTTTTGATAAAGTCATAACAGTTATAACCTATTATCGATTAATTGATCAACCCAAATCTTATATTTCTCCGGTTAGCAAGTGTTTACCTAATCTCTAAGTGAACTCGTGTTTACACAGGCCTCTGTGTTTGTCGAAATCAAAGGATAGATTTGAATGATCAGATGAGATCATCTCCTTTTGAAACAGTAACTTCTAAAAGGCTTCGTTGAAAATAAAGCGAAAAAGCTGGAAAGGTCAAAAATGAATCGAAACGTGACGAAAAACGAGTCTTTATGTACAATTTTGTGACTTTATGTTTTCGAATCACAGCTCTAAATCTGAATTTCCTTATAAACTCTACTTCTCACTTGACAATTCACAGCTTTTTGAGTTGACTTCAATTATATAATCTCTATTTTTAGTTCAAAGTCGAATCACCTGCGGCGGAGTTGTCATTGGAAGACATTCTGCAAATTTTAAAAGAAACAGAAATAAAAACAGAAACTGTATCATGGTTGACTGGAAAAAAACTGGACACAAAAGTGGCCTCTTTGAAATTCAGCGACTGTTTTAAGCCCCGCCCCTTTCTGTCAACTTTTTTTCCGGGACTCCGCAAACTCTAACTGTTTGGCACAGACGGCCAGAGTTGCAAAAAAATGAAAAATAAAGATACAAATCTAGTTTTTTTCTCTTTTTTTGAGACAAAGACATGTCTTAGAAATTCAAAAATTCACATTTCCAGTTCCAGCTTGGTTTTCTGAGATTCAAAAAAATATTATTATCTATTTTTTTCCATTTTTTTCATCTGACATATTTCCACTTAATGTTAAAAAAATATTTTTTTTCAAAGTTCGAGAAGTGAAAAGTACAATTTTTACAAAAAAATACTGAAAAAGCCAAGTGTCCAACTTTTTCTTCCATTCTTTTTTTCGGTCGATGGGAAACGATCAGACTTTCAGAATAAATTTCTAACCTTCCATTTTTTTGTATAGGTTTCTGAGAAAAAGGCTGACACGAGAACCTAGTTTTTTCAGAGAACCAAAGTGTCGCTTATTGAAGCTAACTGAAAAAAAGTCCAATGACTAATGGCTGGAATCGGAAGTAAGAGCTCAAATCAAATTATCAAAAAGGAAAAATGTTTAAAAAATGAGTCTTACGTCTTTTTTCTATTAAATGAGTCCTGACGATCAAAACTTGCCGTAACTAAAACAAGAACTTCATCAGACACCTCAAAAAAAGCCTTTGATTTTCTCAAATCATGGATGAGGTTTTTTTTATTTTGTTTGAAGAAATTGGTTGAAAATCTTGTATTTTTCCACACGGCGTTGCTCATTCATTCTCAATGATGTCTGTTAAAATTTAGAAGGTAGAAGAGTACAATTCACCCGAAAAAAGGCCCGGAATAAGCCAAGTGTCCAACTTTTTCTCCCAGTTTTTTTCGATCTATGAGAAACAATGACAATTGCCCCTTAATTTTCTAACCTTTTACACTTTTTTCTGTATGTACCTAACGAGATGCTATCATGCGACTTTTATCTTTTTTTTTCAGCCAAGAGTTCAGCTTTTGGAATGAGAAAAAGGCAAGTATCGGCCGGAAAGTGATTCAAATTTCTGATGGAAGAAATTTGAATGGAAATATTCAAATTTGATAGAACAAAATCTTCTCATCAATGTTAGTCACGAAAGCATTGAGGGACATTAAATCCGCTTTTTGGTGCCATTTAATCAAAAAACGTGATCAACTTTGGCTGATGGATGATGTGCACTCGGAAATGAGAAGCTTTTCCGCAAGATTCGGGAATGAAAAGGCGAATATTATTCCTATTAATAAACTCTATTCAATGCAGACGCAGGAAGAGACGAGGGTACTGTAGTGACGTCTGAGCTTTTTTTTTGGCCAACTTTTTTCCTAGCCGTGTTAAAAAAATCCATTTTTTTTGAAAAAAAGAAGTTCAAAAAAATTGGAAATTATGGATCAAAGGAAGTTTATAAAACCTAATTACATATGAATTGAGGCCTATTTATCCGAAATCTTTTGTCTGTGAGTGCCTTGAAGACTGAGCCCAAATATTAAGTGAAAAAAACAATTTTTTTACACAAACTTAACTTAAAAATGACTAACTAATCTTAAAAAGTGTTCCCATTAAATTCCAGGAAGCTCCTGAATCTTGAGATAAAGAAGCCTTCACTGATTTTTCTTTCAGGTTGAAACCTGTCTTTTATCTGCTTCTACAGCAAAAGTCGCTACAATGGCTTCAATTATTTCAAAAATCTGAGAAGCTTGTTTCAAAAAATGAAGATCATTTTCAGTTCACATTTGGATATATTTCACTACAAAAGTCATTTAGTTTTAATTTTTCAAGTTTTCCCTCTTTAGAAATCCCTTCTCAAGACTCAGGCTTATCATCTAACATCAGCCTTCTGTTTATCACGATCGAATGTCATCCAAATGAAATATCAGCTCTGCCATGCGGAAGAAAGGAAATTCTCGATTCTTCCGAAAGTTGTAAACACAGGACAAAGGACATCGGGAGCATCGCAGCGTGTTTTATGAAAACACCTGCCCACGCCAAATCTCCTGATAAGAGTGATATGCGTAGGCTCATCCATCGCCCACATACAAATCTCCTTTTTTCCGCTTTTTTGGCTCGTTATCTCCTTTCATCCGTGTCCGCACTCTCCTAAAAGGTTATTGGAATGTTCTGGAAGGGCTTTATTTTATAAATACATGAGAAAACACAGCAGGATACTGAAAAGGAAGATGGCCGGCCCACAGACAAAATACCTTTTAAATGAGTGAAAATAAAAAATAAAAATACTTGTATAGTTCGAAGGAGAACCTTTGGAGAAGCTTCGGCTTCCTTGCAGGGTTATGCAAAATGGGCTTTTTTGAAGTCATGACAGTGAACATTTCCCAAAAAATTTGGGGGCGAGATTTTTTTTCGAAAGCCCATCTCGAAAAACCGAGACAAAGTCGGTCCAGGTGCGTTTTTTTCTTCCCAGCTGCGGTCGTTTTCAGACAGATTCCACATCTGTGCTTGGCGTCTGTCGAGAAAGTCTCTGAAAGACAGTTTTAAACACTCAAAGTTTTGGAAAAAAAATTCTTTGAAAAGAAATCCTCATCAGTAGTAAACTTGAATTGACGGATTTTACAGTTTTTTTTTAAACTTGAAATTAGCCTTTTTCCAATTTATGCATATAAAAATGATAATATTCAAAGTCAGAGATAAAAAAAGCAGGAAATCAAAATTTTCCAATTTTGATTACACCTTGTAAACCTTTGATCCAAAACTTTCTCAACATGGTCTTTTTGCAAATGACAGGTGTGAGGCTTCTCAGAAGACCTTCATTATCCTAACAACATGTTAGAAGAAAAAAAGCGATGTTACATTGAAACCTGACCAAAAGTCATAAAGCAAACCAAAAAAATTCCCATAAAAACCCATTAGAGCAGTTAATTGGCATGAGAAATGGTTTCACTACATTGTAAACTCAATTAAAATTTGATTTTCAATCCTGATGCTTCAAAATGAAAATCAGGATCGTTTTTTCAAGCTCTCCGCCAGTTTTAAAATAGACTCGAAGTGGTGCCGATTCGTGTGATACCACAGTTATGAAATCAAATAGGCTCTCTTTTTCTTAAAATGTTTATTTTGAAACCCAATGCTTTTCGTAAACTTGGTTCGCGCAGACTTGCAAACCTAGCCGCACAAAAAATGGCGTATTGCAACTGCGAAATGCGCCTGAACAAAAAAGGCTTTCGCAAAGCCGCATCAAAAAATGACTGAAGAGAAATGTCATATATCTGGGTTCCAATTGAAGTTCAAAATCCTTTCGCGACCTTTTTAGAAAATTTATAAATAGCCGTTAATAATTTGCACCTGTCAATACTTTCCCATGGCTACGTAAACTTTGATCCGGATAAGCTGTAACGTCTGTTTTCTGAATAATTGTATAGAATTATTGATGGGGAACAGATAAAGTCTGCCTTTTGTCCTCGAAGATAAGCCTATATTGAGGTATGACGGCAAAGTTCTGACAATAGGGCTAAAGAAACCTTTTCCGGAAAATATCAACTTTTTAGCATTAGGTTCTATGCGAGATTATGATTGTCTGAGCAAGAGTTTAAACGACGGAACAAAAAAAAATTCATTTCGCGCTTACCGAAAAAGTCTGAGAACCATAAGGTCCGTTTAAAATCTAAAAAATCAACTTTTTCTCTTGGTAAAATGTTTTCTCTCTGAATTTTCTGAGACCTCCCAGTCATCTTTTCAAATTTTTTCAAGTGTAGGAAAAAGACGAAAGAGGAGAAGCTGAAATTAGAGATAAACTTCCGGTGTCTTTTTCCGAATTTTTTCAGGAAATTTCGGTTCTTCATTACTTCCTTGATCGTTCTACCACTCATGAAAAGTCAAAAGGCTAGCCGGATGAATCATTATTTCTCTGAAAGGGCTTATCACTCGCTGAGCAGAAGCCTCCCACGGCAGCTTTTTTCGGAACTCCATTGGGGCGGGACCTGCTGTGCAGCTGAAATCGCCCGCCCGCCCCAATATCTCATTCGCGCTTGCGCCGCTCACCGCAGCTCGTCCGTTCTCACTTTCCTCTCCAACTTTTGCCTTTTTGGAACGTCTCCGTGGTTCGACTGGTAGCCAGGTTGTTTTTCACCTTGAGGACCATGGTTCAACTTCTTAATGCATGCAGAAGGGGCTGAACCATGGAGCAATGGTATTAGTCCGATACAGTAGATTTTGAGAAGAGTTCCAACTGTAGAAATATTTTATCTCGACACTAATGCCCTTTTCCAACTTAGACAGGATTCAGCTTCTCAATGCTTGCAGGAGCGGCTGAATCGTGTAACAAGAGTCTGAATACAGTAAAAAAGGATAAATTCTATGAAAAAGAAATATGTTTGGAGGTGTTAAGAAGATCTATGTCTCTCCAATGAGACTTGAACCTTCTTATTCAAGGTCCTCGATTGGGCTTTTTGAAGCATGTATTATAGCTATAACTTTTTACAAAATAGGTTCTTAAATGCAGTGCAGTCCTTATCAATGGAACTTCTAAACAAAACATCATACAAACAAAAAAAGATAAAAAAAACAATTCAACTAACTCTCCACAAAAACCCCTCCCCGCAAAAAAAAAATTGCTTAGATTGATCAGAACAATAATAAACATTCAAATTCATCCCACACACACACACACACACACACAAGCAAGACAATACAAAATTCTTAAAACACACAAAATCTCAAAAAAGTACTGTAAAAAAGGCTTTTCCATTATGCAGTTGGGAGACTTCTTTTATTTCTCAAAAAAGAGGACACTAAAGTGTAGTAGTTTTTTGTCCAGTACTCCTTCCAGTAACTCTGATAATTTTAAATTAAAAGATTGGACCAGTTATGTTGATCCATTGACTGGACCGCGCCGTAGCGCATTAGGTTGTGTGCCTGTCTATGGTCCACAGGGTCACAAGTTCGATCCCCGACCCAACCAAGCGGTTTAAGAAATGTTGGTGTGAAACCACGGCTTCATAATCCCCAGCCGTCACACACAAGGACGGATATGTCACTGGAGCCAGTCCACTGATATCAGGATAAGACCTCGGCTAATCAACTTGGGGCGCCGACTCTGCTCAAGCGGTACAAAGGCGCAGGAAGAAGAAGATGTTGATCCATTGACCCCTAAAGTGGCCACTAAAATTTTTAGTGGTCTGGTAGCAGCACTCAGACCTCTATAGTGGCGTCAAAACCCTATAGTGGCCTCTAAAAGTTTTACCAGCATGTGCTTGTAGAAGATCAAGAAAGTCTCAACTTTTGAAAAATTTTAAATCCATAAAAAAAACCAACACTCCCGAGATCTTCTCAAACTAACACTACTTTTTCCTAAAGCTGGAAATTTAGCAAGTTTGAATAAAAGAGACCGCAAGATAAAATGAACTCTGAACAATTTTTTAGACAAAAATTAAAGCAATTTGAAACAAACTACCATTTTTGAAGAAGTTTCAAAAGATTTTCGGTTAAGGTTCGACGAAACTTGACGGAGAAAACTTCGAAGACATCCTGATTTCAAATCAGTCAAAAAAACTACGTTTTTTTCTTTTTAGTAGTTTCATGGCGCCTCAAAACGCGGAAAAGCCTTTTTCTGCACGACGGTGGGGTTGTTTCAACTTTGAGGCGTATAACCCTACTAAAAAGCAGAAAAGGCTGTAAGTTGTGACTGATCTGAAATTAGGGTGTCTCAAATTACCACTTACATGGGAGGTCATTTTAGCGTAGGGCTCAAAATTTTTTCACAAATTTGCTCAAAGAATCTTTGAAGGACTGGGAATCAATTCCCCATAGTCGCTACCTGCGCAAACTTTTTGTTTTGGAGATATGATTTTTCGAAGTTTCTATCCTTAACCATGTGACGCCGCTTGGAAGGACGCCACCAACCACTGCATGGCAGCTAGGAGCTTGGTGCAGTGGCTAGCGTGTTAGCCCGCGGAGCTTATTGCGAAGGTTCGAATCCTTTTGCCGCCAACTTTTTTTTCCATTGTTTTTCGAAGGTTTCAATGGAATATCGAATTTTTATGGGTATAACCATCCTAAAAAAGTTCGATAATCATTTTTTTTTCCTACGATCGCTTTTTTTTTCGTGGAAAAAAATTTTGTCTGGGGAAAAACAAAGTTATTTTGGAAAGAAAATGGCTATCAAACTTATTTAGAACGGTTATGCTTATAAATTGCCATATTCTAATCAGATTTCTTGAAAAAACAATGGCAAAAAAAGATGGCGGCAAAAGGATTCGAACCTTTGTCATAGGCTCCGCAAGCTGACGCGCTTGCCACTGCACTACGCTCCTAGCTGCCATGCAGTGGTTGGTTGCGCAACCAGATTCCTTCCAAATAGCGTCACATGGTTAAGGATGAAAACTGTGAAAAATCATATCTCCAAAACGAAAAGTTTGCACAGATAGCGACATTGAGGGATCGATTCCCAGTTCATCAAAGATTGTTTGAGCAAATTTAGAAAAAAATCTGAACCCTACGCTAAAATGACCTCTCATGTTAGCCGAATATCACTGCCTTCTACACAGATTACCTCGTCCTTTCCTTCGCAAGAAAAAACCTTAAAAAACAATTCATCAATTGAATGAACACCTCCTACACAGAATAAATGATGATGCAATACTTTAAAACACGAAGGCCTTCCAAAAAGAATGGATAATAACTTTATCCATGCTACCGCGGCTTTTCATTTCTTTACCAGATCATTTTCAAGAAACAAACTTTTTTTCTTCATTTCTCAAAATATAGTCAATGTTTCCCGACTTGAAAGGCGAGGGAGGTAGGGCAGGGGCGGGACGCGTAGCGTGTGCGTTCGCGGTTCTTGCCACGTGTTCAATACAGCCGCCATCTACTCTTTGAAAGGCCCGTTTTTCGCTTTTTTCATATTTTTTCAATTATTTATTGATTATGTTCATGTATGCATCAAAAAATAGTAGAATACATCGAAAAAGAGCGGTTGCCGAGCTTTTTAAATAGTCGGCGACAATTGAATTGAACGCGTGCCAAGAACCGCGTACGCACACGCTACGCGTCCCGCCCTTTGCCCCGCCTCCTTCGCCTTTCAAGTCGGGAAACATTGTCTATATGTGTGCCATGACTTGGGATTTCACTGAACGACATTCCGCTGCGTCGCGAAGCGTCTTTGCGATCCTCGGTCTCGCTTTGAATTGGTTCTCAGAGGAACAGCAATAAGTCGTTTGCTGAAATTCCAAATCGTGGTACAAAGAATATATAGCAAGTCTCATTAAATCCCAATACCTCGACCTTTTGCACTTCCCGCGTAATAATTGTAGAAATCCTCACGTCCCATTTTCATATTATATTTTTTTCTCGTTATCACAATTAATTCGTTCGCGTGCTAATAAGTAAAAATCCTCTTTAAAAATCAACTTTAGGTCAACTGGGTGAAGCGGTTAGTTGATTTTATCAACTAGTCCGCGCCGGCGAGGATGTAGGCCAAATATCTTGAGACAGAATTTGATAAGGTAAACCATTGATCCTGTTTTTTTTTCTTCTGATGCTCGAGTTCCAGACCAACTGTCCATCCAAAACCGGCGAAACAAAATTTGCTAACATGACACATACTAAATAAAAAGAAGTAACAAGGACGAAATCACAAAAGTCAGTCGAAAAGAACAAGTCCTCAATGGAGCAGGTGAGAAAACAAATTATTTCTTTGAAACGTTAAAATGATTTGAAAAATTTCAGCACACTGCGCGGATCGTCAGAGCAGCCTCAAAAAGAAAAGCAGAAGAAAATGAAAACCCTTTTTTTTTGACCCCACCCCACAGGATGAATCGATATCTATAAAATGCGAATAGTCGCGCCGGCAACGCTAGAAAGTCATCTTTGTAAAGTTCTCTGTTCGCAGTTGTCAATTCGCACTGTGAACATATCTCTATGAACCGAATGATTAGGTACTATGTAGCAAATCAATTTTTGTATTTTTTTGTGCCGGAGTTGGAAATCTCACATTTTGAAAACTGGTTGATCAAAGCAGCTTGCTGAGAAGTTTAAAGGAGCATGGACCTGATTTCCATCGAGGTCGTGTGGCAATGCCCCTTCAAACATTCCAGCGAGCTGCTGTCTTGAGATTTTTACTGAGATGAAGCTTTTTGAGAAGTTCGACTTCGGCAGAGCAACATCTAAAATCTACCTGAATTTTTTTTAACTTTCCGTCTTATGGTAGTCCTCCGCTAGTTTTTTTAAATAACATTCCATGAGGGTTGAACCCGGCTTTTTTGCCTCGTTCCAGTTGAAAAAATTTATTAAAAATCAAAAAAAAAGCAACTGGACGAGGTACCCTCAGGACGAAGGGTCTTGAAGCATTTTATCATTAGGTGGTCAAAACCTTTTCTCCAAACCATGTCGTCTCGGCCAAAAAATTAGAAAACGACATGGGTCATATACCTCACCTTTTTGAGCTTCTTTTCCCTATTTTTCTAAATTTTCCCCCTTCCCCCTGCGCTTTTGGTCTGTTTCTAAGATTTTGGCGATTATTTATTGGTCACAAAGCAGAAAAAATCTTATGAAGCAGACCTTTCGTTCCGTGTCACCGCATCCCCCTTCTTGTCTATTTTTTTTTGTCTGGGTTGTTCCTGTAGCCAATTGGGTATTTTTGTCAAATCGTGATATTTCATTGTACCCTTGGAGGCCAAAGTTGTATGCTTTTGTTTGGTTTCCCTTTCTTTCCTTTCCGATCCAAAAATCTCATGCCCTTCTGCAATTTTTTTCTTGCTGCATTTTGGTCGTCCGTGGCATTCGAGTTCCGAAGACTACCTGACGCACGAGTGTAAGAATACTTTGTTTTCAAAGTGCTTTTTGACCTCTGGCCGAATTCATTTGTAAATGAAGTTTTTTTTCATCTCGACCCATCGTTTTATTATGTCCAAATATGATATCACAACTGCACTGAAAATGGCTAAAAAAAATAGCAACTTGAGTTAAAATGCATCGGACCTTGAACGACTTAAGCACCGTCTTATAGGAAACGGACAAAAAAAAACTTTTACAGCTTAATAATAGTCAATATCACCGTACAAGGAAATCGAGAGTTCAAAATTTCAAAAGCGTCCCAGCCATTCCGAAAAGAAGTTTTCCTTCGGGTAATCTACAGAAAAAAATGTCTCTCGCAACCGACCAGAAGCTACTCACGCTCAGCAATGTCTTCTGCTTTATGTGAGAAATTCAGTGGTTTTCTGTAAAGTGCTTAATTCAATTTTTAATCAAAACGCTTTGTAACACTGAAGGTTTGTACTAGTATAAAACTTACCAAATCAGTAAGGCTTTTTCATGAATTTAATTCATAAGGTCGAAAAACCGGCTATAATTTCATGGAGTTCCCTTAAACAATGTAAAATTAAAATTTCTGTGCGAAATCCACGAATTGATGCAAGTGTTTATGTGACCAAAAAGTTCCGAAATTACAAAAACAATTAAAAAAACAATTGAAGATCCGAAAGATCGACAAATGAAGAATGAGATCTTAGAAATGGAGGAGCAATGGTTGGAAGAAAATTATGATGATAAGAAGACCAAAACTCGTTTGAACTTTTGTCGAAAATCCTGGTATATCACAGTAACTTCATATTTTTGTTTGCATCAGAAATTACTATCAGAAAAATAACAAAATAAAGCGGTCTCTTGGAGAAAAACTGGGAAAAATGATAGGAAAAATCACAGGACATGGATTCACCAGAATATAGATTATACAGTAAAGTTGGGCTACATGTGGAATGTGAAAAAGCTTAGGATTGGTAGTTTTCGTCGGGGAGGTAATTTTGAAATACAGAATTTTTAAGAAGAGAGTGTTTCAATTGGAAAAATAATAGGACTGGCTGAGCCACAACTATGAAAAAAATCTTAGAAAATTTTTAATTGCATAGTTTCTGGTGGACTTAGAAGAACATTCCGCAGCCTTTGACGGTTTTCTCGCCTTTTTTCAGCATCGGAGTCGAGCATTTCTTGGAGACCGTGACGACGGCCGCGTTCTGAAGCCAAGCCTCGCCGTCGCTGAAAAATTAATCAATTTATTTAGAACAGTTTTATCAGTTTTTTCAGTTTCCGACCGAAAAGATAAAGTTGTGAAGGTCTATCCTTCTTCTCAGATCTTGGGCAGAAAGGTATTGAATATGGATGAATGCCTAATTTTAACCTATCCTGTGAGAGATTGAAATTTTCGCTTTTTTTCACCTGGCGGTTAAAAACTTCGATTTCTCAAGCTCCAACAAACGTTAATAAAGCCCACCTCTGCATGGGGAACGGGATGTTTCCCTTGAGAACAATCTTCGCAGTTTTGGCCTGACCGATGCTAATAGGACTAGCGAGGCCCACCTAAAAAAGTTCAAAGTGATAAGAAGAGTTTGAAAATATGAAAAACCTGCATCTGAGCGATATGGAAAGAAGAAGTGACGGCGAAAACCTCGAACATGCCGTCGTCGGTCGTCTGAGGCATCTCGTCTTGAGCAGCCTCCCACGGCTTCACTCCAGCTCCCCAAAACGGAATGTTGAGGATCACGAGCCCTTCGATGTCAGGCAGCTCGATGAGGCTGAAAACAAGAATTTCCTCTGAAAAACCCCTTCTCGTCACTTACACATCGTCCAAGAAGAGGTCGATCTTCTCGTTGAGACCCTTGCAGACGCGCTCGAAAACATCTTTCGTTCCAAAGGTGAAGAAGAGGAACTTGTTGATGAACCTGCAAGCATCATATGACCATTTTTTTTTCTTTTGTTGCACCTGCCAATTACATTTGCCTAGCATGTGGTTACCAAATCTTGGAAAGATTGAAAAATAGAATTTGAAAGTTTTCAGCTGCGATTGGGAGTTTTTGGAATGAAAATTTTCGATAGAAGCTTATACTGTTTCAAAAAAAGTTTTTCCTTTTTAGAACTCCACAAAAAATGGCTTGATCTGTTATGGGAGTCTGAATATGATTTTTTTTTTCATTTGATCAAGCTAACCGACCGAAAATGAAATGACTAGCGCTTCCCAAGGGCCATAAAAGTTTTCAAGTGTAGGATAAAATAGAACTTTCATTTTTCAAACAAATAACTGGGAAGTTCATTTTACCTTGCTGTTGGAAACTTCCTGAAAAACGGCCAGAACACTTTTTGATGTGCCAGAAAAAATTCTGAAGCTCCTGCACCACTTTCTTGGTCTCCAGAAATAATAGTCTGAAGCTTCAAAAAAGCTCATTTTAATGGATTTCGAGCGTTTTAGTGGAACTTCCAGCGCCTTTTTCTCGAAAAGTAAAAGGTTGAGGCTTTCAGAATCGTTTTTTGGTTTATTTAGGAGTGTTCCAGCCAATTTTCAGGAAAATCCCAGCCGCAAATAAAATGACCTCTTATGTAAGACATTCCAAATGCGACCACTCACCGGCTGCTCATAGCCCGTGGAATGGAATCGCGAGTATTCTGCATTCCGAGGGTCACACAAGCGTCGACACCAACGGAAACGTAGTTGGTCATGGAAAGACGGCGGTTCGCGGCGAGACGAACTCCGAGCTGAGAATACAAAAATTCAATCCAAGTTTTTCTTAGATGGTGATATTTTTAATTGGATGAAAAAGTTAGTCAAGCTTTGCTCCAAGCGAATTTCGTAGGCTCTTCAAATCTTGAAAAATCGTACTTAAAGCTTCTCAACTTAGTTCAGTCTTAAGCTGGACAGTTTTTAAAAAAGTAACCTTTCTGACATTCTCAACGTCGATGGTCCAGCGGTCGATGTTGACCACTTCCGAGTCCTGGATCCCTTCCATGAGCTGAAAAAAATCTTCATATCAGAAATTCTGAAGAATCAATCAGAGCTTGAAGCCTCAGAAAGTATTCAGAATGAAAACCTTGACGACGTTGACGTCGCCTCCACACTTCTTGCCCCACTTCAAGACTCGCGAGAGATCATTCCCAGTTCCAAGAGGGAGCACCGCTGCCTGGAAATATCATCACTTGAAAAGATGACGTCAAATTTGCATGTTCTCACCGGAATACGACGAGAGAGACTGTCGATTTGGTCAAGAGCCGAGCAGATTGTGCCATCTCCTCCCGCCACCAAGACACGGACATCAATCTGAAAATCTTTCCTTCAAAATCTGAGAATTACGACAGCTCAACCTCAGGGTGCTCGTCGATCCAACGCAGAGAAGCTTGAAGGTTGGATTTCAGAACATCGACGACCTGAAAAATTTAAAATCTTGTTTCAAGGCGACGCTTGAGGTTAAAAGGCTACTACAGTATCCCTTTTTTCAATATTTTACGGTACCTTATTTTTTTACTGAACGTCTACACGCACGGTTTGCGTGTACCAAATTACAAAATTATCGCATGCACCCGACAAAAAAAAGACGCGCCGACGTCAGAAAAAAAAAACGGTCTTCCTTTTGAATGAAGATGTTCTTATCTTAATTTAAAATATCAGAATGAAAAGGCAAGCAACTTTTTTTTATGAAAACCACCTCATTTTCTAGCTTTCATAATCTGCAAGAGTCTTTTTTTTCCGCAAGAGTAAAGTTCTTTGCTCTTTAGAAAGGAACGCTCAAAACATATAATCATATCAATGCCCCATACCAGCAATTACCAACACGGTAGCAAACACAAAAACATCACAAAAACACGCGGATGTCCTTTTCTCCTCTTTGATACCAACCTGGGCCGGATGAAGATGAGCGCGGAAGTTTCGGAGCAAATCCTTCCCAGCGCCAGATCCACTTTTTGGGTTCACGATGACCATGACCGGCTTCCAGTTGGACACATCTTCAGGGACTTCGATTTGTTCAACGACTGCCTGGAAAAAGAAACCTTTTTTTGATTTCGAATGGACTTTTCAAGTTTTAAGGTTGTGCTCTTGCGCAAATTTCAAGCTCTCAAAAATACGCCGTGCATTTAAAGCATTTCTCATGCTAGAGAAAACTACCGCGCGCAAGTAGTTTCAGGTCGGATGCGGTGAATATTTAGTCCAGAAGCTCACTCGTGACCTTTCGAACAACTGTAATCAAAAAATGAAAAATTGACTCACCATTCTCTGATTCCGATTTCCCGGCTTCCGCGTCACAACACAATACGGTGGGATTACCGTAGTTCTGAGCCGGCCGAAATCACAAACGGCCAGAAACTTTTCTTTGCACCTCGTGTGTACCACTCGAGTACACCTGAAAAAAAAAAAACGATTTTTCAAAAGAAAGAGAAAAAATGGGAGAGACAGGTACAGTCGAACTATGAGATTTACCTGTTTTTCCCACCTGAATGTTACACCAAAACATTTGTAGTTCTCAAAAAAAAAACCGGTAAGAAAAGCAAAACGAACAGAAAAATGGAAATGAAAAGAAGAAGAGACATGGGAAAAAAAAAAGTAATTTCAATGAATTTATGACAGCCGTAAATTAAAATGATTCTCGGGTTTGTTTGATTTTCTGATGAAATTTATGTCTTTAGATTTTTTTTTCTTGTCAAAAAGAGGCGGAGCTCTCTTCACGCCGAGTTACAAGTACTGGATTAGAAAAAAAGAGGATAATCCATCACAAATGAAAAAAAATGGCCTACGTCTATGTTTCTAAGATTCTTGAAGGAAAAAGTTCAAAGATTCCATCTCAAGAAGGAGACCATCAGATAAGTTCGAGAACTCGTTATTTTCTAGGATAGTCCATTCAACGTTAGCTTGAGAATGAAGAGCGAGACAAAAGGTTGAGATGTTTACAATACTTTTCTTCTAATTCATCTTTTCATGATTATTCGAAAAGAAGGAAGAAATGTATGATTCCCATTGTTAGTCATATTCCGACTAGTAGGGAAACTATTTTTGGTTCGCTCCTTGTTTGAAAAGAGTGTGGAGTGATAAGAAGTTATAAATATCAACAGCATCTGCAATTAGTTTTTATGGACGTTGTGGAACCGAATCCGGGTTCAAATACTCTTTTAGTCAGTTTTTAAACTTCTTGAGAAAAAAAAATTTGGAAGACAAATGTGTTTTCCAATGCTTTCTAGACAGCCTAGCAAATTTTTACAAGTTTACCATTTCGAACTTTAGTCACAAAAAGGCACTCCATAGTCGATCCATCGTTGTTTTGAGCAAAAAAATCATTTTTCTAGGTAAAAGTTTAAAATCTGAAGCCACATTGGTGAAAGAACTGTCAATGAATAATAAGGATTAAGCTTCAAAAATCGTTAAAGAAAAAACTTCAAAGATCGTTAAAGAAAGATTTCCAGTTTCTTAATAAACACGGATAGGAGTCTTGACTAGAAAACAGATGGCCAAAAAATGTCTCAAGTCTCGAGTCTCTAGTCTCTTTTTGAGAAGAAAATGTACATATTTACGGAAATTGATTGCTTCAAAGATCGGAAAAGAAGGCTTTCCAGTTGCGCGATGAACACGTATGGGACTCAGGACTAGAAAAAAGATCGGCAAAGAAAAAAATGAGTAAATTATTTGTGATTATTTATGGAAGGTGATCATTTCGAAGATCGGAGAAGAAGCTTTCTCAGTTGCGCAACGAACACGGATGGGGGATCTTGACTAAGAAGCAGATCGCCTGGAGAAAAATCGCCGCCGGCGGCAGACGATCGGGCGCCTCTTAGGCAATTTTCGCCGCCGCTGAACGTGGAACCAGCAGAGGACGCCTGTGCGGTGCGGCCGCACAGAAAAGAACCGGATATCAATCAACACTAAGACGATTTCATTTTATCTGTCCCCTTGGGAACAGATTGTATTCCCTAATAAGGCGTGAGCCATCACAAAAATTTGATTAACAAAGGAAGTTAATTTTTACTGTGGAAAAAAAAATGATTTCTCAATTTTTTGCTTCCACTAGGACTAACATAAAGGCTCAACGCTTCAAAATAAACCATTACAATTTTCATCCGGGATATCGACCAAAAGCTAGAAATCGCCTCGAAAGAACAATCATTCCACGAACTAATGTCAATTTCGAGTGAATCATTATGACGTCAGAATCGTTAAGAAAACTTTGGCGAATTCCGCCAGAAAACTGGGAAAAACTCTGAAATGTGTGAACTTTAAAATTAATTAAAGCTCGCTGTAAAATTATCACCTTTGTCCAATATGCTCAAAAAGTCGAACAAATGCTAAAAAATGACGACTCTACGGAGGTCAGAAAAGGTTAGGAACGCTTTTGAGAAGACTTGAAAAGAACCTAATGTTGTTTTATTCTTGAAATTATGCGTTCAAAACCGTCCTTTTAAGTTTTTCGAATAAGAAGTTTGAGTCAGCCCACACAAAGTAGGACCGCCTACAATGTAGTTTTTTTTCTGTAAGTTTATCATCTAATTATGGAGTTTTCCGAAGAGATAGCCAGCGTAATTAAAATCTCTCTGCTAAAAAACTTTGATTCACCTTATCCCTTCAAGTAGATACACCCACTGGCTGCTAGAAAGTTGGCCTTTTTCGACAATTTGTCATCCAATTAACAGTTTATAATGAAAAAACAGTAAAAGGACACAGTGACGTATATGGCAGAGCTTCCTCGTATGCTTTTTTAGCGTATAATTTTTTCAAGCTTGAAGATTTAAAGGTTGTGTATTGAACTACTTTTATTGAAATTTTAAGTTTGATTCGTGGTGAAATTCGGATCCAAGATAACTCGAAGTTTTGAAATAAAAGGGTTGATCCTCATTTATATATTCTCGTTGAATTTTTCATTTGCACGGTGATGCTCATTTAACTCATGTTTCATGCTTCAGTCGGACTTAAGAACGAAAAACTAAAATTCTCTTTTGGAGACTGAAAAAATTGGTTTGAATGAATTTTTTTGAACTTTTCGGCTGTCAACTTGAGTCAAAAACTACCATTTTTTTCAATTGATGAATAAATTTTTTTCTTTTTCCAAGCACTTTACTTTTTCAATGATAGTTTATCACACCAATTTCAGAAGCGAAACGGTTCAAAAGTGTTCCAGAAACTCGAAAGATGGTTCAGCCTTGATTTTTATGACGTTTTCCTTCTTCCTAATCAAGCTGGATGGGATCATACTACATATTTTAATGAACTTTTTCGGGTCACAGCCAAAAAAAAGCGAAGAAAACCTTTTTGAAGACGGAAACGCGAAAAATATCAGTCGCCGGGCACAAAGGAAAGGTAATCAACATACAAAAATGGAGGCGTTATCTATGACTTCAAAACTCAAAAACGGGGAGCGCGGGGGTTGTGCGTTCGCGTGAGCGTTTCTTTTTTTCATTCTGTACGCGTTTTCCAAATGGATGGTTTCGGGGGAAGTAATTTGCTTGTGTTACTCAGCTCTGCGGGAGCCTCATCTTCTCTCTAATGATAACAATCTACGTCAAATGAAAAAGATGGAGTAATTTTAGATATTTTCCAAGAGAACCTGCAGTTTGCAAAAAGTGATAAGAAGCTCACAGGTTTTCAGAATGCGAGATTTGGAAGATTTGCAAAGGTTCAGGGAGAACAATTTTGCAGGTTTGAAGGCTGGAATAGTGTGAATGAAAATTTGTGATTTCTTGAAAGAGAAACCTTGAATTACGGTTTTCATGTAGGTAAAAAGTTTAAGAGATCAAGAAACTCAAAAAGGAAAAAATTGGAAAAATTCGACTTTTGAGATTAACTTCTGCAGGATCTGAAACCGTAAAAAAATCCAAAAATGTTCATGCCAGAGAAATAATAATTAACAGTATTATAATTATAAAAAAATTCTCTAGCTGTTTTCACTCCAAAAAAATGCAGAGAACTTTTCGGAAAGCAAGAATTGAAAAAAAACGAAAATTTTGGGAAAACTACTCTAGTTTAATGTTTCAGGAAAAGGTGCAGTTTTTTTTGAAAATAATTGGGCCTTTTTCTCAAGCTTCAACTTGTTTCGGTTTTTGAAACTCATTTGGGATTTTTCAAATGCTGAAAAATTTCAAAAGATAAAAAAACACTGAAAATTCTGAGGCTTCCACCTAGAGCACAGTCTCCGGGCTCCAGCACAACATCCGCTACATTCTGAGCTCGTCAAGGCGCAACTGGATGGACTACGCGCAGAAGGACGAGACGAAGGACCGTAAGACCATGCTTTCAACTCTTTCGTCTACACGTTTGGACTTCTAGCTCGCCAAAGGCGTTTGTTCGTTATAGCTTTGAAAGTTCTTGTTCACCGCCTAGTCGATTACATCAGACTAAAACAACAAAATAAATGATTTGATTTGATTGAAAACATCTCATACAAAATCGTTTTTGAACGGTCGAAAACAGTCTAACCTTGAATTTCTCTCCTTCCTTTTTTGTCTATTTCTGAACTGGTAGATGGGACATCATCTTGTTTAACGTTCCTTTTATCAGTTCGCTTGGGGAAAAAAAGTTTTGCAGACAAAGAAAAACTGTTCGATCTGTCATGAAACTGCACAACACGACTTGTCTCAAAACCTATTTTTGCAGAGAAATTTTCTTTTTTCGGGCAACTGACAGCATCAAGGTTTTGGATGAAACAGGAAGTTTATTGGAATCAGAAGGTTCAAATGCCCTGTCTTGTGTGAGAATTTTGATGTACTAATTTTTTAAAAGAAGTCGCAGACTACGAAACCCGAAAATGAGCTTGGTAATTAATCATTTATTAAACATCGATGTTTCAAACGCGATACAAACTTTTGAAAAGATTTGAAAATGAGATGAAAAATATGAATTTTTGAATAGAAAAGGTCAGCAGTTCAGAGCTGTTTCGGTTTTGACAAGGAACCGCAGCGCCAGCAGGAGGGCTGCGCGATTTTTGTTTGGACTTGCGCTTATGGACCCCCGGTGGCTTGACAAAAAAACCAATGATCGAAACAAAATATGGCAGAGTTTTCATTTTTCCCACTTTTTGAAATTTACAATTTGCCAGTGCGTGGTCGTAGTTGCGAAAGGTATCTTTTGAATTTTTTTTTTCCGGTTGAGCAGAAACGATTTGCCTACATGCCAATCAAGGCTTTTTTCCAGCCAAACGTCAGAAGAAAAAAGAATAAAAGTGAAGAAAAATACGATAATTTTAGGCTTTAGGGCAATTATCTGAGAACGCCGATTTGCAAGTTTCCCATGCAAGAACCTTTCATTATTTTGTAGATAATTGGGTACAGATTCTTGCATTAAAAAAAAAGGTTCTTGAAGTTTGAATATACAGACTGCGTATCGAAAAACGCAAGAAAGACGCAAGTTCTACGCCGGATTGTTTTGAAACGGGCCGTATGATGCGTTTTTAAATATAGAATATATATTCACATTACAAAAACATATCATGGTTTTGCGTTTGTGGAAAAAGAAATACATTAACTTCAAACGCAACCGACCTTGAACTGTTTGCGCTTGATGGTAAGATGTCTCTTTAGCTTCAAACTAAAAAAAAGACGTCCTCTGGCTCTAAAGTTCCCGTTTTTTTTTAATTTTGAAGACGTAAATGAAATGATTTCTTCAAAACTGACCGTTGCTGTGTTTTTTTTTTTCTAGGGTGTGTCAATTTTAATTTATTCAAACCTTGTTTCGGTTTTTTCAAAGCCTCAGAAAATTCCAGCTTCGCTTCAAAATCCATATGATAGTCCTTCTTCTTTTTAACTTCATCAAGGATCCTCAGACAAAAAAACAGGATCGTTTTCATAAAAAATAGTTTAGGTTAGCGTACAGCTCGAACATTACCGAAAATAGCCTCCCTGTTTCAAAATTTTTATTTCCTCTTTCGAAGACCCTAGCTATTATAAACTTTGTGAGTGAAGAAGTTCACGACCGCCTTATTAGAAACTCATTCCATGATATGGAGATTAACCAGAAAAAACCCATTGCGCGACCAACTCCATTCATCTGCATTATCAGGAGGAAAGAAGAAACTGGTTAATCTTTTTAGGAAATGCCAAAAAATTCTTGCATTGAGTGTATTTTTAAACCTCGGCAAACGTAGGTGCTTTTTCCCATAATCTGCATGTTTCCTAAGCCGAGAAGAAAGGAAGAATGTGTTTTTCCGGCGGTGGAATACGGAACAAACAGAGGTTATGGAAAGAGAAATAGAAAGACACGGGGGCCATTCTTCGACCGTCGAACCGTCGCCGCGTGACGATAATACTCAAAACGAGCGGAGGTTTAACTGTGTTTCGCAAAAGGGAAAGAACCTCAGATAAAAATCGCCCTAAAGTTACCTGGAACTGTCAGTTCACAACGTTCTTAGAAAGTTCTTAGGGCGAAAAGAGCGGCACGATCAAACGTCTGTTATCGTTTTGGAATGGCCGAAAAAATTGTAAAATGGAGAGGGCAAACGTCATCTTCATCTTTGATTTTTTCACCTCTTCCGGAATTTTTCTATAGAGCAAAATGAAACAAAAAAGGCAGAACGTTAATTTTTTCAAGTATTAACTATTGGTTCTGTCATGCCTTATACAAGCAAAAATGAACTCTGGTTGTAGTGAAATCGGTTTGATGAGTAGAGGCTGCTTATCGGTTGCTATGAAAGTGTGCACCCGACCTCAAACTACTTGCGCCGAAATTTCTTGAGATTTGAATTCCCGAGATCTCCTTTAGGGGGACCCTTCGAGGATTCATATCTCTGAAAGCAAAAAGTTGGGCAGAAATGATTTTCTTCTCAACTTTGAGATCTTCAGGAGCTATGAAAGTATGCACCCGACCTCAAACTACTTGCGCCGTTGAAAAAATGAACTCGGATCGGGGCGAACTTAAGATTTGAATTCCCGAGATCTCCTTTAGAAGGACCCTTCGAGGATTCCTATCTCTAAAAGCAGAAAGTTGGGCAGAAAGAATCTTCTTCTCAACATCGGGATTTCAGGAGTTTGAGAAAAACACCTTGCTAGGGAGAAATTACCTGCAGCTCTGTGCATGATTGCATCCACCTCAGGTATCGCCCACGCTAAGAGGCGTACCTTGCTAGGTAGACCGGAAAAAATTTGTGAGTTCTTCGTTCGTCCGGTACATTGAACCTCCCATTACTTATCTCTTTAAGAAAGGGAAAAAATAGCCGTGGGCGACTTCCTGCTGGATCGAATGTAAATAACTGACGATAAGCTGCTTTTTTCGCGGATTTTTGTTTATCGCCATAATCAACCACGTAGTGGTAAGCTATCCAGGCTCCATTCACGTAGGGAAAAAGGATCAAAAACCGGACGACAACACGTTTTTTTATACATACTTATTTTAGAAAAAATTTGTCATGCTCTCTGAAACCTGAACTGATCTTGAAAATACGCAGACAACACGTGAAATCCCCCGGCGGATAAATAAAGGAGATGATTTTTGCACTTTTCTAGAAGATTTCTTCCATGAAAGTTCAGAAGACGTTTTTAGGAACGCCAAAGCTGTTTTTATGGGGGTAAGGGGAAAAAACAGCCCCTTAAGATCAAGTGGTTCCTACAGGGCCTTGTGACTTTTCAGAGTCGAAAAAAAAAGAAAACTTCATCAATGTATCATCTTTTGACATGTTTCATGTCAATTATTGTTCTCATAGAGTCTATAACATTATTCGGCTGGTATATCTTTTACAGGGACCACTTTCCAAGGTATAGGGACCCTTAAACAATGAAGAAAATTTTCCCTGAAGGGGAGCCTTCAAGTGCCCTAAGGTTGCCCTATAGGGACCATTCTGGATTTCCTCAGCTTACGAAGAAAGTGATAATATCATTTTCAGAGAACCCTGACTTCAAATCAAAAAATAACTTCGCTTTCCCTCTTATAGTCATGACGCCTCAAAGACGCTATAAATTTCATTGCGACCTTTTCATTACTTTGATGACCTTTAAAAAAAAAGAGCAGACAAGAATAAATGCTTCTGATCAAAAGCAAGGTACAATATCCAAAGTTTAAGTGTTACCTACGCGCTTTTTTCCCCTACGAAAACTTCTGGGAACACCTCCCACCGCTCATTATCTGTTCGTAACCAATAATTGAACTCAACAAAAAAAAAACTGCAGACGTGTTATTTCCAAAAAATGAAAAAATGAGCGTTCATAAATCTTAAACAGTTTATTCAAAAGTTCGTCGGAAAATCTGCTCAAAAGAGACGGAAAAAATCTTAAGCCACGCCCAAGGCGCCTGTAAACATCTCACCAAATTATTATGATTGGACTAAAAATCGCTGAACACGAAGTTTGACCGCTTGCCTTTAAACCGAAGCGGAAGCCTCAAAGTGATCTTTGAAGGAAAATAAATTGTCATCGAAAAAATCGTCTCAAAACGGTTACTTGAGTTTGTTAAGTTGATAAGAACTGAAATTGGATTAGTCTCAGAAAATTGGTGAGTATAGTTTGGCGAACAAGAACAGCGGAAATTGTTGATTTGTAGCGTTTCAGGAAACAACAGGAACGTTTTTGCGTCATTACGACCAATAGATAAAAATCACAAATTTGTAGTTGATATTTTTAGAAGCGTAGGATGGGTTGCGAAATCGGAGAAAAAAATTAACTTGCAGAAAAAAATTATGAAAAAGTTTATATAAAAAAACTCGTTGAGCGCTATCTTCTGGCTTATTTGCAAGTGAAATTGGATTTTTTTTAGAGCATCCGACTTAAAACAATTTCTGTGCGACGATATAGAGAATAACTCATGCTAATTGATGAATTTAGAAAAATAAGTTTGTTGATTTTTTTAATAAAAATTTTTTTAAGTTCCAAATATCAAACTTTAATTCAAATTGAAAAACTAAAAATTGAATTCTCAATTAAAAAAATTACTCAGCTTTGGAACCAGAAATTATTTGATGAAGAAAAAAATTTCAAAAAAATCACAAAAAAAGAAAAAGAAACTAACCAAGAACATCGGAAATCTTGCAGACCAACGCCGCCACCGCACAGTTCTTCGCACACGACGCAGAACTCATCAGCCGCCAAATTGCCGCAAATCTACAATTTTTAAGCATTTTACTGATTTTCTTGAGAAAAATATTTAGTATTTTTTTGAGGAATTTGAATATCAGAAAAAAATTGTTGAATTGACTTTTTCTCGATAAAAACTAAAAATTTTTTTGAGAATTTATCTACTTCATGGTGCTCTATTTATGATTTCTATCTCTCCAATTCAAGAAAATGGATTTTTCTGCATCTTGTTCATATAGGAATTTTTTTCAAAGAACGGTGATATTTTTTTCTTTCATTTAAGAATGAATATTGTTTTGAAAAAAACGCGTTTATTTTTTTCTTTTCCATACAATTCAGAAAAAAATTTTTACTTTCCTGTTTTCGAATTAATTACGAAAAAAAGCTGAATAGTAATTGAAGAATCAAAATCTCACCCAATGATGTCCAAAAGTCTCTTTCCTCGTGGTTTGCGCGTTGACTTTGCAGAAAAATCTTCGAAGATATCGCTCGCAGGCACTTTTATCTAGATAAAGTTTTGTTTTTAAATAAAACTGAACATCTTTATAGAAAAAAATAATAAAGCTCAGAGGGTTTTAATAGAGAAAAATCTGGTCAGGGAAAAATTTTTTTCCAAACGCGAGCTTTAGATAGAAAAAAATTAAAAAAATTGTGTTTTTATTGTACCGAAACGATTTTCGGTTAATTTTTTTCTCATTTGGAAAAGTTGAAACAGTAAAACAAACTAACATCGTGTACTTTTCAAAAGACAATTGTCGCATTCGTAGCCTGTTGTGATGTGTTGCTTGCAGCAGCCGCAGTAGTAGCCCTTATCGCTTCCGTCGATTGGAGACCAATAATGACCGCCTGAAAATTTGGAACATTTTTTTGAAAAAAATTTAGAAATGTTCCCCAAACTTGACTATATAATTTTTAAATTTTTTTCCTGGTGGGGTCTTTTTTTTCAAAACCAGTGAAACACATGCGCAGAGCGACATGTGGTCTCTGAAGAAAAAAATGCACCTTTGTTTACAACGAAAAAAAGTCAGACAGATGCGGTTCATTTTTTTCCATCTTCATAGTAAATTTTAAAATAAACTGAATGGTTTCAAAAAAACTCCTTGATCAAATTTCAGAGAATAACTTTTCTTCTTAATTATTGAAGGGGAAATCCAAAAATTATTGAGAAGTTAATGGAACAATAATCATTGTTAAAAAGAAAAATTAAAGGTTTTTTTGAAAATTTAAAAAAATATTAAAAATAGGCAAGAAGTACGCTGGAGATAAAAATAGAACACTTGTTTAAGGAAATTTTCAATATTTCACAACGCCTTTTTAAAAGGAAAAAAACTATGGAAAATATATCTATTTTTTTACCCTAATTAAAGACTGATTCGTGTAATTCGACTAATTACAAGTAACTAATTTAAGTATTCAATAAAAAAACAAAGTTGGAACATTAACTGGTTTCGCATTTTTTTTAAAAATCACAAAAAAATCTAGTAAATTTCATAACTAAAAAAATTCATAATATTGAAGAAAAATATCATTCAAAAACATACTTTTTTTGATAAAGTCTCGTTGATGGCTTTCCTCTTGCGAACGGCCAATAACTGTCGAAACAGGAAAACGACAAAAGTCGTGACGAGAATGAACCCAACGGCGGCAAATAATTCATCGTACAGGTCCATTAAAAACAGCGGTAGTTGATCATGACACAAAAAAGAGAAGAAAAAACAGCAAGTTTTCCGCTTATTTTTTCACTTTCAAAAGGGACCCTCGATTACAAATGATCAGACGAGTCCCGCATGACACTTTCTCGCTTGTTTCGCTGCTATTTTTGAGTCTCCGTCTATGTTTGCTCATTTTTCCCTCCGCACCTCGAGAAACCCAGGAAAGTGCGCGCCAGCGGACCAAGGAAGCGTCTTTTTCTTATTTATACAAGGGCAAAGTGCCCGTTTTTTGATAATTGTTATAAGAAAGTGAGGCATTTTTTTAACATGGAATATTTATTGTAAAAAAAGATCGAAATGGCTTCAATGTCGAGAAAAATTAGCAAAAATATCAGAAAAAAGAAATTTATTACTTTTTCTGATATTTTTTTTCTGAAGAAATTTATTTTTCTGATAACCAGCAGAATAACCGTTACGTTTTAAATGATTTGAAGCAGTTACTAAAACTTAATATTTTTGTTTTGGAATGAAGTCGACATAATTTATTTTATCCCAGAAACCAGCAGAATAACCGTTACGTTTTAAGAAATTTTAATGAAGATGAAAAATGAACCAGCATCAATAGAAACTTATGTAGAAAGACTTTCATTTTCTGCCAAATAGGAAAAATAGAAATAAAATTTGATTACAAAGTTTGAATTGAAATTTACAATGTTTGACAAAAATCAAAAAAAAAAATCTCAAACTTTTACAATCACCAAAAAATGCAAATAATAAGGATCTCCAGGTATTCCAGGAATCAATCGTTTTTGAAAAATTAAAAAATTAGATCATAAAAAATTGAAACTGGTTAGTATGATGAACTACAAAAAAATATCCATCCGTAGGTTCCAGGAAACGCGAATCGATCCGAAACATAAAAAACCGGCAAATGCTCTTCTCCAAAGTGAGAGACACGTATGTAGGTGTATGTAATAAATCCAAAGCTCTAAAAATTCCCATTCCCCACACTGATTTATATTTTTCCACGTGTTGCCCATGGCACTTGTTTCCTTGCCACCCATCGGAAAAAACAAACCAAAGCGCCAAAATCCAGTTCGTAAGAAAGAGAAGAAAGGAAAAAGGCCTTAAATGGCGTCAAGTAATGGGAAAGGTCGTTTAGGATGAGCTATGGACGACGTCTCGTTCTCCCACATTTTCTTCCACTCTATTCACCAGTTTCTTGTTTCAGACGTCGAGTCGCATCCAGAAGGAGTCGGTTCCACGCGCCCAAATTAGCGCCTCTCTGAAATTGCAAAGTAACCCATTTATGTATATGTGCAGAGGCCTCTCACTCGCACAGATTCCACTGAAGGAACAGCTCTTTTTTGAGAAATATTCTCCTCTTATTCTTTCTTTTCTCAGATTTTCAAGACGCTTTTTTTAAGAGTTTTGAAGAAAAATAATGATCTGAAAATTCGAGGTTACTTACAGCTCAGGCTCAGAAATTTTCGAGACGAAACCTCGTCTCGATTTTTCGATATAGATCATCAAAAAATTCTTGACACGTCTTCAAAATGCAAGACAAGATTATTTCGGTCTCGTCTCAAAATTTTTTTGCAAAAATTTTTCTTCTCGAACAACAACGGCTTAAAATTTTCAGCTTCTCGCCTTTAAACTTTACCCTTTTCTAGATTTTCAACGCGTCGTCAGACTTTGAAGGCTTCGAAAAGAAGAAAAGGAGCCAACGACCTGAGACAACCTGCCGAAAAATCTTGTTGCCTTGTCATAAAAACTTTAACCTCACTGTTTTTTTTTGATCCTTATTTTCAAGAGATTTTCTGATTCTGAATGAGCTAGTTTAACCACATTTTTGCTATTTTTAAAACATTTCAAAACCAAAAAAGCTGCTTTTCCTTCTCCATTGAAGCATTTATAGTGAGACCATCGGTATCAAGTTGCTTTTTATGAAACAGTGAGCTTATTTATATTTATTGGAAATAAGAAATCAAATTTTTTATCTGAGAGGCTCTTTGTGCTTCTAAGTTCAGGTTTGTTAAACTTTAAACTTTTTCAATAAACATACATTAAACTTTTTTTATTTTAGGCTTCTGGTCGCCTCTCTCAGGTCATCTCTACATAAACCTTCCTTGGAATCTCTAGAAACTCATGAGAAGGTTCACACCAATGTGAAAAAAAGTCCTAAAATTACTTTCAAATAATTTGAAAAGAACGTGACGTGTTTTCGAACTCGTATCTGAACTGTCAACTTCAAAAATTCGCTTCTTGAATTTATCGCTTTGTTTATTAGATTCCATCCAAACTGGTTTCCAAACAATATTTTCAATCTAAAAATGATCCTTGCGATGAATTTTCCCGATAAAATTGAACTGGTTTCTCTGGAATGTCCTTTCGGCAAGGACTAAAAGTATAGCCATGTTTTTCCTGGCTTATATCATTTTTAGCGAAATGTGAGATCCATCGCCACCTTTCGGCACGCAATTTTCCGCTCGAATTTCGACAGTCATAGAGTTTGATGTATGAAAATAGAGCCATTGAGGCTGCTTATCGCGATTGCCAAAAGCGCTCCATCGTGGTTTCCAATTTCCGCCTTCTTCTCGCGCCTTTTTTTCGGTTTGATCAACAGCATCGTTAGAGCCTTCATTTTGGCCGCCCGCATGACTATTTGGATTGGGCGTCTTTAATCTTTTGGAAGACGATAGCTATTTCAATAGGAATGAAGAAGACTCGGTCTTTTGGTTTCTTCCATTAATGCTCAAGCGGAATCGTTCAGGATTTGGGTGTAGCAATGGGAATTCTCAATATTCAGCAGCCGCCCTGAAGGAAGCTTCTTCGAGTTTCAAACTAATTTTCTATGAATTTTAAGACCGAGACGTCGCGAGGAATGGCTTTGTCGTTTTGTACATGAAAGGAAAAAAGAAAATTAAGTAATCAAACCAGTTTGAACCGCTCCGCGACCGCGACGCGTTCAAGAATTTTGATTGAACTGTATAAAAATTCGGGTATAATAATATGCCTCCATCAAAGTTCGAAACAAATTTTTATTCCTTTTTAAAGCTCACTTTTTAGTTTTTCATTAAAAACATGATCTTTCGGCCAGTTCCGCGGCTCTTTTTTCATTATTTCGCAAGCAGGATTTCTCAAGATTTAGGTGTATCAAGGAAAATTCTTATCTCCAGAGCCTCATTAACAAATTGCCTCCGGAATTTTCCATCTTTTTCTGAGACACGCCTCTTTTGGGACACAATAGATGTAAGAAGGGTTCGCTTTTGGACCAGTTTAGCGACATTTTTGCGTTTCGAAGTAAAACCAGTTGAGTTTCAGGTTTAGTTAAGAACTTTTCCATGTTTTTCGGTACTTCTCCAAATTTTCGAAAGGCTTAGAACTTCAGAAAAGTTAAAGTTCGGTCAAAAATGGCTTAAGCATAGAATTGAAATTCTGAGAATTTCAATCGCCGTCTTATTTTTTGAAAACCGACCTCTAAGATGTCGATTTTTTTGATTTTTGCTAGACTAAGAGTAGACATTTCGTACCTAAGATTCTTCAGAGCTTCATCAAGCGGTTTTTTTTCGAAAATTTTCAAAGCCCTAGTTAAATGACTTCCCTCGTTAAAAGGCCCATCCGTTGTGGTGTTCGTTTTGCAGTTGGTGAGTCATTAATCGTATCGGGCCCTTCGTGCATCACTCCACGTTTCAGTTCCCTATCTTAAGCCCTTATCACCATCAACAGTCATTTTCATGGTGATTCTTGGTTTTGAAATACAGTAATGATCTGTACGTTCTTTTTCGACTTGTTTCCGGTTTTTATTCTGCTTCTATTGAGTTTTCTTGAGGGATGAAATTGTAATCAATCTAGAAAATTTATCAGATTCGAAAAAAACGTCAATGAAGATCAATCCACAAAGGTATTTTATTTTGACGAAATTTAAAAATGCTTTTTTAGACCTCCATTATTTTTTTTTTCGTTGCTTCAGAAAAAATCTAACCAGGCCTCATTGGTTTTTCAAATAGCCGCGATATATGAAATAAAGGTGAACTCAAACAAGGAAGATACTTTTTCCGGGGGAAAGAAACTTCCCCACGTCTTTAAGAGTCATCTCAAATTTTGATGCATTTTGGGACCCCTCAAGATGTCACCAGATGGTGTACCATCCCCAGAAACCTTCGCAAAGACGTCAGACAGGCTTTCGGAAAGTTTTCAAAAATTTGGACTCTCCTTTGTTCATCCATGGAATTCCTATCCCATACAAACAAGCCAAAGGCCATTCTTTGCTCGAAACCAAACCAAACAGCCTGCCTCTCCCCTTCCCTGACACAGGCCCAATGGAAAACTTGTACGCGCGCTGGCGCGCCATTTTGTGACCAATTTCTCGGTCTTCTCCTCGCCAACGCCTCCGCGCCAAAAGGAACGAAGTCGAAGGAAAACGAATTTTTTTCTTCTTCTTCTGCTCGCAAGCCATGAACAATGCAAAGCGTTTCGCCTTCTATATTTGCTCCCGCGGCTGAAAAATTGCCATCGTGTGTTCAATTTGCAAATTGCATTGTTTGACGTTTTGGCGTAGCGTACAGCCCCAATAGGTGATTCATTTTCAACCGACCTCGCGGCGTTTTTTTTTTCTCGAAAATTTTATCTCTCACCTGCCAAACAGTCCTCTTTCTCGAGTTTTTCGGAGTTTCACGGAGAACGAAGGTTGTTTTTGACTCAAGACTGTTTCTGCGAATACCTCCGAAAAAGTTTATAGCTTATTTCACAGTGAAATTAAGCGCTTGAAGACTCCAAAACCTAGACTTAAACTTGGTACACCTCAAAGCCTCGTATTGAAATATCACCCAGCAAGACGTTTCTCAAGAAATTTTAGATTTTCGCGTTGGCTCGCAACCTTTTTCTGTGTAATTACAGATCATTATGAAGTCTGAGAACCTTCTAGCCTATGATTACTATAAGATACTCAGTAAGAACTTTTTCTACCATTTTGAGCAGCTCAGAAAACTTTTATCTGTGAACTCTGGACTTTTCTGTGATTTTTTTCAGCTCGAGTTTTGGAGAAAATAATTCAGAAGTGTTTGGGATTTAAAAAAAAATTCTGATCGTCTTCATTTTGACATTAAAAAGTTTTTATTCCGTCTGGAGAAGCTTCTGAGAATCAGTTATGCTTATTTGAAATATCTGCAACCTGCTGTGAATGGATCAGTTTGCTGAGATAAAAAATTTAGCCCAGGTCATTATGGATTCAGAAATTCAAGAATATTGCGACGTTTTGAGCGAATGAGCTCTTGACCGGAAAATTCAATTTAACAGATGATTCAGTATTTTTCCATATATTTTATTCTCATTACAAAAAAATCGAAGTTTGAAGTTTTTTTCAAAAAAATATCATGAGCAATACCAAGCGTTCAATTTAATATTAATTTGAATTTTTCTCAAAAAAAGGGTATAATATGATGCCATGCCCTCTTCAGGCGCTCTTGAACTTTGTCGTGAGTAGTAGGAAAGCCGTTCTGAACCTTTTTACACTCTTCCACGTCGTTTTTTGCCTTGTCCGTTGGCCAAAACATTCCTAAGGAGCACGCAACTTTTGCACCATAAAACACTTCCGGTTTTGAGAGAAAATATTCATTTCGTTGAGAAGCTAACTAAAAGCCGTATCATGTTTCTATGCATATGTAGAAAGAATTCAGCTACCTCTATGTTACGTTTTTTTCAGGAATTTTGAAGTTTGGTTTTTTCTCTCAGTTTTTTTTTCTCTTCGAATGCCAATAACAGTTGCCTACTCCTGTAATCTTCAACGCATACAACTTTTCAACTTTTGGGTGCCTTGTTTTCACAAGCTTTTCTGTCTATTTCTTTTTGTTTAAGAGTAGAATGTTTCTTGAAAAATATAGGTATCCAATTTTCAACATCAAAAATGTAATAAAATACCTACGTAAAGCGATTGGAGATGAAAATCCGTCGATAGGCTATTTTTGAAGATTTCAACTTTTTAAGTGGCATCTCAGGTTTTCCAGCATTATTTAAGCTTTTAGAGTCTTTCTACACATGCTCAAGACCTCTAGACATTTTTTTCAATTCATTCTGAAGCCCTTAACCTAATTTTTTTATTCTCTTCGATCAATTAAGTGAATTTTTCCAAGTAACTTATTGAAGAAAGACTCCTAGAGAAAGTTTTCAAGACAGTAAAAATTTTATTCCACCTTATTAGGACGCCAGAAACCGACTTGCGGCAAGAAAATACAGCCAATCTCGATGTTGATCGTTTTGGAAGGCCGCGAGGATGGAAATCGATTTGCGAACCTGCACAATTGACTATAAGCAAACGGATAGTGCACGTGGGGGGCAAGGGAGAAACAAACACCGAGAGTCGGGCCGGTTGTCACTTCTATCAATTGGTTTCGTTTCGTCTTGTTTCTGTTTGTTGTCTTAATTCTCGAAAAAAACTTCCCTGTTTCAAAATTGTGCGTTTTTTTCTTCTTCGAACTCACCATTCAAATGATTTTTTGTCGAAACACAATAGCCGTTGGTCATTATCAAAAACGTTCTCTGGTCAGAAACTATAATATTTTTCGAACTTGATTCAGTTTTGAATCGGAGACCTCCAACTGTAATGAGCAATTTTCACACTTCACAGGAAATTTTTTTAAAGAAATTTTCACTTCTAAAAACCATCTCTAATTTAATTTTTAATCTCAAGACTCTCACATCAGCATAATTCCTCATCAAATTGTTCTGGACTTTCCACTCTTGACATCAGAAATTTGCGTTCCTTGACCTTCGAATTCAGTATAACTGAAAGCTCAAAATCCCAAGCTTCGAAATAATCTCCGGATTGTCGTATCAGACCTTTTTTTATCTTAAAGCTCTCAGGGGAGAGCTTCCGTTTCCAAATTATTATTATCAAAATAAAGATCGCGCCTTTTTAACGTATTATTTTCCCTCCCGATATTCCTGGGAACTTCGAATTATGTAGGAAAACTAATAGTATGGTAGAGAGCTTATTCAATTTTTTTCAGATAGATTTTAGCACTTTGCAAGTTCTCAGAGCTTAACATGATAATTTTGAAACAAAAAAGGCTTAGGAAAAAACTAGGAGGGTTGTCCCGACAGAGCTTTTATAAGGAAACTATCACCAACCATTTTCTGATAAAATGTTCATAATTTTTTTGATTTTCTATGAATTTGGTGAAATTTTGACACGATTTCTTAGAGTAAGAGTTTTGACTTTTTAAATAATTTTTTTTCGGTTTGTAAAAAAATCATTCTCATGCTCAAATTTAGCCAAAACTAATTTTTTTCTCATATTCGATGGTTTCCAGGAGCTGAAAAAAAGATATTCAAGAATTTAATTTTCTAATTTACAAGGAAAAAAACTTTTTAATTCTCTTTATTTTCACTATTGCGAAAAAAAGGACCTTTTTAGACTTTTTTTGAAGAGAAGTTTTTGAAAAAGTTTTCGAATCAGCCAAGTCATAAGTACTTTCGATTTTTCTAAAAAGGAAGTTCTCATCGAAAACTCGAGAACTTTTGAAACTTGAAAAAAATTTTTTTTTTCTCGACGCAAGTCTATTTTTCGCTCATCGCACCAAAAGCCCACGGAAAAACGTAAAAGCGCGGGTACTGTAGCTTCGAAGTAAATGTCAAGCATTTTAAGGCCATGGGAAGCAATTGGTGAAGCAGGGAAAGTGTTTTGGGAACGTCTCAGCAAGAAACATAACAACTGGGCAGAAATGTTTGACCCATTTTGTTGACGACGGTTTGACCCGACGGCGGGGTGAGAGCCCGCGAAAAGTTCGTGGCGGTGCAGAGAGTCGCTGATTTGGCATCGATCCGCCATTCTTGGGTTGTTCCTTTGCCGTGGTCGGTTGTCTACTTCTTCTGTCTCCCTTGTGAAGGTTTTATCCTTCTTTCCCGTTTCAAAGCTTTTTTTTTTTTGAACTTTTAAAGCCTAAGGGGCCTCAAGAGCTCGTTCAAAGTTAACTAAGGCTTCCTGACTGAAGATTGAGGCAATTGTGGTTTTTTCCACTTTTCCCTTTCAAAGCTTTTGACATCAAGTTTCAACTTCTCAGTCTATCGAAAACTTCTTATGCAACAAAAAAAACCGTTTTTCTCACCTTCACATTCCTTCAAGTCGTGTTTTTGCTCGTCTCTTGTTCTGATTTCCTTTATTATCAGTCATTTTTCAGCTCTCGCCCCGTCCCAACACTCTGAAATGGACAACGATTCTAGCGACGTCGCCGCCGACTACAAGCTCCCCGCTCAGAAGACCATCGATGAGCTCCTCAACGCCGATGCGGTGAGGAGACTCAGTCTAGCAAAAGAAAAAACTGAAAATTGGCCAATTTTGCTTTGTGTCTTCAAAAAAAAATCTGCAGTTTTTTCAAAATTTCTGCATTTTGACCTTCCTCCCGTGCCTTTCCAAGCTCCATTTCACCAGTACCTACTCAAAAAATCCCAACTTTTTCAGGGCGACGAGAGCCTGGAGAAGTACAAGCGAACGCTTCTCGGAAGCCAGCCGACGGAGATCGTGGTCAACCCCAACGACACTCGCACCGTCTTGGTCCAATCCGTCGAGCTGATCGTCGAGGGACGTGACCCCATCAAGATGGATCTCTCTAGCCCGGGTGAGGATCAATATTCCTGGAGACTTGCCGCAACACGGCGTCGCGAAGCGGTCGGCGAGAGAGTGCCACTCTCTACACTCTTGAAATAACGCGCATAAACCGCTTCGCTTGGCGACCAAGCATGTGCCCCCTCAGTATAAATTATTTTTTTTTTTTGCTTTAAGAGATAAGTTATAATTTTTGAAAATGTTAAAAATGTTCAAAAACACATTTTTTTCCACCCAGATGAGTGTCAAGTGTTTATGATATGATTGTTTGTTTGAAGAAAAGCTCTCGGATCTGGTGTTCAACGTGAAGGAGGGCGCCACTTATCGTCTCAAGTTCTCTTTCTACGTTCAACGCGAAATCGTTTCGGGACTCAAGTGAGTAGTGAGGAATAGTGGAACCAAGTAAAATCTTTAATTACAGGTACGCTCACAAGGTGAAACGCGCCGCGATTACCGTCGACTCGGACAAATACATGATGGGCAGCTACGCGCCCAAGAACGAGCTCCAGTTCTACATGTCGCCTCCAGAAGAAGCTCCATCTGGTTGGTTTTTGATGAATAAAAGTTCGAAAATGAAGGTTCCTTCAAGACGAAAAATGATCATTAAATGTGTTGCCTCTAATTTTCGAACCAACCGGCAAGTTTTCCCGGTCATCAAATACCATGGAACCATTCAAGAGTTCTTGGAGCAATCTTAGTGATCCCTTAAAGGACCAGCAAGATTCAAAGCTTCAAACATATTTTGTGATTTTTAAATATTCACCACAAAACCAAAAAAGAAAATCTTAAAATATCTTCAGAAAATTTCAGAAAACCAATCTTTTGCAGGTGCTCTCCACCGCGGCAAGTACAAGGTGCACTCGAAGATCTCGGACGACGACGACAAAGTCTACCTTCAGTGGGACTGGATCATGAACTTCGGCAAGGACTGGTAGATCTTCGGCTCAAAGCCGCACAACCAGCCACGTGTACCATACGGATAAATCCACTTAACTCTATAAATTATCTCTGTTCTCTATGAAAGTCGCTTCTCCGAACCATCAACCATTGAATATGTCTTGTAAAATCCCGTGACCTTGCTGATAAACAGCGCTTATCCTGTTCCATGTTATACCTGTTAGAAATAAAAGCCTCGCTTGAAAATTGGTGTTGATTGAGATTTGCAGAAAAAATCAAAAGAGAATGATCTGGTCGCATTTAGAATGGCTCACAGTGTTACGGTTACGCGGTAATTTGAGCATGGAGCATCGAAATTGCAGTTTAAAAAAAGAGCAGCTCGAAAGTGTTTTTTAATCAATATTCTACCTCATCAGCAAATTTTCTTCAAAATTCAGCGATTGAACGACCGCGGCGCTGACCTATTCTTCTTGCGGACATGAGGTTATAGTAAGACTACCGGCTTTTCTCTTGTTAATTTTTTTTTTATAAGTAAGAATACCGACTTTTATCTAGCCAGTTCTTTTTTTGAAGTAAATCCGTGTATAATCCTGCCTCGAAGTAGTCGTTCTCATTATGAGGCTATAGCCCGTTGACGGCTGGCTTGGGACAGCAATCGGGCGGTTTAATTTGCGCGGCAAGAGTAGATCATGGCGTTCGTACATGCGCCTTCAATAGGTGAGTTATTTCTGTTTCTATTTCATGAAATGAGGCTTTTATGGAAGGCGCATGGATAGTCGCCATGATCTACCTTGTATTCAGTCTGACATTCGCTACATCCTGAGTTCGTCAAGAAGCGATTAAATGGGCTACGGGCAGAAAAAAACACGGCAAAAGACCGTAAGACCATGATTCTAATTCGCCAAAAACTTTTGTTCGTTATATGTAGCTTTAAAAGTCTTGTTCACCGCCTAGTCGATTAAATCTGACTAAAAGAACAAAATAAATTATTTGATCTGATTGATTGATATATCATCATGTTGAATTATACAGTTTTTAATACCGATTCTTGTGATTTTTTGGATTCTTTTACGAAAAACCGCAGCAAAAAGGTCTTTATTCCATTCAGATTCGTTTCACCGCGAGTTCTGGCACCAGTAAAGCAATAAAGTTACAATGGATAGGTTACAAAAAACAGCTTTATAGCAGGCCTTAGGATCGGTTCACAGAGAGGAATGACGAGAATGTGGGAACTTCACACAACCAGCAACTTTGCGAATAAATAAAGTATCAAAATAAAATGGGTCTTATCTATTTACAAGTTACAAATATTTTTTTCTTCATTCTTGATTTCTTTTTCTTCACAGCTTCTCGTTCTCTTCCTCTTCCTTGGTCTTGGGCTCTGAGAAAAAAAAGTTCAATTTTGTGAATTTTCTGAGTTCTTACTAGGCTTCTCCTGGACTTCAAGCCACTGAGCCATCTCGGCTGCTTCATTGTCAGTCGGGATCTGAAATTTTGATTTAAAAAAATGAAGCCTGCGAGCTGTACCTTGGCATGAACGGCTTGAGCAAGACCGACTCCAGCCTGAGGCTCACTATTGGCTTTGTAGGTGTCTTTGGAAGAAGAGGAAGTCGCTCCTCCGATGGATCCGTTTGCGGAGGAAACTTCTGGAAAAAAAGAAATTATTAACTAGAAGAAATGAAAAAAAGGTTGGGAACTGCAATATTAATGTGCATGGAAAAATTGAATTTTTTTCATCTCTCATTTTTTTGAAATTTTAAAAAGTGAATCAGAAGTATTGACGCACTTCTTAGATGTTTTCAATCAAAGTTTTATTCTTTTGAAATCGAATTTGTTCTAATACTTTTGATTCATTTAAACCTCTCGCGCTTACTTTAGTAATATCGAAGTTATAAAATAACATTTTTTTGAGATCACTTTTCCTAAGTTAAAAATTCTCAAGCTGGAATATAGAAAAAAATCCCTCACTGAGCGCAGAAAGCTGTTCGCCAAGAGACCGATGTTCCTGACCAATGTCGATGAGGTCCCCAACACTGGCATGACCGACAGGAGGTGCAGCTCCTTCTTCCTTCTGACGATTCGCCATGTATCGCTCGTATTTTTCAAAAGTGTTGTTGAAAGAATCGTTGAGCATGAGCAACTCGTCTGTAAAACTATCGATTCTGATTAAATTTGTAATAAACATTGCTTACAAGTGACTTCTTCGTTGCTCAAATAACGGATCAGATCCAAAACTCGCTGTTGCATCTTCTTGCAAGATGCGTAGAGATCAGCCAGGAGCTGCAGCTCGTCCCCAGTTTCTTTGCGAGGAACGATGTCGGCCAGAGCTTCGCGGAATACCTGAATTTTTTCTCGTTAATTTTTTTACGTCGTAAGTACATTTTTAGTGGCCACTTTAGGGTTATGACATTTTAGTCCTGTAGTAGTCGAATTATTAGTCACTATGGAAGCTATTATAGTGGCCACTGAGAAGCAGAATAGTGGCTTTAGTGGCAACTTAAGGGGTTTAACGTTTTAGTGCCATATTAGACGTCGAATGAGTGCTTCGCGGAAAAACTGTATGTTTTATTAGTTAGTTTTTCACTGTTTTGAGAAAATTTCCAATAATCACTTCAGGGTTTCGACATTGTAGCTGCCTCTCTAGTAGCCGAATAAGTAGTAACTAAGATAACTACTATAGAGATCACTAAGACGCAAAATGGCGGATTCTATAGAGGAGATACTAATGGCCGCATTGTTGACATCTCCGAGAAACTTTTGAAAAACTTCTCAAGTCAAAACAAAATTTTCCCCCAGCTCCTTACTAAAATATAAGAAAACCGCGGAAATAACTCGTATCAAAAAAGATGTAAAAACAGAGGCTTAACAAAGTAACCAAAACTCCGTCAGAGCCAATTTTTGCCGTAAATTTGCTTCTTAAAGATTTCTCGGCTCCACACTTTCGAAGATTTCAAGTTTTAATAAGCTGAAATCGCTGTCAATACAACTACTAACCTTAAGATTTCCATTGACAATATCCAGATCAGCTCGGAGTTTCGTGAGCTGCTCAGGCGTCGCATTGATTGGCTCCTGACCTTGCTCTCGGATCGGAAGGACGTCATAGTTCTGAAAAGAAGTTTTGATTCCTTTCAGAGCTATCTGGATCATTTTCGAAGTTTTGTGAAAAAAGCAATTCTGACCACTTGTTGGTAGGCACTTGGAGCTGGAGCAACTGGAGCCGGAGTTGTGAACACAGTCTACAACACAACGATCAATTTCACAACCACAATCACGTAGAAGCTTTTTTTCAAGTTTGGGATAAATGCCAAGCGATTTTTGAGTTTTGTTCAATGAATTTGCGAGCATTACAGCAGAAATCACTACCCTTTTTTTCAAAAGTGGTTTCAGAGGTTTTTCAGGGCACCTTCATTGCAAAATCCACAAAAAAGCGCCCGAACCAAGACAATGAATTCTTCAAAACTTACTCGTTTGGGGGTTTTGATCGGCGCCAAGGAATCCAAATCAGAAGCCGGGAAGAGAACGCCTTTTCCTTTCAGGTCTTCGTAAACTTGAACAACTCCTTGGAGATCCGGATCGCTTCGGAAGGCGTCGGCCCAGGCCTGAAACAGGATAATTAGGTTTATTTTTATCTCAAAATTCAGTTGTTCAAAAACAGTCTGTTAGAAATTTTTAGTATTTTGCTGAAAATTCACTTTGAAAATGTAAAAACTTCCTTTTTAAATTAGTTCTTTTTTTAAAAAAATTATATCATTTTCTATCTGTCGTCTTTATCGCAAAATGATTTATAACAGCCCTATAAAATCAATAATTTATGAGGAGACGTCTCTCGATTCCATGTTTCAACTAGGAAATGTCATAAATCGACCCTAAGTCGGACAAATTTCCTGCCGCGCACCATCCACATGAAGAAAAGACACGTCTCGACCCTCTTTTCCTTTTCTCAACGATGTTTTTGCGGTTTCGCGTCACACAACTTTTCCTTGTCCGAGTGTTCCAATTGCAAAAAAGAAACGGCGCACATACATTCGTAGGAACGAGGTCAGCGCTGAGCTTAGGCAATTTTCCAGCTGCGAGGACTTGTTTTCCGAGTTTTGGCTTCTGGTTTCTTGGCATTTATTATAGAATATTGTTCGAACTTTTGAATTAATAGATCTTTTTTGAGTTAAAAGTCGAATATTAATTTTGTTGGTTATAAAATAGTTTCGGGAGTAATTTATGAGCGACTCCACATGCAAAAAAACCAAAACTATGAAGTCAATAGCCTTTTTTTGTATTTTCTCCCAAACTCCAAGTCCCAAGTAGTTTTCTTTCCAAGTCAGCCTTGAGAAGACTAAAATAGAAAAAATCCAAAATTCAGAAAACCTGTCCAACAAGCTGATAACCCTTTAAAAAAATACTAATTTGGTTTTATTCTGAAACTATTCACTTTTCAAAAAGATAGATTATGAAACCGCACTGGTGATAAAATCGGCGATTTTTCTCTTTTTATTTTTTTCTTTCAATTTTTTTTTCATCAGCCTATTAATTTTTATCACGAAACCTTTCTAGAAACAATCAGATAAATCACTATGGAAACAAAACCTCAAAGGTCTTCAAGTTGACATAAAAAAGAAGGTCTTTTAAGTACACCAATCACCGCGGTTGCCAGGCAACGAAAAAATTTGATTCCCAGAAAATGCGATTTTAGTACGTTCACCATAACTGGAAGGAGCTGACTTTTAACATGAATGCAAAAAATACTACAATTCTTTCAAGATTCTTGGAGATAACAACCACGCTACAAAAAATTGTGATGTTGTGTTGAAAAAAAAGCATTCAACATTTTTCCTCTGTACAATTTAACAAAAACCTTGGCTTTGAAAAAGGATTTTTTTGAAGTCAATCTTGAGTGTGAACTTCATGAAAATAATATACATTATATGAGTTTTTTTCAATCGGGCATTTTTTTCTGCCCTTAAAACAACTTCTCACCTGGATGAGACCCAGAACTCGTTCCTGGATAATTTGCGGAGCGTCAAACTTCGATCCGATAAGCTTGACCATCTCCTGGGCGAAATCCTTGGAGCAGACAAGAAAGTGGAAACGACGATCACAGTTTTTGACACATGTTTCCAAGACGGTCAAGGTGTACATGACGACGGCGTTGTTCCGCGACATGTTCGATTGGAGACGCTTTTTGATTGCTCGAACGGCGTCTCGGGCTCTGAAAAAGGTGAGAAACTAATCAATAATCAATGAAAATAGAGAAAATCTTGTTTTTGTTAAAAAGGATGAACTCTAGAAAATTTAAAACCACTTTTTTTTTGGTTTTTGAGACCTTTAGGGACCAAATCTTAGCAAAGCCAAATATTACTACAATTTAAAATTGCCTTCCAAAAGCGTCTTTTAACTCCATTTTTTTCTTCAGTACTCACCCGTCTTCATGACCGTTGATAAAATCGCAAATCTCCATATTGAGACCCCAATTTTCGGTCGCCAGTACATTCGCGTCCGTGGCGAGTTCTGCAAGTAAAAATTGTCATGAAAACTTTTTGGTGAGGGTAAATCATAGTCATTTTATTGCTGTCTCTTGACAGAATAAAGTCCAGCTACTATGGGAAGCTATCACCATGAAAAATGTATCAAATATTTTAAATTCATTGTTTTTCTTAACTTGTGTATGGAATGGATATTTTTTTAACATAGGCATCTTAAAAATTTAGATTTTTTTTCATGAGATCTTGAAATCCTTCTCAATTTAAAATGGCCACACTTTGTCTCCAAAAAACTGCGCAATTGAGGTTATTGCGACAACTCTCTATTTCATTGATTAGATCAAGGGCGACCTTCGAGATGGCTATCTCAAAGATACGGAAGCGAAGGTAAGTCATCAAAGAAAGAAGTTTCTCGGTCGACCCCATACAATCTCTTTTTTCTCCGTTTTTTGGTGTCCAGATAACCGGTCCCTCGTAATGCCTACGTGGCTTTGCAGCGTTGAAATTGCACTGCATACTCGATAATTCAAGATTTCGACCTTGTTAACCGGACTTTTGGTGTGGAAAAAATCAATAAATATATAGGAATCAAAGGTTCAATTTGAATAATGAAAAAAAGACAGTTTTTTACAAAAAAATTCTTTATTTTCCTCAAGTTTCAGATGAATTCAAGAAACATTCACTGCCCTTTTTTGCACTTTTTTGATCAGTTTATTTTGAAAAATGCCCTCAAAAATCGTGGCTTTTAACCAAAAAAGGTCAGGTTGAAAAAGAAGAAACACAATTTTCCAGAGTTCTTGTAGAAGGAACAAAAGGCCAGACTACAAAAATGTCTCCTGCTGTTCATAAAAAAATAACCAAAAAAGAAAAATGTGAGTTTAATGTAGAATTTGCCTCAAAATTACGAATTTGAAGGGAAAATTTCTGAATTTTTTCTGAATTCTTCCTATTTTTTCAAGAAAATACGACTGCTCTTCGATCAGTTCTGCAGAAAACTCGTTCCGAACCCTAATAGGTCACATGTGAATCCGATTACTCATTATTTATTAATTGCAGTCCCATGCTCAGCCGAGAAATTTCTCCGTTTGCAGGGAACATCGGAGCAGAGTAATTCCTTTTGAGGCGGAATGATTTTTTTGTTCTATTTGCAAGGTTCTTGAAATATTCTTGAAGGAACTATCGATTCGCAGAAGCTTATTGGGGTTATTTAAAAGGAACAGAAAGTGAATTTAATAATGAGATTTGGTTCTTAACTGCTGAAAAAAAGGAAGAAAAATCCTTGAAAAATCGAATTGAAGAAGTCTCTCAACGCTATTTGAAATTTTTACAGTTTAAGGATAGACAACTAAAAAAAAGTTTTTTTCTGCCTGAGGACCAATTTTTATTTGGCCATTGTTTCTGCATAAGCTCTGATAGAAAATTTTGAACAAATCCACAAGAACGACTGGAACTCGGTTCTTAAATCATCTCTGAAGCTTATGACTGAAGATTTTTCACAAGTGAACTATAAAATCTCAAGCTGCTTGAAAAATCATGGGATATCTCATGAAAAGTGTTAATTTGAAACAAAAAGATCACGAACCAATTTTCCTGCCGACGGGAGTAGAGAAGGGGTTTCCTTGGAAAAAGTCCGACACGGCTTCTCCAGCCTTGGCGACCGTTTCTTTCGCCGATTCAACTGTTTTCGAGACTTGTTCACCAACGTTGCTCATCCTGAAATGAGATATCTTTTTTTCTTCCGGTTGTTTACGCCGTTCGGACATTTTTAATTGAGCAAGAACGACAGCCAGCACATCCCGACACAATTATTTTATTTATCAAGGAAATGACTTCAAAGAAGGTTCGAAACTGGGAACTGAACTGAATAAAAAAAATCGTCATGTGGAATTTGAAAGTTGAAGTGCAAATGAAGTTCGAAAAGCCTTGCACTAGATTAAACAAAAAAAAAACTTGTTTGCCTTGTAGAGAGGAATTTTATAATCCATGTTTTCGGAAGGGAACCACCGTAAACAATTTTTAAAAGGTTTCAGAAAGCAGAAAAGCCCAAAAAAAGAGGCGAAGCCTGAGTTTGAAGCAAATTTTTCGAATAATGGCTCTAACAGAAGTTCTTTCTCCTGTTTCCAGAGAAAAATTATAGATTTTTTTCTCAAAGAAATTTCTGAGTTTTTATGTCATAAAAAAAGTTCCGTTTTTCAGAACTTTGTCAGGAAAAAAACAGGTGAATTCTCTGTTTACCAGGAAAAATTTATTTTCAGTTTATTCATAGTTTTTTTCGCGACCTTTATGCTTGGATTTTTTTGAAAACAATTTTTTTGAGCTTAAAGTTTCAATTCACATTGAATGAAAAAAAGAGCATTTTAAATATCTGTTTAAAAAGTCTGAACGTGAAAATTGATGAAAACACGGCAAAATTGACGCTTGTAAGCCAATGAATATTTTTTTAGTCGCCTGATTTACGTTTTTCAAAATCTGTCTTTAGGCGCCTTGTTGCTCGAAAATTTGAATGAATCGCTTTTTGGCGTGTTTGAAAGCTAATAAATCGGGCGATGCCAAGAAACCAACGAAAAAAACTACTTATAGCGGAAAACTTATGAGTTTCCTTATGAGCCTTAGTGAAATCTAAGTTTAGAGCACTTCAATAAAACTAATTCTGCTGTAAACTGAGTAAAAAGTGCTTTGATGATGATGATTCACTCATATATTCGATAAAATTATGTAAAACAGCCGTTTGGTCGAGAAACAAGGGGAAAAGATGAATTTTCTTGGATCACAAATGGGGAATGGGACATGAAGAAGACAAAATATGTGAGCCAAAGCCAGATGAGGTGAGCCCTGAGGGAGCTCGAGCGAGAATGGTAAGGAACATGCGATGGCTTGGTTGTGTACTCGCACGACCCCTCAACACAACAAAAATCGATCTCGTGCAGTGGCCTTCACTCGCCTCGGCCAGTTGCACATCGGAACCAATTTTCGATAGCCCCTGTCAGTCACTTCTTCTCCTCATTATTTTTCTGAGCCACTTTTCAAAAGTATACTTTGTCCAAAGATCTTCCTAAAGTTAGTACTGGCTTCAGAAAGCCTGAAAACGGTCCTAGGCCTATAAATTTTGATTTTCTAATCACCGCTGGCTTTTTTAATATCATTCAAACGAATAATATTTTAAACTATTGATAAAACTTCTTTTCGGACAACGTCCTTCTATAATACTTCAATCTAAAGCTTAACGATTTTTTTTCCAGCTGATTACAACTTTTTCTGAACTTTCAAAAGACTGACGCATCTTAAAATTTGCTCAAAATCGTCAGTGAGGATACCAAAAAAATTTTTGGGCGACCTATCATTGGGTTTTAAAAAAGCTAATTAAGAAAAATTTCATCGAAAAAAAGTGTTTGAAAAAAATTTTTTTAAAATGTTTCTGATCCTCTTGATATAGTACGGAAGATTATCACAAGTTGAAAGGATTTTTTTGAATTTATCAGGTACCTGAAACTGAAAAAAATGATCAAAAAGAATTTTTCGAGAAGTTTTTTTGAAACTATTCCATTCCGTTTTTGTACTGAAACAAAAATAAAAATACCTATTTCGAATTCGGAATTGATGTTTTTTTTTTAAAGAAAAACAAAAATTGATTCGTCTGCTGGTTTGCTCTGCATTGAATCTGCCCCAAAAAATATGGAACAAAAGAAAATTTTTGGAGAAAATTAAAAACGGCCACAAAAAGTTGAGGAAAGGGAGAGCAAATCGAGAAGAAAAATGGAAGCAGTTACCTCTTTGGGACCTGTTTTTGAGACATGGCTTGTTCGCTTCGTTGATAAAAGAGCAAATAGATGACGTCAAGATCGATAACAGTCAGGAGAAGTTATGAAATACGTGGAAACCAAGCTGGAACCTTCTTTTTGCCTTTTTTCGGTCGATCGTCGTGGAAGCGAGGAGCGGTGAGACGGCGGTTATCTTTGTCCGCGCGGCGGTTGATAAACAAACTAGTTGAGTGCCAGTAAAGGCCGACGAATGCTCACAGGTAGGTCGAGCAGTCAAAAAATCGATATTCTTCTGGAAGTTCTCATGAACTTGTCCTTTTCCCCGACAAGGATTGAATTTTCCGGTTTTTTTTTATTGTGCGATGGGAATGAGAGCCTCGAACCGAACTTTTGGTCTGACTTTTCTGAGAGCAACTATTTCATCAAACTTCAGTTTGAGACATAGTTTTTTTTTCAATCAAATGAGGCGCTCTCAAGGCAGCGGTGTATGGCTTCTTAATCAATTTAAGTAACATTTGTCGATTTTTTTAAAAATTACTAGCATTTTCTGAGAATTTGAGTTTTTTTGAGAAACTTGTGGGCTTTTCAGAAGTGTCCAATTTCAAGTTTTTTCGAAGGGCTGAAAAACGGATTTTTAGTACCCTCAAGTTTGAAATAATTAAAGTTTAATGCTTCTAGAAAATGGGCAGCTGTCCTGCGCCTTTAATAACAACGAAAAAAAACTTTGAATTTTTATTCTGTCTCGCCAATGACCCCATAGACCTGAAAGTGACGAAACTTCGCAATAAGGAAACAAGGGTTTCAAGTGGAATGGACGTTGAATACCCCTTAAGCGACCTCTTGAACCATTTCCCTGCCTGAAAACCTTTAACGAATGATGCCAAGAAAAAGTGGCTCCGAAGAATTTGAATTTGCACAAATTTTTCCTTTCCGTAAATTAAGATTTGTTTTGAAACAGATAATTCATGTTTCATGAAAAAATAGACAACCATTTTTTTCAAGTTGCTTCATTTCTAGATATTCCACGACAATCTTTAAATATTTGTCAGTACCTTTTGAATAAATTGAAAGATTTCTTCAGTAATTTCTGCAATTTTTCGCTTGTTCTCTTCACTTTTTCCGGTAACCATCTTCATGGCGTCAAGTGAAAAGAAAGATTATCTCAAGAGTTAACATGACCTATCGGGCTCGTAAATGAAAGGGCCCAAATATTGGAGGTCAAGGAGAGTGAGATTCGCCTATTCAGCCGTGATTGATTGGCTGTACTTTTATGCAGCGTCAGCAAAAGATTTTTCTCCCATCGAATCGTTAAAAATTGTAATTTTTAACGGCCCTGGTTGCCAGGTTCCCATGATTTATATTCCACGTTTCAGATTTGAAATGAAACAAAACGATCGTACAATTTCCAATAAAATTCACACAATTAAAATTCGTATCGTTTCCTTACGTTTTTTGGAAGATTCGAATTCAGCGTTACAACTCTTTCCAAGAAGATTAAAACTTATTCCAACACTGATATTTTGTGAAAGAAAGAAATTGGGTGAATCTCCCTATGGATGCCTCAAGCAAGCGTCTTATAAACTACAAATGACCCGGAGAGAAACGGCAAAGTCATATATATTGTTTGGAGCAGATTTGCAGCAACGTTCGATCAATGGGCTAAGTGCAAAGGAACGCGAGGAGACTGCCACACACGCCTGAAAAAAATAAAACCCAACGAGCAGTCGTTTTTCTGCCCTTGTTCTGCACTTTTTTCAGCCCATCCTTTAGAAAAAATGTCATATAAAAAAACAAAACTTTAATTGCTGATGTATCGAAAAAGAGAAGAGCATTTTTTTTGGGACTTTTTCAATGTTTGAACCTTGAAAATCATTGAGTAAAAAGTTTTTGAATATTATTTTTAAACTTGAAAATGACCTCCCAAGGAAAAAAACTGGCCATTTTCTTGCTTATTTTTAAGAAAAATTTTCAACCTTTTTTTGAAACAGCAAACCGCTTAAGAAAATTATTTGATTTTTTTGGCCTAATGTAAAGAATTCAATATTTCTTTTAAAATCAAATAAAAATACGCATAATTTCCCCAAATATTGCCTCAGAAGTCATATTTTCTGTTGATTGCTCTTGATATTTGCTTTTTCCGTCATTATGTCCAAAAAAAGGGAGGAGGCGAGCTTTTTTTTCCTTTGCCGCACAAATCACTCGGCGCGCTCTCTCGTCCAAAAACAGTGGTAAAACGTGCCTTTTATCAAAATCCTTGACCTAGTGGCCTCAAGACGGAGAAAACTTTTTGGCGTGCCTCAGCGTAAGAGCGTCGACGTAGGAGGTGGCCGAACTGCTTGGCCAATAGGCGTCGAGGTGGGCGGGGCTGGCGGTAGCCAATAAGAGAGGCACACGGCCAAAATCCGCGTGGACAACTCACGGCGACGAGAGAGCGAGAGTGCGCCCCGCCGCAGACCTCCCTCCGACACTTGCCCATTTACTCATTCTTCTCCATTTACGGCGTCCGAGATGTTCCGGCTCGCTAGTCTCTGTCTTCTGGTCCTCGGGGTTTGCGCCTCCAACTTCGAAGAGGAGGACAATGTCATCGTCCTCACCAAGGTTTGCATCATTTTAATAATATTGAAGGAAGTCGGCAGAGGCAGACTTTCTTGAGCAGACGTGTAAAATAAAATTATCCCAAAAAGTTTCCCATAAAAATTTGTTTGCTGTTTCAATGTCATTCTAAAGCCATAGTGAAAATTTTTAAAAGGATCTAAATGTTTATTCTAAAACCGAAAAGAAAGAAAAATTTGATTTTGGATAGATATACTTCATCCATTCTGTGTAAAAAACTAGAAAAGCTTCGGAATTTTCCACTTTTTCCCTGCTAACTGCTGGAAGAATCTTAATGAATTTTTTCCTAGGCTAGCGATGAATGAACTACACATAATTATCAAAATTCAAAACCAACACCCAAAAAATTAAAAAAAGCAAAGCTTTGGAGAAAAAAAGCGTGAAAGGGTGAATTTTTTTGTTGGGTCCCGGCTTTTCATAAATATGAAAGAAACGCCAAACCGGCAGTTTTTTTCATTTTTTTTGAAAGCTTTTTCAAAAAAATCAAAAAAAGTTTTGATTCAAAATTTTAATTTTCTTTCCCCATTTCAGGACAACTTCGATGACGTCATCAATGGTCACGAATTCATCCTGGTCGAGTTCTACGCCCCATGGTGCGGTCATTGCAAGGTAGAAATAAACGATTGCGAAATAGTTTCTAAGTCGACGTGTCCTTAGGCCCTGACGCCAGAGTACGCCAAGGCCGCCACCCAACTGAAGGAGGAAGAATCCGAGATCCGCCTCGGCAAGTTGGATGCCACCGTCCACGGTGAAGTCTCCAGCAAGTTCGAGGTAAACTTGAAGAGTTTGAAAAAATTTCATTATTTTTTATTTTTCCAGGTCCGCGGATACCCAACCTTGAAGCTGTTCCGCAACGGAAAGCCACAAGAGTACAACGGCGGACGTGACCACAACTCGATCATCGCCTGGTTGAAGAAGAAGACTGGACCAGTCGCCAAGAGCCTCGGAGATGCTGATGCCCTCAAGGACCTCCAGGAATCCGCTGATGTCGTCGTCGTTGGATACTTCAAGGTAAATCTGCTTCAAAATACGGCTAGACAGGCACATTCCAATAAATCCTCAACCAGCGAAAATCAAACTTTAGAAATTTAACTCTGAAAGTTTTCTATCAAGCTTTACCATCCCAAACTCTCTATGGAAAAAGATATTCCTAAACGAAAAGCTCAAAAAATCGGATCACTTTTTCAGTTTAGCTTCTTCTAATGATTCTATCTCAAAATCGCGCCAGCACAAAAAAAAGCAAAAGATCTTGTGGCCAAAGTGCCCTTGACCGCGTTGACGACGCCTCTTTCCGTTCCGCAAAAAGAGGCCGCGACCTTGGAAGGAATCATCGCGCAATTGCGACACACATATCCGTCGCTCGATAGCCTAGTTTAGAACTGCAAGGCGGACAGTTTTTCCTGATCGATTACTTTTCTTGGACTGTTTGGATAGTGAGATCTGTTTGCACAGAGACGGACCTTTGCCAAAGCGGCAAGGAAGGAGAATTTGGGTACTCAGACACCAGGAAGAGATTTTCAAGTGAATCCTCCTTCCCAAAAACTTCTGAATTAGTCACTGATGGCTTAGAAGTTTTAACTTTCCTCAGATATCAACCAAATCCGAAATCCAAAGAAACATCCAATCTTTTTCAAAATGTACTTCTGAACACAAAATGACGCATTTTTGTACCTACTTCCTTAGAAACTGAATAACGCGGCTGTCGCTATGGAGATGATAATTACTCAATTATGAAACCGGATCTATTTTCGAACTTGCGGTGTTGTCGACAATTCTAATTAGTTAATCAGTGCGTCGAAAACTCGTGACTAAATGACCATAAAGCAGTGCTTTTTGCAATTATGAAATGGATTGCACTTCATACGTCAGTTAATTAATCATTGCTGCAAGAACTTGCGACAAGTTAGAGAATTCCTGGAAAGTTAGAAGCCATTCCAATTACGTGATCTTAGATTCGAAAAAATCATTACTTAATTAATCCTTTTGCAGAATGCCGAATCTGATGACGCCAAGACCTTCCTCGAGGTCGCCGCCAGCATCGATGACGTGCCATTCGGAATCGCCACTGAGGAAGCCGTCCGCAAGGAGCTCGAGCTCAAGGGAGAAGGAATCGTCCTTCTGAAGAAGTTCGACGACGGCCGTGCTGACTTCGACGAGAAGCTCTCCGCTGATGCCCTCAAGACCTGGATCCAGGCCAACCGTCTCGCCCTCGTCTCCGAATTCACCCAGGAAACCGCCTCTGTCATCTTCGGCGGAGAGATCAAGTCCCACAACCTTCTCTTCGTCTCCAAGGAATCCTCCGAATTCTCCCGCCTCGAGTCTGAGTTCAAGAACGCCGCCAAGGAATTCAAGGGCAAGGTTCTGTTCGTCTTCATCAACACCGACGTCGAGGAGAACGCTCGCATCATGGAGTTCTTCGGACTCAAGAAGGACGAGCTCCCAGCCATCCGTCTCATCTCCCTCGAAGAGGACATGACCAAGTTCAAGCCTGACTTCGCTGAGATCAACACCGAGAACATTGTCAAGTTCACCCAGTCGTACGTCGATGGATCGCTCAAGCCTCACCTCATGTCCGAGGAGGTGCCAGAAGACTGGGACAAGAGCCCCGTCAAGGTTCTCGTCGGCAAGAACTTCGAGCAGGTCGCTCGCGACTCCACCAAGAACGTCCTCGTCGAGTTCTACGCTCCATGGTGCGGACACTGCAAGCAGCTGACGCCAACCTGGGAGAAGCTCGGAGAGAAGTTCGCCGACCACGAGAACATCGTCATCGCCAAGATGGACGCCACTCTTAACGAGGTTTGTTTTTATTTGGATTTTTGGCTATCCGATGGAAACTTGAACATTTTGCTTTAAGAAAAAAAGCCCCATTTTTCTCAGAATTAGTAATTAAATGAAGTCGAGAAAGCTCTAAAAAAGCTTTTCACGAAGTTTTTTCCCTGAATTCAGCTTTCGAAACATTTAATCACATCGACAGCATGTGAAAAAAGTTAACAACTTCGAAACTGGTTGATATATATCATTACTGTTTCAGGTCGAAGACGTCAAGATCCAATCTTTCCCCACGATCAAGTTCTTCCCAGCCGGCTCCAACAAGGTCATCGACTACACTGGCGACCGCACCATCGAAGGCTTCACCAAGTTCCTCGAGAGCAACGGCAAGGACGGCGCCGGCCCATCTGAAGACGACAAGGCCGACGAGGAGGCCGAAGAGGAGGGCCATTCCGAGCTCTAAATCTTCTCCGATCACCCCACCGACCACGGACTTCCACACAATCCCATAATTTAATAATAAAGTATTAGCTCCGTAATTTCACGATGGGTACGCCGATTTAGCATACGCTGCCGAACGGTCATTTTCGCACTTTTACCTGGTTTCGAATTCCATTTTCTTGTTGTTTGTAAATTTCCCGCATTATTGTTATGTCTTAATAAATTATTATCCAATTATGAGCAGAGCTAGTTCGGCGGATTCATTTGAAATAAAAGGGTTAGAATTTGAAGAAAAAGTGATATTTCTCAAGTAACTTTCTTGCGCATTTTGATACGTGTGGCTGTTTTATTTTAAATTGCCTTCACTTAAACAAAATACCCAAACGTCTAATTCCCACCATCCTTTGATCTTTTTTCCAACTGATTTCCAACCAAATTTCTCACTCACTGCATTCGTGTCAAATTACTGGGTTTAATAAATTTTCATCTTTATTTCAAATTTTTGAATTGAAAAAAACAGTAAATCGAAATCACAAATTAGAACAAGGAACAGAAGTGAATTACAAAGGGTTTTTAGCGATGGAGCACACTTTCCCTTCAGCCTAAAAACATCTCTTTCTGAAATCCTATTGAAAAAGACTCTTCGTTTCAAGACCCTCCTAAAAATTGGTTCATGTCCCTTTAAAAAAATGTGCTAAAAATTATTTTTTTGAATTTCTCAATTTTTATCTTCTCTGCATTCACACTCCAATATCCACATATTTTCGATCTTTTTCGATTTTTTTGAGAATTTAGTGCCAGGATTCGAAAAAAAGTGAAAAAAACTCCTTTTTAATTATTCTTTTCAGAATTTTTTGACACTTGTTTTACACCTTGAAAAATAGACGATATTTGGATTAGACATTGAAAAAAAGTATTTGTCATCCTTTTTATTCGAATTTTTTGATGCGGATATCCGCATCTGGGTTTTCACTAACATGAGCAAGCGTCTTTGTTTGAATTTATCGATTGGAATGTCTTTCCTTGTTCGAATCAGCTTTCCGCCTTATGTTTTTTCAGTCGATTTCCATTATCACTTGCGAATTTTAGACTGAACTTCTCATGCCCATTTATTTAAACTGGATCCGTTTTTTCAACTTCCAATTGCAGATGTTATATCATATATACGGTAATTTGTTTTCAGAAAAAGTCAACTCAGCAATGGACATGCAAGTTGAGAAGAATGCCGAACTTGCCCGCTTGCCTGTGTGAGTTGAATTTGAAAAATTTGAAAAAGATATTAATGAAAAAAAGTTTTGAAAATGGAAAGTGGGAACATTTTTTTCTTTTTGAAAAATTAGAAGCGAAAAGGGAAACATTTTTCTTGGTATTTCATAGATTTCGTCTCAGTACCTTATACTTTTTACATGAATTTGTATCCCACCTGAGGAGCAAGGCTGCTGTTGGGGCGCCGTAGGCCACGCTGTTTGCAGCATTTAAAAAAATATGTAAAAAAACGGGTAAAAAAATCTGGGGAAATTTTTTTCTTAAAAAGTGTCTTTCCGACATTGTGACAGTCTCGCGGGTCGGGTCGCTCAGCTCAGCGGAGAAGCATTGTATCTAGACCAAAAAAATATACCTTTTAAACTATAATAAATGAACTTTGATTGAAAGAAGTTTTTTCAGCAAGCCGCCATACATTGGCGTTAAAAATCTGAACGTCTTGATCGACGCGATTCGAAAAACGAGGATCTTCCGTTGTCGCGTCGAGAAACTGCGAAGCCTCTTGCCGATCGTCATGTTTGACCCTCGGGATGTGTGGATGAAGAGGAAGAAAAAGGAGACAAAGGAGCAAATGATAGAGAGACTCAAGGACAAATGTGTCGAGATAAGCTACCATCTATATCAAATCGACAAGCGGTATGATTTGGTCATAAAATCTTCAACGAAAGTGCTAGAGGCTCTCAAGCTGCTCGACCTTTTCGACAGAGAAGACCAACAAGAAATCGAAGTAATAAGATATGAAAAAAAACTCTTTTCATCCTTTATTATTGATCTCGTGGGCTTTTCACGGGGAGCGGTCAAAGCTCGCTTCCATCAACTAACAGAGGAAATTTCCCTCTTGGGGTTTAGAATTGAGACTATCAAAGACCCCAATTTTGCGAAAAATTACGATCCCGAAGGTGCGTCTTTCATTTGAAATAGTTCTCACCTCTCTAAAAACATCGTTCATTTTTTTTTGTGTTTTCTCAATTTCTCGTTCTTCAATAAACAGCTTTATTTTTTTTATTTTTCGAATAACTTTAAGCCTTACTATTTAGGATGTATTGAAGTTTCATTTTTTTCTAATCCTTTTTTTCCGGAACTGTTCTGAGACTTTTGAGATTTTTTTGTTCACATATCATTTTTTTCACTTGTTGCTGTTTCTGTCGATTGTTCACATAATAATGACCATTGTTTCTGGCTTTGTTTTGCCTTTTCAATGAATGTTTCTTTTGACTTTGAATAAATTGTTTGAAAATTTGAAGAGATGATTAAAATTTTCGCGAAGAACGGGAAAAAATGTGAAAAAAGCGTTTGATTGTAATTTACACAAAGTTTTATCGACTTGCTCAAGGGTTGAGAAAATTCAAATGCGGTGTTTTGGGAAGTTCTTTTCAGGAAAAAATGTTTAACATGAATAGAAGCAGAAGAGGCAACAACTCTCCGCCTGAATCCTTCATAAATTTTTTTGGACTATAGTGGATCATCTCATATCTACTACCCGGGTGGTCGGTCTTCATTTTCGCTCTAGTCTGAGATTTAACACGCTGTCTCTGTAATTTTCGAAATTTTCTCAAAAACAGCAAGTACAGAAAAAAAAAATTTTTTATTTCAATGAAGTTTCAACAAATGTTATCAAATGACGTCAGGATAACGGACACGATTTTTTGAGCCATTTCCTCTAACCGTAACCAGGTTACGGTAGGAAGGTGGTCACCTGCGTATCTAAGAATTGACGAGTTTTCTCTAGGCAAATTGTATATCAATCGATAGGTAATGCAATTTTAGAAACTTTTTTAGTACATACCATTTTGGGTTGCTGTAGAAATTTTTGAGATACGGTACTTTTTGTGTTCGCGACTTTGGTTTTTTGGTCACCCTACTCACAATAGTTATTTGCCGTTTAAGTTACCTCTCTAAAAGATGTGTTAGGTCATTAGCTTCAAATACATACCACAATGAAAACATTTTGTCCTACCCATCATGTCGCAAAATCGCGCCGAACGCGCGCAACTCGGGTTCCCAGCGTTTAGACTCGCCTTGGATGATGGCCTCTAACTTCCTTTTATTGTCTGAACTTTTGTTGAAAACTGGTTTTCTTGAAATAAAAATCTATGAACTTCTGGTAAAAGCCATTTTCACAAAGTTTAGCCCATCGCACGGTCAAAAAGTTCACTTTGAAGTCGATTTTGGCCTGAAAGTTGAGGTTTTTGAAGTTCTGTGCCTTTTTTGGGAGGACTATCGCGACGCCTATCAGCCCTGTACAAGATGGTTCTTACATGGAGAAACAGTGATCGTCTGAAACGCTAGAAAATCGTCAACTACTATCACAAGAAAGGCGAGATGCTCTACGCGCCCTACACTTGATCAACGACAGTTTCTCGAACCGACAAACAACTTTAATTATTTCATTATTCAGCAGAGAACTTTCTCTGAAGAGTTTCATAGTGGAGATCGAACTTTTTTTAAGCAGAAAAAAATCAAAAACTTTTTTTATAATAATTTTATCAAGGAGATCGGTGAAAATTCAGTTCGCGAAGCTACTCAGTCAATTGACGTTTTCTCAGATCTTCCCAAATTTCTGGCTATACTTATTGTTTTCAAAACAAAAAAGAGCATTGATTGAAAGTAACTACAAAATATATTTGTACTTTGAGCACACTCTGAAAGTAATAGCTTTTCTAGAGAATGAATATTTCTCCTTTCTCAAAAGAAGGTGTTTGCGTATTTGGCGCCATTTTCTAAATTCTCCTCCTCGAACTCTTCGCAGACATGGCAGACGTTCCGTTCAGCTAAACAATAGGAAGACCGCGCCATTCTTTTTTGTTTTGTGAGTTCGGACTTCCTCTGCCGTCCTTCCCCTAGTATGAGCAAGCGTCTTTCTTGTTTATCGATCGGATCTACCATTCTGAAGCCGCTTTTTCCGTCTTTTCACCTTGTTTTTTTTCTCGCCAGCTCTTTGCGATTAATTTGCTCAATCATCTCCGATTTCTTCAGGAAGCTTCGCCTTGAACATGGATCAGGAAACTGTTGAGGAACCGGCCAACCATCCTATGTAAGTCAGATTTTTAACTTCAATTCTTCTTGATCAAAATTTCTTGAGAAAAAAACATTTATTAAATGAATTCGTTTGTGGGAAAAAAAGAGCACAAATATTTTTTTCATGTCGAACACAAGCCTCTTGAAATTGAAAAATTGGACAAAAATTACAAGTCATGCCATTTTCCCACCGTCGGAGGGCTTCGTGGGAAAAAAACTTATTGACACAAAAAAATGAAATAACTTTCGAATTTCATGAATGAGATGCATTTCAAGATGATTTTCAGAAAAGTTCAATTATTTCAAATAGAAGATGATATTTGTCTCAAGCCAACAACGATAATTTAATTACAGTTTCTTTTCAGAATACCGCCTCCAGAAATAGATTCACACGATGATCCAAACACTCTGGTATTGTGTCTGGGGTAAGATTTTGAATGGAAAATTTTTTTTTATTTTAAAGATAGAAGAATTAATTGATGGCTAAATAGGGAACGATTTTTATTTGCCGGTTGAACTTTTGATGAAACTTCGCTGAAGTGTATTTGTTTTTTGTTTTGCAATCAGGAGAGCCTGAAGTACACTTCAGCAAAGTTTCATCAAACGTTCAAGGGTTTAAAAGTTTTCCTAGTATGTACTTTTTGCTCGAGAAATAGATAAAATACGACCATAAATTTCCGCCAATCAAGCGACAACTACAATACTTTTTTTTCCAGCAAGACCCCGGACATGGACGAAGAGAAACTCCAAATGCTGATGGAGTGCATCGAAAAAGTCAAAATGTTCGAATACCACGGCAAGAAACTGCAAAGACTGTTTCCGGTCTTTCCATTCGACGCGTGGGTCGAGAAACGGAAGCTGAAAAGAGATGACGAGATCGAAAAGTTGGAAAGACGACTTCTGGAGATCGCGGTCATCAGGAAGGATGTCGAGAAGGAGTTTCGCCTGTTCCATAAAGCCGCGCCAGCTGCGAAGGCGGCTTTGAAGAAGCTCGACTCATTGGGCCCTCAGGATCAGTTCAAAATGCGTCAAATTCGAAACACCAATCTTCTCTACACGAACTTCATTGATCGTGGTACCGAAAGCTTGTGGGCGGTGTGGACGACCCATAATAACGACATGAATCGTGAGGAATCGATAATAATTCCTCGATTGTCGAGTTTGAAAAATCCCGGTTGTTAGTTATTGATCCATTTTCTCAAAAAATTCCCGGTTTTTTCATCCATTTTTCGATAAAAGTTTTGAAACTTTGTGTAGAGATTCCGTTTGAGCTTAAGGAATGATCATCGTCTTTTTTCTGCCTCAATGTTAGCTCAGGAACTTTCCATATAAGTCGTTTTTTTTCCTACTCGCTCCTTTTAAACATTGCATTTGCCATTGCACTTCCATGAGCTTGTGAGACGCGTGTTCCAACTTTTCTAGATCTGCCGATTTTTGTGTTCCTTTTTGTTGTTTCGCTACTGTTTTGAATAAATTTTTTTCTTTTGTTTACACTTGAAAAAAATGAGAAAAAAATAACATGAAAAACCTGAAAAAAAAAAATAGCGACTTTTTAATAATTTTGGAGTGTATTTTTGATGCCAAAAGGGCTTTATACGAAAGCAAATTAATGATATTAAAATTAAATTAACATCGTTTTTTTTCTGAAGGAAAACAGCGGAGACAATTTTTGAACTCCACCGTTTATGGAGATTTCATCAAGGCATCATCTTCTTGCGGAATTCCAGATGAATCATCAAGCCTTTTTTCGCGTTTTATAAAAGAAAGAAATTTATTTTTTGAAAGGAGGTGGCAATAAAAAAGCGCGCATCACCTTCTAGCCTCTCCCATTGTTTGAATTGTTTTCGCGCCTAATTTCCTTTTCAAATTCTCCGCAGGTCACGGGCGCTTCATCCATTCAAACAAGAGGAAGGGTCACTTCTTTTGTTCGATGTATACAAATCTCCTAAACTATCGCGTCGCTACTTTGAGCAAGCGTGTTTTTTCCCATTTATCGATCGATTTTCCCCTTTGAGCCTGCTTTCCAATTTCGTCGCTTTTTTACTCATTTTTTTTCTTTGAAACGTGCTTGGTCCGATTTTTTCAATATCAACTTTTATTTTGCAGAAAGCTGGGTTTTGGAAACCGATAAACAAGCTGGTGAGAAATGTCGGGTAACAAGTCGAGGTAAGTCAAGTTTTTTTCATTATATAAAAATTCTTCCCTATTTATCAACATTTTTTTCACATTTTTTTAATTTTTTTCCTTCAGAAAGTTTTTGCATGACTATCCCAATTTTTCGGTCAAGTTTGAAAAAAATAAAAAAAGCTCTCTTCGAATTTTTCATTGTGTTGGTTTTTTTATTTTTTTGACACGAGTTCTCAAAAATATTATAAATTTGAGTTATATGGCGGTTTGACGGTTGTCATTTGCATAAATTTCGATAAAAAAATGTTTTTTTATTTTTCTTTCAGAAAAACGCGCCGCAACGAGGGAACAACACGGTTCTCCAAAATCCAAAGTCATCAATTTGTGGTGAGCTTTGAAGATTTTTCCTAGAAGCGAAAAATACTGCAAATTGTCCAGTTAAAAGTCGAGTCTCCAGTATAGAGAAGGTCACTTTCTTTTTTGATTTTTAGGCTGAAATTTTGTCAAACTGGCGGTTTGTTTCATGAACCATCGAAGAAAAATTAAAATATTACCTGCCAAACCATCATTTTCGAGGTTAATTAGACTACCGCGAAATTTTGACACATTTTTTCTTGAAAAAAAATCATTTTGTATAAGTGCAAAGTTCGGAAACTTTATAGAACAGGTCAGAGAAGGTTTTCGCAAATTTTCAAAATAATTTTGAGGGAAAATCAGTTCTCTTGTGAGATATCACATTGCCATTATTTTAACTGTTGGATAAAGTTCTTTTTTTCAGCGTGGCTCCAGACATTGACGATGCGAAACTCCAAATATTCATGGACGCTTTCCAGAAATTCACGATCTTCAAAATGCAAGTCACGAAGTTGCGCAGACTCATCCCTATGATCACTTTCAAACCGTGGACTGAGCCACAGGAGCTGGAAAAAGAAGAAGAAATCACGAATTTGGAATGTAGGAAGTGGCGGATCGCGAAGCACAGAGAAGATGTCGATAGATTGTTCCAATCGATCCGCAGGACTGGACCAGCAGCGAAGAACCTTCTGGAACAACTCGACTCGATGAGCCTTGAGGATCAGCAGAAGATCCGTTATATCCGTCTCCAATACTTTCTCTTTCCTCATTTCATCGATCAAGATACCTGTATTTTGTGGGCCTTGTGGACAACCCATAATAATCAACTGACTCTGGAAGAAACGTCAATCTCTCGTAGATTGTTGATTCTGAAAAACCCTGGGTCTTGAAAGGAATTTCGTTTAAGTTACTTTTTTAGCCACAAAAGCTTCGAGAACTTCTAAAATAGTGAGATTCAAGCAAAACGATTTTCCTGTTTCTTCTATCTGACATTTACTCATTTTCTTATTACTGTCATCCGCTCTCTCAGTGAACTCCGAAAAATCTTTCCCTCTCTTTCGTTCCTTAAGATCTACATCAACGTCATCTTTTCTGCTCCCAAGTTAGCTTTAAAAATATTCGTGTCATTGAATTGGTATCCTCGCTCAGGCCTCTCCATTCCATTCGTCTATTTTCAGCTTCACTTGTATGAATTTTTGAAATTCTTTCGCAAATTTCTTGTCACCTGTTGGACAATGAAGTGTTATATTTTATGATATTTTTTATATATTTGAATTCAAATCGGACATCATGAATTGAAAAAAGAAAGATCGGCCAAGATGGAAAAATGTGGAAAAAAGTTTTCTTTTTGATAACCTTCGTGTGAATTTGAACTTTCACAAAAATAGTCGTGTTTGTGTCGAATAAGTCGAAAAGTCAGTTTTGCATGGCTACACTCCTTACAACGCCTATTGGCGCGGAAAAAAATATGCGTTTTATTCTTCTTTTTTTGGTTCAAAATTGAAGATTTGGATCTTATATCAATTTGTTTGCCGCGAGAAAAAAATAAATTTATTTTTTTCCAGGATTTTTTTGGGGTTTTTTTAAACATTTTTGAAGACACGCTCAGCAAAAAAATTTTTGTAACATATTTAAAACAATTCTGAAGTTTTCAGACTTCCAAACGTTCCAAATGAAAAAAAAAATCAAATAAAGACGCCAAAAGACCAAAAAGCCAAAGTTAATTGAAATAAATTTTGCGTGAGTTTCACGTGAAATTTGGTGAAACACTTTTCGAAATTTAGGAGTCCTCATTTAGCCGGTTAGAAGTTCTTAGAATTGAGTTATTCCTATGCCAAAGATCTACGGCCTGGTTCTGGGTATAAACTAAGTGCGCTGAAATAATTGGACTTTGTCTACTTTCTCTTGCAATGAACAAATAATTTTTCAAAGCTTTTTTTAGAATTAATCTTGAGAGAGAGAAAAGATTTGAAGATTTTTTTATAGCTTTTTTTCGAACTTTGAAGGTTGATCGGATTTGCCGGAAGACAGGGCTCTTTTTCCAAGTATGCTGAGAAAAACAATTTTTAAAGTTGCCCTTACCTATACGAAGTTTAATCCGCTTTTTTTAGTATTCAACCCACATCAGGGAAAAAAAGGGAGTTCTACGTCATCCCATAAAACATTGTCGCATCTTTTTTTCTTTCTAAAACTTATTTTTGAGTATCCTTGGTCAAAGATCCCAGGTCTACTTTGGAGTTTTTCGTTCAAGTTTGCTCAAAGAGACGATGTCAATGGAGATTCGAGGAACTTTTAAAACCTCATGAAGAGTTTCCCGTTGTTCAGATATCAGAAATCGATTGACGTCTCTAATCCAGAGATCACACCCTTCATTTTTTGAGCACTTCTCTCGAAAGCTCGAGTGTTCTGAAATCCGAGCCCCTTCAAACGATTTTTTCCGTAGAAAATCTCTCCATTGGATTTTTCAAAAGTCACTGCGCCAATCCAAAGATCAAAGCACTTTTCCAATTTTTTTCGGGATATTGGATTAAAAGGCGTGCGAATTGGAGGGAGAAAAACGGGCGGACAAATTTCATTTTGAGGCTTGATCAACACTAGCGATTGTGTTTACACACTTTGCGTTGCAAGACTCGTTGGTCTGCCTTCATATTGACTTCATTTCCTGCCACCCGATGCTCTGAACGCCCGTTCTTCTCCATTTTTTCCTCGGGATTCTTAACCATCGGATATCCACGAGACCCGGAGAGAGAAGAAAAAAAAAGAACGTTTGGAAGCTCTTTTTACCACGTGCCTCTTTTGCTCTTGGCTTCGAATTTCTTGCACTTTTGAAAGTTAGAATTTTTGGGGTGAAAACTCAGATTGGTACTAAAGAAACTACAGTCCATTCGAACCAGCTCGAAGCAAAATTCAGATTCAGACGGCTTAATCTTCACATTTTGCTTGGATATTGTTTGTAGATGTTTTTTGCGCCAGCGATAAATTAACCATGCCCAAGATAGAATGAAAATTCCGAACTCCGTCAAACTTCATAGTTTATTTCTATACCCTTAATAGGGGGTTTAGAAATAAACTATGAAATTTTTAAAAAATTTTACCCTTAATAATCAAAAATGCTTCAAGCAAGATTTCAATCTTTAATCCGCCAATGTTCCTTGATTGAATTTTCTTCCGGGAACATTGTTACATGTTTCATTCTTGGTTAGGGCAATGTATTTTTTTGCCCTGTAGTCCATAATTTTCAATAAAAAAATTAAGAAGAATTGCTTGATAACTGAAAAAAATTTTTGAATTGGCTCTCGAAATTCGACTGAGCCAAGTCTCACTTTTTTTGGGATGTTTAGAATGCGAATTGAAATATTCATGAGTTTTTGTTTTCAAATGTTTCTTGTCATTTTTTTGAATATTCTATTTTTTTCAGATTACCGTTTTTGATTTTTTTAGCGTGTTGATATGAAACCGAAAAATTCCCAGGTTTTCGAATAATTTCTTCAAATGTCTGGTTATTTTCCTTCGGAGTAATTCTTATTCATCTGATTCTACGATAACCTTCAGAGAATCATGAAATTTTATCGGTTTCATTGAATTTCCGTGAAATTATGAACTCAAACTAAAAAAAGTTGGTCCGGAACTTCTTGATAAGAAAAATTTACTGACTTTATTTTCACAACTATCTTATCATCAATTGTCATCTTTGAATAGACCCATTTTCATTCAGAGATTAGATAATTCAAAGTCGAAAAACTAAAAAGAAAATGTTTCGAATCCAAAAATAGCCGTTGATCCCACTACCCATTATTATTTATGGTTTCGTGAGTAGTAAAATAACAAATAAAAAACATGAAAAAAGAAATAACGTCATGGCGGAAAAGAAAAATTTATAATAAGCACGCGAGGTCTCTACCTTACATTTTCTGCAACCACCTTATCGATTCTTCTCATTTTGACAGCCTTATTTAGCCGGTTAGTTTATTGTTCATTTCCTCAAGTTTTCGATCAAGGCTTTTGCAAAAGAAAAATTGAGTTATAAAACTGTAGTTTGGGACATTCCGAATGAAAATGATCTCTATTAATTCGTCCCTTCTGCCATTTTCGAAGAACGCCCAAAATCCACTTGAAGCACTTGTAGATTGAAGTTCGAAAAGTCTCTCCTTGGCTTCTCAGAGATGTGGCTGTATTTTTTTTGAAATTATATTTCATTATTGTTATTCTGGTTATGCTCATCTATCACGGTCTATCAATTCATATTTAGATACCTGTATTTATTTTGGCCTCGAGCATGAGCTAAATGAATTATATTCTTCAAATTTTATGAAAACATCGGGATTTTATGAAAGCCCGAAAAAAAACTTTTTGAATTCATGAATCTGTCCTGAAAAGCAAAATCCGCAGAACTCCAATAAGAAAAAAACTTCAGATATCTTGAGATGATATTTATTAACCAGGGAACGTTTTTTACCCCCCCCCCGGTTGAACTTTTGATGAAACTTTGCTGAAGTGTACTTTTAAAGCCTCCTGATTGCAGAATAAGAAAAAAATATTCTCGTTATACATCTTGTTTCCAAATTATAGCGCTTCATAGCCCGCAAAAACGCAAAATATAACAAAAAGCGCTATTTCGAAAAAAATTTTTTGTTCTGCAATGAGGAGGCCCTAGAGTAAAGTTTCATCAAAATTTCAACCGGGGAGTGAAAAACGTTCCATTTAGTAAGAAACGTGAAACAATCTTCAAAATTTTACTTTTACACTTTCAATGTAGACTTCCACAAGAACATAATTTTAATCTACTTCTTCGTAACTTTTGACCTCTGCCGACAACAATCGATATCGGATATGGATGACTACATCCCCGCCTTTTTTTCTCTTTTTCTTTTTTCTTTTTCCTTCATTTCTCAGTTTTTTCTTTTCCTTTTCAATTTTCCAAACTTTATTAATTTAAAACAGCGCCTAGGTGTAATAGCTTAAAAACTTTTTATACTTTTTTGATTTAAAGAAAAAGGGTGAAATGCTGTCGATGGGTCACCCTCTAAGCCGTCCATTTTTGGGACCCGAAACGGCCGCGCGTTATAATATCTTCATTTATAAATTTATTTCCGCTCACAGACTTCGAAGAAATTTCATTGAAAAACCTTATCACGACTGAACTTTTCACATTAACTTCTCACCCTTCTCACTGTTATAACGCATTGAATTTGCAGCCATCAGATCTATTGCTTATGTTAGCAACAAACGGAGTATATTGTCAAAATAGTTAAAAATGAGTTTCAAGTGGTGAAAAATCCATTTTGAAGGTTTTTGTAGTGAAAAACCTTCTTTTGCTCTTCGAAGCATGATCCGAGAAATAGCCTGAGCCGTTAGATTGGAAAATTTTCATTAAAACGTTTTTTGCTTTTTTTGATAATAACTGCTGCCATCCAAAAAAAGGGTCTTGACAAGAAGAAGGAAAGATCGATAGAGAGTGCAGACAGTTCCCGATCCTTCGGCGGCCCAAGCTTGCCGCGAAATCGGCTACGATCACTTTATCGATTGCTGCCATAGCACCGAATCCATGATTTATGGAAACTATATTTTCAAATTTTCAAATAAATCGAGAAATCACGTACTTAATAGCATATAACCTTTTTTCTTGAATGGTTTGATCAGTTTATCGATTACTGCCGCCGCACAGAATCCATGATTTTTGAACAACCATGTTGGGGGCGCGGTGGCCACACTGATCCGTGGCAGTGATACGCGCCGTCGCTCTTCTCTTGAACGCTTTTTTTGCACGCGGCAGACAACTCGATTTGATTGCCGACGACAATTTTCGGCCACCTTGGTTGTTCTTCTCATTCATCATTCATTTGTTTCCGATCGTACTGATTTACAGTATGTTTTCGTCGTATTTAAAGAGACATAATCGCGATTTATGGAGGTCTTCCTGGAAACAGTCTTTTCGCTTTCTGGCGTCTTTTTTCTCGTTTTCTCGTTCTTTTTTTCTTTCAACTCTACATATGAAAACTTTTCTTGAATATTGTTCGAGCCTGAGGTTAATGAACTACGAAGGGACCGGGGAAGTCTCCAGTCCAAATTTGAACCATATCCCCTTGAAACATTGCCATATATTTAGAGCTCATCTTGGTGGCGATTCCAGCAGGTTTTTTTTGAACGAAACATGAATAGACTACACTAGACTGTCGTGCTTTTGAAAACAAATTGTGCTGCTTTGAAATGACTATACTCCATTCAGAACTACTTTTGTGCAAAAAACATGGAGAGGAGATGGCCTCTTTTTGTCAATTGCTTCGCTAATAATTGAATGTATTTTCGAAGAGGCAAAGAATAAAATGTTTCAGGCTTTTTTGAATCTCAAATTCGAACCAGCTTTCAGTTTTGTTTTAGGCACTTGATGAACTTTGAAACAACTTCTTTGTGAAAAAACTCTCGTTAAGGCTACTGTGAATGAAAAATCTGAATTTTTTCTAATTCTCAATGAGTTTGCCGAAGACGTAGAATATCTCGGAAGTTTCAAAATTTATTCTCGAATAGTTCATTCATTTTCTTTTTTTGCGAAACTGTTGAAAAAATCGAAAAAACAATGGATCTAGTGGTGACTAATCAATGCGTTTTCGAAAATCCACCAACCGTTCTAAATCAATTTTTCCATTCCCCTCCGCTCAGAAGTCAAATTTTGAGACTTGATAAACACTCCTTTGCATGATTACGTATCTTTATAAACACATAATAATCACCTGACCTCCGCTCGAATTGTCGTTTCCGCGAAACTCTAGTCCTAAATTCACACCTTTGAAGGAAAAGAAATGGCACTTTAGTAATACCCCTCGATTATGGTCCCTTGTTGGAGCGATTATAAGAATTCCTGTCAAGGTTATCGTCTATGGCGGCTGTGTTGTTTTGATAACAAGTTCTAAACGTCTCTTTGTCTTCATTTTATCACGTGATTTTCCAATCTTTCCTGAAACATTGATTGAATTTCGAGACTCGAGATAATGTATTCAAATGGCTTTCAGTCCTTTTTTCTGGCTCCAGAGACGAAAATTCTCCGCCGCTGATTTTTCTCTCGTGTTTGACCTTTTTTCAGTTTAAAGTAGTTTCTTCTTTCAAGTTTGAGACGTTCTGCGGCTGTCGCCACGTGACTTCTCTTTGGAATTGATTGATTTTGAGCAGTTCTCAGTCTGGCATTTTTCTCCAAGTCTTCTTTTCTGCATCTTCACTTTTGAGTTTTCGGGTTATCAGCGCATGTTTTCCGAGTTTTTATACTCTTCACGCGACTTTTATGGAAATTTTTTCCGAATTTGGGAAAGTTTTACGAGAGGAAAGTCGTTTTGGCGTTCCAAATTGTCAGTCGAGCACATTTTTGATGGGTTTCGGTCTTTTGGACCGTTAACTCTGATATTTAAGATAAGTGACTCATCAAAGCCTATAATCCATTTACAACCGCTTCATGAACTTTTGACCTCTGAGATGAAGAAAAATTCTTTCTTGGTTTGAAAAAAAGTTTTCCTTGCAACCCATAGAAATTCTTAAAACTTTCGGTTGCGGATGGACTATTTCAAAAGTGTGTTTTGGTTGCCCTTTTCACTTCATTGCTCATTCTCATTCTGCATTTCGAAGCATGAATATTGAAGCTTCAGAAAATTAGGACAAAGATCCCCATATTTCCGCCAATTCTCGGGTGTTTCACAATACTTTTTTCCTAGGCTATACTGTAGTCCTGAAGTGCATCGTCAAGTTCACGAATACTATGAGGGAGTTTCATAACAGCTGTCACGGAAAAAGAAAAAGATACGAGACGTTTCCGCTAATCCTCGACGAACAAAGCAGTTGTTAGCATATCTGTTGCGAGGGCACGTTTTGTGTACTAATCTTTCGTCCATTCAAAACGTTTTTTTTTATTCAAAAAAACTATTCTAGTTTTCCCACATCATCGTCTTCTCACTCTCACGCATTAAGTTTTCTTTTTTTCTGCTTGTTTTTTAAGCTCCCAGCTTCAGAAAACCGTTCAAAAAAAAATTTCTGGGAAACCCCGAACACGTGATATTTTTTGTAGCTCTGAGAAAATCAGGTTGATGTAATTTTTCAGTAAGCGAGAGGGAGAACATTTTTAATTTCATCTCGAGTAATTAGGGTAGAGTTTGTTCCCGAGCAGCTGCAGAAGGAGAGAAAAAATTAATTTCAGTTTTCTGACGAGAGCTTTGAAAAGCTCGCAGTTTCCTTAATTTTTTCCTTCCAAACCTGCAAGAAAGATCATGTCTTTCCGACTCTGGAACTGGAAAACCCATATTCAACTTGTAACGACCTTGGGCCTTTGAAGTCAACGATAACGAGGCACAGCCCTTAAAAATTCTGCTTTGACACTCCTGTGTTTTTTTAAAGTTAACTTTAAGATACTATGACTATCCTTCTTTTTTTTAAAACTCCTTTCAGAGTTTTTCGAATGAGTTTTTGATTTACAAAAGTCGAAATGTCACAAAAAATACTGAAAATTATTGGGTTATCAAGTCCTTTTCAAAGAGTTCCGTGAATGGACTTTAGAAGATTTTCTTTTAGTTTTTTTCAGCTTTTTTTATACTGAAAAATTCTACGGTAAATTCAAAAAAACACTAAAAAAATCCTTTTTTTCTTATTCAGAGAAGCTCAAAAAGCCCAGAAAAAAATGTTTTTTTAAATTTATGTTCTTTTGAAATTTCACAAACCGACTATATCAAAAGTTAACCATTCCCTCCACCGTCTGCTCTTCTCATATCAGCCCCTTCGAACGGACCTTTCCCTTTCGTCTCAATATGCCGCTAATGTCTCGCCTGATTATTGGTCTTCCTCTGCGCCCAAAACGTGTTTTTAAATATTCTTCTTTTTTTTTCGCGCTTCTTATTTCAAAATAAACATTCTCGCTTCGTTTTTGTTTTCATAAAAAATTAATAGTGGCATTAATTCACAGGGTGAGACTATGTTTTCCGACCCTAAACCTTCCGAGTTTTCCAACATCAAGCAAGACGTTGATTCTGAGACGGATGACTGTAAGTTGAAAATTTCTCGACTGAAACTGTGAAATGATGTTTCAGCGAATGATCCGAACAACAGCTACTTTTGCGGCGTGTGTGGCGACGTCGCAACTGGTCGCCATTATGGAGCAGTGGCCTGTAATGGATGCAAAGGTGGGAACTTTTTGAAAACGTTCAGAGCAAAATTTTGCTCAACTTCCTTCATTTTTGAGCAAAAGTCACATGTCTCCGTCAAGCCGATTTTTTAAAAGTTTAAACAAAGCAACTTGAGAAAGTTGAGTATACTGTTTCACAAATAAAAAAAACATAACAGCTCAAATGTTTCAGGAATGTTGGAAAGAAGCTGATTTGATCCATAAATTTTTTTTTCAGGTTTTTTCCGACGTACGATCCGTCGGGGCTACAAGTACACGTGCCGCTTCAGCTCCAAATGTGTCATCGATAAGCGTAAGTTTTTCACGATTTATTGGTTCTTTTCTAATCTATTCCCGCTAAGGATCTTTACAGTCAAGAACTGTGGCTGATAATGAAAAGCACGCCACTTTTTTTTGGAAAAGAGCAATGATTAGACGGAAAACGCGTGTTTTAGTCTTTGGAGGAAACCCTATGGAGGAATTTGAGAGGAATGGAGAGCGAAAAATCATCCAAGGATTTTTATGGCTAGACCACAGATCAAGTCATCGAAACAGATTTTGAAATTTGAATTCAAATATTCCATTTGATAGCTTAGTCAGTCATTCCACGTGCCACCTTACGGATTGAAAATTTCGAAAAAAGTTTTTTCGAACCGGAAAAACGCATGCAGAAAGGCTGAAAAAAATTCAGCCTTTTTTTTTTTTTGATCAGCTCATCCGACCGTTAAGCCGCTTAGTCGCATTAAAGAAATCAAATAAGTTCGTTGACTACCGCGAAAGAAATTGAATATTCATGTACGGTCAGCCATTCCACGTGCCGCCTTTTGAAACGCAATAATCTGAATAAAATGATCTTAGACCATTCAACCATGGTTCGGGGAGTTCCAGCAAACCTGAATTCAAATATTACATACATTCTTTCAAACTTTATTTGATCCTTTTTCGTACCTCGGGGAAAAAATCTTGTTAAGACGCCTATGATTTAAGTATCTTTTCTCTGTTTGATATTATTTTCGGATCGACAATTTGAAAAAAAGCTTGTGGCTTCAAGAAAACCCTTGACGTATCGGACTTCAAAATGTGTGCTCACGCTGTTTGATCTTCAGTTTTTTTTTGTTGCTGCACAAAGAAATTCCCATCTCAGCATTGGTTTTTTGGTTATGGGAACGTACTCAGAACCACGTTTTTCCAGAAAAGTTCTTTCAAAGAGAGTGAAGTTCGTAACGCGAGTAAAAAACAAAACGTGAAGAGTTGCAAACAAAACTCGAAACTGTTTCAACAAGACGAGCATGGCTCTTTTGTCCAGAAGTTTGGCGGAACGGCAAAAAAAGAAGTTTTTCAGTGAACAGAGCTGTTTGCCGATATTGCCGGTATATGCGGTGCCTCAAGTGCGGGATGCGAGTTGACCAAGTTCAAAACGAACGGGATGTTATTGGAAAAAGGTTTGAATAAAAACCTAGAAATCTAAAAAAATATAGGAAAAAAATTGGAACATCGGGTACATAAACTCTAATTATAAACCTCTGTTGGATGCAAATTGGCGTCAAATCCGCCGTTTTTTTGTACCTGACATTCTAATCCACGACATTTCTCGGATTTATCACAAATCTGCGGAATTCTTAAAATTATGCTTTATCTACCGCTAACTTGAAAAATGAAAAATGGAGATGACATTGTGATATTTTCAAAATTTTCAAAATTTTTTTCGAAGCTGTCTTTATCGTAGAAGTGAATGGACTGCATCTATATACTTTTTGGATTTCAGTTTCAATGTTTTATTTGAGAAACCGTGCCAACAGTGGTCCTTCTCAAAACCAACCGAGCAAAGCTTCTTCGGTCCGCCGTAATCAGAGCAACGACGAAGCGTGAGTCGATCCCTTTTTAAAACTTAACACAACTTACAGTTTCAGCAACTCTCCTGAAAGTACTAGTTCTTCTGGAGACGGCTGGGATAACAAAGAATCCTTGATCCGGGCGCTTCTTCAGTCTGAAAAAGCCACATTGAGCCTCCGTGAATCGGTGATTAAGCAGACCGGAAACGTGGATTATATCACAAAGCAAGAAAATGTTTGTTCTTTTTTTGAAACGGAAAAGTGAAGAAAGTCTTCAGATCAAACCTCACAACACTGCCACTTTGAACGACGTTTTCAAAGCTCTCCACAGCCAGCTTCTTTTGGTGATCGAATGGGCTAAGACGTTGCCGCCGTTCTTGGAGCTATCCACCGAAGATCAGGTTCATATCCGAAATCGTTAAGAGATCAACTTATTTTTTTCAGACAGCTCTTTTGAAGAACTTTGCCACGCAACATGTCGTCCTTTGTGTGGCATACCGATCCGCCAAAGAGCCAGCGGATATGTTGAAGTTGCTGAACGACCGGTATATCCCCAGAACTGCCAAAGGAACCGGTTATCAGCCAGACCAGTTAGTTTTTTTTTTCTGTCGGTTGCTTTAAAAATGGCTGGACTTCAAAGATTAAGGCGTTTTTCAAAGCTTATTCGGTTAGCAAAGTTTTCCAAAGGCGATGAGAATTGTCTCACGATTAGCAAAACATTTGTGAGAAGAAGTTATTCACGTCTTTACAGTATTTTTTAGTTGTGTCAGTGGTGAAAAAAGTTATGACGACTCTACAAGTTTAATGTGGGAAATAGAACAGCAGCTTTAAGGAGTAGAATATTCTCGAAAAATTATTTTTGGTGTTTGAACAAAATGTAAAAAGTCAAAAATCTTTACTGTACGCTAAAGTCACTTTGAGCCATTCCAAACGCCTTCAAACTTTTTCAAATCCAACTAAAATACAAAAAACAATTTTTCAGAGAATTCTTCTTACGAGATTGTGACCGTGTGATCGACCAAATGGTTTCACCTTTCCGCTACTTAAACGTAGACGACACTGAGTTCGTCACCATCAAGGCTTCTGTATTTTTTTCAATCCAGGTTTGAACTCATCTCAAGGAAATCGAGGAGTAATGACAAAAATGCAATCTGAGGTTTTCTGGCTCAAATTTAGAAGAAAATCATCAATTTCTTTTCTTTTTTTACTTCAGTTATGAAGCTTTGAAATCTTTTATAGTTTTTTTTACGTCAATAAATCGAGAGCTCCGTAACTCGACTGAGAGAAATAAGGAATTTTTGATTATATCACTTCAAAACATTTCTGCAGGATTTACTGGATTTTCTCTATTTCTCCTTCGAATGAATAAAAACTATCTACAATTTTAACTTTCAGTTGCCAAAGGCCTTTCCCCTGGAGCGGTCATCCCGGTCCTCGAAACCAGGCGGAAAATTTTCGGAGCCCTGGAGCACTACCTCAAGAAAAACAAGCCGACGGACACGACTCGTGTCGGAGATCTCACCTTCTTCTTCTTGTCGCCTCTTGCGGTAAAATCTCACTTTTTCTATATACTAGGATAATTTACAACTTTTCAGACTTTGGCCAACTCCCTTTCTGAAGACATAATGGTTACCAAGCTTAGTGGAGTGGCACGGATCGACGTCCTCATGGAGGAGCTTGTCCTGAGGGACACTGATGAGCAAACCGAACGAGCTTGTAAGTTTTTTTGAGATTTATTGAGTCAGATTTTGAGCGAGAAGAAGCTGAAATTATTTCTTTCGTCGCAGAAATCGCCTAAATTTAAAAAAATTAGAATTTTGAAAGTTTTGGTATTCTGAGAGAACTCTGGGCCTCTTGGTCAAAAAAGCTTCATTATTGAGAACTTCTCTTACTTTTTTGAGTTTTGAGGTCCATAGACGCATGTTTCAATACGAAATTGTGTTGAGAAATATTTCAAATCGATTTTCAAACTTGGTTCGATTTTTGCTTTTTTTATTGGGTTCTAAAAGTCTCAGAGGCCAAGTACTATAATTTTGAGGCAACTACGAGGTTATCTGGGACTTTTTTGATTTACAACTAGCTCCAGAACGATTATTATTCGATCAATAATTTATTTTAAACCTTGCTTATCCTCAATTTTCCAGCCGAGTCTTCCCCGGAGACGTGTTTCTTTCTGCATCAAAGACAACCATCTCCACCACAGCCTCCAGCTCCTCCAATGCCTCAGCCTCAACAAGGAGTTCATCATCACCCGCCAACGTCAGTTTTTATATTCCTAACTTTTATATTGATCAGAAATCAGTCTGTAAAATTTTCAAAGTCAAAACTCGGAAGCAAATATGATATTTTGTTGATTCCAGGCTCGAACATAGCAACTCCTACCCTTCTGATCATTTCCAACACCCTCAGCAACATCAAATGATGGGAAGCTATATGAACGGCTATACGACCCATTTCGAAAGGTTGATATTAACCAAATTTTTCAATTGGAAAATATGATTTTAGGGCGAGTCACAATCAGCCGCAGCAAAACTTTAATCGAGACGAAGCTTGGCCGAAAACGCCGCAAGATGTTTCAGATCTCCTCTTTTCCGATGGATTCTAGTCAATTTTACCCTTGTTTTTAGTCCCCAATCATTCCATATTTGTCCATCTGCCGCTAATCCCAACAGCTTTCGCTGTAGTAGGCATAGAGAACAGTATTTGTTGTTTATTTCTCTTGAAAAGGCTTCTAGTTGAAAATTCCCAACAAAAAAACACGTTGATATTACACAATTATAATCATACCGGTATAGAGAAAAACTCATCTTCGATATTTTATTGTGATTCGCATTGTTGTTTTTGATGATAAAATTTTGCTTTCTCCATTTTTTCCAAAGAGATTTGAATCGGGTTTGTTTGGAAATCGTCAAGGAAAGAAGGTAAGTTTAAAAGACTGAAAATAAAGCTTTTTTTGAGCTAAATTGGAAGTTTTAAAGATTCAGAAGTTCGTAGGAAAAATTTTGAAACGCTTCGGCCGACCTGAAACGACTTCTCCATGTTGCTATCAGTAAATTCCCCACTTTGTAGATTTTATTTTCAGTCCGCATCTTCAAGATTAAAAAGTTCTGTGAAGTGTAATAGCAACTTTAGCTCGCTCTTTGATGCTTTTTAAGTCAAAAAATAGAAGTTCATCCATGAGGAACATTAGAAAAGCGATAAGTTAGTTCGTCTTCAAGAATAGACAATTGGATGTGTGAATTTCCAATCGAATTACTCATCTTCACATTTTGAAAGAACTAGACAAGAAACTAGTTTTTTGATCTTTAAAAGTTGTAAAAATAGAGCTTGTAAAGTATTCCGGTCCAAGTCGGGGAAATTGCGGAAAAAGCGCAACGAGCTGTGAAAGTAAGTTGTGTCAATATAAATTCAAATTGTCTATTTTTGAAACAGGGAAGTAAGCGAACAAAATTTTAGTTTCTCCATTGGGAAGTGTTAGAACTGTCCTTGAAGCAAAAAGGACAAGAAAGAGATTTTTCGAAATTCCCAAGTTTTAAAAAAAACTTTATTTTTACTCCAAGCAGTAGTTATTTCCAGTTTTTCTCAAAATCTTCAGCTATTCATTAAATCCCATTCTTTGAATCATGTAGAGGTTTTGCTCTAGTTATCATGTATTATGCCCATTTTCGCCATTTTTCCAAATTTCGGATTACAAGGGAATTTGTTCATTTAAATCTTTTATTTAAAACATTTCTACTTTTAAATTTGTCCATAACATCTGTTCAACATTTCTCAGCCCTCTTAAAAGCACGTGGGCCTTTTTTTGCTTCGAATTTCCGAGCAAAGGTCGTGCAAATGTAGGCGACCAACCAAGTGGCAAAGCGTGGTTACTAAAATTGGGATCAAATATGGAAGTGCTTTGACATTTGGCGCTCCAGGTACACAATGTTTCGCCAACTCCCCAGGTTGAGGATGCGTCAGGCAAGAGTACGACGAATTTTCAATCATCATACTGGGCGAATTGAGTAGAATTCCATAGTACTTTTTGTCTGGGATTCTGGATGGACAAACAAAGATCTTTGGATTTTTTTCTCGCTTTAACATAAAACATTGAATCCAAAAATAATCCAAAAAAATTTATAAATGCGGTCAAAAGCTTCCAGAACTTCGAACTCTTGATTTTTAGTAAGCTCTATACACTTTATCTGCTCAAGAAGCAACAAATCTCCGCTATAAATGACTTCAAAGCGGCTGCTTCAAAGCGCGTCCGACCTGAACCGACTTTCGCTCGAGAGTATTTGGAACCATTAGAGCAAACTATCAGTCCAACGTCGACAGTTCAAAAGGATCTCACAATCTCTTAAAAACCAAAAATTCTCCTTACTATAGATCTTTGGGCCCAAAAAAAAAATCATTTGAAGCTATTTATCTAGCATTTTATTGCCACGCATTTTTAATTGAAGCTGCTTATTTGATTGTCTATTGTCACGCATATTTCACCACCCACCCCAAAAATTGTATAGTGCGTTGTCGATTCATTTTTTTCCGTTTTTGAAAAATGATCTTTTGTTCTATTTTCAGGTTCCCACGAGTTGGGAGCTATGACTCGGAAAAAGAAAAAGGAAAATAAAATTTTTTCTTGACCGGAGCATTTTTATTCAGATAACTTCAGAGTTGGAAGTGTGGTCTTTTAAGATTGGCTGGATATAGAAAAATGATTAAATTACTCGAAGACCAGAAAATGTCGTCAAAAATGTGGAGATCAGAAAGTTCAGTGTTGCAAATTATATCTGACGTGACCTAGTTCGAAAGAATGTTTTCAGAATTTTTGAAAATTATTATTTTTTCACAAGTATTCCCATAATTCTTTTATTAAGTTTGAACGGTAGAAAGGAAAGATTGCTATCAAATAGGTCAGGAGCTGGAATGCCCTCAAAACACTGCTAAACTTGATTTTTCCGGTTCATCATGCGAAACCCGATTTAAGTCGGGTGCAAATTCCTTTCAATCTTAACTTATACTTTCAAACTTCTGAAGTTAAGATTTTTGAATCAAAGACCATGATGATAACCTACTATCAAGTCTGATTATATCTATAATTACTTGGTATCAAAATTTCAAACGCCTCCACCTGGAACGTGTGAACCTTTGATTTGTAGTCTTGCAAAAAATGCACCAAGACTACAGACTCCACCTTGCAATTTCTCTCAATGAACAGGCAAAAAAAAGAAAAAAGAAAGAATGCAGTATAACCTGAGTCGGTTGATTGAATTACGCACGAAAACTTGTAGAGAACTTCAGCAGCACGTGTCCAAAAATACATGACTGTCGACGTCACACACTTCCTGTTGATTTTTTGCGATTGAGAACTCAGGGAAGAACCTTGATCAGACTACGGAAACTCTAAAAACATCCTTTCGACAACGTGACATCGCTGGTAAAGTGAACCGACCCCGAATTAGACGTGCCAGCCAACATATTTAGCAAATTACTCACTCATATCGAGAAGAGAGCGAACTGAAACAGACATGTGGCGTTCGACGAACAATCAAACTGAGGAATGAGAGGAGTGACGTGCTTTAATGGTTACCCCAAAAATTAGCTCACACAATCCAAAAACCACTTTTTTTTGGGAATAAAATAAAAAAATGGTCATTTCAAAAGGCTGGAAACTAATTTCCATTGACGGAAGCTTGTACATCCTTCCGTCTGGTTGTTAACATTTGCATTTGCGATTTGGGAACGTGAAAAGTTTGAAGACCGATTTCAAAATAGAACTCGTCAGTAGGATATTTCTGGCTCTGTCTGAGCCGTTTCGAATGGCTCTCGAAACTTACTGCTCAAATTCGAATCAAACTAGACATTTTAGAACCACTTTTTAGAAAGTCAAAGTGTTTTGAAAAAGGGCGAAAAAACGTTTCGAGACTTTTTTCACTTTTCATAGGTTTGTTTTGTTAGCTGAGACATGAGTTTAAAATAACCTGGAATAAAAATAATAAGAAAGGATTAAAGTTAGAATTTCATTCAGGACGACGCTGAAATGTTAAAAAAACATAAATAATGGGAATTTTCGAAACTTTGTAATTAATTTTTTTGCCAACCTTCCTAGTGTCACCTATATCATTTCAGGACAGCAATAGTCCTTGTCCTCTACAAAAAAATTATTTTTTTACTAAGTAAAAACTGTGCCCCCTAACCCATTATGACGTCGTGACTGTAGCTAGTGTATGATGTGTGAAATTACTAAATACAATTATCTTAAGAACATCCGTTTCCATTTTGATAAAAAGTTATTCCTTTATCAGTGAATCTTTTTCCACAAGCAAAAAAACTTTTTTTCATTGCAGTTCTTTAGAAATAATGAAGAGTAATGTTAACAAATTTATCATCAGAGGACTGTTATCAACATGTATTGGGAAAAAAAAACCTCTTGAAAAATCTTGTTGAGATTATTTTATGTAAGTTTCACAGCATCAATGATTTTTTTTGGTCTTTTTGACATCTTTTTGGTCGGAGAAAAATTTCCCTACAGTGATGACGTCATAACTGTAGATAGTAAAGTCTTCGAAAAATTAGCGACGAAGAAATCGAAAAACGTGAAATTTTTAGCAGCCCCTCAAGACATCAGTAACTTTTTTTAAAGAACCGTTTTCGGCGGCTTGCTTCACTTTCCCTTACTTCAATGACGTCATCGCCAAGTCTTTCATGACGTCAAATTTCAAATAGGCAGGTCTAAAAAACGTCTCTGAATTTTCTTGATTCAAAATTTTATGATATTTTATCTCAATACGTCGGTGAACTATGTTGTCTGCAAAACATATGAATTTCGACATTTTGCTGGTACCAAAAAAGGATTTATGACGTTATAAATCAGCATTTTGTGACGTCATTAATAATTTTATAGTGACGTCATCACTGTGACCGGCAGGTTCAATCAAATTTTCAATCTGCAGCCTCAGGACATCAGTGGCCCGAGTAGTCCTCAAAAAAAACCTTCTTTGGCAACTCCTTCCAATCATCTAGACATTCATGACGTCATAACTTGTTTTGCGTCGTACTGTAGCCGTCGAAGCCGTGCCTGATATGTGGCGAACGACAACGACAGAAGACGTCGTGGCGCCGCCCCCACACGGCTTGACGACGTTGTCGTTTTGTCCACGGACGCCGATGTGCTGCCGCTCCGCTCCGCCCACCCCTCTTCTGGTGCTATATAAAATTTCGAGTAGGGATTTTGCGTGTCCTTCTTCAAATTTTTTCCATCATCTTTTTTTTGAAGTTCCTTGTGCTCTACTACCTACACGGAAACTACTTGAAATTGAATTTGATAGTAGAAAAAGAAGGAATTTGCAAAATCCCAAAATTTCGAATACGAATACTGAACTTGGAATCCATTTGATTTCCTTTTATAGAATTTTCCAATCTTGTCAAGAACCAAAAAACAACAACCAAGCTTTATAAGATATCAAAAAAAATCTTTTTTTTTTCAAAAAGGATGCATTGAAAACCAGGGGAATATGAACTTTTTTTGGAAATTCTGAAAGAAATTAGAGTGAGGAGTCATGAAAAAAATCTTTTTGAAAAAAATTTCAAAGTTAAATAAAAAAAGAGTAAAAAAATTCAAATTTCAAAAGTTCCTCACTATTTTTTTGTTTTTTTCAATTGCTCTGAATTCTGTCTCAATGTGTAATTTGAATCTCCCCCTTCATTTGTAAATTTCCATTTTTTTGACCTTTCCTGTAAGGCACGGAAGTGTTGAATTTCAGAAATTCGTTGAAAAATTTCACGGCTTCGAATGACGCGACGTTGAGAGACCCGCAAATGAAATAAAAATAAATTGGTCAATGAAATTAGGGAAACTCAATAAAACCAATCATGATAAACGTTTTCGAGATTAGTCATACCTAAAAACATTGTATTAGTCTTGGAAATTGTGAGGACTTTTTTTCTTGTCCGTAGATTGATACGAACAAAAAATCTCTAGTTTTAGATTTCCATCATTTCTCAGAAACTATATTATAACTTAACTTAATAACGATGATAAATCACGGTAGAAAGCATTTTGAATAGATTTAGTCATTCCTAGACAGATTATATTGTTAGCGGAAGTTGTTAGAGACTTTTTCTTCTTATTCTGGCTTTGGTATTAGTCTAACTCTACTCGTGCTGCAAAATGGCTCAAAAGGACGAAACGCATTTTCGCTGATAATTAGGGACTTTTCAAGCACCAACTGATTTTCATACTCCCAGCTGACTGGTTAGAAACTATCCGGCGAAAGAGTTTGAAAAAAAGTTATAGACACCTCGGCAGTGTGTTTTGTATAGATAGTGATAAATAAAGCTGAAAGGTCCCCTGCGCCCGACCCTAAACTACTTGCGCTTAGGAACGCTCAACAACTCGAAAAAAGGCCACAATTTTTTTTTAGAGATTACATGAAGCCTAAGAAAAAAATGTTTTTCTGTTCCAAGAAAAACTTTAGCACGATATCATAACTAGACTAATTGATAGATATATTATTTGGAAGCTATAAAATTTTTTTTCTCAATTTTTTTGTAGATTGAAGACTATGAAAGCTATAATTTTCATCATTTTCTTTCCAAGAAACTTGATAGACTTTCTCTAGACAGTTTATTTTGGTACCGGAAGTTTTTCCAAAGCTCTTCGTACTCTCCCGTCCGTTCTGTTATTGTTATGAACCCACAGAAGCTGTAATTCCAGATTCCACTCTGATAATAGAAGCTCTGAACCTTCCATCGCGGCGTGTTATTATTTCTTTTGTCTTGCAAAGCCTCAATTTTGTTTTCAGGTTGAATTATGGCTCGTTTTTCGGTGATATTCGTTTTCCTGCTTGTTCTACAGTTGACCGCCGGAGCCATGACACGGATTCAAGTTTGATTTATTTTTCTTGAAAAAAATAAGTAGGGGAGCTCATGAAAATAACAGTTTTGTCAGCTTCTATGTGCATCCGACCCAAAACGACTTGTTCTTATAGAATAGAAAAGTTTCGAGATAAAACGCCAAAATGAAATCACGCTTCTACGGTAACTTTTCAAGCCAACTTAAAGCCCGTTTTGATGCTTAAACTTCGAGTTTTGGTCTCTGTTTTTTTACTGCTTCCCGTAAATTCCACTGATAGTTTCTAGACAATCAGCTCAGAGTTTTGCATAATAATTCGGAAAATTTTTCCTCAAGGACTGTAGTTTTTTCTAAGCTCTGTAATATTTGAAGTTAGTTTCTTGAAAAGAAAACTAAAAGCAAAACTCAGCTTTCAGTAAAAAGAATCAATGTTTTATGTGGAAGTAAGTACCCAAGACCTTCATTTCAATTTTCTTGAACTCAATCAGAAATAAGGTCTCTTGACCAATCAACTGAAAGCTTGAAGAATGACCTCAAAAATCAGTTTTTCGTAAAATGAGCAATGAGTTATGGGAAAGTAAGTGCCCACGCGCCTTGGCTCTCCATTATCCAAACAACCACGCCGACCTTTTTTTTCCTTCTTTTTTTATTTTCCCGAGTTTTATGAGAGTTCAGCGCGAGATGAGATTTCTATTTGTTTCGTAGACGTCACTGGAAATCCTGAAGTTTGAATCCATTCCTCGTGCGAGGGAAAAGCAGTGCCAATGCAAATAGTCTTTTTTAGGACCTTATGATTTATGAAAGTTCAAAGAGGACCGCGTGACGAAACGGCTCCCTCGTGGGCCAGCCATTTTTTACAATTTGTCTAAATGCTGTTTCTGGAAATTTATGGCTGTTTTGGGTGTTCACACGGTTTTTTCAGTTCGTTTGGAAAACATCACGTGGAATAATGTCTGGAAGCTATGACCATTTTAAAAGCCGAACTTAAATCAAAAAATGGTCTCAAGGATAAAAAATATTAAACTTTTTCTTTAGCTTATTGTCGAGCCTCACAGTTCACCGTTCGAAATAAAGGAGACTGGAAGAATTTTTTTGATCGGAATGAAGTCTCTGACAGTTTTGAACTTCACGAGAACGCAATGAAAAGCTCGGAGAATTGATCGAGAAATTTTCAAATATCTCATAAGATTCTTATGCATGCAAGTTGTTTTAGGCCGGGTGCATTGAATAAAAGTTTAAATAAAAAAAATGCATTTTAAGCATTTTCGAGCCTCCTATGAAGATCTGAAACAACCCTAATAAGAGGCTTAAAATCTATAAAGAAAGCGTAAAAATCCCTTTCTAAAGTTTTCTTTCAGGAAATCCTCCGAGCACTGAATCCGCCAAAAGAAGTCCGATCCGACCGATTCCGCTCATTTCGTTATGGAGGCGACAATCTGTACGATATTGGCGAACGTTTCTTGTTCCGATTTTGAAGAAGTGAACCGCCTTGTTCTTGGAACGCCAAGCGTCAATAAATATCTCAACACTGTTACCACTCCTCAACATGCTTTAATGTCTTCGCAATTTCAATAAACCGTGAAACTTGTACATTTTCGAACAATTAAACTATCACGGGGGAGTCAGAAGGACTTTTGTCGTGGACGTATTCTTGAAGCTTCAGAAACTGATTTTAAAAGGTTTTAAAACTGCGAAAAAACGGATCTTTTGGACCTTCATCAGTTTGATGCAGACGATGTACTGTAGCCCTAGCGATCAGTAATCATCAAGGTTCTTTAAAAGCTGCGATTGAACGTTTTTGGGTGGTTAATGTGGGCACGAGCCTTTCCGAACTTCAAATGACCACTAAAATCCTCTTTTCTCTCAAATTCAGTTTGAGATTCCCTTTTGAAAAATCATTTTTGTCAACATATGTTTCAACTTTTCAGCAGAAAAATAATTTTTTTTTCAAATAATGTTTGAAACAGGAATCGTTTGTTTAAACCTTCTAACATTTTCCTGAAAAAACTGGTTTCACGTCCGTTTCACTATTTTCAAAATTTCGATGAAAATATGAAACTTGTAAGAAAAAAGACAAAAAGACATTAGCAGCGAGTGGTTTCGATCCACCGACCTCTGGGTTATGGGCCCAGCACGCTTCCACTGCGCCACGCTGCTGTGCCAGGCAGACGGCGAGAGAAAGTATGTGAGAGGAAGGGACTACCTGTCCACTTGAGCGTGAAACCTGAGATTTCTGTCGTTTTTTTAAACTCGAGCCTATGAATTGTTCAAAATCGGTTGAGTTTTCCTTTTTATTTGCTTCATATCTTTCAATTTCTTTCCGTATGCTTGAAAACCGATAGCTATCAAAAAAGAAAGTCAAATTTGATTGTCAGGCCGTCCTTGAGGCACCTTGAGTATGCATTTTGCGTAGGGCGTGTAGACACAACCTGTATTTGTCTAAAAACGTTTGAAATTTTTAACTTTCTTTTTTTCTAGTTTATTTACATCATTTCTTTCATATTTTGATTATTCTAGCATTTCAAAAGGGCAATTTTGAAGTGGTGGAAGGATTTTTACACGCAGATGTGAGTTTTTCTTGTAGTTTTTTTCTGTTTTAAGGTTTTTTTAGAAATGGAATGAAAAAAACGGTTGATGATAAAAAGCCACTCAAAATGATTCTTGGGAAGTTCCAGTGTCTTAAACATCCCAATAAATTTTTTTCGAACAGAAAGAAAAAGCTAAACTTTTTCCCTCCTCCTCTTTTTTTCTTTTGTACTAATAATTATTTTTTTCAGTTTCAAAAGGACTACACCAACTTTCTACCTGACGCATTTACGAAAAACGGGTTTTTAGTCCAACAATGCGATGTATTCTCAAATTTTTCATACTTATTTTTGTACCGCAAGGTTTGTTTTTTTTGTATATATTTGTTAAAATAAGATCTCTATTTCAGTTAGTGTATGCGATGAAATTTCTCGATTTTTTTCAACGTCAGTTTTTGAACGGTTACAGCCGGATGTCATAAGGATATCTTTAAATAAATTAGGTAAATTTTTCCATTTTTCAACACAATTTCAACGGTTTTTTTCTTTCAGATTTGAATATTGTTGCAACTTTAAAAACCGAATCACAAAGTTTATAGTGGAAATTTTATTGTCAGAACGGCCACGGAGACAATAAAAACACGAGAGAAGCGAGTATTTGGCTTCTTTTTCAGGTTGGTTTTTTTTTTTTTTGCAAGTATTTATGCTCCAAAATTGGGACATAAAATCTGAAAAGCTTCTGGAACTAATACTCCGGTTCCAGGACTCAATGAAGACATTTAATTTAACATCACATGTCCCTCCAAACCCCTCAAAAACTTTTAAAGACAGTTTTTCGTCTTTCAGAAAGTTTACCCGGCCGTGGATCTCTGTCCGAAATTGCTGAAGATGCGTTCATTGGGTCGTTACTCCTTCCCGAAGATACTTTATACTTGGACCCTTACAATTGGCATTTCCCAACTAAAGAAAGGTAAAACCGCTCTACTTTTGAAATATATAATCTGTTTTCAGTAACAAGATTATCGCCTATTTTGATTCTGACATCACCAGGAACACAAATAGATCCCTGGGATACATTGACAAATCGACGGTCAGATTTTAGAAATGGTTTTTATGCTTGGAAAATGCTAAAAAAAACATTCTGAAATCAGTTATTTTGCTTTTTATGGAACATTAAAGATGAGTGTTTCTCAAAAAGTAGAACATTTCTTTTTTTAGTGAAATTTTCACGTTACCCTGGAATTTAAAACGCGCAAGTAGTTCATTCGCGCTCGCTCCTGGAAACTGAAAAATCTCATTGATACTCAGGAACTTCAGAGTGACCCCTATAGGGGACTAGTTAATCGATAGATGTTATGAACTCTAAGCGAAGAAGCATTTTTATGGAAAAACTGAATAAAGAAGCGTTTTTTAAATTAAACTTGAAAGGCTCTATAAAGGCACTTGAACTTTGAGGGTTAAAGGCTCAGACCCTAAACCCATATAAGGACTACTTCAATTTTACTCCTATAGGAATCAATTTTTTGACCCTCATAAGGGTTTTTTTTCCTCCATGAACCTTATAGAAACCACCCTGGAATTCCTAGGTAGGGGCAATTTTCGTAAACATCAGCATAAATTTTTGCGTTTTTCGAGTGAGAACTGATAGATATTTTTCAAATCACGGTCAAAAAAGTTTTTAAATGTTCAGAATTCTCCACAAAGACCGAACCCATTCCTGTCCTACCAAAGACAGAAAAGAGATGTCTCATACGCCGTGAAAGATGTCGAGAAAAACCGCTGCGAATTGAAAATCGTCGCAGATTACACGTTTTTCAAAGTGGTCGGAAAGCAGAGCAAAGCCATCACAATCAAATATTTGGTATTCTTTCCATAATTGTATGAAAAATTCGGTTATTTTGAGGTCAATACAATCGCCAGGGTGAATGAAATTTATACCTCGGTCAATTGGGACGAAGGATTTGAGCATGAACTGGAGAATAGACAAAGGGGAAGGTTAGTTTTTTAAATTTAAATTTTGAAAGTTGTAAAATTTTTTTCAGATTACGAAATATCGGCTTTTCTATCAAGGAAATCGCTGTTCTTGAGAAACCTAGCCCAAATAGGCATCACTACAACTACCACTCTGAGGATGATAAATGGAACAGTAAAAAGCTTCTTGAGGTTTGGATGTTATGAAAAAGTGCTCGCATTATTTGAAGTACAGAAAAAGCTTCTGAACGACTATTTTTCGCAATTTTCTTAAGAAAAATGGGAGTTGAAACTACAAATTTCACCCCGCTCAAGTTGGAGTTAGGAAATTGGCTTTTAAACCTCCGTTTTCTGGAAGATCATGAAAAACCCTCGATTTTTCAAACTAAATATGAATGAACTATTTTTACTTCAAAAATTAAAAAAATCTCTAAACCTTTCAGGCTTTTTCATTCGAAGAAGGCTCCTCGAACTTCTGCCTAGTTATGCTGGTCACCGCGAGAAACTTCGAAGAATCGGAAGTTTTGGGCCTTGCCTACGTTGCAAGACCTCCTCAAGATGGTAGCGATGTCCCTGGCGGCTTGTGCTCCACGGAAAACAACGTTTGATCAAAATGAAGTTAATACTTTTTTTCTCGGGTTTCCAGGTCAACAATCGTTATGTTCCTGTGAACACTCTATTCACCACGGCTCTTTTGAGCAACGGAGAAAACGGTATCACGCAAGGAACAGACATTATTGTGGCTCACGGTAAGAGGAAATTTTTTCTTTAAGGTCTTGAAACACTGGGGTGAAACTTAGTTTTGGAAAAAATCTGTTATTTTAGGTTTTTTGACAATCCCTGATTCCTAAACCCCTGAACTTTTCATGATTTTGCTCCAGTTATGATCCCTGAAGTTCCAAAATAACGCATAAATTCAGGGTGTTTGATATTTTTGACCTTTATAAAGCGACGAAAAATGAAAGGGTAAAAATTTTTTCTCTTTTGAATCAGAAAACTTCAAGTCATTTTTTTCGCAAATTTTGAATTATTTTTCGCTTCTATTTTAAAGCTCGTTCTTGACTGGCTCATAACGTATAACTTTCATTCAAATTAAGGCAATAAAAAAAATCGGCTTGCGAATTGAATACTTAAAGTAGGTCCTTGCGCGCAAGTAATTTCAGGTCGGGTGTGGGGAAAATCCACTTCCCTCGTTGAGCTTTTTGAAATGACGTCATACGCTTTATATAAATTGTCTTGAAAATAATTACTGTTGGAGATTAGCTAGATCATTTCCCTTTTTTCGGGGCCAAATGATTAAACTTTTCCTTTTTCTTTTGCAAAAACCGGAATTTTTCAGAATTTGGTCATGCTTTCGGTGCTCCACACGATCCCGAGCCGACAGAAGGAAGAGGAGAAGAAAATGACAACTGTTTTCCATCTTTCAAAGAGGGCGGTTCTTATATCATGCACCGCTATGCTCAGGCCGGCTACGATCGCAATAATTATGTCAGTTGAAATTTTTTCTTTTTCATGAAAAAAAGTATATTCCAGCTTTTCTCTCCGTGTTCACGCAAAGTGATTCGAACGCTGCTGGGACAGAGATTCGAAACGTGCTTCACTAAGGAGAAAACATCAGATTGTGGAAATGGAGTCATCGAGGACAGTGAGCAGTGTGATAATGGAGACAATGAGGCTTTGCTTCATACTCAAGGAGGTGATAAACTATTTTTAAAACTTATTTTTTGAAACAGCAAAGCTATTTAAGTACTTTTCCCAAACGTATTCCTTTTACTCAAATTTGAAATTCTTCCGCATCGACATTTTGGAGAATACTCGCGGGACTTAAACTTATTTCTCAGGCGCCAGATGTTGTGACAAGTTCTGTCAACTAGCAGTCGGTGCAGTGTGTTCCCCCAATAACCACGCTTGCTGTTCGGATCAATGCCAATTTCTCAATAATACGCACGTTTGCCTACCAGGAGACACTTTCCACTGCAAGGGTGATTCTCATTGCTCGTGAGTTTTTTCTTACAGAATTTATTTGGAGACCTTAAAAAGACATCCCATCAAGAAAATAAAAAAAGTTCATTCACTGGGGCCCATGCGATCGATTGAGATGCTCAAATTCAAAAACTGAACTTTTTTGTCATGGATGACTCTTGAAATCAATATTTGTTCCTTTAAAGATTCCCATTTTTCAGTTAGGCGAACATTTTCAAATCTGCATCATATCATTAATTTTTGAAATGTTTTCATAGCTCTCGAATTTTCAGAGGAATCTCAGGAGAGTGTCCTGAACCGCCACCAGTTAAGAACGGCCTGCCCTGCTTCGATAAAGGAGAATGCCAAAAAGGCGTTTGTGTTCCGTATTGTGAAAAAAATCGGCAAGATGAGCTGCATTTGTGAAAAAAATGTATGTTTAAATAATATTCTGATCTAAAGAGATTTAAAAAAATTAAATTTTTTTAAAAAATTGATAAAGGTTCTTCAAGACATCTTGACATTGTATCAGTCTGAGAATGCACTTTTCCTTTTTTTTCCATCACTTTTTTGATTTGAAAAAGGAATATTTTGTCTATTCCAGTGGAAGATTCGTGTCACCGGTGCTGCAGAAGTTCCAGTAACGAAACCTGCGTAATTGAGCCTTCTGGGGGGCTTCTGCGGGATGGGACCAACTGTTTGCAGGGCTTTTGTAAAAACGTGAGTTTCCATCAAAATACACTTTGAAATTCAAAATTTCAGAGCATTTGTGTGAATAAAGTGACGGACAATGTGATAAACTACGTCACCAGTTTGAAGGATAGCCAGCGGTTATGTTAGTTTTCTCTATTGATTACTTTTTTTATAGATGTTTCAAATAAAAAAATATCAACTGAATAGAAAGTGAAAAGTTGCAACCGACCTTCAGCGATTCGCGCTTCTTTCATTTTTATTAAAGCCCGTTTTTTTAAGATGAGCATTCTTCTATCACGAAAATCTGTTTACATATTTTAGTAATTCCAAATATGGTAGTAAATGAGTCATGAGAGCCTTTGAAAATACAAAACCTTTCCAATTTCATTCTTATTTTGTTTTAAAATTTAATTTTTGAGGGACCTTCTTCAAAAACAATATTGTCCTGTTCCTCGTATTTATTGTCACGGTTTTTCTGGATACCCGTCAGCTACTGTGTCTGCAAACATGTGAGTACACTTAAATCAAATATTTTCCATAATTCTTTTTTTATTTCAGGACAGCAAGGAGAAGAAAATGAGCAAGAAAAAGCTGAAAAACGTGGTTGTGGCCAGTGACCTCGTCAAACAAGAATCTATTATTATTTGATTTTATTTTAAATGCTTTTCAGTTACTTCACCACAAGCTGGGGAAAAATGTCTAAGATACGAATTTCTCTTTCAAAAAATATATTTTTGCTAGCTAATCATGAAAAAATAAATCAGTTTCAGTAATTCATTCATTCAGACCTTTCCCAGAATCAATTGGATCATTGTTATATTGTTATTTTTTTATCTATTGCTCATTATCTGATGCCTTCTCACAAAAAAAGTTCTGCTCATTTTCGAATCTCTTTCTCATTTTTTTCCAGCTTTTACTTAACCGGTGATCTTGTTTCTATGAAAAAAATGCTTTAGCGTATTTTAAATTCAACGAATCTTTGTTAAAAAAAGTCTAATAAGGGTCTTAATTATATTGTCAAGCAAAAAGAAACTAAGGTTTGTGATCGGATTTTTTTCTGATGTTGTGAAGTGCCTCAAATTGAATTTCAGTGAAAGTAAATGATTTTATTGTTTTTTTCTTGCATTTCAACATGTTCCAAGTTATGGGGCACGCGATTTTTTTGATTTGGAAAAAAAGTATTTGCCGAAATATTTTATTTGGGTGTATTTTTTTATTTAAAAATAAGGTACGGGATGTTAGAAATTCTCTACTGTTGTTTTAATGTCGTAGAAGTCAATTTAAGTAATATTTTCGATATAAAATGCATAGGAAACCGCGGGACACAGCTCCTTTTCGAAAGCTTCCCGCCTTGTTTGCTCCACGGCGAATTTCACAGCTCTCCGTTGTTTTTGTTGTTTTTCTGCGTTGTTTATATTTTTTCAGTACACAAATTGCGTGAGCAACGCCAGTGACGTCAGTGAAAACGTGTGGGGAACATTTCATCGATTGATTTCGGTTCCGTTGCGTGTTGCCATTGCCGCTCCAGTGATCATTTGCCTTAATGATTCTCACTGGCTAGTGGAACAGTTCTTCTCTTTTTTCTTTCATATTGAATTCATGAGTTTTTTCCTTGAAGATCTGATTCATGTGAAAATTATCAAGGATTTTGAAAATTTCCTTTATTTTGCTTGCGGAAACGAATTTGATCTGGATTTTTGACATTTTTTGTGATAAAACTTATTGATATCTTCTTAGTAGTTGCTACTGTTTAATGAAACTTTTCGGCTTCTTTTGAGAAAAAAAAAAGTCAAGAAAAACAAAATTCGTACCAATAAAGTTCAATCATGAGCAGCCTTGTATATATTTTCACCTCTTTTTTGAAAACGGTTTCTTTCTTAGCTATTATTTTGACCGAAAAAGGGACTTTGAAAAAAATCATGTACCCTATTTGCCAAATAGAAATAATCACTCAGTCATGAAAAAAATATTTTTTTACACGCTTTTTTTTCGAAAATTTGTTTGGCACACAGAAAACCTTCGTTGGGGTAATGTTATAAATTTTTCTCTTCCGTCACATTTTTTTTTACCAAGATTCCAGAAACACCGGTGCGTAATGTTTTCCAATTCGCTTGCCTTCCACCTTCAGAAAATAAAAAAACCTTCAAACATCTTGATTTCCTTCCCTTTTACTCTTGAACCTCTCAAGTTTCAACTCGCGTGACTCATTGCTCGTTTTGAAATTTAAAGTGTAAAACGTTAAACTGAGTGCGACGCTTCGTTTTGACTCAGAGCACCACTAAAAATATTGATCTTAGAAGATTTCCTACCAAGCGGTCGTGGCTGGCTCCTGAAGATGCTGCGGTTATTTATCTTTGCTTTTCTGACGATTGGTGAGTTTTGAATTATTTTTTTGAAGGTAATAATTTACGAATTATTTAGTTTTTCAGGTGGTTTTGATGCTTTGGTTTTGAATTTTGTAGGATCGACGAGTTTTTGAGAAAAGTGATTTTTAATCTTACCACGCCCAGATAAAATAAAAGTCTTAAAATTTTTCCAAACTTGATTTCTTCGAGCTTGTCGTGGTCTAAATATTCTGAATTTTAGTTGGATTTGCCGCTTCAGCCTACCCAAATGACACCCTCACTACGACGACGCCCAAAGGTGGAACTTCTATCGCAGGTATTTTTTCAGCAATTATATCCATTTCATATTTTTTCTCAAAGAAATTTTTGATTTTTCAATCTTACGCTTTTAGGAACCTTCGTGACGTGCCACACTTCAATGGAAAATTGCCTCGAAGCTTGCTACATGGAATGTTTCGTGGCGGATTTTTGCAACGATGTTCCGGACCGAGTCGCTTGTGCTCCCGGCCTTCCACAGTTTGTTTTAAATTTGATCGATTTAAGTTATGAACGGAAATCGGCATTTTTTTTTCAAAATTAGCAAATGTTTCTAGAAAGATGTATGAAATCGGCAACTTTCAGTGATCCTGTTTATCTCAAAAACTATCCGAACACAAAAAAGCTTCATCTGGTTTATTTCCTGTTTCAAGATTCATTAAAAGGTCTTTACCATCTTCCAGAAAGTGTAAGTACACAAAATGAAAATTTTCACTTAGTCGTCATTCTCTGGAAACCAAGAAACATTGAAAAAACTAACAAAATCCATCAGAAACTTATGAAACACCTGAGCAAACAAACCTCGAGCGGCCAGGTAAAACTCCTCTACATTTTCCGAGGGTCCAAATATTGTCACAATTTGTCATCGACTAGTTAGCGCCTCTTCTCTCCACCCAGTCTTCATTTTCCTCTTGCTATGGATTCCCCAACTCCTGAGCTGATTGAGAATAAAATAGTCAAATCTGGAGTCGACTGTCTACTTGAACGGCTTTCTACCGTTCGGAAAGTCTACGAGTGGTCGGAAAACTACGAATATGTGTGTTCCGACGTCGACTGGCAGTAAGTTTCAAGCAAAAAATTCAATCTTTTTACTGAAACACTCAATTAGATTTAAAAACGCATGGGCAGCTTTACTAAATTGGGTCTTACCGTGAAAAACCTTTTTTTAACGGTTGTTTGGGCTTCAGATGTTATTGATGTTTCTCAAAGAGGTGATAAGCGTTCCTTATTGAGTTATATTCAGTCTTTTGGAAATCTCTTTCTACGATCCATTAATAGGAATCGGGTGGAAAAACTTCGACTAAAAAAATAGCCCAAAATTAGTTTAGCTGGTCTTGTTGCGAAGCGGCTTTTTTTTTGCGGTTCATTTTTTTTTTTGGATGCCTAGGAACATCTGCTAAACTTCTAGCAATCCATTTCAAGTTGAATCAACTTTCTCCCGATTTTTACCTAAGGAAGATATGACCTTTTCTCAGGCTTTGATAATCTTTTTGAACATTTTTTTCCTCAATTGATGCTCCAGCTTAAAAACCAGGGATGACTGTATAATCATGCCATATATACTTTCGAAATATTCCCAGAGCTCGCGGAGCAAAACGATGAGTCATCGGCTCTTTTTGGCACGCGTGAGGGCAACTCCGCCCCACGCACTCGGAAAAAATCGGCCCATCGGCCTAGGAAAACAGAACCACAATGTATTTAGTGGTAGTTCGAAAGTTTATTCAAGCTTTTGACTGGTTTTTCTCTTAAAACTAGCTCGAAACTGTCGCGAATCTTTTCCGTAAGGCTTCGAAAAATTGACTCTGAGCAAAAAAAAAATCTCATTTAGAAACCTTTTCAAATTTAGAATCTATTTGAAGCAGTAAACCACTTTTAGATTCCAAAAATGGTTTTTTAAAGCAGTTTTCTAGAGTTCAATCTATAGTTAGAGGTGGTTTTTCGAGGCAATATTTTCATTAGAACTCATAACTTTCATAAATTTTGATCTGTTACAAAAGAAAAATCTAAAAAAACGTGATAATATTATTTTTTTCAAGCTCAACCAGTAAAAGAAAAAAAGAAAAGACCGAGAAAGGAAAAAAATGACGAAATGTAACTTCCAATTACAATTATTCGCTTGCTCTCGAGGTCATTTGCCTGGATCTTCCTCCCATTTTCAAGGCTGTGTGTTCCTATTTGACCATTTTTGAAATTTCTCCTTTTTTCTCAAGTTTTCTTTTTGAGAAAGCCGAAAAAAACACCTAGAAGAAAATAAACTCATTGGGCTTCAGCCTGCGCAAATCGATTTCTGCGGCTCTCCTTTTTGTTGTTCTGTTTTTCCCCCATTCTGGGGTCTTTTCCATATTGAGTCCTGTGATTTTCTCTGACTTTTCAAAAAAAAAAAACAAGAAGATCAATTTTTTAGTTCTCCAAAAAGAACTTCGTTTTAGGCACTCAAAAAAACTCAAAAAAATCCTTAGTAATTTCAATTTATCTCTTCTTTTTTTACTCGACTTATCTGTTTCTTGTACTTCATGAAAGTTCCTGAAGGGAAATGGACGACGAGAGGCCGATATGGGAGTCCATACTTATGTTGGATATTTACGCCATCCTGGTTTGGGTATACGATCATCTGCCCTTCGAAATAAAAATCCTACATTTGGTGAATTTTTTTCCTATAAAAGGAAAATTTTTCTGTAAACTTCTACTTTTTTCAATGACTCAACTTAACTATAAATGAACTATGGTTAAATCTTGCCAAATTGAAATCCGGAGTTGATATTTTGGGATTATCAGCCGAAGTTTATTTTTTTTTATAAGCAACTAAAGTCAAGGATGATCAGACTATAGTTCAATCTACACAAAATTGAATCCGGAGAGAGTCTGTTGAAGTTATTTTTCTGTAGAAGTTTATTTTTTTATAAATAGCATAAATCAGTCGTGACTGGACTATTATCCAATTTTCATTAAGTTGAAATCAGGAGTTGATTTTTGCTAGTTTGGCTTTTTTCATCAGTTTAAATCAATAGAGATCAAATTATAGTTCATTCTTCACAAAATTGAAAGTTCAAAGGTTATTTCTGTAAAAGTTCAAATTTTCTTTCAAAACTAGCTCAAAAGATCAAAAAAACATGTTTCTGATATTTTTTTCAAGATTTTAAATTTCATATTTTTCAGGATGGTCCTGCTGACGCTGGGTTTTGTGATCCTCCTGGTGACGTGTTGCGGGTTCATCTGCTTCTGCACGCCTTGCTGCCTCTGCGCGATCATCTACCGACGTCGGCAGGCGCGAAAAAACCGCGCCCAGGCCGAATACCCCACTCCCACCGCACCTCCTTTGCTCGCCAAAGTTTGAAACAAAAACTTCCCTACAGGTTCTCACACTAAAAATATAAGTGTGGGAGAAATTCTATCTCAACTTTGAGCTTTAACATCTAGAGTTTGAAACAGTCAAATGATCTTTGTTCTCCGTATTTGTAAACGCGTAATCGAACAAAATTGAGCCTTTCTTTGTGATTTTTACTTGCCCGAATTGACAGAAAATCGATTAGTTCTCCCGAAAAATTTTTATTAATAGTCCATTCTTAGTGATTAGCAAGAAAGTTCATTTCGATAGCTGTCTAATACTTTCTCCCAAGTTACCGTTGAATGGACTAACTTTTTTCCAATTTTCCAGATTCGAAAATTATTGATTTTTTTTCGCTGCATTTGTTCACTAAATTTTCTGACACTTTGTATCTTACTATACAAAAACTTTCTTTGTTTCTTTCTTTTTTTGCCGGATCTGTTCAATATTAGTTTCGGCGGGTTATTTGGTTGAAACTTTCCTTTTTTTCCAATTGTTTTTGTACTTTTCCACCAACCAAAGATGCATTCGATATTTTGATCTCTTTTTTTAGAGATGAATAATGATTTTTCTGCCAAATACTTGTATGTAAATAAAGCTTCAAACGAAGATTTTGTTCAGATTTTGAGCATGTTTTTGAAGAAAAAAAGGTTTTTGAATTTTTTAGGTTTTTTCCAGGGCTTCCATTTTTTTCTGTTTGAAAGCAATATTTAGGCCAAAAGTTGCGTGTTGAAGACGATTTTGACACGACAATGTCTCTCACCGTAGAAACACCCATAAAGGGCAAATGATCGTGAAATATGAATAACAGGATTGTAAAAGTGCTCCCACCCCCTCTTCTTCTGGAAGACGCCGTTAAAATGCACATAACGTGGCGCGATCTCCGTGAATTTGCCACTTTTTTGACATTCTGTCCTCAAGGTGCAATTGTTTTTCATATACTTTTTGCTGTGGTCTTTTCTCATGGCTTAATATCTTTGAAAACCTTGAAAATACAGCTCGAAAGTAATTTTTAAGCAAGTAAACTATTTTTTTCTTTTGCGAAAGCTTTTAATTTAAAGTGCAACTCAGTTTAGACTTAATACAGAAAAATTCGACAATTTTATTTAGGGTTTTGAATTTTAAGCCGTTCAAATAAAACTTCGATTTCGTATTGATTTAAAAAGTAGAGGTTTTACAGCGTTTTGAAACGTTATAACTTGGCCGAAATTGTCGTAAAAATGTTTTTAAAATGGTTTTAGGATGTTCCAAAGTACGTCTTAAGTGAATTCCAGCGAACTTTCAAAAATGTTTTTTCTCATTTCTCTTGAAAGTTATCGAAAAGATCGAATCGAAGTTCGAATCCATTTGGTCTTTTTTCTTGATGGAACGTTTTCACAACATCGTATCGATCACAAAATGGATTATTTGATTTGCCGCGAGAAAGCATTTTTGACTTTCCTTTTCTCAAAATCGTGTCTAATTATATTTTCCGTCGGGTTTTGATCAAATCTCTGAAAATGACCTGTATTTGTTAATGGAATGTATAGACATAAAAGCTGAAAAAAAAAACCAAAAAGCCTTGACATCAATTTTAACCGAATCCAAGAACTTTTCAACTTTTTGGATCCATTTTTGACAGTTTCAAGGAGTCTAGAACTAAACGGATACTCAAGGTCCGTCTCAAAGTGACTTGAAGATCATTTTCCTGTTTCAATTGTCTTCTCAAACAGTTTCTCACAGTTTCAAGGCACTGATAACGCAACTTTCTTCGAAATGGATCATTTTTATCCTGGTTAGCACTTGATTCGCTCGTAAGGAGATCGACACGGATTCCCCAAACAAAAGCGTTTTTCGAATTGGGTTAAGCGGTGGTAGGTCAAACTAGGACAGATAGGCGGAATCGGTGGTGGTCGTGTGAGATTCTTCGCTAGAGGCCGAGACCCTCTCCAAAAAGGTTCGGCCTTCAATTCGAGAAGTGGCTGGAGGGGCGCCTCGTTCTTTTGATAACACTATTGATTCTGAGGCACCAGGTTTTTTGAACTACTTCTCTCTTTTTTTTCTGCCCCATCGCACCGACCGCTGGTTCGTTCTCTAAACTTCTCTCTTTCACAGTGAACATTTGGTTTTTTGTCTTTTTCCTTCGATTTTGCATAACCAAACTGGAAAAGTGAAGTTTTTAGATGGACTGTCTGGTTCATGATCCCGACTTGCCGTCTTGTGCAACCGAACCGACGGAAACTTTTCCTGGAAGCTTGGATTTGAACAAATCTTCGCCAAATGATGTCCTTTGGGCGGTAAGATTTAGAAAAAATTATTTTTTTAAGGTCGATCTGAGAGAATCCTCGTATGGCTTCTTACAAGTAAAGTATGTTTGAAAGTGAAAAAAGATCTTCTGCGATTTTTTTCTGTTGCAAGTTAATATTGATTGCAGTTTGAATTATTCTGAAATAATAAATTTTTAAAAGCGCACAGTGTTCGAATGACTAAAATCCTTCATTCATCAATATTTTTTCCAGTTCATGAGAGCCAGCGGAGCGTTTTTCACGAATCAAATTCAAACCCCCGTTAAGGTTAGTGCCGCGTTTTTTGAGAATGCTAAAAGATTTATTTTAGGCAACGCCCAAGCCAAAAGAGTCGTTCTCGCCTACAAAATGTAATTTCCATATTTTGAACTTTTCAATCGGCCTTTTTTAGGTTCCGAAGGTGCTGAGGACGTGTTTGAAGATGAAGTTCTCGCTAATGAATTGTTAGAAATTTCGGTGAGTGTTTTTTGGATTTTGGATAGCATTCTCCACGTAGATCGTGAATTGAAAAACAGAAAATTTCACCAACATTCACAAATAAAATTATTTGAAATGTGGTTATGGGATTTCGAAAATAATCTCAACCAGAAGATGATTTGCCTGTTCCAGAAAGCCACCGCGGCCAGAACAGTGAGCAAGAAAATCCCTCGGCTAGGCTCCCCAGTCAAAGGTTTTTCTTAATCTTCGATGTCATTCAAAAGAAGAAAAATAACTCTTTTTAGTCTCAAACTTAGCTCGAATGTTCACTGCCAGAACTGAGGAGCTTAGAATGCCCATCGAATGCGTTTGTCATTGTTGTTTCGGAAAAATGGTCGCCGGCCATCGTACTGTTCTGTACAAAGGCAGCTCGAGGTCTTATCCTTGCTATAGGTTGGTTGAGAAGCTTTTTTGTTGGGTAAGAGGTATTCCATTCATGCTCTGGAGGATTTTGGAAAGTTTTTTGTTGAACAGAGGTTTTTGAAGGCTTCATATATGTCAAGAAGTGTAAAAACTAGAATTTTATATCATTATCTCCCGATAAACAATTTGTCTCATAATTTTGAAGACTCAAGACAGAAAACGGAAAAGAAGAAATTCAAGGATTTTCTATAAAAAAAGTACTTTCTGGTGACTTTTTAATTGCATAGAATCCAGGTTCTTATAAAGTAATCCATTAGATATTAAAAATTTCAAGGCCTTAAAAAATTATCGTCGAAAAACTGGATCTAACTTTCTGAATTTCCATTAGACGCTCTGAAATTCGTAAAAGAAGTTTCGAGAGAATTTTTCAAATAGATCCCTGTTCCAGATGCACCAGAAAAGGCTGCCAGACCTTCGCGTCAATGACACAGCTGCATAAAAAACTCGTGGTAGCAAGATCCGGAAATCTGAGGAAAAGAAGATTTTCCCGAAGTCCGACTCCACAAGAAGAAATCGAAATCAAACCGATCCTTCCAATCATGGCGGAAGCCTCCGATGCAACTTCGTTCAGTACTACTTCACTGCAGCTGAACATACCTGAGTCGCCTCCAAAAATGGAGCCGGGCGTGTCGAAGTCGTACCCGAACTTGAGCGCTCTTCTGGGAAGTGCTCCTCCAGCTCCGAAAAACTTCAGAGACAACTTCGCCCCTGTGGACTCGAGGACTCCTCCGACGCAGCATCTTCTGATGATCGCCAATAAATATCAAGGTTTTTGAGATGAACCTTCCAAAGACTGTTGGTAGAAAGTGAAGAAGTTCCATAATTGGAAATGGAAGACTGGTAGACAAAAAACTGATCAGCTCAATCCAAAAGGCTTGGAACTTCTATAGTCCATCCACCGAATTTTTTTTTAGCTTTAGAAAAGTCAGGTCAACGATTTTTCGGCTTGGAATGATTGCTTGCTTTTTTTGTGCATCTGAAACCCTAAAAAAATTAATAAACTTGAATTATAATTGCAAAAACCAGCGCTATCAAATTATATTAACTTTCCAGCACCCCCTCCTGAACCAAGCATCTATGGACCTCTTTGGGAACAAATCCTGAAGATCCTGCAAGCTGGCCAAAAATAATCAAAGTGGCTGATTTTAGAAAAAATATTCATTTTCCTTAGTTTGTGTTGATTTTTTTGTTTTTGATCTCTGTTTTCGGTGTTTTTCTGGACATGTTTCGATACGGTGTCGTTTACCTGTTAAATTTTGTTATTTCCTTGTTTTTTTATGAATTTTTTTCTTTGTGTTCAATAAAAAAAGAAAAAGTCGGAAAAACGGATGATTTAGGACAAGTCACTTAACCTACCGAGGCGTTGGCAATAATCCCTTTGGAAGGTGCAATTTGCGCCGTTCGCGCAACTTAATTGTTGTATTCATCGTTTTGTTGCTCAAAACTCTTATTAACGCTTACGTAACCTGCTAGTTGAACACCTTGGCTCATTTTTCATTGTTCGTCAACTTCAAAATAAGAAAATTGTGAGAAAAAAACTCAGTGGAGCAAAAAATCAAAATTTTCAAAACTGACCTTGCACGGAAGAATCAAGTGAAAACTGACTTTTTTGAATTATTTTTAGTTCACATTACTGATTCAGCTTTTTTAGAGGTCTTGTTATACGTTGGAATCGCAGCCCTCTCTATAGCCTATTCCGCGGCAGCTTGTCACGTTTTTCTTTCCGCCAAAAAGACCGTATACCAAATTAGATCAAATTTCGGCTTTTATAACGGCAAGAAACCAAGGTCTTGAAGCGAAGTTGGTCAAATTTGACTTGGACTTTTGGCGGAAAGAAAAACCTGACAAGCTGGCGTGGAATGGCCTATAAAATCCAAGTATCATAAAACCCTCCATCCATTAAATCCCAAAAATCCATAACTTATCCGTTATTTGTCCACTCATGGCTCCATAGGTCATTATTACCTGATGATACTCAGAGTAAAGTCAAGTTCAAGAAGTACTCCAACAGATGATATTTGCAGAAAAAATGGCTCACCTTGCCTCCAGCAAAGCAAACTTGTGGATGAACCATGTATGGAGAATCTTTACTTATTGTACTCATTTGTTTGCTCAGCTCCATGTTTGACTCTTTTCAATGAAGAAGAGTACTAGAAATATTGACAGCAAGAATTGGTGAACAGATCTCTGAAAGCAGCACAATAAGAAAAGAGCAATATTTTGAATTGATGGCTTTTTCGGATTTTCAAGGGCTGATGTAGAGATTTTCAAATGACTTTCGCATCTTCTACTTTAATAAAAAATTCGAGAGTGAAAAATTAAATACAAAGATTATTCAGAAATTCAGAAAAGCAACTGTGAAGACCAGTTCTCAAAGTAAAAAAATAGAAATATTATCACGCAATTTCGAAAGTTTCAAATTTTTCAAACCTGTTCAAAAAAGCTCAAAAATAATTTTTCAAGTTCTCTTGAAAATTCGAACTATATTGGATAGCATAAGATATTGATAAAAAAAAAAACTTGGAAAGATTCAAAATTTTTTTTCAAGTATTGGATGATCAGAAAATTTCGCTCTATCCACGTCTTGGACTGAAAATTCAACTTTGAACTTTCAAAAATATTCCCATGTTTAAAGTAAGAAGCCACATCAAACGCCCAACTCGGTTGACTAGACACCGACGGCTGCCAACTACCGTAATCCCCAGGATCCCTCCACACAAGAAATAAAGACCTAATGATGACGCAACCTCGGGAACACGCCGATGCGCGCAAAACATCTCGGAACGCCGGTTTTCTCGTCCTCGCCACAGCTCGACTTCGACTCGACCAGGACAAGGTGATTTGTCACCAGCCTCCCTTCGGTGTTCTGTTTTCGGCACGGACTAATTCTCTCCCACATTCATCATTTTCCCACTTTCATCGTGTTCCAATCGGTTCTTCGGCGGAAATTGGCAAAAAAAACGTTGCAGAAATTTTGAAATTCAGATTTAAAAAACCATTGAATCAAATGAGGTTTTAAAAAAGAAAGTTCATCTTGAAGAATAAGTTTATCAACGCCTTGGATGTATAGTACCAGCAGATAAGTCACGTATAAAACGGATATTTGGTCTTGTAAGGAATTCAATCTTCCTGAAATTTCTTGGAGTTCTGATGATTGTTATTTTTAACACTCTGGAAGAATTTTAGATCAGAGAAAAAGACGCAGAAAGATTCAACTACCTACAGGAAGGTTGCGACCGAAACACTGTTATTTTTGTCTATTTTCGGACGCTGCTACATATAAAAAAAGGTCTTCACAAAATCAACTCACCAGCATTTCTGAATGAAAAGTCCACTAATCATCACCTTTTGACCAATAATGGAATGAAAATCACTGTTTGGAAACCAAAAAAAACTGTTTTATTTCATCTTTTTGAGCCATAAGCAGCCTAGTCTGGATTCAAAAAAAACACCAAAGTTTAAAAAATTGACTCCCAGGAACTGTTAATGAATGAAACATAATTTTTTTAATAAAGGTTAAATCTGCGCTTTAACTTTGAAGTTTGCTCACTGTTGGCTCTAGGAAAAGTTTAGAAAATTATTTTGTGGGCTTCAGAAAGGTTTTTGTCTTGACTTTCAAAAAATCACACAAAAAAATCTCGCGGTCCATTCCATCTTTTAGGCGTTTTAGAACAAACCATATCATAATATCAAAAAATATTGGGTGAATGATTAGAAAAAATTGGAACTTAACGAAAAAAAAACATACTTCGAAGAAACTTTTGTCAAGATCACCGCATTCCTTGACACTTTCTCAATGCTAAACATATTTCCATCATATTTCAATCCCTGAACCGAACAGAAAATCGAAAAAAACAAGATAAAACAGAAAGGTGAGAAAATAATCAAAAGGCGAAGTGGCATTTTGATGGATCATCGGAAGAGACGTCGGCACGCAACGTTTCTGCCGCGCAAGGCCACGAAACTCGAAACACGTCGCCTGTTTACACAATGCGACAGTAGCGCTCCAAGGCAGTGATAACGTTTTCTTTGAGATACGGTCAGTAGGATTTTCGAGAAGATATTGTCGATAAAAAAAAAAATGAGAACTTCAACTTTTCGAAATAAAAAAATGAAGTAGCTGTTCGATCATAGGCAAAGTCGGAAAGGGTGGAATAGGCTCTGTAGAAATCCTTTTAGGGCGACAAAGGCTCTTTTTTGCTGCCTCTTTGCGCATTATTAACGGCTCTTATGTACCAATTTTCCTTCTTCCACCATTTTTTGAGCCTTTAAAATCTCAGAAAAAAGGCTCGATAAAGGGACTCTTTTTGATGCCTTTCTCCGGCATTTTTTCAGCCTCTCCCTTTTAGCCGCCATACCGACTTTGCCCGAGATGAAAACCGTCGATATCATTCAATGTTTCGGAAGAAAGCTCAAAGATCGGAAAACTTTAAAAATCGCCTTTTTTTCAAATCTTCCAGGTCGCTAGACTTTGAAGAAGTATATGAAAATTCAGATAGCACCTAACAATTAAAAAAAATCAGATCCCCTGAAAAGCTCAAAAGTTCGAAAAAACCAAAAATGAGAGGAATTTGGATGAATGGACTTTTTTTTTATTGGAAAACGCAACACACTAGAAATTGCTTTTTGAAGCTTTTTCACATCCATCCTGCTGCCAATTTTCTGGAAAAAGTGAAACCTGTCATTAAAATTGAGAATATTTTTTTGAATTTCCATCGAATTTTTTTCATTCAACACTTTCAAAAAAACCTCGAAATTATTTTTTTTCTGCTTGAGCTTCAACGGATTCTCAAAGACCGCCTCCGTTATCCTTGTTCAAAAATCTAACAGTTGCGTTTAATTTTATTCAACAGTTCTTGAGAAATTGTCAATCTTGGTGATAACTTCAGTTAAAAATGTAAGATTATTGATAAAATCAGGCAAAGAGCTAAATTAACTTATTTTCCAAATGTAGTCCAATTAAAGACAAATATATCTAGCCCCTGCAGAACTTTTTTCCTAAGGAGTCCTCGTAAGAGAAGATTGAACCTCCGTTATCATCAAATAAATCTCCAAGCCCTTACCTTTGGAGTCAGTCATATTAATAACAGTAATGGCGGCTGTAGGTGTCGAGAAACATCCATAATCAGGCGTGTGCGGGAGATCTGACTAAGATAACGCTTAATGAAGGCGTTGCTGGCAGAGCTGGATCCTCGAAGGCGATTATGAGCGTTTGTGATGATTAATGTCAACGGCGATACCCGGCTGATAGAAGGCGTCAGTGGCCTCCGACGTCTTCTACCTGACACCACGTCTTCTTGTTACTTCCTGTGTTGATTAAAAGTTTACTGCTGTTTTTAGTTTTTTTTTATTAGTCATAACTTTCCTTTTATTGAGTTCCTCATAAGAGTTTAGTTCCTAAAATAATTAGTTCCTCGAAAAAACTGTAAATGACAGTTTCAGCTTGTGGACTCTTACTTTTTGCCATAAACAAGATGATTTTGATTTCAGATCTTTTTTTAAACTTTTTTTCATGAAACAGTAAGTTAACCTTCACTAATATTTGTCCATCTAGGCTCCAAAAAAATTATTTTTTTCGTAACTTTTTTTGCCGATAGCTGGTCGTGAACTTTGCTTCAAGATTTTTTTCTGTCCTGAGTTTTTTTAAGACTTTTACTCAGTTTTTTTCGAATTCGGCTATAAAAAAACCTGATTTTCAAAAAAATTATAGTGATTTCGAAAAAAATCTCCTTGAAAGTTTCGAAAAAAATGTCTTATCATAATGAGCTCTAGTGAAGAAAAAAACGACAGTTTTTTTCGACAGATGAAGTCCTTGAAATTTTTTTCCCAGGAGAAGTATCCTTCTGGAAAGAATATAACTTTAATTTTCATAAGATAATGAACCGCTCGACAAAAATCCCAAGCTTTTTCCGTCCAGTTTCGAGTATCTTACAGGCTCAGAAACAATTTTGCAATAACTTCGAAAAAACCAGCTTTTTTTATGGATTATTCTTCTTTGATTCCGGACCTCAAATCGTGACAGTGATGTGTCAGTAAGTAGCTTCTGATCTAGACCACGCCTTCGCCGCCGGCGGCCAATGAGAGGCTGCGCACGCCGATGAACCCATCGAGGCCGAGGTGCGAAATCAAAACGAGTGGGCGGAGTCGTCGGGGGAAGAATTCTCCGGTAGCCTCCTCTCCAAGTAAAGACAGGAGCTCCCACCCACTGCGCACTAATACGCGTATTGCTCTGGTACAAGCGATCTCCTCAAGTACCATTTTTTGAACATCCACTGTACAATCATAACGGATCCTTGCTGCAGAAAAAGTACGGTTGCCTACGATGTTCAGTGGTTACTATCCACAAAGGTTCGGCCGGGAGCAACAGCCTTCAGAATGGCAACATCAGCACTTTCGAGGTTGGTTTTTTTTTTCATCTATTGTGCTTTTTTTTCATTCCAGTCTGTTACATTTTTATTGTTGCTTTTTTTCTGAATTCGATTTTCGCCCTGGATTTTATGATTCATCTGAGAAGTGGGGGCTTTGAAATAAAGGATCATCACCTCACTATTATCTACAGTAACCTTTAATTGCCTATTTGAAAATCTGGCAATAAACGAAGTACAATTTCTCTGCATTTTTCTTTTTTTGACAGAAGTTTTCGAAATCTCAAGATTCTTTCGTAACCTGGTGACACTATTTATTTTATAAAATTGTAAATTTTTAAGAAATTCTCAAACTTCTTTGTTAAGTTCTGCTTTGAGTAATAGCCTCTTCGAAAATAATTTGGAGCACCCGGAACAATCCTTCAGCTTTACGAATCGATTTCACATTCCATGCAAGTGAAAACTTTTTTTTTCGAAAATTTGAAAAATTCCTTGCCTATATAATACCAGAACAGAAACAAATTTTTTCTCGGAACTTACTGCAAAATTTCTAAGACATTGAGTAAAAATCGTTCTGAACAAAAAATTTCCTCAATCTCGACTGTATGAACCTTTTTCCTCACTTTACTGTTTCTAAAATTTTTATACGTTCGTGTAGAAAAAAAAACCTTCTTCAGACCCCAGCATGGCGTCCTATCCCCATCCAGAATTTTACATCGAAACTCACACGACAATAAATGCTCGATGGTTCCCGCCTCAAGATTCCTTCTCAGCATACAGGTAAATATCGGTTTTTTCGTTGGGTTCGAATGCGTGAAGGCGGTCTCCTTGGGTCAAACACTATTTGAAGGACGCCTGGGTGAAAAATGTTTGTGTATTTTTCAGGCAGCCGGTTGCTTCCTCACATGCTTTCGGAGTTCCGAATACACTCTATAAACCAAACTCCGAATCACTACTCCAATGCCGATGGATTGAGGTCGTTAAAAAATGAACAAAAATCAACCTTTTGTGAAGTTTCAGAATGGAAAGGAGTGCGGCCAAGTATTCTCCGGCTGCGCAGAAATCTCAGCCCATCTCAATAATCATCACATTGGTAATACTGAATCAACAAATCACGTGTGTCTTTGGTATGAATGTGCTCGCGAAGGAAAAGCCTTCAAGGTACGTTTTTCCGGTCTCTGAAAATCAAAAAAAAAATTGACTTTCAGGCGAAGTATAAGTTAGTAAATCACATCCGAGTGCACACTGGCGAACGACCTTTTGAATGTGCCAAGTGCAGGAAACAATTTGCAAGATCCGAAAACTTGAAAATCCACATGAGGACGCATACAGGTGAGGGATTCATAATTTATAAGAATAACTGAAAAATAATTTGGTAGCGTGATTTTTCGAAACAAAAAGATAATTTTTTTGAAAAAAAGGGGAGCTCAGCTCAATGAAAAAAATTATTCATAGCAACCTATTTTAATTAAAAAGAAAGAAAAAAATTCATTTTCCGAATGGCGGGAACCATTTTGGAAAGGAAAAAAATGGTTTTTACTCTCTTGGTTTTTTTAAGAATTGATTCTGTGGGATTTATAATACTTTTTATTGACATTTCTTTTGGATTCAATTGTTTAAAAAAGGTCGAAGAAACGTATAAAAGCTTTGAGGATGTTTTGAAACACAAAAGTCATTCGCAGCAATCTAAAAATGTTTCTGAGCGTTCAGAAATCCAAAAAATAGTCATTCCTAGCTGGATTCTCGGTTTTTTCATAGTTTATCTTATTCCAATTATTGTTTGAACCTTTCCTTTCTTTAAGTTGTTTCAAGCCGTCCATAGTCATTTCCAAAAAGACCTCAAACTCCCGCTTTTCCAAGGCCCCCTGCTCATTTGTCTCCCAGCCTCAATCAAACGCCAGATTTAGGCGTGTCTGGCATGCCAATGCACAAGGTACATGACTGAATGAAATCCATATACGGTGATATTGGGATTAGGGAGACTGTGAGTATCCAATTGTATCGGTGTCAAGAGCGCCAGGTGACTTTGTAGGGGTGAGAGAGGCGACTTGAGAACGGTACGCAATCCTCTTTTCTGCCAGACGCCTTATTCTATTGCGTAATGTGATCGTTTTTCGCCTTTTCCGTCCGCTTGACCTTAAATTTTTTGTTGGTTTTTCGAAAATTTGGAGGTTCGAGGTAATTTTAAGGCGTTGGTTTTATTTAAAAGGCTAAAACTGTCTAGAAAGCAATTTTTGAGAGTTTTGTGGAATCCGACTAGGCAGAGATGGATCCTTAGCCATGTTGTTGAAAATGTGATTTTTTTGGAATGAAAAATGTTTCATTAAACTCATATAGTCCTTCAAAATTGATAAATCATCCATTTTAGATCGTGGCCAAAAATCTCTACATCAAATTTTGGCAATTTTCTATTAGTAGATTGTCAATGAACCACTCAATTCATGGAATTAAAAATGCAATCATTTTTGTGATAAGGCTAAAAAAAATCAACTTTCCAAAAATTGCAGCCGTCGGCCTTGATTCCGAAATTTCTTTTTGTATTTTCAGAAAGCTCTTTTTCAAATTCTTCTCAGCTAAGAATTCTAACATCCTTTCTCAGTTTGTTTCCTAACTGACAAGCCAACAATTCTGCTCGAACGAAAGTTGCGCAACACCTCCTACTAACCCAATCAAGGCAGTTAACCTCAAATCGGCGATTATCATAAATCCTTTTGGAAACGTGGCAGTTCACCTCTTTTGTGAGGCGACTTCTTGAGCCCATCTTGTGTGGATTTACGACAACACCGAGGTATTGTGAAGCAAATCTCGCCTCGCGCACCACAACCGCAACAATCCTTCCCTATATTCGGCTACCGTAAGCCGGATCGCGTGCGAAGACCATTCTTCTCGAAACGCAAACAGATCGGATAGATTGAGCGCTTCTGGTTGGCGACATTATCAGTGATAAATAGATTGATGATTGAAAATGTAGGAGCTGAATTTGATGAGAAATAAGCCTTGGAAAGTATTTTAACTTATTTCGTTGAAGTCACATGAAGAAAGGTTTTCCCATTTTTTGATTTTTGAAAATGCTTTGAGATTCTTCCAGGGAGACAATAACAACAGTTCGAATGAAAAAAATCGGAAAGTTCTACTCGAAAAAAAGTTTTGGAGTTCACAGTTCAATCGGTTTTCCTAAAACTCCCAACTTTTGTTGAGTGAATAACTGATCTTGCTGTTTCACTGGATTTCTTTATAACGGTCCTACATTTTCAACTGACTCTAGGTCTTTTTTCGGATACTTTGTTCATTTACTTCCACCAGAACCTTTTAACATTCTCTACCCATTTTTTTCAAAAATAATAAATAGTTGTTTTGTTTCAAACTTAAAAAGTAGACTATGGCCACCAATACATTTCGGGAATCAAAATTGAGGTTTTGCGCCACATTTACCGCTCTGGAAAAAGAATTTGTGCGCAGCTGGCTTCGCAACAAACCCATCATTCTCACCATTACTTTTTTGCCATCACTCTCGCCGACAAAAAGAGCGACGACAAATAAGTGTGAATTTGACAGTTAACCGGGCCAAATGTCGTTCAACTGGTGAACGTGAGGCAACAAGTTGCCCAAAGAGCCGACAGGATGTGTTTTGGGTCTAATATGCATGTTTTGGCAGTAGATTAGCGGCGGCGGCGGCCTTTTTGCTCGGCCAACGACGCTACCTCCGGGACACTTATGGTCAGCCCCTTACGGAGTTGTTGCGCAAGCTGGCTTGCGCATCCTTGTTTTCGGTTGCCTTTTCCAACTGAGCAAATGAGAATTCCGATAGAGATCTGTCTTGACGTCATAAAAGTCAGCTTTAAAAAAAAAAAGCTTTTTTTCATCATAGTTGTCTTGTATGGAGTTCACTCGTTCTAGAACTCTCTGGAGTTGCAATTTTTATTTATATTCCTCCGGATTTCAGCCTGCAGAAAAAAAAGCAGCTTCAGAGAGTTTTTGAAGACCATAAAATGAAGCTGTGATTAAAAAAAACTCCCTTCGTTTTTTTTTTCTGACTGTGAACCGAGCCATATTTCTTTCAGATCTCTGAAGTTTCAAAAAAAATAGATCCTATCAGAAAAAGTCTCAAGAAATGCATAGTCAAATATGAATATAGCCATTTTCTGCATTTTCTTCATTTCTCTGTTTCAACTCAATTCAAAAAATCTAGTCTCCGGAAGAACCGATGAAATATCGGAAGAGCCATGTGATATCCGCAATGACAACCCAAATTCAAAACGTCGACCGTTCATCGCAATTTAACATTTGCAAACATCTGCACTTGTTTGATGGAGAACTGGGATTTGCATCGACGGAAAAATCTCATCTGCTTGGTCTAACCTCGTTTTTCAAGCCATTCCCTTTTTGAAACGTGTGCCGACCGTCGCGATTTTGGCCATAAATGAGCTGGTGATAAATGTGGGGGTTGGTTTGCAACGAGGGCGGCCGACGACCGGATCTTACTAACTAAATGCACTAGCAGGTGTGTAAGAAATCATGGATTTTTATGAGGAATTGTACCGTAATGCTTTTTCAAGCTCTTGACGAGCAGATGCTCGATCCAGTGCTTACTTGTGTCTACTTGGCTTTTCCCAGAGGCATGCACCCAACTGCGGCCAGGTGCCCGAGCTTGCCACAGGCGCGTTTTTAAGTATAGACTTGGAATGGACTTGCTTCTTTGGTTAATATAGCTTTATTAGGTGGAAAGTAATTGAAACAAGCAGATAAGTGAGGTCAGCTTGGTTTCAAGGCGTTTTAGTCCTTATTAAAATCGGCCACGTGCTTGTATTTGCCACAGGCTCGCCTTTGAGAGAAGAAATAATTGCTTTTTTGGACTTTTTTAACTTAATGATGCTTGAATATGACGGAAATCGCTACAAGTGTTTCTTCAGGTGGGATTGCGAACTATAAAATCAAGAGTATTGAGATAAAACAAGAGAAAGAGTAAACCAGAAGTTTTAGAACTCACCTTTTTCTATAAAAAAATTTTTTTGACTGAATTTTTTTCAAAAAAATTCAGAAAGATAAGAAAGGAATTCCTAAAACATTATGAAGGAACATTTCCAGGTGAAAAACCCTTCAACTGTCCTCACGCCGGCTGCGACAAAGTTTTCGCCAATTCTTCTGATCGGAAAAAGCACATGCACGTCCATTCTTCCGACAAACCTTACCGTTGCAGAGTGAGTCATTATTTCGAAAAGTTCTTCTTGTAAAACAGAAAAATATGAAAAAACCGTTTCAAAAAAGTTTCAAGCCACCAATTTCCTATTAGAGGGTCGCTGAATATTTTTAATGCTGAAATTCCATATTTTTCCTTTTTTTTCAGTACCGAAACTGCGGCAAACACTACACGCATCCGAGTTCTCTGAGAAAACACATAAAGGTAAGTGGAGAATCCCAAGCGGACCAACTTTTTCTTTATCTGCTTGCTTGGGCCAGACAACCTGCCATATGATTTTGGGGATTAGGCTCACCAAATCGCTATGTTCATCTCGATTGTCGATCTTCGGATGATGATATTAACTAATTGGGATGCGACGGTTGACTTCCCGATTTGTATGGGCATAGTCAGCGGGGATTTTAGGGATTTTTATTCGAAAACTTGGAACTTGATCACAGGAGTATGAAGACCTTGAGGAAACCAACAGTGGTTTGAGACGAATTTCAGACACTTTCGATTAATTTTTGAGTGATTTTGTAAGTTTTTGAAGAATTCTACGGCACTTTTATTGAAACGCAGCCAAAAAATCTCCATTAGCTCTTTTTGGATTTTCCAGATTCCAAGTTTCTAACTAAACAGCTGACCTTTTTTCAGTAGTACCAACAAATTTTGACTTTTTTCTCACAGAAGAAGTATTTTTTCCCTTTTAAGGAAATCTTAGGCATTTTAACAGCTGAAACTCAGAGTTTCTTGATTTGATATTGTTTCCACCACCTCCCGTTTTTTTTATTCCATTCCATTTTTTCCCAGAGAATTAGCAACATTTCATGCCGTTTCTTGTTTTTCATTTATTGGTTACGGTAGCGACCAAAGAAGGTGGGTAAGCGTGCGAGACACCTCAACTGGTTTTTTGTTCCTCTTCTTCAGCTCGATGTTTCGTTTCGGACCGCATAATGTCGGTGAATTTGCATTGAAAACATTAGAAGGCAAAAGGAGACCTGTAGCCTCCCCCGTAAAATGGGTTTGGAGATTTGTTCGTCGCCAAGATTTTGAACATATTAGGACGGCACGCAAAGCCGATTTGCGTCCTTATTGAATGATCTTTGGCGCAAAACTGGATGTTATTGTTTTTACTGTTTCATTGGAGATGTATAAACTGGAAAAGGATCTAGAAAATGGCTTAATTTTTTTTTTACCCAAAATATGAATAGGTATCTTTTTCTCAAGAAATATTGTGATCTGAAAACTTGGCTTGCAGCAAATTACTAAGGTTAATAGGCTCAATTCAGAAAAGTCCTTTTCCAAGGTAATTTCGGGAAAGGCGTTTTAGGTCGGGTTAGCTTTGAACTAACCGCTACGCAGCCGTTGCTCGTTAAGCCACTCCACCTGCGGACTAGGCTTTTGAGATGAAGCGCGAGAAACCAGATCTTCTGGAGATGCTCTTTGACCTCTATGAGATTGGACCGTTCAATCATGGGGTTCTGAAAATTAGCCTAATTAACTGAGCTTCGTTGTTTTTTTATTTTCGATTAGGGTCAGCTAATTTTTTTTTCCAAATTCTCAGTCTACAAGCCCTCATCAAGCCTAACTAACTGACTTTCAGTCTTTCAAAACTAACAATTCATGTTTAAGGCCCACGAGAAGAACTGTACGACACCCGACTTAGATGAAAGCTGTGACTCTGGAAACGCTTCCGTTGGAACTCCAGAGAACAATTTTGCGATTAAAACCGAGAATGAGGTTTGAAATTTGTAAAACAAACCTTGAAGACGCCCTCTTCCTTCAGATGACTTCAACGCATCTCTCTTCGACCCAATTCATGCCAATGTGCTCAACGTCGCCTCAGAATCCTGAAATACCTGTCTATACGTCTGCTCATTACGGTTTGCCTGCCTCAATGTTCTGCTCACCTGAATTCATACCTGCCTTTCACTAATATTTATCTCAAGGCTTTCTGAAAGTTCACTTACAGTAGCTTTCAAAAAAATGATCTCAGTTTTTTTGAAAAATTTTGATGAATTCGAAATTTCTTTTTGTTACGCGACTATATTTGAACTTTCAAAAATACTAACTGTAATATATGTTTCTTTTTTTATCCTTGTTATTCTCAAGTTATACTTTTTGAAATATTTTTTCTCTCAATAGTTCAATCAAAGGGGTTTTAAAGGCGCAACGGGCATTTTTATGGAAAACGAGATATTTAAAGCCCAACATCAGTTCTACTAGGATATTTTCAAAATCTTTAGTAGTACCTAGAGAGACTCATAATATCTTTTAGAAGCCTAAAATCATCCTAGAAGGATTCTTATTTTTTGCAATTTTTTAGGGTTCTTTGAAGTTATCAAAAAGCGTTTTAAAAACTTGATTAAGGCTCAACAGATGTTTTTAAGCCAGGTTTATAGCTGAAGAGTTTCTGAAATTTCTGTCACATTTCTCAAGCTTTTTTTCCCTTTCAATAGTCAAAACTCCTATGAATGGACTATATCCAGCCAACCTGCAATTGTTTCTGTTTCTGTGGCTGTAAGCCAAAACTGCTGAAAAATCTCGCGGCGCCATTGCATCAATGGCTGGTGTGCTGTTTCCGGGTCCTTGTGTTACGCGGCCGAAACCGCTCGTTTCCCATTGTAGGTGCTAAATTGCCTTTGTAAGCTGGTGGAGAGCAACTCCTCGTCCCCCAAAAATTGCAATGCCTTTCCTGAATTTTGCCTCAATATTCTCAGCTCGGTCAATTTTTTTCTCACCATTGTTAGAGGGATTGAAAATGTCCGAGTTGAGAGAATCTTCTTCGGGTTGATGCATTCTGAATTGCTCATCCATAATTTCTATATCGCATGACTTGTATTTTTCCTACTTATTTTGTGTCATTCCGATGATTTGATCTTGTATGTATAAATAAAGATTTTTTAAAATGACTGGCATATTTGAAAACATTGGGAATGAAGAAAATTTGGTTTTTTTCTGCAATGAAAGGCCGGTGAAAAAAAATAAACCAAAATGTAATTCAAGAAGATGATAAACCGGTTTCAAAGATCCCTATTCAACATGCATCTTCTGCAAAAAAATTCAAAAAGACTCGATTATCAAATAAAAAAATTAATTTTTTTAAATTTTGTTTTTTTACTTTTTTTAAAAAAACCCAATACCGGAAGGATAACAACTAAAAACAAAGGGGGTGACAGGCTTACGGACATCAATATTTGCCGACCAATTGAGGTTCTGGTGCGTCTTTGTTGCGCATCCAGACGCTGCTGTGACGTCGCCGGCAAACAAGAAGAAGTTGCGTTTTTTTCCTGCAACAAGTCATTAAATGTGTCTAGACGGCTTTTTTTGAGTATTTTGAGGTTTGAGTTATATAAAAGCTAGAATTCTTGAGTTTTTTATATTTTTCTGATTTTTGGTTATGTAGACCGTTTTAAAATCCGGTATGATCGAGAAAAATCCTTTTAAGACCGTAGCTTTTTATTACGGCATCTTGAAATATATGAAAATTTCCTCAGTACAAGAATTATTAACCTTTTAACACTCACGTGTCTCTTTGTTTTTGACAGTTCCTTTTGTTTGGCCACTCAATCTGAGGTGCGATCGAGCGTGATGAGGTGTCAGGAGCACTTCCGCACATGTGCAGCAACTTTTTTTGACCTTAAAACCAAAGGATAGGGGATTTGGAAACTAGGGGAGTCTTTGAAGCTAGATGAAATAAGATTAAAACAGTTTTCGAAACGGGGAAATGAAGTAGTGGTTACTTGGAAAACTATTATTCTTCTGAAAAAGCTGAGAGATTTCTCATCATCTGTGTGAAAGACTTTGGATTGGAAAAAGTAAGGAATCTCACTTCACTGTTTCAAAATTCCAAGAAGGTGTTCCTAAGCATGATTTTTTGTCACCTTCATTGGTTGTCTTCATTATTGGAAAAGTTCGGACAAAAAATAAATACGTGGAACTTCCATCCGATCTACTTATTGGCAACTTGTCTTTACCGCCAAGAATTATTTCAAATTGAGCTATGGACAAGTTCAAATCGGGAATTTTATTCTCATTTTCAATTTGCTCTCAAACCAATCTTTGTTCAAAAACCACTTCCGCTAACCTTTTTTCACACTTTTGACAAGTTCCTCAGCGTCCTGACCCGATTGACCCAAACAACAAGCCTGAGCACCGCCGGACATCCGATAAAAAGGTGCTAAAAAGAAGGAAAAGTGCAAGAACGTGCGCGAAAAGTTGCTTGTGTGAATTGATGACAATCGCGCGCCGGCACGCGCCACATGAAAGGAGTCGCCGACGACATGATTACTTACAGTTTTGGCCAGAGCGCTCAATCTTGTGTGGGGCCTGCAATCGGATGTGTTGAGGTTCCAAGATTCAAAGGAAATCGCTTTTTTGAAAGGATATGGTCAGGGATTTTGATATTGGAAGTCGGTCTAGTGGCAATTGTCTAAAAATTGAATTTTTTTTTTAAACGGGGCCTTACTTTTTTAGGGGCTCAGAGGTTGCAAATGGGCGTGTTGATGTTCCAAGATTTAAAGGAAATTGCTTTTTGGACAGGACCTGAACGAGGATTTCTATATTCAAATTCGATCTTGTGGTTAATGTGAAAAAGTGAATTTTTTATTTCAAACCAATTCTCACTTTGGGAGAGGCTGAAGTCCTGAAGTCATGTCTGTTGAGGCTTCATGATTCGAAAAAGATCGCTTTCTTGCAAGATCCGATCAAATCATATTTCGTCTTCCAATCAACGTTGAACCTTGTGTGCGGCCTGATGTATTGAAGTTCAAATATTAAAACATTCGTTTTCGAAAGGGTCTGGTCAATGATTAGAAGCCCAACTTTAATCAAAAAATGATCTAGTGGCTACGATTTTTTTTTCAAAATGATCCTAACCTTTTCAAGAGCTGGTTGCCTGCAATTGGACGTGTTGAGGTTCAATGACTTGAAGTATACTGCTTGGGATCTGATCAAGGATTGGAAAAGAAACTGTGATTGAACATTTGTTCCAGTAGTTGATGTCTAAGATTCAATCTTCCAAACGAACTTACCTTGAGAGAGACTGAAGCCTGCATTCTGGAGTGTTGAAGTTCTTATGTTTCGAAGGAAGTTGCTTGGAGTCAGGGATTGGAAGCGAGACGTTGCTTAACAATGAATCTATGGATTATTTTCTTGGAATCGAATTTTTTTCAAACGAATCCTTACTTTTTAAGGGCTGGTTGCCTGCAATCGGACGGGTTGAAGTTCAATCAATTGATGTATATCGCTTGGAATCTTATGAGGGATTGAAAGTGAGACTTTGATCTAAAATATGATCTAGTGGTTGATGCTTCAAAATTATATTCTTTGAAAGAAAGTTCGAACTTTTGAGAGCCAGTATTTGTAGGAAACAAGGATACTGAAATGAAAAGTGGAGAAGGAATAAACCAGAACCAAGGATCCGCGCCTATTTCTCCGGTGCTCTTCCCGGAGTCTGTCGGCCGGTAATTTATCAGATAACAGTTGTCTACCTCCTGATATTTTCGTTGGAATGCAAACCGGGCAAGTGTTCAATGACGATATTGTAACAGTTGGAGTGCATTTTCAGGAAAAAAAGTAGGAAATGTTTACTCGGATGACCTTTGAACACTTCTGGGAGTATACTTTTGGAAATAAAGAGTTTCAAGGTCCACCATTCAATACTCAGAAGGAGAATAAGTCCCAAAATTTCGCTAAGCCTTGATCGAAAAGTACTTCAGAGCAATCTAATCCTACCAAAAATTTTATGGATTTCTGATTTTTTCAAAGAGTAATAGTCAACAATCGATTTATATATTATAAAATCCACCAGTAGATAAAAAAACAATTTGCAAGTCCATGCACCTTTTCCAAAAGTTTTCCATAAGTACAGCTAACGAAAATTCGGAGTATTTTTTTTATTTTTTTATTCTTTTTTTCTTCATTTTCCGAGCCGTTTTTGACTTCATTTTCAAACCCCTCAAAAAAAGTTCAACTTAGTTTCAACCTCTCCTTTTTTGGTTTGATTTTTTTTCAGTTTCCTCCATATCTCTGTTGATTTATAACAAAAGCCTCAGAGGATACCAAAAAACAGAAGACTTATAGTTTCGAAGCGAAAAAACGAGTTTTTCCCCACCTTTGGGCACTGGGTAAAGCCCTCCAGTGCATTTCCATCAATCCGATAGAAAAAAGTGGATGATGGAAAGCCAAGGAACGAGAATCCTCGATTTTTTTCTTCCCTGGTGGCCTTTCGGGCGTCAGCTTTTTTCTTCCTTGGTGGTCTTCCAGGAGCAACTGCGATCAATCAGACAGCAGCTTTTGGAACCAAGTTCTTTTTTCTGGGCGATTTATAAATATAAAATTGTAGCAGTGAAAGGTCCCACATCATAATTTAAGCAAGAATGGTTTATTCGCAAGTGCAATTTTTCATGGAAATCGAAATATTTTTGGCTAAAGTTTGAACTTTTTGTTTTTTTATTCGAATTTTAGTTTCTTCAGTCTCTGAAAAAGTCTTTCCGAAAGCTTTGAAGCTGAAAAAAAGTTTACAAGTACCTTTCGAGGACATCAATTAACGAACTTGGTTTAAAGAAACTTGGAAAAAATCTTGGAAGCCAAGAATTTGGGAGAAAATGTACAAATTTGTGAAAATCTGCTTTCTTGTTTTGTTGTGTAGAATAAATTTCAAACTCTCAAGTTTATTTATGCTATGAACATTTACATATTTATGTTAAACCCCTGATATTCTTTATTTCAAACTTCTCTCTGCTCATTTTCTTCCAAATCTCTGCCGGTAAAAAAAGTCTCCAGAGGAAACTGAAAAAAAGGATAATTTATTGCTGGCATCACTTGTGTTTCTTGGTAAAGCCCGTCGGCGCGCTGGAACATCAATCAGATAGCAACTGGCCGCCTCGAGCCGTTTTTTGTTGGAACGCAGACTGAGCAATTGTTCAGTGATGTAATCTTAGCAGTTTGCAGAAAAAAAAGATTCAACCATCCTTTAATGTAGTTTTGAAGCTTTGAAAATTTTACGATTTGAAAGGAAAACTGACAATATTGCAGAACTTCATCAAAACGTTGGTTGCCAGAAAAATGAAGGAAAATATTTTTATGATATATTTCTAGTTTTTTTTTCAATCGAAATTTGAATAGTTTCAAAAAAAACATCACTTTGATTTTATCAACTATAAATCAGCTTTTGAAAAAATGGGCGCAATGGTCTTGACTTTTTTTGAAACCTATGCACTACTTCCCCATAATTTTCCTACATTCCTTAACCTTTTTTTCTTTACAAAAATTTTTTTATTTTTTTCCCAGGTCTTTGCCGTTTTGTAACAAAGGCGCCAGAGGATACCAAAAAAAGGTTAATTTATTGCTGGACTTTTGGTGTACTGGATCGAGCTCGCCGGGGCATTACAATCAGCCAGACAACAACTGGCCACCTCCAGATATTTTTTTGTTGGAAAGTTAAGAGAGATTGGAGTTTTTTCTTGGAAAAGAAAAGAAACAAAGAAAAGTCTTTTAGAATTGCTATTTTTAGAGTTCTAAGTCTCTATAACCTGAATTTGAGGATTGAAGCTTTGCAGACAGTTTTATGAGGTCCTCAAAATTTTCATCGTAATAAAAGCAGAAAAACGATAGAAACTCTTCAACTTCAAAAATGTTTAAAAAAAGTTGGAATTTCATAGACCCAAAAACTTTTTCCCACATTGTTCACTTCACTGTCCGCTCACATTTGTCACACTGGCAACTTTTTGGGCACGTTCCGCGCATCGTGGGAACTTCTCTCGATCGGAAAAAAAATTAATGGTTTCAGATACTTGAGTTGCGAACAGATGTTGAGGGTTCTGATTTTTTTAAAAGCAGCTGTGTTCATGTACAAAATATAAATTTGACACTTTTCTGCTCATCAATCTCGGCCTTTCCTTTCTATACTGACATCTTATGAGCAGAGATTGAGAAAAGGTGGATCGACTGAGTCCCGATTTTTTTTCAAAAGAAACCAATCATTGAAAAAAATTCTAAAAAGTTTGCGAATTTTCCGAAACCTTAATGTTTTTTATTTTTCCATTGAATATGCTTTTTTTGCAGAAAAAAAATTTTTAAAATTTCTGAACTTATTTATTATGAATTATACACATTTTTTCACTGTACGGTGTTCAACCAAGTATTGAAATGGCAATACGAGTTGGTTCCGCGCATTTAAAAGTGTCGTTGCTCCCCTGAAACCTGAATAAGATTTAGACGATCCAATAAGTGAACTCAAAAATTTTAGTGACTCTTCAAAAAACCCGTAGCTGGTTAAAAAGTTCCAAGAAAAAAACTTTCATCGATAAAACTGACGTCTTTTTCATCGCATTGCAGATGATTATTGCACAGCGGAAACATTGAGCAAGATTCTCCTTCCAATGGGGTGTAGTAACGCCAAGGTTTTTCTGAAATGGACAAATATGTGCGTCTTTAATGATTTCTTTTTGAAAAAAAGGGTGCAAAACGGAATGAGAATTACGATCAAACTATCTTTCGAAGCATAGGAATCGAGTTTTTTATTACCTTGATCGGTATTTTTTTCAGAACGCTTCAAAATATAAAACAGTGAAGATTGGGGACAAAGAAAAAGAAAGAAAAGTTACCTGGAACGACTTTGAGAGGAGCAACACAAGAATAGGAAAACCCACTCTTTTCTTCCTGAAAAAAAAAAACAGTAATCATACTGATCGGTTTAGTATAGTCTGTGGGGGGCCACGACTTGGAATATGCGCCAAACGACATTCCGCTGTGCCGCTGCGCGGGTGCTATCGGGCGCTGCTCATTTCCTAAGGCGCTGCTTATTTTAGAAGGCGCTGCTTATTTCCTAAGGCGCTGCTCATTTCCTAAGGCGCTGCTTATTTTAGAAGGCGCTGCTTATTTTAGAAGGCGCTGCTTATTTTATAAGGCGCTGCTTATTTCCTAAGGTGCTGCTTATTTTAGAAGGCGCTGCTTATTTCCTAAGGCGCTGCTTATTTTATAAGGCGCTGCTTATTTTATAAGGCGCTGCTTATTTTAGAAGGCGCTGCTTATTTCCTAAGGCGCTGCTTATTTTCTTATTTCAGAAGGCGCTGCTTATTTCCTTAGGCGCTGCTTATTTTAGAAGGCGCTGCTTATTTTATAAAGCGCTGCTTATTTTATAAGGCGCTGCTTATTTTATAAGGCGCTGGTTATTTTAGAAGGCGCTGCTTATTTTATAAGGCGCTGCTTATTTCCTAAGGCGCTGCTTATTTTACAAGGCGCTGCTTATTTTATAAGGCGCTGCTTATTTCCTAAGGCGCTGCTTATTTCCTAAGGCGCTGCTTATTTTAGAAGGCGCTGCTTATTTTATAAGGCGCTGCTTATTTCCTAAGGCGCTGCTTATTTTAGAAGGCGCTGCTTATTTTATAAGGCGCTGCTTATTTTATAAGGCGCTGCTTATTTTATAAGGCGCTGCTTATTTTAGAAGGCGCGGCTTATTTTATAAGGCGCTGCTTATTTCCTAAGGCGCTGCTTATTTTAGAAGGCGCTGCTTATTTCCTAAGGCGCTGCTTATTTTATAAGGCGCTGCTTATTTTATAAGGCGCTGCTTATTTTAGAAGGCGCTGCTTATTTCCTAAGGCGCTGCTTATTTTCTTATTTCAGAAGGCGCAGCTTATTTCCTTAGGCGCTGCTTATTTTAGAAGGCGCTGCTTATTTTATAAGGCGCTGCTTATTTTATAAGGCGCTGGTTATTTTAGAAGGCGCTGCTTATTTTATAAGGCGCTGCTTATTTCCTAAGGCGCTGCTTATTTTACAAGGCACTGCTTATTTTATAAGGCGCTGCTTATTTCCTAAGGCGCTGCTTATTTTAGAAGGCGCTGCTTATTTTATAAGGCGCTGCTTATTTCCTAAGGCGCTGCTTATTTTAGAAGGCGCTGCTTATTTTATAAGGCGCTGCTTATTTCCTAAGGTGCTGCTTATTTTAGAAGGCGCTGCTTATTTCCTAAGGCGCTGCTTATTTTAGAAGGCGCTGCTTATTTCCTAAGGCGCTGCTCATTTCCTAAGGCGCTGCTTATTTTAGAAGGCGCTGCTTATTTCCTAAGGCGCTGCTTATTTTAGAAGGCGCTGCTTATTTTATAAGGCGCTGCTTATTTCCTAAGGTGCTGCTTATTTTAGAAGGCGCTGCTTATTTCCTAAGGCGCTGCTTATTTTATAAGGCGCTGCTTATTTTATAAGGCGCTGCTTATTTTAGAAGGCGCTGCTTATTTCCTAAGGCGCTGCTTATTTTCTTATTTCAGAAGGCGCTGCTTATTTCCTTAGGCGCTGCTTATTTTAGAAGGCGCTGCTTATTTTATAAGGCGCTGCTTATTTTATAAGGCGCTGCTTATTTTATAAGGCGCTGCTTATTTCTTAAGGCGCTGCTTATTTTACAAGGCACTGCTTATTTTATAAGGCGCTGCTTATTTTATAAGGTGCTGCTTATTTTAGAAGGCGCTGCTTATTTCCTAAGGCGCTGCTTATTTTATAAGGCGCTGCTTATTTTATAAGGCGCTGCTTATTTTAGAAGGCGCTGCTTATTTCCTAAGGCGCTGCTCATTTCCTAAGGCGCTGCTTATTTTAGAAGGCGCTGCTTATTTCCTAAGGCGCTGCTTATTTTAGAAAGCGCTGCTTATTTTATAAGGCGCTGCTTATTTCCTAAGGTGCTGCTTATTTTAGAAGGCGCTGCTTATTTCCTAAGGCGCTGCTTATTTTATAAGGCGCTGCTTATTTCCTTAGGCGCTGCTTATTTTAGAAGGCGCTGCTTATTTTATAAGGCGCTGCTCATTTTATAAGGCGCTGCTTATTTTATAAGGCGCTGCTTATTTTATAAGGCGCTGCTTATTTTATAAGGCGCTGCTTATTTCTTAAGGCGCTGCTTATTTTACAAGGCACTGCTTATTTTATAAGGCGCTGCTTATTTTATAAGGCGCTGCTTATTTTAGAAGGCGCTGCTTATTTTATAAGGCGCTGCTTATTTCCTAAGGCGCTGCTTATTTTAGAAGGCGCTGCTTATTTCCTAAGGCGCTGCTTATTTTATAAGGCGCTGCTTATTTTATAAGGCGCTGCTTATTTTAGAAGGCGCTGCTTATTTCCTAAGGCGCTGCTTATTTTCTTATTTCAGAAGGCGCTGCTTATTTCCTTAGGCGCTGCTTATTTTAGAAGGCGCTGCTTATTTTATAAGGCGCTGCTTATTTTCATAAGGCGCTGCTTATTTTATAAGGCGCTGCTTATTTTATAAGGCGCTGCTTATTTCCTAAGGCGCTGCTTATTTTAGAAGGCGCTGCTTATTTTATAAGGCGCTGCTTATTTTATAAGGCGCTGCTTATTTTATAAGGCGCTGCTTATTTCCTAAGGCGCTGCTTATTTTATAAGGCGCTGCTTATTTTATAAGGCGCTGCTTATTTTATAAGGCGCTGCTTATTTTATAAGGCGCTGCTTATTTTATAAGGCGCTGCTTATTTCCTAAGGCGCTGCTTATTTTACAAGGCACTGCTTATTTTATAAGGCGCTGCTTATTTCCTAAGGCGCTGCTTATTTTAGAAGGCGCTGCTTATTTTATAAGGCGCTGCTTATTTCCTAAGGCGCTGCTTATTTTAGAAGGCGCTGCTTATTTTATAAGGCGCTGCTTATTTTATAAGGCGCTGCTTATTTTAGAAGGCGCTGCTTATTTTACAAGGCACTGCTTATTTTACAAGGCACTGCTTATTTTATAAGGCGCTGCTTATTTCCTAAGGCGCTGCTTATTTTTGAAGGCGCTGCTTATTTTATAAGGCGCTGCTTATTTCCTAAGGCGCTGCTTATTTTAGAAGGCGCTGCTTATTTTATAAGGCGCTGCTTATTTTAGAAGGCGCTGCTTATTTTATAAGGCGCTGCTTATTTCCTAAGGCGCTGCTTATTTTACAAGGCACTGCTTATTTTATAAGGCGCTGCTTATTTTAGAAGGCGCTGCTTATTTTATAAGGCGCTGCTTATTTCCTAAGGCGCTGCTTATTTTAGAAGGCGCTGCTTATTTCCTAAGGCGCTGCTTATTTTATAAGGCGCTGCTTATTTTATAAGGCGCTGCTTATTTTAGAAGGCGCTGCTTATTTCCTAAGGCGCTGCTTATTTTAGAAGGCGCTGCTTATTTTATAAGGCGCTGCTTATTTCCTAAGGCGCTGCTTATTTTAGAAGGCGCTGCTTATTTTATAAGGCGCTGCTTATTTTATAAGGCGCTGCTTATTTTAGAAGGCGCTGCTTATTTTACAAGGCACTGCTTATTTTATAAGGCGCTGCTTATTTCCTAAGGCGCTGCTTATTTTAGAAGGCGCTGCTTATTTTATAAGGCGCTGCTTATTTCCTAAGGCGCTGCTTATTTTATAAGGCGCTGCTTATTTTATAAGGCGCTGCTTATTTTATAAGGCGCTGCTTATTTTATAAGGCGCTGCTTATTTCCTAAGGCGCTGCTTATTTTCTTATTTCAGAAGGCGCTGCTTATTTCCTTAGGCGCTGCTCATTTTTAGAAGGCGCTGCTCATTTTAGAAGGCGCTGCTTATTTTATAAGGCGCTGCTTATTTTATAAGGCGCTGCTTATTTTAGAAGGCGCTGCTTATTTTATAAGGCGCTGCTTATTTTATAAGGCGCTGCTTATTTTATAAGGCGCTGCTTATTTTAGAAGGCGCTGCTTATTTCCTAAGGCGCTGCTTATTTTCTTATTTCAGAAGGCGCTGCTTATTTTCTTATTTCAGAAGGCGCTGCTTATTTCCTTAGGCGCTGCTCATTTTAGAAGGCGCTGCTTATTTTATAAGGCGCTGCTTATTTTATAAGGCACTGCTTATTTTAGAAGGCGCTGCTTATTTCCTAAGGCGCTGCTTATTTTCTTATTTCAGAAGGCGCTGCTTATTTCCTTAGGCGCTGCTCATTTTAGAAGGCGCTGCTTATTTTATAAGGCGCTGCTTATTTTATAAGGCGCTGCTTATTTTATAAGGCGCTGCTTATTTTAGAAGGCGCTGCTTATTTTATAAGGCGCTGCTTATTTCCTAAGGCGCTGCTTATTTCCTGTGGCGCTTCTTATTTTATAAGGCGCTGCTTATTTCCTAAGGCGCTGCTTATTTCCTGTGGCGCTTCTTATTTTATAAGGCGCTGCTTATTTTATAAGGCGCTGCTTATTTCCTAAGGCGCTGCTTATTTCCTGTGGCGCTTCTTATTTTATAAGGCGCTGCTTATTTCCTAAGGCGCTGCTTATTTCCTAAGGCGCTTCTTATTTTATAAGGCGCTGCTTATTTTATAAACGGAACAGCGGAATGTGGTTCAGTGAAATTCCGAGTCGTGACACAGTTTATAATTAATTCATAGTGCTTGATGATTTTTTTAGTAAATGATTGGTTTTATTATGCTAAAGAACTCCAAAAAAAAGCCAATTTTTTTTGCAATGTTTCTCAGATAAAGTTGGAGCAGAAAAAGACCTCTTCTATTTTCAAATAAAACAAATTTTTTTCAGCGAACTTCCCAAAGGAGAATGATTTCGTTTTTTTTTTCTCAAAAAATCAATTCTTTTTCAAATCTAATAAAGAAGTAAGTTCAAAAACACTCACACTGTCACACTTTAACCAGCTCGCACACCACTGATAGACCTTGCAAGATCCGTCGCCAGGCATGTTGAAGTGATAAACTATCCCCTCTGAAATGATAACTTACTTTTCAAAAAAAAATGTTATAAAAAAAGAATTCACCCCGTTTCACGTCGAAATAGGCAGAAAAAACGCTGAGCAAGAAGAAATTCAGTAGAAAAATTTTCAAGAGCATTGCAAAGTAGTATTTTCGCTCAGAAGATGCAGACGACTGTGAAAATTTAAACTTGAGGCGGACCGCGGAAATGAGATCATAAAGAGGAAATTTATGTCCTGCCACTTAAAAACCAAGGACTCCCTCTTGAAAACTTATGAAAATTGACAAGATTTGCTCGTGAAGGTAGTGAAACATAATTTCTTAAAGAAATCTCACAAGAAAAGAAAATCTTCGAATTCCAAGTTTTTGAGATTTCTGAAAAAACGAGCAAATGGTTTCTCCAGATTTTTGAACCCTCAGCTATGGAAATCTTCTAAAAACCTTTAAAAAAAATTCAATTTTCACTTTTTCTTCACATCAAATAACGGAAATTCTTTTTCGATCCAGTGTATAGAAATATTTGGTCAGATTGTTTTCCTTCAAACGGCCTTCCTTTCTAGAAAACAACTTCATCCCGTCGGAATTGAGCTCATCGACCACTTTCGACTGAACGTCAAGGAGCAAGACAAGGCGAAGGAGCGGAGGGAAAGGAAATAGTATCGAATTTTCAAACCTTTCCATTTCATCGAATAGCTCCAGCAATAAACTTGATATTTCAAAAGACCCAATAACCGAACGTTTTCCTTTTTTCTTTGATGGAGTCCTGTGCCCATGAAATCTGCTGCTTTCGTGTTTTTTTTTCACCAAGAAGAACGAAGTTTCAAAATAATGTTCATTCAAATCACACTGATAAAAAACCACCGCAAAAAAAAATGAAATTTTTTTCCTGTAGAAAAACTGTTGAACTCCGGAAAGTTTCAACGTTTAACAAAACAGAAACAAATCGAGACACACGCCTACGTGGGGAAAAATTTACTGCAAAGTTTCATCGAAAACCAAGTGAAAATCAAAAATCGATGGCACTTTTTCTGGAAATCTCATTCAGAAAAGTTCGATCAAAAACAGAAAAAAATTGATGTTTTTTTCTTTTATTCCCACCTTGGCGCAAGTGAAAAAGATGCTGATATAAAATTGACCTCTTCCTGAGAAAGATTTGATCGAATTTTAAATTGTTCAGCATTTTTTCAAAATTGCCAAGTATTCTTTCAGAAATCTTCGATTTTTTTCGTTTTGGGAAAAGCGGTTCAAAAGGACACAAAAATTTTTGACTTCACATTTTCTGAGAAATTTCAACCCATTTGACTTCAAAAGTAGAATAAAAGAATTTGGCAGAAGGCTTTTCGATTCTTTCCGGAAAAAATCATACTTTGCAGTAAAATCTTCTTTACAAAAATTTCTAAACAAGCAATCTATGAATTCGTCGCATCCTTCTTCCCTTCACGGGAAGGTCACCGGTTCTTGCGGTCTCTCCAGGCAACGCATTCCCCTCTTCTGCAAGATATAAGGTCATTGCAAAATCATTTCAGATTAGTTTTTACTGCTTATTTTTTTTTAAAGGTTTTCTACTTCTCATGAAATGTTCATCTCTAAACTACATGGAAGCTACATCAAACAGCTTCACAAGTCTCTTTCTTTAAAATTTGAACTATTACCAGGAAGGCCTCAGGTTTAAATTTCACAAAAAAATTATCTTTCAAAAAAACTCTTAAAAATTCAAAAAAAGTTTCAAAAAGGTAACTGACAGGGGTTTTTTGGCAAGAGAGACGTTGGCTCGCGTCGCAGTGAAGCTCCGAAGAGCAGCGGGCCTGGTAATGCTGCAATGGCGAACGGTCCCACCACTCTGAAAGAAAAAAGCAAGAAATGGTAAAAAATCCAACAACTTACTGCGGTAGAAGTACCAAGAACCCACGCAGATGTGCGTGTAGCCGTCGTCGTTCTCATTCTCAAAAAAAAAATCAGTTTATTTCTTCAGCAAGTTTCGTTGCAATTTTTTTTCTTGAATTGATAAAATACATTTCTTTTCAACCTTTTGACATTATTATTGCTTTCGGTGTTTGTTCTAACTTTTAATCAAACTTGAAATGAGACAAATAACTCCAGAGAGACATCCTTTTGTTATATTATCTAGGTATTTTGTGAATTTTGCACCTTCATAGCTAAAAAAAAACTTCTTTCAATGAACTCTGGTTCAACCTTATTCATTATTTTTTTTCTCGAATAGTTTCAAACAATTCTAAAGATAATTGTCCAGGTGCCTCACATCAATCGATCTTTCCCAACTCACTCAAATCTGTTCAAAAAAACTATAAATATTCAGTGAAACGTCCAAGTCAGGAAAACAAAAAGATTTGATTGCGCAAGAAAAAAAAAGTTACCTTTCCATGACAAAATAACCGGAAGTTGCATTGCAAGCTGCTGTTGCACGGGCCGCCCTCGGACCTTCCGCCCCGGAAAGGGTACGGGTTGACTGAAAACTGATAAGTAAAGAGAAAAAAAAGAACTTACTCATAGAAAGATCAACGGCGACGAACAGCAAGCTGACCAGCAGTATTTTCAGGTTCATGCCGGTGAGCTCAGCTTCGAGGTGGACGAGTGAGCCTGACCGAGAGGCGGCGCTGCGAAAACCAGCGAGACGGCCACTGTACAGTGGCACGAGATCCCGCAATCCAAAAAAAAAGGCAACACTTGTTAGTGTACAATCAAGTCACACGATCAGGAGAAGGGAAAGATTTTTGGAGGAAAAAAAGGAGCAGCTCCAGAAATCTTGTTGAACTCTGACCGGTTTTAACTTTAAACAATGAAGATTCCCCACATTTTCAGAATATCATATTTTTGTAAACCTTTTTCGGAAGACATTACAAGCTCAAGAGTCAAAAAATGGAACCACTGTAGTTTACGAACTAATTTTGTTAGATTATCGCTGTTTCTCTCTGAAGTAAAAGCATACAGTCAGTCAAACATGAAGATGGAGATACAATCGAAATTCTTGTAAGTATTCGAAACTTTTATTTATTCTCCTGTTTGGCGTCTTTTTTGTTTTCAAACAAGTTTGAAACTCGAAAAAACTCGAGTTGAGCCATGAGAAACTCTAAACATCGCTATATCTGATCCTTCTTATGTCATTTTTGAACAAAGATTGCGCAATCTATTGTAGTTGAAATGGACCATATTCAAAATCAAAACATTTGTGGAAGCTTCAATATTCAACTAAAACAAGAAAGTCTTTCAAAAACCATGTGATTTCAAAAAAAAACCTTATTGAAAAATTTGAAAATTCAGAGCTGTGGAAGCTAAGAAATTTATTTCTGAACATTTTATAATGTTATTAAAATCTGTTGAAAACGTTCTTATGAACAGCATAATAAAATTTTAGTATATTCAGATCGTTTCGACCGAAGTTACAGCCAAACAACCAAATAGGAATATCTTTATGGACAGTACTGAATGAACCTCGAATTTCACGTGAGTTTCCAAGAAAAACTCATTTTCGAAATCCGCACCAAAAAAGCAAAGGTTACATGTGCTTGAAGTTGTCGCGAGGACAGAAAAAAAGGTCGGCTCAAAGTGATCCAATCGATCTTTGGGGGAAATTATTCTCTTCCATAGCTTTTTCTGTGTAACTTTTTTTCTGATCAAAACTTTTTATAAAAAAATTTATTCAAATTAAAAGCAAAGTACGAACACGGCAAAGAACACACATAAAACTGCGAAATATAGGCAAAAAAAAGAAGATTTGCGAATTTGCAATGGAACGCTCTAGAGAAAAAAAAGCTAGAACACACTTTCTGGCACGGGCAAAGTCCAAAAAGTCTCGAAAAGGACTATCAAAAAAAAAATTTTTCTAGACCTTTTTTTTTTGTAAAGGGCCTTTTGAAGATGTGTAAAAAATAAGTCAAAAAAAAGGTGGGAAAAAGGAGATTCCGAAAAACTTTTGACACCTTTCAGGAACTTAAAAAGGAGCTTCAGACTCTTCTTTTTAAGGCCTTTTTGAAGTCTTTTGGACTTGGCCTGTGTGGAAACCTAACATAGAAAAAAAGCGAAGCTTTCCTTGTCGGACCTTTGATCACGGCTGAACCTGCTTCCTGCGGCCCTTCTAAAATTAATTCATTTTTTTACAGGTATTCCAGGAGCAACACAAATTCATAACTTTTTTCCCAACATGAGAGCAAAAAAGAAAAATTCTTCTATTTTCTACGTGAGAATGAATTCTGGACCCCATCAGAACTATCAAGCCAAAAAAATTCAATGAACTTACACTTTTCGGCTTCACCGAGTCCTCGGGAATGCAATAGAGATCGGGTGGAGTTTTGGTGGGCAAGCACCGCTTTCCACGTTCCTGGAATTTCGAACAATAAGATCGATAAACTTCTTGGTTCAGTAGTCTTTATGTAAAAAGAAAATGAGAAAGAAAATCTCACCTCGGTGAGTTTGCACGATAGTCCCACTTTACAAGGATGGGCGCAATCACAATAAGCCCCAAATTCCCTCCCATACTTCAATCCATCTGCAAAAAATGAAAAATAATCGAGAACAATAATAATCAAAAGCTTACTAGGGACACATGTGCCAGCGGGTCTGCCACCCTCAGCTTCCTGAAAATTATAAAGTTGAAATCAAGAATTTGAAGTTTTCTTAATCACAGGAAATCGAAAAGGTTTTCTCACTTTATAATGAAAATTTAGAAAGCTCAAAGTGTCTTGGATTACCTGACTCCTGGAAAATTCATCTAATGATATCCCCTAGACCTAATCTCAAAACGTGGCAATATGAGAGAATTTGAAACCTTGCTGGCGCAGAAGAAGTTCCATTTGCACCAATGTTTCCAGTCGCACGTTTGATTCTCTTCTCTAACGTACATAAAAACTGAAAATCAGAAAAGATTAGGAGAATAGCGATAACATACATTTATCGTCAGAGACTTCGAGGAGTTTCGAGCACGTTGCCATCAGAAAGGTCGAGAAGAAAATGAACCATTTCAGGTTCATTCTGCCGGTTTGTGGAGGCACACACAGTCAAAAGAGCTCCGGCTGGAGGCGGGCCGTAGAACGAACCTTCCTGATGCAGTCATCAATCTCGACTGTTGCACACTGGCTCAAGAACTTGAGAATCCAAAAAAAAGGGAACAATTGTCAGTGTACAATGCAATCTCAGCCACATAATGGATTTTATCAAGAAAAAGATGCTTCGTGGTTTTTCGTACGAATGAACGAACCCTTACGAGTTTCAATAAAAGCAATGTAAGGGTTAAAAATTCTAAAATCTTTTTTTGGAGGTTATATCAAAATAAAGACAAGGGCAGTGTTTTCGGTACTCTAAATTTGCTTGAAAAGGTTTTTTTCTTATTAGGTGCATTACTAATTTATCATATAACAATGCGGAAGCCGGCCTAAGTCGGATGCAGCTTTTTTAGGGTATTTATAGGGGACAGCATTAAACGTCGCCCTGGCAAGTCTTCCACCCAAATATTGTTTTAGGCTTCAGACACAGTTCAAAAAATTTTAAAAATAAAGTTTTCCAATCGCACTGAAACGGTAATATTGAAGAGTAAAATTGTAGTTATCAAAAAATAGTTTAGAAACGCGAGTTCGAAAAACTTTTTATTTCGGCATAGATGAACCTTCTTGGGTACTTTTTCTTTTCAAAAATTTAACTCGAGCCTTTGATCAAGCGAAAAAAATATTTTTTTGGCTTCGTCGGAGTTTTTTTCTTAGGGTCTTCTTTTTCATTGAAATTGACGCTCATGAATTTTTTTATTAAACTCAAAAAAAGTTCAAAAACATTTTTTTATTCATGCGAAAAAAATAGAAACAACTACAAAGCGCTTCTCAAAAAAACTGAACTAAACCTTAAAAATCTTAAAAAAAGGGATAGAAAAAAACGACAAAAAAACACAGTTTCAGGAAATTTAAAAAGAAGAAGATCTGCAAGAAGCTTTTTCGATGAATCACGAGACGACTTTGGCTTCCGTTCTGAAATTTGATCCATTATTCCGATTTTTGAAACCGATTAGAAAACAATAAATTTTACTTAGGGAAAGGGTAAATTTTTGATCCCGCTCAGAGTTTTCATTCAAGAATGTTTCCAATAAGTTGAATTCCACTCACGTTTTTTCGACTTTCAGAGGGTTCGCCGGGCAAACGAGGTTCGGTTGTGGTTCTTCGGGCATGCACCTCTTCCCCCATTTCTGGAAATTTTGAATATTTCTATCATTTTTTAAACTGTCCTAATTCGGCTACAAAGAATGAAACCTTCCAATTTGATAGCCAAAAATCGTACAATATTACGTGCTAAAACTATCTTAGATCTTACGACATTTACTAGAAGACTTGTGTTTGATACTTTAATGGGAGCAATGAAACCGCTTTGTACTCTAGAACTTCAAATGAAGTTATATAAAAAGTGAAAATCACCTTTGTTTGCTTGCAGACGAGGTCCTTCGTGCAAAATAGATCACAGGAACAGGGACCTCCGAAAAGTTGGGAGTACGGCTTTTTCGGTCCGACTGCAAAGAAAAAAAATATAGAAATTTGAATCTGGAAATTACCGACGACAAGAGAGTAGGGCATCACACAGGTGTGATCCGATCCGTCTTCATGGAGCTCCTGAAAGCTTGAAAAAAATGAGACATCTGCTTGATAAATGCAGGTAAATCTGTACAGAGAAAAATTCGATAAAAAAATTACAATTTGAAGTATCTTTCAAGAGGTTCCTGAAAGAATGTATGAGTAAAAAATTCAAAACTCCCAGGAACCAACAAGTTTCTGAGAGCATATTCAGTGCAACTTTTTTTTTCTATTAATTAATTAGGCAATTTTTGATTTTAATGAATGATGAATGTTCAAAACATCTACCCCTTTGGCGCATACTAAATCTCCCGCGCACCAGCGCGTCCAACCGCAAGCTTCGCCTTCCAGTTTCGTGAACAAATGATTTGGAATGACTGCAAACCCGAGAAAGTATTAAAAAATCGAATGAACATACTTTTTCCACATGTTGCAGCCAAAAAGAGAGCCGAAAAGAGAAGGAAAAACCCGAAACTCATCCTACCGGAAGCGAAGACGAATACACAGTAAAAGGCTTCGACTGGAGGCGGGTCAGAAGAAATAGCTCTTCCTTCGAGATACATTCATCAACCTCAACTCTTGCGCACTGGCGCGAGAACCTCAGAATCCAAAAAAAATTGGCGCAATTGTCAGTGTACACTGTAGTCCTAGCCTCATCAGAGATTTTCTAAGAAAAAAAACACTTTTTTTTTTGCTTCTCAGTACGTTTCAAAAGTCTTGCTCAATGATGTCAGACCACTGAAATATTAAAAAACCACAACTTGGTCTTTTTCGAAGTTCTTAAAGCATTTTTTCGTTCAGAACATGCTTTTGAACTTAAAAATCAAATTTTCATCAGGAAATTCGCTATACTGACACATTTATAATACTTTTTGTGACCAAAAAAAGGACGAGCAAAAAAACAGTTTTCAAAAAAATAAAAAAAGTTTCAGTTTCTTCATTTTTTTGAAAAAAACCAAGCTTAGAAGAACTTTCACGAAAGAAAATATTTTTTTGAAGTAGAAATTTTTTTATAAAGTCAACCCTATTTCACCGGCATCTCCATGGAAAGTTCATAAGAAAAAAACCGAAAAGATTTATTTACGAAAGAACTTTTTTTTCCCGACTTTTTGAAGCTTTTTTTCCCGTCAAGATCCGATTGCAATTAGTTTTTCTAGTCCATTTAGTCGCTTTGAATCCGATGTTTTCTGTCTTCGCTCCACCATCTTCACCCTTGAGGCCGGTAACGTGCTTCACTTTGGAGGAGTACAAGACGAAGGTCCGGAGAAACAGACTTTCGCGGATTTCTTCCAATTTTCGGCTTGAAGTTGATCAATGAAGCTTTTCATACACTAATTCCTCTACTTCTTCTTGACTTCTGAAAGTATTCCTTTTTCCCATTTCTTGCTGCTGTGATCATTTTCCTTTGCACAAAAACAAGATTTCCAAATAACTTTTACTCACTGCACACGATTAAAAAATGGTTTTCCAACAATTGAAAGAAAAACTTCCTCGGAGTTTTTTTCCGTCGGTATTCCAATCAATTCAAACTATGACAACCTATTTCGAAGAAAAAAAAACAGCACACTTTTCTGAGCACTAAAGAGTAGATAAAACTGCTGCAAAGCAACTTTCATTGAGAACTGATCCTTTTCTGTTTTTCAACTTTTTAGAGAGCTCAATCAAATGAGAAAAAAGAAAAACAAAGAAAGGTTCGAGACTCCTCAAAAAAAGACATCTAGAAAGCAAATTCCTCACTGGGAAATGTTTCAATCCTCGAACTTCAGTTTGAATCCCCTAGTTCTATAGTCCCAAAAGGATTCCGGCTCGTCGGATTGATCAACGAGACTCCAATTGTGATTGCGGATGGCTTTCCAATGATCGGCGTCTTTCAAAACGTTTTCCGCAACGATTTCCAGGCAGTAATTTCCGAATTCCTGAAAGTTTTTATTTTTCTTGTTTCCTGATATTCAAAACAGAATGAAACATTTTTACTGTTCTAAAAGACGATGTGATGGGAAAAAACTCACGCGGAAACTGACGCAGACGTACTCGAACCGGCATTCCTTCGAGACCGAGCATGGTTCTCCTAAATGTTCGGAGTCGTACTCAACCTTCACCTGCTTGACGCATCTTTTTGGCGTCCTGACGCCGTAGTACTTTCCGTCACGTCGGTATTCCTGGGAAGTGATTGATTTAAGCAGAGTTTTCCTAGTTATCAAAGAAAAAACGTTCAAGTTCTAAGCTCTTTTGGGTTCCTTTATAGAGAAATAGAGTACAACTGAGAATCGAAAATTATTCTTTCAGGAAACAATTTTTTGGATTACTTCTCTAGTGCTGAAAAAATACGTTTTTTTTTAAATTTTGTTCTGGCAAGAGCTTACTAACTGGATTATCAGTGTTTGAAAAGGTTGAAGTTTGTGATGAAGGGTCTTCTAAAATCAGCGAAAGGTTTCCAGCTCTATGGTCTCAAGCGTTCGAGCTTACTGCTTTTTAACATCGACTGGAAAACAAAGTGCAGCCCACTGACCTCAAAAGTGGAGAGAATATCAATTTCAAAAAAATTCAAAAGAAAAAAAGTGAACCATGGTGAACTGCGAGTCGCGCCCGCACATCGCGCCTTTTCGGCACCAATCGAGCCACCCGCATTTTTCACCGACATAGCGGTTCACAAATTGGGATGGCCGACCAACTGAAAACGGAGTGAAGTTGGAAAGTAAAGAGTAACATACATCTGCTGTCCCTGGACGCGACCAGAAGGAAGGTTGCGAAGACGAGGAGAAGTGCGAACTTCATCCTGTCAAGCTTGAATATTTAAATAATTATTTCACTTTGATTTCGTTTTTTCAGTACAAAGCTCCTGAATTACTTGGACCTCGGACTTCGCAGTTTGTTCATGAAGTACTTAGATATAAAATCCTGTCAGCCAAACTTTCTTGATCGCGTTTTTTTTCCACGACGGCTGGTGAACGAGGAAACACATAGAAAAGCTTAAATTTCAGAGTTCCTCCAAGAAATTAAAAGAAGATACATTTTTAGAAGCAAAAAAGAATGGCCCCAACCTCTCAAAGTAAATCATTTCCCGGGCCACAACGACACGGATTTGAATAAATCCAGTTTTGAGGAAACTTTCACATTCCTGCTTGATTTAAAAACTGAAAAATAAAACGGAGCTTGTTCTGGCCATATCTTCAAAAAACTTTCCGAAGAGAGAAAGTTCTCAATAATTATTTCATTTTTATGGTCAGTTCAGGTTTCTACATAAAAAAAATTAATTCATTTGAAAGTATCGGAAAAATGGCTTGAGAAAGCTCAAAGACAAGTTCGTCCCCAAAAAATTCAGACTTATGAATTGTGTTCGGAAAAAATTCACATTAACCTATCGAATTCCAATCAAAACGCGATCAAACAAGTAAAATTTAGACTTACAAGCTTCAACCATCATTCAGAAAGCTGATTTCCTGATGAAATAGTAATTTCAAAACTGGTTATAGCTTCCTCAATCAATTTTATGGTTCCATGAACCTTCAAACCAATTTTTCTGCGAACTTCTTTCCAAACGACTTTTTTTCATTCATAGTAGCACTTTCAGATGTTTCTCTTGTGAGAAATAAAAACAAGGTTCCGAATAAAATGTTCATTCAAACCACAGGGGGTGAAAAAACACTACAAAAAACACCCAGTTCCAAAATCTACAGGAGTCGAAAAAATCTGCTTTAAAGCATTACTTATTGAATGAAAAAAAATTGAACTATGGCCCAGATTCCTAATCACAATGAGAAGAAAAATTTAAAAAAACAAAAATTGACAATGACAAGGGTAGAAAAAAAGATGAAAAAAACGCTGCTCTCTGAAAAAAACAAATCGATAATTACTGAAGTTCTTTTTCGAACTTCTCAAAAAAATTTCTGATTTCCGAGATCCAAATTTCATTCTATCAAGTTTTTTTGGAGCGCTGAAAAATCTCGCTGATTTCACCGTTTTTGAAACAAAAACTTTATATTTGGGTCAGAATTTTTGACGAAAATTCTCTCTTTGTTCTATTTTTCTGCCCTTGAACATTCTCAAAAAAACACACACATATTGAAATTTTTCTCAGTCCTCGTAGACGTTGGGTCGGACGTTGGGACAGGCGACTTTCCTTTCTCTGCTTGGCGCGATGCAAATGTTGCCCCATCTCTGAAATTTCCACAGTTAGAATGATCAGAGAAAATTCAAATTTTGTGCAATATAAAATTCTTGAGTTCATTGAACTGTACAACAAAATTATACTAAAAATGAAGATACAGGAAAAAAACTGACTTTGGTCTCAGTGCATTTCAGATCTCCGGCACACAGGTTCCACCAGTCGCAGGGTTCACCAGCCATTTGCGGAAACCAGGAGGACGGCCTGACTGCAAATGAAACAGCAATATTAGTTCTAGAAAGCAAAAATGTACCGATCACACGTCTCCACGGAATGACACACGTGTAGAGCGACTTGTCCTCGAGCATCTGGAATTTCAAAGACGAAGATAAAGTTTTACAATCAAGACAGTCTCAATTAAATAAATCCTCCTTAAACTGACTTTTAAAAACTTTTTCAGGTTGAAAAATAAGAAAAGTTAATTTTAAAAGAAGCCAAGACCTTCTTGAAATTGAAATCATTTCGTAAAAGTAGTACTCACTCCTTTAACGCACTCTAGGCCAGTAGCGCACCAGCTGGTGAACCCGCACGACTCCCCTTCCAGTTGACTGAAGAGGATATCAGGGACAACTGAAAATATGGCTTGTAATGATAAATAGTAGAAACGTACTCTTGACGCAGTAGGGGTACGCCATGGAGAGGCCAACGAGGGCTGCGACGGCGAGAACTTTCGTCAGCAGCATTTTCGCGAACCAATGACCCGAGGGACTTAACTGTACCACTGTAAAATAACTCGAGATCATTAAAATCGAAAAAAAAAGGGACAGTCGTCATTGTACGAAGAAAAAAAAAGTCATGAGGAAATTAGGGAGGAAGTCTATGAATCCAGAGAAAAAAGTACACTTAGATGGATTTTGAGGGTACTGTAAAGCCTCTTGGAATCTAAAATTACGCGACAACTGTTTGGTTACAATGGAACCACAGGATCATGAGAAGTACGCCTACATGAATCGGGTACCCTCGGCCACTGTAATGGCACGAGCATCTCGGAATAAAAAATGCGACAATTGTCAGATTACAATGGAACCCCAGGATCATGAGAAGTCTGTAGAGACGAACATTCAGACCAGAAAAAAGTCGGCTTACATCAGTTGGTTGCCCTCGGCCACTGTAATGGCACGAGCCTCAGACTCCAAAAAAATGCGACAATTGTTTGGTTACAATGATATCACAGGATCATGAGGAGTCTGTAGAAAAAGTTGTTTGTGCCATGAAGTTCCGGAGTCCTTCTTGAAGTTTGATACTTTGTGAAACATTTGAGATGAGGGGCCAAAAAGTGGAAATTGAAAGCTTTTTGAAAAGTTGATTCCTTTTTAAACTGAAGAATTTTTCTTAACGTTTCATTATATATAAAAAGCATTCATATTTTCTCCCAAAGAAGCTCAGAAATGTTTAAAGATGCTGGAAGAGCATAAGATGTAGAACGTGTTAGGAAAGTAAGCAGCAGGAGATTGGAAGGTGTATGGAAGCTAGAAGATCTTAAGAAAGCCTTTGGAAGGTGTTTGGAAGCTGAAAATGGAAAGTTTCTGCCGGAAGCCTTTCAGAAGCCTGCTGGAAAGCTTCTGGGAGGCTTCCGGCAAGCTTTTTTTTTTGACTAGGAGGTGTTGGGAAGCTATGGGAAAGGCGTTCGACCACTTGCTGGAAAGGTTACAGCCTTCCGAGGAACCGAAAGCAGAAGCTTCCCAACTTTTACCTGTTCGAAATTAGGGTGTCCAAAAATCCTTGATAAGCCAGACTGCTGGGCATGAAAGGCCGTAAAATTGTTTTAAATACTGAGCAGTTGATATGAGTTGAAAGCATCTGTATATCAGAATGCAGGCCTTTTTAATCAGTGACAGCCATGGCCATAAATGTCGAGTTCTCCCGTGACTCTGTGGCAAAAAAAAGTTAGCAGCTTCTGTTCATTTTTAATTGTCTGATAACAACCTCGCAGTGAAAATAGTTCAGCACGAGATTGGAGAGTATAAACTCTCGGTATGATTACAGAAAATTATGAAGAATTGGAATACAAACTAAAAAATAAGATGAAGGGACTTCAGTCTCATTCTTCGTGACTGGAAGCTTCAAAAAACTCATTTTATTTATTTTCCAGGTTTCAATTGGAGCAGGTCGCGGATTAATCTCTGGTTCAATCGAAAAACATTTCATCAAAATTAAAGCATGATGAACCTTTCGTTACTAATGCTTAAATGAGTTCAAAAATTCGGGGCGGAGTCTTATAACATGAGCAACAGCCCAAAATTCAAAATTTCACCCATTAGGTAGATTTTTTGCACTCCAAATAAATTTTTCCTGGGGAATAAAAAAAAAGCAAGTCCGAATCAACTAACTCAAAAGTTTCTGAGTTTCGATCTACAAACCTACCGGGAAAGGTCAGTCGACAATGTGCAGTGGGACGCGCGGGAAATCGTTTCTCCTCGACATGACGGGCTGATTTGGTGTCTTTCTCCACTTCTGGTCGCACAACCGTGGCTCTCGACAGTTTTTTTTCTCACTAATATCATTTCTTTTCGTTCCATTTGTTCATTTATTTCTAAATTAAATTAAACACTTTTCAAAAGCTCATTGAATTGCGAAAGACTTTCCCGACCTCGGACAGTTCAAATTAGTTTTTCAAATTTTCTTCAATTTTGTTTCTCTTTTCTTGAACGCAAATTTATGACCAATTGACCCATGTTATATTTTAAAGGCCAAAATATCCTGAATTTCAAATGATTCTAATTCAACTTTTTGTTCTTAAAAATCCGTTTGAACTCGAATTTTATTCCACAGCAGCAACATTAATCTTGAGCGTAGTTTTCGTTCCAAAACGCGATTAAAATTTATCAGAAGGTTTATGAAAAGCCATTCATCTTGCAGATTGCAGGCAAATACGCCGAGAGGCAAAATTTTTGATTGACAGTTTTTTGAAAAGCGATCTTACAGTTTCGAGCTTTTAGATGTAATCTTGATTGAAAATGAGTGAACATGATAGATATCTTTGAAAAGAGCGATATGGTAGCAAGATGTTGCCGATGTCACAGCAAGAAGTTTTGGCGACGTTGCTGCTGTATAGCTTCTTAGAGTGCGTTTTAGTACAAAGAATGACAATTTTCAGAACAAAACTTGCGATGCAGCCGGCCGCCCCTATCGCTCCATCCCTTGGTAATCTATAATTTAATTAAAGTCAATATATCTTGTTACTCACAAAAAATAAAAAATTTCTTTTTGTAAGATTTTCCAATTTCTTTCGTTTTATAATAAATCAAAAACTCGAAAAAATGAAACTTCGTGTTTGATCACGAAACTTTTGTAATAAGAGTTCTGAATGAAGAAGCTCTCAAAAATCTTCCCAATAATTTTGAACGAGAGCAAGTGAATCAGACATTCTCATTCACAAAATGAAGCTTGCGGCAAATGTTTAAAAATAATTTTCAGACCAGACGATGACAGTGGTTCATATGGCCCCTTCGGATGCCGTTGCTTTCGGTGATTTCGAAAATCTTTTTTTTCCTACTTATTTCTTCAGCATTCGAAAGTGGACCTCGCTTGGCCGTTTTGGAGGTGGTAAGCCAGACTAAAATACAGATCAAGGAATCCGGTCCTGATGAAACGGCTATATGGGTGACCGGAAGCGAGGTTTGTTTTTCGAAGTTTCAGAAGTAAGCTCACGAAACTCTGCAGCTCTTGAAGAATCAAAAAGTATGAGCTGTTTGAACTGATAATTACCAAAAATTTATCGTCTAAAAAACTTTATTCCAGAAGGCAATCGAAGAGGCCATGCTTAGCATAAGAAAATTTATTCTGGAAGCAGAAAAAAGAATAGTAAGAGCTATTTTTTTGGTGAAAAATAATGCTTCTTTTTTTATCAGAGAAATGTTTCGTTGAACACATCGTCTCGCAACCAGCCCATCGAACCCGACGACCATGATTTGAATCAGTGAGTTTTTTTATTATAAAGAAAAACTTTTAAAAAAACGAAAGTTGAAATTAACTTTCGAAGAGCTTAGTCCAACAAAAAAAGGATTACATTAATAGTTTTTGAAATAAAGAAAATCAAAACAGAGGCTTCTGTAAAAGTTCCAGAGAAATTTCAATCTAATGGCAAAGGGAGTATCTCTTTCTTTTTATTGATTTTTCACGTCTTGTTTGTTTCGCGTCGAAGGGATAACCTTTAATATTCTTGTCTCAATTAGGTCAAAGGTCAGTCAAGCGATCAATGGTGGTCTCTGGCTTGTTGAGAAAAGTGAAGTTGCGGCAGGGTATTATTTATAATCATAAAGTAATATGCAGTTATAAAACTTTACTCTCAACTTGCCTTACGAAGCTATAAAGTTGATGAAGTGTGTTTCATATGGAAAAAGCATATCTAAAGAACAGAGTGGAGCAGTAAACTTTTGTAACTTTTTTATTAGGTTTGCATGTTTTTTTTTGTAGAGACTCCATCGGCCATGACATGTCGATATCTGCTTTTCATGCACCAGAAAACGAGTCTCGCTGTGCCTCCTGCAATGAAAGCACCAGCTTTGACCCTCAGCTCGCCCCGCCGAGCTATCAGGCTGACTTTTGTTTCAACAACCCAATACTCGCCTTATCATCTCAACCGTAATATTTCTTCTGGAAATTAAATCTAAAAAAACTTTAAAAAACAAGCTCAGAGTTTATCATTCTTAGGTTCATTCAAATACAAGGATTCGAAGAGAGAATTAATTAGGAGTATGAAAACTAGTCCAGTGGAAACAATTTTGAATCGGTCTTTTGATAAAATGTTTCATGGCAGAGTAAATAACCACAAAGAAAGCGCAATTCTAACTTAGAAACCTAATAAACGCTCATTTTGAGTTTTTCAGTGCTTTTAAGTTATCCTATACGCCTTTTACTGAAGCAAAAACTGACAGAGTCTCTTTTGAGGCTCTTCATTTGAGTGTTGGAAAATTCTCAGAACAACAGGCGGAATGCAAAGCTTCATTATGAATAATATCCAGGAAAAAATGTCAGAAAACACAATAAGCAGAAGTTCGAAGCCTTCCACAACTTTAATTTTTACTCTTACCCGATTATTATTTCAGAGAAATTCAAGGCCCTGGTCAACTACATCAACAGGCTGTTGCTCCGCCTGGCCAAATGCGATATGCACCGCCCCAAGGGATGCAACATGTCCAAGGGTAAATTAATAAAATGAACACGACAAAAGAAAATATCTTATTTAACACGCTGTCTCCGTTATTCTCAAAAAATTTCTAAAAGCAATGGGTACAATAAAAAAAATATTTTTTGATTTCGACAAAACTTCATCCAGTGTGATAACCCATCATCAGAAATGCGGACCCAACTTTTTGAGCCATTTCCCTCTTACTGTAGCCGGGTTACGGTAGGCAGGTGGGCACCTGCGTATCTCAGTATTTATGAGTTTTTTTATTAGGCAAGTGATATATCAATCGATAGGTAATTCAATTTTAGGAACTTTTACAGTACATACCATCATGGGTTACGGTGGGAAAATTTTGAGTTACGGTACTTTTTGTGTCTGCCGAGTCAGTTTTTCGACCGCCATGAGCTTGAGCCGGGAGATCCATTTTTCCTAACTTCTCAAAAGATACCTTATGAGAAGCTGTACAAGCTGTTACTAGTTTGAAAAAATCTTAGGTGGACCATCATTTCGAAAAATCGCCCCGAAGGCGCGCAATCGTGGTCTTGCGGCGGCCAAGTGGGTGAAGTCCATGATGCCTGACGGCTCATTCTTCACAGATCCATTCCAATCTTTGTTTCCATTTTACTTATACATGTCTATTATTGATTTTTATTTCAATTTGAGATGTTTTTCGGGTTGACCATCATCTCGAAATTTCATTTTGAACCCAAATTTGGCCTAAAATGGCCGACTCGGCCTTTTTCACGGGATCCCTGACCCCGTATGTGACCGTTCTCAACTTTTTCCTTTCTTAAACGTGAACAAGAGTGTCTGAACAACAGTTTTATAACAATCGGAACCCCTTTTGAGAGGACCATCATCTCGAAATTTCATTTTGAACCCAAATTTGGCCTAAAATGGCCGACTCGGCCTTTTTCACGGGATCCCTGACCCCGTATGTGACCGTGGTGGTCGAAAAACTGACTCGGCAGACACAAAAAGTACCGTAACTCAAAATTTTCCCACCGTAACCCATGATGGTATGTACTGTAAAAGTTCCTAAAATTGAATTACCTATCGGTTGATATATCACTTGCCTAATAAAAACTCATAAATACTGAGATACGCAGGTGCCCACCTGCCTACCGTAACCCGGCTACAGTAAGAGGAAATGGCTCAAAAAGTTGGGTCCGCATTTCTGATGATGGGTTATCACACTGGATGAAGTTTTGTCAAAATCAAAAAATATTTTTTTTATTGTACCCGTTGTTTTTGAGAATAACGGAGACAGCGTGTTAAACATCATGATTATTACGCCAGCAGAATTGATCAGAAAACACAATAAGCAGAAGTTCGAAGCCTTCCACAGCTTTAATTTTTACTTTGACCGGATCTATATTTCAGTGGATTTCAAGGACCCCTTGCACCGTATCCACATCCCGGTGTTCCTGGGCAGATCCCCCCGTCGATGCCTTTACCTACAAGGTAAATGAACAAATTAAACCCGACAAAAAGGAAAGATCTCATTTACTCGTCATGATCAATAGACAAAAAGGGATTATCAAAAAGCACATTATTAAGAAACCATAATAAGCAAAAGTTCAAAGCATTCTACAGCTTTAATTTTTCTTTTTACCTGATTACAATTTCAGTGGCTTCCAAGCCCCGCGTCCACTCAATCAACCCGCTTTCGCTGCAGCCCCGTCGTTTGGTCAGCGCGCACCGCCATTGCCTCAAATGCCGGGGTAAATGAACAAATTAAACACGACTTAATCAAAGATCTCATTTAAACATTATGATTGATATACCAGCAGAATTTCCAGAAAGCACACTGATAAGAAAACACAATAAGCAGTTCGAAGCATTCTAAAGCTTTAATTCTTACTTTTACCAGTTATTCTTTCAGATTAATCCAAGGCCCGCCTCAAGTTCATCATCAGGGTGTTGCCCCGACTGCCCAAAGTCAATATGCACCGCCTCAAGGGATGCAAATACCAGGGTAAAAGAATAAAATGAACACGACAAAAGGAAAGATCTCATCAGGCAAAAAGGGATTATCAAGAAGCACATTATTAAGAAACCATAATAAGCAAAAGTTCAAAGCATTCTACAGCTTTAATTTTTCTTTTTACCTGATTATAATTTCAGTGGCTTCCAAGCCCCGCGTCCACTCAATCAACCCGCTTTCGCTGCAGCCCCGTCGTTTGGTCAGCGCGCACCGCCATTGCCTCAAATGCCGGGGTAAATGAACAAATTAAACACGACTTAATCAAAGATCTCATTTAAACATTATGATTGATATACCAGCAGAATTTCCAGAAAGCACACTGATAAGAAAACACAATAAGCAGTTCGAAGCATTCTAAAGCTTTAATTCTTACTTTTACCAGTTATTCTTTCAGAGAAGTTCAAAACCCGGGTCAACTTCATCAACAGGATTTTGCTCTGCCGTTCCACGGGCAATTCCCTCCGCCCCAAGGAATGCCGCAAATATCAGGGTAAATGAATAAAATGAACACGACAAAAGGAAAGATTTTATTTACTCATCATGATCCATAGGAAAAAAAAATTATCAAGAAACGCATTATTACGAAAACATAATAAGCAAAAGTTCAATGCGTTCTACAGCTTTAATTCTTATATATATACCCGATTATAATTTCAGTGGCTTCCAAGCCCCGCGTCCTATCAATAAACAGATTGTTGCTCCGCCTTTCCATGGACATTTTCCACTGCCACAAGCAATGCCCCAAGCAGCAGGGTAAATGAATAAAATGATCACGACACAATGAAAGATCTCATTTAAACATAGGAGTTCGAAGCCTCTGACAACTTTAATTTCTACTTTTTTTTAGATTCTGATTTCAGAGGTTTTCAAGTTCCACGTCCTCAGTATCCGCCGTCTCTCGTTCCGCTTGTCCAAAGTAATTATGCACCGCCCCCAGCAACGCCTCATGTTCAAAGGTGATTGAATAAAAGAAGACAGTAAAATGATAGGATCTCATTTACAAGCTTCAAAAAAAGTTTCAATAAGATTATATTTCTCCCATGAAAGTTGTGAGCAAAACTACATATATATATATATAGCCATTTCTTCCAATTCGAAAATTCTAACCAGATTAAACTTTTTTTTTTCGAGGTTTCTGGAACTTTTTTTTAAGCGCCGATATCCAACATCAACAACTACCGCCAGGACCGCAACACGTCCAACAAGAAGCACATCATCATTGCGAGTGGTAAATTTTTCATTTTTCAATTTTTTTGCAGCTTCGATCTAAACAAAATATTGGGAGAAACCCAGAACGATTTTTCAAGGAGAAAAAAAAACTAAAATTTCAACAAACTCCAACTTTTTTCATGTGGAAAGAATAACCAATTCGTTTTTTTCGAGGTTTTGAAACTTTTTTTAAGCGGCGCCTATATTCATCAGGAACATGGGGAAAGACCACAACAACACGCCCGAGAGCACGAACATCATCATTGCGAATAGTGAATTTTTCCATTTTTTTCAATGACAACTTCGATCTAAATAACATATTGGGAGAATCCCTCAAAAAAACGACTTTTCAAGGAGAAAAAAACTGAAACAGTTTTTTTCCTAACTGATTTCATCATTGCAGCTGCAGCGGACACACGTGCCATTCAAATCATCATCAAGCCCCTCAAACCCATCATGCGCACTGCGCTCATCGGCCGCCAAAGGTTTTTTTATAAGCTTTGACGGAAACTGTGAGATGAAAAATAAAACAATTAAAAAAATTATTTTTTTCGAAAAATGGATGAACTTGTTTGAAAAAGTTTTTCTTGTGTTTTCTGCAACATTCTCTTTTTGCAAGGTGTTTTTTTGAACTTTCTCTGCTGTTTAATCAAATATTTATCTCTTTAGAGATCCAACAAACCTTATATTTCAGTCCACCAATGATTCCGCAAAACGACAGGTCTTTCATTCAGCAAGCGGGTAACTTCCCACATGATCATCCGGAGCCCACACAGCGATTGTACGATTTATTTCTTACTTACGCTCCTTTTTCAAAACTGCTTTCTCAATATGTTCTCTAGTAATGGAAAACCTTTTGATACTCTGATAACAACAAGGTTTCATAAAACCTTATCACATTATTCATTTTCCTAAAATTCCAAGACTAACCAACACACTGCAGCCTGGATTGAAAGTAAAAGAAGATATATTTAAGAAAGAATAGGAAGAAAGATTGGTGGAGCAAACTTTTGGAGCTTTGAGACTTTTAGGGGTTCTACATTTTCACACAAGTTCAACGTTTCAGAGCTAATGCAAATCAAACGATCCACGGATATCCCACAGCTCATTATCCTGCTTCTCCGAAAGAAATGAACAGCCCGAGTCCCCAAGTGCCGCTTGGACAGCACCAAATTTTCGAAAGACAACGCATGAACATTCCAAATATGATGTAAGTATCGCATTTTGACCGTTTTTTTTTTGGAACAGTGAGGTCCTTTTATTAGCTTCGACGAAAATTTGGCCAAAAATATAAGATGAAAATTGAAAATTAAAACTTAAGAGATCCAACAGACCTTCCATTTTCAGTCAACCGAGGAATGTTGAGCGTTTTGAACCTTCACCTGGACATTTCCGACAGGATCTCCAACAACATCCCCAGCATTTGTACGATTTGTTTCCTACTTACGCTTCTTCTTCTGAACTTCTTTCTAAAGTTGTTTTTTTGATAATGAAAGACCTTTTGATACGCTGATAACAACAAGGTTTCATTAACCTTATCACATATTTCCAAAATTCCAAGACTAATCAACACACTGTAGCCTGGATTGAAAGTAAAAGGAGATATATCTCAGAAAGAATAGAAAGAAAAATTGGAGCAAGTTTATTTTGGTGCTCTGTGACTTTTTAGAGATCCTACATTCTCATAAATGTTCCACGTTTCAGGAATACTGGTAACCAATCTTTTCATGGATTTCCGACAGCCACGTTTGGAAACTACCAACACCCTCCCCAGCAACCTTCATCGCGAGTATACTATATACCATCTATGTACGTTTCTTCTTTTAAAATTCTTTATGAAATCACTTTTTAGTAATGGAAAACTTTTCGATAAAATAATAACAACATGGTTACATAAAACCTTATCACATTATTCATTTTCCTAAAATTCCAAGACTAACCAACACGCTGTAGCCTGGATTGGAAGTAAAAAAAAGATATATCCAAAAAAAGAACAAAAAGAAAAATTGGAGCAGGGAGTTTTCGGAACTCTGGGACTTTTAAAGGTTCTTCATTTTATACAAGTTCAACGTTTCAGGAGCTCTGCGGCAAATAAATCGTTCAGCAGCTCTCCGGCGATCGGTCCTTCTACTGGGTATGAAAACTTTTACTTGTGAACTTGAAAAAAAAATATCAAAAGCCGCGATTTTTTGGTTTTTTGAAACCGTTTCTTCTCACTTTTCGATATGTTTTGTTCTAATTTTCAGCCGCAATCCCGATGTCTCATATGAGCCGACACGACCTTCCGCTTATGAAACATACATGATGCTTGAGATGAATTCAGCTGCAAATCGCAAGTAAGCACCGCAGCTTTTTTTTTTTTAAAAAACGAGAAATATTTTTTTGATGACATTTTTTTCTGAGCATTCTTCGAAAAAGATTCTTCGCGCCAAAAATATTGAAGTCGATATGATTTTAAAAAAAGCAACGTACTTAAAATTTAATTTAATCAAGATGCGTTTGAAAGCGATTTAATGAAAAGTCACCTTTGTAAGGCCGACAGGTATTTTCTTTCATTGAAGTCCCCTCATCGAAAACCCCATTTTTCACATTTTTGAACCCTTTTTCATCGAAAAACTATATAATAATTATTTGCAAAAATTAGAAATAAAGATGAGAAAAAAGGAAAAGCTATTTTGAGAGAAAAAATCCCTTTTTCAGCCTACTCTCGCAGTCCCTCATGAATCCAAAATGGTCCGATGCACATCTAACGACCTCTCACAACTTCCAGAGAAAACCAAGGAAAAGAACTTCTTCTTTGATCTAAATATGACAGACACGAAAAATCTTTTACCTGAGTTTTCAAATGCGTGCAAAGTCGATAAAAAACATCCTAAAAAAAGTCGGAAAAGTTCGCTATCGATTTTCTGACCAGCAGTCCGAAGACACGCGATGAAATTGCACGCAGTTTCACGTTCTGAAAATTTTTTGAACACTGTGAGGGATTGGAAAAATGGTTAATTTTAGATCAAATCGAAGTTTAAAAAGAAAAAAAAATCAAACGTTCTCCGTTTTTCTTTCAGGATGGATAAACTGTCCCAACTGCTTCACGCACCCAGATCCATGGGCAGATTTGACGAAGAAGGCGAAGTAGAGTACGTTTTAAAAATTTTTTTCAGATTCAATAAGAACATCGGAAAAAAATTGAAATTGCTACAAGTATTTTTTTCAGGTGCCTAGGAATAATGTTACTCCGTTAAAATTTTTTTGTTTTTTTTTCCAGAATTTCATTAAGATTCAATTTTTTCTCTCGAATAAAATCAGAAAAAACGAGCCTTTAGTTTGAAAAGTAGAGTTAGTGGAATTTTCGAAAAACTTTGATTTTTAAGATTTCTGAAAAAAGACCGTAACGCGAACCGCTTTGATCAAAAACTTGGCTTCAGGAACCAGGACGAGCATTTTGGCCGATCTTCATCCTCTTTCCGCGAAGATTCTGTTTCCTCTGTGCAGACTGTGGAGACGGATTATCGGAGGTTTCCAACTTTTTATTTGATATGCACTTTTTCTGCAACCTCTTACCCTTAACAAAAATGTGTACGTGGAATTTTCAATCTCCTAAAAAAAGAGAACGCAGAAAACCTAGATTTTTGGGTTTGGTACACATTCAAAGGGATAATGATGATTCTCGGTTTCTGAAGTTTGAAAGCTCTTTTTTAGCTTAAACGCAACTGATGCTGACGATGAGGCGACGCCTCTACCGAGTCTCCCCAACTTCAGCACTCATCCGTCCACAGTGTATGTCTTTAAAAATCCTTTTTAAATCATGTTTTTCATGTTTTTCATGTTTTTTTCATGTTTTGAAAAATTCACTAAGAACGAAAAATTCTTATCATTAAATTTTACTTATCATCTTAGAGAATCAAAGAAGCCGGGCACAATGGAGCTCTCAACGTCATTTATTGATCACGATCTATCGTTGTACAAAATTCCTGAAAAATTTTCTTATTGTAATCATTCAAAAATTTGATTTTGTTTCTTTTCGAGTCAATCAAATTATTTATTCCGTTGTTTCAATCAGATATAATCGACTAGGCGGTGAACAAGAACTTTAAATCACGAACAACCGCCTTCAGCAAAATAGAAGTTCTAGCGTGTAGTCCGAAGAGTTGAAAGGTTAGCCCGACGGTTTTTCGTCTCGTTCTCCTGCGCGTAGTCCATTCAGTTGCGCCTTTTCAAGTTCGGGATGTTAGTAGATAGTGTAGCTGGAGTCCGGAGACCGTGTTCTAGGGGGCATCTTCAGAATGAGAGTGACAATTTCTAGTGACAATTTTAAACAAAAATCTTTTTGGTTTATATAAGTATAAAACACTTTCCTCGATTCTCCCTGCTGTTGCTTCTTAACAAGATAATCTTCCAAAGAATATGTTGAATATTGAAATAAAAATTCAGGCGATTCCACTGTAAAAAAACTATTAGCAAAACCCTTTTTCTTGAAAAATCTCAGTTAAAATATCTAATGTTTAAAACTAATAACCAAGATTTAAGATCCAAAAAAACCAGAAGTTGATCAATAGATATTTTCAGGATAACTACGCAAAGATCAGTTTGGAAAAGAGCCTTTCCTGAACCCTGTCAATAAAATCGTCGACAACGCTCCGGCATGGATTCAATACTTTGAGTAATTTTTTATTCAACAGTAAAAAAATCTGTTCTAAATTTTTTTGATCAGGAGCTTGCAAAAAAAGATTTTTTTACTTTGGAGCATGAAACTTTCTAAAAAAATTGATTAAAATACTAAAAATAATAAGGTTAGGTGAATAACCCATTATGTAGCAGCCTGCTAAAAACTTTAAGTTTTGAAAAATTTTCGTTGCATTATTTGAAATCTTTATTTGATCCTTCAAAGGGTATTTTAGCAAAGCTACAAAGTAAAATGATGAAATTTCATTCGCAAGCTCTTTTTAAAATGGCGTCAAAGGTACCGACGGAGAAAATACGAGAAACGCGACCTCGTAAGGAATTCAATCTTCCTGAAAGTTTCTAAAACTTTTTTTTTCCGGAGACTTGATACTAGGTTTAAAAAAGATAGCTAAGAGGTTTAAGAGGTTTAAAAATAATAGTCGTCCCAATTCCAAAAAGTTTCAGAAAGATTGAATTCCTTACAGAAAAGTTGTGACCAAAACCCAGAGCTTTCGTATCTTTTTCTGTGAAATTTTTTTAAAAAAATAAATTTTTTTATAGGGGCATCGGGAACTTTTTCATGCGGAGTCGATGTGAGCAATACGTAAGTAGAGTGGCTTCAAAAGCCGGAATCTCAAAAGAAAACTTACTGTCTTGGAAAGTTACCAAATCCCGATCTTCCCAGTTCTGAGAGCGCGACGTTTCTCAGCTAAACAATCAGGCCCCCACAACTAAAAGAGTTTCGTCCTTAAGCCGAGTTTTGGCGCAAAATATCTCACGCAAGAGTTGGATTGAGAAAACTTTGGTCAGGGTTTGGATTTTATTTGGAGCGAATTCAATTTCCTTTTTTTGCCCACGGGGAATTCGATGAATGGGGGATTTAGTAGAACAGTTTTCCACGGTTCATATCTTCGTTAACTCATCAGGCCTCTAAAAATTTATTATATCTTATTTTGAGCAACAATTTTAGCTGATGATGAATAAACGAAGTAAAGAACCGTAAAATTTTTTTCGAGAAGTGCCGCCGAAACTTTAAAAAAAATTCACAGCTATTTCTTTTACTCCATATTCATCGAGAATCTCTTAGAAAATGATCCTTAAGATTACTCCAAAGAAAATTCGAGCCCTGACCAGCGTTGCGTGCGAATTTTTGAAGACTCTGCTTAAAGGTGAAAGGCAAGGTTTTTTTTTTGATCATGAGTGTGGGGACCTAAAAGTTGATCTGAGTACCGTTATACTTCCCTCCTGAAATCAATTCCAATTTCAATTTTCTCGTATTATTTTCGATGCATTTACTCAGTTGTTTCATTAAAGATGCATCCGTGCAGACTTTTAAAAATCTTGTTCTTGGTCATAATGTAATTGTATTTTTGGCAAATTGGCCTGGGCTCTGATCTCGCAGCTCTTTTATAATTGTATCCAAGTATCAAGCCTCCCGACAACTATCTGCTTTTCTATTTTGATTCGACTCCTCCTTGTGATTTTATAGTTTCTTTTTGTGAAGCTCATTCCTTTTCATTTTTACCATTGCCACGTGTATTCTCCAATTTTTCACTCTCAGTGTATTCAATTATTTTATTTATGATGCTATTTGCCATTTGTTTCATCTTAAATAAGACCCTTTGCTGCTGAGAAACCGGCCTCGATGATCTCGTCGTTTGTGTTATAGTATTAGCCAAGTTTTAAGCCTTCTGATCATCATCTTCTTCGATACTTTGATGCGACTCCTTGTTGTTATTCTATACTGTTTTTGCAAATATCATCCATTTTCATCAGTTCTGCGTATGTATTCATAAAAGTCTTGGGTGAAAACTGACAGATTACAAAAAAGAAAGGATTGAAACTTCATAAAAATGGCATTTTCCAGACCCCTAGAGCTTCCAGGTGACCAAAAAAAGGCGAAAAAAAAATCTAGTTCACAAAGACAACAAAGATAACTGAAAGTCAAAAAAAAAACATTGCCTCGAGACTCAAAATCTTGAAATTTGATACTTTCCACCTCCCGTCTATCACAATTCTCTAGTTACAATTTCTTGATTAAAAGATCGTTCAGTGCTAATCAAGTAAATCTACAAAGAGCTTTGAATTCTTTTTCCTACTCATATCCTATATCATCAGCTTATTTTTTTTAGAACTCTATAGAAACATATGCGGATTTCCCTTACAATAGTCAAAAATTATTAGACTTTTTATTTATTTTTCCTATTGGTGTTCGGTAATGGACCTAGAGTATGCATACACTTGCACGCGGCAGACCCCGCGAAATGACATTTTTCAAAAAATGTTTGTTGCTTTGTTTATAGGTAGACTTCACTTTTTTTTTTCTTTCTAGTTCATAGCTTCTCTTTGTATTTCAGTTTTACCATGTCTGCTGCTTTTTCTATAACTTTTTTTGAGGCAAATTTGTTTTGAAAAATATATCGTTGAAAGTTATTTACAAGTCACAGGAGCATTAGGTCTCTGAATCGTCGCTAAAAAAATTTAAAGATTTTTTTACCCGACCCCCCACAGGTTGAGCTTTTGATGAAACTCTGCTGAAATGTACCTTAAGGCTTCCTGATTTCAGTTCAAAAAAAGTTTAGCAATAATCTTGTTTTTGATTTAAAAGACTTTAAAAGCTTGAAAAAGATTTTTTCGTATTTTGCCTGTTCTTTGGACTGAAGCTCTATAGCTGAAAAACCAGATCTATTGCTAAAAATGTTTTCCTAGTTCTGCAATCAGGACGTCCTAAAGTAAATTTCAGCGGAGTTTCATCAAAAGTTCAACCGGCGGGTAAAAGAAGTTCTTTTTTTCAAAAAAGGACAAAGGATTCTGTCCGTGAGCAAGCAATGAGCTTTCAAAACCATTAGCTTCATCGTATTTAAAATCCAAGTTCTTATTTTCTATTTCACTTTTTTTTTCTTTGAGTTTACAGTAATGGACCAAGGGTATGCATACACTTGCACGCGGCAGACCCCGCGAAGTTCCATTTTTCAAAAAATCTTTGCAAGTTGCTGTTTTTGTTGGTCAGTTTTACCATTCAAGTGTTCTTTCTATCATTTTTCTAGTTTCTGTTCAGCTCAAAACGTTGTGAAAAACTCAAATTTTGGAATCCTTCATGTCTCTAACAAAAGAACCCCGTGTCGATTTCTCGGTGCACACCGTAGTATAACCAGGGGTGTACGCCGTTCAGCTTTGAGTTCCTATTGACAAACTTATTTCGTACACGATTTCAAAATTTTTTGCTTTCCAATATCACTTTTTTCTACAGTTTCATTTTAGGCTGTTACGGTAGTTCATATTTTAATTTTTTTGACTGGTTTCCCCAAGAGTGCGCGCCATTTAGGTGAAACGTGCGGTGCACAGCAAACTTTCCTTTTGAAGCTTTTATCCCCTCATATTTGTTAAAAGCTCAAATTCTCCTCAGCTTCTTTCTTTTTTGATTTTTACCATTTTCGTAATTTTTTCGTCTACTGCGCACTTTTTTCATTAATTAGAAGTTTCTTTCAGATGTTCCCAAGAATCCCAACGTCATACGAAATGGAGGAAGATTATGATGATGTCGAATCATCTTCACAGGAGGTATAATATTAATCTTTGAAAAATAATGAAACTCAAATTTGCTGCCTGTTTCGGGAACATTTTGGTTGAGGAATTTCTATTATAACATCTGAAAATGGAGAAAAGTCATTCAAGGACGAAAAAACAGTATTTTACAGTAGAAACCAAAAAAATATGTTCTCTGCAAGAATATTTTGTTCAAAAATAATGTCTTTTTTATTTAAAAAAATTTTTTTTTCTTTTTTCAGTTTAAAATGGGATTGGTTCTGACAATGTGAATGATATAATAGTTCTATCCTAATTGATCGTAATGAAACTTATTATCATTTCTTTCCAGGAAACGGTCGAAGACGAGGAAATGGCCCAAGCGAACGCCGAAGCTGACCAGCGCCAAGCAGACCATCAAAAGAGAATGGATCTTCTCAATGAACTGAAGGTATTTTGAAACTTCATTGAATTGGGTAGATGAAATAATTGATTTTAGAACATCATGGCCAAAGCGAGAGAGTTCACCACAGGAATGAATCTTGCGCTCTCTGGCGGACAAGAAACGGTTGGTTTTTTGAACTTTAATTTTCCGAGGAAATAGGTTTTTTGAAACTAATTCTTTCCTGCCAAAAGAGGGAGCTTTTTCAATAGTCTGATTGAAAATTGTATCATTTCTTGTCCAAAAACTCTTGAAAAAACAATTTTATTCATTCCAGGCTCCATACACGCTGAACAACATCGATGCTCAGCTCTTGCCTCTCATGGAAAAAGTTAAAAATAACCTGAAGGAACTGCGCTCCATGCAATGATCCCGTTATGTTCAAAACTATTATCCCAAATTTCTCCAAAAATGGCTCATTCTTCAAATTGTAATTGAATATTTGTTCCCCTTTGTTCCATATACTTTTTCCCCAGAAAATCTTTTGTACAATTTTGTTCATATTATTGTCAATAAATGCGAAAATTTCTTTGGTTCAAAAGTTCACATAAAAATGCGGCTAATTTTGAATTTCGGTTTTTCTTCCAAAAGGAATTTGTTGAGTGCGGTGGAAGGAGAAGCTGGACTTTCATAAAAAAAAAACAACCGTAAGCGGCTACCGCAAAAGTGGAAGGCGATAGGCCAATCCAAGAAAAACTTTACCTCTACACGAGTGACAATTTTCTGAGTGATCTTGGTTTTTTTCTTATTATTACTAAACTCTTAAACAGGGTCCACACTGAAAATTTTGTCTACTTTTCAAAATCAAATAAAATAAAAACAGCTAAACTAGAATAAAAAAACAAGGATGCTCAATGAGGAATTTAGTAGCGCCAGAAGGTGAAGCGAAAACCAAAATTATCTTTAATAGTTACGATTTTGAGTCCTAAAAAGGAAACAAGCAAAAATTATTCTAAAAAGAAGGCTGTTTAAGAGTTGAAAAAAGGATTTCGAAGTGCTCGGCGAGTTTGGCGCCCTTGGGCGTGTTTTTTCCCGCCATTTTACGAGTGTTCGCGCACACTCGCGTTCGTGTTCCGATTTGAACCAAAATAGACAGTTCTCCTAAATTTACCAGCTTTTTTTCCGTTTTGTTTCGACATTTTTCCGTCTTTTCACTTTCTCATGTTTCTCTGTTAATTGAAACATTTTCTTTTGAATTCACTCACAAAACGAAAACTTACTGTCTTTAACCCTATGTATCCTAGAAACTATTAAATTTTGAAACCTTAAATTTATTTCTACAGTCGTCCTTTGTGAATTTCCATGGTTTAACATACTTCAAAAAAATATCACCGACTCTTTTTTTCTTCGCAATCTTTCAGGCTCTTTCTAGAAATAAAAAGATAGTTTGAATTTCAGCGTTCTCCAACGATCTCAACGGTGAAAGCAATGGAGAGGGAAGCTGCAAGTCCTGACCGAAGTTCTCCACTCTCCGATGTATAATTTTATGTCTCCAGTTTTTAAGAAAATCAAAATTTTTGGAATCTGTCGGTTTTAACGGGGCTCTAATTTGATCAATTGATTTTAAAAACTGTTTTTCCGATTGACGAAAAATCATCATTTTGGTGTTTCCTGAAAATGGTCCTACTGATTTAACCACCCGTGTCTTACGGCTCCTCACAGTTTTCAAAAAAAAACCAGTCGAAAATATCAATTTGAAGCTTTTTTCAGTCCGATACGCTTGAAGAAAGCAACATGAGCACCTGCTCCGAAAATTCGAACACACCCTTGGTTTTTTATTGCTCTTTATCTAATATCGGAAATTATTCAATTCTAGACGAACGAACAGTACAGGGAAGCCATGCGGAAGGAAGGAGAGGTAATTTCAACCTTTATGGAAATATTCACAGAAATAATCGATTCCAGGCTTTCGTGCAAAGAGTCTGCGTTGCGGTTCGTAGGGAATATGCAGAAGTGTATGACGTTGGTTTCAAAATCCTATTCGACATGAATATTAGAAAACTTCTTTTTCAAAAGTATTTTGTTGACCAAGGAAAATGAAAATTGTTCAGTATAACTTTTTCTAACAAAAATGGAAATGATGAAGGTCTGGTTAAAAGTTCTCTAGGTTTTTGGGTAACCATGATAAAAGTTTGTAACTTCCATTACAGGAAATTGTGGAGAACTTGAAGAAGTTGGAGAACTTGAACGATGGGATGGATCAACACATGCAGGAAACGAACGAAATGATGGCGGAGATAAGGGAGGTATTTTGGTCCTTCGGAAACAATTTCAGAAATGCCTGATTCAGTTTAATGAGGCGTTATTGGAAGAAGTCATACGCGTCCACTCCGCAAAAACAATGGAAGAGGTTTGTCTTTGAAATCTATAGAGCTCAAACTTCTAGAAAAATAGGTCTTTCAAAAATTTATTCAACCAATAAAAAAATGTTTTTCCGCATTTTTTTAAAAATTTAATTTGCATCTTTCATGTCCAGAAACCTTTAAAAAGCGATAGCTCTGTTTAGGTTCGGGACGGAGAGGAAAAACTTCTATAAGCGGATTACGCCTTTTGTCAATAAAATCCGAAATTCGGCGGCCCTTCTGGATAAATGATTCGAAGTAACGTTATACAAGGTGTTGTCTGTATATCCTTCCTCTGTTAACTCTCATTTTTCTTGTTGTTAATGAACTTTAAAAAAAGTATTTGTTTTTGTGTTTTTTTATTGTTGCAACGTAACTCCACAAGTCAAATCTATTATCAGAAACAAGAAGAACTTAAAAAAATTTTTGCTGGATCGCAGTAACCGAATTTTCTTCGAAAAATCAAAGCTTTTATTTAAAAAAATTTTTATTTCAACTGTACTCAAAAAAACACAAAATGGAAAGAGTCTGCAGAAACTAACTGATCGAACTTGTTATTTTGCGACTAAAGCAGATTCTGAAAACGAACTCAAAGGATCTCTGAAACCTACAAGCAAGAAAAACAAAGTCCAAAGGGCTTTTCTGAAATTCGCCAAAAGGCAAATTTTTTCTTGTTTTTTTCACTCTTTTCAAAGTATTCCGGTCGCTTTTCCAAACAACTGGAGTCTCTGAAACTTTTTTCTAGAAAGCTCTCTTGGACTTTGCCCTGAAGAAAATGGCTGAAAAGACTAATGTTCGAAATTTTCTCCTACACTGATTTTCGATGTCCAGCAATCTTTAGCGGTTCCATCTGAAAGTTTTGTCCAGTTTCTCTTCAATGCATCTTAACGATGCAATACCGCTGACTTCCTGAAAATTTCGTAGGAATGTTTCATTTAGAGAAGTAAAACTCACAATCGATTGACATTTGAGGTGAGATGCACACCAGGCGGTCCAGCCGCATCTTTCACCTTTGAGTTGCGTGAAGAACCAATTCGGCTTGATGGGCTCTGAAAGAACAGCTAAAATCAGAATGAGTCAGAGAGCTCTTACTTGGCTCCTCCATCGGCTTGCGGATGCACTTTGGGCGGTAGGGCTCGCCATCTTTCTGGAGATTCAATCATACTTTTATTGGCGTTAAATAAAGTCTCAAGCTGATTGGACTCTGTTCTTGCTTTCTTAACAAGAAATTTTATGTTTCTCACCCCTTTCGACTTTTTTTTTCTCATTCCGAAACACTCTTACTCTTACAGTACCGTGCAGTAAGATATATAACTTCCCTTTTTCGGTCATATCTTTTCTAGGAGCTGTCCAACTTTTGTCAAACATCCTACAGTTTTTGTCGTCCGGGTCTAGTTTGGGATCACAGGAAAATTATTTGAATGGCTAATTTTTACAGTAAGCTATAGCCTGAAACCTGAAATCATTAATCAAAAAATTCATAAATAAAAAAAAATTAAGGGATTCGGAACTTAGAGTTTTTTTTTATTTTGGATTATTGATTTATAGTAGAGAATTTTTATAGTATGATAAACTCGAAGTTTCCGTAAACCATAAAAAAATGTGTTCAATAGAAATCTCCTGGCGTAAATCAACCAAAAAAATTTCTTTTTTTAATTTTATCCTGTTTCGGAGATTTTGTTAATGCTGTGTAATTTATTTAAAAAAATGAGCTGTCAAACCGATTTTTTTCTGTGATAACTGCACCCGTAGGAAAAAAACTTAAAAAAAGTTTGACAATATATGGTCAACTCCTCGAAACGTTATGACAAAAAAAGTGAAATTATATATCTTATTGTATGGTACATTTCAAGCGTATGGCATGTACGCAAAAAAGATTTTTCAGTTCTCCGGAACTTTTTAAAACATATCAGAGATGCACGGAAGTATCAGAGATGCACGGAAGTAAAATTGAGAATGCGGAATGCGGAACGCGGAACGAAATTAGTTTTTGCAGAACGCTAAAAAAAAGCGCGAAATGCGGAATGCGGAACGCGGAACGCGGAATCCCGTGCATATCGCACTCACCTGGAATACAAGAAAGTCAATCCAATTTCTCACTTTCTTCAAGACCTCTAAGAAAAATGAAACGCACATTGAATAAATCTTCGACTTTTTGAAAAATTGTAGAGTGAAAAAAACTCACCATCTTGTAGTCGCAAACTAAACCGTCCCCGCACCAACGAAAGAGACTGCAAAAGTCTCCCTCGAGTTCTTCGAAGAAGAATCCTTTCTCTAAAAATCAAAAAAAAAAGACAATAGAAATAAAAACTCACTTTGCGGGACGTTGAAGTAGTCGTCGTAGATTTTCTTGCGGTCCCGGTCTTCCATTCCCAGCGACCAACCGACGAGTAGGAAGACGAGGACGATCTTCAAGGTCGACATGCTCGAGGACCTTCAGCGGATCAACTTAACTCGGTCGAGGGGCGGACCAGACAAGCTGGCTGCTTCCTCGTGATACACTCATCAGTCTCCCCCTTTTTTTGCAGATAGAGGCTCTTGAACCCCCCTCCCCCAAAAAAAGATCTGACCGATTGCTTTCTCCTCCTCTCTGGAGATGTTTTTAGAAAGAAGCCGGAACCATTTTTTTTTTTCTGAGTTTCTCTGCGATACAAAGCTTAACAAGTCTCATCATTCTGGATCCTCTGGGATACTCTAAAAAGGTATGCAGAGTCATTAAAAGAAAATGCCGTATATTTGGTTCGGTCGGTTTTTTGGAAGGTTTTTCAGATGACGTTTCGTTTCGCAACTCCCTTTTACAAGGCTTTGTAGCAAGAGGAAACGATCGAAAGGAGACTTCACTTTACTGTTTCAATTTTATTTTTGCTCAGTTTTTGAGAAAAAAGGAAAGTTATCATTAAAAAAATTTTTTTCTCACAGCTCCAGCTTTCTTTGAATATAATTTGAAAATATCGTTATCATATGTCGCGTAGTTGATAAATATTGTATCATCTCTTTGATTGAGTCCTATTTAATAATATGCAGTTTGAGTTTTTTTTTTTCAAATGTCAGTATACAACATTAGAAGAGTTTATTTGACAAGAAAAGAAGCAAAGCAGCTGGTTTTGCATAAACACAAGCGAATTGACAAGAAAAAAAAGTCCAAGAGACAAAGGGCCGGAAGGAAAAATTCAGAAGCTTCAAACTTGAAAATTTTCTTCGACTTCGTTTCTCAAACGGTGAATCAGCGGCTTAAAAGCAGAAAAAGCGAGCGTCTACCATGAGATGGGAGGGAAAGTTCTTCATCGGCCCCCTTTATACATATCCCAGATGGATCGGGTCTGTGGGACCCTGACGCATCTCGACTCCGTTTTTCCCTTCGACAGCTTCTGAAAATTCATTTTTTCATGAGTTGAAACTGAACGAAGGGAAACTCACCACATCTATGCATTCCAATGGATCGGCACACCATAAAAAGGAGTTGCAGGTCTGATTCTCCACTCGCGAGAAAAGCAAGGTCGGCCGGACTAAATCGGAAGTGGAAAATGGAAATGAGAAAATGAAAACGGACTGTCTGGAAGGACGCTGTTTAATTTAACACAAGTCGAGTTGTAGACTCGAACGTGAATCTGAAGAACTCAAATTATTGCAATTTAGAGTTTTCGATGACCGATTTTTGATAGTTTTTGGCTAAAAGTCTTTATACAACCTCATATGCTCGAAAAAAAGTTTTATCATCTTCTCAAGAACTCACAGTGCGGTAGAAGCAAACTAAATCCGTTCCACACCACCGGAAGGTGTTGCAGTGTTCTCCTTCTTGGCCTTGGAAGAAAATGCCTCGAGCTAAAATGGAGAAAATATTTAAAACATCGATAAATAAAAAGCATACGTCTTCTGCTTCTTCTCGAACTTTCTTCGACCTTGTCGTAAGTAGCCCTCACTTCCTGAACTGCTTCTGGGTCTTCCACGAAAAAGCCACCAGCTGAGAAAAAAAATTGAAGGCCTATAGACTCAAAACAACATACTCTTCACGCTCCTTATGCGACGGCTTTTGTTGACTTGGTCAGCAGCTTCTTCAACTTCTTGGAGAACTTCCAGGCCTTTGAGAAATGTGCCTTCTATAATAGAAAAAGTAGATATAGTTATTAGGATGAAGAGATACCTCCACGAGCAACTTTTTCGTTGGGCTCCGAGCCGTCCGATTCTGCGTCTGGAATTGGAAATGTTAAAAGTGTTGAAATTTAAAAAAGCAAGCTTGAATTAGAACATACTCGAAGAATCTTCGGTTTTCTTGACTTCTTCCGAAGTTTCACCGACTTCTTGAGTTTTTCGACCTCCATCTACTGCTCCGTCTTGAAATGAATATATTCAAGCAATGTCAATGAAGAGAGAAGAACATACTCGAAGAGATCTCTTTGTCGATCTTCTCGACCTTTTCCGAAGTTGCCTCGATTCCATGCGGGTTTCCGTGCGGGTGTTGCTGGGGCTCAGCCGAGGGTTCCGTTTCTAAAATAAGAAGAAGTGAAAATATTCGAACAAAGATTTTTAAAACAAATATAAAAGAACATACGTGGTAGGCTTCCGAGTTGGTTCGCGACGTGCCCTTCAAGCTCTTCGGAAGTTTGCTGAACTTCTTGAGAAGTCGAGCAGGCCACTAACGCCAGGAAAAAGGCGAGCTTCAGTTTCAGTAGCATGCTCGGCGGAGTTCGGACTGTGAAGTGAACTCGACTTAGGGGTGGGGCCAGACAAACCGACTGCTCTGAAAAAAGTCTTTCTTTCGATTCATCAACCTCAACCAATGCACCGTGGGCTGAGGATCTTAGAATGATGAATCTCTAGAGGAGTTCTTTTACGAAAAAAAGGCTGGAGCCGTTTTTTTCTGATCCCTGTTCCCGACAATCTTTCCGAAGTTTAGCTCTTTGCAGTTGATGGATGTTTGGTAGATCTTTTGGGAAGAAACTTCACAAAACTTTTCGAATTTGTCTTCTTTTTTTTAACAAGAAGAACATGAGTCTCAGTGTTAGTTTCATGAACAGGAGCCCAGAGTTGAAAGAGTTGAATGAATAAATATATCATTGAAAATTTCTTGGAGTTTTTGATTGAAAGTTTATGTTTGTTTTTAAATGAGCTGAGAGCTTTTCTGGGCGAATTTTAAAGTTCAAAGTTTTATCTTTTTCACTGAAACTTTACTAAAAAAAGCCCCCTGAAAAGTGAGGTCCACTAAGAGAAATCTCTTCTTCCAGAAATTACAACTTAATGAAAAATTATGATGATAAATATTAGAACTTGCTCATTGGCTCTTCCGAAACATTCACATCTTCATCGCCAAAAAAACTTTGAGATGTGATTCTTTCCTTCTTGATTTTCCATTTCTTTGTTCCAAAGCATTTATAACAACAAAAAGAACAGAAAATTTATTCGTAACGTGAAAATTATCCGTAGAAAAGCGGAGCCTTGACTCTGCAGAACATGCCAGGTTTCTTCATTTTCTCCTGAAAAACTTGGATCTTTGATTTATTCTCCCAGCAAAAATCATACAGGATTCCTGGTGCATCGAAGTCCCGAGCCGCACCACGAAATCACGGAACACGGGTCACCTTCCTCTTTATCGAAGAACCATTTGCGCTCCGCTGCAATCGAAACCACATGGAGTGGTGATATTAACAGAAACCTTTTGGAATGATTTCGGCAGTCACGAAGGCCAGTAAAACCAGTAAAATAAAGGTTTTGAACAACATTGAGAGAACAAAGTGGTTTTTTTTCAGAACCTTTGTTATATTTTTTTCAATTTCCAATTATTTTGAGACACGGTCTGTTGTTAATTGAAGTTTGGGATCTTGAAAAAAATTATGTTCTTTAGAACATTGAAATTGATTGTTGGGATAGTGTGGATTTTTTTTTGACAATTTTCAATACGTCCGTAGAAGGGCTCTAAACGTAAGGGAAAATTGCGGTCAAAGTGTGGGGTTTTGCTTAAGTCGTTTTTGGTCGGATGCAGCTTTTTGAGAACAACTTCAAAGTCATTGATAGTGAAACCCTTCTCCTTTCAATCAAGTTGTCGATGTTAGAGAGAAATTATTATAATTTCTAAAAGATTGCGGTGAATTTTCTCAAAAAAATTATAAAAAAAGTTTGAAACAGGAAGGTCATATTCTTTTTGTTTTTCATGATAATTAGCTCAAAAAAATGAGCCTTTCCGCATCAATCGATGTTTAAAAATAGTAATTTGAGCAGGGTGGTCCTATAAAACTTGTACTTTTGATTAATCTTCTTTTACACCAGGGAAATGCTGAAAAGTCAAGTAAACCGGGTGGTCCGATTGGTTTTTTTGAGAGATTCTCCCTTGAGAGCTCTTCTCTTCTTTTTTTATTCAAGCAACAGAACGGCTTTCTAAACTGAAAGGAAGAACACTTTTGGAGAAATTTGAGTGAGCACAGCTTCCAACGTTGCAGTCGTTTGATTTTGAACTGAGTGCAAAAATTTTTGCAAAATTGTCTCAAATTTAGGTTTTTTCTATAACAGTGAGTTTGATGAGATTTTCGCTTTGATACACATAAGGTATATGACTTGAAAGTTGAGGGTCAAATTTAATTTCAATCATAAAGCCGATTTGAAAAATATCTTCCACCGGCTTTTCTAAAAAATTCGAAAATGATTAAACCCTGGAAACATTTTTTTTTTTCAAGTTTCAGAGCTTTAAAAGTATCCTCCATTGAAGCTGGAGTTGAGGGTCAAACAAATAAAAAAAGTACCTGACAGGGTCGCCGCCTTTTCTTAGCCTTTTTTTCCGGAGAATGTTCAGTAGTGAACAACCTTCCTATGAACCATCCAAAACCAGCAAAAATCTTCATTTCAAGTCACTAAAAAAACTATTTTTAAACCTGCTTTTTCATTTTCTTTCTCTTTCAAAAAATATTTCATTCTGCAAGGACTTCACAGACGCCAGTCATGTGAACTTCCGTTCAAAGCAGAAAAAGGCAAAAAACTTATTTTGAAATTTGAATTATAAAACCGGGGTTTTTGCATATTTCTAGATCGTCTCAGAAGGTTAAACAACGACCCAAGAAGTCCAGAAAGGACCTGACTGCATAATTGGATAGTTGAGGGTACGACACCTGCGGTGAAAATTGCGTGCTTCGAAAGCATTTCCCGCATTTCACGTTGCTTTTACGCTCATTCCACTTTTCGACACGATGAAGAATCGCGCCGCTCGAGGTGAGTTCTCTATTCGAATTTCTTGGTTCGACTTGAAGCTCTATGATGGAGTTTCAAGTAGTGACTTGAAGAAGTTGAGTTTGAAATGTTCCTCTGAGAGATTGAATTAAGGACCACCCACGAAGAAAAATGCAAAAGCTGAAATCTGGTGGATTTTTTCAATAAAGTTGTCACTTAAGACACTTAGGGGAAACTGAAAAATGGTAAATCAAAAATACTGACACTTAAAGGATATTTTCAAAACTCCCTGCTCTTCGTAAAATGCTTTAAATTTTTCGCTTTACAGATTTAATTTTGGGGAGTCCTTCTATAGCGAATTATTAGTTCTTCGGACTTCTCTTAGAGTTTTCCATGTTTCCAAGTTTTTCCTCTCAAGTTGTCACTTAGATTTTCCTCCGCTGGAAAAGTGCTTCAGTGGAAATCAAGGTAGTTTTGAAGAGCCCATTATGTTGTCAATAATTCACAGCCTTTAGAACACAGGTGACCGAGGTGTTGAATTATTCCAGAGTCGATTTTTGTCAGAAGTTCACGGGAACAGCTATAGTCAACGAGTTTAGTACAAGAACTTCGCTGAAAACGTCGTTTTCTTCAAGCCAAACGGCTTTTTTCTAAAGTTTTGCAAATGCAGTCAGCCATCTTCCGAAAAATAAATTTTGCGTCTCCTTTTCTTTTTCATTTTTCAATAGCTTATTTTGTCATTTAGGCTAGAATTCAATTAACCAAATTGACTTAAAAGGGTCTTCAAACGATTCCAAGCTTCCCACCCAATCGGATAAGAAATGCAAGCGAACCGCGTAAAAGTGCACTGGCCAGGAGCTTGTCTTCATTTTTTCGAAGGCAACATTTTGGGAGCCCGGAAATGCTTGTTTAGTGACTTTTTTGAACGGCTGACTGCTCTCGCGACCCACCTCATTAACCTCTGAGCGCGTTTTCCTCCTAGTGTTCAGCCGCTTCTTTTCAGGTTTTTTGAATATATTCATAGATAAGCTCATTTTATTGGAAAGTCCAGGATTATGGAGGAAGTGGAAAAAAAATTTGAAACAGCAAAAATTTCGAACGATAATTTTCAGGTTCCAAGAAAAATATTCAAAAAAATTCAATTTTTTTGATATTTTTTTCATAAAAGTCTCAAGGTTTTCCTTCAATGTTCTTAAAACTGTGCAAGCTTGGGCGTATCCGTGAAATCTTTTTATGGTTGTTTTTTTTTCATTACTTTCATAAGCTCGTTTTTTCATCTTTCTCAGATTGCTCGAAAACCATTTTTTTTAAAAATAAAATGAAGTCTTTGCCCATGAAATATTCTTATATAAACCCCCCCATTCCAGTGCAACTTTTTTTCAGAGCTCATAGAGGAAAGACTGATGGGCGTGCGCGACCCGAGGACGGTTAGGAATTTTTTTTCACAAGAATATAAAAAAACACAAAAATACAGATTGGAGAAGCAGTTCAGCGATTTTTTTCGACAACACCACCGCCCATGGTCTTCCAAGAATATCGAATGCTCGAAATCACAATGGCAAAATGTTCTGGGTCATTGTTTGGCTCACTTTCTTCACTATTTTTTTCTAATAGAGGTGAGTTTTTTTCAAACACAAGGTCTTATTTGCCAAAAAAACTTTTTTTCTATGAAAAAAACTCATTTATCTCAATTTTTCCTACGTAAAAATGAATTTAAAAATATAATAAAAATTTTTTTGTCTTTGTTTGAGCTACTTCTTCCTCATAGGACGCTACGAAGCGCAAGTAGTTTCTGGTCGGACGCGTTTATCAAAATCCTCTAAGCGTTCCGGCTTCTGAAAAAAAAAACAGAGTATGGTGGAAATTGAACTTAAAATTACATCAAAAGTGCATAATTATACCAGCTGACCCCCATAATTACAAACCTAATCCGGTTAGCAGAGACAAATTAGCACTGTTGTAATGAAATTTAACGTGAGCTTATGCTCCAGACAATGCTGCTGCTCTCAAAGTACCACGCGAGTCATCCAATTACGAATGTCAAGGTTCGTTTTCGTTCTTAGTTTGATCCGTCTTCTGAGATGTCCGTGTATGATTTTTTTTTTTCGAAAGGCGAATTTTTGGCTTTATTCGGGGGTTTTGACTGGGAAAAAATAATTTTAATGCACATTTTCAAAATGAAAAGTTTTTGACCGCATAAGTGGTGTAATGGCTAATACGCTTGTTTCTCAATATAAAGACCAGGGTTCAAATCCTCTTGGTTGTTTTTGACGAATTTTCGCCTTAAGTCACTGGAAAACTTTACGAGGTTCTCATGGCTGCTATATTTTCTTGCGTTCCTCATTTGAAAAAAAAAACCCGGTAGTCGACCTCAAACCAGAAAGAAAAACCAACTAAAGCGGTTTTTCTCCATTCAACCCCTAGCATTGTCTCCAGGGGTCCGCCAACCTTCTTCGAAAATTGAAAGAGTTCAACTTGGAAGTTACTCTCTCAATTACAACCAATAGACGTCTCGTGTTTTTGTTTTGGCTTTCTCAAAACTTTGGCACTTCACCTAATGGGTACCTTTTTCTGGGAACCTAAAAAAAATTTAGACGAAAAAATTCCACTCCTCTGCTTCTAATGGTTTTTTGTCACTCTTCACTTCAATTTTATCCAAAAAGAAGCAAGGATCGTGCCCAATTTATCAAATAAAAAACTTACACTCCAAGAAAAAAAGTCATTTCCCTCCAATAAGCTCCCATGCATTTCAAATTTGCAGGTTTTTTGTTTTTACTTTTCTGAGACTCGTCCTTTTAGCTTTCCTTTCTGAAAAAAAACTTGGTTGTGTCCGCTGTAAACAATTACCGGAGCGTCATCTGCGTATCACTTTTGGGAGCTCTATGGAAGTGTTTTTTTTTTGAGTTTTTAGAGCTTTCCAACTTTACTCTAATCCTGAGAGGATGATTTCTATCCTGTGTTTTACAGCCTTTTGTGAATTTTAATCATATCTAAAGGGAACGGTTGCATTTCTATTACTTAAAGCGTTGCGGTTGCGTTGCGGTCATAACCCAAAACCGATTCTTACTTTTTTAACTGTTAACCTTTGGGTACTCAAAAACCAATCCTTTTCTCAAAACTTCTGTCCCACATTCAATAGACCTTCAATAATTTTCCCCGGCTGAAAACTCTGTTCGAACTCTGAAAAGACGGCAATTGACGCATTCACCGTCGCTTAAAAGCCCGAGTTCCGGTGTTCGGTTTTTTTCTCCATTTTGACGAAGAAAGTCCAAGGTTTAGTGCGAGACTAGTCGCTTGTCCCAGAAAATAGTAACATGTTTTGCTCGGCTCATCAATTTTGTTTTGAAATGCGTACGGATCAGCTGCCGTCCACAAGCCCTTTGCACGTTGTTTTGTCAACCTGCTGAGGCTTTTCAAATTTTTGCAAATTCTTGTTTGTGTTCTTGATCTTTTGAGCTATTTCGGATAGGTTTTGTTCAAAAAGTTGAGGATTTTTGAAGTGTTGGCTCTAACTCCTATGGCCAATTTCGAAATTTGAAGTCTAATTTTTTGATCTACGTGGGCCATGATTGTTAGTCATTTTTATGTCAAATGCGTATCAATCTTTCCGCGGATCCATCGCAAAATTTTCTCTAGAATATTTACAGAGCGAAAGTCGTTTTGCGGTCGGTCGCACTTTTTGAAACAGCCCTGGAGCCGCTACGCATTGAGCCATTCTCCATGCAACTTATAGGATACTTGATAACCGATATCAGAAAAAAATTTTCTAGTTCACGTTTTTCGAAAGATGAGACGGAAACTGATCTTTGCCGCTTCAAGGCTCAGCTTTCCTTTACACAATCTCCAAAAATTTCGGTTCTTTTACAAGACATTCTTTGCACCAACAGACCATTGAGACTTTCCGGTCCTCCTTTCACTTCTGAATTTATCCATCCATGCGTTCCATTCCAAATGAAAAAACCACTGTAACCTATGACTCAGCAGACTTTGGCCTCGATTGGGCACTGGACCATGATTCCTGCAGAAAAATGCTTCGACGTTCCGTTTTCGTCATTCTTTCTATGTTTTTTTCAGTTGAAGACTTGGTTTCATTTTATTAAAAAACAAAAAATTGTTGAGTAGAGCAAAAAACTATTTTTCCGAGTTGAGGTGTTGAAATTTGAGTGAAAAATTATTGACAAAGTGGTAAAATACGAACAGTTGCGTTCGGAAAAAAGTGTCGGTTTTGACTGAAGTATTGTCAGAAGTTTTCCAAAACACCTTTGCCGCTTATTTTTTCACCTTCACAGCCGCAGGGAATGTTTTTCGTAGTTTTCCGTTTCATTTGCATTTCAAAAATCCATTATGATTTTCGAATGAAAGCCTTACTTTGCTTGAAACTTTCATATACGATAAGTGCATTCTCAAAACTTCGTCTCATTTTCTCAACCGACCAAAAACGGCTTGCGCTTTTCAATAGCTATTCCTAGAAGTTTTCCATCAGCCTCCTGTCCTCACAAGATCGATCATGTAGCGCTTTACAGCCTGCTTCATCTTTAACCTTCCCAACGAACTTCGTTCTAGTTGAAAGCTCGAAGACTTTTTTCTCACTTTCCGGCTCGGAAAACCTGTCAAAAGCCGCCGCCAACTGGGTAAATGACAAGAACAAGTGACGTCGTTGGCTGGCAAGAGGATGACTTACGGCGTGTAGGCGGCGGCCGACTCGAAACATGTTAACAGCAGCTGATGGGCACGAAACCTCGGAACCGTGATTAATGTTCGAGACAGTGACCCTTGCAGCCCGATAATTTGTCAACCAAAGACTTTTCGCTGCGCTAGGAACTTGCAAACTTGTGCATACTCCACCAAATTCAAAAAAAATACTCTCATTGTTTAATTCAAAAAATTATCTAATTAAATCAATTTTTGTATAACAAATTTCTGCTTTGGCCAAATATGACGGCTTTATTTTGCGTGGCTTTTTGAAAACATGTCTTCCGAAAAATTGCTCTTTAGGCGTTTCTGAAGCGTAGGGAGAGCGTTCTGACTGGTTTAGAGATGCGCGATGTCGCACACGAAGTCGCACCAGATGCAGTTTTTCACGCTGGCAGCTCGTCTAATCCTCAAAGACACAAGATCTGATCGATTTCAGACTGTGATTCACTAAATGCAGTTTTTCAAGCCGAACCGGATTTTTTCAAGCTGATCTCAGAAACCGTCACGGAAGTTTGTGAAAAAGTTAGAAACACTACAACTAGTCAAAAACTCCGAAATTTTTTTTCATATCCAGAATTCTGCCAAACACTGAGTCATCTTCCCATTTTTTTGAAGAACGCAATGCGGAGCACAGTAACACCTGACGCTACGGATTGTAATCTTTTTCCAAAAAAAAGAACGGCGAGACCAAAGACATCTTTTCGACGCTCTCTGAAAAAAAAAGACAGGAAATGGCATAATTTTAGGGAAATTTCTTGAAAAAACAATGACAGCCCAAGAAATCTTTCTCAGTAATAACAGCAGTTGTCAAGGTCGGTTCAAAGGCAAGACTTGATTTGAACTTTTTTGAGAGATTGATTCTGTTTTCCAGAGAATTCGTTTGAAAGAAATGGTCCAAACGTTCTTTACTCACTGCCAACATCCCCAAAAAACTTGAAAATTCATTCCAGACAGCATTGTCTCATTTATTTGTTGTTGAATTCGACCAAAACAAAGAAATCTTGCATAAAAGGTATCCAAGACTTGGCCGTAAACGCTTTCTCACCTATGCAAATACGCATTAATCTCAAATGCGTTCGAATTTGTGGCTTTTTGGTGGAGTAGGTAAACGGCCATTTTTCAATTGTCCAATTTTTTAAGGCCACCCGTGTTCGGGTCCACTTTTCCAGTGTTGTTCTTGGGAAAAAGTGTTTTCGGTTCTGTCTTAAGGAGAAATTGAGTTGAACTTAACACTCAGAGCATAGTGGTAGACTTGAATAAAAGGCTCTCCTCGCAGAAAAACTTTGGCCAACTTTTGTACCAAAAAATATCATTTCAAGCAAACTGACTCAATGTCACAGACATTCTACGACTTGCGCCGATTTCTATTTTATTATTTTTTTGAAGGTTCAATAGGAATCTTGAACTGTTCAACACATATACTGTAATTTCATCAATTTTTGCTGACCTAATTATTTTTTTACTCCTGCGACCTTTTTCCACCGCTTTTTCATATAATTTGAGTTTCTTACTGTCATTCCATGTAAATCCTAGACACAGGATGTCAACCAGAAAACGAAAAGACGTCCTACCGCCCTACGACCGCTACATCTACAGCAACAAAATTGAACACAAAAAGTCCCTCGATGATGATTACTACGAAGCCGGATGTTGCGGTTTCACAGGATTCATAAAACGAAAGCTCCTCGAATTCGCTGACAAGACTACGGCTCACGGAGCCAAACGAATATTGATTGCTCGAAACAAATTCGCCGCTTTTCTATGGGGCTTGATTATTGCGGTTTTCCTTCTTATGTTTTTGTACCAAGCAGCCAAGCTGATTGTCAAGTACAACGCTCACGAAAAAATCACGGACATCTCGGTTTTTATAATTATTAATATTTGAGACGGAATAATGAAATTTCAGCTCAAATTCGACCATGTCGAGTTCCCAGCCATCACTTTCTGTAATCTAAACCCTTACAAGAAAAGTTTGGTGATGATGGTCCCATCTATTCGGGATACGGTGAGAAACAAGAGACTTTTTTGAGTTATTTGTTGATTTATTCCAGATGGATGTGTACGATAATGCCAAAACTCATAGTAAATCAGAAGAAGAGAAGAAAAAGCCGAAAAAGACGAGAAAGCAACATTCCGACTTTGGTCAAAAAATGGTAACTTTCAATATTTCCTACAATCGCCAGATTTTCAGGATTATAGTGAGAAATGAAAATTTTCTAGGTCATGCAACTTTTCGCGAAAGAAATTGAAGAAGGCATGGAGGAGCTCAGAAAAAACAGGCAGTACAGCCTGACATCGTCAGACAGAAATAAAAGAGCTGTAAAATTATTCTTTCCATTTTTTTTTTTGAATATAGTTTTTAGGCCCCCTTTCGGCGTTATGAAGCAATCGAGGCGCATTGCAAATGCGTCGGAAGCCTCGATATGGAGTGTATTCGATTCGAATCTCCACCCAGGGATGCGGTAGGGATTTTTCTATTTGACTGAATTCAATCTTGAATTTTCAGACATCGAAATGTGTTTGTACTTATGATAGGGAGATGGCAGTCGCCTGGCCCTGCTTCAATCAAAGGTTCATTTTTTCTGAGGCTCTATTTTTTGGTACGAAATATTCCCAAAATACCGTGTCTTGAACTTGAAAAAGTCATTTTGCGTTTTCTCAGTTCTAAACAGATGGAATTTTAACCACTAATGATGTGACTAATTTCTTAAAATCTTGTCTTCTAACTTCAATTTCACTTTTTCCAGCATCTGGTACAATCATGAATGCCCATTCTGTCATGACGACGGCTATTGCGAGGCGACTTTGGCCCCAGAACAACCTTTGAACAGCACTTGGCCTTGTATGTGCCGTAGTCGAACCGAAGGTTCTGATGTCGATGACGTAAGTTGTCTCTTCAAAAAGAGTGAAATCCATTTTTCTTAACCTTGGCATTTCCCTTTTTAACTATGCATGGCTAATCTTTGCTCTTTGCTTTCAGCCGCTTGAACTGAAATATGGATTTGAGAAGGTTTGATGGGTCAATAGAAATGTCTGAAGTAGAGCTTTCCGTTTATTTTTTTTGTTTTTAAGCATGTTAGTTCTGCAGTTTTCATTTTTCTCAGTTCTTATTATTTTTCAATGTTTTTCTCTTATTTCACTTTTTTGTTTCAGACACCTTACTGCATTGGAAAAGCTGGAGCCGGACCAGTCGCCATTCGGAAACTGTGGATCGAGTCGAACATGAGCACCAGCACAACGACGGAAGAACCTACGACTACTACTACCACCACGAGTAGAAGAAAAATTCTGATTTCTGATTGAAAATGATTCTCTTTCTAGCAACAACAACAACAACGACGACGACAACGCCTCCAACAACGACAACAGGTAAATCTATTCCTAAAATTCTAAAAATGAAAATGAAAAAAGTATTTTGCACTGCCTGTTTTGCTTCTGGATCCCACTGCTTCTAGTGATAGAAAAGCTTGGCTTATGCTTTGAACAAAAAATGTTTTTCACGATTGAAACTTTGAGACGAAAATGATCGGAAGGTTGCAATCGTGAAAAATAGAGCATTTCTCCGTGTGTGCTTCGTGAAATTAGTTATAGTTTTTCATTAGTTCCATCGACTACAACGAGCACCAGCACTACCACAACTACAACTCCAGCTCCAACGACGACTCCTAGCACAACCCCAATGCCTACGACGCCATCTACAAGCACGACTACCACAACTGAAGCTCCCACAACGACTTCTACGAGCACCAGCACCACAACTGAAGCTCCCACAACGACTTCTACAACAAGTACTTCTACAACCCCAGCTCCCACAACGACATCCACCACTACCCCCATGCCAACGACGACTTCTACCAGCACGACCTCTACAACTCCAGCTCCTACGACTACTTCTACAAGCACCAGTACCACAACAGAAGCTCCCACGATGTCTTCTACCACTTCTACTCCAGCACCTCTCACGACTACAGAAAAACCATTCTTCGTTGTTGAAAAGAACACCAGTGGTGTCCGGTTTTCAATCAGTTAGTTGCTTGGTTTCATTTGCTTTTAGAAATGAGGTTTTGGCGCCGAAAGCTTTTGCGAAGCTCAAATTTTAACCCCTGTAAATTTTTTTGAAGAAATAATGGGAAAAAGTCAAAGAAAGGTACTGCTTTTGAGCTTTATCGCGCCAGAATGTCATTTTTGTTGGGTTCTACTAGTTCTAGGAGTGCTTGTCTGGATCTTCTATACTGTTCTTTAGGCCATTCCAAATGCGGTCATTTTTAACGAAAGTAGAAATCTTTCTCAATATTGAATGGGTACATAAAATTGACCGGTTCTAAACTTGAAACAGAAATTTCACCTAAATGTTGACTAACTTCCTAACTTCATACTTTTGAAGGAAATTTTTCAGACCTGCCACCTCCACCAAAAAGCAACCAAAGGGCAATCGTTACAAATCCAGAGACAATCAAAGCTATGGGTTTCTCGGTCAGATTTCGCCCGATTTCCAGAATAAATGTTCCATTTATTTTAGGGAATGACCGACGGAGTGGCTATGCTCACAAAGGCAAAGGAAAACTTGATGTTTACCATGGCGGCCTTGTCAGTTCAACAAAGGATCGCCTTGAGTCAAAGCAAGCATGAATTCATTGAAATGTGTTCTTTCAATGGAAAGGAGTGTGATATTGATGAGTTCGTTGGTTTTCATCAGGTTTAGTACGAAATAATGATTTTCAGAGACTTTCGACTACATGTTGATCCAGAATTCGGTAACTGCTTCACTTTCAACTATGATGTGAATAATAATTACACTAGCAGTCGAGCTGGTCCCATGTATGGTGAGTTTATTGAATTGTCGATAAGAAGCATCTGATTCGCTTGATGTTTGAAAAAATGCGCTGTTTCACAATAGCTTGTTGAGAGGAATGGAGACATAAAGAATAGGTAGAAAAATTGGAATTTGCATGGAAATTCAGATTTTTTCACAAATAAAAATGAATAGAATGACGAAAAACCTCGATTTCAATCCAATATTGCAAGAAGCTTTTTTCAAAGATCGATAAAAAACTTCTAAAATATTTCCTCACGCCCGAAAATGGATGTTGAGCTCGTCTTTTTCCTTTCCAACAGTTTTTTTATTTTCTAGGAATCCGTGTTCTCCTCTTCGTGAACACTTCGGACTACATGTCAACCTCCGAATCTTCTGGGGTTCGGCTCGCGATTCACCCACCTACGGAATATCCTTTTCCTGACACCTTTGGATATTCAGCTCCAGTTGGCTTCGCAAGCAGTTTTGGTATCAAAAAGGTTTTTTATGATTTTAGAATGTTTCATTACTTTCTGATTTACAGAAAAATTATGCAAAGATTGCCGGCGCCTTACGGGGAATGTGTAGAATCGAAAGAGATCAATAACAAGGACTACATTTACACTGGTTACGACTATCATCCGGAGGTTTGGAAATTATCAATAGTTTTTGAAGCTTTTTATATGATCATTAAGTTCAGGATCGAGTTTCATGAAATTTTTTTTGATCAAAAAGTTTTTAACAACCTAAAGTTACTCTAGGAAGTCTCTTTGCCTCTTATTGATCGAAGTTTTTTAGACTTAAGTAAAAAGTTAAGAGCGCACTACACATATAAGATCAAAGCTTATTCGTGTACCTCGGGTCAAAGAACGATGACCTATCTAGAAGAAAAGAAAATGAAAAAAGGATTTTTCTGGTACGCCTACACAGAAGCTCGTTGTATGAAAAGCCACCGCTTGGGGGAAAAAAAGGCTAGGAAGATAGAACAATCGTTGTCTACGCGTGGTAGACATTCCTGGTACTCCTACACAGAAGTTCGTTGTATGAAAAGACAGAACTCTCCGAAAAAGAAGGCTAGAAAAAAGAACAGGCGGTCTGCGTGTGGTAGACATTCCTGGTAGATCCTTGCTCTTGGTACTCTTACACAAGAGCTCGTTGTATGAAAAGTCATCGTTTAATGAAAAAAGGCTGGAAAAAAGAACATGCGATGTCTGCGCGTGGTAGACATCCCAGGTAGATCCTGGTTCCTGGTACTCCTACACAGAAGCTCGTTGTATGAAAAGACAGAACTCTCCGAGAAAAAAGGCCAGAAAAAAGAACAGTCGCGTGATTTAAAGCCGCGGTATATGCAACACCGCGAACAACTGTCCGAAAAAAAGCTGGACCCCATTATTTGAAAAATGGCTGGCCTCTTGGAGAATGCAAAAAGTTGTTTGCGACGTCTGGAAATGAAAAAGATTCGGAGGTCCAAGTTGAATGGGGGGCCAGAAATATTTTCGAAATAAACTTGGAATGAATTTTAATGAGAGGATTTCAAACGAATTTCCTGAAAAGACCAAAAACTTGTAATTTTCCTTTTTTCAGAGGCTCCATGAAAATTTTTCTATTCAGGGCTGTCATCGAAGTTGCTTCCAAAGCGGCCTCATCGAAGATTGCTCCTGTGGAGATCCCCGTTTCCCTGTCCCAGAAGGCAAGAAACATTGTTCTGCCTTCAATGCGACAGCTCGTCAGTTTCCAATGCATTTTTATATTCAACGTACTTTTCCTCAAGGAAGTTGCCTGGAAAAGAACATCGGATCCGTTGGCGACTTCCATCATATCACTGAGAAGATGCATAATTGTGTCTGCAAGCAGTCTTGCACTGAAATCATCCATGAAGTGACCTTTTCCGCCAGCAAATGGCCTTCTGGAGCTACTGACGTGAGTACTTTCTTTTTTCTGCAGAAACCGGTATTAAATTCCCGATTTTTGGCTACAAGACCTCTAAACAAAAACGTTAAAAAGTTTATTGAACACTTTTCCTTTTTCCGTTTTGAAGTGACTTGAATAAGAATTTTGACGTCACCAAGACTATTAGACACCAAAAAAACGAAATTCGAGGGACAAAATTTTTTGCTGGGGTGCTTTAGAATGAATTTCCATTAAGTAGGAACAGATATCCAAAAGTTTCCTTTGTGGGAAAGTCACACACTTTTTATCAAATCTGGCCCATGATAGTAATAAAAAAGGTTTACAAATTATTTATTTTTTCTCTTAAAATGAACTTTTTTCAAATATAGATAGGGACCGCAGACGAATTTTCAAAAAAATTTTTTCAGCATTGAGCTTTGTATGGTTCGATAGCTGTTTCGATTCAAAACTCAGAACCGTTTAGTTTTTCAAAAAAGATTGAGGATGAAAAAAAGTTATGACGGAAAAGGTGGCGCGCCGCGCACCATGTTTTTTTAGTACTGAAAATTTGGTATTTCCATTTTTTTGACATTTTTTTCTCGATTTTTTTCTTCTAGAACAAGTTTTGATACTGGTCTATTATGATGTAACAAATCATAATAGAGTGCTGAAATGATGCTAATCAGCTAGTTTGCCGAAAAAAGTCGGTATTTTCCAGAAAAACAAAAAAACTGGCGCTTTCGGGCATCGAACTCGCGACCTCAAAATGTAAAAATCGGAGCGCACGCGTTGCGCCAAGCTGTTAGGTCCAACGCGGGGAGCTTCCATCCCCCATACCCTTGAGCCGTTTGAATAGCACAGATTGCCTATTTCAAAAAAATAAAAAAACTTGAAGTAATTTAGCTATTTTTTTATCAGAATATGTTCGCAAATCTTTACTCAAACGTTTCGTGGAAACTCACTTCGAAAAAAACTGTTTTTTTAGTGCTTTTTGCCTCGTTTAACGATCGCTGCATTAAAACGGCCCCGTAAATTTTTTTGGCAAAGACGAATTTTTTTATTTTATTCTTTTTAATTGAAAGATTTTTTTACTAATAAATGTATATAATCGTTTGAAAAAAACCTGCGTTCGACCGCTTTCTGTGTGATAAACGCCGCTAATTTTTTTCTCTAGTTTCAAGAGCATTTTTTTGCGTATTAAACAACTTTTTTTCAAGCACAGGTGCTGTGGAGAAAAATTTAAGTAAGACCATGGTCTAAATTTTGAAAAAACAAAAACTCGATTATATTCGCTTATTAACGATATTTTGAATTATGACTTTCGGCGCTCCCTAAAATTTTTGGCAAAGACGAATTTTTTATTTTATTGTTTTAAAATTACCGTTACTTGAATCAAAATCATTATTTAAAAAAAGAAAGAGTGCGTTCGACCTAAAAACACATGAAAAAGCAAAAAACGACAAAATTTTTTAGTTCCATTCACGTTTTTGTACGACATTCCGCGAGAACGCATCAAAAAAGCGTGAAATATTTTTTAAACGAAAGAGGAAGCTTTTCTGTACATGTGTGTCAAATTTTATTCGCCAGTTCCACATATTTTACAACTACAACAAAATGAAAGTTGAAAACCAAAAAAAAGCCACTTTTTCTATCGCGAAAAGGGGCGTGGCTTTGCGGTCCCTAAATATAGATATTCAAATAATTATTGATTCCAAATCTCACAATTTTCAGCCCGACCGCGTAAGTGAACTCTTCCGATTGGTTCTAGTGAATTCCGTATCCATCCTTAGAAAATTTTGGTTTCTTGTGATCGAAAATCCCACCCTAAACACACTGAAACTTCTCCAAGACTAATCAATTTTATCGAGCACAGAAAAATTGCATGGCACACTCAAGTTCTGAGTTTCATCGTAATAACTTCTTTATTATGTTTTTCTTCGTTTGCATTTGAGTAGCAGTTTTGAAATGAGGTTTTTCAGCTCGGGGATTGTGAAGGAATGACGGAAAAGGAGTGCGAACAATACTATCGACTGAATGCGGCGATGGTTGAGGTTGGTTTTGAACAGTTTTTGGGAGAGGAAAGGGAAGTTCAGGTATTCTATGAACAACTCAATTACGAGCTTCTCCAAGAGTCAGAAGCCTACGGCCTTGTCAATCTTATTGCCGATTTCGGCGGTCATCTGGGACTTTGGCTAGGTTTTTATTTTTTCTGATCTCAGGATTTAATTTTTCAAACTTTACCTTGTAATGCGAAAAAATTATTTCTCTAATGATAGCAGTAAAAAAAATTCTCACTGTTCACCCCTCTTCAAAATTCGAACATGATTCCGAAAATCAGAGGCTATTGACTCTCCAGTCATATTATAATATAATTTCGAACTTTCAGGATTCTCCGTCATAACCGTGATAGAAGTCGCCGTTCTTATTGCCAATATTTTCTCCATATTTTTCAAAAAAGCAGAATCTGAAAAATTAGCCCGTCAGGCTTCGATGCAAACGTCTCACGACGAGAAAATAATCAACACGAAGAAAAACGAGGCGTTCGTTCAGATATGATCTTCCATGTGCATATGACTTCTTTCACTTTCATTGTTGGGTCAATTTCAGCCCTAGAAAGGGTTCTGTGAATAATGGTATAGCCATAACTTATAACTTTCCAATGTAATAACAATCCTTTGAAGCTTATGTTGTCTAGATCTCAAGAATAAACGTATTTAAATATTTATGTCCCTTAACAGCAGCAAGCGAAGCGATTTGAGCGATAAATAAAAATAGAGAATGAAGGAAAAACAAAGAAAAATAAAAGTTAACAAAGATAGTGATCGATAAACTCGTTCCGAGTGTTGATGGTCATTTTTACTCGGCTTCAAACCCGCCGTCAGCAGCTTCCTCATCAGCCGCAGCCTCCTGAAATTTTCAACTATTGATTTATTCGCAATCATGGATATCTATAGATGGATAGTAAATTGATAATAAATAATAATCCAATGAAGCTTCGCAAAATAATCTCTGATGCTCATGAATCAGCTAAAAAGAAAAACTTATTGCATTTTTCCCTTTCAAGTTCCCCGTTTCAAACCAAGAATAAATGAATTATACCTGATATTGCTGGTATTCGGAGACCAAATCGTTCATGTTGCTTTCCGCCTCAGTGAACTCCATCTCATCCATTCCTTCCCCGGTGTACCAGTGAAGGAAGGCTTTCCGACGGAACATGGCTTAATTATAAAAGTTCAAAATAACGATAGTTATGCCGAAAGTTACCGGTAAATTGCTCAGATATTCGCTTGAAAAGCTCCTGAATGGCCGTGGAGTTTCCGATGAACGTGGCCGACATCTTCAATCCTCTTGGTGGAATATCGCAGACAGCGGTTTTGACGTTGTTGGGGATCCAGTCGACAAAGTAGGACGAGTTCTTGTTCTGGATGTTCAGCATCTGCTCGTCAACTTCCTGTAACTTTTCCAATTCCAAATGTGATAAAATGAAGATTTTTGCCTTGGAAATTGGTTATCATGAAGTTTTCATTTTGATTTTCACGTTATTTTTCCAAATAGAGCCAAGAAAAAATGATGAAAATACTGATAAATCGTTGCAACCGACCGAAAACGACTCTGGCTAAAAAAACGGAAACTAAGCCTTGATAAAACTCGATAAAAATTAAGACTGTGCGGTATTTTCATTTATTCACTCACTAAAAAAGAAAAATATCCCAGCTTGAAGTTTTTGAACTTCCCGAAAAAAAAAATGCCACTTTGAGACACTCTCCTGAAGACCATGAAATGCATACTTCGGACGGAAAAAAATTAAAAAAATAGTATTTTTTTATAATTTACTAGTTTTGAAACAAAATAAAAAAATCGTTTCACCAAGTAACTTCAGTGAGAAACATCCGTGAAGTCGTTAAATATTCCTTTTTTTCAAACTTATTATCTTGATCGAAGTTTAATTTTAAAGCTTTTCATATGATTTTCGAAGTGTTAACTCTATAAACAACAACAATGAAACTGCAAAATGACCTTCATGCTCATTCGTCCTCGGAAAATGGCGGCGGCGGTGAGGTAACGGCCGTGTCGCGGGTCGCAAGCGGCCATCATGTTTTTCGAATCGAAACATTGTTGCGTGAGTTCCGGTACCGTTACGGCGCGGTACTGAAATTCGTTTTTTTTATTCATAATATAATTTTAGAAATGAAAAAAAACCTGCTGATTGCTGCGACTAGTGAGAGGCGCGAAACCGGGCATGAAGAAGTGAAGACGAGGGAAGGGAACCATGTTGACGGCGAGTTTTCGGAGGTCGGCATTGAGCTGGAGATTATTTCATCATGTGAATGTCCTTTTGAAAAGTTTTTTGAGCCTCATATTTGTTTTCAAATTGTTCATTTATTGCTGTAGTTATTCAAACAAATGAACTACATTCATAGAAATATACAGGCTGGTGGTTTTTTTATTAATCAAAGCCATAAAAATCTTTTTTTTTGTTTTTGGAGTACTGATTTCAAGATCCGAATTTATTAGAAAGTTTTAACTTTTTTAAGAAAGATGTTTTAGTGTCTTGAAATACATTAAGTATGAAGTGATGCGGAAAAAAACTAATATTAACTTTTAAGGATTTTTTTCCGAGCCTCGTAATATTATCGTGTAAATCATTTTCTTGATACCTCAATATTTTTTTATTTCTTGTAACATTTTTTTAAATGTTTTTCTAACATTTTACCTGTCCAGGGAATCTCAGGCAAGTTGTGACCCCGCTCATTGTGGCGCTCACAAGATGGTTCAGGTCTCCATAAGTTGGAGTGGTCAGCTTCAAAGTTCGGAAGCAAATGTCGTAAAGAGCTTCGTTGTCGATACAGAAGGTCTCATCTGTGTTCTCGACTAGTTGATGAACTGATAAAGTTGCGTTGTAGGGTTCCACGACCTTAATTGAACAATTAATAACTTTTGTGGTTATAAAATACTCACCGTATCGGAAACTTTGGGACTCGGCACCACCGAAAAGGTGTTCATGATCCTGTCCGGATATTCTTCACGGATTTTTGAAATAAGAAGAGTTCCCATTCCAGATCCGGTACCACCTCCAAGCGAATGGGTCAATTGGAAACCCTAAAATTTTAATATTTCAATATTTTTTGAATTTTATCGATTTAATTTCAACCTGTAGACAATCACATCCTTCAGCTTCTTTCCTGACAACGTCCATGACATTGTCAACGAGTTCAGCTCCTTCCGTGTAATGTCCCTTGGCCCAGTTGTTTCCGGCTCCGGATTGTCCTGAATCCAATTTTTCGGCTATTCCCGTCCTCGTTCTTAAATCCGCTACCAAAAACGAAGTTATCCGGCCTGAAAAGTTGGCCAAATGGGCCGGAACGCACAGAGTCCATCGTTCCGGGCTCGAGGTCGACAAGGACTGCTCTGAAAAAGTTTTATAATTTTTGGAGAGATGAAAAAAATTATAAATTCGCATTCATAGTTGCTTGAGGCAAAAAAAAAATTAAATATAAGATTTTTTCGAAGACTTAATTCAAAAAACTATAAAATAAATTTTTTTCTTGTCGGAATTTTACACTGTATCTTTCTCCATACATCTTGATGATAATGGATCATTTTTCCAAAGCGATTTCTCAATTTTTTCTGCCCAAAATGCACCATTCACTTTCAATAAAATCGCAAGAATAACCATTTTTCGAACAAAATTTCAATTTTCACCTCCTCATTTGCTATTTTTACGACTTTTTCCGCAATCTCCTTATCCATGCATTGTGAGGCGCCCTTTTGGGAACAGCATCTGTCGCCATATCGAGAGCCAGATGCTCATTATTCGTGCGATGTCTAATGCATGTATAAGTGGGTTTTCTCATCACCAGCGGCCTTCTTTTCATTTCCTTTTTAGGACATTTGGCCATTGTTCTGCGGAAAACAAGTTTTTTGGCTGAGGTCCTCATGGAAAAAAAAGTTGGATGAATAATAGGATCTCAAAGTATATATAAGCAAAGTTTTATCAAAATTAAAAGAAAAGTTGAGGGAAAAATGCGAAAAGTGATTCTTTCTGGATTTCTCATGACTCCGGATAGGAAAAAATCTCTATGTTCGAAGGACTTTTCAAGTTATCGAAAATAATCATCAACCTGGGAACGTATCGGTTCTGGCCGGTTTCATTGTAGTAGACACTGATGCGTTCCAACTGCAAATCCGAATCCCCGACGTATTGGCCGGACGGATCGATTCCATGTTCGTCGGAGATGACTTCCCAGAACTGAAAATGATTGTTTTGGTTCAATTTACGACGTTCTGAGAAGGAAGTCGCTTGGGAAAAGCTGTTTGCGCATTTTTGACTGAGGGATATTTCGAAGAACCGAAAAGCCCTTTGTTTTCTCATTTTGGTCTGTGTTTTTTATCATCATTTTGCAAGAAAAATGAAGATTTTTATCAACGAAATCGACTTCGCGTAAAGATTGCACTTAATTTTGATGAAATTGGTTCTATGTAGTTTCATTAAAATAATGTATTCAAATTTTATTAATCGCGGTAACTTGGGGTTTTATTGAGTAAATTCAAGCTAGAGATTTTTGAAGAAAAAATGTTTAATTTATGATTCACGTGAAACAACTTACGGTGCTTCAAAAACGGCTTACAAGTTCATTTTTTTAAAAATTTCAAAAACATATTGAATGGATTACTCAAGTTAACCGTTTTAAATTCATCTAAGAAAGCTTTTTTGTTTCACTTCTTTGGTTTCAAAAAAAACTAACGGCTGGAAAGATTTTATTATCAAGTTCTGTTCTCATTTTTTCTATATTCTTCGAAAACAAAGCGATTTCCTTTGAAATGTTTGCTGGAGAAGGCCCAAATCGGGAAATTTTCCCTTCTGAGCTGTTTGAAAAAACTCTAAGAATATTTATCAAGGTCTTATTTGACAACTGAAACGGAAGTTAAAATTTGCGAGAACGTTTTTGGAAATTTAGTATGTATAAGAATGACCAAACCTTGGAGCCGATCTGGTTGCCGCATTGTCCGGCCTGGATGTGGACGATCTCGCGCATCGCGGTGCCGTCGAGTGAAGCGTCTGCCGTTCCCCAAATGCCACTGAGGCCAACCTCCTCATCAATATTTCAGGGCGGCTCCGACCCAAGAAACGGCCGGCAGACCCCTCGAAATGCATGACATCTGCAACGTCTTCAGAGCCCCTCTTGTCACACAATGCATAGGTACAATCACATGCATTCACAACAAGTTTCCCTTTTTTGCTACATCTCAAAAGGTCGAAAAAACCGAAAATATTAAGTTTTTATTTCACAGAAGACCCGAGGATAGAACAATGGTGGATAAAAAGGAATAATTGTCATTGAAAGATAGTTCGCAGTGAGGAAAAAGGATGATGTCGTTTTAAATAAAAGGTTCAAAAATTTTTTTGAGGTTTTTTATTAACGTAGGGAAAAAAATTGGCCTTTGTAGGTAAAAAAAAAGGTGAGGTTTGTCAATTTTGAAAATTTGCCATGGCTTTTTGGAAATTCAAAAAGTTATTGCATATAAACTATATATCGTTCATAAGGCTTCAAACGAAACATTTATACTTTTTTTAGTGGAACGCATAGGAAAACATAACTTGGTGCTCATTACTCAAATAAAGTTTTTCAAACTAAAAAAAGCTCGGATTTTCCTTTACAAAACCTGGGAAACTGCTGTAAATTAACTATTGATAAACTCTCATAAAAAAAGTTGAAATCGATTGGGACAGAATAAACGAATCACACACCCACGAGCAATAGCCAATCAAAATTTGGAGCTGTTATCACAAAAGAGCATTTTTCATACAGTCATGAACAACTTTTGAAAAAGGATGAGATACGAAGTGAAAAATAGCAAATCTCAATTATTACTGGTGAATAAATATCATTAGCATCATGGTATCGCTGGCTTCTCAAAGAATATGCGAATGTTGGGATTGGTTTCTTTTTTCTTGGAGACGCCTTTCGTGTTCCTGCTGGCGTTGACGATGTTTCTCTTCGCGGTGCTGAAAAAACGATCATTATTTTGAAAACTACGCCTGAAATCAAACTAATTGATCGAATAACTTAAGAATAACTTTACTTTTTTTGACCACGCACTTGCAGAAAATTGTTTTCACAATTTTTATTAGATGTAACTCTGAAAAAACCTGCTGAAGAGTTGAATCCAGATCGTCTTCCCATGCCACCAGATTGTCGTCAATCTCTCCCAATTCTGCGGTGGCTCCCTGAAATTAGAAAAATAAGTTTAAGAAATATTCATTCGAAAAAGAACATTCTTGGAAAAAAGAACCAAGTATCTTCAGATACAGATAATTTTTTTTTTGAAACAGGAATGTCACCTTCATAGAGCATCTGCTTTTTTTTCAATCTGTGTTATTCTAAAATTGGATTGAGTATTTGAATCCACACCTCGTCCAGCTTATAACACCTTCAAAAAAGACAAAAAAAGTCGCTTTGAAACAGGAAATTGTCGCGAGAAGCGCAGTTCATCACGAAAAGAAAACGAAGCGCGAGGCGGGAAATATCTTCGAAAATCTTCTCTTCGAATAAAAAATGAAAGTCGTCAGCAAACGGGAAGCGCGACAATCCCTGTTGTGTCGCCTACCTTGTCGTCTAATTGTTCCGCTGGATTCTTCTAGTTTTGAGGGTTTTACCAGTTTTTTTCTCCAGTGTTTACTGTGTTTTGGAAATCTTATTTCCTTTTATAGCTTTTTGTGGATGTTTGCTTAACGAGTTCGCGGGCCAAAACAAGGAATAGTTATGTCAAAATCCTTTTTACCGGTTTGATTAGAAGTTATCTTCCTTTCTGAATTTTAAAACTTCATAACATTTTTTGGGGCCTAATTTAGAACAATATAGGTCGTTGTGACGATAAAAAAGCTTCCGAAGTTTCTTAAAATGGGAATTTTTCCTACTTCCTTTGAAATCTAGGGAAGCCGTTTTGAATCATTCCTATAGTTCTGAAGTTCAAACCCAAGCTTTTCCGCCACATATAGGACTTTTCTTCCATCTTTTGAACCTTCAGTTCAAACTACATATCAAAGCTTTGCAATTGGACATTGAATTTCCTAAACGCCAACGGAAGCTTGAGACAGATACCATCCTTCGATCGGATGGCAACAATCGGCGAAACATCAGAGGCTTATCTGATCGTTTTGACTACGTTCACGTCAACATTTGCATCGGTTTCAAACGATTTCCAACTCCAAACTGAGGATATTCTGAGAAGGAACCGGTCTTCCGACACGGTCCACCTCCGAATCCGGCGCAAATAAAACTGCCAGCCAGCACATGCTATACATTTTCGAAGCTGTTATGCAAACCTTTTTCGTTTTTATATTTTCCTTTTAGTGTTTTGATTCTTTTTTTTGGTTAGAATGGATTTTCTGGCTTTTAAAAATCACAAGTCTCACAAGACCTACTCAATCCCTCAAAACGTATTTCCATACATTCATTCCGAAAATTTTGGCACTTGTAAATGAGAAATAACGCATGTTATAATGGAAAAAGAGCCGCGTCTATTGAAATTTGTCCATTGAGAATTCCTTCTTCAACCCTTTCGTATCGGTTTCTTTTTCAAGGCTTTCGGCCAAAATCGACAAATTCAAAAAATTAAAAAGTTGGCTAGTCCCCAAGTAAGTTTTTTTGTTTTTCAGAAGTTCAGATATCAAAAAAGCTTCGATTTTCAGAAAAGATGTTTTAAGAGGCTTTTACTGGCTCCTTGATTCATCCTCAAGCTTTACTGATGAAGTTTCAGAGCTCGTAAGGCGCAGAAAAAAAACCCTTTTGGAAGTTCATCCAAAGTAAAACCTCTATAAAAACTTCTCAAAACGATGGCAAAACCAACAAATCTCAAAAACCCGTTTTCGGGAACAAGCAGCCTGTTCCACAGTGATGCAAGCCGCGAGAATCGCCGTCGGATCTCGACGCGCCACGCACGCATTTCTACGTTTTTGGACCGCGTCTCGGCTTGTAACGCCTTCGCCGTCGGGATTTTACTCGCTGCCCATTTATCTTCATCTCATCTCCATCTCGTTTTCGCCTTATTAGCGCCCAATTTGTTGTATTGACCACGCACTTTTCAGCAATGATCGGCAAGCTTCTGATAGCTCTGGTACTACCGACAGTTTCCCTGGCCGCCGTTCAATGCTACGTTGGGCAGAAACTTTTCAGCTTTGAATCCAGTAATGTGAGTTTGCCGTTTCAGAATATTTTGAAAGTTTTCAATTGAAACTCCAGGCCGTTTGTGCTAAGTTTATCCCGTACACTTGCGCAGTCCAATGCGAATGGAGAAGACAGTGCAATGAACACTCGGCTTTCTCAGTTTTCCGAGGACGGCGGACGTTTGTCTCAGGAGTCTTGTTGAACTCGAAGTCGTTGATGGTCTTGTGCTGTGCCTCTCTTGCTACTCGCGTTGAAACAGGTATAGTATATTGACTTTTGATTTGATTTTCACGATTTTTTTGGAAGATCCCCTAAAAAGAAAACTCAACCGACTAGCAAATTAACGTGCAAAAAAAGTTGAGACATCATTTTGTTTCGAGTTTTTGAACTGAAACGGATGAAATAAATTATTGCGGGATTATTTTTCACAATCAGTGAATTTTTTTGTAATATTACCTAATCAAGCCATTCTACGCGCGACTGGAAACAAGAAACTAGTTCAAAAACAGATGTCTAAATTGTTTTTAAATTGTCTTGAAACAAAAAATGGTCCAAATACGGTCATGAATGACAATTTTCCAACTTTACGATCCTAAAAATATTTTCAGACAGTGCCGGTCGCGAAAAGTGCATCTGGAGAGAGAAAGAATCAATCGCCGTTCTTGGGCCTTCCATCAGAACCAACCCAGTTTTGGCGCCAAATCATTATATTCGGTAAATTGTATCATGAACTGCAAATGCACGAAATGAGTTTTAGCGACGTGAAAATGGATCGTGACGGATCTTCTCGTGTCGACGTTGCTTTGGAGATTTGCCAGTATCAATCCGAAAGAGATCATTGTAACGTCGAGGTTAGTATAGTTCACTCGCAGAAATTTTTTCAAGCTTTCAAAAAAAAAAATAATATTTTTTCTTATTCAGCAAATGACAGACATCGAGAAGCGCCGATTCAGCATCATCCAGTCGAAGCTTCAAAAAGTCGAAAACCTTTCTTCCACAACTTCCCCCGATATCAAGTCATCTGACGAGGACGACCTCGTACGACAATCTTGATCACAACGAGAAAAACTATCTATTCACCCTTATTTGCATATATGTTTCCCCGATAATAAATCTCACCATACTAGCTTCATTGAACTCGAAAAGGTTCCTCTTGGGGGCGTTGTGCTGAGGAACGCGAGGCTTGACAACAACCTGCAAATAAGACGGTTGAAACCGGAAAGTGAAGCTCTGGAAAGATTATAAAAAAAATTAGTTAAGGCATTGAGATTTCCCAGAAATATGAAACAGGAAAGTCAGGTTTTAAAGATCTGAAAATGGGGATTCTGCAAAAGTATTGGATATTGGAACTTAGAGCTTTTACTCTAGCCCGATTTTCAACACCCTTTTTCAGAAATTCCAAAATTCTCGCTGTTTTCGATAAAAAATTTTCTATACTTACTTCATTACCTTATTTTACAGTTTCGAAAAAGATAACATGCATTTTGGAAAAAAAAAATTTAGTTCGAATGAAAGAATAATCTCATTTACCTTTCTAGCATGGGTGATAGTCGGTTCCAGCGTACTGAACAAATCTTCCTCAACTTTAGGAGCCTCCTTCTTGACCTAAAAGTTTTTTCGTAACAATAAATGTTTGAAAAGGTAACATCAACCTGGGTCGATCTCCATTGCTCAATTTTATCTTGTATCTCTTCTCGCTTGTCCCATTCATTATCATCCCAAGAGTCGTGATGAGCGTTTTCGATGAGAGAAGCTCGTTCTTCCGTGTTGGGTACTCGGGAATCCTGGACCACAACTGAAACAGTAAATATATTTAATGAAAAAGAGAGTTTTTCGCTAATGGAGTGGCTTTTTAATTCTGTTAAAAATAAATCAAAAAAACAAGAGAAATCCTGAAATTTGTTTAACGATTTTCTGAAACTGTAAAGCCATCCATTACATAAAAGGGGAAGCCTATAGATTTTAGCGATAAATGTTCAACCAAGAAAATTTAAAGTTGCGTTCGAGAAACAGAAAAAAACAAGCATTCAATTTTATTGCATGGTACTAAAGCTGGATCCCGCAAAACATTCATTTTTAGCGAGACGTTTCAAAACATCTCAGCAAGCTGTTTTAAACGAGCCATAAAATGAGGCTATCGCAAGCAGGAAAAATCGAGAGATGTGAGTTTTTTTCAATCAAGGTTTTTTTTTGTTTTTGGAAATCTGCACTTTCAAATCTTACGGAGACAGTCTTAAAAGTATTATTATAAAAAACATGAATTTTTCAATGAAACCGTAATGTCACACAAAAAAAAATCATACCGTCGAAGTTATCATCATCGAAATCCATTTTCGGCCCGTTGTTCCGATCACAACGCAAAACACGGCGGAACAAGCCGACCACGGTGTGGACCAGTCTCAGAACTCTGGCATATATGGCTCGGCCCAAGGACATTCTGAAAATTGAACTGATTTGAACAGAAAAAACACAATTCCGAGTGAATCAGGTCCTCAAGGATATTCAAAGAGAAAGAGTTAAAAGAAGTTATTGATGAAAAAAGTGCAGCAACGACAGCATGAAGAACAACTTCTCAATTTACAAATCTTTCGTGGAACGGAAAAATAAATCAACAAACTGAGAAGCTGAGAAAAACAGAAAAACAATGAAAAAGAGCCAAACGAACGACGGAAAATTTAAACGAGGTGCAAGCGGAAAATCACGTGTATGCAGAGTTTCGGGTGCATTGCGGCGTAGTAACAATTACCGTAGACCTAATTTTTAGAAAAAATTGATTTTGAATTGGATAATTGTGATATTATTTATATGATGGGATCAGAGTTTTGATTGGGATTAAAGTTTCGAAAGGGATCTTCGAATGGGTTTCTTTGAAGATAATTAGATTTTTCTTTTTTTAATATTTTTTTAATGGAAGCTTATCAAAGATAAAAAAAGGATTTTTTTGTCAATGAAAAAGAGACTTAAAAAAACGGGTATATATTTTTTTAACTGGCCCTTTGACGTGAGAAATGGAGACTCATTTTTCTAGAAAACGGGAGTATGAGTTCTCCAAAAAGTTAAGATTAAAGCTTCAAAAAAATTTCCCTTTGAGCTCTATTTTTTTCCTTCACTAGTAAGAGTTAAATTTTGAGGTTCTCAGATTCCTAACTCTGTGAAAAATATTCTGATCAAAGTTCGAAAAATCTTGAAAAAAAATTCTTTCTATTTGAAAAAACTGGGTTATAAGTTCAATTTTTCTGCTTCGTTGTTTCATCATCAATCAAGACGCTATTGTTGCTTTCTTCATCTTTTTTCTCTCCTGGAACCATATGCTGTGAATAAAAGCTCGCAATTGCCCCCGAGCGCAACGAGTTGAGTGGGCAAACTAAGCGAGCTACAAGTGAAGGGAACGCCATCATCAGACGGAAAAAGTAGCGGAATTGGCGGTGTTGACAAGCGACGACGTTCCTTCTCGCAGAAACACTTGGCCTCGGCAAACAATCCATCTCATAAACCCATAAGGTCGATCTCTAATCTCTCAATGTTTTGTATCGTTTCCCAGATTATAATAATGTTTGGAAACAGTAATAATTTTCAAAAGAACCTTTTTTTCAGCTTTTCTCACATCTTTTCTTAACATATATGGGGTTGAAAAATAAACGGAGAAGTGTATGACATCACGGTTTCTCAGAAAATAAAAGCTTCTGTCTGTTCAAAGACTTGCTGACGTCTCAAAAAGCTCACAACAGCTTCAAAAAAACAATTCTGAGGTTTATCTGAAAATCAGAAGGACTTACAGGGTAAAGAACTTTATCACGCAGCCTGGAACTTTCTAGAAATCGTCAAAGACACTTTGAAACAGTACATGAGGTTTTTGGAAGGAGAAGAACCTGCTCACACCTTTCAGTTTAGAATGGAAGAAAGGCTTGAAACCCCTTAATAACTGATTTCATCGATAATATCAGTTTTATATCATACCTCTCAACACTTTTCGCACCACCGAAAAATCGGTATTTGAGCAAATTGGAACTTCCAGGATGTTCAGGATGTACATGAAGGTCTTCTTGTTGGCAAAAATTGATAATTTGCAAAAAAAAATCATGGCAGAAGTCTGAATTCAGTTACTACTCTTTATTATTTTACATTTCAAAAAAAAAAAATGTTAAGCATCTCAAATATTTTCTCCTCTAAAGTTTATCGTGGAAAATCTCATTTCTTTCTTTGTCTGCAGAGTTCAGAACGCGCAAGAGAAATCTCGAGTTGCACTTGTAACATATTGTCCGGATCCAAGAACTTTTTGCTAACGCAAACAACAGAAAGATTCTCAAAACTCAGGCGTGGCGCTAGTATATTTCTCACCATTCTTTTTTCTCATTTGAACTTTTAACCGAATCTTGTAGAGTTTTTTTGGTAGGATTCTTCTTAAAACAGCAGAAAATGCCTCTGACTTCTTTTCGAAGCTGTGTAGATGATCAAGGTATCGAATCAGGAAAAAAGGAACAGTTAGAGCTCCTATTTCTGTATCTCTAGAATAGAACTATTTTTCCGTGTCTAATCGAATCTGGAGTCCTTTCCAGGTCATTGGAAAGTATCTTGATCGATTTTCACAGCTTTTTTTTAAGTTGTGAAGAAAAATAGCTATAGAGATGAATGAATGAATATTCTCATCAGCACCACATTTACGAATTTTTTGAGAACGTCCTGTCGTTGATCTTCTCCTCGAACGCAAACCGTTCCAGACAGCTGCCAAGAGCAAAAGTCCAGTGCGGCCTTCCGGATCTCAAAGAATCGGATCGGATTGGATGGATCTATTCGAGCGAGAACCGTCATAATTCCAGAAATAGGCCGGAGGGTGAAACGACGGAAAAAAAAACGGTTGGGCGGCGGCGCGCATGTGCACGAAAGCAGTCCCAACTCTTGTGTTTGATCTGTCCTGCGCGCCGTCGGCGGCTAACTTTTCGGTGTCCTTTCGGCGGCTCGACGCGCACAATTCCATTGTCCTTGCCCTTTTTTACCGTGTTTCTTGCCTTGTTGCATATTTTAAACAAATAGAAGGAGAAAAAAGTGAATTGGACTTTTTTGGCAGTAGTGATTTTGCTGTAGAAATTGCGCATAAAACTGCTCAAATCTCGGTTTCGACATTTTTCGACTATTTGCCTCAACTGCTCATTTTTTATAACTATTTTCATTGTTTTTTGGAAAATGTCAAGCCGAAACGAAAAATCCTCTGTAAGCTCATTTTACGCGAATTTAAACTGTTAATCAGAAAATATCATATTTCAAGGTAGACCTGATGAATTAAAATGCGGTTTCACTGTCATTTTTCAATCAACTCAATGAATCTTTCCTTTATGCTGAAATATTTCTATCCAGCACATTTTGAAGCTCTTAACATCTTCAAGACAATGTTTTCAAAAAGTTATATTAATTCATAAATGTGATCTCATGAAGAAAAAAGCTATCCGTTTATTGAATTTTGTTCTTTTTTCTGCCACTGAAATCCAATAGAAAAAGGTGTCGATTCATATGGAAACGAAAGCTTTGATTGACTATATGTGACGTGTTTGCTTTCAATCGTTGAGCTACGCCCAGCGGCCGCATGGCTCTTTGAGAGCAACGGACTGGCGAAAAAGGCGCTTCCCGACTCACCTTTGACCTTAATTGGTCATTTTTGGCAGAAGCTTTTTCGTAGGAAGATTCTGTCGTGAATAGTTTTGGTTTCTTTTTTTTCTTAATTCAATTAATCATTTTTTTGTAAGCGAATTTCAGTGATGGAATTTTTTTTTTTTTCAAATTCGCAAATGAGAAAAACCATTTTTTTGAACTTACTTTTTTTCCTGGAAAGGCCTTTTTTTCCTTTTTAGTTTAAAAAGATAATCTCCAAGATGATTTCTGACTTCCTTGAATTTTAATCTTTCCAAATTTTGTCGACAAGTTTTCTAATTTTTTTCCATACTATAAATTTTATTTTTTTCGGATTTTCAGTAGATTTTCTGAACATTCACAGTTCGCTATCTAAAAAAATATTTATTTCAAAGAGCTCTAATCATTTTAAGATTGTCTTCCTATCATCCGATACAAAAAAACAATTATTTTTTTCGCCGCTTGATACAAAAATTAAAGAATTTCCTATTCAAATTATTGGTTTCCTCTTAAATCTGAACAACTCGACTATATTATAAAAAAGGGGAAAATCCGATTATTCTTCAATTTTTCCCCTAGCAGCTGAATAAATAATTAAATAGTTTCTTAAACATTTCATTTTTCACTGAAATTTTGATTTTTTTTTCTTTTTTTCAAGATTCCTTTAATTTCGACATACTTCTCAAACTTCCTTCATTTTTTATCCGAGGAAAAGTTCCAGCTGTGAAAGAAACAGAAGATGTCGGCCACGGGTGACGCCTCGTTTCGCTTTTACAATCTCATTTGCATTTTTGTGTCCTCGGTTCTCGCACTTTGGGATTCGTTACGTTGAGGCCAAGACCTAGCAACAAATGTAGATCGAGTTTTACCCACTAAGGAACTTTGCTATGTGTACTTTAAGACCTCCTGATTGCAGAAATAAAATAAAATTTCTCGCAATAGATCTTGTTTTTGACTTAAAAGACTTCCAAAAAGTTGCGGACTTTGAAGCTCCATAACTCGAAAACCCGATCTATCGCGAGAAATATTTTCTTGCTCTACAATCAGGAACGTTTCAGGGAAGTTTGATCTAAAAATTCAGCCGGAGGGGGTGAAAAAAACGTTTCATAGTTAGATCCACCATGACCTTCTTTCAATCTGCTTTTTAAAAAAATTTTTTTATATCATATTACAGTTTTTTTCCATTTCCATGAAGTTTTACCAATCAATATTTCAGAAAACTGGTGATAAGCCACCAAGCGAATGGGAGGCGACGGAACCTCAGATGAGGTCCGTCCCAAATGGGTTGATATCCAACTTCACACCTTCAAAAATTGGATCAATGAGCAGGTTCGTTCTCTTCGATTTTTAAATCTTGCTCATAACATTCAAAAAGTTTTTTCCTTTATTTAAACGGCTTATTTTGCCCATAGCAAGCCGTTTTTGAACGAATTTGGCTCCTCTCTCCTTTTTTTTCGGGTCTGATTGCTCTTTTATGAAAATTCCAAGCTTCACCAACAGAAATAGAATGTTTTTTATTCTGAGTTACTTTTCCGACCTTATAAAATTAATCCATCACAAGCTTTCTTCATTTCAATCACTTTTAACTAGAGAATGAAGCACGGCAAAATTTTGATATTAAAAAAAAGACGAGATTTAGAATGCCCCCGCAAGACTTTTATATCAATTTCGATATGAATGAACTATATATTTTCCTTGATCCTGATCTTTGTGTTGACGCTACAGATAACCAGCTTGAAAAATGAATCATTACACAAATTCGGAAAGACTGACTAGTGCGCGCGAGTTGCGGAATTTTATTGTTTTTGGAGGGATTATTAGGAAGCATATTTGTGGAAAGCTCATAGGGCAGTGTTTGCGGTAGAGAGCGTGTTTGCCAACCCACCGACGCGAGCCTCTCGGAGGCCTCCCTTACCTGTCGAAAAGCCGTCCGAACCGATTGACTGCGGCCGACCGTTCCGTCGGCACAAAAGCGCGACAGTTGCAGAGCACTTGCCATTGGACCTCTTGTAGCTTTTAAAGGGGTCAAAAAGGTTTTCGGATCAAAGAGAGCCGAAAAGCGATAGATTCAAGGTTGTGGAAGGTGTAATTGTTTTGCCTTTTTCTTAGGATCAGATCATCAAACTTTCGAGAAATTAAAGCAATTTTAAGTTAATGAAAGCCGAAAAACGAGATAATGAAGGTTATATTTTGTTTTTTTTTTTGCTGTTGCGAATTTCTTGTAAGTTGGCCCAGAGTTCCTTGATATGACGAATGAAGTTTCTGAAAGTCTCGAACTGCACAACTTCATAATTTTTGAGAAACGACACCTTCAAAGAAAACACTGAAAATCCGTAAAAATGGGCTATTTTCGGACTTTAGACATTATTTCTCATAAAAAAATTGGATTTTGCGAGTTGACAAGTTCTAGCGAATCAAAAAATATTCTGGCTAAATTTCAGGAAATTCCGCGAATAAAGAGAGTCAGATGAAAGCCAAATGGTGTTAAAAACAAGTTTTTTTTTTCATTTCACAAGCAAACATTTTTTAATGTCCTCAAAAATCTGAAATATCGAGTGAATGCGAAAAAAGAACCGATAATTCAAGTCACTGAAAGCTTTTTCCAGCTTCAACTAAATGCGATCGGAGATTTGACAAGAGACCTTTCCGATGGGGTCAATCTGATTCGACTGGTTGAAATTCTTCAGGGACGAAAATATTATGGAAAGGTACTGAAAGATGTCATCTATCTTTTCTGATGATATTCTACAGATTTACGACCAAAATCCCACAGAAATCCAAAAATTGATGAACGTCCAAATGGCCCTTGATGCCTTGAGAGAAGACAGAGTCAAAACCGTCAATATTGGTGAGTATTTTTTTTTTGTTTTATTATAATCTCTCGAAATTTCCAGGAAGTCACGACATTGTAGATGGTAATGAAAAGCTGGTACTTGGGCTCATGTGGTGCCTCGTCCAACGGTACCAAATCGCCTGTAAAACTAAAATCCCTCCCAAAAAGCTTGTGATGGCTTGGATCCAGGTATAGAATTTGGGACGTTTTTTTTGGAAACTAAGCAGGAAACTTTCAGTCAGTCTTACCGGAGCTGAAGCTGACAAATTTTCGCACAAATTGGAACGATGGAAAGGCTTTGAGTGCGCTTTTGGAGTACTGCCAGCCAGGATTGTGTCCTGAATGGAAACGTCTTGATCACACGAAGAGGTGAGAAAACTAAACTGTATTTATAATCCCTGTTTTGTGAGAAAGAGTAAAAAAAAAGAAAAAGCTATTAAAAATTAGCCTCGAGGTTGGAATTCCAAGCGTTTTTTTTAAATCCGCCCGACTCAAAACGACTTGCGCATGTGGGCAGGAGAATGTTAAGTTTATAGGTTTGAAGTGGATAGCCGTACAAGAAAAGTTATTCAGCCACTTCCCAGCAACCAAAAAAGTTCTTTTTCATGCTAACTTTTCTGAATATTTGCTGGTTCCGGCAGCCAAATGAAAGTTCCGAAGGGATTAAATTCATTTTTGGAGCTCACCGAGATAAAATTCAAATTTATTGGTACCACTAATTTTCATCTGCTTGTCATTTCTAATAACTCAATCTTCCCCATTACAGCCTGGAAAACTGCGAGAGGGCTCTTCTACTGGCCGAGCGTTACCTAGACATCCCGCGGATCATTTCGGCGGCTCACTTGTCGTCGCCCCACTTGGACGAATTGTCCTGCCTCACTTACTTGTCCTATTTCATTACGAAAGGAGCTCCTGGCTATCGAGCCACTCTTCAAAGAGTTCAATTGGTATTTTTGATAGATTTATTAGTTTTTGATTGGATTTTACTTTTAGTTGGTTCCTGACTGCACTGTGGACGATTTTGAACATTCATGGAGTGACGGCTACTTGCTGGCCTTGTTGGTCGATGCCTGTGGCGGCAATATTCCAGAAATGGATCAGATGCATTTCGAGACCTTCCAGGACTTTGTGGAGAATGTTTCTCTTTGTAAGTGGCCTTTTTTTGCATTTTTAATCTGTGAAAAGTTTTCTTAGATATAAAAGTGCCTAAGCTGTTTTTAGCCTTGCGACTGATATATTTCCAAAGCGTGCTATGTATAAAAATGGCTCAAATACCTCACAAAAAAAAACATTATTTTTCAACCTTTTCCAGGCATCGAAGCCGCTGCCGACATCGGCGTCGGCTCGCTTGTCGGCGCAGAAGACATTGCCGATCCTCAAGGAGAACATTTGGGTAACCTTCATTTAATGCTCACATTTTGATCAAAAACGTTGCAGGAACCATGGCTTTTGTGGCCGCGTTGTGTTCAACAACTCCACAGCCTGATTTTAAATCAACTCAGTGTTTCATTCATCAGCAGGTTGGCCGAATATTATCTATAGTCCAGATATTAATAGCAAAGCTCGAAATAAAACTTATAAGAGCCAGAAAAATCTTTTCCAAGTTTTTTTTAGGTGTCCGCTTGTAAATTTTTTGCGCAGTTTATGGTTTTTGGAAAGAAAGATTTCAGGTCAACCTCGATTTGGCCTTCTCTGATGGAAATGAAGTCCGAGTTGACGAATTGGATGTTCGAGGTAAGTTTTCGAAAGTTTATTCATTGTTTGACGTCTTCACCTTATCAACAGAATATTGTGCTAAATAATTTTTCCGATCTTTTCTTTTTCTGCTCTTGAGCGTTTTAGAAGCTTTACCACGAACATTTTCCCAAGCCTTTTTTAGCTCCCTCATTTCTGATATAGTCGTCTTTTTAGTGCTCTTGAACCCTTTTTTATCACTATTCTCATAAATTCCAGTAATCGGTCCAACCGGGCGTGTCCACTCTCACGACACCCTTCGTCTCCATAAAAGTCGGACGGTTCAGGGCGCGGTTCTGTCGTTGATCCCTGCAGAACAGGGATACCACCAGGTGAGAGTCATTTCTCAAAGTAATTTATTCGATTGCTACTTCACCTTGAAAACGGGAAAGTATAAGAAATTGAAAACTGGTTTGAGGGGTGGATTGGGAGATAAATGATCTCAAGGACTGGAGTATTGAGCTACTCGAAAGCTTTCGAAGATCTTTCTCTGCGGAGATCATTGATTTATTGAAATTTAGGAGTTTTTTTTAACAAGTTTGTTTCATTCATCACTATTTTCAGCCTCCAATGAGCGTTTGGATAGGATTTTGAAACAGTAATATCATTCTGGAGCAGCTTTTAATTTTACATTTTTTTAGTTATTCTAAATTACCGGTCTGCTTGTAGAAACGGAACCATTTTTTTGTCCTTTTTGGCCGTTTTTTTTTCTAAGAAAAGGTATTTTTTTCAACAACGATTTTCAAGAGCTTTTAGAAGAATTTTTTTTTGCGAAAATTCAATTTTATCTTATTATTAGCCTCCTTCGATTATTTTCACTCCAATATGGTCTTCCAGCTGCAAAATCCAAGTTTTTTTTCTCTCTTCCAGAGTAATTTTTTTACCTTTTTTGTGAAATCTAGAGATTTCTTACAAAAACTTTGAACGGTTGAAGAAAGCGAACGTTGTTGACTTCGCCTGTTGCGGTGCATGTGCCGTCGTAACCTTGACTCGGCCATTTCGCTTGTTTCCTTTTATTTATTCCGTCGTCTTGTCCGTTTCAGTCGCTTTTTTAGTCTTTTTTGGCGGGTCTCAGTTTAATTAGAGCCTCTGTCCAATATCAAAAATCAATTTTTTCGTTTCATTGTTCAGTGGAAGGCTTTAGACTTGAAACTGTTCAGGGAATATTTTTGTGAGATTCCGAGTTTTCAAAATTTCTACTATTTTCCACCCGAACAGTTTGATTTTTTGAATTTCCTGACAATGTCTGAATAATTATCAGTTTTCTTTTGAAAAGTTCTTCGATTCTCAAGAAATTTGTGATTAGTTTATTCTATTTCGGTCCAAAATTTTCGGGTCTTTTTCCTATATTTTTCAAAAGTTTAAGCATCAAAGTTTCCTTTTTTTATTTTTTAGCTTAACTTGAACATTTCCATTTCCATCTTGTCTAACCATAGACCATCGTGATTCGTTAAATTGTTCCCTTCTCGAATCAATACCAGTTTGTTGAAATGAAATGACCCCTAGAAGATGCGCAGCAGCGATAGTACGCCTGCAAGGCTTCCCTGAGAATATTTATGAGTTTTTCCTTCTTTTTTTTTCCTCTCCCTTTGGGTACTGAAACATTTCAAGTATTTGATCAGAATCTTTTTTGCATTGATCATCTTACGCCCAAAAAAAAGATCCATTTTTGAATAGGAAAAGTTTGAGACGCGCCCGACCTAAAATGACTTGCGCGAGCTGTTATCAGGCAGTTGTAGAGAAAATATTGAGCCGTGAAATTTTCAGCCATTCCTTGTGCGACCTAAATACTCGAAATCAACTAGAATAATGTAGTGATTCATACACTATTTTGCTGTTTCGAAGGTAAGAGTAAGACGCGCCCGACTTGTAGCGACTTGCGCAGGGTGCTATCGTAAAGCAAACAAGACAGCGAAGCTTTGAACCTTTCTGAATGCGACCAGGATCTTTGATATGTCCGCGAATGAAACAGAAAATCAAGGTTTTTTCCAGTTCGAAGCACTTTCCCATACTCAAAAACCTTCAGTAGCCCGCCGTACTATTCTATAAGAAAAGCCATAGAATGCCGATTTGTCATGCTGGGACAGTTTAGAAAGCGACAAATAACGGTTGTGGGAAGGCGTCCGGCCGGATCGTACCTTTTTTGTTCCGTCTCGGTCGCGCTATTGTTGCGTAAAGAGTATGTGAAGATGTTTTTCGAATCACTTTTTTCTTTTTTTCAAAAAGTTTTTTTTAGCAAAATCCATTAGAAAGTACAATTTCGAAAGGCTCAGAAGTATTTTTACCGATTGAACTTTAATGACTTTGTCCTTATACAAAAGGGGCGGGATGTCGTAGCTTCCAGGGTGAAAATTTGCCGTAAATTAATCTTATGTACTTCATTAAAATTCGGCCGCGTTTAGAATGGCTGTTCAAGTGAAAAAAAAGACCGGAGTTCCAAAAATTCTCAAAAAATGCCACTTTTTATGGTCTTTTTTTCCAAAGATTAAACTACAAAGAACTCGAGAGAGTTGTCCGGCGGAACGAGTAGTTGAGTCGGCGGGGTGTGCAAATCGAGGGGATTTCGCATCCGGCAGAACAGGCCTGTATTCCTGGATCGCCTTGACCTTTGGGCGAGTGCGCGTTCTGATCCGCGGCCCGTATCGTGTGGAATTTTGTCGTCGGGCCGTGATTGCGGCTATCGCATGTCGTAGTGGCTAATCACTTTTACACTGTATGACCACTTTATCAAGGTTTTTCGGTTCGGTTTCCTGTTTTTCTCCGTCTTTTTGATTCTCACATCACTCTGAAGTTTCGTGTGGCATTGAAACATTTTGGACACTTTATCCTTGCTTCCCATTTTTTAAATCTGATCATTATGAAATTATTCCTGTCATCAAAAGATTTATAACTATATTTTTTCGAGTTTTTCAAGATATCTGAGAGCTGTCTTTAGTCTGATTAGAGCAGATTGAAGATTGATAAGCTTGCATTTCGAATCCAGTTTCTTTTGAAAGAGTTTCTGAGATTTTCGTTGTTTTTCAAATTTTCCAAGTATGAGCATATAAAAAAAAAAATTCAGCCTGGACTTGCCAAAAAATCTCTGAAGCTCTAGTCTCATATTTTTTTTATTTTTTCATGCTTTTCACCAACTTTTTGAGGATTTTCGGTTTCTCTTTATTGTCAATATTAATCCTTTAAAAGTCGAAAAAAATCTGCAATATTTCAGAAGTTTTTTTGGAATGGAAACTTCCGTTTAGCCCATAAATCTTGAATGTTCAAAAAAACTGAAATATCAACTCTTTCAAGTTTTTTTCCCTAATCTTTTTCTATTTGTATTTTCCTCATGTCACTTAAATCAATATTCGAAACTTTTTTTATGACAAATTTTCACTTATTTTTTTATAATCAACGTAAAACTCGATTTTCCCATCAAAAATAGCTCCCTGTAACCTTGCCATTCGTCTAACTAAAAGGAATGCGATTGAAATGTATTTTATTATTTTTTTCTTTTCTTCTTCTTTCTGACTTGCATTTTTGTGGTCACACGCACTACGAGTAAAAACAACTCGATACTAGCGACCCCAGGTCTTCAGAACCTGTTTTTTACGTACATACATGGGCAAGCACAAGGTGTTTGAGCGGAAATGTTATTAGTTTCCTTGCCTCGAAAAACCAGCAACTCATTTCGTGTTTGAGTTTTGTTGTATTTATTTTATGGCTTTTTGAATTGTTATTATTATTGGTGTTTAGTTGCATTTCTATTAACACTTTACTATTTTTTTGGAGTCTCTTTTCAAAAAACTCCTTTTTAACTTCAATTTTTTTGCAATTTCCTTCCGAACTTTTTTTAGTTCTATGAACTTGCAACATTATATTCAATGAAACCTGTTGCTTGAATTGAAAAAAACTCATCATTTGTTGTTGAATTCTATTTATTATTTATTTTGAATGAAGCGTTGTGAAAACTTTGAATTCATTCAAAAGGACGCTCCTGCGTATTTTTTTAACCTTCTAGGAAAGCTATGAGAGTATATTTTTTTATAGAATAAGATTATTTTCAAATTCCACAGCAAGCTGTTCCAATAAGGACGAAGAAAGCCCCATTTTTTCAATTTTCAAGAGTTTCAAGAAGCCTCAACCTGCACGACTTCTCAGTTTTTGATAAAAGAGCCCTCAAAGTCATAGCAAAGCCTCAAATGTCGTGAAAAAAGGTCATTTTGAGGCTTTGAGACCTTATTCCTTGGAAGTTATACAGGTTCAGACTTTGAGCATTTTTTTTTCTGGTACATCAAGGAGTTTTCTGACTGATTTTCAGGAAATTTCCAAATTCACAGTGAAAAGACTTTCATTGTGAGACTTGCCAAGCGCCTTCCGAAATTTGTGTCAAATCTCATTATAGTACTATCCAAATTTCTAATCAAAGGCCAACGAAATCACCTATTGCGACTGTTTTCCATTCCCACTTTACTTCTGAACTGAGCTATTTGGCAGCGATCACAACAATCAGAAGATAAATTAGCTGTTATCGAATCGGAAAGAGAAGAAGAAGAACCCAGCCAACAACTTCTCCGATCACATCAACGAAGATAACGACGGACACTTATATCAGAAGTTGTCGTAGATTATTGACACATTGCGCGACTACCGGAGGGGCGCGTCTTCTCGGAAATATTTCCACCGCCAAAACTGAAACGTATCGTTAGACGGCAACTTGACCGATAATCAGGGCGAACGAGGTCGCTTGTCTGAATGTGGAAGGAATTCAAAACAGTTGGAGTTATTTTTTCGGAAAAACACGGCAGATGGCGCCATGTGAGTGCCATTATTCGGCCACATAACTTGAGGAATGGAAATGAAAAAACAAGTCCATAATGGTCTTTTGATAGAATTTCTGTTCGTTTTCTAGTATTTGGGGAGGTGATGAGTTGATTTTTAGCTTGTTAGGATATTTCTTGTTATTTTTTTCTAATAATGTGGCCTTTTGATTCATTTCTGCCTTCATTTATTCAGTATATTTCTCAAAAAAATTCCTTCAGTTCGAAGTCAATAAACTTTTTTTGGTTATTCCTCGAATCTTTCTCCATTGTTCCATACAGTTTGTGAGATGCAAAAAAGAGTTCATTTCTTTTTTTTGAATTTCGATTTTTAAGATTTTTCTTTCAGCGCAGTCTTGGCTCTCAAATAATTCACCTTTGCCATATATAAGAGTTTTGAAGCGAAATGATCTGCAATTTTCAACTTTTATGATTAGTTAGTATCTAGGCCTTCCCTGGAAGCATCCAGATCCCGAAAGAAGCATCGAATTTTTTTTAGCATGTGCTTATAAATTCCATATTTCTCTCGAATAATTTGAGAAATAAATAAAACAAGTCCATAATAGCCGATCAGCCCAAATTTTGTTTGCCTCTCTCATATTTGTTGAGAAAGTGAGTTGGTTCTAGCTTTTTGTGGTTGGGAAAAATTTTCTGAAGGTTTTTGGCACGTGGTGCCAGTATTTCCCTTTTAGAGGAGAATTTTGTTATTTTATCCTTAAACTCTGAGACTTCAAAGCTCAGATCTACTCAGGTATTTTTCAAAGAACGATTTATCTCGCTTTCAGAAAATAGTTATAATGCGGTTCGATATGTTGAATGAAGGTCTTGGAAGCTTCAACTTGCTTGAAAATCAACTTTTCTTCTCAAGAAGACGATTTCTTGTATAGCACCTGAGTGACCTTCAAGACGTTTTTTTTTAGAAATAAAAAAATTTTTTTTGGTGCTTTCAAGGCTCTCACCTAGTTAAATCCCAACCGTCCTAACCTATAAATTCTTATTTTTGGCTTGTTCTAAGAGAAAACACTTCACAGGAATTTCTTCTCAAAACTCCCAGGGCTTCATAGGGAGGCGAAACCTACTAAACCACATATTTTCTTTTTCATCATTATTGAGAATGATTATTCAGCTTTGTTTCAATTGTAGGACTCATTCCAACTTCTTTTAGCGCTTGGAACTTTGTTTTTCTGACCTCACTGAGATTCCTTCAAAATTCATAATTTGTAGCATATCGGTTTCAATCTTTCAAAATTATCTGTACTTGCTTTCCTGATTATATACAGAGCTATATCTTATCTGCTGAGCACTGTTGAAGCCCTAAAAATTCCTCTCAAGTTTATTAAATTTTTTTCAAAATTTTAAAATACATTTTTTTTCAGGATTTTTGATCTCTTTTCGTTTTTAGTTACACTTCAAACCATTTCCAACACTGATTTTTTTTTAGGTGCGCATTTTTTGCCAAGGATCGGAGCTACCATCCAGCCCGATCTCATTGCACGTTCTTACCCAAGAAGAGTCGCGAGCCGCGTCTCGTGCGACGTCGCGAGCTTTTGCGGAGAATCGCATCGTCGCCCAACCTCCGTCGCCCCCAAAATCGGTTCAACGTACTGAATCTGGTTCTGAGGTGAGAGATTGGAATTTGAACAAAAAATGGAGGAAAGGGCAAAAGATGCTGAAAATGGAATAAAAATGAAAATATATCAGTTATTTTGAGTTTGCGCCCCTGAATGTTTACTAGATAGAAAAAAACACTAAAAAAATTAATTTTTCTGAAAAAAACAAGTGGGAAAAACTTTGAAAGATATGGAGGAGAATTTGGAAAATTTGATATCTTTTTTTAAATACCAGTTTCAAATTTTTTTAAGAAAAAAATTGGTAAATTAGGTACGCATAAGTAAATCATTCCATTAAAAAAATTCAAAAAAAGTTGTACAAAAATTGAAAAAAAGTAGATCATAAACTTGGTTAAATTTTTTTATATTTCATTATTTTCTGAAAGAATGAGTCACTTATTTCTATTTTTCAGGTCGATATTTCACATCAGCCTTTCGCTCAACGACGGTTACACATTATAAAGCAACTCGAAGCGCAAACTTTGAGCCAAGTTCAGGTAATTTTTTTTCAATTTTGTATTTCTCTCAGTAATTAAAAAAATGGAATCTCAATTGTTTTAGGAAGAATTTATTAGTGGTAAACAGGAAACAGGAAAACTTTCCTAGGAATTTCCTACCTTATTCAATAAACCTTGATGAGATTTATAAAGGAACATGAATAAACTTTAAAAAAACTACATTTTCCAAAAAAAGGATCTACCTTTCTCACCTGGAAATATGATTGAAGTTACGATTTAATTTTTCTTGCGAACGATGACAAAAACGGCAAAAAAGACAACAACACTAATAGAAAAATCAGAGAAAAATCGAGAAAAAAGTGAGAAAAATGCCAAGAAACAATAGGGAAAGCGGACCGTCATCAATCACAATTTGGCACGAAGTTTTTGCAGGCGAAAAAAGAGCAATCTTCCTTTACTTCTTCTCCTTCGACCGTCCCACAGCAAACCACAGGCAACAATACGCGTGATTGGAATTCCCAGGAAAAACTTTCCCAGGTTGGTGGAAGAAACCTTTTTTTTATAATTTTTCCTTCCTTGGCTGTTCGATTTGGTGTCAGGCGACGCCTTTACTGTAACAAGTCCTTTCTTGACTATGATCCTTGATGTTCAGATTTTTCTTTGAGAAAATATTTTTCTATGGAGAATAATATAATTTGAAGTTGTAATTTGCAGATTTTAAATGTGATTTTTGTGTCGAGGAAGAAAAAAATCACGCCTTTTCTTTAAAGTCGCTCACAAATTTTTAACTCCAGGTCTATTTTTCGATGATTCTTTTACATTTATCTGTTTCAATAGGTCTTCAAAACCTGGAAATTTTCTAAGGCAATTCAAAAAAGAATACGGATTGAGTTTCACGGAAGCTTATGATCTCGATAGAAATATAAGTTGGGATGATTAAAAAATCAATAGACTTCAGAAAGTCTTTTTTACAAATTTTCATCAAATTCTCAAACGACCATCAAAAAATATCTGCTCTGAAGAAAATAATTGCCAGAAAAGCCCCTACGGCGGAAACATCCCGCCGCCGCCACCAGCCCCAGAACTTGTGCACCACGTTTCGGTCCTCGAAGCTTCTGCCCATCGAGAAATGCCCCTTTCTCGGACTTCAGACGTCGGCCTCGTCTCGTTTTCAGGCCTCAGTGAACCTTGCTCCGTTGGGTCGATTGTTGAAGTCGTGGTGAGTAGATTATAGTTCATTCTTCCTTCATTTAATAAAAAAAAGAAATGTTAAAGAGATTTTTGGTCTTATAAGTCACTGGGAGAGTATCAGAAAATTTTGATATTTCGTTTTTCAGATCAACGCCCATGGAGATGTCGTCAATGGAGCAGTTTACGTTGAGTCGATGTCTCCCTCAGGTCGAGCTCATCCCTGTACTGTCAATCAACACGGACAGTCTTATATGGCTACTTTCACCCCAATGGAAGTCGGTTAGCGTTTTTTTCATTGTTCGAAAAATCGAAACTTCTATGGCTCACTTACCCTACTTTTTTCTACATTGATCCTTCATTCTTTTCAAAAATGATAGTTTGTGCAGGTCAAAATGTTCTCAGCTTCATTTCGGTCTATCAAAGAATGTTCTGGCTAAGAAAACTCCGAATTACTTGAAATATGTTTCTTGTTGGAAATAATCTCACTTGTGCCAATTTTCGAAGAACATTTTTTTTGTACTTCACCGAGAAATTGGAAGATCAACGTTTCTAAAAAAACTATTCAACATTCTAAAACCAGTCGGTTCTCCGGCTGTCCAAAAATAAGGTGCCGATGAACCCGAAGCGAGGCAACAGATCGAGATATGGGATGAGTTAGGCCTAGGCCAGTAGTGTGTGGAAGGATCAAACACAGATAGGCATCTGATGTGTCGCGCCGGCCGTCCGGCCACAGAAAGACACTCCGGCGACCTTTACCTCGGACTCCCCTGCCTAACCTATATGTCGCCGTTCCAATCATATAGCCTATTGCATATCTTTTTCGGTTTCACTGATTTTATGTATCTCATCCATTTTCATTTAAATTGAAATATTTTTTTGATTCACAATATATTTTTTATTTTTTTCATATTTTTTTATCATTCATAGTCTTCTGATTGAGGAAGATCAAAAAATACACTCCCAAAAGTTTTATCTTCATTTTTCAGGCCTTTGGCGCATCGGAATCCTCTACGAGGGAGAGCACATTCGAGGGAGTCCATTTGCTTGTCAGGTAATTTTTACTGATTTTTTGATTATTATTATTGATTTTGTGATTCAAGGTGTTCGATTCAAACCTGGTGAACGTTTACGGACTCGACGTCGGGCTCGTTGGCCAAGAGCTTCGGTTCACGGTTAACGCCAGCCAAGGAGGCCACGGAGATCTTAAGGTGAATATTTTATCGAATATTTTTGCTTAAATTTTTTTTCTTAAAAAATTTCACTTTTTGTAAGTTCATGTATCTAGGTGCAATTTTTATTTAGGCCATTTTTACTTTTTTCAAGAATTTTTCTCCAAGGTAGCGGTGAATGGACTATTAATGAATCATGAGATAATCGGATTCTTAATGCTCATATCAGTACCTTTATAGTCGACAAAAACACTAAACTTATCTTTTTTTCAAAGTCTCTCCTAAAATATCTCCCACTCCCCATAACGGAAGTTGCATCAGGTCGACATTTTTCTGTTTTCTCGCCGGTATTGATTAGGTAATTTGGGCGGTTGTTTGGAGTGATAGTGGTCGGCGTTGCGGCAGATCTTCCAAACCTGTCGGTTGTTAGGTTTCGCTTCTTTTTTTTCTGAAGCGCATCTTTCTCGCTTTGCCATTTTTTCACTACGTCTTTTCCTACTGTTCGCTTGTTTTGTTTATGGCCCGGTATCATTCAGCCAAGTGGCGTTAAAGACCTCCTGTATCATTTGGCCGGTTCTCTTCCTTTTCTGAGCTGTTCGCGAGTTTCAGGTCTCGGTTTTGCGGCACGGCCGCGAGATCCAATCGACAGTCGAGGAGCAGGGAAATTCTGGCGTTTACCGAGTGACTTTCGTTCCTGACGGAGCTGGCCAGTACAAGATCCACGTGCTCTTCAACAAAATGGAAATCAAAGGTTCAGAGTTATTCAAGAAAAGTTGAAAACCTGGCAGTCGAAGAAATTTTTTAGAGGATAAGCTCTTCATTTTAAAGGCTCAAAAGCTTGAAAAAAACTGATTGCCGAATTTCTCCGTTTTAGTTCAAAAGGCGCAAAAAAGCGCTATTTTCGAAGAAAGTTCCAGAAAACTGAGGATTTTTTTATTCATTTGAAAAATTTATCATTTCCAGGATCCCCGTTCATTCTCGACATAGCAGATGCTTCTTCTGTGTCCGTTTATGGAGAGAATCTCAGAACGGCTTCAGTTGGTCGCCTTGCCAGCTTCATGGTCCATGCCGTCGGCGCAGACGTCAAAGATATTGGAGCTCACATCACGGGTCCGTTTCCAACCTGCGTGGTGAAGAATGTTATGGTCCGTCGCTGAAAAAATCAAGTGGTCCTAGTAGAAAAATCGTAATTTTGCGAGTCATCCTGATTCTTGAAACTTTTAACTTAACTGAAAAAGTTAATTTGTCCTGGTCAAGACTTTTTCTAGATTTCGAAGATATTTTTCCAAAAACTTCCAGTTTTTTGTGGCCTTTTGTGACCTTTTTATAGACCTCCTCTTTTTTTATTTATTTAGATTTTGACAAAAAGAAGCCTTTTGAAACATTTTCTCGATGTTTTATGTTTCGACGGACCAAACATCTTCCAAATGCAGCAACCCTGTATGTGAAATAATATGTGTGAAGCTTAAAATTCTACTAACACTCTTGTCTTTGAAATTGGACTAAAAACTTTTGTTTTTGCATGTTTTATTTTCAATTCCCTTTTTATTTCGCTTTTTTTGTGTGTCAAAAAGTCCAGAGAGAGAGGGAGAGAGTGTGTTGAAAGAGTAGATCGAAATGTCTGTTCGTTGGCCGAGTCAAGAAAAATCGCTTCCGTCAATTGTCGGCGTCCGTCTTTTTTGTTTCAGTGTTGGTACGTTGTTTTTCGGTTTTTTTTGTTTATTAGTTAGTTTTGGAACTAAATTTGTGTCGTTTTAAATTTAAAAAATAGCTCTGGAACTACTAGAGAGAGAAAGGGGAAACTGAAGAGAGACTGGAGAAAAGAAAATCAGAGACTCTCCAGCTTTCACACGTTCTCTCGCATTTTTTTCAGTATTATTTTTATTCAAACTGTTCAAAAAAAAAAACAACTATCAGTCAATTAATCAATTATGTGCATATGGAATGGCTCAAAAACCGTTGTTCATGATTGAAAATTTGAACTTTTTAGTGAAAAAGAACGTTTTTTTGGGTGCAAGACTAGAGCCATTCCAAATGCGACCTAATCTTTCAAAGTAGCAAACTTACTTTAATAATATTCATGTTTTAATGTCAATCCTCAATTCAGTTTTTATTTTGGGTCTATTTTTATGTTCAGCTCCTTCTGGGAAAGAATTTTCGGCGCACGTTTTTGCATTGGATGACGTCACTTTCCAAGTTGAATGGACGCCGAGAGAGCCGGGTAGGATGTTTTTTGAGTTTTGGATTTTTTTTCCCTTTTTTATCACTTCCGAAAATTCCTTAGAGTGTGAAGGGGCGTGGCGGCGTCACGGCCAATTGATATCATGAGCGAATTAGTGGGTCGATGAAGTTTGGTTCTTTTCTCTTTTGGATTTTTTTTGTTGTAGTAGCGGAAAAGTTTCAATAATTGAATGAAAATAAAGAATCGGAGGGTTAAAAATCGATCAATTTTTTGGAATGCCTGTGCTCCAGCCAAAAAAAAGAAGTTTCTAGGCTTTTTGGTAAACTTCGGCGCAAGTCGTTTTTGGTCTGACACAGATTGAAAAAATCATTTTTTAACCATTCCAAGTGCGACAAATAGCGTTTCGAAGTAAAATTGAACGGAGTCGAAATAATGACGGAAAAGAGGATGACTCAATTTATTTGTTCGAGAAGACCGGTTTTTTTCTGTTTGGGAGTAATTCATGATCGCTGGGATTTTTTGTTTTTGGAAATCGGTTTTGAATTTTTCGTTTGATTATCAATGTAAGATTTACATTGGAACTTTTAAAAAAGAATGAAGGGGTATGAGCTCGAAAATGTTCAGGAGAACACGCTGTCGACGTCCTGCTGGCAGATCAAAGAGTCGTCGACTCGCCATTCGGTTGCAACGTTGGGGCTCCCGAGTTGGTCCGCGTTCTGAATATTCCTCGGCGCATTCAGCCTTCCGCGCTGAATGAGGATCAATTCTTCGAAAGTTGGTTTTTCTGAGTAGGAGGTGAAAAATTTGTAATGTGCATCTTACAATAAAAATACCGGGAAAATTATTTTTTTGTGACTATTTTCAAAACGGGTTTAATTTTTCATCGAACTGAGAAGTGAATCGAATAATTTCCAGTCAAAAATGAACTTATCTTAGTGTTTTCTGGATTTTGATAGACCGTTTTTTTGAATATTTATTTCAAGGAATTTTATTTAATTTCAATTCTTTGCATCATGAAGTACAGAAGAACTGTTAAATTCAACAAATCCCAAAAATATAAAGCGAAATACAGCAGATCATTTGAAATACGTCATTATTATCTGAGGTTTGTTCTGTTAATTTTATCATTCTAATCGAAGATGTCCCATTCATAGCTGGAAAATGATCTAAAACACTGAAAAATGATCCAAAAGTGATCTAAACAAACATTAAAAACAAACCTATTCTTTGTTATCCCTTATCATTAGCACTAAAAGTACATCCAACTGAACTATTTTTTCTTTTTGCACGCTCCGAACACTTTGGAACAAATAACTCTACAAGTATTGGGCGGGCCAGGTAATTCTAGCCAGTTTACCTGTTTCCTTTTTATTGTCCCCGCTGCCTTTTTCACTTTTCACGAAAAAAAAAACTCGATGATTTATTTTATTCCTTTTTAACTACTGGATTCTGTTCTGAAAATGGTATAATGATTTGAAAAAAACAGATATTATGACTAGCTTCACTTACACTACTGGTTGGTTTTTTTAAATTGAGAAGAAAAATTTCAATTTATTCACGATTTTAGAGATTGGAAGAGATAGGGTTCAAAAATATGATCCACATCAAATCGATTTTTTTCATTTCAAGTCGAGAGTTTGTTGTTCAAAAAGTCAAAGATTTATAAAAAAATTTGGAAAGTCGAGAATTTCTTCATAATTTTTTTGAGAAAGAACCTAGGATACGTAGAAAAATTCCAAATAAAGGAACCATTATTCCAACTTTGACGACTCTGGTTTTTTCAGGAGCAATGTTTGTGTAAAATTTTTTCACTTGTAATTGAAAGTCCTTTTTGGTTTCCTTTTCGAATCCTTTAACGAAAAATGTATTTCAATTCCGAGTTACTTGTGGTTCAAGGACCAAAGGTTGAACTTATCCAACTTGAATTTGAGCGACCGGTTACCGGCACCACGGCAGTATTTGCCCTAGTACAAGTGCATCATGATCGCATCTTGCCAAGAAATTGTTTGCTGTTTGCCGTTTGCTCCAACACTTTTCTTCCCATTTCAACTCCAATTTTTGATTCTCTTCCTTTTCCATTCCATATTTGCTACTTTTCAGTCGAAAACCTCAATTCAAGTACCGAAAATGCCATATGTTAGACATAAAAAAAAATCGAGCGCCGAAAAGTTTTGTGGATTTTTCACTCGAAATGTGTGCTCTTCCGCTGCTCACACTTTTCGAGCCGTCAACAATCTTTTTTTGTTTTCTTTCCGGACTGTTTGATATCCTTGACTTGAAAAACAGAGTAGGTTACTATTTTGTTGACTTTTTGATGTCATCAGTAAAGTCAAGGCGTCGGTAATACCTAATGATAATCATTTAAGAGTCAAGACAAAGGCTCGAAATTGGAATTTTTCTCTTGTTTTTGTCAGTTTTGATACCGCGGATCGAAAAAAATGTGTATTTATGGGCATTTTTTGTGCATTCCGAGGCTATTCATGAAGGTGTGAATTTCGCTTTTGACAAAATTTTTCGAATGTTGTTCAAGGCGAGCTTCAAAAGTTCCATGCTTGGATTTTTGCCCTATCTTGGATTTTCGAGAAATTTTTTTTTTGATTTTCTAGATGAAGATTATTCCACCTTTACCTCAGAAGATGTAATAATCAACCTTCGAAAAATTCAGAGTTGCTCGCCGAAATTAACTCCCCTATCAGTTCTACCAATCCTCTACTTTTTCTCTCATACTCTCAATTCTAGATTGAACGTTCGCCTTGAATTTCATAGCGACTCTAATCCACAAACATTTGACAGAAGTATTTGCTTCGAGATGTTTTGTTGGCATAGTCTGTAGAATTCCTTCTCTAACGCTTCGAGCGTCTCAATGCGGCGTTTTGTTATCATCTCAGCTGCATGTTTTTCGGCCTCTTTCAGTATTTTCTCAGGGTTTTTTTTTCTTGTCAGCTGGGACAACAGTAACTTGTAGTGTTCAACTTGAAAAAAATGTTGATTGTTGAGAAAAAGGTGATTTTTTTGATCTGAAATTGTTTTATTTTTTTCTGAGAATCTGCCTCAAAGTTCATTTGGAAGAAGTGAAAAAATCCCTTTTTATACTAATTTCGAATTTTTGAATTTTTCCGTTTGCCGAATGGATAGAAAATTAGAAATTGAATCAATTTTTTGTCGAGAATCATGAAGAAAAAAATTTGAAAATCTTTACCAACTCTAAGCTTTGTCAAAAGCCCCGTATTCCACTCACCATAGGCTTAGGACAGGAAACTTCTTTTTTCGAGCTCTATCCATAAAAAGACATTTCCAATCCAGCGGTAAATGAACTATGAAGCTCGAGGCACCAAGAAGGCCAAAAATAATAGATAAAAGGAAAAATTTTCAGTTGACGCATCGTCGGCGGGATCAGGAAACCTGGAGATCATGATCAACGGGGGCCGAGTGCCGTGCAGGGTGCGCGAGCTCGGCAGCCGCCAGTACCAAGCGATTTTCACTCCGACTCAGGTCCTCACTCTTTTTTTTTTTGCTTCTCTTTTGTTGTGTTTGCTCGCCGAGCACACCCCCAACCAACGTGCAGTACGCGTTCCATGAAATATTGCAACCGGCTGCCTTTCGGTACACTCATTGTCTCTCTACAAACTCTTCTGCTGATGTTTTAACTAACTGAACTATATTGATTGATTATCGATTTTTGCGATGGAGGAAGAAATTTTCTTTTCCGAGGAGGTGATAATATTTTTCTTTAGTTTACTCAAGCTCATTTCAACTGAAGTATCAGTTGAAAATGTTTTATTTCAATTTCTCTACCTTTTTTTCTATGCGAAAAAAATTTTTTTCTGGAAATTTTCAAGCTTCAATAACAAGGGTCTTGCACAGGCTTTTTGATAGTACACTCCGTTCAATAAGGATAGGATCCCCCTCGATTTTGGACTTTCTGGCAAAATACGGAAAGATATCAAAAAATTTTCGTAGGAAGACTGCTAGGATAATGAAACTTTGGCTCTGGGGGTTGTTTTGTACTCTGAATCGAATGGCATTTACAAATTTTTGATGTCTTTCCGAATTTGCCAGGAAGTCCGAAACCGGGGATGAGGGGGAAGGGGGGCTATCCCCATTGAACGCAGGGTATGTCGGTATATTTAATGAATTTTCTGTCTTTCAAATGAAGTAAATTTTAGCTTATGTCTTCTTATCAGCTCATCAGATCTTTTGAAAAAAATTTCAAAAAAATAAATTTTCCTCAAAAACTTTGAATACATTGCTGCGAAAGTTGTATGAGTACATCGGAAGTTTGGAGACACAAAATTTACTTTTTTTTTTCTTGCCAGATGAAGCAGATGTCCTGGCGGAAAGCGAGTACACAGCCTTGTATCAAAAAAACCACAACTCTTTTTTTTTGAAAAAAATCTATCATTTTATCGTCTTTTTTTCAGTCCATCACGCACACTATTGAAATGCGTTTCAATGGTGAGCACGTGAGCGGCAGTCCTTGGAAAGTTCCAGTCGAAGAACGGGGAGAACGACGTCAGGATATGGAGAGGTAAACAAGTAAAACGATGATAAATAATATAATAAGATAATTGATAGTGTGATCTCGTTGCCAGGCGACGAATTATTGTACTTCTCTCATATCGCAAAAAAGCTCTAAAAACATTATTGAACAAGCTTCATTTTTTCCTGTTTTTCTTTCCTTCGAAATTTTCGTTTCTAGGCGTTTTTTCTCAATAATCACTTCGAGATTAGTTTTACAGCCTGAAATCAAGCCAAATGTGCTTTTTGAGATTATTTGAATCGTTCTGCTCAAGCAGGTGAGACGTTTTTTTTTTCTGGGAAGTTTCGAAACAATGGCCAATGCACTAGAGCAAAAATAAGTATAAAAAGCTCAGCTACAAAATCCGAGGAAGGACTCCTGAAAGTCCAAGAAAACTATCAAAACTATTCTACATTGTTCTGAAGGCCGCTTTTGTTTGAAATAGAAGAAAAGCTTCAAAATCTCCAATTTAGCCATTTCTCGAAAATCCCCAAAAAATTAAAATTACATAGATCATGAAAAAATCATCTTAATTATTATCATAACATCCAGAGCCATGTCCTACTACTCCGAACTATCTGGCCCCGGCCTTGTCCGCGCCCCAATCAATCGTACCGCTACCTTTGATGTTACCGGCGAAGGACTTGATCTCAGCGATATCCAAGCCAAAATCTTCGGTTATTTTTGAAAATCGTCTGAAAATTCAATTTGAAATATTAAGGACCGGATGGACGAGAATTTCCGATCCGCGTGGTGCCAAGAAGCAACGGACGCTTCACGGCAGAATATAGAATTGAACAGGTAAATCAAGAAAAACTGTGAGAAGAAAATAAAAAAATTAGTCTAACGGTCGGAGTAACTTTTTTTAAAAAATAATAAGGTCATGTCCTGATTCACTGACAATTTCCTAGCGGATCATTGTCTCAAGAACCAATTAGTGACCGTGAAGTGTAGATTCCGGAGTTTTTTTCTTGTAATTTAAGGTCGGCGAACATCAGTTGACTGTTTGGATCGCCGGAAGAAAAGTCGACGGTTCTCCTCTTTCAGTCGCTGGTTTGTTGATTTTTCTTCTTTTTCTGTGGTTTTCTTTATTTGATTTTGAAAATATTAAGTTTTTCAATTAATATTTTAATGCTTTTTTTCCATGTCTTCAGTTCTCCGAGCTTGACAAAAAAATCACCACCTTAAAAAAATTCTTTTTTTTTTGTTTCCAAATACTTTTTTTCAAGCATTTTTGCTCCGATTTAGGACTACTGAAAAAACATTTATAAAATTTTTTTATGAATCGCTACAAAGTAATCTAAAGAAATCTTAACTTACTTTCCCGTTTCAACTTTTTCTCAAATTTCTATGGTCACAACCTTCCTGTAGACTAATTTGTTCCGACGTCTTCAGATTATATCATAAGTATATCCTGAGAATGATATGAAAAAATTGAAGTGACTTTGGTAATCTCAGCTATCACTGGTTTTAAGTAAATTCTAAGAATGATTCAAAAAAAGTATCCGTTTTCTAACAATAAATTGAGTGGTCACTTCACATCAAAGTTCCTCCCATTAAAAACCCCTGGAATGCGTTTTTTTTTCAGGATACGCAACAGAGAAAGTTCGGTTGGAACCGCTAGGAGGCGGAGCGCCGCAGCAACCTGTGCAGTTTATTGGTGAGCTGGGGGCAGTTTACAGACCCGCCAAAGGCATCATTGCATCGCGTTTCCTCCCACTTTTCGTCCACGTTCTCTGATCTGAACCTGAACTCATGAAAGTGCGGACAAAGCGATAAATAGGATGAACGGGGGTGCAACTGCCGAACGCAGCAAACTTAGCTACTATTCTCAGCTCTATGTTATTCCTGCAGTGGACGCCGTCGATGCTGGAAAAGGCCAGCTTGAGATCTCCGTCAATCAAGGACGAGTTCCCAACAACGTTCAGATGCAGGGTGCTGGGAGGTAAATTTTTCAAGTCTCAGTTTGAAAAATAGTGGAAAAAGGGAAAAGGAATCAATGATTTTAAAAATCAGAGAACCAGCCGGATAAGGGAATTTTACCATATTCTCAATTTCGAGATTCAGATTTCCTCCCAAAACATTCTGAGATCTCCAAGAATTTTTTTTTAAACGTGGTAGTCGAGAAAAACAGTAAAATCACCTAATTTTTTCACTTATTCTTTTTCGTTCTCAAATTTTTTTTTAAATTTCTAATCAAGAAAAAAAGTTTCACAAATGAGGTATTGAAAAATTTCTAAAAAGTTAATTTCCATCATCACAATCAAAAAAGTAACTCGAGAAGACCTAATTTCCCTAGCAACAATGTTTTTCTGAACAAAAAGTTCAACTTGACAAGTGACAAGTGAATTGCCACTTCAATTAACTCCATCGTTCCAAAATTTATTATGTAGTAGCGATTCTAACTGGTTTTTTATAAACCATCAATGTTACATTCCGAAAAAAAGAACTGGATTGTCTGTAGGAAATGTCACTGATTCTAAGCGACATTATAAGGTTTTGCAGCTTTTTGAGGATTATTTGAAGATTTATAAGGGACGCTTGTAATTTTTCAAGAATGTTATGATGATGAGTTAAGAATGGAATTATTATTCACGGTTTGAAGATTTCTGACCTGGAAAAATCTGATTTGAAAAATTCACGGTTTTTAAGTCAATATAAGATCATGTGATCTTTGAACTTTTTTCATTATTAGTTCAATTTTAAGTTTCTGGGTCATGATATTTCTCATCTTTTTACTAAATTTGGAAAATTTACAGATGCTTGGTCACGTTCATTCCGCAACATCCAGGAACCTATGTGATTGATGTCACTTTCAATGGCGAACAGGTTCATGGTGAGTGAATTCAGAATGGAAAAAATCTTCAATTAATACTCTTTTCCCTTTCCAATTTGTTGAATTCTCAATTTTTATTCAGTTTTTTCAACAGTTCAAAAAACAGAAATAGAAGGCGAATTGAAAGTTATTCTAGTTGAAAAGAATAAAGGAACAGTTTGACACTTTTTTTCTCTCATTTGAACTGTAAAGAACCACTCACTCGAAGTCGTTCAACCCCGCGAAAAGTGTCATTTTTTTCGCTGCCTTTTGCAACATTTTGCCGCCGACAAAAATGCGGTTTTGCCTCCGGGGCTTTTTTATGTGATAGTGGCTGGGCAGATGGAAAGTGAAACGGCCGGGTTCGTACAATTGAGTGAGCGTCTGCATTCGTCTGTTGTGAAACTCCAAAAAGGGAGAAAAGAGAGAGAAAAATGTGGCATTTATATTCTTGTGTCGTCAATAGTTATTGATTGATATTTTTTCGTATGAGAGAAGACTACACGCCGTAACTTGTTATGCCAAGCAGATTACGAACGGATCATAGCAACGCTCGCCAAAAAGTTTCGCGGCGTTTAGCGCTTGCACCGAGTTTGATGACAACAATTGATACGAATGGATTTTTTGGTCATGGAAGAATTCCTGATTTTTTTTTAGAGAAATAGAAATTAGTTCAATCATTGCTTGCTGGAGATGAAGGCCCAGGCGAAACAGTAGCGGGAAAAAAGCTCAGATATATTTGTGGCTTTTTCCAAAGTTATAGGTGAATGGATTAATAAAGTAGATATTTAGAAATTATTCCGGTATTTGATCATAACTTGTTGTGAAGTCCAATCACCACAGATCAAAATATTCTAGTGGATTTTTTTTTCGGTCTTTAGGTCATGAGATTCAAACTTTGAGAGCTTTCAATCTGAAAAAAATGTATTCAACATCTTTAAAGTTAGATATTTATGATAATGATCTATGACCGATTCACAGTGATCGCAATTCTTTCCAGGATGCCCGATCAAAGTCGAAATTCTGCCGAAGCAGGTCGGTCAGCAAGTCCATGCCAACCTCACGCCAACTGCTGTGTCCACCGCAGTTTCTGCAGGTTTTTCTTCAACTTTTTCTTCATATTGCATGGAAAATAGTAATTTTGGTGTTCTGTTGAAGAGTTCTGAAATTTGACCTCTGCAGTTCAATGAGCATTGAGTTACATAAACAAAAAAGGCTGTGAAAGTGGAACTTTTTGCGGAAAAAGTAGAAAAAGTTCAGAGTCGGATTAGGGATAAAGTTGGGAATGGGATTGTCTACAGATTATTTTTTTTTGTTTTACTTTTTTATCCCTTGGGTTAGTACAGTTGTAGATCACTCATGATACATTTGGCACAGTGTAGGGAATTATTTGTATGAAGCTTGTAGAAGAAAGTGAGTCAATTTTTGGATTTGGTCAAAATTTATTTTCTGAACAATAAAAATCAAGACTTAGATCTTCTTGTGACAATATTATATGAGAAGCTACCTTTCAAAAAAATTAACCCATGGTTTCTCAATTTACTGTTTCTTATAACCTTCAGATCCCTTCAAGCCAAATATAAGCCTTTTGGCAGTTTTTATTTGGTTTGTCAAATTTTAAAAATCTAAAATAATCTTGAAATTGAACCATTTTTCAAGGTTTTTCGAGGCTGCAAAAGCTTTTCAAAATTAGCCGTAATCTTGATTCTTCAGGAGGCGCTTCAATCGCCGGAGCCTTCCGTTCATCGCGATCTCCAGCTTCGTCGACGTCTCCAACCTCGCCGACGCTTCTGCAGCACGCCCGCCAACGAAGCGAAGAGACGACGTTGCGGAGTCCGACGCTGCTGCGTGAGTCACGCAAGACTGAAAAGCCATGGCAGACGGTACGTTTTGAACAACACAATGCCTCTTCTTTTTCTATTATTGTTCTTATTGTCCTTCTTTCCCTCCTGACGGTTCCTCAAAGTTTTATTAAATTTGCTCCCGCCTGAAAATTGATCGAAAATCATTCCTGAGAACTGAATGAGCTACTACTTTTATTCAAGAACCGTTAAACGATATTGGAGAAAGGTTGTTTTTCAAAAAGATCCTTTCCTTCAGATCTCAAGGTTTTTTTGAAAAGATCTTTATGATCTTCAGATGATAAAAAATATAGTCATTCAGCTATTTTACGGGAAAAATCCAAAATTTCGAGAAAAATGACCTCAATTATCCAGTTTAAAGATCAAGACAAATGTTTTGATGCGATTTTCTGCCTTTCAGTCCTACGCTCCAACGCCCAACCGTAATGCGTTTTCCCAATCGCCGCATCGTGACTGGAGCGCTTCTAGCGTCTACGATCGCGTTTATGGAAGCAGCAACGAGGTTGACAGGTCCATGCCTAACGAAACTTCGAGGTGAGAACCTTTTTTGTTTGATCAGAATCCTTGTCAAAATTTTTTTTCAATCATTTTTCTTTTGAAAACGCTTCCAAAAATCTTGAGCCTTTGAATTGACTATCCCACATATCTCTTCAGAAGCCACAACATTCGTGAAATCACCACCGTGATCAGAAGAACACCATCTCCTTCCGGAATTCGGTAAAGTTTCCAAGAATTTGAGCGATTATCAAGTTTTTTTAGCTCAAGACAAATCACGGAAACCATCACCAGAACTGCTCATCGATCGCCATCACCTCCTCATGGAAGCGTTCGGTAATTATATTTTAATTTATGCTGTCTTGAAAAAAAAAGTTGCTGATTTTGCTTCTTATTGAGAAGATGTTTATCTGAATTGTTTTGAAAAAAGTTTTTGCTTTTTTTTAGTACTTTCACTTGTATTATATGTAATTAAACTTGGAAATAATCAAGCTTACCTTTCCAGAACCCAAGAATTCGCTGACAGACTTGGTCGCTCCCCATCTCCTACCCGCCGAGAACGCGACTATTTAGACAGGACAGCCAATTACAGGTTGAAAATTACCTTCCATTCCTCTTTTCCAACAGTTCTCCTTAAAGGTCACCTTCTCCTCCACGTTCCTCTAGTGCGGCTCGATCTCACATCAGTGAGACTCCAAACTCGCCCTTCCGCGGATCCGACTCTCCTTACGATGGAGAAAGGATCAGAAAAGTGGAGAGAATGGACCCGTTGGCGGATGAAGAAAACAGAGAGCGTCAACGGGAGGAGCAACGCGAAAATGATCGCAACGCTTTGGGGTCGGATTTTTGGTCTTATTCAAGGAGATTCCTTTGTTTTTATGTTATCTCAAAACTTATAGGTCCTTTTGGATCTGAGTTCTTCAAAAAAAAAGTCGAAGTGCTCTTTGATATACTAGCAAATGATTTCCAAGCTTTCACCTTTGCCATCTTCCAAGTTCAGAAAGAAGAGCTTTTAGAAGCGATTTTGAACATCGAGGGGCTTGATAAAATGCCTGCGAAAGGCTTTTCACTGTTTCTCTTCAGAAGTTTGAATAAACTCTCATTTAAATTTTGTAGATACACCGTGGCCCAATACGGACAATCTGGATACGTTGAGAGAGCGACTCCTGAAAGACGCTATTTCGGAGATACCTTGGAAAAACGCGAGCGTTCTCCCACCGCACTGGTGAGACTCTGAAGTTTTTTTATAACTTGAAAAAAAATTTTTCAGCATCGCTCCGTCTCGCCGGAATATTCAACGGTCTACGAGAAGTACGAGCGAAAAAGAGCCTGAAGTCCCACGTCGCGCCAGTCCTGAAAGGTATGAGATGGGAAAAACCCTTGAATTGGAAATTTGTTGAAATTTTAAATACAAAAAAATCAATTTGAAAATCCATGATTCAGCAGAGATTTTCTTCATCTTACTCTGAAGACTGAAGAAATTGTAAATTGTAATTGACCCCAGCTTTTTCAGACCTCCAAAAGTCGAAGGAAACATCGCTGCTTCATACAAATCTTTCGAGCCAGTCTACACTGAAGTAACTACCACCAGAACCACGACAACTACTGGACCAACCCCGCCGGTGGAATATGAAAACGTGGACAGGTTGGAATAATCGAATTAGCTTGTTGTTTCAACAATTTGAATGTTTTCAGAAGGCCAGAGAGGCCAAGACGCGTTCCAACGCCAGAAGGCCACATGGAAGACGTCAAGGATGAAGAGCCACGTCATGGCCAATCGGCTCATCATGTCTCTATCTCGAAACCGAAGAGAGATGACTCGCCTGCATTCACGAGGACACAGTCTGAGGTATAAAATGCACTTTTTTTTCAACAAGCTAGTTTTTTTCAGCAACTTCTGGACAAGGAAAAGGAGTCAGCTTCTGAAGTCAACCACCTGCACAGATCTGAAGAGCGAGAAGCTATTTATGACATCCCACCTACTGAAGCTTTGCACAGGTACAAATACAAAAAGTTTGAAAATTTTTAGAACTTTTTTGAACGATATTGTTGGGGAAAAGTTATTGAAAATTTGAAAAAGATTTGCAAAAGAAGTGAGTTTTACAGAAGCGCAGAGATCGCTCCTCAACCTCTGACCAACGAAGAGAAGCGAAATGCCGAATATTTGAGAGTGAAGGAAGAAGATGAGAGAATTTTCACGAAGCATGGACTCCGCGGAAAGAAACAAGAGTGAGAGTTTAACATGGATTTTTCCATCAATTTTGACTCCTTCCAGACCTTCCATCGACATTCAAGAGCCACTGACTGAGCCGATTCGTGACGACGTCGTGGAGACTGTTCATGAAGGACCGGAAGAAGTATTTTTATTTTCCTTAGCTCTTATCGTTATCATCATTTTTCAGACCCTCAGGCCAATTGGCGAATTGCCTCATTCTCCAGCTCCATCGGCTCCAACCACACCCGCAGTTACTCCAAAAGTCTCCATGAAGTTCAAGAAAGACGGAAAAGAGACCAAGCCATTTGACTTCGGCAAGAGCAAGTTCAGCACAAAGCATGAAGTTGTCAAGTTTGGAAAGGAAGTTGAGGTCAGAGTTCAGAAAGATTCGTAGACAATGAAAGATGAACTTTCAGGTCAAGCTAGACAGCTTGAAACTTGGAAAAGAGGACCTTCTTCGAGTTGTCGTAGTCCGTGAGTTGAAAGAAGAGAGTATTTTGAAGAAAATTCGTTTCAAGTTAACAAACCGCAAAGCGCTGTCACTGGAGTTCCGCCACCTGAAATTGAGGCGAAGGTGAAGAAGAGCGGCAGCAAGTACGAGATTGTATTCAAACCGGCTGAAGTCGGCACCTACAAGGTGATTTTTCAACTTTTATTTTTTATTCTCAGAGGGTTGAAACCGTAACTGAGAAACGGCAAAATGAGATCATTCGCTTGTTCTTAGCTTCAGAGCGAAACCACAGAGTTTAGACTAATATCTGGCAAACATGGCGTTGTTTAGGTGTTTGCCTACGTGAATGAGGTCCAGCATCCGTTGTCGCCTTTTGTCGTGCGTGTCTATGACTCCTCAGAAATCGTCGTCGGCGAAATTCCCACGCGGTCTCATCTCAACGATACTGTCGAGTTCACCGGTATGTTTTTTGTGGTTTTGAAAATTTGTTTGTATTCCAGATTGAATATTGTCCTATTCTGATATAAATTTAACTACATTATCCAAAATTATATTCTTCAAAACGACGGAAGCGTAACTCGAGAGTGTTCGAATAAATTCGTCAATTGATTTTTTTTTCCAACTTATTTCTGTTCATTTTTTTCTTTTTTTTTCAAGTGATACTCATGATGAAATAAACTATTTTGTGGCTGACATGTCAAAAATTTACTCAAAACTAGAGTTCTTTTTATGGGATTTTTATACAATTTTTTTCAAGCTGTCAAAGTTTTCGGGTCAAAAAAACAACCAAAACCAATTCATGAAAATTTTGAGTTCCATTGCTCTAGAGTTTATTCATGCAAATATGATATTTGCGCCGTCCTTATAAGATTAAGAACGCGCGCGTAAAATCCTCTACGGAAAAACCGGTTTCAGTGGACGCTGGTCGCGCCGGATTTGGTAACCTGGAAATGGCAATCAAAGACGCCGGCGGCGTGATTATTCCATCGCATGTGGCCCAGTTGGAGAGTGGCTCGGCCAAGTTCCTCGTCACTTTCTCGCCAATCACCAAAGGAACCCATACAGTCAATATCACCTTCAACAAGGAAGTCCTCAAAAGTTAGTTTGGTCCATTTCAAATTTTTTTCAAAGTGGCTTCACTTAGACTTTAGAATAGTTGAACTTGACATGCTCAGCTTCAAAATTATAATTTTAAAGAGGTCTTGTTAACTTTTCAACGTTCATTTTCAAAATCGCCTAAAAATGGTCTCAATGTTCTTATTTCATTCACAATTTCTGCTAAGAGTTCAAAGTGTGAAATGGTGAGAAAATTTCCGGAATCAGACCTTTTTTTTTTAGAATTTTCGTACAAAAATCATGAAGCTGATTCTTCAGACTCACCATTCGAGGTGAACATTGTTGATCCGCCTACGCCACCAGTCGCCGTCGAAGGGCTGGCTTCACCAAGTTTGAGCAAGAAGGACTTGAAAAAGGAAGAAAAGGAGAAAAAGAAAGGAGAGAAAGAACGAGCCAGAAGAGAAAAAGAAGAAAGAGCTGCTACTTTGAAGCGGGAGAAAAAGGTATTTTTCGAGGTTTTCTTTTAATAATTGTCAAATTTCACAGAGCAAGCACAAGTTCGTCTCCAAGACGGCCGTTTCTAAGATCCCGTCACTTTCTCGGGTCGGCCAGCCTTCCTCACTCGTTGTTGAAGTGGCTGGACATGATCAACTTGAAATCGTCGTCACTGGTAACCTGAAGAATCCTTTTCAGATCATCTCCCAATTATTCAGAATTATTTCAGGAAATGTGAGAGTGTGAGAGAAATTTATTTTCTAAAAAACCCTCTGTACCCCTTGCATGCTTAAATCTTACCCGATTCACCTGCCATCCTGAACATTTCAGACAGCAAGAAGAATCAAATTGGCACAGAAATCGTCGAGATTGAGCCAGGATCAATGCAGATCAATTTCACACCTCAGAACGTTGGTAAGTGAGATTTTTGATTTGGAAGCTCCTGAAATTTCATCATTTAACATGCTTCCTTTTCAAATCTATGAGAATATTTTGGCTTTCAAAAAAATCATGCTCGAAGCAAAAACCCTCCAGAAAGCGGTCAATATACTATACCAGTTTTTTTCCTTATCAAACTTCCGATCTCAGCCGCCTACCGCATACTACATCAAATAGGCAGAAACAAGTTTTCAAAGCGCTTTCTCAACTTACTAAGCTATCCAAGACTTTCCACACTTCCATCTGAAAATTGTATTATTTTCAGGAGACCACGAGATCGAGGTCAAATACGGCGGCGCTCCAGTAACTGGATCTCCTTTCACGTGCCGAGCTTACGATCCCGCCAAGATCAAGGTCGGAGCGATTCCCAAAGGACTTCTCGACAAGCCTGTCTACTTCACAGGTTTTTTATTATTTCCAAAAAATAAATGATTATTTTTTTTTAGTGGACGCCTCGGAAGCCGGTGTTGGAAATTTGGAAGTTGCCGTCTGTGAAGGAAGAGTTCCATCGATGGCTCACGCTCTTGGACAACACAAGTACGACATCAGCTTCGTGCCAAAGGAGAACGTGGACCACACGATCACGGTTCGGTTCAACAATGAGCCTGTTCCTGGTGGGTGGAAGAAACCTTTTATAGAATTGAGACGGGTCTACATTGCCTAGAGGCTCATGGACGCTTGTTTCTTGAATTCTGCATGAAAATTTAAGATTTTTCAGAATAATGGTTTTGGACACTGTTCTGACTATCGATAATATAATCATACTTGAGAGCGATGAAACATAACGACCCTTAACGCACTTTTCTGTTTCAGGCTCTCCATTCATATGTCACCTTGTCGCATCCGCTCAAGCCACCGCTTCAGGACTTGGCTTGGAACGAATTCCAGTTGATGAAGAAACTGAGATCAAGATCCAAACTGACGGTGTTTTTTTTTATTTTTGTCTCATAACTTTCTATTTTCAGACAATGACTCCCGACCCGAAGTTCGAGTTCGCGACCCACAATCCAACGACTTGCCGGTGAACGTAACCCGCAGCAAGTCGGATGAAACTCTACACATCGCCACCTACACTCCGAAATGTGTTGGAAACCATCAGATCGACATTTCTCTGGGCGGTGAACCAATCGCTGGCTCACCTTTCACGGCAAAGGCCTACGATGCCAGAAAAGCCATTTTGACGCCTCCAGAAACGGCGGTCGCTGGAAAACCAGCCACATTTATTATTGGTAAGATCCTGAGGACATTTAGATTGAACGTTGAAAGTTCAGATGCCGCCCGAGCTGGAGCTGGGAACATGGAGATCATCGTCTCTGTGGACAACCGAAATGTTCCGAACTTCGTGCAAGCTGAAGGCCAAGCAAGATTCAAGGTAATCGAACATTTTTTAGAAATTTCTTATATTTTTTAAGGTCTCCTTCACACCTCAAGAACCCAAGGAACATATTATCAGTGTCCGATTCAATGGAATCAGTGTCCCAGGTGATTTGGACTCATTTGTTCATTTTTTTAATTTTTCGCATCACGAGCTTCTCTAGAAATGCATGTTCTGCCAATTTTTTAAAACCTGAAAGCTCAAAAAAATTGAAAAGTTTAGGCTCTCCTCTGAAATGTCCAGTTTCTCCGGCAGTAGCCGCTGCTCCAGCTCATCAACATGTAGCTGCTCCTCTTGGAGCCGCCGCAGTGACCGCGGCCGCGACAGTCCTGCAGAAGTCTCCTGAAATTCCGGAGCCAGTTGCGAAAACCGGCCTTGCTCGAGAAGTTCAGAGCGCTCAGGTAAAAGATTTTTTCGCTTTTTAAAGTGAAAGTTTTTGAATAGGTCGGCCAGAAGAGAGGCTTCACCATCGACAACATCAACAGGTCGACGGATTGCAATGTGGTCATCACAGGTATTTATTAGGAAGATTGAAGCCGATTCATTTGATTTGAAACGTTGAGGGTCAAGTAAAAAACGCATTTTTTAAATCCTTTTTTTGACGAGTTTGTGCCTTTTTGTCAGAGGGTTGAAAACCACAAAAAATATTTTTTTCGAACCTGGATAATGACGCAAGGCGGAAGTCACTAATAGTCGGGCGCAGTGGAAGAGAGAAAGATGACTTTTTATCGATTATTTTGCTTTAATTCGCGAAAAATTGAAGGAAAGAATGGCACAGAGTGAAAAGTCACCCCAAAAATGAAGCCGACAATGCAACGGCTTGCGCTAACAATAGATATAAACAATCTATTTGTAACTGAGACATTCTCACCGTTTCAAGTCATAATGAATCGACATCATCAAAAAGGATTTTTGAATGCTATTTCATACAGAGTGGGGTCGAAATCTGGGGTTATTCGGCTATTTTCGAATTTTTATGTTGCTTTGTGGTGTCCAATTTTCTTGATGGTATTCATGTGCTTTTTTGTCTTGTCTGGCTTGGGGTGTGCTTGTGGGGAATGTGTTGTTTTGTGTCAAGCGCCGGACGGAGGTCAACTTCCCGTAAACATCGACAAATCTTCGAGTTCTGTCTACACAGAGTTCACTCCAACTGTCAAAGGTTCAACTTACCAAAAAATTATGATAATCAAAAAGAAGCCCAGGAGAACACACTGTGAGAGTTTTCATGGATGGCGAGAAGTTTGACGAATTTGTGGTGAAGGTTAAGGAAGAAAGAGCTTCTCTCCCACCGGTTTCGCTCGTCGGATTGAAATATTCTTTTGATGGTGAGTTTGAACATTTTATAGTTTATTCACTGTTGCGTATGAAAAAAAGACCAAAAATGTTCCCAAATTTCTAACTTACCCGACTAAAAAAATGTAAGAAAATTGCAATAGATTCTAGACCTATTTTTTGGAACTACATGGCAGATTTACCTATATTTTTTCGAAAAATTCAAAAATCCTTGGAATTTCAGTTGACGCCGACGACAAAAACGAAGTTCGCGTTGTGGTCCGAGATCCAAGTGGCCGCCAACTTCCCGTCCTAATGGAAGATCTGCCTGATGGCGGAGTCAGGGTGACCTGCCGTTTCAAGGAAATCGGCCCTCATTCTATTGACACTTTCGTCGATGAACGGCCTTTCGGAGAGCGGCGCTTCCAAACCGTCATCGATCCCATGAACGGAGCTCAATTGGTTCGTAGTTGTGGGAAGGAAGTTTGTTTGGTCAAGCTCTAATTTCAGGTCTCAGAACCGAAAAGGGAGATCGTCGGTCAAACCGTGGAGCATAAGATCCTGATCGATTCCGGGATCGAATCTCAAGTTGCTGTCGAAATCGAAGGACCTGATCGAGAGGTCGTTGATGTACAGCTGAAGAAGATTTCCGAGACTTTGTACGCGGCTGTTTGGACTCCTCGGGTTGGTTTCAGACATCATTCAGTCGACTCATAGTCAGCTTGCGTGAAAATATACCTGAAAAAATATTTATTTTTTCTGAAGGTTCATTCAAAAAATGTTGCTTTGAAACTTGTCTTCCAAGTACTTTGAAACTTGTCTTCCAAGTAAGTCAAATGTTCTTCAGGTGGAAGGTGAGCATAACTTGACGATAATGGTGGCTGGGATGAAAATACCCGGCTCGCCCTTCCCAATCCACGTTTTGGATCCCTCAGCTGTCCGAGTGATTGGCCTGCGGAATGATAGGATAGGGGCGGAACAACAATTTAACGGTAACTTTTTTCTGAAATCACCTCCAAAAACACCTTATTTCAGTTGATTACTCGAACAGTGGAGCTGCAAGCGCTTCCGTTGAAGTTTCAGCGGGAGGTCGACCCATTCCTGTTACTGTCAAAAAGGTTTATCTCTTTTTAAAAATCCACTATTTCATTAAAAAAAATTCCAGGTAAAACCAGGTCTGTTGGTTTGCACATTCACTCCCCATACAAGTGGAAATCATCAAGTTGACGTGACCATCGACGGGCAAGTTCTCCCAGGTGAATTATTCCATAAAAAAAGTAATTAATAATGATTTAACTGTTTCAGAGTGCCCTTATGAATGCTACATCAGCCACATTGGAAGCGTACGAGCGTCGGGAGATGCTCTGAAAAGAGCTCAACGAGCTCGAACAGCTCGGTTTGAGATTATGAACTGTGAGCAAAACCGTGGCGAGCTCGATGTCATGGTCTCAGGTCTGAGTCGGTCAATAGAAGTTTAAATTAGGAAATGGTCTCAGCTCATAGTAGGACTTCAAATCAGACTTGATTTACCAGACAAATGTCAAACTTTTATCATGGAAATCTCCAAGAAAATGTTTGAATTTTAAATTTTGGAAAAACCTTTGAAGGTTAGGTTCAATCAAAAAAGTTGGTTAAACTTCAAAAACTTTAATTTTTCACTGATCCGAAAACAGTGTTGAGAATCGTATCTTTCAAAAAAAAAGGTTCCTCTTTGAGTTGAGACCTATTCAGATTAGTTAAAAAGTAGCAGATAATTTTCCCAATTAACATGTTCCACAGTTTAGTTCATTACATACAAAAAAGTCTATGCCTCTTCTTCCTATAGCTAACTTTTTCCAAACAAAGAATAATAACATTTTCAGGTGATAAAATTGATTTTCAGGTGCTGCCGGATATTTTGCATGTCCTTTCGTTTGTTTTGTGTTGTTTTATATGTTGTGCATGTGTAGTGGAGAAAACCCCTCTTCCTTTGCCTTTACGATTTTTGTCGGGGGCTCCTTTGGAACTTTTCGTTTTTTAAGATCCCAAAGGAGGACCTCTGCCAGTTCGATGCTACAAACAACAGGACGACAGCTATTGGGTCGAATTTACACCTGAGCATCTTGGTATAGAAAGAAAGATTATCTGAAAAATAACCAAATGTATTCATTAGGCACTCACACCATTGAAGTCACCTTCGGAGATGTGCCAGTCCCTGGATCGCCCTTCAGATGTGAAGTCATTGACCCAAAACGAGTTGAAGTGAAAGGCCTGAACGACACCGTCCTTCTCAGACATGCCACCACGATCAATGGTAAAGAAATCCTTCTAGTTATTCAAAAAATTATGACTTTTCAGTTGACCGCCGTGAAGCTGGCCTTGGAGAGCTTCAAGTTGAAGTTGTGGATCCAACCGGAAATCCACTTCGAGTTGAAGCTTTGAAGTCTCCAGGAGGAGAAGATCGCATCACATTCCTACCTAACACCACCGGACCTCACAAGGTTAACGTAAAGATGGGCGGCTTCCAAATCCCTGGTGAGTTTTGACATTGTAATTTAGGAGATTTCTAACGCATTCAAATGATATAGTTTCCGCTGAAGAAGGCTGAAATAAACGGATTTTTGGCAATGATGCATTCTCAATGGTGAAGTCGAAAAATTCGTTTTCATTCTTCAGGTTATCCTCAAACGGTCATGGTCAGCGAGATGGAAAAGCCTGGAGTCTATGGCGCAGCAATCGACCAATCCATCAAGATCAACGAGCCAGCTTCCTTCATATTCGACCCGAAAAAAGCCAATGGAGGACTCAAAATCAATGTGATCGGCCCTGATCAGACCAAGGTAATGATAAATGCTCAGTTAAAATTAATTATCATAAAACTCAGAGTCAAAATCTTCTCTTATAGAGCTTCCTGAGAAAAAAGTTAATTTTTCAGATCCGACACAACGTTATGCGACGTGCCAATGGAACATCTGAAGTTGTGTTCTACCCAGAAGACGTTGGTTCCTACAATGTTTCAATCGATTTCAACAACAAACCGGTGACCGGTACGTTTTTCTTTGGAGAAAACTTTTAAGTTCATCAAAATTTTTAGGTAGTCCATTCACAGTCAAGGTAGTTGATCCGTCCAAGGTTATCGTCAACGACCTTGATATGGACCGCGACGGATCTTTGCTGCTCCGCCTGGGGCACTCAAACTCGTTCGATGTCGACGCCACGGCTGCCGGACCCGGTGAGGACTTTTTTGAGTACTGAAAAGGGTAATATGACAGAAATAACAACGGCTTTCTATTACAGAGTTTAAAGTAACAATCTTTTGACGCGAGAAAAAACTTTTTAGGCAAACTTCGAGCGGAAGTTCGAGATGCTGACAGTGCGTTGGTCGGCGAAGGTCCGGCTGTGGACGACCTCGGACAAGGCAAACACCGGGTCCGGTTCAGCCCCACGCAACCTGGAAGGTAAAGAAAACAGTTCGTTCAATATTGGCTAAAAAAAGTTTATGATTTTTCTCGCAAGGTTATAAAAAGTGTGAAAAATGATAGTTAAAGTTAGTCTGATGAAAGTCTGACTAGTGCCTTAAGCTATGATATTTAGATACTCGATCTACCTGTACTGGAACGAACTACCTGTAGAAAGCGCCTTCCCTGTCAGAGCACGATCCTCCGCCGAAGATCTACCGACCACCTCCCGCGAAGTTCATGAAACTTCAGTTCCTCTAGCCACGCACATCCGGTAAGTATGAACCTTCTGAAAAATTCGCAAATCTCCATTTTGAAGCGAGAAATCATCGACATCAGCGCCGGAAGATGATTTGAACCGAGTGATGGTGCGAGGCGATGGACTTCACCGAGCTGCCTTGAAACAACACAACGAGTTCATCATCGACGGAAGCGACATTTCTAGAGGTTTGAAGGGACATGACGTCACCAAAAATTTGGATGGTTGATAAACGGATAATGAGTGGAAACAGTAAGACCCGGTCGTAAAAAAGTGAACTTTGAGGTCTAAAGCAGCTTGAAATTTTTTTTTTCAAGAAGAGTTGAAATTTCAAAATACTTTTAATTTCATTAGAAATCATAAAGTCATTATTAAAAGTCATTAAGTCATTATTAACTCTTTCAGAAGGACGGATCACAGCCACGCTGCTTGGCACGAAAGCGGACATTCCAGTCAGAATACAGCAACTGGGACACAACGTCTTCAAGGCGACCTACACGCCACTCACAGGCGGAACCTACGAACTTCACGTCTTGTGGAATGGCAAGCACGTCAAAGGGTCGCCCTTCAGAGTATTTCTTATCTAGACGATTGAATTTCAACATTTTGATAACGTTCAGGTCACCGCTGACACTTCTGCCCATCCAGCCGATCTGATTGGCGTCGACTCAACTTCCCTCAAGATTGGAATCATCAACGAGAACATCAAGACTGTCATCGATACCCGTCGAGCTGGACCAGGTTTAGTAGCATTTTATGGAAAATTTGAACTTCTAGGTTTGATTTCTCTGGAATTTTTCAGAAAGAGAAAAATTCAATTTCAATTGAATGTGTATTGAATTCTTAGGACAACTTTCGGCTCATTGCATGGGGCCAGTGAAACCGGCCTACTGTGAACTTTACGATCATCGAGATGGAACCTACACGTTGTGCGTCAGACCGGCTGAGGTAAAATCTCCAAGCCTTCCAAATTCATTAAGCTTTTTCAGGTCGGAAAGCACACCTTGGTCATCAAATACAACGACGAGCACGTTCACGGAAGCCCATTCCTCGTCCATGTCTCCTTGCCTCCCGATCCGTCCAAAGTTAGAGTCTACGGTCCTGGAGTTGAACATGGAATCTTGTCCCTGTAAGTATCCTTATTTAGTGAAAGTTTGAACTTCTGATTCCAGCTTCAAATCCAACTTTGTCGTCGAAACAAGAGGCGCTGGAGCTGGTCAACTGACTGTGCGAGTTCGTGGACCCAAGGTTTTTTTTTGGTTAAGTTAGAATTATCATTTTTATATTTTTCCAGGGAGCTTTCAACGTGGAGATGCAGAGAGAAAAGAAAAATGAGAGGACCATTCACTGCAAATACGAACCCAAGGAGCCCGGAGATTATCAGGCAAGTTTGAAAATGAAAAATCTGTGTTTCTTGGAGATAATTTGAAGCGTATCAAGTTCAAAGATCCATCTTGAAATTCGTTTCTTCAATTTCAGGTCGAGGTAAAATGGCACGGAGAGCACGTTCCTGGAAGTCCTTTCCTGGTGATGATCGTCGACACCGAGCAGGAACTCAGCCGATTCCTCCGTGGCGAGGCGCCGTCACCAACGCCAGCCACTCCATTTATTCCGCCAGGATGGGTCGGACCTCCTCCAATGTTCCACCATCTTCCTCCAGGCCAAAGACCTCACGGACCGCCAATGGGTCCCGCTTATGGAGCTCCTCTAGTTCCTTATGGAGCTCCTCCACCTCCCAAGCATAAGTCCCGACATCACTGATTCCGTTATCATCTTCATAATTCCCATTTATGCCAAGGACCAATCAATTAGAAGTATTTCCTGTTGTGTTTACTCCCATCATTTATCCGAAATGACATTGGTTTAACTGCGCTCAATTCTCAAATAATATATACTTACAAATTTCTATCCAATATCTTTTTCTTCTTCTTCAAATCATTTGCTCCAGCAAACAACTTCGATATCCTGCCAACAAATTGTCTTCAGCTCATATTTTTTCCTAAAGATTTTTCCAAGTGATTAGCGTTAACGCTACATGTCATATCTCAAAGTAGTGTTCCTTTTTTTTTTTTTCGTAATAATAATGCTACGCAGATCGAATAAATTTTTTTCATTTCGATTTTTTTCAACTATTCGAATGGGACAAGAAACGGAAAAACCCAAGAAATGGTTCAAAAACTTCAAGAAAATCAGAAAGTTATGAAGAAATCTTTTTTCTACAAAGAACACTACATCATGTTTGAATAAAAGTTTTTGCTTCTCTTTAACCAAACAAAAGTTCGAAGTCCATGCGAAAGTTAAGAAAAAAAGAACGTCGTTTCACAGTTGCGGACCTTTCTGCCATTCGAAACATTAGCGGACAGACGGAAAGAGAACAAAACGATGGGAACAATGAGCCGAACGCGCGTCTTCGTGACAATTCAAAAACATGATGAAACCTCAAATCTCCCTTTTCGCGCCTTCTGATCTGTACGTTCCCTTCCCAAGCAAGCCTTTTCTTTTTTCAAATTTGTTGTTTGTCATACTTTACGATATGAAACTTTGTGAGAATTACATTGCGATTTCAACTTATTTTCGAAAAACTCCATTCAAATCAGAATATATTGTTTAAAAAACCGTTCTATAAATCATTCTGACACGCTTAAGTCTAATTTCTCGAATTAATAATTTTTTTGCGAGTCGAAAAATCGCCGGAATATGCTCTATTGAATCAAGAAAAATCATGATCAACTTCCTTAAAAATTCAGGAAATTAAATGAAATTACTTTTTTTTCTTTTAAATAATCATTTAATGTTGAATTTGTTTAGTAGCAAAATCTTGAGAAAAAAAGTTAATTTTTTTGATAAATCCTTTTTTTCACTATAAGTTGCTCACCTCAGCCAACACTTCTTCATACCCACATTTTTGACCCTTTTTTATTTCATTCGAGTTTTTTCTTCAAATTTGGAGTTGCAGGCGTTATTTTTGTGTTGTGTGAGAGTTTTCCAGGAAAAAAACCATGCGCGCGACGCCATTCAAGGAGAAGGAGACATACGGGTTCAAACGTCTCACCCCAGATGGCAAATTTGTGTTTGTTTCGCAGGCCAAACATGTAGTTCAAAACTTCCAACGATTTTTTTTCAGAGTAAGAACCAACCACATCTCCAGTACTTTCTTCGTAGTGTGGTTGAAAGATCCGCGTTGGTCACGCCATCATTTTCGTATAAACTGTTGAATTATTGCAGAAGAAATTAAGATCCCATGGGCGGAGCTTGAAAAAGAGTTTGATTGCAAGTTGGAAGGACTGACTCCTGAAGAGGATCCGTACTATGGAATTTACTTTAATATCGAGACTGAAAAAGTGAGTCCCCGATTTTGAAAGAAGTAGATTCTGTGAGAAAAAAAAAATCAATTCGGAAATATAGTATGATTTCAAAAGACTTATTGCTCCTTTAAAATGGAAAAAATTTTTTTAGTGGCTCTTGAAATCCACGAAAGAAGGCTTGATGGATAGAGTATCGAAGCACATTAGAAGCCTCGAGCTTGAGTTCAAGGTAGTTTCCTTTCTATTTTTCTCATAAGCTTTTAACAAAATTCTGTCAGATTACGGCTCGCCTAGTCGATGAAAAATACTACGAGATGTTCACTCCGATTTGGTCCGGGGAAGAGTGAGTGACTCAATGATTTTTTTTTTTCGAAATTATCTTAAAAACTGGAAATTTTTTCTTTTTAAAATTGCTTTATTTTCAATCACTGAAAGTCCGTTTTTCAGTCGTTTCTCTCCACGTGACCATTCTCTGGCCCTTGAGTCTGGTCGTCAGTCTAATAATGATGATGAGCAGGCAACAGCCACTGCGAGGTATTGCTCAGAAATAATGTTGAAAGGATAGCGAATGATTATTGCATTGATCGAATTTCTTGAAAGGAAAAAGAAGAAACTTCAGAGCAACCTGCGACTGTTCGTATCGACGCCGTTTTGAAATGCGCTTCAAAGAAGGTCTCGAAAGTCATAAATCTGCTTTCACCACTAAAGTTGCTCTCTCAAGGTGTTGCTGGGACCAAAGACCATCCAATCAGTCAGTTTTGTTTACTCCTGATTTTTTTTTGTTTGAATAAATGTCTCTGGGATTCATTCTGGTATGAAATTCAAAAATTTTTCAGTAAATTCATAAAAAAGATTGACTTGAGCTTCTCCTTTATGATCATTTTTGATAAGAAACGTTTTTCAGTCATCAAGTCGACCAAGTTCCTGGTTTAAACGCAGGCTCAGATGCTCCTGATGAACCTTCCATGATTTCGGCCAGGTAATTTTCGAAACTGTAAACTGCAAAGTTGGGATAGCAACTTTACAGCACAAACTTTTTTTTTCGATGAAAGAAACACAATAAAATTTTGAAAACTTTCAGGTCCTCCGCACAGAATCTCCCTCAACCCCGACTTGCTACTGTTTCCTGCCTTGTGAGAAAGGCCGAGAAGGATTTAGGAATCGACACTCGTCTTTGTCTCTGCGCTTGTGACGACTGCTACGAGAAAAATTGGTGAGGGTTTAAGAATCAATGATGCTAAAGAAAATCATTTCAGTCAGATGATAGTTAAAGAAGAGGGACCATCAACGTCTGGACTCGGCGAATTCGATGAAAAGAAGCCTTTCTCATTCGGTTACAGGTGATTTTAAAAATTCAACTATAGTCTGTGTGCCACGACTTGAAAGTTTACCGAACGATATTCCGCTGCTCCGCTGCGTGCCTTTAACTGTCCATTTTTCAAGTTAAGTTCACGCTTTCAATTTATTGTTATTGCTGTGGGAGCACGGGAAAGTAAAGTACCTTAATTTTAAAAAAAGCATTAAAAGCGCGACCAAGATTCGCAAAGGCGCGCGGCGGCACAGCGGAATGTCGTTTGGTGAAATTCCCAGTCGGGGTACACAGGCTATAGAAATAATGAAGTCTGGGAAGCGTTGAAAGCTTTCGATTAATAAGAAACAATTCGAAAAGAATCCTAATCTTCAGTGCGTCGTCGACACTTCTCAGCCAACCTTCTTACTGCTCTGAGCCCACGACTAACCTTCCTCGTCGCGAAATCTCCGAACAGTGAGCCTTGCTGCAATCGTTTAATTTTTGTTTTTCAATCTCCATAGCGTCTTTTTTTCTCAAGCTGGGTTAAGTATTCTATTTTTGAAATGAAAGAAAATTGGCAATTATAAGTTTTGTAACACTAATTCGAGAGGATTTTTGAAAAGATTTTTTTTTATTTCAGCGACCAATCGTTATGCACGTGCCAGGAATTCAAGCCACCTTGCTCGTGCCTTCATTGCGCGAATAATACTCCTAAATAAAAAATCCACTAGCCAGTAACCAATGAGTGAGTTTTTTTGAAAAAAATTGCAAACTTCCGTCTAAGCTTCACGCTTTCATATTACTTGAAAAATAAGAGAAAAAAAAATGAAACTGTACAAAAAATGTTGAAAGAAATTGCAGATGAATCTTCGTCGGAGCATCTATCAGGCCATCAAATTTCATCTTCAATACCACTTCATAATACAATTTCTCAATCGCGTTCTTTCAAAATATGCTGCCTTTGTTAGATTATTCCCTCATCGAGCCTTCTTCATGCCGGTTTTTCTTTTTCCACTATTTTTTTCCGGTTTTAGTGACTCCATTGGAAGCTTTTCTGCATTTTGATGATCAGTTCTAGTTTGACTACTGAATTTTTCCTGTCTGCAAATCTGTTCCCTTTATTGTAACCATTTTTTGAAAATCAAGATTCTGACAATTTTTTCCAACAGGCCTTTGGCTTATTTCATCCAAAGTTTTTGTTGTAAAATTAGAGAAAATGTGTCGTTTTAGGGACGGTGCAAAAGATAAAGATCATTTGGACTTTTTCTCGGTTTCTCGGGCGATGAGTCAAATCGTTGCGCGTTACGAATGCTCCATCATTTCTTTTTCTGTGCCATTAAATCCTCACTTTTTTCAACGCCTGTCTCTGATTTTTTTATTATGTTGAAAGGTTCTTGTCACCACGCAAGGCTGCTTTGTTGAAAGGTGGGAGATTTTTCTCCTGGTTGCGGGGTAAATTCTTTTAAAAGCCTCACGAAGACCGTTTTACACAGCTTTTCTGTACAGTGTCATACACTGTCCACCAATTTTTGTTGTTTCTTTGATTTTGTACTGTTTTTTGGAAACTTTTTTTGTTACTTTGTTAATTTTTGCGATTGCAATAAATATCTTTTTCTTTACAATAACCTGGATTATTTTTTTCGGCATCCTTAAAAAACTTAAAATTTGATTTTATTTGTTTTGCCACTTTCTTGACTGATTTTTTTTTTGGAATCGAGTCGGAGAGTTCTTCAAGACAGTTTTGAGCAGAAAAAATTGGTTAGACGACGAAAATTCGCGCTTAACGATTTTCGTGAATAGATATTAAGATTATTGATTGCCAGCCTTTTCCACAATTTTCCCCCGAGTTTTAGGCTTTAGGAGATATTTCAGAACTGTGAGACTGTAAAAATTGAGTCGAAACGATGCGTGCAACACCGCCAAGCAGAGAGGCCACATACGCATTCAAACGCATTACCTCCTGTGGGAATTTTCTGTAAGTTTTGAAGTTGAAAGATGTCCAAAGTTCTCATTTCAACTTGTTTACAGGATGCGAACTTCCACTCTCACTACAACGAAGTTCGTTTTGTACTTCGATGAGGCGGGTTCGTTACATTTCCTTCATTCACAGTATCGATAATCATGTTCCAGACTCGAAATATCTAGACATCGATTGGGAGAGTTTTGAAAAAAAGTTCGAATGCACGTTGAAAGTGAGGATGCCTCATAGATGTCCTCAGGCGGTCATTTTTAGAGTGGAAACAGCCCGCGTGAGTTTTTTCACCCTTGAATCTTGACAAAAATCCGTGAAAGGAAACATTCAGGTGAACCTACGTATCGCCAGAAATTCACTCTTCACTTTAGTCTCTCAGCATTTGAATAGCCTTGGCGTGGATCACGTGGTGATTTTTGACTTCTTTTTCGCTCTTTTTCAAGAAACGTACAGAAATATTACAACTCAAAAATTTCCAGAGTTGCCCAGGCTACGAGGAAGAAGAATATGGTGCGTCGTTCCATTACATCTGGCCCAGACGGAAGAATGGAGTTTGTAATCCAACAATGGATTCCGACTCTTTGCGGTAGTCTAGTTTTTAAAAGTGGTTCCCATAGATTCGAAAAAGTTTTATCTAATTGAAAACAATTTTTTTCAGTCAAGTCCCAAGCACCAGTACACCTTCCAAAGTCACCGCTGAAGCTGATAATGGAAAAACTGCAGCCAAAAAGAAGTGATTTATTACAATCAAAAAAATGAAAAATATTGTTCGGAAATTATTCTATTTGACTAAATGTTTCAAATGAAAGAAGAGAAAAATGGATTCCAAAAGGTAGTTTCAAATTCCAGACCATTACCGCCTTGCGACTGTTCGTTTCGCCGCCGTTTTGAAGCGCGGTTCTGCAAAGAGCCCGAACCCGGGGATCCAGACCAAATCGTGATAATAACTCCGCTTCCAAGATGTCCCTGTGGCCGACGACCACCCAGACGGTGGGTTTTTATTCATTTTAATCTTTTTTTCTTGGAAAAGGTCCCTAAAGGCTTCTGCTTTTTTGAATGAAACCACATCTACTCGTTAAGTTATGTTTTGTCAAATCTTCGTCAAAAAAGCTCTTTCGAACGAAGATTTGTAAAAAACCGTTAAGGCTCAAAATGGAAAAAAAAACGCTTTATTGAATTGAACCTGAGAAAAATCCCTAAAACCATTTTCGGCCTGTGAAAATTTGAAAAGCCATTTTTTATCCTACATTTTCTTTTAGAAAAAAGAAAAATCTTTCTTTCAGCAACCGTGTCAATCAAGCTCATGGATTTGAAAGCTTAGACGATTTTGAAAAAACCGCCTCGACCTCGCGAAGGTGATATTTTGAATTTCCTAATGAGAAGAATTTTTTTATTTTTGAATTTCAGTGTCTCTTCAGCGGATCCTAACGCTTTTCGTCATCCTGGAGGGCATTACTGCCAGGCTGAACGCATGCTCGGTATCCATCCGAAGGATTGCTCTTGCGGTCAACCATGAAATTCCTAAACATAAAAAAATCCTCAAATTCCATATCATTTAGCCTGTGTTTTTTTCTAAATTAACTTATTTTCTAAGGGATCATCTCCCAAATACAATTATTCAAGCCTTGCGTCTATTAATTAAAAAAATTTTTTTTTCATCCTTGTGTCTTCAAAATTTTTTTTAACAGTAAAATTTTGAGATTTTGTTCATTAACCGGTTTCTTTCACTTATTTTTTTCACATAGATACTTTTTTTATCTTTCAACTTTATTTTCACTTCAGCTTGCCTCTTACTTTTTACAAATTTTACAAATTTTATGCATTTTCTTATTGTTTTACTCGAATTTTCATATTCCTTAATTTCCTTTTCACTTAAGTAAAAATTCAAATATCATTTGTCCAACTTGAAATGGCGGAGCGTTTTATGTGGGAAAAAAACTTTGCTCATTTTCAAAACAGCCTAAAAAAATTCTCCTTTGTCTTTGTATTCGACCAATTTTGCAGATTATTTGACAATTTATAGCTTCGAATTTAGGAAATCTTGAAAACTGAGCCATTGAGCTGAGGAAGTTGAGAGAAAAGCGAGAAAAAATGTGCTATCGAAAAAAAAAATGAAAGTTTTCATAGCTTCAATTATAAACAGTATAAAAGTCTAGAGCACCTTTTATGTCCCTTTCAGGCCCATCTCAAACGTCATCATCGATTGTCACGGATCTTCGATCTGTAACGTGAAGAAATTTCTATATACAAAACAAGTCTGCTCTATTGATAGGTGGGACATTTTTTCTCGCAGCCGTGAGGTCAACTTTACCAAAAGACGGCGGGAGTCGGTGGGAACGCGCTTTCGTCCTTTTTTCTGCTGAGCGTTTATTGTTTCCTCTGTTTTTCTTTGTACTTTTTGATGGATTATTCTGATTTTCCAACTTATCACATACAGCCGTTCAATTCTCAAGAAAATAATTCATTTTTTCAAAGTTTTCAAATTCTAAAGTAGGAAAAATCGAAAAATGTTCGCATTTAAATTTTTATGCTTGGATTTATGTGCACTATCTCCCGTTTAAAAAAATTTTTCAGAGTAATGCTGCCGTCCATCAAAGAAAAGGGTTCCAGCCCCGATTCACCGAATTATTCTCGCTTTGCTCTTATTGCTCATGTTGATTATTTTGGTAAGTTTTATCCGTGTTTTTCCTTACAAATCAGAACCTTGCAGAGACCAAGGATATCTGCCAGAAGTTGGAAACCTTCGAGGAATATCACGACTGTGAAGTCATTATCAAAAGACCCATTCCGGACCCCAAGAATCTCATAATTCTTGAAGCATGGGTCAAACGCGTGAGTTCACTTTCAATCAAAAATAAAAAAATCCTGTTTTTAAAGGAGAGCAACAGTTATTCTTAAAACATCAAAATTTCAGGATAAAGTTCGAAATGTGCGAAAAAACCTCAAAGAATTGTTCGAACAATATTGCCGGGAGAAAAAAATACAAATACACGGTGAGTTTTTCCATCTTTTTATAATTTTTCAAAAATAAAATTTGAAAAAGAAATGTAGTTAACCTGTTTTTTTAGTATCAAAGAAAGGATGAAGTCCTTGAAGCCCATGCAGAATACGCACTCTTGTATCCGGAACAACGTTGTGGAAATGATTCGGCAAGCACTGATCATCAACAATCCGCGAGGTGAAGACTTTTATGCAATGTTAGTATTATTTCTTCCGTAGAGAAGACTAAAATTCTCATGTCATTTTCTTTCGAAAAATGACCTTTCTATTTCAGTGACTTGAGCGATGAGGGCGGCGGATCCACTTCTGTCTCAGATGACCGCGATGAAGCTTCAGAAGTTTCTACCGGGTAATTCTTAAAAAATAACTTGCTTTTAAGATTAACTTTTTTTAACTACCTTGCAAAAAAGTGGTTTCCGAGTATGACTGAATTTAATGATCAGATTTTGAAAAAAAAAGAAATTCGAGATCCCTGTTTTCAGTTCCTCGTCGCAGACTGTTTTCCACGAATTGCCTTCTCGCGAATATTGTACTTGTATGCTGAAACTTGCCGAGTACATTCTCAATGCTCCATCGGAGGGAGATCCTGAAAATCAAGCTGGTTTCGAGGAGTCCTCAGAGAGCCATGTTCGAGCCACAAGCCCTCCGGCAAGGTAATTACCATGAAAGCCGGCTTTGAAATACAGTAATCCATGGTTTGCGACCTAAATCTTCAGGGCGCGATTTTTAAAATCCACCTCTTAGCGATGTTGTTTTGACGCGGAATCAAAAAGGATTACAAAATTGATTTTTTTTTTTTTGAGAAAACGGAAACTTATTATATTGATCTATGGAGAGGCTACAATCTAAAAAAGTAGTTGATGCGAATAAATTAATATTGCAACAGGAAACTTCCCAAAAGACGAGGATTTCTGAAACGCAAAAAAAGGCTGTCGCTCTTGATGTCTTGACGAGAAAATTGATACGGTTAAAAAAATTTTGTTTTCAGTGCCGCTTCGCAGCATTCTGGCCTGGAATCCTTTCCATTTTCAAAATGCTCTTGCCTGAAAAAGCTGGCTCGTAGAATCCTGTGGAAGACTCTTGATGATGGAGTTGCTCCTTGCGAATGCGATGAATGTCGTTCCATGTAAGTTTACTCTCGGAAAGTGTCTTTAAACGTTGAAAATTTCGTTTCAGAGATTCAGACGGTCAAAGTATTGTTTCCGATTCGACGTCTATTCAAACTTCAGAGAGGTAAAATTTACAAATAAGAACTCAAAAAGAGGAAATTTTGGACTAGCGCATTTTTCACTGTAAATAAAAAAAATAATTTTTTTTTTCCAGGAATTCGGATGGCCGAAGTTTTGTTTCCGAGTCGACGTCTATTCAGACTTCAGAGAGGTAAACTTTACAAATAAGTGCTCAAAAAAAGGAAATTTCGGACTAGCGCAATTTTTCCCTGTGAAAGTTACCAAATGGTTGAGTAGTAAATCTTGAATTTCAGCTCCACCCTTCTGAGCAGTCTTTCTATCACAGCTGACTCTCCAACTGTCTCCCAGTATGAAGAGAACGAGAGACGCCTGGGAATTCTGCCTCATCCTGGACTTTGTCAGTGCACATGCGGAGAGTGCTTTGAGGCGAACAAGTAAGCTTTCAACTGATCTTTTTTTTTTCTAAAAACGTTTTTGAAGTATTTTCCTAACCTTTCTTCGAATAAATAAATAAATTTCAGCAAGTGGTGTAAAAGCTCCTCGCTGGCATAGCATCATCTTCCAGCATCCTTCTCCGGCTCACGGACAGTGAGATCTTACTTATTAGTAGAACTTCCTTTACAGATCTTCCAAAAAAATTCGTTTGGAACAAACTTGTAAGTTTAGAAAACCGGCCGATTTTTTCAAAGAAATTCTCGTGTTAAAACGGGAAGTGATACAGTTTATGTTTTTAGTGACGAGAGAATTTGCTTGTGCCACACCGAAAGGCCGGCGTGCACCTGCCAGTTCTGTGAACACGTCCGAACCTACCGTCCTCCAGGCGAATCTCCGCTTCCGAACATCGAATAGTGAGTTTAAAAAATGTCCGAAAAGATTCTCAGCGAGTTCTATCATTTTCCATTGAGATAAAAATGATCGAGATCTTTGAAAATATAAAAATTGCAGATTCTACGACCGGCCTCTCAAAACGTCAATTTTTCAATTTTTATTTTTTTCCCTCTGATCCATTATTTGATTTTTGGTCTTACTTTTGTTCATTATGCAGTACTCAAATTTTATCTGACGACTTTTGCTTTTTGTAGACTTATTATTTCCTTTTGATTTGTTCATCCGAGTTGTCTTTCCCGGTTTTCCTTTCAAATATTTCAAACGGTTATCTTGAACTCACTGGTTTTTCTCTTTGTTATCGGTATTATTTTTTTATTCTTCTTCTCAGCTAACAGTCATTTTTCTTATTGTTCCCACTTTCTCAAAGAATTTTCTATTTTAACCTTATTCTACAGAATACTGCTCATCAAAGAAATCACCAAAGTATGTACCAAATTATTTACCCATCCATATATAACCCATATTTCCCCTTGAAGTTCGCACATTGCAAAATCACTTACAGCCTTATTTTTGTTGTTATTTGCTTTTTTCTCGTTCAACGTGTTCCAAACATGCGCCGTTATTTCTTTCTGATCTCATTGATTTTTTTACTTGTATTTCGATATCCATTTTATCTAGTAGTTGATTTAGTATTGTTTTGTTTTTTTCGGGAAATTTACTGTTTTGTTATCTTTCAAATTTCAATTATCTTACCTTTTTCAAAGTCTTACTTTTTTTGTTTTTTTCATATATTTTCTTCTCGTACCAGTGCATTATATTATCCACCATTTTTCATAATTTAACCTAAAAATTGATTTTTACTAACTGGTTTTCCGGTTAGCAAACAAATTTACGGTTAATCTTGGACAATTTTCTTATCTTCTAGAATTTTGCATTTTACACTATTTATCCGATTTTTTGTTCATTTATATATCCCATAGTTCCCTTTTTTTGAGCATCATATAACCCAATCACTAGCTCCGTCATTCCATTTTTGTGGTTTATATATTCAAAACCACTAATTTCTAGAATTTTTACTGCCCGGGTATTATACCATCCATCTTTTTTTCTCGTCCAACGAGTTTTTTTTTAGAAATATCCGATCTTTAATAAATTTTGCATCCTCCCAATAGTATTTGTTTTGAAGAAAAGAAAAATTACAACTCCATTTATGGTCATTCTGTGTTGGGTGAGGTTCCCACTTCTTGAAAAATGGTTTGTCGGAATGAAGCTCATCTCTGAGGTTTTAGATGAAGTGTCGCTTACCTTCTAATGGAAACTAAAATTCCATCTTGGTTACTAGAAAACTTAGGAGACTGAAAAAATATTTTAAACAGGTTTCGAGCTATTTCTACAGCAATACTCTGCCAAACACGTACAGCTACAGTCGCCTTTTCAAGTCTTTTTGGTCGTGGAGACTTTTTTAGTAATAAGGATTGAACATATGTCATTCAGAAAAGTTATGATGGAGTGAAAAAATGTATATGTTTTATTGTTTAGACGGTTTCTGCGTTCCTTTGCCTTCACCAAAAGAACAAAGAAAGATGGCGAAGAATGTAAGAGTTGCCGAAAGAATGCGCAGATGGCGGATTGTTTTGAGATATGGCTAATGGAGTATACAAAAGAATAAACATCGACTCGGCTCTCGAAACTATTTTTTTTTTGTAGAAGAATGGGAAGCAGAATTTATTGATTTCAAACGAGATGCCCGTTTCAAATTCAATTGAATTCAAGAAAAAAGCCAAATTTGAAAACATTTCATGCGATTGTTTAATATAGTTCTTGGCTCGATTGCTCAAAAACGGTTTTTGAAAATTTCGAGAGAAAAGTTGAAGGATCTTTGGGCTATATGAAAGAAAAATTGATAGCTTTAATTTTAACCTTCATTATGAAACAGTGAAGATATGAAGTCAATCCTTCGTGACCTTATAATAACTCAATTTCAGGACTATAACACCGTCATTAAGCATTTCCACAGACCTCTGATCTGTATTATGAAGAAGGCCCAAGGCTTCTTCTTCGAGAGAGCTCCCTCGCAACCATGAGGTCAGGCTGCCTCGAAAGGAGGCGGGACTTGAATGGTACGCCTTCCTATTGTACGCGGGAGAGCTGCCCATTGTCTCCTCTCAGTCTATTTCGCTTGTTTTTCTCCATTTTTCACATCTTCTTCCGAAGATTTTGTTGTTCAGAATGTCTAGACATTGTGCCTTTCACGTATTCACTTTCACAAGAAATTATTGCGAATTTCTGAATTTCTGATCGAAAACAAAAAGTATCAGCTTTCGAATTTGATTTGTGTGCTAGATTTTTCTTCGAGAATTAAATATATACCACTGAAAAGAATCTTTTTTCAGCACAATGATGTCAATGAAACCCTATGACAGAAGCAATAGATACTTCTATGGTCAGATCAACGTGTGTCGAAGTTTGAAGTGGGTTTCTCTTTTTTTTTGAGATTTGACTGATATTTTCTACGTTTAGAACCGACCTTCCAACAGAGTCTCGTTGTATTCTGCTAGCTCAATACTCGAAGTTTGGTTTGTTCAATTCTCAATCCTCACGAGCAGAGACGTGTTCAGAAATTGGGCCTCTTGTGAGGGAAATCAAGAAGATCGAGGAACTGCACAGCTGTCAGATCGAGTGCAAATTTCCGGCTCCAAACCGCAAGAAACTGATTTTCTTCGAAATAAAAGCATACCATGTGAGATTATCTCATTGCAATTTAAAAAAAAACGATTGTCTTTCTTTTGAGCAAGATTAGAAGAAAAATCTTTTTTCAAGAATCAGAAATAAATTAAAGATGGTCCTTCGATGTGCCAACCATGACCTGCGAGAAATGTTCAAGCGACATTGTCAGGAAACCGACAGCTCTTGCACTGTAAGTTTCTTTGTTGTTTGGCTCGCCTCAGAATTTACGAAATCATTTGATCCTTTTTCCAGTTTTACTGTCCTTGCGATGTTCCTGAATATTATGGCAAGTTTTTTCGATTCTACCCGGATTATGACGATGATGACGACGCAAGGTGAGAACAATGATTCTTGGGTAAAGTACTTGAAGAAAGTTTCTTTTTTTCAGCAGCCCGGAAAAGAATCCTGAACCTGATTGGAGCTCAATCTCTTGCACATGCGTGGAGAGATCAGCTGAAAGGATTCTTGGCATTCCTGTGCGAGCTCCCCTGTGTAGGTGCCCATGCGAACGCTGTAAAAAGTGAGTTGTTTTTTATATTCCTTGTTTTATAGCTTACTGTACCTGATAAAAAACACTTGAACGGAGCAAAAAATTTCTTTTCCAGTTCCAAGGACGGTTATAAACCTGGATCGGGTTTGGAGGGTCCTGAAGAAGCTTCTGATTCTCCACCCAGGTGAAAAATGTATCATTGATAAACTCAAAGTGAACAAACTTTGATTTCAAATGAGCTTTTTTTGTTATCAAACAAGTCAAGTTCAAAAAAATTCCCAACTTTCAGCTCTTCGCCGCCGGAATCTCTTCTCACATGCTCCTGTCGCATAAACTGGGCCATGAAAATCCTTGGCGTTAGCCCGACAGTCGAGAAGTGTCCATGTCCTTGTACTCGTTGTAGAACTCCTCATGAGTGAGTTTTTAATTATTTGTGATTTTTTTCCGCTGCTTTCAGATTTGAAAAGTTACAGTTTTTCATAATGATGAAAATTTGAAGGAAAATTCAGTTTTGCTCATTTTCAAAATAACTGAGCTTTTCGAAATCAACTCTTTAAAATGAAGAAGAATGGGCTCTAAAAGTTTCATTGCAGTCATCTACTGAGTAACCCGAGTCCGCCGGATCCAACCGTCTGCCCTTGCATCAATTGCGCTGATATTCGTTTTTACAATGAGACTTTCCCGACTCCGCAAGCTTCAAATTGGTATGTTTTTTTGTAGGTTCTTCAAAATGAGAGCCTTTCGAAAACTGGCAAAAATTTTCGCGTCAAAATTTTGTCAGAAACTTTGCGGAGCAGACTTTTGACTTTTATGGATACTTGTTAGGTTGCCAAAGGCTCAAAAAAATTCACTGATCCGAGAAAAACCATATTGATAATCTAAAAAATATTTTTCAGTGACGACTAGGCTGATTCGGACTCCTTTTGAGCATCAATCAATCGACTCTGTACTATAAATCCAAACTTTTTTTTTGTAATTTTTCTGATTTCTGAGCTCTTTCTTCTATCCCAGTAACACTTATTGCATTGATTATAAAATCTAATATTTTTTTAAATAATTTTTCCGCTCAATTTTACTATTGTTTCCTTGCATCCACGCACGTTTTTTTCTCATTTTACTGTTAACGTTTTTTTTTTAATTATCTGTTGCTGACTTCGGTCATTTATTTCATATTTTTACTCACGGTTTGGTGAATTTTCCGCGTGAGATTTTATCATTGTTCAGAACCCAGTTAATCAAATCTTACCTGGCTGGATCTTGCCATGTTTGTTGTTTTTTTCCGTTGTTTTCTTTGTTGCAAAACTCCCTTTTCCATTATTTACCTTTTCTTTGATTTATTTTTTATGTATCTGCATGTTCATTGTTCAAGCTCTTTCTGACCTCGTTGCTAGAAAAAAATTGTTAAATTTTTTTAGAGGGTTTTTTTCCATTTGAGAATAACTCACCAAATTTTTTTCCGCCAGTGTATTTTTATATCATTTACCCTTCCTATTCGTTCAGCGAGTTTTTAAAAATATAAATATCGACTTTCCAATAAATAATATACCCTCCAAATAAGATTTTGAAGGCATTGAATAACTCATTAAAGAGTTTCATTCGGAGTCAAATCAAGTTATTTTTGACTTGAACTGCGAAGAAACTTAAAGAAATAGCCTGGTCGGAACAGAATTCTCCTGAAAGCGTTTTTGCAAGATTTTCAAACTTCATAAGTTTTTCAAAATACATTTTATCCATTTTAGCAAGAAAAGTACGACAATCGTGTTAATGGCGATTTCAGGACCTCATTAAACGTCATCATCGATTTTCGCTGATCTCTGACCTGTATTATGAGGAATGCACAAGGTTGCTCTATTGAGAGGTGCGAAACTTCTCTCGCAGCTGTGAGGTCAGTTCCCGCGAAACTAGGCGGGAGTGATACGGTACACTTCTCGTTGGTACGCAGCAAGGTCCTCATTTCTTCGGTTTTTTCGTTTATTTATTTTCGCGGTGAAATTTTCTAAACAGTGCTTTACAGTTTTCGTTTTCAAACTGCAATATTTCGTATATTTGCTCACATCGTTTAAAATTAACAAGTTCCTCTTCCGAAAGTAAAAGTTAACAGTTTCAATGTGGGGCCGAAAAATTTCATAGAAAAAGTTGTTATATTTGAAAAAAATTTTTTTCAGTTGACATGATGCGCATTAGTCCTTACAAGGAAGACACCATCATAGACAATATCGAGCTCAAAAGATTGAACGTGTTACCGAGCAATAAGTGAGTTTGCAGCTTTGAAAATCTGATAAATACTTCAAACGGTACATTTTCAGAAATGACCTTCCCTCCGAATCGCGTTCTGTTTTGATGATATATTTGAAAAGAGCAGGTTTGTTCGATTTTAGCTTTTTTTGTTGTTGATAACAATGAAATTCATTCAGCAATGTTACCTATCGACGATGAATTGAAAAAGCTGGAAACTCTTCACGGCTGCAAGATCAAGTTCAAAGTCCCGATGAGAAATCCCAAAAAAGCCATTATTTTTGAAATCAAGGGCAATCATGTAAGTTCATTTTTCTTTTGATAGGAAGTTAGAAAAAAATCGATTCAAGGCTATCCTTCGATATGCTCAACACGATCTGGTGGTTATGCTCAAAACGCAACTTCAAGCCCAACATCTCCAATATCGAGTGAGTTTCTTTCTTTTTTGATCATCGATAAATTTGCAAAAGTTTTCTTGATCAAAGTTTTTCAGTTCGCGACTGATTACAACGTTCCTGAACTGTTTGCTCTGTATTATCTGCTGTATCCTCAGGAATCGTCGGAAGATTATTTTGCAAGCCCCGCCGATTTGTTGAAAGCTAGGTGAGGACAATAAATTTGCAGTTTTTTCATCATTTCTCCAATGAAGTATATAGTCCATGTTTCACACCTTGACATGACGAGATTTTGCATTTTTGGGCGCCAAAACAAGCTTTTGGTCTTTTTTCTTCTTATTTCGCCTCGCCCGACTTTGAGCGGCTTCAGCGCAAAGGCTAGGGGATCCTTCAGCTGCCTGGTGGGACATGACGAGAAATATCCGCGCGCGAAGTAGCGCTAGCGCATGGAAATACGAAGTCGCCTCCGACCGTTTCGTGCCCAGATTGAAAGCCGCAGCCAAGCGGTTTAAGCTAAAAAAAAACATTCTTTCTCAAATGAGAATAAAATTCAGTTGGAAGAGGTAAAACTTGAACCCGATTATAGCAAAAGATCTAAGATTTTTTGAGTCAGCGAGTTGAAAATTGGGAATGCGAAGCTTTAAAGAATTATGAGAACTCCTTTTATCACCCAAAAAATAACTTATAAAAATAATTCCAAGTTTCAGTGCCCCGCCGAGCCTTCCTCCTAAGCATCCGCTTGCTGCCGCTTGCACCTGTGTGGAAAGATCTGTGCAAAGAATGCTCCAAATTCCTGTAGCAGCTCCGTTTTGTCAGTGTCCATGCACACGTTGTGAGAAGTAAGCTCCTTCTTATTTCCATTTCTGGGATTCAGTAAGGTCTGATTTTGTAATCCAATGAAAGTCACGGAAAAGGAACAACAACCTCTTTTTCAGATCTCAAGACAGTCACAAACACGAATCCGAATCGATTTTAAAGGCTTCTGAAGGACAATCTGTACCAGCGCCCAGATTATTTTCGTAAGATTTGATGGGATCTTAACAATATATATTAAATTTGAGAAAAAAAAAAATCACTTTCTTATATCGAAAAAGATATTCTTTTATTATTTTTTTAGTGAAGCGGCCTCCGACCGCCTTCCCGCTTGCTCTTGTCGTCAGAACTGGATCAGAAAAATCAGCGGCGCAACTTCTGAAGTCGAAAAGTGTCCATGCCCCTGTGTTCGTTGCCAGTCTCCTCATGAGTAAGTTTTCAATTACCCATGAAACATATTTGCCCACTTTTCCAAGAATCAACTCTGCTGTACTGGCTGGTAAACCTTGCCATGTGTATTCATAAAAAAGTAGTCTTTTGGAAATATCTTCTTGATTTCAGTGTTCTCTTGCGCAGCAAGTATTCTACGGATCAATTCATCTGCCCCTGCCCCGATTGCAAGTACATCAGAGCCTTCAAAGAGATTTCCGACCGTTTGGAGAGAAGGGCTTTGTAAGTTTTTCATTGTTTTCGAAAAATGATGAATAGAATCTGTCGAGAAATCGGCAAGCAAGGTTTTTTTTTTCAATATCATACGAGTACATATCATACAGCCGATTCACGGCTGGCTCTGAGGGGCGTGGCCTGTCTGAGCTCTCCACCAGTTAGACACACATCTCTTTTTCTTCGTGTCAGGACCCTTTACCATATAACAAGCCAGCCTTGGATCAGCTACATTTCAAAAATCGATTTCAGAGACATCAAGGCTAAATCAGATTCATCTTGAACATTCCCACATCGTTCACTCAACTTGGCCTGTTTTAAAATGATAACCCAATAATTTTCCATCTCCATTTTCTCAGATATGTAGTTTTTTTATTCTATTCACTGTTAATTACATTTTCTTGCTTCCGAGTAAGATCCTTTGATTTTTGTTACTGTTATCGAGTTTCATAACCTGTACATAGTTTTTTTCTCTGTTATTTGTTGTTGATGTTACCGGTATTTTGATATCCAGTGATCTTGCATTTACTCCCAAATTTCATCTTTTTCAGTTTTCTAAACTTCCCATCTAGTTATTCAAACCTTGCCGTGTTGCTTTTTTTGTTGTTTTTTTGTTGGTATCTCCATAATTCCCCTGTTATCCGGATATCTGTTATTTTGTTACCAGTGACTTTTTATTTAACAAATTGATCTTCTAGACCAGATAACCGGTTATAGTCTGTTCGAGTTTTGAATGTCCTGTAAAATGACGTCATTCAAAAACGCTCTGTGAATAAGCCGCTTTTTGATTGGTTCAGCGCGCCTTTAGGGGCGGAGCTTGAGCAGCGAACCGACTTTCAAAATTAGAACAGACTATCTTTACTCGGCAAATTACTTACGGTTATTCTTCACCTAGTACTTTTCTTCTTTTGTGATATTCACAATCTTCACAATTCTTATCGGAACATCTTATTCTTTTTTTTTTATTCATCTCAAGTTTTACTGCTCGAGCCCCTTATAACCTCATCACTAGCTCTTTCATTAAATACCCACTGTTTTTTTTCATTGAACACAAACGATCATTCCAAGTTCCCTACTGCCCGGGTATTCATACCATCCATCTTTTTTTCTCGTCAAACGAGTTTTTTTTTTTCACTAATATCCGTCCTAGTATAAATTTTTGCATCTCCCAGTCCAAAATATTTTAAAATCACAAGCGAAAGCAGGGTCAGATTAAGTTTCCTGTGGGTTTATCGTTGAAAAAAAAACTTTGGGAAAACGTGGAATAATTAAAGAGCTTTCTATACTCTAAATAAAAATTTTTTTCTGAGAGAGAAATGACAGATTTCAAGGAGAATATCATATTCAAGAGCCTGGGACTGTGAATGAGTCATAAGGGGAAAGGAAAAGGACCTGAACAGTTGAACTCTGATCAAGGAATCGATCACACTGGAATAACTGTCCTTTGCTGTTTTGAAACATGTTGAAATATTTAAAAAAGCTCTTTTTTGGAGTACAACCTCCGCTTCTGTAAGTTAACTGAAAATTCAAAAGTATTCCTCAGGATTTTGAACCAACCATGAAGTTTATTTTTGTTCTACAAGTAAAAAAAAATAATGCAGGACAAAGTACAAGTGAAAAATCAAAGTTGAAAGAAGAATTGGCAATTGTTTTCGCAAGACAAGGTTTCAAATTCTCACATCACGTCGCTAAATGGGAACAGTTTAACGCGCTTTTTGCCCTGTTTATGATTTTCCTGAACGCATTCAGCCGATTCACGGCTGGCTCGAGCCATCGCAGGAAGGTTCTTGACACAATAAGAAAAACACTGTCCGGTGATTGGAGAGCGCAGACAGTGCCACGCGGTTCTGCGCCCCCAGGCCGGCCGTGCACGAGTTGTAAGAAAGAACCTGAGAAAACAAAAGAAGCGTTCTTCTTGGATGAAAAGGTTTGTCTGTTCGAGCCATGAGAAGTTCAATCCACTCCATCTGCCACGTTTCGAAAAAGCCCAAACATGTTTGCGTGCTTTTGTATTACATGAAAAGACCATGGGAAACTGCCAAAGAGAGAAAAGTGCTGAGATGTTGGCTTTTTTCCAAACCGTGACGGATGGAAGTGGTTCTTTCAGCTCGACGTTGTTCTTGAAGCATTTTTTGTTTCTTTTCTTTGAGCGCCCCACATAACTGACTCTATCGTAGCAGGCCGCAGGCGATATAGTCAGGAATTCTTGATGCGGTCTCGTATAAGCCTCACCGCTTTTTTTTCGCTCAGTTTTCGACTTTCCTGATAAAAAGAATCGGAAAATTATGTGAGTCTTGAAAAGCAGACACTCAGAATTGAGTCCGACCCAAAACGACTTGAGCCCTGAAGCATCGAACAATCAGATCGATATCAAACGGGCCAGCATAGTTTAGGTGAAACTTCCCAATTTCCATTTAAACAGTCTCAGTTCTCACTACTATCTCTTCAAATGGAAAAATCAAAAATTTTTAATTTCTGTATTTGAAGACACCTTTCTCAAAGCAAAAAAATTATAAGTTTTGATTTTTTTCGTTTCATTGACCCCAACTCTCTCGACATCATCAATTCATTCATTTTTCTTTCCTCCTCTTTTAAAAGAAAATATGGTGACTCATTACTATTGACAAAAAAAAATTCTGTATACTCTTTTCTTCAACTTCGAAACTTGACCAAAGTTCAATTCCTGGTAACTTTCCCGCGCTTTCAAAAGGGTGAACCCAGGAAAGGGCGCGAAGGTGCTCTGTTGAGAGGTTTGACATTCGTGGCAGCTGGTCAGTTTTCAACAAAAAGACGGCGCCAAAACTTTTGTACGCCACTCTTTGGCACGAGGCGTTGCGGCGGCTCTCGCACGTCAATTTTCGATTGTTTCTTAATAGTTTTTATAGATCTTTTTGCTTGTTTTCCTCATTGCTACTCCGAAAACATTTCAAAATAGTTTTTTTGACTTTTGTCATGCTTTTTCATCGTTCTCTTGGGTTTTCCGACTTTCAAATAGCCTTGTTCAAATATTTCATAGTCTTTGTATCGCTATCTCTTAGGAAAAAAAAGAATTTTATATTGATGTCATATTTCGAATCTGTCATGTTTTCAAGCTTTTATTGAAACCGCGATATCAACTCACTCTCGATCCGGAAAAAAATATTGGAATGACTCATTCCAGGGGTGAAAATGTCTTGGAGTCGGCCGCTCGGAGGGAATTCTCCTGTAAATCAAGATCGGTGGAACACGGGAGCACAGTCATCTCTCCCGAAAGCTTCTCATTATTATGAAGACAGAGAAAGTTTCCAGATCACGATGTCTTTCTTGAATAATATAAGTCATTCAGCTTACCTTTTGAGCCTTCGGCTAGAAATGATCGAAAAGGTCTTCTCCTGCAAAATATTGGTTATGAAACCAACTAAGAGAAGCATTCTAGTTGCAATGGTCAGCGGCGAGAAAGTGAGTGGATGAGTCCGAAAAAGTTATAGATTTGGATCCGTATATGAAATACTCTTCAGGACCTGTACAGCGTCAAAAACTTGATCTCAAATGCGGGAAATTTTCTCCAAATTCGAATCATTGTAAGTTTCTCAACAAATCTCAAAAGTAGAATTGCATGAAAAACATTTTTCAGTTTTACAAAGAGCGGATGCCAGAGTTGGAAGACGGGTTCTCCGTCATTTATCCCAAGGAACAGTACGCATCTGTTGGAATATACGACATCGATCGCAGGTCAGATATCTTATTAAAATGAAAAGTTCTGAAAAATGCTCATTATTAAACAGTAAAACTTGTAATATTTTTGTTTCAGCCATCCTGGTCTCGACCTTTTTAAGAAAAAGCCCTCCACGAAACCTCCAAGTAATCCTAGCCTTTCTTCGGGCATCACGTTTGCAGAATATAAAGAGTGAATTTTTGAAATTTGCTATGTCTCGAATTTCTCAGATTTTAAATAAAACAATTTTTTCAGACGGGTTCAAGTCAAAAACGTCTCCGCTGCGTCGTCTTCATATGGCTTCAGTGCTTCTAGGTCCCCGACTGTTTCGCCTTTTGGTGGAGATGTCAATGGAAGTCACGGGCACACTAGTCCAGCTCCCGCATTGAGGTTTACATTGAAGATTTTTGAAATAGAGCCGTATTAGGAATCAGTGTGCGCATAGAATTGTGACTTTTATATTGATACATGTTTGAAAATTTTTATTTTTTGAAACTCAGAAAGTTTTTTTTTAATGACTCCAAAAAAATTCTTGAAGTTTTTGATGGTGGCTATCTTTTCAGCGGAAGTCTCATGGGGACGAACCATCCCAACGCTTTCCACCGCACCACACCTTCGCCGATTGCCTGCTTCCCTCCAACAAGCCCACTGTTTCCAAAGTGAGTTGGAAACGTTTGGATGAAACAATGAATGATTTATAATCGGATATTACCTGAACGCTCACCTAAAGCATTTTCAGTGACTTCCGTGCCAACCCTTCGAATCTTCAAAATATCCCGAACTATGGACAGTTTTTCCCCTCGCCAATGGCTCGCAGAGATTTGTTCCCGATGCCGCAGCAGAGGTAATTTCAAATTTAACACCAGAGAGAAGATTGTTTTGGATTCAGCTCGAAATTGATCTTTCATGGGCAAAACGGTTAAAAAATCTCAAAATTTTCAGTGCCCCGTCCGACATCCCGCCTTTGATGGGTCTTGAGCCGTTGCTGCCGAGCCACTACCCCTTCCACTTTTAATTCACTGTTTTTGTGAGTTATTATCTTTATGCTCATTCTGCTTTTTCACAATGAACAGAACTAGAACTTCCATGCAAGAAGAAGGCGTCTAATCGCCTATGAAGAAGATGATTGATCTTTACGAGAATGTACTGTAAGGCGCCAACGCCGCAAATCAAGAAAAACTTATCTTCCTTATCTCTTTTGATCGATTCAAAAAGCTTTGGACACGCAAAAATCTCTTTTTTCCTTGAAATAGCGAGAATAGATTGATGTTCCCAGCCGCAAAAAAAACGCTCAGATCGTCAAAACATTCTGGCTACCCGTCGTTCAGACTTTCACCCGATTTGTTATCTCTCTGTACGTTTTAAAAAGACGCCGCTCACATGTAGTATGTCGCCTGACGTGTTCGAAAAACGAACGCACTAAAGAAAAAGGCAACTTTAATGTCACAGCTCTTGGGCCGTGCCGCTTGGGACCATCCTGCGCAGAGCGGAAACTGTTCAAAATATTTTTCAAGCCTGAAAAATAGAGACAGGTTGAAGTATTTTCCGTTAAAAAAAAATTGTTTTGGTTATTTTTAGAACTGGAAAATCCAGACAGTATCATTCCACGTCTGGCATTGTACGAATGTTTCCATGAAAGATTCAAAAATATTCTACTAGAAGGAAAATCAAGTTCAACATTTTTTGGTTCACAGACCTGTGTTTGAATTTTCGTAAAAAAGTATAACATCAATTTCTAGGCTTTTTTTAAAACTCTTGAAGATATGGGGAAAAGAACTTCAAAACTTCCAGAAAACCGCAACTTCTTGCCGTCGCCGTGGTGGTGGCCAGCTCAAAATCAAGTCGTCTTATATTATAATAATCTTTTTGCATGTGGTTCACATGACTGTTGGGAAATGATATTCTTCCTTTACTCTTATTTATTGCATTTATTTCTAATTTCACGAGATTTCGCTGATTTCTCGGAAGTTTTATGTACTTTGTTACTTCATGACGTTTTGCGAGTGAATTTTTTTCTAAATATTTTTTGCATTGTACACTTATCAATTTTTTTTTGAAACCATGTTATGAAATAAAAATTCTCATCGATGTTTCTTTTTTTTTGAATATTCTCGAAGACATGGTCAAAGGCAAGATTGTGGACCCCGGCTTTCGGATTAAGCTTATCAGAGGTAAAAATAAATTAAAGTTTTAAACATGCAAATGAAATTCTCGATGCGGATACCTTTGGCCTAGTTTTAAATCTCGATTCCTGGAGAACAAGTCGATAAAAGAAGTTTAGGTTGACTTCGAGTGATTTCTTAATCCTCTGTATGGAATATTTCTGCCTCGAATCAGAAAAATGTTCCCCTGGTTCCTGAAATGAGCTTATTTCGTACCATATGAAGAGAGGATATAGATCTTGTTACATCAACAGCGGGATATTTTGAAATTTTGAAATCAAACTTTCTTCTTCAAGACGCAATCACACGTCGCATCTTTTTTCTGAGGTGTGTTATTATAAAATATGTCTCTTCGATATACTGTAGCAAATCTTTTTTACAAGTTATATCACGTTCAATGAAAATTCTTATCTTATCAGCGAAATTCAAAACGAAAACAGTAAATTCAACTTCAAAAGAGAACGAAGTAAAAAAATTTCAACTTGACCTTATCAACCTGTCAACAGACAACACTACAACGTAGCTTCAACCACCTATCAGACCTACATATATAACTACTATTCTCAACTTTACGTCGGTTTTTTGTTCTTGTGTCTATATTTGAAGACGTATTTTTAGATCACAAAATGCCTGCTGAAGATGTTCTCGTTAATGTCGAAAATGGGATAATGTGGATTACACTGAACCGTCCTAAAAAGTTCAATTCTATCACGGCAGAGGTAAAATAACTTTTCATCAAATATTAGCTTCTTTATTGATATTGAAGTTTTTTTTTTAATTTTTTGGGCACCTTGAAAAAAAATAAACTTTTATTTAGAATCGTTGAAGCTGAAAAGCCATTTTAGTTTCTCTTTTCGGGTTTTAAAAGATTCCAGTGTTTTGCTAAATTTTTGAAGAAAGAAAGAGAAGCCTAAATAACAACTAGAACACATTTTCGGCCAAAAATCTGTTTTTAAAAAATCAGTCTTGATTTTTGATCAACGAAAATTGCTCATAAACCAAAATAGATGTTCCGGCTAATGAACGACGCTTTGGATGAAGCTGTTGTTGAAGACACAATTAAACTGATCGTTTTGACAGGATGTAAGTGAAAAATAATTTAATTTCCAAGTTCTCTCTTTTTCAGCGAAATGCAAGTACTACTCTTCTGGGAGCGATTTTTCTCCTGCTGAGCTGTCCAGTGCTGTGTGAGCTTCACAAAGGGGGATTTTAAATTAAAATTGTTTTACAGGAAAGGCAAGGATGAATACAGTGAATATAAGTTGTTCACCGATCGGTTGATCAAGTTGGAAAAACCGATAATCGCGTTGGTGAATGGCCATGGTATGGGAGTCGCCGTGACCACTTTGGCTTTGATGGATGCCGTTTTTGCAGTGGACACGGTAATTTTGTTAATTTTTTTCGTGGAATAGATTTGAAAAATCTTCAGCAGGTTTATTGATTTCCCCTCTGAAAGTCGAATAGAAAGCTGGGCCTAATAAAGTCCAATAACTGCGGCTAACGCCATAGCTTCACATGGTTCAGAATGTCCCATTGCGCCCGACGAATGCCGGATCCCGCTCTCACAATTACTTTCTGTGCATCTTGCTCTTTCTGTATGCTATGAAAATTAGAATAGTTGAAAAAAAATTTTGAACACTAGACATCTTCAGAAGGTTTTTTGTACCTGTGTGCTTGAAAACAGTAGGAATTGGCTATACTACAAAAATGAGGTTGCGCCCGACAAATGTCGGTTCTCGCTTTCACAATAACTTTTTCTGCATCTTGCTGTTCCTACTCGCCAAATTAGTTTAAAAACTTGAAAAGGAAATCTTTGAGAACGGTCTTCTCACCTAGGCGGTTCAATGGAGTGGGAATAGGCTACACTATAAAATTGGAGTTGAACTGATAACGAAAATTTTTTTGGTACACTCTAGTTGCTAAAAAGTCCTCACTTGTTTTGTGCTCTTTAATTGATTAGTATTTATGCGAAAAAAATAAACTTTTACACTACTAACTTTATAATAAATGTTTTTTCAGGCCACATTCAAATGCCCGTTCACAGAGCTAGGACTCATCCCAGAAGCTTGTTCCAGCAGGACGTTTGTCGAAGCCATGGGACATCAAAGAGTTTCCTCATTTTTTTTATTATATGGAACTTATTAAGATTTCCAGGCTGCTCAACTTATTCTATTTGCTGAAACTTTGACGGCAAAACAGGCTGTTGAACTCGGATTGGTTACCAAGGTAAAGTTCCATTTTTTTTTGTTGATTTTAAGTTTTATTCTCAGATCTTCTCAACGGACAGATTTGAAGGAGAAACGCGAAAATATCTTGACAGATATCTCACATTGGCACCTCAGGTAGTCTAATCTTTTGTACATAGAAGAATATATCGGTTTTCAGAGCATCCGGGTTTCGAAAAGGCTTATGAGGCCTACGGAAGTTGTGGACCGACTTTTTGACTGTAAACTTGAGAGAGCACGAGGTTGAAACTCATAAAGATTTGAAAAAAATTATAATAAATGTCCAGGTTCTCATGGGACAGTTCGGTGAGGAAGAGACGGTTGAACGGCTCAGTGCGAAATTCATGAAATCTAACATTTGAAACAATTTTTTTGGGGCACGTTTTTAAATTGTAATAAATATTGTACATTTGATATTCCGTGAAAAAAACATTTCTTATCAAGAGTAATGGAGGATTTTTTTGAAAAATATTTTTTTCATTTTTTTAGAAGGCGTCAAACCATGGAGGCTCACTTTTTCTTGTTAATACCTGCTAGTTTAATCTCTTCCTTAAAAAGAAAGTAGTATGTTTGATTCTATTTTTCGCTCCAAAGTCCAGAGGTTCTCACCGTACTCCAAGAAAAAATGATTCACTTATTTGCAACTCGGGAGTCAACTAATTGAATCTCACTCAGAACTTAATTTATAAGACCGAAAACCTGCGTTTTTTTTTTCTGTTTCCAAGGCTCAATCAATTAATTAACGTGGATAGAGGCGACAGCTCGCGCTAAGATTTTTTCCCCGCCTCTTTTCATTCCACGACGTCTGCTCCTTTTTCAACATGGCGGGAAACTCTTCAGTACTTCTTGTCCTGACATTCGCCTTCGTGGGACATTTTCTTACCTTGCTATGTCTCATTCCGTTGTGCTGGATGCAGGAGTGAGTTGTTTTCTGCTTTTCACGAAGAAAATAATCGAAAACTGGTAAACTTATATAGAAACACTGTTTTATAAGTTCAGGTCAAGAAAGGTGGAAAAATCGCTATTTTTACTGACACGGTTTTTTGAATCCATGTTTTTGAGAGAACTCAAAATATACCTGGAAAGTTCTGAAAAGTCCACGCAAGTACTCGTACTGAAAAAACACCTTGCAGCTTCCAGCGGCCGCTATCTTTCAGTTTTCCGAAATTAGGGCGTTCAAGATTCAAACAGTTGATTTTGGCTACTTTTTTTGAAGAAGTTCTACTATGAAAACCTATACAATACCGTGCAGCAAGATATACAATTTCGCTTATAACTTTTCCAGGAATCGTCCAATTATCGTCAAACTTTGTACAGCTATTTTATATGGGTCCAGTTTGTTATCCCAAAAAAATTAGCGCAATAGCTTCTTTTTCTAGTGAGGTACAGCCTGAAACCTGAAATCAACAAGATCTCCGTAACCGAGTCCAAGTTCAAAATTTTTTTTTGGTCGATTCACCCTAGGAAACAGAGCTTTTCTCATTCCGGGTGATAAATTTATAGATGCTAAACTCGAAGCTTCAATAAACTATCAAAATGGGTTCAATAACTGCTTCCTAGCGTGAATCGACCAAGAAATATTTTTAAATTCGTTCTCGGATTCGGAGATTTTGTTGATTTCAGGTTTCAAGCTGTAACTCACTAGAAAATGAGCTATTGCACTAATTTTTCTGAGATAACAAACTGGACCCATATGAAACAGCGCTAGAAAGTTTGACGATAACTTGACAATTCCTGGAAAAGTTATGACGAAAAAAGTGAAATTGTATATCTCACTGCACGGTAGTGTATGAGATTCACAGGATTCTCAGCTGGTTAACGATAGAAAACTTTTGACCATTTTTAGAAAATCCTACAACCTCTTGGTGGGGCTTTATTGGGATGAACACGAAGATGAGAAGAGAAAAATATCCGAAAAAATCCTGATTACGCCACGTCTAGAGTCACTGTAAAATTGTCTCAAAAAACCGTACTTCCCTGTTTCTGAGCTTTGGTTCCCGAGTGCTCCTAAAAAAACTATTTCTTTTCTAAGCTTGAGTCTTATAATCGAGTTTGATCGTAATAATTCCCTAAAAGCCTCAAAGACTGTTAAATTCCATGACAACCAAAAAATGAGCGTTCCTTGTTTGCAGATCAAGTGTTTTCAAGCGCAACGTGACATACAAACCTAATTACACATACCGGCTTATCGTCATCTTTTTCCTCGTTGGACTGATTATCACGGCTTTCAGTATGGGATCTCGGAACGGAAATATCATTTTGAGTAAATTCTCAGGTTTTCTACATGCGTCGTACATTGCCTGGAACTGGAATTGGCGAATAGTTCGGTTCAATCCGTTGATTCTCAATTTTTTGAGCATCTACTTGGTGCTTCACATGAAGTTTTCGTTGGTGAACGGACTGGCTCTGGTTATCGACAGAATCCGAGTAAGGCCCATGGATAATAAGAATCCCAGACAGCGTGATGACGCGTCGGAAAGAGCATCGATGTGAAGATAATTTTTTGTCGTCAAAAATGAAAACACGCTGGACTAGATTTTTAATTCAGGTTTTTTCAGCAAACATGTTTTCATGATTTCTTGTTTCTCATGACAGATAGGATTCATCATCATTTGGAACACCTTGAGCGCCAAAAAGCTCTTGCAAGAAAAAAATAGCGGTTGTTGTGGGAGACTTCTGAAGAAAACTGCATCACTAGAAAAATATTTTTTTAGGCTGATTATTGGTTTCAATAAAAGAATCGATTATATGAAAAAATCAAGAAAAATCAAAAACTTCACCGCCTTGTTTTCTAACTCAAAGCAAAGCTTTTAAACGTTTGAACTTGAAAAAATGGAAAAAAGCAGTCATTTATCAAAACAATTAGCGAAGGATACTGGATAATTGCTCCTCATACGAAATTACTCAGAACACGTCAATCGGAATCATCGATCAGTTTCAGGCTACTTTATGGATGGAACAGTACCGTCACAAAACTCATCACAGATTTCTGATTGTCTCAAATGTCATAGCCGGTATTTGGGCGGTTTTCGACGTTGTCATGATGTTCGCAACCACGGTCCGCTATGTCGGCTATGACTGCATCACTGGACCTTGTGCTTCCAGCGAATGGTTCCGAAAATACTGGACAATTAGTAACTTTGTGAGATTTTTCCTTTTTGAGAAAACCGAGAAAATGTTTCTATTAAGGGTTTGAGCGCTACGAGCTGCCTGATTGCCCTGGGCTTCTCTGTAAAGTTTTTCAAGCTTCATTGGAAAACGAGCAGATTGGATCCGATGAAATATACTGCTGCCGAAGGGACCTTTTACGACGTTGATCCCACAGAAAAAATTTGAGATTCTACCATCCGTTTTCAGAATAACTGCATGGCTTTTTACAAGTTCGCCGAAGTTTTTTTCTGCACGATGGTCCCAACTTTCTGTACCTTTGTCGTCGTTTTTTTCAAAAATACCTACTTCGATGTATTTATTTTCAACCTCATCGGATTGACTTTTACTGGTGGGTTTTTTTTTCGAATTTCTGAAGCAGGATTTGTGAATGAATAACATCTCATTGCAGCACCCATAAACATGGTATCTTTGGTCTACGAGCTATCAGAGTTGAGAGTTCGATGGGATACGATTCTCGGAAACGCAATTGAGGCCAACCCTACCGTCAACCCAATTCTTCAGAAGTTGGCGAGCTTTCTGCAAGTGAGAATAGACCCACCGCGACGCCGGAAACGAGAAAGGACTGAAAACAAGGAAGAAGGCACCACTGCTGACCCACCTCAACCCGCTCAAACTGCTCAGCCTGCTCAAACTGCTCAGGCTGCTCAAAATGCTGAACCTGCTCAAACTGCTCCACCTGCTCAAGCTGCTCCACCTGCTCAAGCTGCTGAACCTGCTCAAGCTGCTGAACTTGCTCAAACTGCTGAACCTGCTCAGCCTGCTCAAGCTGCTCAAGTTGATCCAGCGGCTACCAAGTCGACAGCAAAGCCAAAAATCAAATTTCGACCTCATAAACCTCCTGGAGCAAACCCCTCTTTCACACATGCGTCTAGTGGTCCTTTGTATCAAATCACCCTTTTTTAGAGCTTCTTGAGGCATTTTCTAGATACAGCTCTCTGAATGAATTCGTGATTCCGATGTTTGGACTTTCAGTTCGTTTTTAAAAATCAAGTTCAGCCTCAAAAATTAGAATCTAGATTGAAACCAGAAAATTCTATGAACAAATACCCTATTTTCCTATATTTTATAAGCTTCATTTCCAGCTTGAATGTGAATATTTCCACCAAACTAGTTTTTTTTTGTATCGTGTAGCTTAAAAAAGTCTTCTAATTCATAGAAATCCTACCACAACTTTTTTTCAATCATGACCTTATCATTCCTATGACGTCATTCAAAAAGATTTGAAAATTTTTCCATCAAAGTTCCATTTTCTAATAAAAATCAGCACTTTTTATGAAATTCATGGCAACTGTTGTCGTTTTTCATTAGTCATCCTTTAAACCTCAAAAATATTTTTTCTATCAAAAATTTAAAATTCTGGTTGACCTTATAAACTCATCAGACCGAGCATCGTTTATTCATGCTTCATTTGTCTCATCTTTAAGATTTTCATATCTCGATAACATTTTCATGACATTCATGAAATTCTTCTTCTCAATTTTTTAGTATTTGCTTATTAGTCAGTTTTTGATCATCTATTTTGTTCAATTGTTGCTTCCGATATTTGGAGTATCAGAAGAATCTGTGAAGAGAAATGTTTTCGGGGACAGTTTCAAGTTTCAAAAAAAGATTAAGTATTTTTATATGAAGACATTTTGGCAAATGAATGTGGAATAGTTTTAAAAGTAGTTTTAATAATCTTCGAAGTTCGTTTGAAATGAAACTGATTTAATTAATAATAACCGCTCTCCAAAAAGCACTTCTCTCATTCATCTTCGAAACTTTTCATGAAATTCATGAGTTTCTCATATTTTGGTCATTGGTTATTTGTTAATCGTTTATATGATTAGTATTTATTTGGTTGAAATTGATTTTGCTTCCGATATTCGGAATTTGAAAAATAAAGTTCAAAATTTGGAAAAATGTTGCTATTACTGTATGTAAATTCTTCAACTCTGAAGGTGCACAACTTTTTCTCAGGCCTTGGAGTTAATTGTTAAGCTTAAATTCGGAATCAACGGGACAACTACCTCCAATGGATGAAAATTGCGAAAATCCCCCAGGTCAAAGTAGAACATTCTTTCGCAGTATCAACTTCCTCGTGATTTTCGGAGCCCCATCTCGCAAACAACTTTTTCTACAGACTCCCAAGAATCGGTGGCTCCATTGTACACCGACATTTGTTCCGTTTTTCGTGGATTCCTGGAATCCAGGGCTGCTGTATTACAGTGGGCGAGGGTCATAAATTTATCAGGAGAAACTTTTTTCCCCTCCGAGAAGTTCGTCTATCCGCATGACAATTGTTGCATTTTTTTCAGATCCCATGGTTCTCGCGCCGCTTTACAGTGGCTGAGATGGCTAAATATACATGAAGGAGTCTCATTCCGATAAGTTTGCCGGTCTCTGAGTGATGCTCAGTTTTCTCTCGTTCCGTTAGGCCGTTTTGAGAATACTTTCCCTTGTTTCATGACCAACTTCATATGTTTGTTGAATATTGCTCATAAAATATTTTAATAAGTCCTTTCTGTCGAGTGAAAACTTTTTGGATCGTATCGCGAACGTTTCATTAAAAGTTTACAGTTTCCAAACTAGTACTAAATCATTTTTGACTTTACGATTGTTATCAGATTCTGGCTGTACAGAAATAATCGGACAAGACACAGGAGCTGTCAACTTTGCAGCCGGTCACGAGAAACTTTGACATTTACTACCGTGGCTTTGAGGTCACTGATTAAAATCGCGTATAAATTTCGCTGCTTAAGCTTCCTACTCATATAGATCCTTTGAACATTCTCTTACTCAAAAATTCTTCTGGTTAATATTCTTCATGTTCCCTTAAGTTTTTAAAGAGTCTACATACGTAGAAAGAATTTTGAAACACTGTCCTAGAAGTTTTTATCAAAAGATTCTTCGATAACCTGTAATTTCATTGAAAAGTCGGTGCATTCCTTTGGGTCTCAAGAAAATCGTCCCATCGTACAAAAACTGATATCTTTCTTTTTCAAGCTGCCAGACTCCTCGGGTCTGTGCACGAAATCGAGCTCGAAAGCCTTCCTGCCTGAATGACCGACGGGATGTTGATCAAACTCCTGCTCCTGTTGCTGGCCACAGTCGTCATCGGCTGTGAGTTTTAGCTCATTTTTCTCCTTTGATTCTGAGATTTTCAGATACGCACACGCAAAAGGAAGGAGACGTTGGTGTTAGTTTTATTTTATTATCTTCTGTTTGATAAGAAGTTGAAGTAGTCACTTTTGGGGTGAAAAATAAATAATTTTCACGGATCGTTTTTCAACGAATTTCGTTGGTTATCATTTCTTCTCTTAGTTTACGTTTCCCTTATACTATTTTGCGTCAACCAATAAACAAAAAAATATTCTGCGTAGTCACTCAAAAAAACTGTAAAATGAAGTGCTTGATTTTATTCAGTTTAAAAGTAAAAAAATTTTTTTCTTGAATTTACAGAAAAACCCCGCCGAAGCACCCGAAGAAAGATGCAAGCCGGAGCGTAAGTTTTATTTTTCAATTGCTGGTTTTTGTGAAACCATCAGCATAAAAATAAAAACGGAATAACTTTTTTTTGTACTTCAGCGAAAAGAAAATGGATCTTTTTGCGCACACTGAATGAATCCTGCTCGATATATCGGTGGTGCGTCGACCCCCTTGTGTGCCGGGACATTGGGGTATGTTTAAAATTTCTTCTCATAGTTCAAAGTTTTGATGTTTTTTGGAACTCACAAAAACTTGAATTGAAATCTTTTTCGAAGTTTCAGTTAAGGCGAATGATTTGATTCCAATGAAGCGCTTCGAAAAGATCCTCTTTTTTTCATAAGCGTCTTCAGTCTGAGCTTTTGTTGGAGAAGCTCGAGAATGTAGTGAATAATTCCATAGCTTCCATTTTTGTTATTAACAGTTTTGCCAAAAATGAAGCAAAAAGAAAAGCTTTAAACATTCTTCCGTAGATTTCACTGCCCAAAGCCGATGGTAGATTGGGTGTAACTGAACTATAAACATTGAAGAGTAACTTCTGAAAATTCAGGTCGAGCACCCCGATGGGTCGCCCTACACATGTGTTGAAAAAACGAGAAAATACAGTAAGTTTGAAGGTATCATTATCAGTTCTTGTTTCTTTTTACAGACGACAGGCGGTGGTATCGGCAAGCTGGTGAGACGTGCTCATCATATTATTGGTGCGACCGCAATTTAACTTGCGAGGAGGCGGTATGTTTTGTCCAAGAAAAAAATCTCAAAGATTCGCGAATTATAAGTCATGCAATACTTAATTCTCCTGTGAATCAAATCGTTGGAACAAAATTTATCGCACTTCATAAACTTTAAAGCGTTCGAAAATTCAAGGCCTTAACAATCGAAGTATTTTTACTTTGCTCTTGGGATTTTTCTATAAGTTGGCCAGAACGCTTCTTGATGTACCAGAAGAAGATTCTGAAAGTCTCAAACTGCACTAATTTCTCGTTTTTGAGAAAAGACGTCTCAAAGTTATAGAAAATTGTCAAAATCCATAAAAATAGGCTAATTTGAGGCGTTAAGCCCTTTCGAAAAGTAAAAAGTTGTGCAGGTTGAGACTTTCAGGATTTCTTGATACATCAAGAAGTCTTCTGGCCATTTTTCAAGAAGTTTCCAACCATAAAGTAGGTTGACCTTCCTTGTAAGATATTTTATTCTACGGAATAGTAAGGAAATGAAGAAAACCATCTCTATAAACTAAATTGAATTTCAGGAAGGCAGCAAGTTCAAGCGATGTAAGCCGGAAAGGCGAAGCGTCTGCGGGTGTGTTACAGTCGACAAGTACAGTCGGCTGAACAAAAGAACGTCCATCAAACCGCTCTTGTGAGTTTTTTTCCTCACAAATCCTAGCTTTCCGTCGAAAAATCAAAAAAAAATATGGCTCTGAGAATGCTGGTTACCCAGCCTTTCGGTATGGTCTAGAATATTTCTGGGAAATGGATGATGTTTTCTAAAGATAATTATTGTGAGATAAAATACTAATCTTCCATTTCTATCTACTGTTTAGCAAATATAGTTTTTCAAAGGGTCCACGTAAGCTTAAGACTGTTTTTTGTTATCAAGTTTTGGAAAAATGCCTATGATCCTACTTTTTACTTCCACCGGGAGAAAAAGCTTAAAAAAATGATGATAATAAGCAAAATTCGAAAAACTATAGTTTTTCATATACTCTATTATTCCAATACCTATTTTTTAGGGACAAATGCTACGGCCCAAAATGGAACTTCGACTGAATCGTGAACCGAGCGGACGACGAAAATCAATAGGAAAATATAGTTGATAGAAATGTGAACGTGAAAAATATTGGTCTTTTTTTGCTCTGAAATTACGGAGGCCTGAAAGTTTCTCGAAAATCTTTCTACCTTGGATACTTGCATTTATTCAAAGCGAAGTTTTTTTGAAGAGCTTCAAAATTTCGCGAAAATTTGCAAGTCTCACTATTTTTAGTAAAGTTCTCAACGATTCTAAACTGTTTGCAAACATTTTCCTTGAAAAAGAGCAAGAAAAAGGCTTGTAAATCTTGCGTATACCTGCTTTTTAAACTTGTAAATTTTATTGTAATCGTTCAAGAAATGCTTTATTTTTGCAATTTGAGTGTTTAATTCAATTGTTGCTTGTCTGCTCTTCAAATTCACGTTTCCTATGTAAACTTTTGAATGAAAGATTGCTTCTAGTTTGTTAAAATGGAGAAAATTTTGCGAGCAGAAGTCAAAAGCCGACGGAGGAACACTACATTTTTGTCAACATTTCAACAAAATTTCGAGCGGGAAATATTCGATGCTAGCCATGAACCTCATGAACTTTTTTGTCAAATGAAAATTTTTTCAAAGGTTTTAAGAGCCAGAAGACATTTCAAAAGTATTTCATCTTCGAAAACATAGTTGCATTGTCATGAACATGATATCTTTGGCATACTGTAGCCAAAAAAAACTGCTGAACCGTTAGAAAAAAAAAGGTAAAATATTCCGAAAATTTCAAGTTTAACCTTATGCAAAATTTCTCTCTGAGTTCAAAACTTGACTTTTCTATGATTACGTAAAATAATTCCGTCGAATCAACTTTTACATTAAAAGAATCCTGTTTGGCCAAATACGACTCTGATGGCCTTATTCTTCCTTATTTTCGAGTTTCACTATAGTTTTGCTAAATAAACTGCTTAAAAGCTGTCTTTTCGAAAATTGTGCTTTTGGGGTTTCTGAAGCGTACGAAGAGGGTTCGGAAAGGTTGGAAAGAGCGCGTGACGTCATCTCGGCTCGTCTGAAACTTAACAATTAACAACCGATTTTTTTTTTCATTTTTCTTAGATAGTATGTGTTCGCTAGATGCAGTTTTTCACGCTGCTCCAAAATCTGGTCTCAAAAACCGTCGCGAAAGTCTGGTGTACATATTCCTGTGCGTAACAAACTTCCTCGAGGTTTCCGGAGCTTTCTGTTGCAAACAACTTTTTCTACAGACTCCCAAGAATCGGTGGCTCCATTGTACACCGACATTTGTTCCGTTTTTCGTGGATTCCTGGAATCCAGGGCTGCTGTATTACAGTGGGCGAGGGTCATAAATTTATCAGGAGAAACTTTTTTCCCCTCCGAGAAGTTCGTCTATCCGCATGACAATTGTTGCATTTTTTTCAGATCCCATGGTTCTCGCGCCGCTTTACAGTGGCTGAGATGGCTAAATATACATGAAGGAGTCTCATTCCGATAAGTTTGCCGGTCTCTGAGTGATGCTCAGTTTTCTCTCGTTCCGTTAGGCCGTTTTGAGAATACTTCCCTTGTTTCATGACCAACTTCATATGTTTGTTGAATATTGCTCATAAAATATTTTAATAAGTCCTTTCTGTCGAGTGAAAACTTTTTGGATCGTATCGCGAACGTTTCATTAAAAGTTTACAGTTTCCAAACTAGTACTAAATCATTTTTGACTTTACGATTGTTATCAGATTCTGGCTGTACAGAAATAATCGGACAAGACACAGGAGCTGTCAACTTTGCAGCCGGTCACGAGAAACTTTGACATTTACTACCGTGGCTTTGAGGTCACTGATTAAAATCGCGTATAAATTTCGCTGCTCAAGCTTCCTACTCATATAGATCCTTTGAACATTCTCTTACTCAAAAATTCTTCTGGTTAATATTCTTCATGTTCCCTTAAGTTTTTAAAGAGTCTACATACGTAGAAAGAATTTTGAAACACTGTCCTAGAAGTTTTTATCAAAAGATTCTTCGATAACCTGTAATTTCATTGAAAAGTCGGTGCATTCCTTTGGGTCTCAAGAAAATCGTTCCACTGTACAGCAAATGATATCTTTCTTTTGTAAGCTGCCAGACTCTTCGGGTCTGTGCACGGAATCGAGCTCGAAAACCTTTCTGCCTGGAAGACCGACGCAATGTTAACCAAACTTCTGCTTCTGTCGCTGGCCGCAGCCGTCATCGGCGGTACGTTTCCGCCTTTAATCAGCATTTAAATATGATTGTTCAGTTGCGGTGATCAGTCGAAAGGAGGGAGAACGATGCGACGAGCATTTCCGTTGCGTGGATCCTTTACTTTGCGAGATCACCCAAGTAATTTTATTTGAATTTTATTACGTGTATTGTTCCAATAGTTTTTAATTTCAGTTCCAACTATGGAATAGAACATTTTCAAGGCTTTTTGTTTGAAATTTTTTCATGAGTCATTTTTGAAATAGCTATTTAGAAACGTTTTTCAAAGAGAATGGCTTGGCAAATTTTTTAACCCAGCAAGCGAGAATTTTATCATTTTGCACAACAAAAAAAAATCGAATCTCCTTAATGCACTATTTTTATAAGTGAAGAATTTTTCAGTACTTCTATCACGAGAAGCCAGTGCCCAGATGTGTCCACGATGGTAAGTTTTGTTCTTTCAATCGTTGTTATTCTGATTGAATTTTAGCATTGTGCAATATTATTTTGAATTTTAGCCAGGAAAAACTGGATCGTCACCCGCAAGCTGAACGAATCGTGCACAATTCTTCAGTGGTGCGTCTACCCTCTTGCGTGCAGGGACATCGGAGTATGTTTAAAATTTCTTTTCACAATTACGAACTTCAAAGATTCATGGAACTTTCCTGAAACTCTTTATTGGTGACTCAGGCAAATCCTGGGAAGGTTTTGGGAAGATAACCAGCAAGATGTTGGAAGGTGAGTAGAAGCTAGAGGGTCATGGGTAGGTCTTTGAAAGGTGTTCGGAAGGTAGTTGGAAAGTCTTTGAAAGGTAAAAATGGAAAATGCCTGCCAGAAACCTCCCAGAAGCCTGCTGGAAAGCTTCCGTCAGGCATTTTTCTAAGTAGAAGGTTTTGGGAAGCTATGTGGAAGGCGCTAGACCAATTGCTGGAAAGTTTCTAAGCGCTTTCCGAGGAACCGAAAGCAGAAACTTCCCGACTTTTAACTGTGGACTAGTTCTCGCAATTCAGTAAAAACTAATTTGAAAATGATTTCGGAAAACTCAGGTGGAACACCCTGATGGGTCGCCCTTCACGTGTGTTGAAGAAAGCAGAAAATACAGTAAGTTTTAACGTACCATTGAAAATCCCCGTTTTCTTCTGCAGACGAACGGCCGTGGTTAAGGCAGCTTGGAGAAACCTGCAGCTCGTACCAATGGTGCGATCAGGGCCTGAAGTGCGAGCCGAGCGTAAGTTTTATTTTTAAAAAAATGATTCCAACAGATTCGAAAAAAAGTTGTATGATGAGCTTCACTTTCCTTGAATTAATCGTGAATCTTTAGTTTATTTTTCACGAAAAACAAAAAAGTCTCTCTAACTTGATTTCAGAACGACCAGTGGAAAAGGTGCGTGAGGCAGACGAGAAACATCTGCGGGTGTGTCTCCGTGGAAAGACACAAGAAACTGACGACTCCGAGATTTGAAACAGCTCTGTAATTTTTTTATTCTTCCTAGTTCGAGGCAGCTGTCGAAAGCTCAAAAAATTTTCGGCTTTAAAATTGCTTGCGATTCAAGCTTGTCACATTTTTGGAGACATTAGTGCTCAATGGTTTATGATTTTCACAGAAAGGTTCGAATCTTTTTTCATTACATTTTTTCAGAAGCCAATGCTATAGAAAGCACGCTCACGAACTTTGACGTGAATCAATCGGACGATGAAGAAAAATAGGAAAAATGGCAGTTGGTAGAATTTTTTGAAGAAAAATATTGGCTTTTTTTTGCTCTGAAAAGGCGGTAGGTTGAAAAACTTTTGAAAAAGTCTTTGAATCTAAGACGTTTTCATTCATTTAAAAGCAAACCAAACTTTTTTTTGAAAAATCTTTGGTTTTTTTCCCGAAAAAAACTCAAATTTCTTCATCATTTTTCAGCGAAATTTCAAATGATTCCAGTTTTTTTCGTATTATTTGAAGCAATAAATGCTCATTCCGAGAAAAAAAGTAAAAAAAGCCATCATTTTTTTCAAGAATTGATATTTCGTTTAGATGCTCCGTTTTTAATGAAGTTGTTCAGCGAATGTTTGTTTTTAAATTCGGTATCTCAATGAAATTTTTTCCTTGTTCATATTTTTAACAAGCTTTTTTCAGCTTTCCATGCCAATTTGTTAATGAATGCTTGCTTTTTTCTTCGTTTCTCTCTGAGAAAAAGTTCTACCGGAAAAAAAAAAAATTTGGAAAAATTTTTGCTTTGAAGAAGTTTTTTTCAAGCGCTCCCTTCGTTTCTGAACAATTGCACAGTAAAAATTTCAAATGAAAAAAAGAAAAACGTTGGAAATGGTCAGGACTGACTAATGAGAGCAAAAATTTTACATTATAAAAAAAGTTCTTTGTGGTTTTTTTCTTTTCACGAGATTTTTTTTAAGGTTTGAAAAAAAGATGTTTCAACAATTTTTTTCCAATTCTAGAAAAAAACGACTGGATCGCCTGAAAAATAGCCCTATTTGGGATGGTAAATTTGAACAAAGTCTTCTGTACAAAGGTATGAAATATCAAGACAAGAAGCTCGAAAATACTTCAAAAGCGGCCGCCTTTTTGAGAAGTTAAAAACATCATTTTGGGTTAAGCGAAGGCTAGAATCTAAAAATCTTCTTTTCAAGCTACGAGAAACATTGTCACGAAAATCTGAACAAAGTTCTCAACTTTAAATAAAAAAATACTTATTTTTTTAATCCTTGTAACGCTGTTTTTTTGATGAAAAATTTCTTCCTCACCAGATAATTCATATTTCTTCAATAATATCCGAGAAATAAAAAAATCAATTGATGTATTTAAAAACAAAACTTCATCGTAATTGTTAGTAGCAAGAATTTGGCTATGACTATTTATTAACTCAGGGAAAGCCACGCACGCAATTATGCACAACTGACGGTAAAAAAAAGCCAAGAACGGGTTCGGATCGGGATACTTTTCATGTGGAAAACGTGGGTAAAGCCAAAATTATGAATACTTGTATGCAAAGGGGCTGGTTGATATGTTAGCATAGCTTTAAATGTAAAGATGGATGTACAAGTGGCGCACCAGTTTCCTCTTTCTTCGAATAACTTGAACGAAGTTGGTGATGAGATACAAAATAGTTAGTTTCAACCGAATGGATGGTGTCCCGCGTTGTAGAACTTGGAAAAAAAAAACAAGAATTGATGTTTGACATCATATAAGTTAGTAATTGTGAGAGGTTTTCGAGCCATTCTTCTTTGAGAACACAACAAAATAAATTCAGCCGAAAAGCTCCCGAGTAGGGGTTAGATGAGTGAACAAAAAGTGATTACAAAAACGAATCACCGGCGGAAAATGATTTCTTGCGATTGGGATTCTAGCAGAAGCTATGGCTGTCTAATACTAGCTGGAAGGGTTAAGCTGGAGTTTACAGGAAGGAAAATTGTACAGTCAGTTAATATAACTTAGTAGCAATATATTACAAAGGAAGGCATTTACAGAAGCCTTCTTTTGGCGGTTCGATTGAGAGATTCGCGAGGAGCCGCTGCCGGTCCTCGGCGATCTCGAGTGGCCTTCCGAGCGTCACGACGTCCTGAAGCCGCCTTCGTCCTGAAAATGGCCTTTGTGAAGTCAAATTTCCTGTTTAAAACTTACGGAGAGGATTTTTCGGCCGATTTGTTCGGTGTCCTTCGTGTTGGGGAAGGTTCCTACAATTTTGCCCATTGAAAACAATGAAGAAACCCTAAAAGTTATACCTCTACCACTACAAACGGCTCAAGAGTGAGCTCTTTAGATTTGAGAAGAACTGGCAACTTCTTCTTTCGACCGCGCTGAAAATAATCAAAGTTTATATCCAATCATAACCTCTTTGATTAACCTTTCCAGGTACTTTCTTTCCAACTTCGGAAGCCACCTCAAACTTTGGTTCTGTCTCTTCTGGTTTCGAAGGCTCAGGAACAGGCTCCACTACGGCTTCAACTTCAGCCGCGACTCCGGCCTCGACTTCGGGCTCGACTTCAAGCTTTGCTTCAACCTCGACACTCTCGACGGTTTCCTGCACTTTAACGGCTTTTTTGATTGGACGAGCGCGCGTGGTTTTTACAGGGCGTCCACGCTTCTGTAATAAAAAAAATTACTTCAAAATACTCATGAAAGAAACTCACGGGGAGCGGATCGCCTTCTTTTCTCTGGAGAGCAGGTTTGCGGCCTCTCTTTGCCTTGGGAGGTGGGAGCACTACAGGTTCCACTTTTTGTTCCTCTTCTGGTTGTTCTTTTGGTTCTTCGGACATCTTTTCCGGCACTTCTTTCGGCGGCTCTTCTACTGCTTGAACCGATTTCCGCAGTTTTTTCTTTGCTGGCTGAGCCTTGGCAGGAATCTTCGCTCCTTGACGTTTTCGTGCAGGTTTCTTCTTAGCGGGAGGTACTTCGGAATCTTTCGATTCTTCTTCTGGCTTCTCTGGAGGAATGTTGGATTCTTCCTTCACTATTTTAGTTTTTGGAGTCTCTTTCTTAACGTCTACTTTCTTCTTCTTCAAACCCGAGGTCGAAGGAACTTCGGAGTCGAATTTTAGTTTCCTCTTGACAGATTTCGTTTTCTGCGGCTGAGGTTCGAGTTTCTGCTCTTCCGTGACTGCTGCTGCTTTTGCAAGGTTCTTTTTGAGAAGGACGGCTTTCGGAGAGATCGGATGCTTGCTTTTGGTGGCTGGCAGAGTAGGCACAGCAAATACAGGCTCAGAAGGAACGACTGGAGCTGCCGGCTTTGGCGGAGTAACGACAAGACCAGAAGACCGAGCTTCTCGTGCAGCGGCGCGTACGCCACGGTCCAACGACGTGTTTTTCTTTTGGAACATGTCTTCGAACAAGAAAGCGTCAAAAGACACCTTTTTCTTTCTGTTGGAGACTGTCTGTTTCTTGGGGCCTTTTGCCAAGGCGACTGGAGGCTTTCTGGGCTTTGCCGGCTTCTTTCTCGACCTGCGCATGACACAAGGACGGCCTCTGCGTCTCTGAAAAAAAATGTTTGTCAGTTTCGCCTATGGTTGAGAAGAAACTTACGTTAGCCGGGGTCTTGGTCTTGTTGAGTGCAGCCATGATAACCCTTCGACGGGCCTCCAGAGGATTTTCCATGTTGAGCTTCAACCTGTTCTTGAATTCTTTTCTCAGGATCAATGTTGGCATTTTGAACTGAAAAAAATAGATCTGTTAGAAAAGTTGCAAAAAAGCAAATTTCACCTCTTTCATCTGATTTCGGTACTTCTTTTTGATTTCGACCTTCTCAGCGTCACTATTGGCCAGCAGAAGCTCTTCTCGCATTCTCTTCGCGGTTTCCATTCTACGTCGTTTTGCAGTTTGAAGGCGGCGGATGTAATTGCGGTAATGGTGACACATTCGACGAGAAAGAATTCTGAATGTTTTTTTCAAATTAAGAAAAGAAAAAAATTGAGTATCACTTTCGCTCTTCGGTGCAGACGTTAATGCGCTGTTGTAGGCGAGAAACTTCGTCCAAAAGTGCAGCGTTGGCCTGAAAGTTTGGAGAGAAAATAAAGGAAAAGTATATGTTTTTTACTTACATAAACCATCGACTTCATGTTGCTCTTCAATTCTTTCAATTTTGCCGCGTATTCCTCTTCGCGGTCTGCTTCAACGGTGTCACGAAGTTTCTGAAGTCAAATTGTTTTTTTTTTTCATTTAAGTTTCAAAATACATCCAGTTGAGCCGCCGCTTCCTCCGGGGGAAGTTGATTGAGCTCATCAGCAATTTCTTGGTAGCGACGCTCAATATACTCATCGGTAATCGCGGCAGCCTCCTCCGAGTCCTGCAGATTCAGCAACGCTTCGTTCTCGAGCAGCAACGCGAGTTCTGGGGAAATATTCGATGGGTCAAAGTCTTCTCCTTCGAGTTCTTCGAGAAGCTCCGGTGGAATTCCTTGCATGGCCGCACCACCGAACATGGCGAATTCCGCAGCGGTCTCATCATCCATCTCAAAGCCGCCCAAGAAGTTTTCCTCCTCATGTTCAAACTGAAGACCCAGGTAGTGCTGACTTTCTTCCAATTCTCGTTCATAGTCTTCTTGCTGCTGAGCCAACAACATTTGCTCTTCTTCTTCGGGTGTCAAATTCTGTAGATCGTCCGTAAAAGGGAAGTTTTCCGGTGGAAAGTCTTCTGGTGTAGAGTCTTCCTCTGGGAAGTTTTCCTCCGGGTAGTTTTCCTCTGGGAAGTTTTCCTGTGAGAAGTTTTCCTCTGTGAAAGTTTTCTCTGGGACATTTTCCACTGGGACATTTTCCACTGGGACATTTTCCACTGGGACATTTTCCACTAGGACATTTTCCTCTGGGACGTTTTCCTGTAGGAACTTTTCTTGTGGGATGTTTGCCTGAGGCTCCGGAGGTGCTTGAGTTTCCTGGCAGAGTTCTTTGAGAATTCTTTGAGCTTCTATAGGGAAAGGCTCCATCATGGGATCAACCAACGAACTGGTACCGCCTTGCAAAATGGCTTCCTGAAAAACAAAGCTTAACGGAATGTAACTAAAATTTAAATGGAAACTTGTTAGATTCGAAAAATTTGCGTAAAATTTCAGACTCCGAGTTTCCTTTTTCATTGTTTTGATACTGATTTTCATCTTTTCGTAAACCACCCACCTTCGCAGCCTTTGCGTCATCTTTCTCCAAAGCGTCCAAATCCAGGTTGTCAAAGAAAATCTCGCAGTTTCCAAGAACATCCGACTGTAAAAAATTTTTGAGATAATTTTTATAATACAGTCTCACATCGAGACGTAGGTCTTCCAAGGCGACATCAGCCAGAATCGGGTCATTCTTCAAGTTGGTAGGCGAAGATCCTCCATCCGAACCCATCATAAAGGCGTCTATCTCAGTGGTTGTATTCTGCTTGATTGCATCCTGGAAAGATTCATTTTTAGAGTTTCAAAGCAAAAGCTCACCATTTCCGCTTGGTCCTTAGGTGTTTCTTGCGGTTCTGGCTCAATTGGCCCGAAGAGCTGCTCGGCGGTGATGTCTGCATTCATTTCAGCGTTTATCGTCGGGAACTGTTGCTGGATGTGATTGTAGAACTGTTCCATGGTCATTTGCTCGATTTCTTGAGGAGTAAGCGACGCTTGCTGTTGGATCTGCGGCTGCATGAAAGCCTGCTGGTCGTACTGATTCTCTTGGGCTTGTTGAAGATTCGGTTGGAAGTTCTGTTGAGCCGGAGGCTGAGGTTGTGGGGAGCATTGAGCGTATTCAGGATCGACCTCCAAGAAACGTTCCAGCTGCTTTTTCTCCCAGTCAGCCAGCTCGGAACAAGACGACTCTGGCGTTTTCTTTGATGATGTCACCTGATCCCACACCCCAGTGTTGACGTCAAGGTTTTGGTTCAGAGCTCCGAAATTTCCAGGTGACGAGACGTTGGGTGATTTTGCATCCTGTTCCTTCAGCTTGTTTTGGTACTGCGCCATGATCTCGTCGGCCAATTGACATTCACGAATCTTTTCAAAATGCTGCTGCTGCTCTTCAGGAGACAGATAAGACGTGTCCTTCGGCGTCTCAAAGAGAGAAATGATGTCCGTCTCAATTCCAATGTCCGAGTCATTCACTGGCGCCTGTTTTGGTTCGAAAACTTGAGCACTTTGAGGATAGGGCTCAAGATTCTGAGTACTGGCATAGTTGCATGGCTGAGGAGTCTGTTGAACCATTTGCTCTTGAAACCCTGAGCCGTTATAGTCAGCAGGCACTTGGTAGTGATAACTCTGATTGGACCACTCGTTTTGCTGGGAATAGTACACCGGGTTGCTGTCCATGTATCCTGGAGCTGGCTGAGAAAAATCAGCAACTTGCTGAGGGGGAACCCAAGAAGCTTCTTCAGTCTGCGGCTCGGTTTGTTCTTCCTCCGCAGGAGCTTCAGGATTCTCCAAATCCAAGGAAATTTCATGTTTCTCTCCCACTACGTTTCCAACGAACGAAGAGACCACCTCCGGATCAGGTTCAAAGTCGTCGTCAACCTCGTCCCTCTCCTAGAAAAAAAAATAGTAATTGAGCATTTATAAGAAAAATGTAAAACTCACATTTGCCATGAGTTCTTCCATGGTAAAGCCCAGGCCAAGAAGATTGCCAGTGATCAAACCCGTCAACAAATCCATTTCATCAGACACGAGATTGGCACTTTCCAGTCCGGCGTGGAACCATTCCAGCAGAGCATCAAGATTGTCTCCCATCTCTTGAATTTGGATCAGAGCCAAACGCTCCTGTTCAGCGAGTAAGTCAGACGCAGGCTGTAAAATTGAAATGAATAATCTCTCAACGCTGAAGAAGTGCAGAAAAATTGTTTGTTTATCAAAACCTTACTCTTTGGTGAGATTTCCGTGCCTTCCCGCGGCGGAAGGCGTCAGCATCAGGAACTTTGAAAACTGAGTCCGGATTGGTCATAGGTGGAGGTGGAGCAGGAGTTACAGGGACAGGAACTTTTTTCGTCAGCATTTTAAGATTAGCTGGTGGGCGCTTTCTTGGCGCTTCCAGCTTCTGCTGATGCTCCTTTCGCTCGACGACGCTATCAAAAGTCTGACTCTGGCGAGGGAGAGGAGGTGGAAGCTAAAGAATGGTATACATTAAAAACTTGAGGAAAATCGAAAACCTTTGGTTCTTTCAGTTTCAACATATCGAGCATTTTCTTCTCTTGCTCACACAATTGTTTAGTCCGCGCGTTGTTGTAGGCTCTCGGAGGCGGAGGCCTCTGAGCTTGCTGGAAATGATAAAGAAAAAGTTATTTCATGCCGAGAAAAGTATAGTGGGAAACCTGCTGCAAGCGGTGCTGTTCTACTGGAACACTCGAGACGATTTGAGTGGCATTGGGTGGCACGTACTTCTAAAAAGGAAATTTCTTTCAAAAACATTTTCGAATTTTCTCACGGGATATGAATATAAAAGGTTTCCACGTGTTTCACACGGTTTAATTGGATGACGCACAAGAAAAAAAAATGTTTACGTATTTTTTTTCTGCAAACTCGAGACCAGAAAATCACAAACAAAAAAATTATTGGTATTTCTAAATAAAGGTGTTTGCAATTTTTTCAAAGATAATTATATTAAATTTGCAACGTGTCCCACACGGTTATAATAATACAAAAACAGAAGGAAAAAAAGTTTTTTTCTTGGTTTTTGCAAGCTTTAGGCCAAAAAAATCGACACAAACAAAACGAGAAAGCTTCGAGATTGGAAAAAAATATTTTTTTGATGCATTATTTTCTCAATTTCAAGATAAATCACTAAAAAAATGGAGGAGAGACTAGAAATTTTTAAAAAAATCTCCAAATTTTTTTCGATTTGAAAATTTTTTTCGATAGGGAATTTTTTTCAGTGGCTCTTGGAGAATGAATTCAAACTATAAGAACCAAAAATAATTGCTGCTTTTGAAGTGTCAGAGGACTTTTTGAAATGTCTGAAAAACTAGAAATTTTGATCTAAATTCTACCTCTTTAGGAGCCGAGCGTTTCTTGGGAGGATGCTTAGGAAGTGGCTGCTTTCCCCGTCGTGCGACAGCCTCGATGGTGCTCAGAATGTTGTTGAGCGACTCCTGACTGGTTGTCGTACTTGAGCTCGAGCTGGGACCAGCGCCAGAAGACGAGCCAGATTGAGAGGAAGGACCGGCGCCGCTGTTTGCCGGCAGGATTTTGGCGCGTTGGTAGTCTTGGATCTGATGCTGGGCGTCGACGAGACGTTCAACAAGAGAGGTTGCATGGCGCTGGATTTCAGGACTATGACGTAACAGGGAATTTTGAAGTCTCGGAGCCGGAGTCAGTGGCGCCTTGTATGCTGGTAAAGATTTGACAACGACTTGTTGGTCTTGATGAGGTGCTGGTGGTGGTGTGACAGTGATCAAGGGAATCTGCATAGGGGCTTGAGGAATCGGAGGATCCATCACAGCCGGAGCCGCAGCAACGTTGATGTTTGGAATTGCCGAAATTTTCGGCTGCACGGGCTGAGGCGGCGACTGATTTTTTGTAGACGTGGGAGTCTTCTTTGAGCCTCTCTGCGATGTTGGTGCCAAGGTAACCGGCATTTTATCACTCGCTCTGCAAGTTTATCGAGTTAACTTTGTGAGGAATAAAAGAAGGCATTCATTTAACCCGTCGAGCCCGACCGCTCTTGATATTTTATTGCGCTTTACTGTACTTGTTTGTGGAATTAATGTTTGTGAAATGCGTTCAGAAAAACATCTTCTTTTATTTTGACTTATGAAAAGAAATGCATCCTTACTGAAGACGTGCGGCCAGAGCAGCAGCCGCTTCTCTTTCCCGTTTCAATTCGAGTTCTCTCTGCTTGGCCTGTAATCATCTCATTGACGTCTACATCCCCTTATTTCTTGGAATCTACCTGTCTTTGTTGCTGTTGAAGGTGTTGTTTGACGGTCAGTCCTTCTTCTCCGATTATCATCTCAGGAGGGATCTTAGGCGGTTTGTAAGCGCTTTGACTGGAAAATCGTTCATTTCAATGATGTCATCATCCTTTTGATGAATTACCTTCGCCTGTTGTACGTTTTCTTTGGTCGAGCTCCAACTTGTGGCTGAATCTAGAAATAGTCCTTGTGCATAATTTCTCCAGGAAGAGACTCACAAGTTCGTTGGGAACCACGGGAGTCGAAACGAAAGTGTGCACTGGGAACAAAGGTTGAGTTTTCACCGGGTAAAGATGTTGCTGTTGTGTTAGTTGTTGAGTTAGGGCTCCATGCTGAATTTCAATAAATGAAGCTTCGGAAATAGCTCTATCGAGTTCTATGATGACAATGTCTGAAATGACTGTAACAGTATAAAAATTGTTGCCAGGCAAGAAATCCTCGCGCCTTGAAACTTTATAACGTTGCGCTGCGCTGATGTGGACAACAAAAAACGATTTGAGGGAATTCGAAGGGGCGTGGCAATCCATTGATAGAATCAATATTTTTTGGTTTCTCGCAGAAATTTTTCGTCTCTCGAAGAATTTCATGACTGTTTTTGAACATCATAAGACGCATGGAAAAATGTGAAAAAATATCAATGAACAAAGATTTTTGCGTCTTGGAAAATTCCTCCACTCAGCCTCTAACGAAAAAGCTCTACGAATAAATTCAACGCAAAACGTTTTTTTTTTGGATTGTGCGGCAATTTGTGAGGCTTCACTTTGCGGTTTCAAAAATAATAAATTGATTACGCCCCCGCAGCAGCACGATAGAATCAAATTACTGCTGAAAGGAAAACTAAAACAGGCGAAAGGTTTCAGATCAATTGTTGGATGAAACTCATGGTATTTATGACATCCAGCCTTCAGAAAGAAAAAAAATATGCGCCTTTAATCTTTTCAGTACGGTTGTAATGCTTTAAAACGCGTTTTTTTTTCTACTGTGGGAAGCAGTTTTTCCTATAAAGCGTCAAAATTTAATTTGAAGAAACGTTTTTTTTTTTCTAACAGATATAAAATCGAGGAGTATTAAAGTTCTTCTTCGTGAAGTTTTGGAAATCTCAACGGAATATTTTTGCGCATCTTTAACAATGAACTACGGAAGCGATTTCAGAAAAATAACTAGTATTTTTCAAAATTCTTTCCAAGCAACATCTAAGACAGATCACCAAGTTGCCTGGAAAGAACTGTGATAACGAAATTTCCAAAACGAAAAAAAGTCTGAAGGGTTGGACATCTTGTGAACGAGCCAACAGTGGCGTGCACTTTTATGGCCATTTGAAAGCAGAAAAATGCTATCAAGCGTTCCCACGGCACCCTACGATTATCGGCACAAGTCACGTTTTGTTTTTTTTTTCAGCAATTTTTTTCTTTCTTACCGGATATGCAAATACGGGGTTGTGGCTCTGCTGCATGCTGTTGTCTAGCCGAGTTTCAGTTATCCTGACATCTTCGCGGATCGTGTGGGAAGAAATTGGATGGTGACGTTCAGGAATGCCGACCTTCTGAGAATTATTTAATCAGCATTCAATTTTCACAATGGGAAAAAGTACCGTTGGAAGTGCCAGAGGAACTTGGTATCTGGCGTCTATAGCCGTCTCGATGATCCTCACTTCAGCTGTGTCTTTGATCACCTGTGAAATGGTTGGCATGAACTTTTGAGAAAATTTAAGCTACCTGTGTCAGCCTTGAAGGACCAGGCATTTGAGAAGGCGGTCCTGAACCGCCAGGATATTGCTGCAAAGAAGCAACTTCTTACAGCGTTAGAAAAAATCTTGAGACATCTTGGCGCCACTTTTTACTCACTGCTAGGTTAAGTGAAACTTCGAAACTACTGAAATTTTTTCTATCCAGCGGTGGATGAAATATAATTAATCCTGCACTCCCACAGAGCCAGTCATCCCTTTAAAAAAAAAAGAGCACGCCGCTGTGAATCGACTACACTTTTGCAGGTTTTTTTTTGTTTCGGTGCGTTGCGCTCGGGCAGCGAAATCGATACTTTTTCCGCACACTGCCCCTGCCTTTTCCAAACATGAACACAACATTTCACTGATAAACAGAATGATAACGGCTCCATTTTCCGTTCTTGAACTTTGTAAGTAACGCTCCGATGACACAAATGGTTGCCATGACGCCGATCGATGAGCGAAAAAAAAAACTCACTGATGCCATTGTCGACTACTGCATTCGGAGCTCACGTTTCCCAAGAATAAACCTACAAATTACTTCATAGGCAATGGATAACTGACATTTAAACTTACATTTAACAAGATATTTGAAATATGACAATGGGCCAATTATCCAAGTTTTTCCTCTCAATACTTCCGAGGGAACTAGAAAGTTTTGAGCCTGAAGAAGAATTTCGATGATCAAAAAGACATGGTTTGAAGTAAAAACAACGAAGCGAACGCTAATAAAATTCAGAAAGGGAAAAATTCAAAAGGAAGGATCGACTCAAACAAGATGGCAATCTATGAGCGCCAGTCGGCATTTGCAAAACGCGCGCAGTTTCCCGGGGTAGATCAGGACGCCACGCCGTAGACTATAGTGGAAACCATTGTCTTTTGGCGTGAGTCAATGGGTTTCCTTTTTTCTTTCGTTTTGATTCATTCACTATTGTTTTATAAAACTCCCTTTTATGGTTTTTTTTTCATTTTTGAAATAAAGTGAACGACGCAAAAGGGAAAAATAATCTTAAATCCGATTTCGCGACTACATTTCGCTCCAATAGAAAAGTCGCCGTTGCTATAAAGATTGCCATCAAAAATATTATGCTCTAAATTTAGAATGCTATAGTAACGGCTTTTTTTGTGTCCTAAAGAGAAGTGACGGCAAGAAATATGAAATAAAAAAATTGAACTATTTTTTTAAAAACCAATTTTCGAGCGCTCAGAAAACGGGTTTACGGTCAAATTTAGAATGTTCAAAATAATTTTCTTTTTCACCAAAAAACTTTTTCAAGGCTTCAATTTTTTTCTACTTTTTTGAAGTAATTTCGTCTTGAAATTCAGTAAGACAGGAATATTTTTTCACTAAAGCCAGAAAAGTTCAATTTTAACAAATTTATGTATTTTTCTACCGGTGTAAACTTTAATTCAGTTCGATTCAGGGCGATGAATTGTGAAAAAAATAATTTTGTGTCAAACCACTTCATTAACACATTTGACAACATTTGAAACATCGGCGAAAAAAAAAAATTATTATCCTGAGTTTTGAAGTCTTATCATGACCAATAGTGCTGACAAAGTCTTGTGGGCAGTTTTAGGTCAAAACAACGTCTTGTTGGGCTGGCCTCGCGATATCACCACAGTGGACTTTGTATCGTCCATCGCCCGCTGTAATCATGACGCGCCACGTTGGCGGCCGCTCATCTTTTTTCTACCAATTTTTTTTTGTTCTCCGCTCCGATAGCTTTTTCGCAGTTTTCTTTGGTTTCTAATCGTCCATTTTCTCGTGAGAGATGGAAGATATGGGTTCAAGTTGGAAACTTTTTTGATGGGGCCATCCAGAAAACTTTGAACAGAGTTCATTTGGCCAATGTTCAAAAATTGAATCCGTTAGGAATAGGTTCAGTCTTTATTTAGGATGCTTCCTTTCGCAAAGCAAAAATAAGAATAAATCAAGTTAAAAAAATGGGTTTTTTTCGTTGTCGTGGTGAAAAATCACAACATTGTGAGCTTTTTTCAGATTTCCACAAAAAGAAAATGAAAAATTAGCTCTGAAAATTACTATAATGCCAATCTGAAAATTTACTTATTTTTAAACTTTTTATGAGACTTTTTGGGTTCTTTCGGCTATGTTTTGCACATTTTGAAGTCTCTGGAACTTTCAGAAAATGACCTGAGCAGTCTCTTTCCAAATACCTTTCAGCTTTTGTCAAACGCTTCATTTCCAACGCAAATTTTCCCATCGCCAACTTATATTCACCTTTCAGGGAACATGTTGAGCTCTGCTTCCACGACGTTTGCTCGGAGCTTCTCGGCGACGGCCGTTAGGAATAAAGTGAACAACGTCACGGTTATTGGCGCCGGCCTTATGGGCTCCGGAATTGCTCAGGTTAGAAAACCAGAGCGTAGGATTTTTTTTGCGATATAGCGTGAATGAGACGCCATTTCCGGCGTCATTTTAAGATTATTCAAACTAACTGTGTGGTTTAACGTTTTCTGCAGATAGTGGCGAATGAAAACTTCTCGCACCAGGGTTTCCTTGTTCCTTGATCTCTTGGAAAAGTTGTAGTTAATAGACAAAAATCAAAAAAAAAAGACAGAATGAAATGATTCAAAATAAAAAAAAACAAAAAATTGAAAAAAACAATAGAAACCCTGCAGGTTTCCGCAAACGCCAAGCTAAACGTCGTTCTGGTGGATAGCAACGAAGGAGCTTTGAAAAAAGCCCACAGCAGCATTGAAAGCAGCATCAAAAGAGTGGCAAAGAAGCTGCACGCAGATGATGCGAAGGTAAGCAAGAAGATTTATGAAGAAGACAAATTTTCTCTCTATTCAGGCTCAGGAAAAATTGGTCGCTGAGACCATTGGCAAAATCAACACTTCAACAAACGTTGGAGATTCTGTGAAGAATGCGGATCTTGTCATTGAAGCCATTGTAGAGAATATTGAAATCAAGAGGAAGCTTTTCGCTCAAGTTGAGGAAGCTGCTAGGAAGTTGGTTTTTGAAACAGTGATGATTGTTTGAAATGAACAATCTATTGAATATGAAGCGGAATCAAGCTTCAAGGATTTTTATAGTTCATCCAAGTCTGGGTTGGAAAAAAAAGTCGTGAAACAGAAAAGGACCATTTCAATCATTTTTTACAGCTCATTTATCTTGACGAGATTGAACCTTTTTTCATTGAGATAACAGGATTTTTGAGTTTTCTAAATTTTTTTTCTAAAGAATTAAAAATTTCCAAGAGGCTTATTGGAAGACGTTAAATTAGGCTCAGGAATAAGGATTCTTTAGAGAGGACAAAAGGACGATAACAAATTCGAAAGACTAAATAACTATTCTTCATCATTTTACCGTTTCAAGTTCACAAAACTCAGACAGTTCCTCGAACCAGAAATGAACCGACTGCCATAAAACTTCCTCCCAAGAAATAAGGCGTTAATGTTTCCAGAGATACGCTCATCACAACAAACACCTCTTCTCTCCGATTGGAAGACATCGGGAAGAACCTCAAGGACAAAACCCGTTTCGGTGGCCTTCACTTTTTTAACCCCGTTCCGGTCATGAAATTGCTTGAGGTAGTACAAAATTAGTTACAGAGTTTAATCGAAAGTGGCAATCTCAGGTCGTAAGACACACGGAAACTTCGGACAAGACCTTCAACGAACTTGTCGACTATGGAAAGTCTGTGGGAAAAATCACGGTCGCCTGCAAGGTTCGTACAGAAAACGAAAAGGGGAAGTGAATTTTGACGGCGTTTTCCGAGAATTTGGTGGAAATGGGAACAGGAAAGTTTCTGAAACTATTTCCAACGTTTTTGGACTTTTTTCAAGTTGTTGTTTGTGTTTCGGAACTCGTTAACCGCTTAAAGTTTGCGGGAAAGTTTTGAAAATGAAACAGGAAAGTGAATTTTAGCAAGTTTTTTGGAACTAGGTCATAACTTTGTGTCTTCACCGAAAAAGGGAATGAAAACTGAAACAGGCAAATGAAGTTTGAAAGTTTCGCCCACTTTTTTGAGTGCCTTTCGTATTGGTATTCTGTTTTTGAAAGAAATGTTTATAGTCATAATTTCATATTTCAACGCAACCAAGTTATTAGTAAACTACGGTAAGTAGAATGAGGATAATAACTGTGGCGTGTGAAATACGTATTAAAATGGCCCTTGCAGAAACTGAAAATTATGAGTTTCCAGTAACATGAACTGAAACGGGAAATTATTTTTGTCTTTTTTTAGTTTTATGTCAGGGGAAACGGTAGTTGCGTGCAAAGTTGGTATTATCGAAAAGTAATCTTTTCCCGAAGAAGACAGGAAATGAAACGGGAAAGTTAGGTTGAAGGACATGGTCTTTTTTTTCCCTCAATTTTCACGACGTCATACTTTTATTTTTAACGACCTTGATTTTATGGAAAGTCTGTGGCATGTTGTGTTGGTATTAAAACTGATGCGATTACTTTGTAGATAAAAAAGGGAATTGGAAGCCGAATTGTATTCCTACAGTAATATTTCAGGCTTCAAAACCTTTTGCGTGATTTTTGAAAAAATTGTTGGAAAAGTTGTTTTCGGGAAGGATTATCTTATGACAAGGTGGAACAAGGAAGTTTGTTTCTTTTGAAGCCATTTTGTCATTTGTCACAATATCAAAGATTGTTTTCTTTGATACAAGGCGCTTTTAAATGAGAAGGTTGAAGCTAAAAGAGTTATCGAGCGTACTTATAATGTAAAGTACGTCGCTGGAGCCAATGGAGAAGCTTGAATTTTCAAAGTGATCCGAAGTCACCCTGTCTTCCATTTTTCACAACATTACTGTTTCAGGACACTCCCGGCTTCATTGTGAACCGTCTTCTGGTGCCCTACATGTTCGAAGCTCTACGTCTTCACGAACGAGGCGACGCCTCCATGAAAGACATCGACATTGCCATGAAACTTGGAGCCGGTTATCCAATGGGACCCTTCGAACTTGGTGATTATGTCGGCCTCGACACGTGCAAGTTCATCATGGACGGTTCGTTTTTCGAGATTTTTGCAGGGGAAAAATTCCAGGCTTTGACAGAGCTTCATAGAGAAGGCTCAAAATTTCATTCAATGTATCTAATTTTTTTTTCATCCTGAAAATTGACTCCCCTATATCGACATCGCCAGTTTATGGCATGAAGAATGGCTCAGACGTTGCGGTCGCATAACAGTAGACCAAATGAAAAGTTCAAACTCACCTCCATGTGCATCCCAGCTCACAAAGAAGTCATTGGAGAATCGGAGAAGCTTTGCTTTCAATTATGAGCAAGTAGCTTGAAGTCGGGTAGTAGGAAGAATGAACTCCAGTCGGCTAGGAATGAGTCCCATTACTTCTAATTAGGAACTCGACAAGGAAGGTCACTATACTGAGAAGATTAGAAATCAGACTTTGTTATTCAAGTTTTAGATGAGTAATCTAAATTAGTCAGCTTAATTGAAAGTTGTTTTGCTGCATCTCAGTAAAGGTAATTTTTTTGCTCCTTGATGCTTACAGATAATGTTGTCTAAGCTATTTAGTGTTTTAGATATGATTCTAAGGTGTCGGGATTTTGAAAATTACTAATTGATGAAGTTTTAGGGAAGAGAAACTCAATTATTTTGTCAAGTTACCACTTATTACGCGCGTAAAACGATCTTCGAGCGTTGCCAGGAATTACTAAAGTGCAAAACGAAATGCCCTTTCGAGTGAGACAGCAAAACAACTTCTAATTAAGCTTCTTACTAATTAGCTGACGGCACATTTGTCATCAAAATCTCGGACAACAAAGCGTGATTTCTAATATCTATGAGTCAATGTCATCCTCAAGTAATTGATACTAATAATGAAAGCCTTTGTTTGAGAACAAAAGCTTTGCTTTCGTATTCACCAGGGGATACAAAAGAAGAAACTACAAATTGGCGGATGTTTTCCTGTTTCTGCAAATTGTGATCTTTCTCACGAAAGGTCGTATTATCAGGTAGAAAGGAAAGCGTTGGGAATAACATGTTATTGAGGAAGAGAAGAGCTCAGAATGTCAATGCACATAATTTGATTGTAAAAACTATCGCCTAGCAACCTAAGGATGTATACTTTTCTATTTTTGCAGGCTGGCACAAGCAGTACCCTGATGAGCCGGCATTCAGTCCAAGCCCACTGCTCAACAAACTTGTCGACGCGGGGAAAACCGGCCGCAAGTCCGGAGAGGGTTTCTACAAGTACTAATTAGTTAACGAGTAAAATATTATATGGTTTATGTGTATTGAATAAACGTGTATTTTTTGTCCTTTTTCGGCGAGAAAGGCATGAAAAGGCGTTGATTGAAAGGATAGCCACATAAATGGAAATCAGGCCTTTTCTGAAGTTTTTTCAAAAATATTTTTGCTAAGCTTCTGAATATCCTTATTTATTTGAATGAAAAAAGCCTTTGATAATCAAAGCGAATTAGTTTTTTAATTCTGCTTGAGGCTTAGAGAGGCTAAGGATTAATTTAATAGCAAAGAATACTACCAAGATTTGGTAAAGCATTGATTCAAGCGAGACTGGACTGTTCACTGACCTGCGACGCTATTGTTACAAAAATAGTTATCAAATCTCTTTTTTGGCTTAAGCAGTAATGACAAAAAAATAAAATTGGACGCAAGGAATGAAAATAAAAGGAAAAGGAATGGATAAAAATCAAAAAGTTGAAATGGTATCGTGACAGCCAGGATCACGCGACAGATTGATGGACAAAAATTGATCCTCCTCCGTTTTTAAAAGCAAAATCCATCAAAGAAACTGTGAGAGCTTTTAAACCAACTTGCTTTCATCTTTCCCGATCGTGGAGGATTTTTACTTCTAAGCGCTATCAACATTAAAAACACACGCATAACTGGTTTCCTAGACTTTCAAGCTGGAATAAATTGGGCATGAGCTCCCACATAATTTTGACCTTGACAGGTTTCAATTAGACTTGAACTTGACAAAAATTAGAAAATTCGAAAAAAAAAAAAAGGAGCTCAAACTATGCATTTTGGGAGATATTCTGCCAGCTGGACCATACTGGAGGCAAGAAGCTTTAATCATAGCTTTCCAAACCTAAAATTCGAAAAAAAATTGACAAGAATTGGATGAAATGCATGGAAACCACTCCAATTGGAAATGACGCCGCATATTGGTTTTCTGAAGATTTGTAGGCTAATAATATTGGACCAGAACCAGGATGTTCTAATTGTAGGCTTCTTTTCCTCAAATGAAATGAAAGAAAAGACGATTCGAAAAATGTTGGATACTCCGGCGATTTTTTGGTCTGGCAATTTGTAATTTGAAATATTCGGTGAGATGTTTGAAGAGATGAACTTCGATAATGAGCAAATTTTTTGAATAGCCTGCACCTCATTCCACTGGAAAACGTGAGTCAAAGATAGTTTTCCTTATGCAATTTTTTTAAAATAATGAACTAGGAAACATGCATTTTGACCAGTTTCAAGCTGTGGCGCTGCAGCCTGGTGTATGCACACTTTTGTATAAAACACCCTTAGGTCATATTTTCAAAGCTCGAAGATATATGTTTTTGGCATAGTAAAACAATTTCTCAACCCGGAAAATGCAACATTTTTTCCTCAACACTTTGTTGAAAAACCTTCAACTTGATGCTTTCTGATGATCGAAAATCCTTTCGATCACACCATTTTCTTTTATTTTTAAATGGAGGAAAAACTTGTGGGTTTTAAGTGTCACATGGTTCGGGCTTTTAAAAACGCAAAAAAAAAAGAAAATGATAAATGGGTAAAAAGCTTTTAGGTAAAAATCTTTAAAATCCTTGAAAATATCGAAAATACTTCAAGATCGGCGATGATTGATCTGTGGAAAAAAATTCAGTCCTTGTGCACATAATTCAATACTTTTATCAAAACATCAAGTCATGTATAAAAATAAAGGAGATAGAAGAATATTCTGAGAAAATCGTAACGAATCCAAATATCGAAAATTTTATTCAACGTCCTGGTCCTGCTCATCAAAGTCAGCTTCATCGTCAGCGGTGGCTTCCTAAATATTTTTCATTTCTTTAGGATTTTTTTGAGAATTCATACTTGATACTGTTGATATTCGGAGACCAAATCGTTCATGTTACTCTCGGCTTCAGTGAATTCCATTTCGTCCATACCTTCGCCGGTATACCAATGGAGAAAAGCTTTACGGCGGAACATGGCTGAAACATTTTTTTGCTTGTCGGATTCATTCTATTTTAAAATTTTGGTGCACTGAAAATGGCTCTTGCATCCCATATGCGGACAGGCTGATATGAGCTTGCAACCGACCAGTAAGCGACTTGCGCCTTTGAAATCAAAAAGGTAAAACTTTGCTTTGAATTTCAAACTGTAGGATGATCTCAAGATTCGAGCATTTTCAAGCAAGAAAGAAAAGATTTTGAGTCAGTTTCAGTGCGAATATCTAACCATCCATCAGGCAATATTATCTTCATTATTCCCGTTTTTTCTCACCTGTGAATTGTTCAGAGATCCTCTTGAAGAGCTCCTGAATAGCGGTTGAGTTTCCAACAAATGTTGCGGCCATCTGTAATTTCTTCAGTTTTTCAAAATAGCAAAAGTCAACAATAACCTTCACTCCTCTTGGCGGAATATCACAAACGGCGGTTTTCACGTTATTAGGGATCCATTCGACAAAATACGATGAGTTCTTGTTTTGCACATTGAGCATCTGTTCATCGACTTCCTGAACAGCTCGATGTTCGATAAAAGTTGGAAAAAGGAGGTGAAATCACCTTCATGCTCATTCTCCCACGGAACATGGCAGCCACAGTAAGATAACGACCGTGGCGTGGGTCACAGGCGGCCATCATGTTTTTGGCGTCGAACATTTGTTGGGTTAGTTCAGGGACCGTCAATGATCTTCAATAAGTTGCATTTGATGACTTTACTGTTTCGAAAAATAATGGCTTTTTGAGGATAAAACTTTTATTAAACCAAGTAATTGATGCAGGTTGGTTCAGGCTATGGGGGATAAAATTCGACTTTTTTCGCTCTTCAGTTGTAATTTCGGGAGCCTACGGCGTTTTCAATCATTTAATCAATCTCATTGTTGATGATCCAATCATTTCCTTCGCTTCAAGCTCATTCGAGCCTTTAAGCCGAAAAATTCGACGAAGCAAGTTTTCTCATTTTTTCTGACATTAGAGGGCGATTTTTTTTCTGTGCCGTTTTTTGAAAATTTCATTCACCTGTACTGCTGACTTCCCCTCGAAGTCAGCGGGGCAAATCCAGGCATGAAAAAGTGGAGCCTTGGGAAAGGCACCATGTTAACCGCCAATTTGCGCAAGTCGGCATTCAGCTGCAACATTTCCCACGTCAGGAACTCAATTAACTGGTTTGGAGTACTTGTCCTGGGAACCGCAAACAGGTTGTTACGCCGCTCATCGTCATGGAGACCAGGTGGTTGAGGTCGCCATAAGTGGGAGTTGTGAGCTTGAGAGTGCGGAAGCAGATGTCGTAGAGGGCTTCGTTGTCGATGCAGAACGTCTCGTCCGTGTTCTCGACCAGTTGATGGACTGATAGGGTGGCGTTGTAGGGTTCGACGACCTTGAATTTGAAAAATGGGGGTCATGAATCAACATTTTCTGGCTTTAAGATGTTTTGTACATTTCTGAAAGGGTTTCCTGACTAAAAAACAAGGATAATCTAATCAATTTTGGCGGAGGAATCTCTGAAGAGTGGTCTGAAAATGCATTCGTTATAGTTTCTCGAACCTACAACCTGCCCAAGTTTGAAATTTTTTGACGACACTAGTCACAAATAATCTATTTTATTAGTTTTCGATAGTTTTCTCCAATTTTTGATTCTAATTATGATTAATAAAGCTTTTGTGTTTCTAAACAGGCTCACCAATATTTTCTTGACTCACCGTATCAGAAACTTTGGGACTAGGCACCACCGAAAAGGTGTTCATGATCCTGTCCGGATACTCTTCACGGATTTTCGAGATGAGAAGAGTTCCCATCCCAGATCCAGTGCCACCGCCCAAAGAGTGCGTCATTTGGAAACCCTGAATTTGAAAAAATCCAATCATTCAATTGAAATAGACTGACCTGAAGACAATCGCAGCTTTCAGCTTCTTTTCTGACCACATCCAGTACATTGTCGACTAATTCAGCTCCTTCTGTGTAATGACCTTTCGCCCAGTTGTTACCCGCTCCGGATTGACCTAGGAAACACGTTTGGAAAGATTTTGAAGGATACTAACCGAAAACAAAGTTATCAGGACGGAAAAGCTGTCCGAACGGTCCAGCTCTCACGGAGTCCATGGTTCCAGGCTCCAAATCAACAAGGCAGGCTCGAGGAACGTATTTCCCACCTGTACAAAAAAGAAGGGTCAAAAAAGGTGAAGGGAAGCCTTACCGCTCGCTTCATTGTAGTAGACGTTGATCCTCTCTAATTGGAGGTCAGAATCTCCGTTGTAGGAACCCGTCGGATCGATTCCATGCTCATCGGAGATCACTTCCCAGAACTGAGATTAATTTTTCATTACTGCCTGATTCAATTGATTTAGAGCATCAAATTAAAAGGGGAAATAAATGTCAAGTGAGTTTACACAAAATAGTTATTTCAGTAAATTCTCACGAGTTTTTAGTTGTGAACAAACTTTCCTGTTTCAAAATGATTTTTGCAAGGATTAACAGACTATTGAGAATAAATTTGATTGAAAATTTGCTAAAAAAAGAGTGTGATAAACCTTTGATTTCTCAAATGAGTTTGGTAGGGATTTTATTCTGATTCGGAATGAAATTCTTTCAATAGCTGGAAAAAAATCAGAATGATCAGAAAGCTTTTGTAAAACTGTTATCATTAGAATTTTCGAGAAACCTAAAAATTAAAAAAATGATAACTTTTTGATTCAAGTTATAATTTCAAGAATTGAAATTCACCTTGGCCCCTGATCTGGTTACCGCACTGGCCGGCTTGAATGTGGACAATCTCACGCATTCTGCAAAGTCCTTATTCGGTCAACATTGATAAAAGGGCAATCAGAGATGAATGGCGTGTTGAAAAGAAGAAAAGAAGAGGGGATTTTCGTATAATGGCAGGCAGAAATGAGCCTCGGCAGGTGCCGCTCCTGGCCTCCTGAATCGATGTACGACGCCATGGTTACGCGACGACCACTGCCAGGTTTCCTAATCGACCTGAACCCCGTAATTTCCGTCGCTCTTCGATTATGAGATTTATGCGAGAATTCCTGGATGAGAGGGAAGTAGAAAAAAAACAAGAAGAGGTTTTGGAATTCAGATCCTTCTCATTATCAGATATCAGTGAGATGATCTTGATATTTTCCACTCACCATTGACTCAAGAGTTTTTTTTTTAATTTTTCACACGGTTAGCTCTTTTTTCTATGCGGAAAGATTGAGGTAGGACCCCACATAGCAAATAAAAAGTAATTTTTGTTTTGAACCTCGAATTTTGAATTTGAAATAAAAGCTTGAAGAAAACTAGAAAAAGGGAAAAAAAGTGCATTTTCCTGAATTCAAAATCTTCCTCCAATCTATAGCTATTTTTTTCCGATCAAACATACAAGTTTAACAGTAAAAAAAGACTTTATTATTAATAAGTTACAGAATCCGGGAAAAAATCACAAATTACAAACAAAGTAGATTATCACAAAAGTCGATAGTGGGATGGAAAGTTGGGCACTGGTTGAAAATAAATAAGATTTTCTCGAATCACAAAAAATTCTTTAGCGACCTCTAAGTATGGGATAAACCGTCAAAAAATAAATAATTAAAAAAATTTTGGATTAAAATCAGCCTCTCCAGAATCGGTAGAAGGCGTACATGAATACACAGCAAATGACACAGCCGATAAGGAAAAGAACCCAATCTTCACGGACCCGTCGATCAATAATTTGTAGAGTTGTGTTGGATAATCCAAGCTAAAAAATTTGAATGACATTAAGAAAAAATCAGAAAAAAAACCAACCGCTCCACCAATGTCAAGAATTTTCCTTCTGACGCCTCGAATGTTCATATGTTGAGATCGGAGGCTTTCTAAGACCGCCGTTCCTTGGCTCAGTAGCTGATCAACCTGAATAGAAGAATGCTTTTTTTCAACTTGATAAGTTTGCGAACCCCATTATGAGAAGATTGGAGTCGGTCGTTCAGTTGAAGCTCATGGTCTCCCATGGAAAGAGCCGTTGATTCGTTCGGTCGGAATCTGGAACATTTGAAGGGATTTTTTTGATGGTGTTTTACAACTTTTAACAATAATTTAAAGCATAGAAATGAAATTTGAATGATGATTAATCAGCCATGAAGCCTCAGCGCATTTGAGAAAAGATTTATATTTTTTCCTCGTCTAAAGCTTGCCTTTTCAAATCAATAAAAACTCTTAAGAGCTTCTCCACAAAAATTCTACTGGCCTGATTTCAATTTTTCGGAGCACTTTCTAAAGCCAAATTTAATAATACATTCGTTTTATGCAATTTTTCTGCTTATTAAAGGCGCATATCATACTAAGACTGTCGTCAAAAACTCTTCCCAAAACAAACCTTTGCTTCAGAAGCTCGTCCCTTTCACTTGCCGCCCTCCACTTCGACGTCATTTTTGCGTGAACATTTGTTGCCGCCAGTTGAACATTGTTCGCATCAGCTTTTAGTTGGTCCACTCGCATTCGAGCCTAAAAATATTTTCGATAAACTTGCTTTCAAAGAAAAAAATTATTTACCGCTTGGCGACGATTTGGAGGTTCCCGGGACACGTAATCGTCGAGTCGGCTGCAGGAAGATTCAAGCTCTCTGAAAAAAAGATCTTGTGGCCTATTCATGAAAAATTTCTAGTTTTTTTGAAGAGATTCCCTTCAATAAAATCAAAAATCTGTTACTACTTGTCAGGAAATTAATTTGATTGAAAAATCCATCCGCCACTTCTCATTTAGAGAAACCTCCGAGTTTTTTTATTTCACTGGTACATAATTATAAGATAAACTCTTCAAAGTTTTTTTCAAGCCGGCAATAAATTAAATACTCACCTCAATTGGGCATGCATCGTCTGCATAATCGACTGAGCTTCATTTTCATCCAAACATCTTTCCAACCGGCCAAGCTCAAAATGTATATGATGGAGCTTCGCGTTTGTCTCATGGTACAAACGGTCCATACCTGAAAAATCAACAAAAATCTCTAAAAATAAGTAAGATAAATCGAATTTTCGAAATTAAAAAAGGTGTAATGGGAATTTGAAACACAGGAAAGTGAAGTCGAAAATGTGATAGCTTTTTTTTAAAATTTCATTAAGGTTCGTTAAAAGTTTAAAAATTCAAATCTGAAACTGGTCGAAAAATACTGAAAAACAATTAAAGAGCAAAAGTTCCAACATGCGATAAGAGGCGTGTCAAAAGAATTGCGCAGCAGTTGCGTTATTGCGGCGCGGTAACCTTGCTCTCTCCCTTCACCACGTTCTATACTTTTTTGCTTGTCTATTTTGTGATATATTTGTTTTAAGGTAACTTTTTAGTGATTTATAATGATGAATAGTTTATTCAACACAGAAAAACATGGATTTCACGGGAATTTCAAAAATTTTGTTTTTCAAGTCACGGGTCGATTTTTATGGGTTGGAAGCGTATCAGTGCCTTTTTTTTGTTTTTAGCAGTTTTCACATTTTGTTTAGGGTTTTTAAATTTTGTTTGCGAAAACCATTGAACTGCTAAATGGCCATCCTCAAATGGGAAACTTTATTTCTATTTCTAAGCTTAATGATTCCCTTTTTTTGTGTTTTTGGATTTTCCACTTATATTTAGGTTTGCTTTGATGTTCCTTCTCGTTTTGAAACTTGCCAGGGGTGGCTTAGAACTTGTAAAATCATCCGAAGAAATTTTTCTGGATTAAATTATTGGAACACAGCATAATAAAACTCAATAAAGTTGAGGGGATTTTTTCCGTTTTCAGAATAGAATTAGTATATTCTTATTATTCATTTTTTCCATAATATATATCTTCCTCATCCTCTAATTCGCAGCCGAATATTATGCGCCACTCATATCTTAACCTCAATCTCCATCGTCAAAGTGTTGCATTTTCAGGCCTGCGCGGGCGGTCGATTGTATCGCCGAACTCCAGATGGCCCCCGAAACGAAAAGTGGTAAGTATTCAACAAAAGTCTTAATTCAATTATTAGTGGGAACTTTCAGACACAATGTTTGACACATTGGCTAAGAGAGTGGATGGTATGAGGACGCAATGGAGAAAAGGGAATTTGGCATCGGCTTTGGAACTGATCGATGCGATTATTCGAGACGTTCAGTTGAACACGATGTTGGATACAACGGCTGCTAGGAGGGATCCTAGAAAGGTTTAAATTTTTTTCGCTTGGATTTTAATGACATTGAATCTTTCCAAAACCTTTGATAAGATAAAGTTATGTTGAAGGAATTTTCCTAATTTTATGATTTGTGTTCAATAGTTTTCCAAATTTGAGTTGAATGAACTACTGGGCGATAAATTTGTAAACTGTGAGCTTTTGTGTCAAAAATATCCAAAAGAATTTCTCTTCCGGATTTCGTGAGTTTTCAGCGGCAAAAATCGGAGTTTTAGAGCATTGAAATCCACAAGTTCTACCTTTGATCTATCGAAAAATTATCATCAAAATATATTCTTAGGATCTAAGCCATGCTGCCGTTGGATCATATTCAATTTCTTTAAAAAAATAAAAAGGAAAGGTTTTTTTTTTCAGCAATTCCTGACAATGTTGGAGACTGAAAGAAGGCAGATCAACACTGAAGTCAATTCGAAAAAGTAAGAATCTTATTTTTTACAAGATTACTCATCTTTTTTTCAAGGAACGATAGAGTTGATGCTCAGCGGAATAGTCCTAGTGATCCTCCAGCAGATCCCGACGTTTGGTCTCCTCCTCCTCCTCGGCCTACTTCAGCTCATTCTAAGAGGATTCCTGAGCCCGCTCCTAAGGTTTTTCAATTGGATATCAACTAGCATGAGCTCTCATTCTGAAAAAGAAATATAAACTTCAGAACGTGAAGCCAACGACTACAACAAAAGGAAGAGCCTCGGTCTCAAGTACTACAAATCAAGCGGCTAAGAAAAAAGCCAGGACGCCGTCTTCAAATGAACAGTATGCTTTTTAAAATCTTTTGAGGGGAAAAATCTGCTTAGGCCTCCAACGGATGGAGATCCAGATAAGGGATCGTCGGAGAACCCTGAAGGAAAATCAGAATTCGACGGGAGCGCATATGACTCGGTGAGAATATAACTTCTTTGAGACGTCAAGGAAATACTTATTTTTGGAGTTAATTGACATGGATAGTGACCTGAGAAAATGAAGCAGTTTTATCTGTAATAAACGTAGAATTTTTAAAAATGTTTCCAGGAGCTCGTTCGTGCAATCGAGAGCACCATGACACGGTCCAGCGCCCAGGTTTCAAAGTTTCTATTACTCGCAAACGTAAAAGAGTTAAGAACACCTCCTGGGACAGTATTGCCGGCTTACACGATGCTAAACAACTCCTGACAGAAACTGTTATCCTTCCCGCTTTGATTCCTCATTTCTTCAAGGTTCAAAAATCTTAAGTTTATAGTCACTTTCCTATTTCAGGGGATCCGGCGTCCCTGGCGAGCCGTTTGTATGGTTGGCCCTCCGGGTACCGGCAAAACAATGATGGCCAAAGCTGTTTCATATGAATGCAAGACCACGTTTTTTTGTGTTTCCTGTGGAGACTTGGCTAGCAAATGGCGTGGCGATGCGGAGAAGATGGTCAAGTTGCTGTTTGAAATGGCGAGATTCCACGCTCCATCGACAATTTTTATTGATGAGATCGATACGATCGGATCTCAACGTGGTGGAGCCAATGAGCACGAAGCCAGTCGTCGGTTAGCTTTTCTCAAGTTCCGAAAAACGTCCAAAAACTTTTTTAGCTCAGCTCATTAATAAGCCTGCCAGGCTCTACGATGACCAATTTTTGGGCAAAGTATATAAATAAAAACAATATTTCAGCCTGAAAGCCCAACTTTTGGTTGAAATGGACGGCTTTGCTGGTGAAGATTCGGATAAGAGAGTTCTTATCCTTGCCGCCACCAACTTCCCATGGAACTTGGGTTTCGTTTTCTGTTATTTTTCCTAGAAAATGATTGAAAATTCTCAGACGAAGCTCTGAGACGCCGTTTCGAAAAACGTATCTACATCCCCTTGCCGGACCAGGCTGCTCGACGATCTTTGGTGGAACAATGCATGAAAGAGGTGACTTTCCTGTTTTAGAATGTTTTAGAAGCTTAGAAACTTTACAGAAAGTATTCTTTCTGGAAAATCTCTAGTCCTTCCAAACCATCTGAAAATTAAATAATTTATACCAAAACCAACTTTACAGGTAAATGTTGCGGACGATGTCGATTTGAACGTGATCGCCGAGAAACTCGACGGATATTCTGGGGCGGATATCGTTAATGTTTGTCGCACCGCCGCCATCATGATTCTAAGAAGGTTTTAAAATTTTTCTAAGTTTCTCATTAGATTCTGGAATTTTCAGGCTATCCGTTGGCAGGAGAACAATCGAAATCGCCATGATACCCAAGGAAGAGTTTGATCAGCCGATTTCTGCCGACGATTTCGAGCAGGCCATCCGGACTACGAGTTCCTCTGTTAATAGGGTAGGTTTTTTTTTCCTTCAACCATATATTTGTCATACGAAAATAGTCGCTATAACATACCTTTTTTTCGAAAATGGTACCTATTCCTAAAACTCTACACAAAAAGGTGAGATAGAACTCTTTGCACTGAACTTCAAATCATGCCTTTATTTCCTATAAAATCCCTTCGCGCGAAAGTAGTTTTCAGTCCGACGCTTGAAAAATTAAAAATTCAGGCTTCTCTGCTTGAAAGCCACGGATTGAGCCGAATTTTTCATTTTTTACACAAACCCGTCTTCTAAAATTCCTGATTTTCAGGAAAGCCTGGCCAAGTACGAGGAATGGATCAACGAGTTCGGATCTGTATAATGGTTTGAGTAGTTCTGCAATTTCGTGTATATTTTGTCCAACTTTGTGCAATTTGATACTGATTTGATGTCATACTGATTTTGATTCTTCTATGTATATACTTTTTGCTTTATTTAACTTTTTTTCGATTATGGGAGAAATGTATTTGGAGAGGAAAAATTTTTAGCGTGTGCTTTCATGATTATGATTCGAATGTAAAAATATTATGTTCATTTTGTGAAAAGTTTGCATGCCCCTGATTCATAATAATATTTTTTTTGATTTGATTTGATTTGATTGGAAGGACATGTGTTAATACAAAGGAAATGGAAAAGATTCAGAGCTCGGCAACAATTTATTGCGGGTCCTTTGAACTTTCGAGAACGGGTGAAAATAAAGAGGCCTCTAAAAAAAAATGAAATCATGAAAATTCTCTCATGAAATCACTTTTTCGATTGGAGATGGAAACAAAAAAATAAGTGTTGCGCCCGACCTGGCTCGGGTTCTGAAAGAAAGTACATTCCAACCAGTTCAACAAACTTTTACTCGGGTCTTCGACGGTGCAAAATATTGATATGTCTTGAATTTACAATAAAATTGAGAACTCTGTAAAATAAACTGATTTTCCTTCGAGGAAAATGGAACTTAGAGTAAAAAGGGAAAAATCAGTTCACTGCAATGATTGCTCTAGTTCAAAATGTTCAAGAAGGGTTTTCAGAAGGGAAAAACGGTTATTCTGAAAAGGGTCGTTTTTTGATATGCCAAGTTCATATTTCAGTCTTTTTGAAAATTTTGCAGAATACTCAGCTATTTTAAAAAAAATATGACTAATCCAAGCGCTCTCAGAAAAAAAAAAAGAAGAATTTGAATCTATTTAACTTCCAACTGGACCACAAAAATAGCCCCAAGGTCATCAAAATAATATTGCTCGTTCTCCAAGTTTTCCAATAGCTTTTTTTGCGCGTATCTTGTTTCCGGATCGCAAAAGATGATGATTTCCGGCAATGTTACACAATCGGGCAGCTGAACAGATAAATCAGAACCCCGAAGCTTTTCGCTTCTTTTTATGAAATTCCCCCATTTCTCCGACAATTTCACCCTCTTTTTTTATTTGCTTCATTTTATTGAATTTCGAAAGTTATTCCGAGAAAACAGAGAAAAAGCCATTTTATGAGGTCTCGGAGGCAAATGGAAAAGATTGAAAGTTTTCCGAATTTCACAATTTTGTGACTCATCCATTTGGCGCTCTTTCCAAAACCAGTTCAATAATTTTTTTTCTCCTTCAAATGTAGTAATCATTTTTTTGCTGAAAAAACAAAAACAGAAAAAACCAACCAACTATTTGGTTTCCATCGGCTAACAAAGCAAACAAATCTGCCTCGAATCCACATTTTTTTTTGCTTTTTGTTCTTCTATCTTTCTTCTCTTTTCTCCTTTTTCCTATCGATTGCGACCAGGCATTGATATCAGTTTTCAGGAACTTATCGTTTTCTGTAGAAAAATGAATTTTAATTTTTGCTATTTCTTCAGGGGTTCAAAAGCTCTCACCGGGCAGAGGACTTTCGAGTAAAGTTTTTTTCAGCTGTTAGATGACATTTCTGTTTCATATTTTTTACTTCTACTTCTTAAAACTAATCAAGAAGTTGCGGAAAACGTAAAAAGGCGTCATGGCGACGGCAGATAAGCAAAATGGAGCGTGTTTCCTGAAGTTTCCCGCTTCCTGCCACCTCGTTAATCGCTTATGACATGTTCTCTCCTTTTGTGACCGTTACAATGCCTTCATTCGTCTTCTTCATTTTCGTTTTTGTCTTCTCGAACGCTCGGAATCGGTTCATTGCAAGGTTATTTTCCAAGCGATGTTGGCTTGGAATCGCAAATTGTTCTCCTTGATGAAAATTTTCTATTAATTCATTTGTTACGGATCTTTCAGAGAGGTTTTTCACTAATTAGATCGAAGTTCTCAAAATTTTCGCAGAGGATCACTTTGAGGCCTGCCGACTGCAGATCAGTGGAATATTTTGATCAGTTCTTTCTTCCAATCAAGCTCGGAACACTAAAAACCCACGTTTTTCAAAAGAATTATTAACTTGTTGATCTTGAACATGACTAGTAAGAAGAAATTATTTTCTGGTTCTGTTTTGAAAAACCTTAAAGTTACAGCAAGACAAAGTTTTATTAAGTTTGACGTCATTCGTTGGGATTTCTCCCCATTCGATAGCCAAATTTTCAATTTAAAAAAAACTGAGACTCAGTTGTACAACATTTTAAATGAGAAGATGTTCATCCTTCCCCTATTTTTAGCGTTCCTCAGAATATCCCCTATACATCTTTGAGTCGCAGCTTCTCTTCCATTTGGCTCAGTTTCACATGCAATTCGCTCAGTCTAATGGCCAATAAAACGATGAAAAAGTGACACGCTTTTAAAGTGCGGAGGGAATCGACGCCGCCGCGTGTTTTCAGCGTAAATACGCAATTTCTGGCCGCCTGAATTGAGAACTCCTCGAGTGTGGCAACATCGGACTATTGTGTCCATTTTTCTTCCCGACAACGACCTGCGTTTATGTAACCTCAATCGGTGTCTATTACTCAGCCGAGGAGATTTAGTTCAGTCATTAGGAGCTTGGAAGAGTAGAGGCAAATATTATAAAGATCTTGAGGCAAGTAAATTCTCTCTTCTTTGGTATTGTTGAAGTGAAATCTCCGAGAGCCTTTTCCAATAGAAGTTGCTAAAAAACTATGAAAAAAAAAACGATTGAACAGCAAAAAATCTTTCATGATTTCGCTGTTTCACATTGCAAAAAAAAGCTTCAAAATTTCGTACCTAAGATCTAAATGATTGAAAGATGACTTTTCTGCGTTATCCATATTATTTCTCACCCCGACTGCATTTTTTTTTTCGCAATGGGTCATGAAACATCCCGCCCTTTTGCTCCATTTCGCGACGTCTTCAGTCAATTCGAAGATGCTGAGTACCCTCATTTCCAACCCTAGAAAAATGAACTTCTTGAGGAAAGTTCGTTTTTTTCTTTTTAGATATTTTGGTCATTTTAGGGTGTTTTTTTCTTATTGAATCATCTTGTATGGAAGGCTTAAAAATGTCACTTTCAACCCATGAGCCGCGTGAAAAACGATTTTTTAAAAGAATCGAAATTTTTTTACTTAATTATTTTCAAATAGGAGGGAAGTATGGCTTCCTTCGGCTATTGAAGTCGAAGAAAACCCATTTCAGTAGTATTTCCATGATTTGCATGTTTTCTCCCTGGAGGCTTCTGCCTTTCAGCCCCTGCATTTATGTCTTCCTCTTTCCATCAGACCCTTTTTTTCTCATCCATCGCCCAAAGAGTTGACCAAAACAAAGGCTCCTCCGTTCTCCCATTTTTTTTTCTCAATTTTTTATTTTGAGCCCAAAAAAACTTCCTGTGGGATCCGACCACTTTTTTCCACCTCCATGAATAATTTGCAAACAGAGAACGCTCCACGCAGTTTCTCTCTGATTCATTCTGAACCAGCTCTTCTGAAACACTTCCAAACTTTCGTTTTCAACTGTAGTCAATGGGAAAAATGCTTTTTTTTTGATGGTATGAAAGAAAAGAGAAATGAAAACCTGAGAAAAAAAATTGAGAATATGAACAGTTATTTTCGAGAATACGGATTTGAAAAAAATTGTTTTTATAGTCGAAGTTTCCCTTTTTTTTGATGTTTCACGTTTTTTTCCTATGCAAAAAAAGTAACTGCAAATCTTAATTCCTTGATGAATTGAAAAAATTGAATTGATAAATTTTAAAAAAATTTCTCCTCAAAAAAATGATCAGAACCAATTCATTTAATGTTTTATGGCTTCTTGAGCTTATTTATGCGAGTTTCCTGCTTCAAAGTTTAAAAAATGAGAACACAAAGTGTAAACAAAATTGAAACTTTTGAGAGTTTTCTCATGAAGTCATCATAGTCTTTCGAGGGGCTCTATCAGTTTCATGTTGCAGCCGCAAAAAAAAACATAAAAGAGCCCCGTTGTTGGCATTATGTTGTGGCTCATTTGAGTCGCCGAAAAGGCTGCCAATTGTTGGAGGATGCGCGGTCGGCAATTCGTTTAGAGACCTCATTTGTGCCAACCCATGTTCTGTCCGCCTTGTTGCCCCAAAGAATTGCTTGCCATTTGTACAGAGTTCATTCCTCTGGCGCAGTTGTGCTTTAAAAGAGATCTCTTTGTTTCGAAGCAACTTTTTTCGATAATTTTGCAATTTTCTTGAAATTTTCTCGTACCTCTTTGATATACTCTGCCGACGAATTTTTAGATTTTAAAAACAAAGCTTCATATTTAGCTTTCAGATGAAATATCTATTTCAAAATATATGAGTTTATACCATTTTTGGCAATCAAAATCTTTCGATGACTGTTCTATAGTCGATGTGCCACAAGTTGAAATTTCATGGAACGACACTCCGCTGTTTCGTTCGATTTGTGCGGTAGCGCGCTTTTTGCGAATTTGCCAACCTCGGCCACGCTAATTTTTTTGATTTCAATCTTCATTTTATAAGCCACTCACTTTCTGAAAAAAATCCATTAACAACTGCGAAAAAAACAGAAAAACGATGAAAACATTAAAACATGGCTTTAACAAAAACACACTTTTTTTATCCCTCTTTTCGAGGAAGATCATGAAATTTACTGTGTTCTTTCGTTTACATTTGTACAACGCAATCTTTTTCAACGATTATAACACATTTAAAAGAAATAAAACAATTAAAAAACGATCAAAATTAGAATTAAAACCAAAAAAATTAGCGTAGCCGAAGTTGGCAAATTCGCAAGATGCGCGCTACCGCACAAATCGAAACAGCGGAGTGTCGTTCCATGAAATTTCAACTTGTGGCACATCGACTATATCAAAAATTGTTTTTACCTATAAAAATAATTTTTTTCCTGTTTCGTAGTTTTTTTCATGAAAAAAATGTCTGAAAGTGTCCTTCTAAAAAAATTACAGGAAAAAAATTTGAAAAAAAGAAATTACCAGATTTTGTCCGGTGATCGGTGATTATCCTATCAATAACATATCACCAAAAACAACGTTCACCTCGAGAGGCGTTTGTTTTGAAAAAAAATTCACTCCTCGTTGCAAAAGGAACAGAAAAAAACGTGTTTGGTCGCGTCTCTTTCTCTCTCTTGTCTATTCAATGTGTTCTCGGGTTGTAAAAGTCAAAGTAGCCCTCTTCATGTTCATGGTTCACAGTTTTTTTTTTGAGAATGGGAAGCGATGCGGTGTGAAAGAGAGAAGTCAATTAGTGAGGATTTTTTTTCTCTCGTTTTTCCAAAATTTCATTGATGCTATTTCTAACCAGAAAGGACTTTCAAAAATTGAGATTTTTCTGATGTTTTTCATCTTATTTCTTTTCGATGAGTTTCTGAATTTTATCCGATTTTCTGGAATTATTCAATAGAACTTACTCATTGGGAGCGATTTTTTTTATCTCATCAAAATCGGGTGAAGCTCTGCATTTAATCTTATTTGAGAAATAAAGGTTACATTTCGCTTTCATTCTTCTCAGCAATCGTCCTCTTTTTATCCACTCCATAAACACATTTTTTTTCCACGCGTTTTCTAATAGAATTCTCTCATTTCCCATTTGTTTCATTATCGACTCACCGAGTGACGCTCGGATTTTTTTGTGTATGCTCGCGGCGATGACTATCAAGTTTCAGTGTGAATGGCGCGGTAGCTTCCTGCATTCCGTGATGTGGCAGTCCGAGCAAGAAGTCAACAATTCTGCCGGCCCTTCGAGATCTTCAAACGGAAAGTCGAAGCCGACGAAACATGCGTCCAGCACTACTAACTTGGCGCGAAGCCAAAGCTCGACGTCGCTTCTGAAAAGGGCGATCAGCTTCCAGGTTCGTTCTTAGTTTACTTGAAAATTTTCGCGCTTCGAGAAAAAAAATCGTTTTGCTCTAGCCTCTAACCTACACATAGTGATATGTTATCAATGGAATTATTGTTCCTCTTTTTTCGCCGCTAAGTGGAATGCCTTGGCAATCTCAAAAACGTCTTGATACTAATACTCTGAAAGATAGACTTCGGGAAAAGGTATATTTTTCATAAGTGAACTATATATCAAGTGCAAACCATTCTGGTGTTTTCATGAAATTTCGAATTTTTGGATCTTTTCACTTTATTTTTTGACATTAGAAGACTGTCAGAGAAAATTCTTCCTCCTTTTATCGTTAAAAAAAATTATTTTAGAAGTTTTCATCAAATCTCGAGATTGCCTTGACTTCGCAGAAAAACAAGTTTTCGAAAATATCCCATATAAGTCATTTTAGGTCGGGCTCGTTCAAATTTTCATAAAAAAACAGAAAAAAATATTCAGAACCTTTACTTTTTCGAATTGATTTGGAGATCTTCTTATCAACTTATTTTTCTCAGTTTTTGTCAAGAAACACTGAAAGTGTGGTGGATCGGGAGAAACGGGCATTTATCAAGATGCGGTACAAGGACATCTCGAAATACGTCATATGGCCGTCATGCAGGCTGCCTGATCAGAAAGATTTTCCGGTAACAATTATTTTTTCAGTCAAAGAGAGCTTTTTTCGATATCCTAGATATTCCAGCGCGTAAATGATAACGTTTTTAGATTGCTCTTTTGGGCAGATTTCAACCAAAAACCCAATAAAAACGTTCAGAAGAACCCTCCTCTGGTGCCAACGTCTCCAAAAGATCCACGAACAGTCCTTCTCCAACCTGAGCTTGAAGATCACCGCTCTCCCTACTTACCTTGCACAATTAACCACGTTTTACGGTCCGACTCGGAAGATTCCAGTGATGCGGAGCAAGTCTTAGAAATGACCAGGTGTGCCTTACCTTTTTGAAAATATGCTACTTTTTTTTGCAGATGCTCCACGCCGGAGAACAACTGAAAACGGCACACATTCCTCTCAGCGGGTGAAAAATCACTACCAATATCACTTTACCATTTCATCAACCGCATATTGCTCTGTTTTCCCTGTGATATGAATTTTAATCTTGAAATGAAAGTTTATTGCAGAAGAAGCTGATGAGTTAACAAATGCAAGCAGTAAAAATTAACTGGATTGGAAGGAGATCGTGTGAAACGGGAATATTATCTTTAATACTTGCGGCTTCTACGCTTCCTGAGGTTACGTGCGGGAGTGTCAGCAATCAGGGAGTTCGGGGAAAGCACTTTTTTCTCCTGCTCCTCAACTTTTTTGGTCACAACAACTTTCTGAATTTGGGGCTGAGGTTGAGCTGAAGGTTGAGGCTTCTGAGCACTTTGTTTCAGGTTCTGCTGCTGTTTCAAGGTGGCGGGAGTGTTTTTCTTGGAGCTTGCAGGCTTGGGAGTCACGAAGTTTCCTCTGAATCGAGGAGACTCGTAAGGATCCGAGTAGAAGGGCTCGGGATGAGTGGAAAGTCTGCCATGATTGTCCTCGTAGTAGCGCTCGTCAATCTGAAAATTGGGTTTTAAGGATAGAAGTTAAAAGTTCATGCAGGTGAGGTAAACATGCAAAAAAGAAAGGCGAAAAAGTTTCAAGTAGGCACTTTTATTGACACGGAAACATGTAGAAAGACGCACAAAACACGTAAAATTAGTTAGTTTTGACCTTTTTCTTGCCGTTTGTGAGAGAAGTCGTATCTTGACGCTCAATGGTCTTCACCACACGTTTGCGGAGCTCCTGGAATCGGAAAAAATTGAGAAATATTTCATTTACCCATTGATTTCGGTACTTCACCCTGAACCGACATTTCTTCTATTTTTGTCTTTCTCACCTTAACGGGATCAATGGGAGTCGGACCAGATCGAGCAGCAACTTGATACCAAATCCAACCGTAAAGGATGCAAATTCCCCTAAATTCTCGACTTTTGAACAGATTTTGAATAGGATTTCAAACCAAATAATAGTGATATACTCGGCCCGATTCTCATAGTCCGTTCCACAAACGGCGTACCATTCAAGCGGCTGTCCCGGCTCAGTCTGGAAATTTCATGCTCAAAAATAAATCTGAAGTTGAGCTATTACCGGTTTCGGAAGAGCGCCTCCGGGAATGCAATGGAAGTCAATGTATTTCTCATCGAAGTTGGTCGTGCAAAAGTACTTTTTCTTCTCGAGGACCTTTAAAATTCTGGTTTTTTGACAGAAAAACGTTTGAAAACTAACCATTCCGGTTGGAGTTTGCACTTTTTGGGTTTCATTGCAAGGTCCGATCGGTTGATGCAAGCCGTCGCTGACAATGTTCAGAGGGTCTGTGATGAGCACAGCAACCATGAAGAACATATATTCCAGTCCGATGGCACAGGCCAGCTCATCGAACCAGTATTTGTTACCTGAAAACTTTAGATTAGAATAAATTTGAGAGAAAGAATTTACCGGCTCGAGCCAAGGGGTTACGGTTATTCCTGTCGGCCGTGAAGACAATGAGAATGTAGATTGACAGGAAAAGAATAGTAGTGTATTCAGTGTGGACCTGAAAAATCATCTTTTGATGCTGACTTGCTTTGACTTTAGATCCTTGGTCTTTTGCAAGTATCAGTCATTTTTTGGAAATTTCTCACAGCGGAAGCTGTTGCAAGTCGGGCGCAAGTCAAGTCCTTTCTCATTGGACCACTGTGTTTCACACAAACCTTGTAAATGTCATGAAGTGGATGGTAGAGCAAAGCGAATTGGATAGTTCCTAGCCAGAAGGCGCCCATGCCGGCGACAAAGACGCAAATGATTTCCCGTGGAAGTCTGAAGCACTTTGAGAAATTAATTTTTTTTCAATTTCTAAAATATGCACCTCCTCCAGTCGTACTCCTTTGAAACAAGGAGATATCGACTGCCTCTCAGAAGCCAGGTGAAGGAGCAGGCAAAAGAAGCGTGGAAGTAGTAGGAGTTCCATGGCACCCAGTTCATTCTGAACTGTCTTTTATAGATCTTTAAGGTATAATAAGGTACCTGTCAAAAATATTCGGGTCGGTATCGTGCCAAGTCCACCAGACCAGCTTGATTCCCATGATATCGTAAGGCATATCGAGCATGACTGCTCCAAGACCGACTGCTGGACCTTCAGCCCACCAAGGAAGATGCAATCTGAATTTTTTTCTAAAGTTTTTTTCTATTCACAAAAAGCTTAAAGAAATTTTAAAGACACATAAAAAAACTTTGGGTCATAATTGGCCCAATCGCGACACCCGTTGGATGTCCCTTGCTCATAAAAATTTTGCTTCCTCATATTTGAATGACCGAGATAACATTTAAAATAGTTCAAAAGCAATTTAACGAAGGTGCGCCCGACCAAAAACTACTTGCGCAAGACAAAAAAATTTCTCATGATTTTTCGGCTTTACCTGCTTAATTTTTAACCTGTGACCTAAGGGTTCCAATCCTAAGAGATTATAAAATACAATTAGCTAATGAGACGAATTGAAAATCCCGAAAAAAGAAACCTTTTAGCCATAACGAATGCGGTGTAGTCGAACATGTGATAGATTCCGATGAGGATGTAAAGCGGGGCACGAGCGCCGAAGAAAGTCAGAATTCCCTGAAAAAATTCAATTTCTTTAAAGGCTACTGAAACTTTTATTACTTGAGCCTGCCAGAAGTTGTCCATGTCTGGGATCCAATAGCAAAGATTTTCCACATTTAGAGCGTGGATGAGGATTCCGAACCAAACGAGGACGTACCTCGTCCCGTGGCGCCAGGCTAAAAGTTCATTTATTTTTAACTCTGTTAGCAATTTGTGACTATTCGATAGGCTATATAATAATATCTCACCATGGCAGAAAGTCAAGAACGCCAGAAAGAAGAAAAGAAGCTCTCCAAATAGAAAGGAAGTATGGTTTTCGAAGATTTTCCAAGGATCTTGGTACTTGCAGGCCCAGTCGGCTAGCTGAAAAATTTCTTTATTAAAAAATTAACTTTTTATAGCCATAGTTTGTTAGGCTGAAGGAATTGGTTTTTTTTATATTTAGTGAAACAGGGAACAGAGAGAAGGTATTTAGAAAACGACAGGCTAGGAAAATAGTGTCGGTTCTGTATACAATTGTTGCTAAGGGAAAAAAATTTTTTCTGGTGAAACCATAAGAAGAAAAAAGACTCACGCCAACAATGTGAAGAGCCCGTTGACCCCAGAGTTTCCTAGTCTCTTCGCTGACTTCGAATGGAAGATTGTTAAATACATACCTATCTAGTATGTAATCCATACTGGATTACTACCTGGAAGAAAAAAAATCAGAGTGTTTGATGAAAAACGAAAACGAGAGCGACAGGACAGGTCCATATTTCAAAAAATTGTGATTGGCGCCATTTTGAGGGACGCGCGAGGTGAGACAAGAGGAGAGCCAGAGAGAAAAGGGGTCGTCTGGCGTTCCGACGCCGTATGAGCACAATTACGGCTCCCCTATCTGAATATACTTTGAGCACGAAAACTATTAGTTTCCAAAAGAATCTGAGGTGAATTTCTGGAAACTTCTGATCGAAGTTCCTTTCTGCACTTGAAAGGCAAAAGAAAAACTGTCACAAATAAATTAATTTTCTATATTTTTGAGAAAAAAATTCTCAGCCAGTCAGTAAATGAACTTTCTGTTAGAAACTAAATCGAGAAGTGAGAAGTGAGTGAGAGAGTGAAAAAAAGTGAGAGAATAGTATAGAAGGTAAAAAAACCTCAGAATGGTAAAAAGGCAAGCTTGGTGGGAATATGAGTCATTCCTACGGGGTGCACAGGTCTCCCTTCGAATATGAATGAAAGTTCGGACTTGTACAGTTTGAAGTTTACTCTCCCAGCAAAAAAAAAAAAAAGTATTTTTGAGCCTGATTGCAATACATTCATCTCTCATCAAGCTTTTCAAACTTTCATTCTTGAAAAAGATGCTTTTTGTAGTGAAATATTGAACAGAAAAGCAACTTCCATCATTTCAAAGGGTTGGGTAAACTAAATCATAACTGGCTAGGATAAAAAGTTTGATATGAAAATGGACCAATTTGTTGAGAAATTCACTGTTTTGAAACAAGATCCGTCAGGTTTTTTGGAACGTGGTGAAACAGGAAACCAAGTTTATAAAAGTTGAGATGCTCAATAAACTCGTCCAATTTTCAACGATTTTTTTTTTCGAGAGAAATTTTTTGAAGAAGAGTAAAGTCAATTAGACAACATTTCTCAAGAGTTCATATGAAATTCATAAAATGACTAAAAGAAAGTTTCCTAAGGTCAAAGATTCCCCGCGCAGTAACACAAGAAGCAAATCGATAAGAAAAGACGGACAAGTTGTGACCGTTTGAGCAAGAAGAAAAAGGGACGCCAAATGTGGCGTGTCAATATTTGAGACGGCAAACCGTGCCGAGGGGTCGTTTCGGTCTGCTCGGCAAATATTCAGGACATTCTAATATCAAGAGCGGTCACTGTATTCCCAGGGGAGTTCGAATCTCGGCCTCCGAGTTGGAGAGACCAAAATTAATGAAACTGGCGGCGCCCTTTTCGTTTGTTCTAGAGTTCAGAATCCCGTATGTTCGCTTTTAATGATTTGGAGAGGAAGTGAGTTTTTGCAGTGAATGGAGAGTCGCTTAAAAAAGGCTTTTTAAATGGTCCTTGCATTCTTTTAAGAAATTTAAAATTGAGAAAGTTTCCTTCGAAATTAGGATAGCTATTATTTTTTGAAAAGCCTACCATTTTTCTTAATTGAAGCCTTGCCCCTGGGAAACTTCATAAGAAAGGTTACTTTTGATACTTCAGTGAGCCATGCTCTTGAACTGGTGCTCTTCACGAAAACCATAACTCAAATAAATTTTTTTGAAAGCGGTTGAAAATTATTAAGCAGTTAACTAAAGAAAAATGGAAAAAAAGTCTTTTTCTCAGTTTGGAATTCAAAAAAATTAGTTTTGAAACTTAAATTTATTGGTTTTCTCATAGTTGATTGCTATGTTGCAATTGGCAGTTCTTGAATTCCAATAAAAATCTTCGAACTCCGAAACAAAAATATAACCTTTGAACCAAAGCCAAGAGAAGCCGATCCTAGTCAAGACAAGCTCCAAAAAAGAAAAATTTTATGGGCCCTGCTCTATTTGGCATGCTTGATCCTAAACAAATTACTGAAAATCCTCTCTGAGAATAAAATTAGCCCAACCACCAGTCGAAATGAAGAAGCTTTCAAGAAAAAAAAGGCAGCAACGACGGGTGTCGCTTATCTTTACTTTGATAATTACTGCCGTCGTACAGATTTGGGCGTGGCCAAGGTGTTTGGGAAGCAAATAAGCCGAGATTTGGCGATTTGAACGTGTATGACATGACCCATAACGCTAATGACGGCTATTACATCGCACTCTGAATTATCGAAAACTAGAGTGCAAAAAAAAAGGCAAAACGCCTTTTTTCAATCTCCTGGCAACGCATTTCGCATACAAAATATTCATTTATTAATTATTAATTTACACTCGCTCTAATAGATTCTCAATACTCGTCGTTCTCCTCGTCAAGCTCCGCTGTGTCCTTGCTGACCTATAAGTTCAAATTTCAACCTAATTTGATTGAAAAAGTTTCACCTCAGCATAATCTTTCTCCAAGGCTGCCAAATCATCCCGAGCCTCTACAAACTCGCCTTCTTCCATACCTGGAAGTATTTCAGAATTATTTTTTTGGAAAATCGCGAATATATAACCTTCTCCAACAAACCAGTGCACGAAGGCTCTTTTGGAGTACATGAGGTCGAATTTGTGGTCAAGACGAGCCCAAGCTTCCCCAATGGCAGTTGTATTGGACAACATGCAGACGGCACGATGGACCTCAAAAAAAAAAGTTAAATCAGTTTAATGAAAATTCCGAATGACCTTGGCAAGATCGCCTCCTTCTACGGTGATTGGTGGCTGGTAGTTGATACCAACTTTGAAGCCGGTTGGGCACCTGGAAAAAAATTTTCATGCAAAAAGTTGCCCAAACGGCCTCGAAACAAAGAAAAAAAAATTCAGGTTTTTTGATTTACTCGGAGAAAAAAATCGGGTGAATATATTTCAAAAATCACCAGTCCACAAAGTTGATGCCTCTTTTCGATTTCACCGACGATATCGCGGCGTTAACATCTTTCGGCACGACATCACCACGATAAAGTAGGCAAACGGCCTGTTAATCAAAAATAATTATTTTTTTCAAGGGTGGATTAAACCATGTATTTTCCGGCACTTGGATCGCATTTTACCATTTGGTTGGCTTTTTCGAAGCACATGTGAGTGATGTCTTGAACGGAGAGAGGCTCGTGATGGGCCTGGAATTTTGGAATTTAAGTTCTCATCATCATGAAAACTTTCATTTTTCTAGGTTGAACCTCAAACGCCTTGGCCGCACTTGGAATCGTTCACCATGTTAATTTTATTTGTAATATAAAAGTTTAAACGAAGCAAGCTTAAGGAAACGGTAAACATAGTTTCATGATGTCAAAAGGCTCAAGTTGTATTTGGTCGGGTTAGTTCAAAAACGACATCAAATCAATGATTACGCAGCTGTTTGAAAATTAGTGACTATTTGTGCGTTCTTCAAATGAAAAAGGGTTCCAAAACGGATATCATTCGAAGTTTTTCACTCTCTCGAAAACTTCAATTTCGTTCTGCGGTAATCTTCGGGATACCGCAAACCTTGAGAACTTTTTTCTCCTGTTTTTTCTTTTCAAGATGCAAATCTCACTCGGTCGGCGGAGATAACTGGGGCGTAGGTTGCCAGAGGAAAGTGTATTCTGGGATACGGTACCAAGTTTGTCTGCAAAATCTCCAAATTCGATTTATCGGCACTTTCTTGCACCTGGAATTCGTTCAAATCGACGTTCAGAGCACCATCGAAGCGCAAGGAAGCTGTGATTGAAGACACGACTTGGGCAATCAAGCGGTTTAAGTTAGAATAGGACGGTCTCTGAAGCCAATAAAAATTTATGAATGTTTGAGGATGTTACATCGACATGAAGCTTCTGTCTGCAGAGATCGTAAATGGCTTCATTATCGACCATAAATGAGCAATCGGAGAGTTCCAAAGTTGTGTGGGTGGTCAAAATTGAGTTGTATGGCTCTACGACGGATGTCGAGACTTGAGGAGCTGGATAGACACTGAAAATTTAAAAATAGGTTAATTTTATACGACGTAACATGCTTACAAAGCTGTTTCTTAAGTTTTTGCATTTTAAATCATTTCCCTGTTTCAATATCAATACTTGATGATTTTTCTAGTAAGTAATGCTTTTCAGCAGTCAACCTGAACTCCAGCTTGCTTTTCTTCCCATATTCCACAGAAAGTCTCTCCATAAGAAGGGAGCTGAAACCACTGCCAGTACCGCCTCCAAACGAATGGAACACGAGAAATCCTTGTAATCCTTCGCAGTTTTCTGTCTGAAACCAAAATTGCACTATTTTTAGATAATCGTGTATCGGATTGAACCTGCTTGCGGATTCTGTCGAGCACAACGTCGACCAACTCCTTGCCAATCGTGTAATGCCCGCGGGCGTAGTTGTTTGCCGCGTCTTCTTTTCCACTTATGATCTGATCCGGATGGAATAATCCGGAATATGCGCCGTTCCGAATCTCATCTTCAATTTGGAATAATCATGAAATGGTCGCCCACAGCTTGCACCCAAGGCCTAGTTTTTAAAAAAGGTGAATTCAAAAGATTGCAAAGGAAGGAAGCAATAACCTTCTTGGTTAAGAACTATTGCTGAACCTTTGCTTCAGAATATGCTCAATGATATTAAGATGTCTGGCTTAAAGTTTCGAAGATTATAAACCTTCAAATTCGATTCACGATAAATTGTTCTGACTTTGAGAAAAGTCGCAGATCCCAACCTTTCGGGAAAGACTTCTGACCGCTCTGGCTGGCGTATCTTTTTTTTCAAATTTATCTTCCAAATTTTCGAACAAAAAAACTTTCTCTCACCCAGCACGGTGGGCTCAAGGTCGATGTAGATGGCTCTCGGCACGTGTTTGCCGTTACTCGACTCCGAGTAAAACGCTTGCAGCGACTAAATGTCTTGTCACGGTCATTTAACTCAATTTTCAAGGGCAAACAAAATTTTTTTCGAAAAGATTTTGAAAAAGACACGCACCTGCTGCTTGTTGCATTCTTCGCTCAGAAAACCGTTCTGGTCGAGTCCGTGTTCCATGCAGTAGAGTTCCCAGCAAGCATTCCCGATTTGAGCGCCGGCTTGGCCGATGTGGATCGAAACGCATTCTCTCTGAGAAAAAAAATATTGGTTATTTAGATTTTGAGCATTTTTGGTTCAAAAGACAGCTTTAAAGCTTGCAAACTCATAGTAACTACTATTCTTTTGGCTGAAACTGTAATCAAAACAAAGACTCAAGTCAAAGTTTTTGAGGGAAAATAAAATTTGAAAGAAACCTGACTACATGCCTTTTTTAAAAATCTTCCCTTGCCAGATTATACTCAGAATATTTCGAGGTTAATGGATGAAAAAGCTAATATGAAAAAATTCGTTCTTTTTTCAAAAATTTTGCCTTTTTCGATTCTTCCATATCTCAAACGCAACTCCTCATAGAAGATACGGTACCTTTTATTGCAAAAAGTCTACCTCAAACGTTGTCCGCCTCAAGGACTTTGAGAAAAAAAAAAGAGTGCAACTTACACCGTCGGAAGGCATGTCGTTGTTCGGCTTGCGGTCGTCCGTGTGGCAATGAAAAAAGCGTAGAATTTGACGCAATTTCGGGTCAAGACCGTGTAGATCCCAGCGGCGATAGGTGTCCAAAAAAAGTGGAAGATTCTCATCTGAATTGCGATGAAAATCAGCGAAAAAAATCTTTTCTTGTTTTGCGCCGCCGGTGCCATTCTTGGCGACGATGCTCGGCCAAGATCTTCTAGTCTTGTCTCGCACCGCTAGACCGTGTCGAGAGAACCCCGGTACACACCGGCACGCTTGACAACTCCAAGGGAAAACTTTTTTTACAAAGTACAACTTCTGAGAAAGTTCAAGACCGAACGGGAAGGCAATCAAGGGAAACCTCAAGGTTCCAGCAGAAAAACAAAGAATTCGAAATTAAAAACTAAAATCATCCTTCATATGAAAAAGCGCAAAACTGAGATTTGGAAGCAGATCTTTGAAATATACACCTTCCATTTTTGAAAACTATGTTTTTTAAGATAATGGATAAGGAAGTTCTAATAGGAAGATCATTATTGAGTATCCTAGTAACATTCATCTATAGGAATCACGAAGGTCCAGGCGACTCGACAAAATTTACAAGCTTGGTTAAGGAACAGTTTCACAAAACTGAGGTTGTTTAAAAAAAAGCCTAATGATGAAAGATTTCTAAACCTTCAACCTTATTAGGTCTAACTTCTAAATGCTGAAGAAGTTTGGAAACTTCTCGAAGATTTAAAGCTTTCCATTAAAAACCAGGAAAAGCTAATTTTTAACCAAGCATCTTCACTTCTTGACATTTTTCTGGTCTTATATCTTTCATTAATGATGACCTTCTAATGTTTGCAAAATTCCTTTTCGGCGGAATAATCATAATTTTCGTTCAGAGTCAACAGTGTTTCTCAGGATAAATGGTCTTTGTTTTCTGCCTCTCCAATATGCCATTATCTCACTCCCAGGTGTGTTCAGGTTGCGTCTTATCCACTTAATTACTTGCCTAATACGGTAATCCACCCCCCTGCTCCATCGCAAGTGTTATAATCCTCGTTAGCACCGTTTAGCAACTCGTTGGAGTTATTATTTTATTCAACTTTCCCATTTTTGAAAAAAAAAAGTGTTGGTAAAAAGCGATGTCCTTGGGGAAAGTAACCAAAAAAGGCGAAAGTTAACCTGTCAAGAGAACCGTCGACGGCAGGGCGGCCGCTCTCTGACGGACCGTACTTTCGGCAACTCGCCATGAACTTTCCATTTATTAGGCCCTGCCCTCGGAACGCTGCCATTCTGCATTTGCACTCTTCTACCGTGCGGCGGCTCCAATATTTTACCTTCTCTTCTCGACTTTTTCCATTTTCGGTTTTCCAAACTCTATCAAGAGTCGTGAGAGTACCTCTTGTCTTCAATTTAAGCAACCACCAACTGTTGAACATAGCTCCTAAAAACTTCGGGCAAGGCTTTTCTGAAGAATCAGGATCATTTTTAGGCCTGCGGCCTTGTAAATCTAAAGGAGCTGCTCTGAAAGACAGTTCGTCTTCAGATTTGAATTTTTTTTTTTGATTGATGATAAGGGAAGGTTGTTTCCAATTGAAAAGTCTCCATAGTTTATTGAAAAAAGGTACGGACTTTTTTTGATATAAAATAGACAGCTTTCAGTACACATAGAAAGAAAGAATCTCGATTTTTTTCGGGTTCTTACTCAAATATTTAGGTTTTTTTGATAGATAGAAAGGTCTTTAAGCTTTGAAAATTTTCATGCAAGCTGTGCCTTTGAGACTCTTCCAAGCGATTTCCAGACCTTTCATTTCAGAACGAGCGTATTGAACTGAAAAATAGTAGATTTTTTCTAACCGAAGACCTGAATCTTTAAAACAAAGAAAAAGCTTCAATACAACCATTTCAAAAAAAAAAAATGGATTCCTGTGATCCGTACCGTACCTTGAATAACCTCAACTTCTTTTACAAATTATTAGAAACCCCATCAAAATTTACGAAGCAGTATAAATTGTCCTGACTTGGAACTCAACCGATTAGAAAGCCACCCAAGTCGCTACAAAATTAATCCTCACCAGTAAATAGGCAAAACACCGATGTATTCTCAATATTGGCAGAACAATCCACCCGCTGATAAGTGGTTGATAAAGATTATATGTACGAAAACAGCGTTCTCTTCCAGGGCGACTTTTGATCTGTTGTGCAACGTTTCCTCTTTCATTGTCGTACAATTGAGATTACCCCTTTCAATGAATGTTTCCTGTTTCAGGTACACACAAAATGGCGATTGAGTACTGCTACACGATTCCAACGATCGAATATCCTCCACCAGGCGCAGATGTTCCAGCTGAACCTTCTCCCAACTTCCCAAAGGATGGAGTTACTTCCTAAAGTAACTTTGAAAAAAAACAATTTTATAAAAAGTTCAAAATTTCAGAAACATCATCGACAAAACGCGTAACTACTTCACGACGGGATTTTTTTTAGATTCGCTCAACTCGTAGCATTTTTTCCAATTGACTCCTCAATAAAATATTTTTGCAATTTATTATAGTCACAAACCGAAGATCAACGAATTTTTTTTGTTCTTGAAGGTTTCTTACAAATCGAGAAAAAAAAGAGATCATGGCACCTCTCAGCACTGAAAAACCTTGGGGGTATATGATTTTTGATCAATGTTCGAAGTTAACATGATAAGAACGGTTCAGAATTGTCTGGTTTTGAAAATAAGGGTTTTTCACCGGAAATGAAGGGCGAAACATTGATTTCCCGAAGGACAGATCATAATAAAGGAGTTTTTGGAAGAAAATTTGAAAATGAGGTCCCCAAAAAAATTCGAGTTACAAGTTCCAGCCTGGAAGATCATCGATGTGAGAAACGGTTTTTCATGAGTAAGAAAACTTCTTTCTTGATTTATCCCTTAAAGTCGCTCGTAAGCTGAACTAGGCCCCTACGTTTTTACAAAATAAATCCTTTTACTTTTTACCAAGTATTGAAAAAATCGTTTTTAAACTATATTTTTTCTTTAATTCGTCGTTTTCCCATTGGTTTTCTATCCCGAGCTGGAAGCCGCAGAAGACGGTGGAACATTAGTTTCAGTAAGTTCAGTTGGGGCAGCTGACGTGAGCTGTAATTCGCTCAGAGTGCAATCTTTCTCGTTAAAATATTACGCTTTCGGTTCCATTGGTCATTTTTTTCTCATTTCGAAAAGAAAGTACAGCTTTTCATTCAAGTTAACTTTTTTTTATATTTTTCTAACAATTTAAAAAAAAATGCAGAAAAATTCGAGAATTTTGGTAACTATCGGTTGAAAGAAGAATATACCCGAAAAAAAAAATTTGAAATGTTGTTATTTCAGAATTTCTCAAGTTTATCGTTTTCATAAAAATTTCCTGTTCATACCAATTTTTTTGAATAGGAAATTTTTTTCACAGGTCTCAAATTTCGTAATTCCTTTTAAAAGTCGTGATAACATCAGAATGAACATTCGAAAAGGATTTTCAAATTTGAAATGCGGTTTACGGTAATTGAGCCAACGAGTTTTGTACGTGATTTCAAATTCGTTCAACAAGAAGCCACTTGAAAAATTTTTTTGAATGTGTCCTACTTAGAAAAAAATAAAGAATCATCTAAGATTCTCAGATTCTCATAAATCATATCAGAAGTCATAATATAATCAGTCGAAGTTACGAGTCGAAATCCCAAGGTCTGCAAAAGCGCGTGTGGGTGAAACAGGTCCTGCCGCGAACCCATGACTACGATAGCGAATCGATGGACCCCGTATTAATCGGCGAGGCAGAGAGCTTGACGACAGCTGCTTTTTCACCATTTTTTCATTCTTTCCTGGCTTCCAGTTCAGCTTCGGTGACTTGGTTCTTTTCGGATTCATGACTTTGTATTTAAAATTTTTGATCTTTTCGCTGACAAGAAACACTAGTGAAGTATGATTAGAGACTTTTTTTTTTGTTATTTTGCGCAAATCCTTGAAAAATATTCTATTGAGTTAAGATTGGACATTGCGTTTGGGAAATGAGGAAACTTTCAAAATTTCGAAAATTTATTGAAAACGCGAAAAATTGTTTACTATTCTCGCCCTAATACAATTTGATAAGCAGGAAAATAAGTTCAAAAATTCAAATTAAAAAGCTATAATTATTTCCTACCTTTCGAGATCGTTTATCTTCTCTTTTTCTTATCATTATCAACTTCGATGTTCCATTTTACAGCCAAAAATGGAGAACCGTATGACGCAGTATAAGAACAAAGGAAAAGATGGGAAGGCCAGCAGAGTGGAGGAGGTAAATTTCCCAACTCTTTTTCAGATGATGACTCATTTTCTTGCAGTTGGTCTCCATCCGAAAAGATAAGAGAGATGAGGCGTTGACCAAGAGAAGGAACATGATTGCGTGAGTTTTTTATATCTGCTTTAACTAAAAAAAGCTCTAACAGTATTGTTAATCAAAGTGTGAAGTTTGGAATTTCCTATGAATTTTTTGGAAACGCTTTCTGAAGATGAAAATCCACATTTCGCAACTTCTAACAACTTTTTCGTTCAAACAGAAATATACTTGCTTCATCTGAAACTTCAGAGAGTGTTCGAGCAAATTCATAAGTCCTTCTGATCCTCTTCCACAAAGGGTATACCATTTACAGTGCTGTCCATTACGGTATGCAATTTCACTTATTTTGGTATGAGTTTTTTGGGATCATTTGAAACTTTTCAGGTTGTTATTCAAGTATGTATGAAAGCTAGATATTGTGAAGTGTTTGAGCCGACTTCCAAGAGATTTTTGCTTTTTCATCACAGATTCAGAAAGAAAAGAAGCTTAAACCAAAAGCAAATGTAAATTTGATTGCCCTGATGCCTTTTTTTCAATATTTTTTTAAAAACTGTTATGAAATAATTGTTTTGAAAAAGCTTTTTATGTGAATTTAAGAAAAATCTCGTATTTATTTTAAGAAAGTTTTTCTTTTAAATTCTCCCTCACCAGATGTTTTTCCCAATTCCTGCCAATGTTTAGAGAGAAGGAAGATCTTGCCGCCCTTGCCGAAATTGTTGAGATCACAGGAGGAGAAGATAACGCCTATAATACTTTGATCCAACTTGTCCAACACGCACAGGCTCCTGATGTCAAGACACGGTTGCAGGCCGTTCAGCATGTGAGTGAAGTTTCGGAAACTTTGATAGAAAAGTATCAGAAATTTTTTTTCTGTGAGTAGCGGTCCAATTTTTGTTCTTGTAGTACTTTTAAGGATGTACGTGTTTTTCTCAAATCTCGTGTAAAATTCAATTTTTGGATAATAATGATGAGAAATGTCATGGGAAAACCGATTTCAGCTATTATGTGTCTAAGAAGTTTCCCAAGGGATTTTAAAGGATATAAAAAAATTAGATTTGTTTTCTTCCTGCCCATGGACGTCAGAAAATTATCCTAAGTACTAAAACAAAAAAAAAACATTTTTAAGGCACGTCGTCTTCTTTCCTCGGATAGAAATCCTCCGATCGATGACCTTCTGCGTAGTGGCATTCTGCCGATTCTTGTAAGCTGCTTAGCCTCTCCGGAGTTTGTTTTTTTTTTTTTTTATGGATCTAAGCGCCTTTTTCAGTGCGGATCTGCAATTCGAAGCGGCGTGGGCGCTGACAAACATCGCTTCCGGAACCAATGAGCAAACCGCCGCTGTGGTATGATGATTAATCATTTTATCTTTTATCTCTTATCTTCAACAGAAAGCCGTGAAGCTTAGCTTAATCGAAAAAAGTTTTGAAGTGATTTAGTAAATTTCAAGCCCTTTTGCGGGATTTTATCCTCTTCATATGAGAGATATTGAAGCCTCGGCTCTGCCATTTAATAAAAACAAGAGCAAGAGTGTTATACATGATCAATGTCTCATCAGTGATTCATGTGCAAAATCTTCCTGGATTGAGAAAGAAACAAGGAATAATCGCCGAGTTTCCACACCTTTGCTATTTGATGATAAACTTCACGACTATTCAAAAAGATTACTTTGAACTTTTCTTTGAGTTTTCATCTTTCAAAACCACAAATCCAAAAAAGAATTTAACTTTTGAGACTCAAACTTTAGGTAAATGCGGGAGCCGTTCCTCTTTTCCTACAACTTCTCACCAGTGGCAATTTGAACGTTTGCGAGCAGGCTGTTTGGGCTCTCGGAAACATCATCGGTACATTTCCACATCACAAAACATCAAGATAATATTATAACTTTAGGTGATGGCCCACATTTCCGCAACTACTGCCTCGGCCTTGGGGTCCTTGCACCTCTGTTGAACTTTGTGAACCCGGAAATCCCGTTGAGCTTCCTGAGGAACGTCACTTGGGTTCTTGTGAGTTGCTTTCAGACACTTCCCAAATTTTTTTAATCTTCTCTCAGGTGAACCTTTGCCGCGCGAAGGAGCCACCACTTCACCGCGAAGCCGTTTTGGTCATCCTTCCGGCCCTCGCTCTCCTAATTGCTCATCAGGTGAGAATGAAAAAAAATTCTTCTTTTTTTCAACATTTTGAGGAAAACGGTGGTATAAAGGAAGACGGGAGAAAAATTTTCAGGACACCAGCATTCTGGTCGACACGATTTGGGCCGTCTCTTACCTCACTGACAGTGGAAATGAGCAGATTCAACTTGTTCTGGAAGCTGGGGTAGGTCTGATTTTTTTTTCTAACAAGATTTGAATCCTTCTTTTAAAAAAATTCAGAACAATGAAAAGTCAGGAAACACTGGTTGACTTAAAGCTATAAAAAAACCTTTTGAAAAAGATTTTGAAATTTTTTATGCGGATCAGTCATATTCCAGGGAAATTTCTCAATGAAATAAGTACATGGTTTTGAGCCTTGAATCCTTATCAAATTTGAAATAAATCACTTATCTAGGAGAAAAAGCAAAGATTTAATATCATATTCCAGCTCCTACCAATCCTGATTCCCATGCTGGGTCATGAAGACGTGAAAGTGCAAACTGCGGCTCTTCGAGCTGTTGGAAATATCGTAACTGGAACTGACGAGCAAACTCAAGCGGTTCTCAATTGCCACGCTCTCAACTACATGCCCAAGCTGCTGACTCATCAGAAAGAGAAAATCAACAAGGTTCTTTTTGAAAATTTCAGGGCGGGAAGGTAGACGAACCGGTTTTCGGTAGTATTTATTGAACTGACTATTTTATAGGAAGCAGTTTGGTTCCTCTCCAACATCACGGCAGGCAACACGCATCAAGTTCAACAAGTCATTGATCATGGATTGATCCCATTGATCGTGGATCGATTGTCAAATGGAGACTACAACACCCAGAAAGTATGTTCGAGTAAAAATGAATCGGTTCAGAAAAATTCAGAATGCAGTTCCTTGAAAAAACTTGATTTAAAATTCTTAAATGTTCAAAATTACTTTGCTGTTTCTTAATACAGTTTTTTTCGCTTAAATTGTACTGTTGATATTATTATTTAATTTTGAAAAAGCTGTCACGTTTCCAGAACAAAAACTCAATTCAAAAATTGTTGGAAGAGAATAAAAAGAGCTTTTTTTGTTTGTTTGAAAAATTCTTTTTTTCTACCTGCTGTGTTTATTCCCGGTTGTTTTAATTTTGCGCTTCTCACGCAGTTTCAAACTTTCAAACATAAACAGGCTCTTTTTTCACATTCTAACGAGGGAAAGGCTTGATTATACAATTAGGCAATACAGATCCAAATATTGATGTTAATACGATAAACTGAGAGAAATCCGTTACATATCAATATCAGATTTTCAAAATATGGACTCTTGAAAATAAATGTTTTTCCTTTGCAATTGGTTATTTCCAGGAAGCCGCTTGGGCCGTCTCCAACGTCACCATTTCTGGTGATGCCAAACAAATTGCCGTTATGGTCAACTACGGAGTTGTGGCACCGTTCTGTGGTTTGCTGAGAACAAAAAGAAGTTCAAATCCTACAGGTTTATATTTTTTTAACCTTCTTGAAATAATTAAAAAAATTGCAGGTTGTCCTGGACGGCATTAATAACATCTTGAAATTTGCCGGACCAAACTTGGAAAGAGTCACGACTCAAATCGAAGAATGTGGAGGTAATCATCAACTTGCGCTTGTAATTTCAGTTTTGCCAAACATTTTTCAGGTCTGGATGACATTGAGAAGCTCCAGAACCACGCCAATGAAGAAATCTACAAACTGGCCTATGAGATCATCGACAACTATTTCAGGTAAGAGTATTTTGTAAAACCCGGGATCAAAGTTAAATTTTTTCAGTGAGGACGAAGATAAGACGGAGCCTGAAACGCAGCAGCCGCAGCCAGATGAAAAATGGGCCTTTTAAAAAAAACTAATTATTGTCGGATTGTCCGTATTTTTGGGTTCAACTCTTTCTGCTCAGGAATCTCCGGAGTTTTATTGTTCTTGTTGTTTTTCAAAATGTTTGCCCCTTCAAAGGCTTTGACCGTTTTCGTTGTTAAATTCTAAAAGTTTTCGCGATGCTTTATAAAATTCTGTGAGATTCATCTGAACTTCAAAATCTTCATATTTCACCGTTGTTATTATTGTTAGCTCTAGTCTTTTAATGTTGTCGTAGACAAAACTTTTTTTCTAATCGTTATTTGGAAGTATTTCGGTGATGTAAATATGCTTCATTGGTCACGGCTTGAGTTTCGCTGGTCGCATTAGAATGGCTAAAAGACTTGAGAGTTTTTAATTTTTTGAACACTTTAACTAGATACTGGCTGCCGAAATTTCTCAATTAGAAAATAAACGAGCTTTATTTCAAGCTTCTCATTGATGATGCGCAAAAGTCGCTCTCTGGTCCGGTGCCAATTCACGCGTATCCAGCTTTTTTTGAGTCTCATATTTCCTAGAATGTTTGTTACCATAATACAGTCGCGTAATAAAGTCAGCTTCAACTATCAGGAAATTGAAAAAGAGCTTCTTCATATAATCTCTTTAGTTTTCTAGTTTCAAAAAGTTAATGCTCCTGGTAGTGACAACTGACGCGCGCGACTGATAAAACCCTTGCAGAAACTTGCGTCTTTTATATTTTCTTTCAACTTTTGCCTTGACTTTATAAACCGCCTTCTCCTATTTTTTGGAAGATGACTTTCACACGATGGCTTATTGAAACTTACAGTGTCAAGTTATTATTTTGAAATATTTTTCTCTTGAGAAGTTCATTGATTGTCATTCAGATGTTTATTGATTACAATAAAGCTGCTTCATTAAAGGGTGTATATTTTCTTACTTCTTGGGAAGGTTTCAAGTTATAATAAATAAAGTGAATGGCACAAAAGTAGCTTACCATTCATCTAGTTTTCGGCTACAGTGGTTGAAAAAGTGCAGCTTCAACTTTTGGCTTTTCGGCAGAAATTAAAACAGGAACTATTTTTGCCGCCGGCGAAACTTGTTCAGAATGTCAAGTGGCCTAATGAAACAGCAAAAGTTGCTGGTTATCGAAGCGGAAGGAAGAACGTGAGAAAGATTATGGCTTGGAAAAAAGGTCACTTAAGAAGTATTCTGAAAGTGGCCAGATATTGAGGAAAAAGGAAAATTTTGAGAATTTCAAACTTCTCAGTTTCTTCGGAAAAGCAAGGGAAAGAACCTTTAAAGTTAGATATTTTGTTTCTTTCAACCTCGCTCAAGATAAAACCAGGAAGTAAAACAGAAAATTAATATTCTTTCAGGAAGTTGAGAATGCAACGTAGCCGGAACATACCTTTTGCCACAATTTTTTGTTCGAATACCCGTTTCAAAACCTCTAAACCGCATTAAACTCCTTCGGCTAGAAAAACTCACTTTCAAGAAAATGAAACTACATTCAAGCGAAGTTGAGATCCGCGTGAACTGGCAATTGAAAGCAGCGGCCGGGAAGCGCCCTCGGCGACGCAATTAACGCAATTAGAACGGAGGGATCACAAACGTCCAGGGGAAATTCGAGTCGCCTCCGGCGTTTCCATTGCCGAGATTCGGTAGGGTATATGTGTTTGTGTCTTGTGTGCTTTCTGGCGGTGTTCTCCTGTCGGCCTCCGGTGGTTTTATGGATGAAGACGATGCCAGCCACGCTGAAGAATGGCCGTTTATTTACCTTGGCGCAAATTTCGGCACCGATCCTCCTTCTTTCCCTGTCTCAAAGCACATTTATTGTATTTTGCCGATTTTTGAAACCTAGAACTCTCTAATTTGACTAGATGCTTCTTCAGACTGAATTTTGGTCATTATTTTCAACCTTGTGTCAGTTTTTTCGGACTTTCGATTTGACTTTCGAAACCCTACAAATGTTCAAACCTAAAAAATCTGAGAAAACCAAGGAATATTATATAGTTTACGTTATAGCAAAAAATCGAGAAGTTGAAACTATAAATTCATACTTCAGTCTTGATTTCAAGATCGCGGTTTCAAGCTATTCGCTATTTGATTTTTGAGCCTTATTATTGGTTTTTTCCTGTCCGTAAAGAAGCTGGTCCAAGTTCTGTAGCTTTTTTGAAGCTATCACCATTAATTTATGAGTTTTTTGAAGCCTCTTCCTATTTTCTCAGCTTTGCTTTACCCAATCTTTATACATCACCTTTTATGATGGCTTCACTTTGATCACCTCCATAATTCATGACGAGTTCCTCCATTTTTAATATCTTAACAGAATATCCAAGTTCCTCAGACCTTTCTTCCGCATTTCGAATTTCAAACGCCCACTCTCTGCAGACAAGCAGTAAAAGTGTTCATTCGTGAAATCCAAGTTGCTGGTGGAAATGTTTGCCGACGAGCACAATTCACGGACGAGCGCCTCGGTTCTGGAACTTCTATTAAATGTTCCAACGGTGTTTGGACTTGCCATGAACTTTTTCGGGTTTGATTCAGGCAACTGGAGTCAACAATCAGAAAATCGTCTTTTCGCGGTGTTTCATATTCTTTTGAAGTTTTGGGTGTCTGATATATTTTTCAGTTTTTTGAAGGTTCTCAAAGACTAATTATGAAGTGATTCATTTTTTTTCCAAAGAATCAGTTCATTAAAAGAAGCGGAAATTAAGCAATGGACTAAGAAGAAAAATTTTATCATTATTGTACAAAAATTCAGAGTAAAAACGTAGGATTTTTTTCAAGCCGACAAAAAAATTGAAAAAAATTTTTATTCGAAAAAAATCATAACTCAATTTCTTTGAAAGACTGGATTATACGTTTCCTGGCTTTTAACTTACCTTTCAATTTTTTTTTCAAGGTAACTTCCCATTTTCCTCAGATCTGAGAAACTATACCGAAATTGAAAATCAAAACCAAGATCGAGAAAATTTGACTGTGTGCCTTTCCCATGACCGAGCCACAAAAACCAAAAAAAGTGCGCGTCGGCCATGTTCGGACGCGCCCTAATGACTTTTTTCCTCGGCGCCGACTCTTCACACCTTTTCCTATTTGTAATGCCTTCATTTTTTTGATTTGAAGCCAACGCCTTCAAGTGTTCTTCAAATTTGAGTGCTTCCGTCCTATGAAACTTCATACCCTTATTTGTACATGGATCAGGGGAAAGTGAAGATCTTTTTGGAACAGACTTGCTTTTTTGAGAACTTTACAGTTTCAAGTGATTGCCTTGAAAATGTGAACCTTGTCATTTTGATGTTAATTGAAGCCCTGAAATTCTTTAAATTTCCTAGCTTTTTCTCTAGTGGTTTTAAATTTTAGGCCTCATTACAATTGTGAAGATGAACACTTGAAGAACCGTTTTCTTCAATTTTTCCTGAATTTATCCTCACCAGAATTTTAATTTCATAAAACCAAATCCTGGAAATTGATTCAGCTTCTCTGTGTCCCTACAAAATTGAGGTATAATGTTTCTCTTGAAGGACCCTCCATATGCCGCTGAATGACACTGTGCAACTGAGCAAACATTTTTTTGCCACCAGACTGCTTTTGACAGCTTCTCCTCATTTGGGTTACCTAAACTCTCATAAATTGTTGTAATTTTCCTTATTTTTTTCTAAAATCAATTTTTCTTATCCTCTTCCTACTGCGGGTTTCTTCATTGATTTTTGTATCAGAAGGGTTTTTTGAATTTTTCTCTAGTTTTTTTTTGTATTTTCAATTTAAATCTAACCAGAGTACAATCGAAAAAAACTGAAATTCTCAAAGTATTTAGTCATCCAATTCTACACTCCCTCTTTGGCACATTCCTTCTATTCAAACTCCTTTCCTTGTTCTCACGATGATAATAGTCTTTTCCTTGCTTTTCCTGCCATGTTTTCGTATGCTTACTGAGAAAATTTCCAGATTTTTGGCGCCAAAATGAAGGGTTCAAATGAAGAGTGCACGGAAAGTTCAGAAGACGCTGTTGATGTGGAAGGATGGCTGGTTGTTTGCGGTGAGTTTACAACTTTTTTATTTTTTTCTTCTTTTGGTGCACCAAATCCGTACAACTATGATGCGATGGGATGTTTTTGAGGTTCGAAAGCGGAAAAATTCGATGCTTTAAATATGAATTTTCCTGATGAGGAGGGTCGTCAGTTTTGATGAGAAGACTTTTAATAGGAGCTTGCCTGGCTGAATAAAAAAATTCAACCATAAATGATAAGCCACAGAGTCCATCAACCTCTTTCAAACAGTTAAAGTTCAAAAATGGCGTTTTTGTCTACTCATCGTCACTTTTAAAGCTACAGAAGCGCAAATTGGGTCCTTACTGGCGGCATTGTGTTTGTTCTGCATTAGGGAGTTTGCATATGTTGCGCTGTGACATATTCAATCTGAACCCAAACATTTCAGTTTGACGCCTCCGCCGGCCATCGGAATGTATGAGTTGTACTGTTTTTGAGGGTCAGAAAAAAAAAGATCTCAGCTGGAAGCGGATTGAAACTTCGCTTTTTCCAGTTTCATTTAAGACATAGAACTATAAAACAATTGACACGGAAAAAAGCCTGAGAAAAAATTTTAATTACTCCCAGTTTTCTCTCGCGAAATAATTTTGACCTACAAACTGCGGTCAAAAGCACTTTTAGCCCACGGTCCAGTGCCGATTTTATTGTTTCTCTCATCTGGTTGGCTCGATTTCACGCGGTCTTCCAGAACCTATTGTTTGAGTTTCGTTGTTAGCTTTTCTCAGATTATTTCCGTGCGCTATCAAACCCGTTTTTTTTCCCTATCGAAGTTTCGTGATGTCTGAGCGCCTGAGCGAAAAAGAGGGTGAAAGGCTAATATTCACAGAGTCAACTTTTTTGGGAATACTTGACTTTACTGTTTCAAAAAGTTCGATAGTTCGAAGTATATTATTTTGGATTAAAAAAATGGCGTGAATATATCAAAGGGGAAAAAAACAATTTTGAAAAAAATTTTTTTTATTTTAGGGCACTTTACTTCCATGTTTCAAGGTTCACTGAAAACCTTCTTCTTTAAAAATAATTTTTTTAATTGTCAACAAAAAAATTAATCACGAAAGTTTATCGTCTACAAAAATATTTCATACTAACACTATTTCACTGTCACAATATTCAAAAAAAAGCTTTTTTTACGGAAATACTCTTCCAATAAACTCCTGACTCATTTTTCACTTAAAAACTCGACTAAAACCGCAAAATAGACACAACACAAAGAGAAGCGTCAAAGTCCGACTTTTTCTGCAGTTTTTTTCTGACCACAATGATGTTGAAAAGCCCATAAGCCAATAACGAGTAAGAGGCCCCTCATAAACGATAAATAATGGGTTGGGCCCAGGAAAAAAGGCTCTCTTCTATTACAACTGCAAACAACTTCTTGCTGTTTTCCTGGTTTACTGCATTTTGGATGGAATCTTTTTGTTGCATTCAATTTTTCCCGTTGCGCTTGATTTTTCAGTTAGGCTTTTTTTTGGAACAGAAGAAGTCTTATATATTACAAATTTATTTGACACAGCCTGTCTTGCTAAGAGAATCATTCAAACTTGGTGCGACGGACACTAAAAAAATATAATCTGATTTTGGATTTTTGCTGCTGAAACAGTAAGTTAAGGTCACGATGAATTGACTGATTTTTTTACTTTTGGTATCCCTTTTTTTAACAAACAAAAATGATTATGCAAAACTGTTTTTTTTTATTCTGAAGTCTCTCAAATGATCTTGAACTATAGAACTTGGCGAGAACCGTTTCCGTTATAGGACTACAATGGTCATGCGGAAGGGAAGACTTTAAGTGGCTATTGTAGGCGAAAAAACTTCGACCATTTGCCTTTAGTCGGCTATCCGGTCAACAACCGGCCGAGGCTATTTGTTGCCAACTTTTTTTTTTCAGTAACCATTCTTCTTCTTTTCATAAAGTGTTGCAAGTTTCATTATTGTTCCGTTTAAAAAAGTTTCCTGCAAACTAACTAATTTTTTTTGTTTTTGAGCTGTCTTTAAAATTGGTTTCGAACTCATTTTGAGATCCCAATTTTTTTCTAAAAAAATTCAAAAAAACTCCTGTCGGTTCTAAATCCAACGAAACAGAGGCCAAGCTCAGCATATAAAAATAAACTCGCGCCTGTCTATTTGTTCAATGAATTTGCTTAGACCTGTGCCAGACTTCCATCGTCTGGGAAAATCTCATCTGGTCGAGCTTGAAACCATTTGGAGTCAAAAAAATTCGAGCAAAACTTTTTTTATTTGAAGGCAAAAAAAGTATTAAGTTTTTCTTGAGTGGGAAAAAAACTTTTGGTTTTTCAACTTTTTTTCAATTAAATTCTTCTCATTCTCATTTAAACTACAGTTTATGTTTTGAGTATCTGACTCACCAAATGACCTAAAGGCGAAATATAACTATTTGAGAAATCTCAATAAAAATAGTGGTAATAGGAATTCTCGGTCGTTCTTTAGGGACGGGACCACATAGAAGTTGGAAGCTTCTGCCAATTATTTCAAAAATGAACTATTCTTGGTTCGTAGTTTCTCACAAGTTGAAAAATCTCGAAAATTAAAAAAAATGCCAAATTTCATAAGTTCTAGAGTTTGTGTTCTGAAACCCGCAGTTGAAGTAGTTGGTTTTGCGCGGGAGCCAGACGTATCTTACCCTCGCTTGCATATAAATATATATTTATATTCGCGCCTTTTTTTGTTTGATCTGTCCCTCCTTCGCTTTCCTCATTCAATTCTTCCGATCCGCCGTTTTTCCCCCAATGCGACTACTCACTCACGCACACAAACTGTAGCCATTGCGTATATCTATTGTGAAATTTGAAGTTTTGGGCTTATAAAGGGCTTTTAATTATTTCAGAGGATTTTAGTGTAATTTTTAAAAATATTTCACGTTTTTTTGAACAGTGGAATTTAATGAAAGCATGAAACCGTTTATTGAGATCAATGATTTAATTAAAAAGGTTCAGGGCTATATAATTTTTTTCCAAAAGATTCTCCGGACGCTTTTTACTTACAATTTTCAAAAATTTCTAATTTCGAGAATTAGGGTTCTTGGTTTCTGGTCCTTCAAAAATTCTTCTCAAAAAAATCATTTTTTTGATGTTTCTTGAACATTCGCTTCTGTTTATTCAACAGCTTTAGGTTCGAAATAGTTTTGGGTTGGGTTATTTCGATCTTTAAAAACATGTCAGTTTCAAGAAAGGTGGAAAAAAACTTTCTTCTTCCCACTTCTGACAGGCTCTTTCTTTTTTTCTGTATTTTTTTCTAAACTTTTTTTATCTTTCAAAAACTTTGTGAAGTTCCAGAAGAACAACCGGAGCAGATGATCGGACGCGAAGTAAAGTATCCTTGGCATCCAGGATATTGTATTCTGGAGCCTCGTCAACGCATGATCTGCTGTTACAAGGAAGAACCGGTAGGAGTTTGGGTTTTGTAGAAGTAGTTTTTCAGCTCATTTGCTCAAAAATGCTTTCAAATTTAAAAATTACTCGAAAAGTAAAGGTCAGAAAAGCAAAACTCTCAAGACAGCACAACTAAAAAAATTTTGCACGTTATGGCATAGCACAAGGCGCAGGTCGTTCAAGGTCCGGGACAGCTTGCAACATCTTATTAAAGCTTCCAGCAAAAGAAAAAAAAGTTATTCGACCCTTATAATCGGTTTTTAGACATTGAATTCATTAAAAATCAATATCCCAAAAAGAATATTACAGATGGGAAGAATAAGTTACAATGGCGGAAGTATCCGATTGGACGGTGGGAGAAACACTTTTCTGAATGCTTGGAACATGCAAATGGGTTAGTTTTACTGGAAAGAACTTGATATCCATGTATCAAAACTTTCTTCAGAACTTATTTTTTTAAAGGTTTGCCGCCTCCGTCTATCAACATGAAAGGTTCACAAACGCTTTCTCGCTCATTTCTTCGGTCGATCCGAGGAAGACGGAACAACTCCAACAAGGCGCCGATTCCTACAAAATACGCTACTGTCAGGATCAACAGTACTCGTACGCCCTTTTCTGATATTTTTTTTCATTTCCGGTCTGTTCAGTTCTTTTTGAGTTTTAAACGGGTGATTGAGTTTTCAAAAGTTTATTGAAATCGAGTAAGTTGCTAAGTCGAGCGGTTGTTTTAAAATACTGTTATATCAGAGTTAAAAACCGAGAAGCAGAAAAAAAAATTGCCAAGATTTTTTTAAAATTAAAACCCCTGAATTTTCTGACACATCCCTTTCTCAATTGAAACCTTGTTAATAATATGTATTTTGCCGTTCTAGCGCACCTTTTCGACCACTGGATTTCGACCATCTCGACCACTCTCATTTTAAGCCATTTTAAGACTTATTTTCATTGATTTCTAACCTTCGGTCATCAAAAATGTGTCATTTTCAACAATTTTCAAAAATGGGGAAATGGTCAAAAAGTGCGTTATAAAAAATATGGTCGAAATCCAGTGGTTGAGATGGTCGAGAAAAATGCGCTAGAACGGTGAATAAAAATAATGCTAAATAAATGATCTTTTCAAAAAATTTGAAACCACTAACAAACTTCGATCTCTTAGAACTTGTAAAATTATTAAAGATAAACAATTTTCGTGGAGTCTTTATGCGAGATACTATGCCGAGTGAAGGAATTTGAGAAAAAGAAGTTGGTATTGTTAATCTGGATTCTTCTGAAGGTAAAGGTACTCACAGGATGTTTTATTCCATAAAAAGCACAATTTCAATAAAAGATATTCAGCTATTACAATAAGAAAATCACTTTCTCACCAGATAAAACGTGTTTTTTGACACTTTCCAGTTGAAATCAATTGACAATTCCAATTGTTGTATTGCGTCCATTCCCAAGATGTTGACATTCGCGAAGTCAGTTTTCGAAATGTGACATTCAATGTATCTTTCTGGATCCTGAACATTTTAACTTAATCATTAGTGAATATAAAATAAAAAGAAACCTGTATAGCAATGTTGTGAAGTTGGTGGCTGAATCCATGACCAACGAGTTTTTCGAGCGACTTTACAGTCAAGCAGGTATAAGGCGAGCCGCAGTTCACAAGAAACCAGACATTGAAGATTTTTGAATTGCCTGCTTCTGTAATTTTTTTGTTATAACGTATAGTATAATATTATAGGTTCCAGAAATAGTTCAATCATTATATTTACCAACGTTTTGACATACTAAAGGAGCCATCAAACGCAGGTTTCTCCCGTGGACTCGTCCCAAGACTGGGAAAGGCGTGGAAGAAAAGGATCCAATTGACAAATTTTCGATGTGATTAGCAGCTCCAATCTGAGAAAATGGATATTAGATTAAAATATTAAAAATACACACCCTACTTCATCCAATTCCTTTTCGTCGATGTCGGAAATCAAGACATCGAAGTCCTTGTAAGGAACGGCGAGCAATGAACCATCAGATGAAGTGCTCTAAAAATGCTAAATTAATTTAGAAAAAAGGAAAACAGTTTTAAATAGATAACCTCTTGCGAGCAGAGTGAGTTGAGATCATTGAACTTCGATGGCTTTTTTTCAGAATTTGTTCGAACAGACTGGAGCACTTTTGAAGTGGCTCGCACTGAAACACCAATCGAACGAGGGATTAACATCTGAAATGTCTGGAGTTATTTTACAGTTAGCATAAATTTAAGGCTGAAATGTGAAAGAAAATAAAAGGAAAGAAGGAGAGCATCCCGTGCCCTGCAACAAAAAGAAGGCTTTGACATGACTCTCTCCTTCCTCTGCGTCTCTGGTCACGCGTCTTTGCCTTCCACCCCGAGCCAAAAACGAACACCTAGAGAAGATTTACGACGACCTGAACACCAAGGAAGGGGAGAAATCTATCTACCGATTGGTCAAACAGAGAGAAAGAAAGACCCTCGATATCGAACGGTTCCAATGCATCATGAACAGACTACTGACGCTTCACAAAGATATCCTCGAACGCTGGAGAAGACACTTTGCAAAAATTGCCAACGAGGAGTTTGCGCACCCAGACATACCTTGGAACGCCCCAGTACTAGGCCCCACGCCAAAGATTGAAGACCAAGAGGTAGTCTCCGCAATCAAGTCCATGAAGCCAAGCAAAGCTACGGGACCGGACGACATGGCAGCAGAAATCTGGAAGAAGGATGACAGCGTTACCTCAAAATGGCTGGCTGACCTATTTAACCAAGTCATAAAAGAGAACAAAATGCCACAAGACTGGAATCATAGCACAACCGTGCCGATATGGAAGAAGAAAGGCTCTCCAGCTGACTGTTCATGTGTTTGCATATATGTATGTTCTTTCTGATTTATCTCAGACGACAAATAATTATGAACCATCTGATTATGAGCATAAAATTTACAAATTACGACATTCCGATTATATATGTGAAAAGGAAAGAACTGTTAACCTCTTTTATAATGAAGATTCAGAAGTTAATGGTCATTTTAGTCAAATAGTGAACTTAAGCAGACTTTTGAGTAGAAGTAAGGAAGATAACATGACATATTATTGTTGTAGATGTTTATCATATTATTATAATCAAGAAAAGTTAGATAGACACTTTGATAATTGTGAAAATACTCCACCAATTGAGCATAGATTATCTCACAACGAATTTATTGAGTTCAGAAATTATGAGAATACTCAAAAAAACATCGATTCGTTATCTACAGTGATTTCGAAAGTTTGATAGAGAAAATTCAAAATGAAGAAATAAAAAACAAGTTCGTGAAATCTTCAAAAGATATGGTGGGTAAGAAAAAAGATAAATGGACTGTGAATATTGGAAAACATATTCCATCTGCATATTGTATACTTGTAGTTGATTCTTGGAGCAAAAGTATCTATGATATCAAATCTTATGTTGGTTATAATGCTGCACTGAAGTTTAATACAACAATAATTGAAATTGTTCGAAGTCTTATGAGGAAGATATTCCTTGCAGAAATTTAACTTCAAACGAGAAAGAAGAGTACTATGCATGTACGAATTGTTCTAATTGTAATGTTCTTTTTGATTCGAGTGACATGAAAACAACTAAAATGAAAGATCATGATCATTGGGAGAGCTATGGATTTTCTGTGAACGGAACGACTTTGACGCACCTTCGTTTTGCGGATGACGTCGTACTGTTTGTATCCAGTGCGCAAAAGATCCAAGAAATGGCTAACGAGCTGGCAAAAGAGAGCAAGAAGGCCGGCTTGGAAATCAACTTCGCGAAAACGTTCATCATGGCTAATCGAGCCCAAAGAAATGTCGAGATTGATGGAAAAAGAATCGCCTACACGGATGGGTTCATCTACCTCGGTACCCATCTCCACTTCGCTGATGGCTCGAAAACCGAAATCCAACGCCGAATTCGTTCTGCATGGAGCGTCTTCCACAAGTTCAAAACGTACTTAACACGAAGGAACGTTTCCAATATACACAAAGCCAAGATATACAACATGTGTATTGAACCAGCTTTTCTCTATGGTTCGGAAACTTGGACTCTGAAGAAGAAAGAAAGGAACCTTCTGGCAACGGCACAGCGGAAAATGATGCGATGGATGCTCGGAGTAACATTGCTCGACAGAAGAAGAAACTCCTGGCTCTATGAAAAGTTGAAGCTACGCGAAGTTCGGTCGGAAGCTGTGAAGAGAAAATGGCTTTTCGCAAAGAAGATCGCTACGGGAGAAGACACATGGGCGAAGAAAATCGTGGAATGGCGACCATGGGCGAAAACGCGTGGAGTTGGACGACCCAAACCCCGTTGGCGAGATGACCTACGAGCAGTTCTTGGTGAAAGATGGGCGACAGTTGCGCGAACCAACAAACATCTCTTCAAATATTCCATGATTCAGCAGATACAAGATTACTCTGAGGACTGAATAAATGTTAAAAAATGTTAAATGATCATTGGACTGGAGAATATCGTAGTCCATTACGTGGTGAATGTAATTTGAAGAAAAAAAGAAAAAAATAAATTCATTCCTATATTTTTTTTCACAATCTCAAAGGTTATGATTCTCATCTTATTCTAGGTGATACTCAGAGTATTAGGTTTCTAAGAAAACAGAATGTAGAAGTAAAAAACATTTCTGCCAATTCTGAAAAGTTTATTAGTTTCAGTTATAAGTTACCTTCTTTGACAGAAAATGTTTGGGAAGGTTGTGAAGTAAGATTTCTTGATTCAATGTGTTTCATGTTGTCGTCATTGGATAAATTAGCAGAAAATTTAGATAATGATAAAATGAATATTTCCAGAGATTATTATTCAGGATTCGAAATTTCTACATCCGCTGGATCAAATAAGAATAATGATGTTTTCAAAACTATGAGGAAAAAAGGAATTTATCCATATGAATACATGGATTCATTCAAAAGATATGAAGAAACTAAACTTCCAAGTATTTCTTCATTTTATGATAAACTGAATGACAAAGAATGTTCCCAAAAAGATTATCTATATGCTAAAGTAGTTTGGAACAAGATGAACTGTAAGAATTTAGAAGATTATACTAGGATTTATATGATTAATGATGTTCTTCTTTTAGCAGATGTCTTCGAGAATTTCCGTAATCTAAGTTTAGATAGATATGAACTTGATCCATGTTGGTATTATACTAGTCCTGGATTATCTTGGGATGCTATGTTAAAATATACTAAAGTTAGACTAGATACTATTAATGATACAGAAAAGTTTTTCATGCTTGAAGATGGAATAAGAGGTGAAATAGTTAATGCTATTAAAAAGATATACAAAAATCAAATAATAAATACACGTCAAAAGTTCAATCCTGAGGAAATATCTAACTTCCTTTTTATATCTAGATGCTAATAATCTATATGGTTGGGCTATGAAACAATTATTACCTCATAGCAACTTTGTTTTTTTGAGAAACAAATCCAACTTAGTGTTTTGAATATTTCTATGAATGAAGTAAGCAAATCACAAATTCGGAAATACATAGAAAATCTTAATAGTCAAGGAAAAAGGGTGTATTCTAGAAGTGGACTTGGAATATCCAAATGAGTTGCATCATAAGCATAATGAGTTTCCACTTTGTCCTGAGATAAGAGACTTTGGTAATAATATTAAGAAGTTGTGTAATACTTTGGAGAACAAAAAAATAATTATGTTATTCATTATCAAAAACCTGCTACAAGCTCTAGATCTTGGAATGAAATTGAAGAAAGTCAAGAGAATTCTGACATTTGATGAGAGTAATTGGCTTTGCTTCTTATATTGATTTGAATACTGACCTTAGGAAAAAAGCTAAAAATGATTTTGAAAAGGATTTCTTCAAACTTATGAATAATTCTGTTTTTGGTAAGACAATGGAGAATGTTCGCAATAGAGTTGATGTTAAATTAATATTCTCTGGGGAAACTGAATTAATGAAAAATGGAGAAACTCATTACATTTCGAAGAAGGATAGAATAGGAAAGTTAGCTAAGTTGCCTAACTTCAATAGGAATATAATAATAAGCAAATAATTGAATCTTGTTGAAATGGCAACAACTAAAATAGTAATGAATAAACCAATTTATGTTGGATTTGCTATTTTAGAGCTTAGTAAATGGTTGATGTTTGATTTTCATTATAAAGTTATGAAGAAGTAGTATGGAGGTAATATAAGTTGTGTTATCAGGATACAGATTCCCTTATTTATGAGATTATGACGAATGATCTTTATGAAGATATTCAAAATGATCAGAAAACAAAAGAATATTTCGATTTCAGTGAATATCCTGAATGCCCTCCTTTATATAATGTGGAAAAATAAAAAAAGTAGTTGGAAAAATTTAAAGATGAGTTGAATGGTTTGATAATGGAAGAACTTATAGCCTTGAAGCCCAAACCATATGCTTATAAAAATTTCTGAAGAAACACATGAAAGCTTAAGCGTTTATTATAAAAAAAGAATTCATGAAGAAGAAGAAAAATCCTAAACTCTCAAAAAGTACCCAAACCTGGAGAAGAAAAATAAAAAAAGAGTAAAGGAATAAAGAAGTGTGTTGTCAAGAAGTTAAAAAGTTGAAGATTTTTCGAGAGAGTCTTTTTCAATAAGAGTATTGTTAGAAAGAAACAATGTTGTATTCGAAGTATCAAACAACAATTATACACCCAAGAACAGGAAAAAAAGTTGTGTTTGACAATGAAGAGACTGAAGCAAAAATTGTTGAGTTTCAAGAGGATTATCATTCCAAATTCATATGAAACAAATGCTTACGGTTTTAGTCCTCAAGAAATGATAAAAATAATTTTTTTGGAAATCCGTGGAATCCAAAAGTTTCAAAAGTAATAAACAGTAATAACCACAATGATGTGTTCCAAATTCTTGAATTTGAAATGTTGACAATTCGATGACTGATTTTTTATCTTTACCTTTCGAGGTTTTCAAATATTGTTGAAGGTGGATCTAATCCGAACGAATAAAAGTAATAAATGTTCTTATTATTCTTGGAGTAGCAAACCCAATGAGTACCTTTACCTTCAGAAGAATCCAGATTAACAATACCAACTTCTTTTTCTCCAAGTCCTTCACTCGGCATAGTATCTCGCATAAAGACTCCACGAAAATTGTTTATCTTTAATAATTTTTAAAAAGTTCTAAGAGATCGAAGTTTGTTAGTGGTTTCAAATTTTTTTGAAAAAGATCATTTATTTAGCATTATTTTTTTATTCACCGTTCTAGCGCATTTTTTTCTCGACCATCTCAACCACTGGATTTCGACCATATTTTTTTATAACGCACTTTTTGACCATTTCCCCATTTTTTTGAAAAATTGTTGAAAAATGACACATTTTTTTGATGACCGAAGGTTAGAAATCAATGAAAATAAGTCTTAAAATGGCTTAAAAATGAGAGTGGTCGAGATGGTCGAAATCCAGTGGTCGAAAAGGTGCGCTAGAACGGCAAAATACATATTATTCTTGTTGAACAACTCAAAACTGAAAAACACCAGAGTATTTTTTTTACCATGGCACTGGCACGACCACCCACCCTTTTTTGCAAAGTTGTGGTACTGAGGAACATCTGTGAAACCTTGCCTCTTTTTTGGAAGAAAGGAAAAAAAAAACAAAATTTTATGGGAAAGATGGGTATTCGAGGATCAAGCTACACACACTGTGATGATATAAAAAATGGGCCTCGAAAAAGTGAACCACATTCAGAAACTGTCTTATAATTAAAAGATGAGCTTTTTTTCGATTACGGAAACAGTCATATGTTTCTAGCCCTGATTTTAATTTTGAGGTTCTTGAGAGATCTTTAGAAATTGGGATCGAAATTGGGAAAAAAAAACAGAAAATGAGTTGAGGGTCAAATGAAAAAAGGGTTAAGGTTTTGTTTTCTATGGTGGTTACATTTATCAAAACCTTTTTCAAGTTGGTGAATTAGGAAGTAGAAAGCGAGAAAAGGAAAATGAAAATCCTCAGTTAAAGAAAAAGCACGTGTCCACCCTTGAAAGTGCGGCGGATCCCACTGGCGCCGCAAAGCCATTAAGCAAACGGACACGGCACTACACGAAAACTATCTATCGAAAGGGGAGAAATGAGGTCCACCACCAACCGCCGCGTGTTGGCTTAACGTCGAGATCAACCGAGTCTCGACGTCCAACTTCTTTTTGGCGCTGACACAGAAATCACTAGCAGCACTTGAACTAAGGCGAAGGATACGCCGCGTTGCTGAGCAAATCTTGTAAGCTGTCAGCCGTTTTTTCCCCCCGTGTTCTTTTCGACATTGGCTTACAAACTGCGTGGACTAATTCGCCCGTCACGATCTTCACCTGTTTCTGTTTTCCGTTTCTGGCCCTGCTGGACAATTTTGCAACATTCTTGACTGTCTCGTACTGTTATGCGATTTTCGGCTTGAAATGTGAGTTTACTGTTTCGGATTTGAATTTTTGAACTGAGATTAAGATGACTGTTGATAACGCTAGTCTGGGGTTCAAAAAAACCGAAAAAAAACGTCTAGAAATCTTTTTTGCTATCCTGTAGACCTCAAAATCAATCTTCCGCTAGCGGCTAATGAACTTTGAACTTTTTTGGGTAAAGGCTTTCTGCAGCCTCATTGATAATCAACTTCGGAGCTTTCCTGATATCTTGGAAAAAAATTTAATATTTTTATGACACCTAGAAAACAATGGTAACTATATGCATAATTGGCACCGAAGTGGGGATTTCGATGATGCACCCGACTTTAAACTATTTGCGCAGTACCTCTATTTTGAGCCTTGCATTTTGTAATCAATCAGTTACTCGTTGAGACTTTAATGTGACTATTTTATGAATATTTAAAAAAACACCATTCAATGTGATAACTTTATTTTTTTGACTTTCGGAAAGCCAAGTTGAAACGAAAATAAATTTTTTTGTTGTAGCATTGAAATTAAACAAAAAAAGTAAGAAACCAGGTTTTTTTCTGAAAGTAAACATTTTTCGGGGTTGGGAAATTTTCCTTTTTTCCGGTGACCTAATAACACCTTTTCGCATCAACCATTTCGGTGATTCCAAGGTTCAATTTTCGAAACCAGGTACTCCACTCCTCGTGGTTTAAGTATTTGCGCAAACCAAAGCATTCGATAAACAATCGTCTCAGTTCAAAATTTTCTCCTTCCGTTCATTTTCAACTCTCAAATCCTTGAACTTCCAAAAGTTTAGAAGGTCTTGGAAAGTCGACGGCTTCTCTGATAGGACGGGTTATTGCCACGGCTGCGGATCGGCAAAAGAAAGCAACAAGGCGACGAAAAGGCCCCCAAAAGCGGCATCCTTGTCGTTAACCTATTCTTCGGATTTCTTTTGAATCACTTTCTGGATCAAATGCAACGGATGAATACGGTTTTTCGACGCGATTCCCGAGCCAATTTCGGAAGCAGCCTTTCGGTCACTGATGAGCTGAATCCACTTCTGGCGGCCGTCCACGCCGTCTCCTCCAGAAGCCCTTCTCATCAACTGTTCATCAGCGTCGGCGGCAGTACCCCAAAAGCCGAGAAACGAGTCTCGTTCAAGGATGTCGCGCCACGCCCACCTGAGCCAGAGCCGCTTGTCGCTCAACGCAAAGCTGCTAAACATGCTCGCAAACAGTCTCGAACAGTCAACTCGGCCGGCATGAACTTACTTGAAAGGTTTCTTTTTATTTTTTTCAAAGTTGCTACTTTTTTTGAATAATTTTGACGACAATTCATCTGAAAATTAAACTTTCTGTTTTTTTAGCCGATTTTTTCGTGGTTTCCTTAGTAAAAATTGAAGTTTTACTATGAAAAACTCTAGCGGGCACTTGAGAGGTTCCTCAAGGGCTATTCGAAGAGAGCACTAAAGTACCCACAAAAATTCCTAATTTATGTTTAAGTGCTCACTATAGTAGATTGAATTGCCTAGTGGTGCCTTCTGACTTCTGAAGAAGCCTCTAGATGTTTGCCAACTAAATGGCCACTATCACGAAGACTATAGTAGCCACTGGAACGTAAAAAACCCTGAAGTGTCGACTAGAACTTCCCCAGTATTTCAAATAAATAGGTTGAGAAGTTCAGAAACATATGTAACTTTTTTCGAAATTTTTATAGCAACTTTGTTTCCGTGTAAGAAGCCTATGACCTCGTTTAAAATCAACCAAACTACTCAGAACTTTGATGAAATCTCTCAAAATGCCTAAACACCTTTCCCAACATAAATCCGCGCAAACAACTCTATGAACACATGTGTTCGTTTTGAAGATTCTTGTCGAGAGACAATATTTACGACGGCAGTGAAGCTGAACGGCACGTCCACTTCGCCTTCAGCGGAGATCAACAACGAGGCTCCAGAAGAGAGACGTCTCCAGACACGCGACGGAGACTCAGCCGCAGTTGTGACCACCTCGATGATGATACCTTCAGTCCGAGACTTCCGCCTATCCGAAGAAGACCTACTAAACATGTCTCTGCGTCTTTTTATCGTCCTGGTTGGTTTGGGAACACTCATTTTTTATTTTGAAATCTTACATGACTTCTCTGTTTCTTTGCACCCAGCTTGATAATCTTTTCGGCGTGTTTGAAGACTGAAAAAGCTGTCATGAAAAAGGCCTCTGATTTTTCGAATCCCCAGCAAAATTTTCAGAGAGATATACAGATTTCTTTAGCAATTTTTATTCTTTTCTTATCGGTGAAATGTATTATTTTTTTTCTGTGAAAGGCGCCGCTTTGCAATAATTTGTCCCTGGGAGCAATATATTATCGCTATTCATTGGCCGTTCTTCGCAGGCCAAAAGTCGAAAAGACTATGCAAGATTTATCGTCTTTTTTCTGCGATTTTTTGATTTATCATTAGTTGGTGCAGAAATCCGAACTCTTCACATGAAATATAGCAAGTTTCTCTTTCGGAAAAGAAAGTTCAATACTTTCTACAAGTTTCTTTCGGCTTTTGAACTCAGGGCGGTTGAAATTGAATTGAAATGAAGGATTAAAAAAATGTCAGATTTTTTTCCAAAAAATTTAATTTCCTTGATTAAAACTTTTTCGAAGTTTTTCGAATTCATTATGCTCCATTCATAGCCAAAAACGCCATGAATCCTGTCTTTTCCCGCTTTTTGGCGGTGATTTTCTCAAGTGGAGACCCGCGAGGAAACATCGCAAAACCGTGGAGTGTCGGAAGAAGACGATTTGCTCTTCGAAGCTCGTTTCGGCTCGAAATTTGCTTTTTGGAACAAATTTGGGTATAAGTCTCGTGAAAACTAAGTTCAAGGGATCGCTGAATGGTCTCTGAAAAGACTGATTGGTCTCGCCTCCAATTCCTCAAGATTATGAATAATCAGAACCACATGAAAACTCGAAAACAGTATTTAAATCTCAGGATGAATAAAAACCAACTAATAATCCCGTTTTCAATACATTGAGCCTACGAAACGACTAAAAAATGATTCTTCTGAAAATTTGGCTGTTGGCGAGTCTGGTTCCAATTGTGTTTGTACAACTTTTTATTGCTTCAGTCGGGATGCCATACTTTTGCCTCAACGTCATTGATATTTCGGACTGTTTATTGATCTTCTTTTCAGAGGAATATCTATTCATGTTCATTGATTTAAAGCTGGAGCTTGAGCGTTTTTAAATCTTGTAGTTGTAGAGATTCTATGTGTAGCATCACAAGCAATTGTGATTTTTGAAAAGTCCATAATTTTCGAAGATTTTTCTTGCTTGATATAGGAATAGCTTACTTTTAGAAAAATTACTTTTTTAAAGCTTAATATCAAGAATACTTCACGCTTAGTTTTTTTTTTTCTTTGAAACTACCTATCCATTAGTGATCCTAACCAAACTGACTGGACGGAGGTCGTGACGCCAGGCTGGACTTTAACGCTAATTGATTATTTATTGAGCGAATCCGGGTTGCGGCGTTCCACTTCAAGCCAATTAATTGTTGCGCAACCATCAAAAAATCACTTTGGGTGTTTTCCGACTGAGTCTTTATCACCCCAAGTCTTCTCACTTCTTTTATTCCTTAGTTCAAAAACCAAGGCTTTGAAATTTCTACCTTTCTTTCTCTTCTTGAACATTGTCGTTTATATTCCAATTACTGAAAGTGGTGATCGTCGAAAAAAAATCCTGATAATTTATTTCCTTTAGATACTTTCACCGCTCCGTGTCTATGAATAATGCCAGGCGTAACCCGTAATTAGTCGGCCGAAGCTTTTTTTCCGTGTTTATAACTTTTCTTCCATTTCTAGTGTTCCCAACGCATTTTCTTCAGTTTTATGACCGGATCTGCCAGGAAAAGGTGCTCCTTTGGGTTTGAAATCTCTTGTACTCAATGTTTGTCATGTATGCCCAAGCGTGAGAATGAATCAGAATCCAGCTCGCCACCCACTTTTCCTTCTCTTGTTTCTGCGAAATCGAGCTCTTTTTTCAGGTATTTTGTTGGTTTCTTCATTTGTTTGAGTTGGAAGGTTGTTTACATTAGTAAATCATCATTTTTTATTTGGAAAAAGTCACAAAAGTGTTTCAATTTTTGGAAGGTTTTGAAATTGTTGGTTCTTTCACTGAGTTTCGAAATCCTAGCTGAAATATTTTTGGATCTTTAATATCAATTATTTGTTTGTTATAAAGGTTGGTCGCACGCAGAATGGCTTAGCCGCTCACTCGCCCGACTCCAAAACGGCTTGCGCACTTTGCAAGACTAGTTGACTTTAAAATGGCTGAAACAACTTATTTTTAATTTCAAGCCTTTCATTAAAGCCGATTTCCTCCCCCTTTTTACCGTGGCCAGTTAGTTACTTTTTCCGTTTTTTCGATCTAGTTTCTCATTGCCTTTTCTATGAAGCCACTTCCAAACTGAATTTTGTAAATGTCTGAACCTATCTCCCGCAAAACCTTATCTAAATATTGCTTAAGCGCCTAGAAATACGCAATCGAGCACACAAACGTACACACAAAACGCGTAAACGAGCGTAAGTCGGCAAGTTTTTGTCTTGCCGCTCCTCTTATGCGTTTTATGTCCGCCAAATAAGGCGCCGCGTCTAGATTTCTGCGCTATTAGTTCCGGCCTTTGCATAAGTCCAACTTTATAGGAAGTCGTGTTCCATTTTTCAAGATACTTATAACTTGGATTAAGGCAAAAAATATTTAAGTGAAGGAGACTTTTTAAAACTTGGCCTTTTTTCCTGAAAGATGTTGGAGTAAACGAATTTTTAGCGTTTTCTTTTTGTATTTGCCCTTTTATAAAAACCAGTAAGGTGTCATGAATCGACTACATTCCCCGAGAACTCTCCAAAACTCCTTTCAAACTATTTCTCTCTATCCAATGTGAGTGTTTTTCTTTTCGGAACTACGTGGAAAGCCAACCAACAGCTCGCAATTTTCAAAGAGAAGCCCTCATTTTCCGTTTCCTTGCACGTCAATTGCCTATAAAAGATCTATCTCAGCAGTCGAATGTGCAATTTGCGCAGGTCGGCCCAGCAAACAGTTTCCAAACGCAGACAGGTGCAAAATCCAATCTCAGGCGGCTCACTTTTATTTCTTTTTTGAAGATTTCATTTCAGCATTGAGACTCTTTTGAAGTATTTTTTTGCATGATTATTACAGATTTTTGGTTCAGCTGCTGGAATAAAGCTCGAAAGTTTATTTTAGCTTTTTCTTTAGAGATAGGTAGTTGATATACATATCTTTTTCAAATTTGTCGAATTTTTTATCGAAATCAGAACAATAAATCTGCAACAATAACTACACTCAAAAGTTGTTCAAAAACTGTTACTGAAACAGCAAACATGTTTTAGCCCCTCATTTTTTTAAGCATCGCTGAATTTTTCGGCTTTTTTTCAGTGCAATTCATTTGAATAGGTTTTAGAGCTTTGGAAAATAACCTATTTAAACCTAAAGCAATATGAAAAGAATCTTAAACCCGTGTCTGAAAACTTATTATTATCAAGAATAATTGGCCTTCAATATTTCCTGCCAAAATATAGGTATTTTTTCAGAGTTTGTCACATTTACTCGCTCAAGCATGACCATAAGTTTCATAGAAAAAGACTAATCGTCAGCCTAAAGGGTTATGACCGACGATGTGGATTGGGAACGATCCAAGCGGAAAGGTGTTTCCATTTTTTCCGACGGATCCAACGTTCTCGCGCCACGATATCTCTCATCTCACTGACGACTACGTATCTTATCTCCGGCTATTTTTCTGATTTACTGTTGTCGGGGCTTTCTTCTGGATGCCCTTTATTGTGGTTTCTTGTATATCTACGCGTACGTGAGATTTTGCTTTCCTAGGTTTCATTAAGAGGTCGAAAATTTTTATTTGACGCATTTGAGGATTTGAGTTCAAAATCAAAATTAGGCTCTTTACTTGACATTGTTTGCTCAAAATCCAAGCTGAGTCTTTCAAAAAAAAAAAACGAAAATCTCGCTCGATTTCGAAAAACACTGGAAACAGCTTTTTTTTTGTCTAGAAAAGGTTATATAATCTATCTTTGTTTATTCACTTCTGCATAAGTTTCTGGAGCTTATTGAAAAAAATTCATTTGTTAAATTGTTTTCAGTTTTTTTCTCCCTAGCAAAGTGCTCAAAGTTGAAGTTTCTTTTTATAATTTTTTTCTCGGTTTTTTTCAAAACGTTTAGATTTAATCATTCGAAAAAAAGCTATTTGTGCAATGAACAACCCTTCATATATTTTTCAATATTGCTTTTTCCTCTTTATTATGTTTTTCTATCTTTGATTCTTAGAATGTTTGAAAATTGCTCCATGAATTTATACAAAACATATAGAATCAAAATTTGTTTTTCGCCTTTGCACATTTTTTAATAATGGAAAAATAGTTGAGAAGAAGAACTGGCAATTTTTTCCCAAAAAACACTTTTGATCCGAGAAAATCTTCCTAATCCTTCCGAGTTTTTTCGAATTCCAACTCAACACGCTATGTTTTTCACGCTTCAACAATTTTTTGTGTCCTGACCTGGTGAAAGGCAATGAAAAGAACGCCATCGGTTTCCGATTTTTCGGTTTTTTGACAAAAATTCATCTTCTGAGTCATTCAATGATGTTTTGATAGACAAGAAAAATGAATCAGTTGAAAAATACTTGTCTTTTTTCAAGGTCAAAGGCGTGAAAATAATGCTACCTGCGCATGAACATACATAAATTGCTTTTGCGAGTAACCCAATTCCTAAATATTTGCCGTGTTTCAAAGCAGTGCAGCCAAGGGACGGCGGTCTTTTTTTTTGCCTGTGTGTTGTTTTGTCGGCCCGTAACCTAACCAGCTGCCGATTCCACTTGACACCTCCTGAGCCATTCTCTTCTCGACAGCTCTTCTTTCCAACTTTTTGTCCGTGTTTAACATGGTTTTTGCTGTAGAAACTCAATGCTTTCCCACAAATCTGTCCCATTTGGTCTTAATTCTGTCGAGAACTACGCAAAAAGCTCTTCTATTCATTGGCTTGAAAAAAAAATTACTTTCACAGTTTTTCAAGTCTTTGTCTCGATATTCGTGGTAACTGAAACTAAACTCAAAATTGTACCAATTTTTTGAAATCCGACTCATATAATACAAGTTTATGCGGGGAAAATATAATTTTGCCGCTTATGACCAATTTTTTTCTTATTTCGCGGTCGCAGACACTTGTCTCTTGTTTCCAGCTAGCCTTCCAAAAATTATTCAAAGAGTTGCAATTTGAAATTTAAACTGCCAATTTTCAAAGTTTCAGTCATCATTCAAAGTCTCCCATCTTTAAAACAACAAAAATCAGGGTTTCGAACAGAAAGAATGAAAAAAAATGAATGAATTGCCTAATTTTTTCGATTCTTATGTAAATTTGACGACCAACCACCCGTCTCGTCTTATTCGTTTTTGTTGGTTGGGCAACTTCAAAGACGCAAACGACCTTTGGGATCATTCATTCAATTTCTCTTGAGCCTGATGGCTTCCTCTGATTTGCAAGGCCGTTTCGGCCCCGCTTTGCGGTAACCAATGACTTACATCTGTTTTCTTTTCTTTCTCATTCAAGAGTGCATTTTTCGCTCTTTTTTGCCTTTTAGTTGAGTTATCGAACCTATCGTTTTTTTTGCTTCTTAATTAACTGGAAGAAAAAGTTATTTTTTAAAAGAACCATCACTTGATCAAAGAGATTTTTTTGTTGTCTCCAACCAAGAGACTTCAAAAATTAAAAAATTTTGTTGACCTCTCTAAAAAGGTGCTCCACAGAACCGTGAAAAAGATACGGAAACCATTTTTTTTTCACAACTTCTT